GGCAGGCAACATAAGGCAGATACGGGCATGGGCAGGAACAGTGGAGGTGGCATGGATGGCACCTAGGGAACAGTCCTCCAGCTGCCCTAGGCGCTGAAGTTTTCCGACACGTCGGTGTCGAAAGCATACTCGATCGTGGCTTCTTGGACTGCAGCGAGGCCCAGACCGGAGGGGCGCTTGTTGGGGCACTTGTTGGCAAAGTGGCCCGCTTGGCCACAGTACATGCAGAGGCCTTCTCTGCGGCGACGATCTTTTTCAGCGGCGGTAAGAGGGCCGCGCATGGTTCCTAGTTCCATGTCGTTTGGACCTGGACGAGCAACGGTGACTGGACGTGGAGACGGAGTAGACTGAGGGATGCTGCGAGGAGGCTGGGGTCGCCAAGGCTGTTGGGGGCGACGAGCCGAGGTCAGGCGCAAGTTCAGATACGCGGTGGTGGCAGCCTCAGTCACAGTACTCATGGTGGTCAGGGAATGCCATTGGCCTTGCAACAGGGTGCGCACACCCTCGGAAAGGCCAAACTTGAATTGGGACACGAGAGCAGACTGATTCCAGCGGACCTGGCTTTGCAAAGTGGAGAACTCCGAGATGTATTCTTGCATTGTACCTCGTTGCTTAAGGAAACGGATTTTCTCTTCGGCTTCCTGGATGCTCAGGCGATCACCGTAAGCGGCCTCGATAGCGGTCATGAAGGCGTCGTAATCGTTCAGGAGTCCTTCTTCGTCCTCGATGTCTTGGTTGTACAGCGGGGCAAAATGTTCGAGGGGAGGTCCTGCCATACAGCCCATGGCGAAAGTCACGCACTGGTCATCCGATTCAAAGGCAGGACCGAAGCGCTGGAAGACACCGGACAACTTGGCTTTAAAAGCACGGAAGGAAAGGACTTTGGCATCACCATTGAACGCAGGCGTGAAGGGGTGCGGGATGTGTGGACGACGAGCGGCTGTCTGGAGAGAAGCGGCAGCGGCGGTAGGCGCGGGGGTTCGGTCCAGGATGGCTTGGACCAGATTCTGGAGGGCAGCGATCGTGTTGGTCTGCTGCTGCATTGCGTCTTGGTTCTGGACTTGGATAACGTTGACGGCCTCGGACAAGGTCGTCAGATGGTTCGCTTGCTGGAGATGGCTGGCAATGGAGTTGGTACGGGCGTCAATAACGGACAAGAGTTCGCGGAGATGGTTCACAAATGCGTCAGGAGTGGTGTTCGGGTCTTGCGCATGGTTCTGCAGGGCACCAAGGAGATTCGCCTGCTGCTGCTGCAGAAGCTGCTGGTGCTGGGTAAATTCATCTTGGGCGGACATGACTGGATTGGAGAGTCTGCAATGTCAGGAACAGACTTGGAAGAGTGGGATATGTGTTATGGAGGAGACAGACAGTGGACAAGGTAAGGAAGAAATGTATTGCAGACTGAGGTTATATGCTATGGATTCTATGGCTCTATTTATGTGTTTCTAGGATTCTTGGTCAGGGTACTCGGATGGCTACTACGGGACGCGAGGTATATTTGCTAGGAATAGCACAAAGGTATGGATCTGGTGCAATGGTTCTAGACGGGCCGGACAATGGTTCTAGGCGGGCCGGATAATGACAATATCAATAAAGGTACTTCGTTGAACATATGTTGATCGAGCATACGGTGGCAGAGGTACGCGTGCAAGCGCGTGAGCGCGTAGAAGCAGTCACAAATCAATATGAGCAATTGTGTGCGCAGCTCAACTGTCACTCTGCACCACACGCTATGGTGCTATCCGTGACAGTCAAGCACAGGGCCAAGATGGATCGTGCTCTATAGTTAAGGGGTATAACGACTTAAGGAGCTTATGTTGTGATATTTTCTAAATATAGTGGTTCCGCAATGACGACAAATATATAAGAAGCGTGGTTGGTTTAGTGGTATAATTACCGCCTGCCACGCGGTAGACCCGGGTTCGATTCCCGGACCACGCATATTTGGACTATGAAATAATCTAGCCGCATCCAAGAACCTTCCTGTACGGTTCGCTCTTCATTCGCCTGAGTGAAAATTGTGGATATGAGTTCATCTTTTTGTTTGTTTTATTTGGCGACCGTTTGCCACGTTGAGCATGCAAGTCGATTCCTGCAGAAATCCATGTAGCTCGTTTACCCTGAAAATCGGACCTATAGCCTAATATGGAAGGATATAATAGATTGCCCTTGTTCCTATTACACATTTAATCCCGTAACCACAATTCGTTTAAGGATCCGGATCTTTTTAGCCATCGCTTCCTTAATATAGGCTGTAGTTCAGCTCCGTTCTCTGATACCGGGTGTGTTACACTCTTGATATACCTGGGCGACGTACTAAATTGCTGATTACCAGTAGTGGGGTGATAACGGGGTGTCATACTAGGTCTACATGTAAATTTACATATCAGTTTCCTCGTCGCTGGAGAATCTACCCCTTTGTCCAATCCAATATGAGGCAGGATTGAGCCAGATTCCACTCCGAAGCTGAATGACGAGGTGCCATGGAAAAGAGAAAACAGACAGTCGTTTGTGATCACGTTGGAGTAGTACTTTACGACTCAAAATCACTATCGCAAAGGTTTAATGCTAGATTTAGTATGCTATGATGTTGTCAGCGCTTCGCCCAGTTTCTACAATATCCCAGTGCACTGTTGACACCGATGCAACTAGTATATAAACCCTATCAGGCATAGAACTAGATAGCAGCATTCGCCCAACAAAACACCCTTTTCACCCTAGATCCTTCGACACCCCAGATACTCCAATCGTTTGCAAGCATGCCGACGCGTAGGGAGTGAGCTAGCTTTCACTGTAGTGGAAAATGATAAGCAAGGCGAGACCATGCGCTTTCCCGTCTCTACATCTGCCCAATTTTTATACCGATTTACACTTGCTCCACCAAACCGCCATTTTTATTTTACTTATTTTCAGTTGGAGACATACAACTAAGGGGCCTGAATGTTCCAAAGTGAGGGGCGCCAGAGCGCGTTTTCTTTCTACTTGTAGAAACTGGGCTGAAAGTTCCGGTGTCAGAAGCAGAAGCAGAAGCAGCTTGCCCCTGCCCTTGACCTGCTGTAGTCTAGGCCATAGAGCTCAGGATCCGTTGCTCCATGACCGTGATCAGCGTGCGCTGTTGCTCTTGAAATGCCATGATTTGCATGCGCTATGCATGTTGCTGTTGAGTATTTGCAATGCCCAAGCCCCGCATGAGCTCCCGGATAGTCGCGCCAACCACTCTTCCTGAATCAAATGTCATTGAAATAGCCGAAATGTCGTTATTGTTGAATATGGGTGCATTGCTGCCGCTAAACGCCTCATCGCCTTTGTCGCTCTCCTTATAAACCTCGTAATCAGATGTACCTTAGGCATTGACGACCTCCGAACCATGAGGGAGAACTTGAGCGCTGTCAATAAGTTGAAGCCCTGGAACGTTGATCGGGATGTTGGAATGGGCGCAGACCCGCTTGTAATGCTTGCTCAGACTATCCCTTGTCAGGAATGGCTTTCTGCAGACGCAGATGAAAGCCATGCTTCTATCCTCGCGCCTTTCAAATTGGACGAACACATTTAAAAGGAGGTTTATCACTTGAACTGGCGCCGTTGAGTGCGACCGAAGCAAGTAGTTTTTTTTCTGACTTGGTCAATGGCACAGGTCTGTCCTCGTCCTTGACTGGGAGACCCTGTTCAATGCGACGCCCCTGTGTCCGGATCGCCTCTTTCTTGTCCAGCAGTCCCTGGACACAGTTGTAGAATGTACATTCGTTTCTCTGTACCTTGGTCATTGTAGTTAGCGTAGCGTGTAGTGGAATGCTGGCGAGGAAGGGCAACAGTGATGTTGGTTGTAGAGTGTTAGAGTGTGCACAGAGAAAAAAGTTGTGAGAAAGAGTGCATTTCACCATGTCCTCCACCTTGCATAGAATATATAACTCGCCTCATAGTCTACAAGTTCTCTTCTTGACCATATCCCCATGGCCAGGCAATCTCGAGCAACGGTCATATTGTGTCATTCTCTCTCTTCGTCCAATTGCTTTACGCCCATCTGCAGCTCGTCCTTTCGGAGCTCGTCCTCTTTTCTCTTTCGAAATGTGCAAGGCTGTTTGCATGCAATGCTAGACTTTGAGTCAGGGTGATTAGGGGTTGTCTTATGTAGAAAGAAAAGAAGAGAGAGATTGCTAAATCGCGATAGGTAATCAATGGTCATAGGCATCAGCAGCATCAGCAATACCACATATTCACCAGAGTCCGTTATACAAGGCTATAGTCTATGGTCTATCCAGACCGGGTATCCAGAGAATGTCCTGAGGTACGTCTTACTCATAGACTAGATACTCATAAACAATTGCTCTCAGTAAGCTCTTGATGTTCACCTTGCGCACTGTTCAAAGCGCCTTTGCAATTGAGGAACATTTGGGGGTATCACTTCTTCCATAATGAACTGTGAAGTGCATCTCGACTTAACTCACACATTTGACGCTCCAAAACTAGGAACTAGGGAGATTCATTCAATTGGGCTGTAACCGTTGGATTATTTTTCGATGCACAGGACAAGCGCGACGCGTATGGCGCTGCACGGAAGGTCGTTTGTAGCAACCGGCTTCTGAATAATACCTCTGAGTGACTAGCAGCCTCACTGCCTACCGTGGCAAGAGGCAACAGAGTAATGCGGTGTAGGGGGTCTAATAACGAGTTCTGTAACTTCTACCATTAGTTCTATTTACAATAGGAGACACCACGCGAATAGGACTTCGGCAAGGGCGTGCTTCGGTCACTTACTGGTTCGCAGTGCAGGGTCCTCCTCTGGATCGGAATGTATGAACACAAAGGTAAAATAAACTAGACGAAAATGGAAGGAGATAAATACGGGATCTGTTTAGCTAAATGGTACGAGCTAGGACTATATTCCTTTGGGAATGACTGAGGTAATTGTAAGGAGTTCGCATTGCGGTCTTGTCCGGACAATCTGGACGAATGCAATGTGTGATACAAATGATTTTTGGAAAGAAGACTCTGGTTCAGGAGCCAGACCGTTTATTCTTTTATTCTGGGGGCGGTGCTCTTCCCCATGATCTAATATCAACTTTGCGAGGTCAACCGAATGATTCTCATTTACTACACCATAGAATCCATTTGCATAGGTCGGGAAAGCCCTCCGCGAGTCTTCTCTGGCATCACTACTCTCAAGACTGGACTCAGCCGAAATCATTGCGGTCTATTCCATCCGCAACAAGATCCGTCGCTATCAACAGGAGTTCGCTGTGGTTATGGTTGGCCATTCATATTTTTGCACCTGCCTCTTGCTGCAAACTATGGGGATTGTGTGCAGGCACTCCTTTTGCGTGACGCAAGGGGACAGCAGGTGGAAGTACAGGATCAGCCTCGTTCTCAAGCGCTGGTTCAGGGAGCAGTGGCAGGATCTCGAAGGTTTCGAGACGAAAGTTGGTTCAGAGCTCCTAGTTGCCTATCCGCATTACATCGCCTCCACCAGGACGGAGGATCACCCCGCCAACACTTGTGCGAGGAGTGTGCACATCTTGTTCTCTACAGAATCCTCGACGCCGCAGCCAAGGAAGGAGGAGTGACTGAGGATGAAGCGGTACAGGGATCGCAAGAGAGCTGGCCATCAGGGGACAACTGATCCAGCAGTTCATGATGAAGCGATACAAACGCTCAACAACCTCTCAATCTCGCTGAAACGGAGACAGGGGTTCATGGAGCTACAGGGCGCGTCTGACAACGAAGCAGGTCTTGATGTCACCAAAGACCCACTTGTGGTGAAGCCAAAGGGACGTCCAAGAGCCAAACGTATCAAGAGCAGCAACGAGATGTCGCGACCATCCAAAGAATTCCATCCTGCTGAAACAGACCTTGAACAATAAACGAGTGCCTTTTTTTTAAATGAGGTCCTACAGACTATCCCCGTGAGAATATGGCGCTCACCTCCCCGTGAAAAAAAAAAAAGCTCGAATTATTCTTACCTGGGTGTGAGAATAACCCAAAACGAGGGACAATCTCATGGGGTGTGTGAGAATAAGATCTCACGGGGGGGGGAGGTGAGATTATTATTTTACACGGATTTCTTGCAGCCCTTTTGACAATGCCGCCTACACGTGAGGAAGTTATGTAGAACAGACAGAAAGAAAAAGACACTTCACATTTCTTCTCGCATCCCTATTTCCCTATTTCCTCATTCATTCAGCTGCGGCACCGCTACTAATTCCGCCAACACGGTCTTGACTTCGGGAGCGAAGACTGGCAATATGTCACTAGGACAAGCGTCAGATATCCCGAGCAATAGTATGGTTCCCGGTTGTGTCAGCAGCCGACCTCTCCACTCGTTATTTTTTGGTGGCGCAAGACTATTGTTAACATGCATTTAAACGTATTTCAAAAGTCCATGCTGGGCTTCAACTGCTATGCGAAGATCCTCATACCGGCGTAGGTCCCACACTGGCAGCCCTACTCAATGGTACACCAATTGATCCAATAGACATCCTGATACTAAGTTCGATTCGATCTTAGCAAAGCTCTAATAAAGTCATTATTTTCGTCCGTCAATCATCCAGGAACGCAGACATCCTCCGAGGCAATTCGCATTTTAAGCGAATCTCTCAAGTCTATGATCAATACGGCATCCAGCGAATCCGCCAAGCTTGCGTTTTCAATTGACCGGATACCTGTTCCACCCTCCTTGACAGACAAGCCTCGTCAGAGACTGGAGTGGCTCGTGCTGTCGTGTCTCGTACCTCTGCTTGCCGTTCCTTCCTTGTCGACAATTCATCGTGATCTTGTTATTAAGGCGCTTCACGTTGTGAGGCTCGCTTTGTCTCTCTCCGAGGACGCGTCTCAATTCATAGTCGCACCAGGGATACCCCAAAGGACAAATGGATTTCATCGTGCTGTTTTGGGGATATTGAAGGGTAAGGATTTACATTGACGATACCATATCCAGTTGAATTGAGTGAATCGATGTTGAATGACAAATGAGAACTATTCTGTTCCGTTCTATTCTACTCTTTTTTTTTTTTTTTTTTTTTTTCAGAGGTATCTCTTTTCTTGAAATCGAAGAACTTGACTTTTCCATCCGATTGCACGGTGAAAATGAGCGCGATCAAAGGCGTACCCGGATACGAGATCGATCCGGCGTGGATGGCCATGCGATTTTCTAGTCTCGAGGACGCCGTACGAGTACTGTGCTTTCTACTGCCCTTTCTTTGTCCAGAGATCGACAATAACGGGTCACCTGCCTATAAGGACGACGAAGAGCTGAGAATTGATCTGCTGGCGCTTACCGATTCCTTGCTCAAGACGTTTCTTCCTGACGGAGATCTTGCACGAAGGGATCGAACCGGAATCCGCCAGATATCGGCAAATCCGACTTCGATTTTACAACTTTACCAGGCTTGCAGTCATTGCATTCTAAAGACGGTCTACCTTTTAAATGCGGATAACCGGCTATTCACATCGCTGGCTGAATCGCTTATGAGGATTCTCTACCATCATATCATGACCATCGAGGATCGATGTAAAGAATGGAGCATCGCATTCGGTACTAGAGCAATGGCGCCCAAAGTCAAGCTTGAGAACTTTTCTAGCACATCCAAACATGTTGCGATGCCCGCTATGACCGTGAAGGACTGCAGAAGCGAGATGCCGGCGGTGACAGCCCTTGAGGTTCTCCTAGCCAAGAGTTTGATGGCTGTGATGGAGTGCGCATTCGAGTCGTTCCCGGACACGGTTGAATTGCGTGAGATTCGACCATTACTGGCCAATCTTCTGCTTTCCGAGCAACTTTTATTACTGAATGAAGATTCGAGCGGCAGGAGTGTACAGGTATGCCCAAGAAAATGTCTTTCTTTTAAGTGCTTTTTGTAATTCAGCTGTGCAATAGGCACTTAACTCGATAATATATTGATGATATATTGATAATGATCATTTAGCGCGCGATCTTCCTGTTGATGAACAAGATGGTAACATCCGGCGCCTTCAAGGACCCTCTGCGTGCAGTAGACCATGTGCTATCCTACTACACACATCTCGAACTCGATTTGCTTGTGCGGTTTGTACGGACATGTATTGATTACTGGAGGGCATTGGGTGGGCGCGACTTGTTGAGGGAAAGCCATCGCGAGAATGGAATAGTGACGAATCCCAAGACTCCTCAGGAGCAGGCCTTTGGGGGGTTTGCTATCAAGAGACCCGTAGATGAAGCAGATTATGATCAGCACCATCATGGGTACGTTTACTTGTCTTTTCATAATTCTATAATTTGGTCCGCAGCGTAGTACTCATCCTTCCTTTTTAAATTAATACCCCTAGCAACCTGGACTTGAAAGGAAAGCGTGTTAGACGGAGCAGTCCGATCCCCAACTCGCCCTCGATAGAATCGACAAACTGCTCAAGCATATTGTCGTACTCGCAGTTCTCACAGAGAATTGCCATGCCGAACGTAGCTGAGGATAACATGCCTTCGCCATCAGCGCTGCTCCTTTCGATGTTCAAGCGGCTCGTTAGCACTCAGGCGCTTAGCTACACCGCCAGTCAAGGGTCAAGAGGAATTCAGGTGCTTCTGAAAAAATAATATAGCGCCATCGATCGAGATCATTTTTTGTTTTCTTCATATCACAATGCTAACCTTTGATATCGTGCCTTTAGCCCCCACTCACCATAGAAGATCTAAAAGCGGCGGTAGTCGTCGTACAAGTGTGGGCAATGTTTGCTTTGGACAGGAGCTCTACGGAGGCTGGCAAGGGTGTCGACCAGCTCACTACCCTTGTTGAATCCATCGGAAAATACTACATATTATGGGCACTGAGTCCAGGGATGCAGGTAAGTCATGACTATGAGCGGTGTTTTACGTACCATGTAAGATTATTGTCCACGTATGTTAACGTTCGGGCTCCTCTTTAAATGCTTTTCTCTTTCCACTACGCAGGATCCGTCCCGAAACCTGTCCTATCTCGAATCCTCATTCCCCCTGATGCTGGACCTCATCGCTCCGCTAGCCCTGATCCGTAAGTTTTCGTTATTAATTGGTCAGCCAAGTAAGGATGGACTTAAGAAGCTGTAGCTAAGGCACTCGCGCTTTTACTGTACAGAACTGAGCGATTCCCTATGTGCTTTGCTCATATGCCTCGCATCAGGACCTTGGTTTGCCGAGCTCTCCGCTCCGGAGCTCTGGCGCAGCACAGAGGGTAGCATGAATATTGATGAAATTACTGGCCGCCAGCAACTGGCGAATGGTCTCCGCGTGATCACCGAGGGAACAGAGATCCTTTCGCGCCTGCGAGACAATCCTGATATCCTTGGATCCTGTCAAGGATTTGCCCAAAATAGTCTTAAAGCCCTGAGAGTCATGTCAACCTTCTCACAGTGTCCCCAGCTCGATGTTTGGCGCAAGGATATCACAGTGCGCAGTCTCAGGGACCACAGCAACGACCGAGCGCAAGATACTGGTCCCAAAAGTTCATCTGGATTGGTCATTGCGGCACTGGAATCATTCGCCGTGCTGAGCACTCGTTGCCCAGAGCTCAAGTGGACAGTGAGATCCGCACTAGGGTGAGGGACAAATATTGATGTTTCTATGCAGCTGGGAGCATTGTAGCTGTTTGTGTGTACTCATTTTTATTTTATTTTTTTTTGGGGGGATACGTGTGTGTTTACATGTCGTTATAGCTACTTGGCGCTGAGCGAACACTCGGAAGAAACGAAAATAACGCTCGCGTACTGTATGGGAATCATCGCTTGCGGCAGTTGTTCTACCAACCAACAGCATGGTCCAAAATATACCTACGATGCATTGAACCAGCTATTCAGCTCGAACTGGATTTGCCAGGATTGCGAACTGCCTTCGAATGGCTTGAAGGAAAGGCTCCAGGAAAAAGCATGGCCGTCTACCGAGCATTTGGATCCCAAGTTTCTCGACTCGTTTAAGCAGTTGATTCCAAACTGCGTATCAGTGAAACCACGTCTGGCTCTTCTTCGCGGTCTTTATCGCGTTTTTTGCCACCTCAATCTAGTGGACTGCGATCTAAAGTCTTTGGACTTTGGCTCATTTTTATTATCCAATTTATGCGACCCAACTGAGGCCATCAGGCGTGCAGCTGGGTAAGGGTATACCCTGGATGTTAGGCGAATATTGATGTAGGCGTACGTAATATTAACCACTTCTTCATTCCACATTGTCGTTTTATTTGATATTAGAGACATTGCAGAACTCGTGGCGATGAGAGCAGGATCAAGTCTCGCGGATGATCTTTTCGGGAAGTCAGGTCTTGAGGATAGTCTTGGGCGGATCAACGAAGCGATTTCAAAGGGCTTTAGTGCTGCTTCAAGAAGCCAGCGAGGTGCATGGCCGCTTCAGTTATGCCGGCGAATAATGCGCCATCTTCCAGAGGACCACCTGATATACCGCGGTCTACTTATCAAGTTGATTGATCAAGCATTCACAGAAAAGAATTTCATACGGTCAAGTTTTGTCTTTGACCAGGTAAATATCAATATGTTCTTCAGATGAAAAGTACATCGACACCAGGACTAATTTCTCAAACAACAATACCATCTTTTGACAATAGTTGTCCCTAATAGCGGAGGACAAGGGTCTATCCAATTACCGCTTTATTCGCCCGCAGATGGAGTACGTATGCACAAGGGTCTTGGAGAAACTCGATGGAAAGCAGGACCAATGGCTGGAGGCACTATTCTATCCATGGACCGGATTAAGCCCGACAGGATTTATCGAACCGAATTTGCCAGAACTTGTTCCAAAGATGATCCTTCTCCACAGCCGTAGCCTCATCGAGAAGGTGGCCTCAATTTTCAAGGAACCCGCTGACGTTCTCTGCATTCGACAACTGGATCACATTTTAGCTGCAATCTATATGCAGCTTAGCGACGAACATTTCCAGCCCTGCATACAGCTCTTGCTTAACCTTATTTCAAAGCCTCTGGGCATCGCCGATTTGACTACACTTTCCACGGAAGGATTACTCTGCTGCCTCAGCGTGGAACTTGGCCACGAGGATCCATTGAAACGCGACAAGGCCAAGAAGGTCATTGAATTTGTCGAGGAAAAAGTTTGGGAAAATTCCAAGCGGGAGCAGGCGGCTCAAGGAAAGGTTGCGGAGAGACCGCCTTTGGCGCTGTTTCTGAGACGACACGTCCTCGCGATCTTGGCCGAAATGAACAATGCAATCCAGGATACGTCGCAGATAGTGCCACTACGAACAAAGGCGAAATACCTCCGCAGCCTTATTCCTTTGGTGCAACTATTGGATCCAATCCAAAACTCAGTGCTTTCTCAGGTATATGATCGTCTTTCTGTTTCTTTTTTATTTCATGTTATTTTCTTCGCTGGATAGTATATGCGCATGCTAATCCATGGTGGTATCTGTAGATTTTCTCACCACTGGATATTGCACTGAATACCCGAGGCCTGCGACTCCATGCTCTTCTAATGCTAAATGGTGTCCTTCATCTGGTCAAGCCCGCGCAGCTTGATGGAGTACTCGGTCATGTAGTCCACACTATGATTAAGTACTATCCCAGCTCCAACGAGAAGGAGCGTGCAGTCGAACTGGAGATCCTACAGTTCCTCATTTTGCAACTTCAAGTGGAGTTGGGCGCTGTCTTACCCGATGTCAGATATCTACCGGATCTTCCAGAGTTTGAGGAAATGAACAGAGTTCTCAAGGAGGTCAAGACACGTTTTGAGTTCGAACCACAGCTCAAGCGCCTGATCGACCGCTCTGCGGACGAGCGCGCCGAGTTAGCAGAGCAGGCGATATTGGAATTGCGAGAATTCTTGTTGGCGCATGAGCACCAACTGCTGGAAATGACCACAACCAAAGACAAGGATGTCGCCCCTATCGTAAATGATTTGATCCGCGCCCTTTTGTCTGGGATCGGACGGTTCAGAGGATTGGACGCGCCAGTTCCTCGTCGATGCATAGAATGCCTAGGAATTATTGGAGCCGTAGATCCAGCCAAGTTATCGACAATGCGGCTGATTCCGACTCCACCAGGTCATACGAACTTCAACGATCCAGAGGAGGCCAAAAACTTTGTTTGCCGGCTGATCGAGGTGCAGCTCGTTGGCAGAACCCGATCAATTGGCGACATCACCTCAGAAAGCCAGTGGGCGTACGCACTCCAGACCCTACTGTCGTTTTGTGGCATCAAGTCGGGCGTACTGGAGGCAACGATGGAAGTACTGACGCCGAGGCGCTCACTCCCGGGTGCGCCGTCCTTCAAAACTCCTGCAGATCGCTGGAAAGCATTTCCACGCCATGTGCAGGAGGTCTTGGAGCTTTTGATTGATGCCAAATATTCCAAGCCAAATTCGACCGACCAGCGGACCTATCCTAGTCCTCTCTACCCTCATGTCGGCACCTTCAAAGAGTGGCTCACGTTTTGGACACTTGCGCTAATTGGAAAAGTCTCTGGTCGGTATGCTAAGGAGATCTTCCAGGCTTGCAAGAGCGTTGTTCCGTACGACACCAACACGTGCTTGTACATATTGCCACATCTGGTCCTACTTATTTTACTGGAGGGAACCGAGAACGATAGGAAAGAGATTGTGGAGGAAATGGCTGCTGTTTTAGGAAGCGGCAGAAGCTGGAGACAGGAAGGCGTGGAACAAACGCTCGCTATATCAAAGCAATCATTTAGCGAGCTCAATCAACTCGGATCGCAGGTATGGATTTTTTTTTTTTAAAGCAAAAGTTTTTTGAAGTCCCTAATTAGCCGTTACGTTATTTGGATGTATTAGACGGTCTTTGGGCTCTTTGATCATATCTCGAAATGGATCCAATTGAGAAAAGCCCCAACTGGCAAGACTCCAACTCCTCGGGGCCACCCGACAGCGAGCGATCTGTCTCAAATCGCGGCGAGGGCGCAGGACCCTACGGTCAACATTGTACAAGCCCATTTGACATCTATTTCTCACGACGTGATAGCAATGGCCTCGTTCAAGTGTAGGGCATACGCGCGCTCGCTTCTCCACTATGAGCAATGTATCCGTGATGCGAGACAACAGCGGGAGCTGACAGAACTGGATTTTCAGACTCTATACGAGAAGCACCAGGAGATTTACGCTCACATGGAGGAACCGGATGGGATGGCCGGGATTTCAGGCCTGATCACAAGCGGCAGTCCGACCCAGAACCTCCTTCAATGCGAGAGTGCTGGGGGCTGGATTGAAGCGCAGGCATATTATGAACTAGGACTTCAGGCAAATCCAGGAAAATACGAGAATCACGCAGGCCTGTATAAATGCCTTGAGAACCTTGGACACTTTAGTAAGCATATTTTACGCGGCAGTACTGGATGTTTAGAAGATCAAAGGGTGTTTAATTTTCGGAGCGGATTACTGATTGTCATATGATTCCAATAGATACGTTACTAACTGGTGTCGAAGGGGACATCCAGACACATCCTGAATGGGAGCAGCAACTTAACAACTGGCGGATTGCGTCGGCCTGGAAAGTGCAGAATTGGCAGTCGTTGGAGGTGGCCCTCTCCCGATCTGTGCACTCGAGCTTTGAAACTGGGCTGGGGCAGCTGGTTCTCGACCTTCGAGATAACAGAGTCGTGGAGTTTGAGGAACATCTCCAGCAAGTCCGTGCTATGCTGATTGCGCCTCTTGCCGCTGCTAGTATGGAGAGCTACGCTCGCGCGTATGAACATATAGTTCAACTTCACATGCTGCATGAGCTGGAAGTCGCTTTCAGAAGCTGCAATTTGAATGTCTCGCCGTCGAATAAGCTAGGATCCCAGATTGTCTTGTCCTTACAAGAAGGAGAAACCTACGTTAGTCGACTGCGGCTGTACGAGCCGACCTTGGAAAGAAGATTTGAATCAATGGCACCTTCTTTTAGGCTGCGTGAACAAGTCGTTCGATTGCGCCGGGCCGCTTTCTACGATATCAGGTATGCAGTAAAGCGCAGGAAGAGATGTCTTTATCCTTTAGAAGCCCTAATAGGGCATGCGAAAATTACAGAATGGCTCCGCAAACGAGGCTAACCATATCAAAAATATGTTTGCCTGATTGTCAACCCGACAGAATCCCGACAGTTGTCTCGTACAGCGACTTAAATTACCTGAAAGAGTCCTGTGGACATCTCTGGCTCGAGTCAGCCAGGGCAGCTCGAAAGTCCGGTAATAGCCAGGTCTCATATAGTGCTATGCTCCACGCGGAGGAGTTCAAGAACCACTCCGCTGCTATCGAACGTGCCAAGTGGGAGTTCATCCATAAACATGAGCGTCAAGCGATCAAAACCATTGACTCAGCACTGAAGCGGTCACTTGTACCAACAGGCCCTTCCGTGGCTGCTACCACACGGGCGATATCCTCCTCAATCACCAATCGTCTGAGACAGACATCGAGCAGTGGTCGCCGCGCGGCTCCTGTTTTTAACACGGAATTGCAACGGGTGCAAGATCGAGAGATAGACAGAAGTCAGGTTGGCTATATCCGCGCTAGGGCACATCTGCTAAGGACGCGGTGGGTGGACAGAGGCAGCCTTGTCAGTCCCAATGACATCTTAGAGGGGTACCGACAGGCAACAGTCGAGTGCGACTACTGGGAAAAGGGATACTATGCTGCCGGACAGTACTTCCTGAAACTGTATGAGGGCACTCGGCGTTACAAGGCCCGTCCACCGACTCTTGGGTGAGTTCTGTGGATTCTAAATCGAATCTTGTTTGCACTTCTCGATGGCATTTGTACTGAATGGCATCAAACCCATGTTTAATAGGTATTTAACCACCGCGTGTCGTCTTTATGGCAAAGCCTTGACGCTCGGACCAAAGTACCTGTACCAAGCGCTGCCCAGGCTACTGACATTCTGGCTCGATCTGGGGTATCAGGCAATATTGCCCAAGGCGGACGCTGCTAGTATCGAATTCCAAAACGTCAACAAACTAATGGAGGGATTGGCGGGGTACCTACCCGAGTACATGGTACTGAAGCGCTCGTGCGTGCCTGTTTTCTGCTTCTGGACATCTTTGCAAAAAGCCGCGAAAAACCTCTGTTCTGACGCTCTTCTGGTTTTGTTAGTTTTTGTCTGCGTTCCCGCAAATTATCTCACGCATTTGTCATAAGAGTCCGGACGCATTTGGGGTGCTGCAGCATATCATTGTCAACGTTGTGCTTGCATTCCCCGACCAAGCAATTTGGCAGATGGTCTCAGTCTCAAGGTCGGTCGTCGGTGAGCGCAAGCGCGTTTGCAACAAGATCCTTGATAACGTTCATCTTCGACCGCAGATAGGCGCAGCCACTGTGGAACAGATCAAAGAGGCTCTCGATCTTTGCGACAACCTGATCGCGCTTTGCATGGCACCCGTGCCGGACAAGGTTGATAAGCTGAGCTTGGAAAAACATTTTAGCAGGCAGTACTCGCAGCTTAGACAGCACTACAATGTGACGGTGCCTTGTCAGCGCGCTTTATGGCCAACCCTTCCAGAGTCGAGTGCGACGGTTGCTTCGCATCAGCCATTCAAGTCGAACCTCCCCAAGGTTGAACGTAAGGTTTCTGTAATGCCTTCCAAGGAATTCTCAGAAAATATCCAAAGACAGTATTAACCATAAATGTTCTTTGCAGGGTTTATGGATGAGGTTGAAGTCATGTCCTCGCTGCAGAGACCTCGTAAGATCACGATCGTAGGAAGCGATGGGGTGAATTACACCTTCTTGTGCAAGCCCAAGGACGACTTGAGAAAGGACGCAAAAGTCATGGAATTTAATGGCCTCGTCAACATGCTGCTCAGGAAGGATAGGGAGGCGAGCAGAAGAAATCTCTGTAGGATATTGTTAATAGCAAGGCAGTGGGATTTGCATTTATGAGATTTACCTAACTCGATATTGTTCTTTTTCGATTAGACATCCGGACGTACTCTGTAATCCCTCTGAACGAAGAGTGTGGACTGATCGAATGGGTTCACAATACTATCCCGTTCCGACACATTATGCAGAAGCAATACAAGATCAATAACGTGAATTTACTCTCGGTAAGTCCGCCAAGGCACATACCCAATGCTGAGAAAGCGTTATGAACCATAAATCTAATGATAATTGCCCTACATCGGATAGATCGCGGAGATCAAGAGAATTCTGGACCACGAAGACCACGTCAGGATGTTTGTCAAGGACCTGCTACCCAGATTCCCGCCAATCTTTTATCAGTGGTTCATCGATATATCTGCTGAGCCAACCGCTTGGTTTGAAACGCGTCTCCGATACACGCGCACTACTGCTGTCATGTCGATGGTCGGATATATTATGGGGTAAGATGAAAAAGGACTACATTATGGATGTATTTTCGAGTGCCTAGCTCATCATGATTACTACCTATCGTGTTCCATTGCTTCATTACTAGACTGGGCGACCGCCATGGAGAGAATCTGCTGTTCGATGATCGGAATGGGGACATTGTCCATGTTGACTTTAACTGCCTCTTTGAACAAGGCAAGACCTTCCCCAAACCTGAAAAAGTCCCTTTCCGACTCACGCAGAATATGATCGATGCCATGGGCCTCTCAGGATACGATGGAGTGTACCGTCTGGCATGCGAGCAGACACTGCAGGTGTTCCGAGACAACACCGAGTCGCTCGTATCCGTCCTCGAGGGCTTCATTCACGACCCGTTGGTGGAGTGGTCCAAGAGCAAGCGACGCGGTCAACAAATCCAACAGGAAGCTGCCAGGGCGGCGGCGGTATCTGGAATAGGGGATTCTGTAGTTGGGGACGGCGGCGCTTTGGGCGGGGCTGACGAAGTCCGGGCCCGGTTGAGATCCAAGGCCAAGGCTGATGCTGCAGTAGTGGCGGCAGCAGCAGAAGTGTCGGACCCACAGCAGAATGAGAAGGCGCAGGCCATCCTCACAATTATCAAGCGCAAGTTGAGCGGTACCGAGAGCCCGAACATGTATATGCTCTCAGTTCAGGGGCAAATTGAGGAACTAATCCAGTCAGCAACCAGTGCTGACAATCTGTCGAAGATGTATATCGGCTGGTCCGCATATTTGTGAGGAGAGATTGCTGTGTAGAAGCATACTAGAGTTTATGATAATAAATCCCCAGGTTTTTGAATATCTCCTATTTTTTAGATATATGGATAAAAGTGTCCACGGCGTATTTGTCGAGGCGATCTTGTCGAGGGAGCAACCATATCCCAGGAGCCTGGTCGAAAGAGTAGTGCTGTTTACCATTTCATTTTTCGGTCAAGGAACGTCAAGGAGAAGCGAGGTTGTTGTGACAATGGTGGCGATAGTGATAATCAGTGGGCGAAGTAGTTATATTGGTGCGATGTGCTATTTCTTGAGCGAGGTGGATATCGACCAGCGGCTGAATTACCTACTCTAGTGTAAATTTCTGAAATGTGATATAAACCTCTAACATTTTATTCATAATCGAATTACAGTCCAGTAAGCTAGACTATTCTAAAATATACTTATTGTTTTGGAGTCTACTGGTTGTATCGCAGTCCTCTATGCATAGTAGTAAGGTCGATCGAAGACATGGAACCGATGGTTTCGCACTCCCTCTCCGTAGAACATGGATGGATATCGCATGCCCTTGGGTACATGCTGCTCGGGGATTTGCTCGTACGAAACCTGTTTCTTGAACTCTTCAAGCGGTACACGACGATGTTCACCACTTGGGCGTAAGTCCTCCAGGACCTGATACTTGCCAACCTGGATCTCTGTATCCGTAATACCTCCATGTGAGACACGCGCATATCCAATGCGCTTGACACCGCGGAAGGCGAGGTACTCGCACCATCGATCCCAATCCGAGACCTCGATATCGTGCATCCTACCGCCATCCATGAGCAGCTCATAAATCTCCTCACCCTGGCCAGGTTTGGTCACGACATATCCCAAGAACAAGAACGGGTTGTTGGATTCGCGCATGATCCGGCCGAGTTCGGTCGTCTGAAGTTGGCGATCTCGAAGGTCCTCCTCCTGTCCGTTGTGGGAGACAATTACATCGACTTCTTTGCCGTAGACATCCAGCGTGGCATGGATAGCGCAGGCGAGCTCGCCCTTGGGTGAGGGCAAGAGGTGGTGAGTCGACTGTTTGATGGGGAACTTTGACAACATGGTGCATCCCCAGGTGTGTTTCGTGGGTCCGGGACCATAGTCTGCATACATGTTTAGATCCTCAGCCAAGAATTGTGTCAGGTCGCGGTTGCCCATGATCATTCTCTGCAGATCCGACTCCAGCAAGCCCACAACATCCAGCTCTAAATCTCGGATAGCGTCTCGCATGCGCACCTCGCTGTTGTACATGTCGTTGTCGATCGCAAAATGGATAGTCCATATTCCTGCAGTAATCAGTTTGTGCTCTGGGTGGTAGGGCTGAGGGGCTGCGCGTGGGATTCGGCGCAAACAGACAAAGACCGAGGAGAGTACCAAGATCGCTAGCGTGATCTTTGTGTACAGACGGACGATCGAAAATGTGGATCGCTTGCGGGTCCCAGAAATTAGAGGCCATATGGTCGAGTTGGCGTTGCGAATCCCAAACCAGAGACAACCCTGCATGACCAGAAGGACGTAATCTGTGTGCTCCCTCATGATCTCTCCACCGGGCACGAAAGCATAGGCGACGACCCAGACATGTGCTAGTGCCAGGGCATTGTAGACCATCATGGCTAACAAAAACGCACGACCTGGAGGTTGACGGCTCAAAGAGCGGAAGATTGTTGGGAAGAGTGATAGCACAAAGACCGTAAAGACGATCCCACCAAAGAACCCAATATCGCCCTCGATGAAATGCAGGAGCGCCAATCCTGCAGATCCCACACAAAACCATGGAGTTGAAATCACTAATTGACGTTGAGATGATAACATGAGTCCTGCAGTCATAGCAATAATGACCATGAATCCTCCAGCAATAGGCTGAGGGCCCGTATTTGGATATCCGCCCAATGACCAGCGACTGATTGTCGCGGCCTCCGTGTACATAGAATGCAGGCAGAACAGGTATCCCCCGCCACCAATAGCTGCCTTGATCCAGCTCTCGTCCTTCTTGGAGCTCTCGATCGATCTGGCTTCGTGCTCATACGGTTCCTTGCGCACCATGACCTGAATGCTCGCCAGAATACCCAGAATCAATCCCAGTAAGTTCCGTCCTCCGTTGCTCGAGTTCATGATGGGCCAGATCGGGTTATTGGCCCACCAGGCCTGCTTGACAACATTGTGCAAAATCAATCCTAACGCCAAAGCCATCACCCCACGCTCAGCCCTCCCATTCTGATGGCGCTGTCCGAACAATGTTGCACCCCAGGTGAGCATCGAGAGCGAGACACCAGTAGCGACTGCCATGAGACGATAAGCTGAATCAAAAATCGAGTAGGAAAGAACACCAATCAATGAAAGCAGATGGAAGAGCCCCTTGGATCGGTCGATTGTCCTGCGAAGACCGTTGAAGCCCAACAAGCCGGCGGTGACGTTGCAGAACAGGAACAGTTCGTATCCAGAAAGACCCATATGCCAAAGTGGGAAATACCATATCATCAAGGGTAGCGAGGTCAGCATTGACCAAAAGATGAATCCTGCCGAGGTATTGAATAAATCAGAAGGGGATTGTGAGGAAAAGAGTAATCAAAGCAGTTATTTCGAATCTGTCGCGCAAAAATAGGACCATGCAGCATACCGAGATACACATCAGCAGCAAAAGAGAGCGCATCCGCAGGCTTGATCTGACCGAAGGCTGTGTTGGCCTTGCCGCCGCTTTTGCCAAAAGACTTATTTATGCCCCCAAAGGTCCCGCTACTGTTACCACCAAACGTCTTGAGGTCGTTGAAAGCACCGCCAATAGCATCATGACGCCCACTTATGCCCACGTCGACAACACGGAACTCGAAGGCCTCAAAGTCGATAATACAAACAGCATCAAACCCCAGATCCGAGACGATGAGCGACCACTCAAAAAATGCATAGTAGGTGTAAGCTAAGCACAGTACGAGAGGTAATATATCAATAATATGTTCATGTGGCATATCAGGTTTGGATGAAGTACATACCTCCAATAAAATGTCTAGTCAAAACAACTGTCTTTCTTACCTCCAGGGACGTGATGAACGTTATGCTGGATGAAAAAATAGACCATTGGAATGAGCGCCCCAAAGAACGTGTAGGCGAACATGCGGCGATACTTCTGTGCCTGCATGTTCTGAGGTGCGCTCTTGATGGTTCCAATGACGTGAGGCACCGTACAGAGCAGATAGATGATCATCGCAAAGTCATGGATCGCATGGTCGTCCGAGGATGTTACATAGACCCATCCGCCACATGCAACTGTCCTGATTATGTCGTTTGCGAACAGCAACTTTGCGAAACCCGGCGATCCATTTGCGGGAACATTGCGCATGATTAGTAAGTACCAAACGTAGCACAATAATAGCCGAGGACCTACATCGATGTCGATGCAAGCACCCAGGGTGCGGTTAGGATGGCTGGTGTATGCTTATATGACAATGAATGGAATGGGCTGAAGTCCTCTTTCGTTGTACAACAATAATCGCACGTTACGTACCGGATGCGAGGGCTATGAAGATCTGGCAGATGTTTCTCTCAGGATACCAATCCCCTGTTGTTGCACTGACACTTGGGAACCATTCCTATATAATCAAACACGACTTCAGTTTTGCGATCTTTCCAGTGAATTGGGAGCGATGGAACATTTCGAGGCATCACGGCTACTGAAATACATCTTCATCCTCCTTCGCGCGTCCCCACTTACGTCTGGATATCCCGCAACACCGTTGGTGACAATCTTGTAGTAATGGCCATAGCACCCAATTATGAGGGCTAGCAAAAATGCGGCTAAATGATTCCGCGCGTTAAAAAAAAAGAAAGTTTCATTCAAGAGAACGGAATATACTACGAACCGCAGTGGAGTGTTGCTCGAGCGTCAATAGTCCAGAGCGGTCGAGACGAAAATAAGAAGGTGCTTTTGTTTTTTACAAGCTGGAGGACGCACCAGGCTGTGGTTGTTGTTGTCCCATTGCCGTGGGCTGTAGTTCCACAGAAACTGAAATATGGAAATAGCGCCTCCTTCCTTGACATTAAGTTCCTGCATGTGATTTCACTCATTCCACAGAAAAGTGATTCCCTTTGTGATTCGAATGTCCATGCTCACTTACAGGCACCGAAGAGGGTTTGAGCAAGGGGAACTGTAGTCGCTGGAATCTATATTATTATATCAAGAGCAGCCTCGCGTTAAAATACGGATCCTAATTACTCGTAAGAAATATAAAGATTTCCGGATATACGGATATATGCTTACCCTGGAGAGGATGGCGCCCTTCTTGTCTGTCAGGTAGACCATGGAAGATGAGGATGCACAGCCAGCAAGAGCAAAACAGGGAAGGCGAGAGAAGGAGAGCGCGTGGGTTGTGGATGCAGGTAGGAAGGAAGGAAGGAAGGAGGGAAGGAAAGAAAGGTGGATGAGGCGTAAAGAGGATAAGGAATTCGTAGCACCACATCCTGTGGAACAGGGACGCCACCAATCATTTTCAGGCACACAGTCCACAATCTTCGATTCAGGAACAGGACGGGATTCTCCTGTTTGTGCTCGCGTGGTTGGAGCGGTAAAGTACATTTGGTTTTTGTTTATTTTGCCATCTGTCCCTTAACGATGAACAGTGGTGGAATCTGGGTATGATGAATATTAGCCCCATGAATATCCCCCGTGAAACACAGGGAAAAAAAGAGATGGTGTTTTTGACCACGAAGAATTATCGAAAGATGAACAGGATGCAGTGAATAACAACGGAGTACGAGGTGTCAATGAGAAAGAGAAAAGTAGAAAAAAGAAATATTTACATGATGACGCAGGCCTTGCTGTTCTTCTTCTCCTTCTTCGCAGCCTCAGTCTTGGAAGCCGCAGCAGTAGAAGTAGCAGCGACAGCAGGCTTGACCTCCTCAGCAGCTGTGGGCTTGACCTCCTCCTCAGCAACTGTGGGCTTGACCTCCTCCTCAACAACAGCGGGTGCAGGCGTGGCAGTGACCGCTGGGGCGTCCTCCAACTTGACGGCGTCTGCAACCTTAGTCGATGCCTCAGCGACGGCAGTGGTAACATCGGCAACAGCTCCAGTAACCTTCTCTGCAACAGTGTCCTTGACCTCCGTAGCACTTGCAGAAACCTCGGCCACGGTCTCCTCCACGGCCTTTTGAACAGCCTGCTTCTCAGCGGCAGCCTTCTCCTCAACCTCCTTCAAGTTGGCAGCCACAAGAGCAGCCTCGGCGTCGGCATTAGCCTTGAGATCCTCAGCCAGCTTCTGAGCAGCAGCCTTGGCCTCTGCAGCGACACGGGCAGCCTCTTCCTCGACCTGACGCTTCTTCTCCTCAGCAACACGGATAGTCTCCTCCTCGGCAGCCCTCAACTCTGCAGCGGCCTTCTCAGCAGCAACACGAGCGGCCTCCTCAGCAGCGTGCTCTTCCTCGGCGGCTTTCTCCTCGGCAGCCTTGAGCTCGGCAGCAACGCGTGCAGCCTCCTCTTCAACCTTGCGCTTCTCCTCGGCAGCAATACGGGCGGCTTCTTCCTCAGCAGCCTTCAACTCTGCGGCTTCCTTCTCAGCAGCAATACGGGCAGCCTCCTCAGCAGCGTGCTTTTCCTCGGCGGCTTTCTCCTCTGCAGCCTTGAGTTCAGCAGCGACACGGGTTGCCTCTTCCTCAGCCTTGAGTTTAGCCTCAGCCTCAAGACGAGCAGCTTCCTCCTCAGCAACGCGCTTCTCCTCAGAAGCCTTTTCCTCAGCAATACGCTTCTCCTCTGCGACACGAGCAGCCTCCTCCTCAGCAGCAGCCTTGGCTTCCGCCTCCAGATGAGCAGCCTCTTCTGCGGCCTTGCGCTTCTCTTCAGCAACCTTTTCCTCAGCAATGCGGTTCTCCTCAGCAATGCGGTTCTCCTCGGCAATGCGGTTCTCCTCGGCAATGCGGTTTTCCTCAGTGATCTGCTTCTCCTCTGCGGCCTTCTCTTCCGCAGCCTTGGCCTCAGCAGCGACACGTGCCTCCTCCTCCTCAGCGGCGCGCTTCTCCTCAGCCACCTTTTCTTCAGCAATGCGGTTCTCCTCTGCGGCCTTTTCTTCCTGCTCCTTGATCAACTCCTCTGCAACAGCAATGGCGGTTTCCTCGATAGTGGCCTTGGGGATGACGGGGGTTGCCTCTTCCTTGATCCCGTAGGAAGGCACGACGACGGATTGCTCTATAAAAAATAAAAAATAAAAAATAAATACGAGGAAGGTACGAAAGCGAGGTGTGTGAGATATCGAAGAATGTACAACGATCAACCCCAACCGAAACCCAACCCAACCCAGCCAAGGATATTATTATGCAGGATGTTTGTGTGCCATGATCTGCAGGCAATTGAGAGTTGTTCACAGGACAAAAAAGCGAAGCAGTTGAGAGCCATTGGGCGATTTCGATTATGCGTCAATGCTGTCAATGCTGCATTGAATAGCTCTCTCTCTCTCTCTGCAGGTGGTGCCCCCATTCCTCGGGTGCAGAGATAGGACGATAAATGAAATTGAACCAAAAAAAATAATAATAATAATCTTTCAGGTACGGAGATAGGGGATAGTGCCCAATTAACGCAGAGAGGATATGTATGATAAGAGAACAAAACGAAAACGGAAAAAGGAAAGAGCGCCTTACCAATGGTATCAGACATGGTGATAGTGGTGGTAGTGGTGAATGAGTGAATGCGAAATGAGAAGAATCAAAAAGGAATGAAAAAAAAAAAAAAAGAGAGAGAGAGAGAGAGATCAGAAGTGATCAGTTGTTGTTTATTTGGGCCTGAGAGCACACACACACACACGACAATAACCATTTTTATTATCCAAGTGCCGTATTTCGCATGTGCCAATGAAATGGAACGCAGGTCCCTTCCCTCTCCCTCTCTCTCTCTCTGCCCCAGCACCTCGGACAGGCTATCCATCGGATCCCAGTCCGACTTTTTGTTCAGTACGACAGAGTCCCACAGTTCCGCCCTCCCGCCTAGGGTCTAGGCTCAGAATTGCTATTATTACGGCTCGCATGTTTCCATTCAGAATGGTCGGAGCAAATACTGTCTGGATACATTAAGTGATATCATTTCGAGTCTGGCGCCGGACAAGACCTGCCGAACCATCATCAGCCTCTCCTCCTACTTCAGACATGGGGCCTTTGATGACATTCGCCACATTATGATGTCAATGAGAGCGCTCTTTCCGATTCAGTTTCCTTTAATCATGGTCTGATACATTGGGTCAAGAGATTTCTCCATGTCAAAAGAAGGGGAGGACAGTCGTATAGGAACAGATTGCTGGATATGCGTTCATTAGAGCAAAGGAGCATGTCAGGGTCCATTCTTTAGCAAAGGTGACATAGCAAAGAAGCATGATGTTGTCATTGACATTTGAAAACGACGCAGCGCCTCCGCTCTCACTTCTTCTGCATTTACTATTTTTTGCTATGCAATACACGTTGAAAGAAAGCACGCCACTAAGTTAGATTAAAAGATGTTGCCACCATTCTCTCGACTTGGTTTTTATTGGCCAACCCATTCATTCATCCCTTGTTCTGTTCTCAAGCAGATGGTACAGGCACTGTCTTGACCACGCATCCCTCCTTACCACCGTCCACAAACAGCACAAACCGCTTCACACCCGCCAACCCACCATCCTTATCGCTTTTAGCACCCGTACTCGCACCCGTCGACACCGTCGCATAATCGAATCGGCCCACTAGATCAGTGTACCCATCCTTCCAGAACACCGTATCCCTCGGCCCATTCTTCATCTCCGCGTAAACTTTCACATATCCACCACGGATCGCTTCACCCCTACGGCGGTTCTTGTTGTGCCTAACGCGCTTCGCCCGACGAACGTTTCCCTCTCCCTCCTCTTCCTCGCTCAACTCCTCCTCCTTCTCGGCCGCAGACTTCGTCACTACCCTAATCGTGCCAGAAAGCTCCTGCACCTGTACCGAAATCGTCTGCGAGTAGTATGCCTTCCAGGTCTTCGTCGCCGCCGGAGGCACAGTCGTCACCGAGATCATCACGTTCGTGTTCACATATTTGTCCAAAATCGGAACCCTCAACACTCCGACATCCGAAACCGCACGCTCCACCGTATGCTTGTCGACTCCATTGGGCTTCACAAGTCGATAACTTGTCGAATCCGCAGACGACGATGAAGGTGGCGACGGTCGGAACTGAGTTGTAAAAGGGGTGTTATGCTGTAGGTTCTGAAGCCGTGCCTGCATCACTCCATTCGTTCTCCAACCACTACCAGAAGAAGAAGACGCTCCTGCAGCCTGAGACTTGTTCGCCGCAAAGTTGGTCTCGCTCTGGCCTTGATCGCTGAACGTCAGAGGCGAGGCCGAGAACATCGTCTCCGCATCAATCACGTAGTACTCGACCATGACCTCTCCGACTCCACGATGATGGATTACGACTTGACTGTTAGATCCAATCTTGAACTCGACAGTAACAGGCACGGTCTTCTCAGTGTCATCGCCGGTAGAGATCAAAGAAGCCTCCTGGGTCGCGCTTACCATCACAGTGTCATCATCTTCAGCAGAAGCCGGGGTGTCCATCGAGGCTCGCAAAATCTCATCCACGTAAATCTTCATTTCCTTGAACAATCGGTTCCATCGCTGAACTGGGTAGTCCTGATACTTGTCCACAATGACCTGGATTCCTTCTAGATCAAGGTCCGCACCGGTCGTGTCAGTATCCACCTCGACTTCGACGCACAGACTGAGATATGCTCGGAGATAGTCGTATTGGATCTGCTGGAAATTATGTTGGCCTTCCAGCTCGTTCTCGAGATTGCCCTCGGTAACCAAGGCCGATAACTTGACAAAATGGGTCTTGGCCTCGAGAATTCGATCCTGGGCCAGAAGGTAGACGATGAGGATAAGGAGATCATCCACGTCTTGATAAGGTTTTTGACTCAACAGGGTCAAGAACCTCTCGTACTGGGCCTTGAATCGGCCATTAAGAATGGTCGTCTTCTTTGTCGCCTTGTGTGCTGTTTCAAAAGATACCGTTAGTTATCAAGTGCACCCTTAAAAGGTCAGGATATCCTTGCATTTATCATAGCACTAGCTCCTTACCTCGCGCATTGATAAGTGGGAAGTACTCTAGGTAATGGAACGCGTCCTTTACAGACTCGTAGTGGCTCTCCGGTCTACGTGTCAACAAAGCCGACGTAAACCAGTACCCGACTTTTTGCGTAATCTCTTGATTCGCCACGTACTCCCTCACCAGCTGCAGCTGGTACGCCTCATCACCCTTCAGGACCAAACTCACGCTCCAAATGCGGTCATTGTATTCGTGTCGATCCCTTAGCACGCCAGTAACGCGTCTCAAGAATGTCTTGTCGCGATACAACCGCGGGATTAACTGTTCAACCCGCATACCGTCCAAGGGATCAATCGCCAGTTTAGAAAGCACATCCTCTTGACTGCCCCGAGTGAGGACATAGTTCCAAGTGGTGGTGTCGACCGTTTCCTTGGACTGACCGGTGTTAGCTGTGCGAACCTTGAGGACCGACGGTGAAGCAAATGCAACAATGTCCTCATAGTTCGAGACGTGAGCCGGGTAATGCGGAAAATCACCCTCTTCGGGGAAATAAAAGCTATACTCGTACTGGAAGGTCCGGTGCGCTTCCAGCTGAATGTCCTGGCCAGACTCCAGAGGGCTGTGGATAGAGATCGCTCCATAGGGCAGCTGGACTTCAACATGCAGCTTCATAGGGCTTGGTGTTGCGTCTACAGAGTTTACGGAAAATAAAATTGTAAGGAGAGGTAGTCCTTGGCGAGCTGGTTGAGACATATGAGCAGAAATTGCGACACTTACTCATCAGAACGACATGAGCCCCATAAGATATCAGCGGCCTCATCTCAGTGCTAGGCTGGATATATTTCCTCACATTGGTCATCAATTTCGAGTCGTACTCCTTCTGGTCCAGTATTCCAAAGTATTGCTGCGTGATTAGGACCGATCCGGTAATAAGCGTCTCGCTCAGCTCCTAAAGCGTTTTGTCACAGTGTTGAATGCAGTTAGGAATAAAGCATCAAGATAACCAAAAAGTTCAACGTGGAGAACATTATAAGGATAACACATACCTTGGTGGACGAATGGAACACAATCGCAGGCGAGAGCGAAGAGACCGTCAGACTGTGATCAACACTGCGCTTCACAATTGCCTCCTTAGGCTTGAAGGTCACGCCCAGTAGGGCAATTGTTGCCATCGCGGATGTAAACGTCTGTGTATTGACCACAAAGTTCTACGGAGATGGTACGAAGGACACAAAGAATACAGCGTGTTAGTGAGCCATAGCCATATTTTACAAAAGTCTCAACGGGACACGGTATTTCGACGTTACCTGCGACAGGAACGACCCTCCAGAGGACTCATCCCATTCGACAAAGTCCAACCAGAACGCATTTACATCCGTGCTGCTGCTAGTCCCACTCTTATCCTGACGTCCCCAGTAATAGGTCTCGGCCATCTCTTTTGTCAAATCCACGGGCTTGAACTGGCTTTGTAGCTTTTGTTCGGCCTGAATTCTCAACGAGTGGTGTGCAGGGTTTCCAGAGTTGGACTGGCTCTGAGCCGCTGCTCCTGCGCCTCCAAACACAGGTGCTGATGGAGATACGGGTATGTACGGCGGTGAGGTAGGTGAGTACGACGGCGAGGTAGGAGAATACGATACACCATCGTGTAGAGGTGGAGGAGGTGCTGATGCGGCACAGAATAGTGCGCTAGTCATGGGCGCAGCTAGAGCCTGAGGGGCGGGTGGAGCTTGAAAGCCAAAAATTGAACTTGAACCTATTAGATTGAAAGTTGAGCCAAACAGACTGGTATTAGATGCAGCTGCACCATCAACTAAACTGGTATTGGAAGGTGCCGAGTCGCATAAAGCAGTGATAGCCGGACCTAAACCAAAGTCCTCCCTCCCATACCTGGAGCAGCTTGAGTACCAAAACCGCCAAAACCGCCAAAACCGCCACCACCTGGCGCTGATCCAGCCGGCGCTCCAAAGAGACTTGCAGTGGCTACTGTTGAACGTTGAGCGTTCATCACACTGGCCCCTAAAGGGGCACTTTCAACCATCTCAAAGTCTTCAGCCCCCTTGTCTGAACCAGCATCGCCTCCACCTCCTTCAGACCTTGAACCCATGAGGCTGCAAGATATATCATTAGTAGCAAGAAAAGAGCAAAGAGAGTTATTTTTAAGCAACCAAGTAGCGAGGGAGCAGTATCATGAAGATCACTGAATATTAGTAAAAAAAAAAAAAAACTTACTCTACTTCCTTCTCCTTCCGCAAGTCAGGCGAGGAAGGCTTCAATTCCTCGATGGCTCCGGAGTTCATGACGGTCCTGAACAGCTTTACATCACTGGCCACTTTGGTGTTGTGCACTCTGCTTCGAATCCATTGCGCGACCGAGTGCTTGAGTCGAGGGATGCGATGGGCTAGCAGGCACTTTTCCAAACACGACAGAAAGTCAAACTCTTTCAACGCGGTATACTTCTCCAACGATGCTCCGATCAGGTAATCGTCCATAAATGACTTCACCAATTTGTTCTAGAGTAAAGAGGGAAGCAACAATTAGTATAAAATCACCACTGAAAAAAAGAACTGTATTAACGAGCGAGACTGAGCGTTCGTACCTTAATGAAGGGAGCGACGACTTCATCGAAGTAGGGCTTGTCCTTCTTGTACAAGAATAAGTTGAGCTCATGACAATTCCATTTTGAATACTTTTCATCCTTGACTGCCTTCGAGAACCGGTGCCAATCCACAATAAACCCGAACTTTCTCAGGTTCTGTTTGTTTTGTTCCGTTTCCAAGAGTGTCATCATCAGATCATATACCTGGCCCACAGAGTTGATCACACGTACTGCCGATGAAGAGCTCCCACTAGATGCCAAGGTGATACAATGGGGCTCCGTTGAGGCGGCACCAGCGCTGCTGAGCTTGGGGTCCAGATTGATACCGGTCCTCTCACCAATGTAGTGCTTGGTGTGATCCAAAGGACTCCTGAATCGCAGATCCCGCTTTTGTATCGGAGTCTTTACCAAGTCTTGAACCACAAAGAAATCCTGTACAGCCTGAGCACCATCCGTAACGAGAATCTGCAGAAAGCTTCCCTCCTTGATTTCGGTATACGGAACCGTCACGACACTAGTGCTTGGGTCCGGGATTAGATTTGCCAGTACCGCGCTAGGGTTGGCCAGGAAGCTGATCAGCTGAGGTGCTCCATGCGGCAAGAACGAGCGCATGCGGCGAGCACCTCCCTTACCTAGGCCTCGTCCACGATAGGATGAGTTCCCAAACGCAGTAGATTTCCCCCTCACGTTGGCGAGATTTTGATCCGCCATTTCTTGCTCCGCTGCTGTGGTATCTCCAATGCTCTGGTAGGTATTCAAGGCGGTATCAAGAATGGTTGCTAAGCGTTAGCATTTCATTGGCATTGACGCTGCAGCAGCACTTTTTTTTCTTTTTCTTTTTCTTTTTCTCTTTTTCTAAAAGGCGTGGCCTTACCCAAGGGGTCAACAAGACACTCGGCTTAGTCAAAAGGTTTCCAGCCCAATGTTTTGACTGAGCCTTCCTGTTCAGGATGTACTGGTATTCCTCGCCTAGAATCCTGCCTGTTCGATAGGTCGTTGAAGTTCGCTCCGCTTGCTCCTTGCTCCAAAGGCGTTCGAACTCCACGACGGCCATATTTTCGATCATGGGTTTGTTGGGTACGAACTTTGAGGCGATAACACAAACCCTCGTTTCTGGAGTCCAATTATGAACCCTGATATTGATTTTCGGAAGTTGATCACTGTTGTCGACGGTGGTCGGCGACAAGAAGAGAGGGTATTTGGCGCTGTCCAAGATCTCCAGCATAGGATTGGATTCGATATGGAACTTCTCCAGGATGCCCGTTATGTGCTGAGAGGTCTTTGGGTTTGAGATAACCAGATCAATGGATACATCTCCGATCCGCAGGGTGTAGTAGCCCGTGGTCAAGTCTGAGACAGTGAGCATTCCATCCGACAGCTTGATCTTATTCGTAGCATCCTCCAGATAACACCTAATTAAGTTATTGCAGGGCATTAATTCACACACGTTCCTCGGGTGAGAAGGGAAGGTATATAGTAATGACAAGAGTTGCTTACTGATCTGTCCAAGTACCCATGGAACACCTAAAGAGTGACACTGAGCGGATGTAAAATGCGCTCGTTCGGCTACATGGCACGCGCACTGGCTCGCCAGCGATACCATGAATGACATCCGGGTATTTCACTTGAAACTGGAGATCCCAGGAGACATCACTGGTTTTGCAGTCGAAGCTGGTAATCTCCTGCAGATCACCTAAAAGGATAATACCATCTGCATCCGAGCGAAGATATATGTCGAGCGGGTTCGGCCAAATCGGATGATTAAACTCGAACTCCAAGGGAATGTTGGGTCTCTTCTCACCTGTAGTAGCAATCAACAAGAAATAAATAATTTGCTGTGAGTGAGTGCTTCAAGTTGCAACATGGTCTTTGTTCATTCCTACACAGCCGTCATTGTTCTCTACCATTCTTGCCCATGACGAGGATCTCGTAGCCTTTATTGCCATGGTCTGTCTTCCTGAGCACTGTTAAGATCTCTCCATCGATCTGCACATCCTGCTTCTGATTCTTCAGCTGGACGGTCACCACTTGATCTGCGCAGTTTCTACAATATTGGCCACAAGAGTGAGGTAGGAAATGAGTACATTGTTCGCCTTGAATATCACTAACTGGTCTTCCAAATAACCTGCAATTGCTCAAAATATTTTTACTCTTCGATAGAAAAGTCCTTGCTGTCAGACAAGTCCTCGAACTCGCCTGTGGAGAGGACTTTGATCTTGGCTGACAGTGCTAATTTCACCAGACTGAGGTTCTCCGGGACCTGGAATTTGTACTCTGACCAGTCGGCGTCATGGACTTTGAATTCAGGTACCGTGGTGATGCTATCGATGCCATTGGTGTCACTCAACACTACTTCCAGCGAAACTTGCTCCAGCAAGTCCACTGGACAGATCACATCGACACTGTTGATCTTGACAATGGGCTTCAGCAGGATCTTCAATTGTAAAATTGATATGCAAAAGCATTAGTCACTCGCGGTCGAAATTATACATCAAAAAAATCTGTCAAGTATACTTGTACATATCTTTACCTTGGCAATAGATCCAGCCAAGAGAGACTCTTGGTCAACATAATAGGAGAGTGTCATACTATAGGACTCTGCGTGATGAACGAAAGGGCGGCGGTTTGTAAAGTCATTGTGCGTGATGTAAATGTCCTTTCCCGCGTCCGTCGAAGGTTTACGGTATGGAATGACGATGTCTCCATCCTCGTTCGTCTATCAATTGCACGTAGTATATCAGTAGTCAGTGCCACACAGCCCCAGGAAAAACACCGAATTGGGCAACTCGACCTTAATATTTATTCTTCTTACCTGGTAATAAATTCCATTGAGCCAAATACTAACATTTTCAGTGACTTTTTTCATGTTCTCGTCAATGATAGTGAGAATATGCCCAGCAACGCTCTGTCTCTCAATGTAATCAAGATTTCCCTGTAGCAATGGCAATAATACACAGAAGAATGTCCGTAAATACAGCGAACGCTGGTATAATATCAATCAAACTTACACAGAGTCGAGTAGTCTTACCTTGGTGAAATAGGCGGTACTGTTTCCGCCATTGCTGATGACATCCATGACAAACGAGCCTCTACGGTCTGCGAGCTCCGGTAGTTTAATTGTCAGGTCGTGGATCTCGAGGGAAGGATAATCCGATGTCAAAGTGTGCTCCCAGTTCGGCGTCAACCCATCGAGATTCAGGGCTTGACCTACTGGTCCTTCATACTGCTGCAAGTATTCCAATGTCTTGACCTCGAATACGCGCACCAAGATACGCTTGGCATTCTTGACTTTAAGTCTGAATACAACAGGCTCGGAGGGTAGAAATGTCTCAGGGTTGTTTGGTGCAAACTCAATGATGGTTTGTTCCGTCAGCTTGGAGAGGTCATCGTAAAATGGCAGCATGCTCGACCTACAAAGCAGTAAATGTTAACGCTACCCAACTTGGAATATAAGAACATTACGAATCAATTAAGTTTTTTTTTTACCATTTTGCAATATCTTGGTCTCCAGAAGTCAGCATGACCCTGGCCAGCAGAGGATACAGGAAGGAGTTGACCTCAAAAAAGGACTCATAATCTGCAGTGGACTTTTCCTGACGCATGAAATACGAGAGATGTTCCTTCACGACCTCCTCATCGCGCGCCTTTGTCACAGGTTGAACTCGCTAAGAAATAGAGAACAAATAACCAATTTTGATATTAGTATGACCCAGTCGAAATCGGAAAAAAAAGAGAAAAAAAATAAAGAAAGGGAAGAATACTTACGCTTGACCAGAACTCCAAGCGTCGGCTGTTGTTTGTGTCGACAAGCTGATTTTCCTTGGTAGCCCATTTCACCATTTCGTTGTTGTAACTGTTGTGGTTGCGAGGAATACGGATATATCTATGATACAAGTTAACCAATGAAAACATTGGATGTTAGCCTACACTCTTCGGATTACAAACGCATAAGCAACCCATTGATACAACAGTGCTTATACGAGGCCCAGGTTCTTACCCCATGAACTTGTCCTTGTCCATGACTCCTTTTGCAAGATCAAATTCCAAGCTCATCAAGTAGACTGCCATCTTGTACCGATTGAACTTTGGTGCCAGCGTGTCCACAAATTCAACCATCCTCGCCAACCACTCTCCATACACCGCGCCCTGACGGCTTTCCTCCGAGTCCGCAAACACGCGTGGCAGGATGCGTTTCTCGAGCAGGCCCACAAATCCTTCATTCATCATCACACTGGGGACCTGGGTCTTGATCATCTCCAGCTGTGCACTGGTTAAAAACTTGAACTGTCGTACTTCGTGCGTGAAATCCAACTTCCTTTCCTGGTACAACCGCAAGAGCACCTTGACCACCAGCTCGTCGACTCGACTCACGTCGGTCTGACCAACGATAGTAAGGCTTTGAGGGGAACACGTCACCTCCATCATCGCGAATAGCTTCCGTAAATTATCGATAGGCATCACTTGCAGCAGCAGGTTTTCTGCTTTGGGATGGGATAGTACATGAGGCCACGCCAGATAGGGGACACACGTCGATGATGAGAAAGTGGTTAGTTCATCCAAAAGTCGATCTAGAAGGACGCTGGCCTCGATCGCGGAGTTGTCCAATACGGTCGGTAACAAGTCGCAAAGACCCTGTGGGTTCCCTCCCACTGCAGATCCCGATCCCCCTTCCTGTTCCTCATTCTCAGCAGGATTAATGCTGTTCAAGTGCGTCACAGAGTCAGGGTTGAACTTGAGCTGCTCAAGCAGCAACTCTGGCTTGACCGAGTATGCTAGTAATGCGAGCTGCGATCGGAATTGCTTCAGTTCGGGCGTCTTTGGATAATCATCGAGCACTTCTGCTTGACTCAGCAGATTGGTTGCCTCCTCAATTTTCTCGAGCGTGATGGGAGATGACGGGTCCTGCAGTTCCTGAGAGAGCAGGCGCAATCTGAGGAGATAGTATTCAGCTGTGCCTGGGTTGTAGCTCTGGACGAGGTCACGACGCGCCTCGGGGTTGAGGGCGTACTCTTCCAGACATTGCGGGTCGATACCGGCGGCCATTGGTCGTGCTTGCCCAAAGAGAGACATGATGGGTTTCATTGAGCGCTGTAAAAAGAAAAAAAAAAAAAGTAGTATGCGGTAAGAGTACGGAGGATGGGGGTACAAGGTGGGAAAAAAAAAAAAAAATTGAAAATGAGAGGGAGGATGGATGAGGGCCCTTTTTATATCTTTTTTTAGGAAAGTAAAACTATTTGCTTAGCCCGCCCTCGTATTCCGCTGCATAAATGTCGAAAGGAAAAAAACTTGCGCCTCCAAAAAAAAAAAAACGATCACGCGAGTCTGCTTAACTGCCAAGCACGTCTACATCCGTGTGGCTGTGCACACCTTAGGCCCTCTGGCTGGCTGGACGTGACAGTCATTTGAAACTATCTTGACAGACTATTCAAAAAAAAAACCGTTCTGGGTTGGAAGAAGACTTAAACGACTCCACAGGATACCATCAGGACAACCATGCCGTTCTTCTTGCCGAACAAATTGAACCCTCAGGGACAGAGGTAAGGGCCGCCAACTCGGGGACACAGACTATGGGGACATGGTGGTCAAACTCATTCGTCGACGCGACTGTCCCGTGTGAATCAACAACAACCATGGATGAACTAATCAAGCATCGGATCGTCATCTCTTCCTCGACCCACCCTTCAACTCTGTTTCCTCCTCTGTAGACTACTGACTATCATCATTGCTCTCCCTGTATTCGTCTCTACTTCCTACATCCTCTACAAGCGCCGTAAGTGCTGACTTCACCATCAATTGCCCGGTATTTATCTCACAGCGTGTATTAACATTTGCTTGGTACGGTTCTGCTTTTATCTAGTGGTGCTGGAAGAAGGCGTCCATGGGCCAATGTCCAGGAATCAAACCCCCGTTACAAGCGACGACCTCTTTGCACAGTACGAGAAGGATTTAGAAAAGGAGCGGCTACAACAGCAGTCGCAAGATCCATCTGCAGGATCCAGCTCGTCAACATCTCATTCATATTAAAGACATCCATTCATTGAAGCAATGGAATGAGCTTTCAATAGTGTGGTATAATTCATGATATATCGTTGCTGTCATTAAATACTGTTTCGTTAAAATGGGAAGGACAAGCAGGGGATATGTACAGGATGACAAGAGAAGGATGAGACGAAAAAGACAGACTACAGCGCACAAAGAAAAGGAAGACCTGTCTATATAAACAAAAAAGTGTGAACCAGAAAAGTGAAGGTACTACTTGCTTTCGCCTCCAATCCAAAGCGCCTTCATAATGGCTATCAGTCGTCCAAAACCCTCCATCTTTGGCTCGATGATCTCCACAGATTCCTTGCTGTCCATAAGATGACCAGACTTGTTGGACTTCTTGCTATCCTCCTCTGCCTTCTTCCTTGCGTCCTCCCTGCCCATGTCCTTCGTCTTTGTCTGATTTGTTCCTTGTAACGTTTTGATGAGTCCACCACTGTTTCCCATTGTGCCGTTGGGAATGCTAGTCATTGTCGGAGTCGACATCGGGAAACCGCGGTTGCCAGTTGGAGTCATGGGCTTAGGCTTGAGCAGGTCTTCGGCCCAGTTCCACATGGTCCGGTCTCTTTGAGTAGTCTTAGCGCTAGGCACTGGGTCTGTCATAAACCTATTAGCCATAAACTCATTGTCAGACGCAGGTGGCGAGGGCATATCAACTTCGTTGAACAGTGGCGATGCCTCGTCCAAGAAATTGAGCCAGTCTGGATCCAATTGTTCTTCCGACGTCAGACCCAAGGCCGAAAAGGGCGAGCTTTGCTGTGATCCCGCAGACGAAGCCTGTGCAGACATTGGCGATAGAGGGGGCTCGTATGGTCCGTCCGTTTGTGTTGCAATTTCGCTTCGTTGAGGTGCAGGCTTGGGCTGATATTGGGGTACGGCTGTCACTGTGGTTGTTGACGAGTTCAAAACTCCGTTCTGGTCGTCTGAAGGGAAGAGTGATGGCCATGCGGTAGGCATACTGATCGAAGTTGAACCTGTACTCGATGAAAGATATCCGAAAGGAGACGAAAGGTCCTGCATAAGATTGCTATACGGGTCGTTTGTTACCGGGGCATTGTTATTCACGAGTCCGTGAGGCGTGCCCATTGCATGTTGCTGTTGTTGCTGAGATGGCTGTTGAGGTATCATAGGCTGTGCCAGAAGAGCCTCAAAAGCATTACTGTTCAAGGCCATTGGTGAGAACGATCCCGCGACTGGAGAGGCTGCTCGCGAGACATTTCCAAGGTTGTTAAAGTCAACCAATCCATTCATGGGCGAAGCCTGGTACGATTGATCCGTGTTGGCGGGCGAAGCCAGCATCTGAGCCGACTGGTTGCGGATGACATTGCTATTGTTGCCTTGGTATCCGCACGTTGATAACAATTCGTCGATACTGGCGACGCCGAGTAACTCCTCGTTCGATAACACACGGTTGGGGTCAGAAAGAAACGCGTTGATGTTTGAGGAGCCCAGAAGAGCGGAGGCTGCGGCGGGAGAGGGAGCAACTGGGGCGGTAGCGGCGGCGTTGTTGGTGTTTGCCAGAGGTGCATTGGTGTTGATATTTGAACTGTTGGTTGCAATAAGGGCTGACGTGTGAAAATTTTGGTTGGTCTTGGCGTTCTGACTCTGGCTCAGGAGCAACGCATTCAACGCGACCTGATAGGCATTGTTGGATGCTAGTCCATTAATAGGCATGCCGTTCTGGATGATACCGTTGGTGGTCAGTCCTGAGATCGAGGCCCTGTATTGGGTCAGGTCAGATTGTCCCCCAACCAGGTCCAGCCTGGTGTATTGCAGTTTTTGTGGAGGGGGCGAAGGAAGGGAGGCCATGGCGCGCTGCATGGCATTCGCGAACGGGTTGTTACTGGTGTTGGAATTGGAGTCGCTTGCTAAGGTGGGGTTGTTGCCGGTGCTTCTTGTCTTGGAGGAGGAGGAGGAGAAGACTGAGTCGGCGCTCGGGGAAGAGTCCCGCGAGAGTTGTGGGTTGTGGTGGTCGTGTGGGTGTCCGCCATGGCTCATAGATTCGATGGTCTCTGCCTCTTCCCACTGGAGTTTGATGCCAACGGGGGCGGTGTTGATCCTGCCGGTGTAGTACTGGTGCGGGCCCTTTATCTTGTGGGCGGTTGCTTTGGGGTTGGGTCCCTGGGGATGAGTTTTGGAGAGACGGGCTTCCTCCCTCTTTTTGCTGTTCTTCTTGCTACTGCCGTTGGCATAGGGTCTCCAACGCAGCTTTGAGGGCAGTGGTGGCGGCTTGTTTGAGTGCTCCGTGTCCATGTTGGGTGGTTCTTGGATTAGGAGGGCAGGCAATGAGCGAAAAGTTCTATTCAGCAAAAGGCAAGAAGAAGGAAGACAGGGTTTTTTGTACTGACGTAGGCCTGTCGAAGAGATTGAGGGAGAGAGAGAGAAAGAGAGAAAGCGAGAAAGCGAGAAAGCGAGAAAGCGAGAAAGCGAGAAAGCGAGAAAGCGAGAAAGCGAGAAAGAAAGCGAAAGAGAAGGATGAGACTGTGGATTAAGGAAGCGAAGGGAGAATGGGAGCGAGAGCGAGGAATGAGGAATGAAAAGGGATTAGAGAAAGAAAGAGAAAGAGAGAAAGAGAGAGAGGAAAAAAGAAGAGATGGGGAAGAAGTGAAGGAAGCGAAGGAAGTCTTCCATGACTGCATTGGAAACAATTGAGTTTCGCTATTTTTGCTCTTCCTCCCAATAATGGAAAAAAAATCAAGTTGGTGGCATGCCGTTGCGGACCTTTGTCCAAGTCCTCATGTCCAAAGGTACATTATTGCTTGCCCATGGCCGCATCCATCCCGCCCCTAATACCAGGACTCCTCCCTGGGCGAAGCCGTCTCTCCCCTTCTTTCTCGGCTTTCATCAGGAACCTGAACGCCAACAGCACCCACGAGGGTCTCGGTCTCGGTCTGCGTCTAGGTCTCGGTCTCGCTCGGTCCTCTTGGTATTCGCTTCATTCTCTTGTCCATAATACGGAGGCATGTGCGCTATCATATACCTCAATTGAAAAAGCTCTTCCTTCTCTCTTCTTTTTTTTTTTTTTTTGCTCTCAGGAACATACGTTACATGGGGACATAGGAGCATAAGGGCACAGGAATATAGGAACATGGCATGTACACATCATTGCCAGCTTGGTCCTTTATCTATTGGAGCTAACACACTTGCTTCACATTCTGCCACGCTCATACTGCTGCGAGTACTTGACCTTCACATTCAACTCCTCTGCAGCATTCATCACAAAATTAGGGTGCCTCAAGAACCCGCGACCCACCGCCACAAGGTCCGCCTTCTCCTCCTCCAGAACCTCGTTCGCCTGCTTACCCCCCGTAATCACTCCAACAGCCACCACATCCAACCCCGGCACCGCCTGCTTCACGCGCTCTGCAAAGGGTACCTGGTATCCAGGCGCATACTTCACTTCCTGCTTAGCCGTGTTCCCTCCCGACGACACATGGAACACATCCACCCCAGCTTCCTTGACCCATTTCGCAATCTGTACCGTCTGCTCAATTTCCCACGACGGCCCATCTAAATGCTCCACATAATCCGTTGCCGACACCCTCAAAAACACAGGCTTCGATGGCGGAAAGTTCGCCCGGACTTCACGCACGATCTCGAGCAAGAACCGCGCTCGGTTCTCGAGCGACCCTCCATACTGATCCGTCCGGTTGTTGCTCACCGGCGACAGGAACTGGTGAATTAGATACCCATGCGCAGCATGGATCTCGACTGTGTCCACACCAGCCTTGGCCGCCCGCACCGCTGCCGCTCCGAATGCCTTGATCGTCCTGTGAATCTCCTCGACCGACAGCTCCCGTGGCACATGGTGCTTGTCATCCCACTGGAATTCAGCTCCTCCGCTAGGAGCGACCACATTGTCTTTCCAGTAGGCCGACTCTGGCAAGTCAGCGTAATAGGCCTTCACCGAAGCCTTACGACCGGCATGAGCGAGCTGGATTCCCAACTTCGATCCCTGCTTGTGCACAAAGTTGGCAATCCGCTTCAACCCCGCGATCTGTTCGTCCCTCCAGAGTCCAGTGTCTGATGGCGAGATCCGTCCCTCAGGAAGGACAGCCGTTGCCTCGGCCAGGATCAGTCCTGCTCCAAGTGTCGCAAATGATCCCAGGTGGACAAGATGGTAGTCCGTAAAGAATCCGTCCAAGGAAGAGAACATGCACATCGGTGCCACCACTACCCTGTTGGCGATCGTCAGATCCTTGACCTTAAACGGCTGGAAGAGCAGGGGAACCTTGTCGGCATCGGGCAGTGAGGCATTGATGGGTCCAAGGTACGAGCCAGGGGCGATCGGTTGCTCGATAAAGTAGCCTTCTTGAGGGAACTGTACCCTAGTGTCCTTTTCATTCACTTCTGAAGCAGTAGTCGAATCGTTTGCAGCAGGCATTGTAGGAGATAGAATAAAAGGTAGCGGTGTCCAATGGATAAAAGATAAAAGAGAGTGGAGAGAGTGGAAAGAGGTGGAAATCTGAAAACAGGTTGGCTATAACAAAATAGCGTGGGTAAAGAGATGGAAGACGGAGGGGAAAAATGATGGAGCCCGGTGTTCGTATTTGATATCCAGTGCGGGAACAATCGAGAAATATTACAAATGATGCAAAGGCCCTTCACAGGTACAAGTTTATTCTGCGCGATTGCGCGGGTCAGGACTGCATATTCATAGTAAACGATGCAAACCTCAAGCACGCGACGTGAGAGGCCGATGGCGAGAGGGATCCTTCCCAGGGCCACATGCACGTACATATCCATCAATGTCCTCTTCTCAAGCATTGAGCATTATATTTTTCTCCACTGCGATTTTATTGTTATTTATTTAATGGTATGTGTGCTGTCATACATGTTGCACAGTCTCCGCTTCACGGCTTTTTTTTTTTCATAGTTGTACCAATGAGTTCACTGAAGTCTCATTTAGGTGCATCAAGATACCCAAATCACCCACAAAAAAAAAAAGAAAAGATAATGACCATAGGTACCGCAGCAGTCGGCAACCAAGTGAGAGATCAAGAGATCGAGAGCGAAGGAGAAATTGAAACAGAGGTAAAAAGTGCAGCAATGGCCAGCGGTTTTACAGGATAATGTTCTGGAGAAGGCATTGTGTGTGTATGTTTGTACAAAGTAAGCACAGCAAGGAAAAAAAAAAAAAAAGGCAGACCATTTGCCACCAACTTTTCCAGTAACACAATCACACCTTTGCTCGTATCAGGACGCTTTGACGGGACGAGGTCCAGCCGTTGTTGTGTTGTTGCGAGGACCATCACCAGAAGAACACCGAAGAATATCTCTTTCCAAATAGACGCATGTCAATGATCACTGAGATAAAATATTTCTTTATGGTACAACAGAGGGCTTCAAAAACGCAGTTGGAGGGAGGGAGTAGGGCAGCATGGGTAGGATATGGGGGTGCGAGCAGCCATGAGGGGCAATGGGATGTGGGGTCAAGTGGGGAGAGTGGGTTCGAGTTCAATAAATGCCATAGTATATAACTGTCTGCATAACATATGCTCTTAGACCTGAATCCGATACTGAAGGGAATTGTGGAAAGGTGAATCAGGTTCTGGATCATGACCAGGATCAGAATTAGAGATAACTCTCACTCAACGAGCAATTATCTGGAAATGGCTTAAGGCTTGACAGCAGTAGTTGCAGTTGTAGCAGTAAGTACATAGGCGCCCGTATTCCAGCATGCGTTTGCGAAGCCGCGCAAGAATCCGTGGTGATTTTGAACAACGTCGGATACAGGGGTTGAAAGACAAGCCGGATGAAAGAGGAGGGGAGGGGGAGGAGGGGAGGGCGTGTTGACGAACAGCGAGCCGTGAATGATGATTGCGGTTGAAGCCAGCGAAAGAAACATGTCAAGCATAAGGTGCAGAAGGCAAAGGACAAGGGAAGTAGGGGAAATGAGGAGAAAGAGAAATACGAGAATACGAGCAAAAACTGGGAGGAAACGAAAAAGCACAGATGTTGACACCAGGGTGGTTATCAACGTGAGGGTGGGATGATGATCGATGAGAAGCAAGTGGGGGGGGAACACAACAATGACTCTTTCCTGCTTTACCGGTACGGGGGATAAGCTGTTGCGGAGGCCTGATAACCAGTGGCTACGGGCGCTTGGTAGGCTGATGCCTGTGTCTGATAGGCCGCGGCTTGGTACCCGGAAGCAGCAGCAGCTGGATATGCTCCTGCGGCAGTTGGATAGGCTGCTGCAGCTTGATAGCCCGATGCTGCAGCGGGGTATGCGGCTGCGGAAAGGACGTTCTGATACCCCGCAGCTGCGGCCTGATATCCAGCAGCTCCTGTGGGATACGTAGTAGCAGCAGCCCCCGCGGGATAGGCAGTAGCAGCAGCCCCTGTGGGATAGGCAGCAGCAGCAGCCTGGTATGCAGTCGTCGCTCCAGCAGCAGGATATCCTGTGGGGGCAGCCTGGTATCCGTTGGCAGCGACAGCCTGGTATCCGTTGGCAGCGGCAGCGGCTCCAGGGTAGGCTGCAGCGGCGGCTTGGTATCCTGCAGCAGGAGTCTGATAGGCAGCGGTCTGTGTTTGCGCCTGCGCTTGGTACGCAGCCGCTGTAGGTTGGTAAACAGTTGCAGCAGCAGGGTAGCCGTATGCTTGGGTGTACGCCTGAGAATAGGCCTGTTGTTGTTGTTGTTGTTGTTGTTGTTGTTGTTGTTGTTGTTGTTGTTGTTGTTGTTGTTGTTGCTGCTGCTGTTGCTGTTGCTGCTGGTGTTGCTGCTGAAGAACTGGTGGGGGTGGCTGAGCGGGCAATGGGGGTTGGCGCGCATTGTATCCGTTGGCATTGCCATAGCTCGCCGAGTTGTTGTTTTGGTTAAGCGGTATGCTGTTGACACTACTAGCACTGTTGCTGGCGCTGGCGTTATGTGCGGCATGGCTGTTGAATCCAGGTGCATTGTGCTGCTGACCACCTCTACCTGCTCCTCCGAAGCCCCCTCTGCCCCCGCCTCTACCGCCGCGACCGGCGTTTGCAGGGCGTTTGTAAGGTGTAGTCTGTTCAGCATTGTTTTGCCAATCTCGGCCGTTTGCTCCACGTGCTGGTCCAGCTGCAACACCCTGTGCTGCGTTCGGTGCATTTGAGTACCACTCATGCTGATATGGGGCTGATGCTGCAGTGTTAGCCGCCGGTGGCTGTGCCACATATGGATCGTATTGTTGTGCTGGCGCTTGCTGGCCGTAACCATGAGCAGCACTGGGAGCTGGCTGGCCATAAGGGGTAGCAGCATGAGTTCCTGTTTGTGCTCCAGCCTGACCAAAGGGCACGTTGTACGCAGCTCCAACTGGCGCTGCAGCCCCATTGGCGTTAGGAAAGTAGGCGGGATCTTGGGCACCGTTTGCTGCGGGCGCGCTTGGTGGAGGTTGGTTGGTCTAATGGTTGTATTATGAAAACAATAAACACAAAGTTGTTAGAAGCGGCCGAGGCAATCAATAGTGTGCTTTACGGCAGCTCACAAAGAAAAAAAAAAGTCTAGTATTCTTACCCGATCCCATTGCATCCCCTTGGCATAATCAAAGATCGATTTGATAGAGCCCGTTTTGGGGGGTCTGCCTCCTACAGGAGGAGGGCCACTGTTCTGCATCGGAGACGCCATGCCAACGTCCTGAGCGGATGGCGGTGGTGGCCCCCGAGGCATCCGCTGCTGACGCTGTCGGTCGTTGTGGTCAGGCCCCTGCTGGAATCTGTTCTGATTGTGAGCCATGGGAGAGCCGTTTGGAAATTGTTGCTGCTGGTGGTGGTGATGGTGTTGCTGCTGCTGCGACTGCTGTGGATGGCGCTGTTGGTATGGCGCCTGTTGTTGAGGCTGCTGCTGCTGGTACTGATTGGGACCACCGTAGGGACCGCTGCTATGGTGGTGGTTGGGGTTATGGCTATTGTTGTTGAAGTTATCTCGTGGGCGCTGCTGAAAGTGGTCCGGCTGTCGACCGCCTCGATAGGACTCCTCACGGCGGTAGGGTCTTTGATCTTGCACGCCTAAGGAGGTTTAAAAGACCAAAAGTTGGGTTAATGAGGGGTATAGGGGAAGGAATTAATGAAAGGGGCTGTCGTCGATATGCGTGTATGTGGTCATGAAAAGTATCTGCTGCCTTTGTCAACATATTGACTAGATCAGCAAACGCGGGAGGGTGCCAACGCAGACCAGTACATAGCCCGTGGTAGCAGGAGCCACTATACCGGCATCTGTCATGTGTGCTCTGTCGATGTGTGCATAGCATACAATGACGCGTTTTGATGATGGGGGAAGGATTTAAGGCCAGAAAAGAGATCTGTGTTTTGTGTATGGTTCAATCTCCAATCAAAACGAATAGCACCTTGTTGTATGCGATAAAGGTGATAAAATGGTTGTATGGGTCGTATGAATTCAAGAAAAAAAAAAAGTAGAAACGAATATTGGTGAATAACCATTACCTCGGTATCCGCCCCTTCGCATGGGCCCTGGTCCTCCGGGATGGTTGTTGTTGTTATTGTTATTGAAATTGTTGTTGTAGCCGTTATTGTTATTATTGTTAAAGCCTTGGTGGTTGCTGTGGTTGTTGAAAGGTCGCTGGTTGAAGGGTCGGCTACTGTTATGGTTGTTGTTATTCTGAAAGTTCACGCTGTGGTTGTTGCGGTTATTAAAGTAACCACCCCTACCACGATGATGATGCCTGTTGTGGTGGTGGTGCTGCTGCTGCTGGCTGTTGTTGCTGCTGTTATTCGAGCCCTGAGCCTTGTTTGACGTGGGTGTGGTTGAGGCAGCCTTAGCCTGAGAATCATCCATTTGGCCTTCTGCAGCATCTCCTCCGCTCTGGTCCTCATCCGCCATGGATTCATCAGGATTGATCGCGTCGTTAGAGGGCACAGGGACGTCTGAAACGAGCTCCGTATCTTCGTAGGCCCCATCCTGCTCTGTGTAGGGATCGGCAGTAACAGTGGCAGGTGAATCCAAGATCACTTCTGGAGTAACATCAGGAGCGTTCTCTGGGACAGGAGCAGAGTGTCCCGTTTCCATAGCTGATGCAATGGTCTGGCTCGCATCTTGTTCTTCGAGCTGGATGGCCTCTACTTCTGATGATTGTTTGTCCTGCTTCTCTGTGGCGTCATCGGATGGCGTGGGTATGGTGGTGAGAGAAATGATCTGCTCCTGTTCAATCTCTTTAGCGTTGTCCACAGGCGCTGGTGGTGATGATGCTGGTGCTGGTGCTGGTACTGCTGGTACTGGCGGCACTGCCTGGTCATCTGGGCTGGTTGGAGCCTGAATATCGGCAACCTGGTTATTCGTGGCCTCAGTGGAAAGAGGCGCTGGATCACTAGGGGCGACGACGGCGTCGACGTTGTTGTCGGTAGAATCAGCCATGATTGCAGATTACGGATCTGCAGATGATGAAATGAATAAAATGGATACTTTTTATCTCGCGTTGTAAGGAGATGAAGATATTGATGAATATGAGGGCGTGTTTTTGTTGATGAAGCGAGAAGGGAAAGAAGTGCGATCTGCTGTTAAACGGGGATGAAGAAAATAAGGGGCTCGAATGCGTTATTACATTTTACAGAGGTTTATTTTCACAGCAGACGGGCGCGTGATAAGGTTATTTCCAAATGTAGAGGGTTTCAGCCTACACCAAAGCAATAACTCCAATGGGTCCTGGTTACCAGTGGGGTCCCATCCGGTACCCCTGCCTCCGTGCTATGAGGGACATGAAAGTAAACACAGCATTGCATTGTGTCATTCTCATTGCCAATCCACCCAACCAAAACCACATTGTCCTATACTCAGTCACTTTTGTCTATCTTTCGTTCCTTCTCTCCACAGCCATCCTAAGCTTCACTTTCTTTGCTTCACCTCACTTCACCTCGTTTCCTCAACATTCTTTCTCCTCCCATTCTCACTTGCACATCACTTCAGCTGTCTCTCTCGCTCTGTCCCCCCTATCTCTACTACTGTATTCTTGCTGTGCCTCTGCGCTTGAGCCCTAAATATCCTTCTCCTCTCCTTGTCGATTCCTTCGTGCGGTGACTAGAACCTTGGTTCTCATTTCCACCTTAAGGACTAAACGCCATGGACCAACATACTACACCCACTGCACTCAATGGCACCAGCACTCCTGCATCCACAAAGGACAAATCGGTGGTAGCTACACCTCCTGTGTCTGCTTCTGGCCCCAAGGACGATTTGAACACCGTGCCAAGCATTGGAATGACTGCCGAACTGGAGCGACATATCACTGCGGCAGGATCGACTCTATCACAGACAAAGAGAAACGTCGTCAATATGTGGAATGCGTGGATGTCGGCCGATATCGCGTCGCCAGTAGCAGGAGTATCTACCGACTCTTCAGACAACACCATTATCGCCACTACCGCCACTACTAGCAAGCCTGTACCCGCTCCTATCAAGGAACACCGGCTCGAGACGTCAGAGACGGATTCAGCAGTAAGGGTTGTCCATGAAGCAAACGACCCAATAGCCAACCGGTCTTCAACATGTGCAGCCCCCCCATCAAATGTCAACAACGGACCTATTTACTTGATGGGCAAGCTCTACCCGCCTTCTCCAACACAGTGGGCGGATTTCCAAAGGGACTTTACCAATGGATTGATCTGGTGCACATACCGGCACAGTTACTCGCCGATCAAACCCAGCAGTTTCACGACGGACGTTGGCTGGGGATGCATGCTCCGATCCGGACAAGGACTCTTAGCGAACGCCTTGGCGATCCAATTTATGGGCCGAGGTAAGTCAAGGACTATGTTAGTGTGGCGTGTTCAGCAAACTGGAGTTTCACTATGCACAGTCAATGCTAAATCAATATTTGGTTATCAACCTGACATCTCTTAGGTTGGAACCGGCCTGTTCCTGGGGACCCCACATGGGATGTATACGTTCGGGTACGACATGTAGATCCCAGCATAATGACAACCAGAGGGAGAGACAGAGAGGGGGAGAAAGAAAAAAAAGATTAATTACGACTTACACGGGAACGTTCTGTCTTTATTAGATTTTGGCTTGGTTCCTAGATGACATGAATGCCAAATCTCCGTTTTCTGTTCACCGCATTGCACTCCTCGGAAAGCAGCTGGGAAAGAACATTGGGGAATGGTTCGGACCTTCGACGACAAGCCAGGTCACCAAGTAAGTCGCATACACGAACAAAGATTTTATTTTTGTCAATTTCCTAAGCGCGTCCTAGATCGCATGCTGACATCTTCATTACAACCTACTTTAATCTTTCGTCTAGGGCCCTTGTTCACAACTTTCCGCAGAGCGGTCTCAATGTTTATGTCACTACAGACGGTGTTGTGTATAAAGACCAAGTGAATGAGGCTGCTAAAGATAAGAAAACAGGAATGTTTGGCAGCCTGCTGATCTTGGTGACGATTCGTCTGGGCATCGACAAACTGAACCCTATCTATAACGACGCCATCAAGACAACATTTGAGATTCCTCAGACGCTTGGCATCGCCGGGTATGTCAAACGAGCATGTTGCACTTGATATCTGATGGTTTTATGTGAATTTTCATACTAACACATTACTCTTTTTGGATTTTTTTTTCTTGCTGACGTTCAGCGGTCGTCCTTCATCATCCTATTACTTTGTTGGACATCAAGGAGACGATTTGTTTTACCTTGATCCCCATCATTCACGTTGCATGGTCGAAGCCAAGGATTTGAGCGCATATACGGCAGAGGTAATTTTGCTTCAGGCACTGCCTTTTGCATGAGGCAGTTTTGTGCGCCGTGCATTCTAGTTACAGCGCTGATCAAACGTCGCTTTATGTAGGACTTTGCAACGTATCACTGTGAGACTATTCGCAAGATCGACATCAACGCAATCGACCCATCAATGTTGCTCGCCTTCTACTGCAGAGATCGGCCGGACTTTGATGCGTTCTGTGAGCGAGTCCGAGCAATGAACGCTCGTCCAGGCATGGGATCAAGCATCTTCACGATCGGAGAAAAGGCGCCGGATTACGAAGAAAACGATGGAGAGCGGCTGCTGTCGGTCGCCGATGAGGAGGATGACGATCTGGAGCTGATTCTGTGAAGGGCGCGAAGCAATCTATCCAGCTATCTCGGATACTAGAATCGTTTTTTTTTTGCTCTGCTCTTGCATACACTATAAATCTCTACAAAAAAAATCGGCAAAAAAGCTACCTGACTGAGATGAATCAGGATTTGTGCTTCACCAAAGTACCGGGGCGCAAAGAAACAGAGGTAACAGACGAGAAAATTTGCAGAGAAGCGCGCAGAGCATGTGAAAGAGATTGAGAAGATGGATTGGAGGGTCAAGATAAGACGTGGGAGTTGAACAAGATTAACAAGGCAAGGACGGCGGTAGATGTGTAGGGACGGCTCTGTCAGAGGATTCTTTACAATAGAAGCGGAGTGGAAGAGAGGAAGGGGGAGCCATGGCTGCTATCTGCCCTACAGCGAACCATACCATACGTCTTTTTATCTGCGGCAAATGCTATATGCAACTTTTGTCTCCCAGAGATTCAATTAGTCGAACTTTCGTTCTTGACACTTTGCTTTCTTTTTATTTTATACCGTGTTAAACCCACTCCAGTAATCTTCATATACAATATTAACGGCAGCCGATGTGGACTAATGCGCAAGGACCGGATGATCGATGGAGGAATGCAGGTTCACTGGGAGAGAATTGTAAGAGAAAGGGACATGGCCAAGGCTCCTTTGCGGGATCTTAATCTCGCTCCGAGGAGAAACATGGAGAATGAGAGTCTTACAGATCCAGAGTGGATATCTAACGAAAGTTCTCTGTCTGGCGAGGAGGTTTATGAGATAACGGAGAAGCAGAAACAGTTGACAGATTCATATCTGAGGATCTGAAGATGGACAGGATTGGATGTCAGACAGACGGTGGATCCCAGGGTCATGGCTAGACCGATGTCTAAAAGATGGCGGGGAACTCATTGCTACCCAAGCTTCGGTCTATGATCCAAACAAACCATTTTCTTTTTCCTCCTCTGAACTACATAGATCGCGGCCTATCCTATTCTTTGCATACGAGCCAGCATTACCACACCACACCTGGAAAGAGAAAAGAAAAAGGCCAAGTGTAAATAGTCAGTGCAAGGGTTGTCACTATTAGAGTCAGTCGAGTTGGCTACGAGAGAATTACTTCGGTCGCAGGTCTGTGTCCGCTCAAAGAATCGTCACCCGGCTTGGTCATCATGCTTCTGTCTCAAATGGCATAGTGCCAGCTCAGGCTGGACTTAGCACATTATAAAAGTGGATGCGCATTCAATATCATATCCACTCTGGACAGTGTAGCCTATATCTTATGAAGGAATACTAGTTACGAATCCTTTTATGTAATAATGTATGGCTCAGGATGGACAAAAAAGATCAGGAAATGAGTGATGTGGAATACTTCTATGTTATGAACAAGGCGTATGCTAATTTTTCATAGTCGAAGTTAGCGCCTAGACATGCGCGTATTGCCGAGATCGGCCCCATAGACGTTTTTTGAGCAATCACCGAGAGCTTATTTCCGGAATTCAAACTCAAGGGAGGCGCTTGTAGCCGCGTCTTGAAAAACAAGGGTGAACTTCTTCGGACTCTATGGATACCGTAAACTCCAAGCCAGCGATGATAGTACGAGAGGTTAGAATCCGCATGTTTAATTCCTTTGATTCTTGTTCCGAACCCATCTGCCTGTGCCTCAAATTGCTGTGCAATGTTACAAATGCCTATTCGCCGCGACATTTTTATGACAAGTTTCTCATTACGGTTTACTCTTTATTTGTTCAGCAACATGCGTTATACGTGCTGGAAAGCCGTTGCTTCATTTTATGATAATGACCAGATGCAAAAAGTTGTCTGGGTACGACATATTTTGTGAGACCCAGATGGCACTTGTGTCTAAGCTAGGTGTAATTCCATGAATCATTGCTGCTGCTACAGGTGGCCCCGTTTCCACAAGCGGAAAGAGATCTGGTAAGGAGTGGTGAAGGACCTGCCGCAGGGTTCTAGGTTGACCTGCGTCAGTTCAAAATGAGAAATAAGAAGAGCGTCAACACCGCGCCTTTTTTCAATTTCCGCCATTCTTCAACATGCAGTCATGAGCGCCTTACTATTCTCGTCTACCGGCGATACGGGATCCTGCATGACAGGGCAGTTTTCGGGCAGATATATCCTGATAGGCAGACTCCTTGCCATGACGCCGTCGTTTAACATCAACTTGTGGTTCATCCCCCAGAACCGGTCGTAATTATCTATAGAACAAGGAAGATGCCAAATGGGCGAGAGAGAGATTAGTAATTAGCGGTTTGATATTGATAACTTCGCATTCAGCATAAATCTGAACGCGAGCATTGAAGACATACTCGACCAAAGTCCATCCCACAGCTGCGTCTGGTCCGACTTTGACATGTTCATGACCTTTTTCGTTGACCCGTTGCGCAAGTAGTCGGCCTATTCAAACAAAAAATAGCAATAATAATCAGCAAACCCAGTATATCACGCGGGAAAAGGGATGCATTCCCTTGCAACTGTCCCGTCCCATCTGTCCAGCTGCAAGTCATGGTACAGGTATGCTTTTAAGGTTAAATGCATACCTCCTTGATCATGGACATGAAATAGTCCTGACAGCTGTCGACGGCCTGGCTCTTGATTAGTTTGTCTGCTGGAAAGTTTTGGAAATGAACCGTGATCTTCCAAGGCAACAATGATCCATTCATGCCTCGGCCTGATGATGCCTGGAGTCCGTGAATATCGTACAAAAGTCCAATTGGATAGTGCCTATTATACACTCCGAGTTTCAAGACAGAGTGAACGAGGTCGTCAAAGGTTAAAACGGAACTGCTTTTAGATGAGAGCTTGGTGAAAGGACAAGCAAAAACACATACAGGCAAGAGCAATGCAAGCGTAACGTGGAGGTTTTTTGTTGTGACAATCAACGAGGGCGTGAGCAACAAGAGCTGTTTTCTTTACCATTTCAAAGGTGTCCCTTCATAGTCGTACCACACTTCAGCGTCGTCCCCAATAAAGTGCAAGGCCATGTCCACGAAGTGCTTCCTGACATGGCTTGTTAAGAGTGAAAAGTAGGAGCACCTTGATGCCTCATACTATAAAAAGAAAGTTAGTGGCCCATTGGTTTACTACGCAGAGACTCTTGTTACTGTGCCTTCGCATAAAAAAAAAAAGAATAAAGACAAAGGACTTACAAAGAAAGACTCGACTGCATTGGACCCTACTGCCGCTGCCTCAGCCTTATCCCAGGTGAACTGGATGGGTATGGATCCATCCCAGATGACCTTTGCAATCGGATTGTGGGGTGCTGGTGTTGTAGTCGTAGTTGAGGTGGCTGCGGCTGCTGCTGGCGTTTTTCCTTTGTCGGGTTGTGGAGGCATGAAGCGGGTGTCGAGATATAGGTGAAGATCTCTGTCGACGATTGTTGTAGATTTAGACTCGGCTTGGTGTCCCTGAGGTGAATGAGAAAGTGCTGTATGCAACGAGACGCGTGCAAACAGATGGAGAATAAGAGGTGACAAAAAAGGTGAAATGTCGACAAATCGATGTCGAGGAGCGAAAAAGAGAGAAAGAAGGAGCACAAGAGTGTTCAGGCACAGACGCGTTGATGGAAGGGGATAGCCACTTGGAAAGCGATGCAGAAAAGGTCGCGAAGAGAAGGATGGCGTTGTGTGAGTTTGAGGTCAAAGTGCGAGGTGCAAGGCGCAAGGTTAGAGACCGCAAAAAGCATTCACAGCCACCATCGCCACCAGAAAGAAGGGCACCGTGCAACCAACTCTTCTTTTTATAACACAACTAACTATCTTTTCTTTCCCAAATCTCATCCCTGCTCTTCAACCCTCAATCTCATCGACATGGACCAACTCAAGCAAAGAACAAACCACACAAAAGCGCTCTTTCGGGGACCGGATATGTCGGACGCGCCCGAGTTCCTGCCCGAGGAAGGTGAGGCGCCCTTGCCCCTGCAGCCAGAACACATCAGTTACCTACAAGAGCTAAAAATATGCTCTATACTTTCGACGATGCTGGCGGGGATATATTTTGCTGCTAGAACAGGAACAGCTTATCGAATCACTACGGATATCAAATGAAAGGGCAAACGACATGTTCAAGGCAAGTCGTATTGGTCAACTCTAGGTCGATCATATAAGCGTTCGAAGTAGTTTTAAAAACTGGATTCTCTGTTCACTAGATTGTCCTGCAGGCATTTTCGGTCACGGAAGTTGTGATGTAGGGATTCGTTTTTGACACACTGGCCATGGTTAATGGCGTATCAAGTGCCTAATCTGATCCTTATCAATATATTCGCATAGACATCTTGCCTTTACAACATATACTTGGTATAGGAGAGCATCATTAGCTGGACATCCCTCCCCGGACCATGAAAACCCCTCAGCTGCATTTCAAAGCATTTCGCCCGCGACTGCTACGTTATTCTCGCTGATCTCGTTCGGCATTGGCATCTTTATTATCAGAGACGTGTCTCTGATAGCACGAGACAGTCTGGCGGTCTGGACATTTGTTTCGCTCACACCAATAGCGCTGATGTTTGGGAGGGCAGAGTTTTCGTTCGAGCTGGTATGGTGGTTAATGCCGTTGCTGCTTCAAGTTGTGGATTTGGCTAGCCTGTGGGTGATGAAGGATCCTGAGGAAGATTTTCTCCAGCTTGAAAAGAGCCAGTACAAGCTGAAGAGTGCTTAGGAGCGTCAAAATTGCAATTGCTTGGTATCCGTTGATGCTAATGGACAGTCACAGCCCTTAATGTGCATAATAGGCCTGTGAAGGAAACCAAACCTATTTTGTCCTTCTCCATCATCAACTTCGAGCCACCATCCCCTCTTAGCTTCTCTTTCTTCTCTTTCTTCTTCTCTTCTTCTTTCCTACGCTCCCTGTTTCTGCCACTGTTCACAGCAAGAGCTACATCCAGCTTGACTCCCTTCTTGCTTGCCACACATTTCTCCTGCCGCACTTCACTCCTTTTCTGAAGAAAGATTATTCTCAGGGCACCCGTTTCCTTTATTTTTCAAATCAAAAAGGACAGGAATTGACATTGGATCACTCTCTTTGCCCACGAGCACTTTTGTTCTATCCTACCTGTCTTTCGTCCTCTTCCCTTTCGCCCCCCGCCGTCTCGTTGTCTTCCTGCGGCCTTGAATACCCACACGCGCCTCTCATTCGCAAACATTACAGACCAGGCACGCGCTTTCTGCATAGAACCAGCCTCACATCAACACCACCGACGTCCACCAATAAGAATACATTAAGATGCCACAGGTAAAAAGCCAGAGGAATGTTTGCTTCGTCCCCTTGTTGATATGCTGCGTTTGATCGCGCGTAGAAGAACCACTTTGTTCCTAATGACTCTCACTTCTTCTGGTCTGCTATCATCAATTGCTCCCTCTACAATGTAGCCAAAGAGTATTCGCAAGGAGATCAAGGTATGCTCTTCATAAACGCGAAAGATGATTCCTGGGCTCCTTTTTGAAAAGAGTGGCGCGTCGTCGTGTGCAACCCCCTGGAGTCCATTTGAACGCCCAGTGCCCGTCTCTGTTTTCTAATATTTATTATTATTTTTTACGAAACTCTTGTAGGTCATTACTGATCAGAACATCATCAAGGGACAAAAGCAAAATGGATTTCATGTGCGCAAATGGAAGATTTCACTGTGTGGCGTGAACGCGAATGGCGAGGAAGAGACCATGCCATACGTGGACCATGTCGAGTACATTCTTCACCAGACTTTCGAGCAACCAGTCAGGAGTAAGTCCCTCATTCCAATCTGCTTGTCTATGACCAGAGTTGTTATGTAGTACGAGTGAGTTTATGCAATTTCTAATGTTTTTATCTATTTATCCATGATTGCATAGAGGTGAACGACTATCCATTCATATTGCAGGAAAAGGGCTGGGGCGAGTTCGACATGAAAATCATGCTACATTTTGTGGACAAATCCGTACCGCCATTTGTATTGGATCACGATCTGAACTTTCAGTCAACGCATTATGAGGTCCCTCAGACGATAGTAAGCGATCGACAAGAGACTGAATGACGTTGATATGTGCACTTCGCTATGATATTGAGAAATGATTTTAATTGTCTAACGCGAAAACTCTCTCCTCTTCCTTGTACTAGATTTTCAAATCTGATCTGAAACCGAGCTTTGTGAAGTTGCTCAACCTTCCAGTGAGCACGATCTCAGATAGGGAATCGAGCAATGATAGCACGGGCGACAGTGCAACACATAAGCGTCGTAGAGATACAATTGTGAAGGACAAGGCAAAGAGGGTGAAGGACGATCGGAGTTCTGATGATGAAAGCCGAGCGGATAGCAGTGCTGCAGCGTCGGGCGATGAATGGGGCGACAAGGTAATGAGCTGTGCTTATCATGTCCGCAGTTTCCATGGAGGCTATTGCTCATGACGCGTAAATTCTCATTACCCTTTCTTATTTTAATGGAACACAATAGGTTGATGTGCATCAGCTTGCAAAAAAGTTTCAGCTGCTACAGCCAGAAGATCTGGTAGAATTAGTTCAGTTGGTGAAGGCAAATCAGACCTCGGATATGTATGTCAAGGAAGACGGTGAAGGTAAAATTCATATATTATCATGTTGTCCGATAACGAGGCTCATGTACCGATTCGAAGCCTAACTACCTACAATGCCCTCTGTCAATATAGCTGGCGAGTTTCACATTGATCTTCGAACGCTTGGGAGTGACCTTCTGGCGGAGGTAAGACTATCTCGGTCGTTGCGGATATACTTGGACAATTCATGGATATGCTTTTACACAAATAACTAATATCAATATGGTTTCTCTTGTATTTTCTGTCAAACAGCTGTGGCAATTTTGTGAAAGGAAACTGGAGTAGTGGATGCGCCCATTGTTCTCTGCCGCTTCTTCCACCTTGCCGATAACCATGGACCAGCACCTTGGGTTATACCAAGGACCTTTGTTCTGTAGATCCTGAGTGAACTCAGCCTTGCCAGCTATATTCCCCAAACCGCCCCTTTTTATTTTATTTCGCTATGCTTTGTTTAATTGCGTTCATTATTGCTCTGTTTGCGTCGTTCTATGCTCGCTGTCTGCTGTTCATTTTTCTTTTCATTTTCGAACCTTGTCATCAATAATCCTTTGCCTGCCACCACCCTGCAGTATCGATCTACTAGTCCAATCGCCTTTGACCTCCCGCACTAACCACCCACAAATGCCGTAATCGTCTTTTGACTTTGTTCGTATGCCATTCCTGAGAAGCTGCTTGCATTTTATTTTATAAATTTTGCTTTCTTTACGCTGGTGGCTATTTGAACAGACCTATCGATCTATATCAACCTTGCTGCTGTTAACTGTAATGTGCGGATGAAAAAGAAAGAGCCATTATGGTGTGTAGTACAAATAGAAATAAGAAGTGATTGGCGCAAGAGCTGCAAAAGATAGATTCAAGAAGGAAAAGACAATGTGGCCTCAGGTTGGGAGAGCGAGAAGAAAGGTTGGCAGGGATTTGGCCCCGAGGCATGATCACCAAGAGGCGAGGTCGGTCTGACAAGACGGCTTGGCTTGCAAGAGAGCCTCTGACCGCGCTTTGATGGCGGCCGTAACTTTGTCATCGTTCAAGAAGCGGATGGTGTCACAGACTCCATTCGCCAAACTTTCGAGCAAACTGCCCATCTCCTGGTCCTTGGAGAGTGGACGTTCCTGCTCGTCTGCCTTGAGGTTCTCGAGCATCACCCACAGTGTCGTCGCGACCGAACGGCATTCTGCGCTCAATTCCGCCAGTAGATCATGTAGAAGTGTCCTCATGATGCTTTGCGTTTTGGCGATCTCGCTCTGATATTGTATTTATAATGGTCCAAGAGCCTGAATATGGTGGCCGGGTGGCGCTTCCATGACGCGAAGCGGTAAAAGATGCCTGCAGTTTTGACGAAGGTGATGGCACGGTCGAATTTCGACTGCAACTGCCTCTCTACCAACGGATTCAGCTCCCGGTGTTTCCTGCACACAGTCTCGCTTTGCTCGAGAATTGGAAAGAGGTGCTTGCCCCCGACAGATACAGTTCCCGTCGTAAGCATTATCGGTGACTAAAAAGTCCCATAAAAAGAAAAAAAAAATTAGCACATCATTCTAAACAGTCGTTACTGCTGATATCGGCTCAGTTGACGTCCCGCCGATACGAACACATCCACTGCTTCTACTTGCATAACCTGAAATACGCGCTGTCTAAATGACGAAAAATAAAAATAAAAGCCCTCCAAAATGCAGAATACCGTCTGCAACAACAGGACCGTATAAAACCATCAAGATGGAATTGAGGGGGAGGATGTAGTTTTGAGGACGCGACAGCGCATGGGAAACTCTGAGGCTGTATCAGTAACTACGCCCACTCTCCTTTGTCCTGAAGGCAGGTGCAAAACGGCGACAGCGATTTCTGTCGTCAGCGGCATCATCCCCTTTCTCTGTTCCTTCTGAAGGTCGTAAGCTGCTATGGCGTGTAAATCAAGGTTTGGGTTTGGATTTCTAGACTGTGCCCATTTTTACCACGACTGCAGATTTCTCGTGTGGTTACACGAATAAGGAAAAAATAAAGTGCTGCTGAGTGTGCGCATAAACACGGAGAGAGACGCGTGTGTCGTTGGTGACATTCCTTTCTCCACTCCCAGTGCTGCTATTCGCAGCTACGACGTGTGCCCAACTTGGTGGTGTGGTCTGTAACAGGCTGGTTTTCTTAAGGAGTAGATGCAGCACAGCCGTATGTGAGCACTTGATGAAATAAGAAAAAAGCTGGAGAGAGTGCAGCCAGCAGTGGTTATGCCGGAATAGATAGTTTGATCCGAGTCCAACATATTCACGGTATATTGTCTTTAGGGACTATTATATGCCCGCATACTGCTGCAAAAGAATAGTATTGCTGTATGTGACCCATATGATCATCGCCGCTGTAGCCGCTTTTTCCTTGTTTCACTCGTCCTCTTTCCTTGCTGCTTGTTCCTGTGTCTTTATGCCTCTTTATCCTTGTACACTCCCAGGTACATCATTGACTGCTTCGATAGACGTGCTGACTGCACTTGCAAAAGACACTTTTGTGGTGGCACTACTTTTGCCATGTCTTTTCTGTCTATTGGATTCTTTCTATTCCATGCTTGCATGCTCATCAAAGGAGACCTCTCTTCCTCTCATCCTCCCTTTCTCTCATCCTCTCATCCTCTCATTCTCTCATTCTCTCATCCTCAACCCCTCACTCCCTTACTCCCTCTCTGTGCTCCTTTGCAGCCAAGTCCAGGCTATCTTACGGCTAAAGTATATTTCATGTCCCGATAGGTCACCGGTCAGATGTATTTTGCCACCATTATCTCCTTGCTTGTCTCTGTCCACTGTCTCCGTGCTGTCTGTCGCCCACTATCTCTTTTTCTTTTTTCTTTCATGTGAAAGACCCGAAGAGACTATACCGATAGGAGGCTGCTCGAAGACACTCTCTTCGCTGCTATCTGCAGCGATGACGTTTACCGCCTGTCGAGGAGGGAGTGTCTATCGAGGAGTATGAAGCCTTCCTCTTTTTCCTCTTCTCTCTCTTCTCTCCTCTTTCTTCTCTCTCCTCTTCCTCATTTTCTCTCATCCGATCTTCAAGGTAAGCTCTTCTTCTTCCTTCTTCTCCACCTTTACCCCTGCTGCAGTTACTCCTACTTTCTCAGTCCTTTACTTCTGCTGTCTCTCGCCCCCTCTTTCTCGCTGTTCTCTCCCACTCTTGTCCACCTCAGCCTTATCCTTCTGCACTTATTGTATCTCTCGCACACGCACTCACTCACGCAGAGAGTTCCTTGCCTCTATTGTTTCTAGTACCTTCACTTTCACATTCACCTTCACCTTCACCTTCACCTTCACCTTCACCTTCACCTTCACCTTCACCTTCTCCTCCTCTTTCTCCTTCTCCTTCTCTTTCTTTGTTTGCTTCTTTCGCTATTGCTAGGTGCCTGGTCTCCTCTTCCAAAAGACAACCATTTAAGGGCTGCAGACCTGTGGCAGTCGATTGATGCTCAGGCGTCTCCTGCTGCAAATGGGATATCGAGGTAAGTGAAAATATGAGCTTGTCTTGCAGCTTCCCACCATATTTGGTTAAAACACGCTTATGACCATTTGCCACCCTTTTTCTTTGGCCCTTTTTTTTTGTTCTGTTGATACTTTTGCTTTTACTTTTATTTTTTATTTTATTTTTGCTTTTTTGGTACTTTGGGTGGGGATTTCAATGAACAAGGATGAGCGATTCGAGCCCTAGAGAGTGGGAAGAGGGAGACGCGCTTTTGATTGACAGATTGCGTTCTTTTTGAGACGAGGGCTCCACGTTTCTTCTGGACATGATGGCCTTCCATATGTGGTCTGATCCAACGGCTGAAGTAAAAAAAAAAGAGAGAGTTCCGGGAGACAGCTTTGGGTGTTGGCTACTGAGTTTGAGCCTCTCTTTTTCCATGGTTCTGTGGTTTTTTCTTTGCGCATTGTCCCCCGTTAGAGCTGTTTCGTTGGCCAGAGGGATCTTTGTGCTGCTGTTCGCCTTTTTTTACGTTGAGTCGCTATTGGGTACAGGCTATCTGACTAACATTTGAGGGCCAGCCAAGACGCATTTTGCTTATTCTTGTGGAGCTGCATTCCTTCCGTAACGTGATGAACAGCTCTATTTCTCAAGGCATTTCCAGATCGCCAATGAATACAAAGACTGTCTGATATACGGAGGGCTTCTCTTTCATTCTTTTTTATTTTTATTGTTTTTATATTTTCATTTTTATATTTTCATTTTTATATTTTCATTTTTATATTTTCATTTTTATATTTTCATCTTTATATTTTATTTTTCATATTTTATATTTTATTTTATTTTATTTTTATATTTCTATATTATTTTGCCTTTTTTTCTTTATTTCTCGCACATCAATGTATCTAGGGCGCATCCACGGCGGCAAGCGAACGGACCACTAAGAAAGTAAGTGACACAAATAAAAACCCACCTCCCCTCCCTGCCTTTTCATCTCCCCACTCTTACACCTCTCCCCTTTCCACTTTGCATCTTCCATATCACAATCCACTCGCCGCGTCTACCGCACGAAATCATCTCGCATTCCGTCCTTCACTTTGCGCACACTTGCACACAGGCACTCATACACATTCTCACGCATCCCTGTACATTTATTTATTGGTTGAATGCGAAAAGCTAAAGTAGGTACACGGAAGGGAGACAGGGCAAGAATGATATGGCATGATACAAAAAAAAAAAAAAAAAAGAACAAGAACAAGAGCAAGAACAAGAACAAGAACAAGAGCAAGAACAAGAACAAGAACAAGAGCAAGAACAAGAACAAGAACAAGAACAAGAACAAGAACAAGAACAAGAACAAGAACAAGAACAAGAAAAAGAGAAAAAAAAAAAAAAAAAAAAAAAAAAAAGAAAAGAAAAGAAAAAGAACAAGAACAAAAAAGAAGAGAAAAGACAAAGAAAGACAAAGATAAAGACAGAGACAAAAAAATGACAAAGAAAAAGACAAAGAAAAAGACAAAGAAAAAGACAAAGAAAAAGACAAAGAAAAAGACAAAGAAAAAGACAAAGAAAAAGAAAGCACCGAAGATCGAAGATATCCCGTTCAAGAAAGTTGTATCCGCTCAAGAAAGTTGTATCCGCTCAAGAAAGTTGTATCCGCTCAAGAAAGTTGTATCCGCTCAAGAAAGTTGTATTCGCTCAAGTAAGTTACTCCAGTCCAAAAAGTTAAGTAAATAAAGGTAATAAAATAAGAAAAGCCAATGAAGGTATCTGAGGCCGATCTTTTTTTCCCTTGTGGGTTTTTTTCTGGGGTACCATGGCTTGCAACCTGCCCGCGGTGTACCCTGCACAGTCTTTACTTTCCCAAGTAAGATTGACTGATGGCAAGCCAATCCACTTTCCTTTGTATGTATCGCTTCGAACCCCACACCTTAGAATCAATGTGAAAATGAAATAAAGAGTGAGGATTGAACCAGACGATGAAAAGATGAAAATGTGCAATAGCAAGAAAAGTCTTTGTCAGCAATATAATGAATGGGTTTGTACTTGGCACTCGCACTGCATTGAAGGGACATAGTGATCGACACGTATATCTGGCCCGCGTAGTGCACAGCCTCAATGGTAACACATTGGTCTTAACAATCAAAGCGCTTGTACAACATTCTCATCCATTCGCGATAAAGCTCCTTGCAAGACCGCAAATGGAATATGGACAATACATTAACCCTGGTTTCTGTTATTGCTGAATGCCTTCCTTTATTTTTATTTTTGGAATACTACGGTAAAAGGTACGAGTATGATGTGGTATGTCAGGCGAAAAGAAATGTACACCAGTAAGCACTCCAAAGCCATTTGGATCTTCAAGACAGCACGTCGTTTCCCATGGCGAGCTGAACAAAATCATAGACGATCGTCGCCGAGATCGCCATGACCAACAATACCAACGCACCCCACGCGGTCTTCAAGCTCGAAGCCGGGAACCATGCTGGAACCGCCCGCAGTTTCCACACAGTTTCAAATGCCAGCCCACCTTCTAATGTATACTGTGGTAGATGAAAATTGGACTCATGCAAGTGCTGCTCCTGTCTCTCAAGTTCTGCAATCTCGGCTGCCGAGGCTGCCATCCTCTCCGCTGCTTCTTTGAACGTCATGGGATCCTGGGGCACGGCTACTATATCCAACATGGGCGATGGAGGGCCTGATCGTGCAGAGCCCTCCATAGTTGACCGGCTACGCTCTCTTGTATGTCGATACTTCATGAACCAGGACGATCCAGACCCCTGTGCCGAATGAGATTGATCTGGATCAGACCGCGCAGGACTGGATGGGAAATACACAGGGCTCGAAGGAGGATGACTGGAACTGAATCCGAGAATCGAATAATTGTTGCCTCCCTGAAACGGCGCCGCTAATGCCTTGCTACTGCCGCTCAGTCGAACATTACGGCCTCCTAAGGCAGTTGGCTGGTTTTGCAAGGGCAACCTTTGGGGAGAAGGGGGCGCAGATGGGGCGAGTGAAGGTATCCTATCCTTGGCTCTTGGTGAAGTCGGGGACAAGGTATCAGATGCAGCACGATGAGCGATCGTTGGGGTAGGCGGCGCCAAACAGAGGGACAGGCTGTTGGTTGATTCCGGCACTGAGAGCAAATTCTGTGGTGTCTTCTCCTCCAGGGGCTGCATCGACTGCGAACGTGTTGTACGCCGATGGGATGGCTCGGTCCGGTCCTGGAGCGTTGCAGATGCAGATACCGTTCTGCCATGATTGTGTCCTTTCGGGCTCTGACTCAGTTGGAACGAAAGGCTCTGACTCAGTTGGAACGAAAGGAACCCTGGCGATGAAAATGGTGGCCTAGTTCGCGGCGACTTGCGCTTTCCGTCCTCCTTTTCTGACCCTGATTGGCTGTGGTTGGAACAGGGCGCAGCCTGGGTGTCTTTATCAGTAAACTGCGATGTGCTGGGAAGACCCGTCTTGATGAAGAACGATCCGGGCTGTGATACGAATGCTGCTGCCATCCGACCTAAAGGAGCACGCCGAGCTTCATTGCACCTCGCCAGCGCCTCCGGAAGTCGCACCTGCTCACTATGTGCACTAGCGTCTCGGAACTCCATATCATCAGTATCCTGGTCATCATCTTCTAGGCTATATTCTTCTCCCTGGCGATCATCCAGCAAAGACGCCCTCGATAATTGAGTGGTTGATTTGCCATCACTCGCACTGCGGTTGGAGTCCGAGTTGCGCCTCAGCCGAGGGCCACTTCCCACCAAGGTCGTCATCGCGGCCTTTATTGCTCTCTTTGTCCCATCAGTAAACGAAGACTTGTATTCCAGGTCGGGTGTAGATAGCGCAGGCCGTGACTCGTTCGATGTCGTCCTATCTATGAAATGAATACTGGCAGCTGAATCTGGCGTCGAAGGGAATTGATACAGCGAAATACCGCCTGTTGCTGACCCAGTTCCGGCTTCAAGTTGAATAGAGTCTGTCAGCATAGAGTCGGGTCGCAGGTATCCCTTTGAAGATTCGGACGAAAAGGATATGGAAGGTTTCATGGGGCTCAATCGTCCCGGAGAATCCGCAGAGGAACATCTGAAGGCCAATTCATGTGGACTTGTTGGAGGATGAGGTGGGCTAAGTGTTGGTGACGGCTCTAGTATGTGCTCCGCTCTGTCATAAGTGGGTGTTCTACATCGACCACCTGTTGAGCCAGGGGTATCAAGCATGGGTGTGTGGAGTCGCAGTGTAGGCGATAGTGGCGGTAGAGTAAGAGTCGCTCGATTGTCGTTGTGGACTGTGATAACGGAGCTTTTCCTGTTCAATTTCTTGATATCCGTTGACAGGTTGGCGTTAGTATCGTCGATGTCCTTGCTCTGTGCGCTGGCTACGTCCTTTTTGCTGTTATTCGTGGCCCCGTGCGACTCATTGTCTTTCGAGTACATTTCGACTTCGACCATATCGCTCAGGTCATCGTCATCACCTTCCATCTCTGGTACCGTACTTTGACTGAGAAGAATCATAGGCGGCACCGGCTTTTCGCTCTGCTCCTGCTGAAACTTCTCTGCTTGCTGCTGCACGGTCCGCTTGTGCTTCTCCGAGATCATGGAAAGAATCTTGTCCTTGTGTGAGACTCTCCGAGGCAGAGGAGCTTTGCGCTGGGCCATCTCTGTAATAGGGTCGTGTAAGATCACAGTAGACACTCCAGAAGGTCGATGAGAAGAAGATAGTATAGCCCGGGGCTCAAGCTGGTCGACAGCGTGTCCTGCTGTCGCCTCTAGCTCAAAGAGTTCGCCGTCCCTCGAATAAGAAAAGTAAGGCTCATTCGCAGGCTCTGCCTCATTTGATCTGTTCGGTTCTAAGGCGGAAGATGTGGTCGTCGGGTGATGGGTGTAGCATCGACGATGTGACGCGTGTCGTGTTGGTTCCGTAGCCAGATTTTCCGTAGAGATACTGCGGTGAACTATATTACCACTGCCTATACCGACTGCCACTGGAACGACGGACGCTGCGGCGATTCCTGTGGACGGTGCAATGTCCAGATCTGGGTAGGACTGCGAGCGCAAGTGAAAGCTGAATTCGGTCAGTCGTCGACGGACGGAACCAAAGGACCCCGTGTTTCGACGAGAATGTCCAGAGAAAGAGTTCCTGGACTGTTTCCTGGAGAGCCTTTCATGTTGTTCCAGCTCAATGATGGGCAGCTTGCTGAGTCTCTTCCTGTACTTCTTGGAGTAGATGTATAAAACAAGCGGGATGATGAAGTTGGCTGTCGAAACTAAGAAGAGCGAACTCCAGTTGATGACTTTGGTCAGTCCTGATCCGGTCATACAGGGTATCGCGACTAACCACGGAAGCACACCAGCGGCGATGTTGGCCCAGAAAAGGCTACAGGTGCCAGCCTGGATGAGATTGTAACGGATTACAATGATGTTGATAGGTATCGATGTGATAAGAGCCGCAATGGGGAAGGTGTATCCTGTGATTAACGAGAGGATGGTGACATCGGGTGACGAATTAATAGCCTGAATAAGCGACGAATCACTCGAGATCTGATAGGCCATGCCTCCCAAGATAGCGACTACGGCGTAGATGATGGTCGTGATACCGACACCCCATCCGACGGTCTTGTGGATCGATACGTTCGGCTGCTTTGCGTTCGCCCATGATGGTACTGTGGTGACGAAGGCGTAGTTGAAAAGGATAGTGCCGAATGTCTGCGATATGTCCGATCCCACTGCGGGTACGAGCGTGCTGTCAAGTCCGTGCAAGCAAAAGGTGACGATCCACTGCAGGACAATCAGCAGGATAAGGATGAAGGACAGCAGCTGGACCCATATGTTCTCGCTCAGCTTGAGTAGGCCGAGGGGAAGGATCATGCTGATGGAGAGGAGCACACCTGCCGTCATGATCATGACTCCGGTGAAGGGGCTGGCAGACGACAGCTGCTCGCTGACGCAGACAAGGGCAGCATTTGGGTAGACTTGGATACCGCATGTCCGGTGAAAGATTTTAATCAACAGATTGTCGAAGAGCTGGGCGGAGACTGCAATGGATGCGATGTTCGTAGTCTGCATAGCCAGGAAACAAATGATCTGCACGAGGAGATGGTACCGCTTGCCGAAGAAGCACAGGACCAAGTTGGAGAACTCGACCTGTCATTATTGTTATTGGCAGGCCAACATAGAAATGGAAAAAGGAGGAAGGCCAAGGAGGGAATATTAATAAAAAACATCAATTGTTTAAACGAGTTTTCTTTCTGCATGAAGCTCCCATGCATTGGGCCAGAAAAGCGTAAAACGATAATTTCAGACGGGCCTGAAGATGCCAAGTATGGCTATAGGCAGAACAGAAAGCTTAATTTTTTTTCGCCTTCGCCCTCCCAATCTTGCAAATGATGTCTCCCGCGAAGTCTCTTGTCTCAACGCGTTTATTCTATATCGAGTTGGCTGTACATCAATTGAGATAGGCGGAAGGAAATGTACATCTTGTGGAGGAAGAAGCAAAGCTGACAAAATGCGGCTTCGATGACCTACATTGGATTGAAGATGTTCGTTGCCAGGCACTTCAGTCATGGCCTCGCAGATAAATAGACTGCTGAGTGCGCTGAGGATGCCGACGAGACCGAAGACAAGGACGGTCGGCAGCCATCCTGCGGACTGGGCGACAATTGGCAGCGTGACAAGTCCAGGGCCGGTCATGTTGGAGATGAGGAGTGCGAGACCTCCCCAAAAAGAGATGTCCTTGATAGGGTCCGGGTCGAAGCGGACATTTTGAAAGCTGGAGACATGGCTGCGAATGGAGGATACACTGCGGCGGGAGGATGCGACCGAGATACGATTGGAAGCACGAGAGTTGTGTGAGAAGAGAGAGATTGCGGAGATGGAGCGAGTGAACGTGTTGTTGCTAACGTCGTTCCTATTGAGCGTGTTGCCGCTGTTCTCAGGGTCGCTTGAAGATGCTGGAGTAGATCCTCGGGGTGGATCTAAGGGTGAGGAGGGGCTGAAGACTAGGACGACTGGGGTAACTGAGGTTGGGACCAAAAGATGCCCGGCGTCTTCTGAGGAGGCCATTTACGAGTCTTGCGCTATCCAGACGAGTAGAGCAGGCCATTCTCAGCACAGAAGCATACGTGCACAATCCCATGCAGACATCACATCGCAGTGCTTCTTTCTGTATAACCTGTGTGCCTTCCATTTCCCGAAATACAGCAGGTCCGCACAACACCTCCCCCCCCCCCCCCCCCTCCCCCCCCTCCTCCCCCCATTTGACCAAAGACGTGCATAGCCATTCAAGACATTGTCCCCAAAATGTTGACCAGGCTAGATGGGAGTCCTGGCTAATCGATCATGAGAACGATGGCCAGATTGCACCAAAAGATGCACGATTGGTCCCTCGTCTTTCGCCGCTTTTCTCTCTTGCCATTATGGAGAGAATGAAGACGGCGGGAGATTAACACCCATGGAAGAGGCTTCACATCACACATCTCGGTCCACTTCGCACATTCTCAAGGTCTGCCTCAAAAGCCTGGCCAGGAGAGATGACGGAGATGAGGGCCCCGTCATCCACAACAGCTGCCATTGTTCTACATACTCCCAGCTCATTCCTGCCGCAGGAATCGTACGTACCTTTTGAAGTATTGTAATATGTAGGGTAGCGAAACAGAAATAGCAATAATCAGCCCTTCGCTATTCATTCCCTTACCTCATATGCCAGACCCCCTTTTCCTTCGTCCAAATGATTTTGTTCAGCTTGTCATTAGCCAGCATCGGCTATCAATCATTCCTCAGGACTTGCTTTCACTCAAGCCTACAAAGAAATATGCCAGAGCTCCTTAGGGCAGCTCCGCACAGACTTGGGCGCAGAGTTTCCAGTCAGCTTCTTTCATTGTCCCTTGGACCCAGCTCTCGACCCTTTTTCTAGCTATTACGTACTCTTGGCCTCATCTCATACGAGGAGTGCGCCAGACAGCCATTTTTTATAGTTTATTGCAAAGAAATTATAGGGGTAAGGCCATTGGTGGAGCCAAACGCGCTTTAGCACTTAGATTTTTTAATTGTGCAAACTATCCGATGTTCTTACAGTGTCAGCAGAAGAAAGGCAATCGCCTTATTTCAAATGGAAGGATATCAAGGGAGTTTTTTTTTGTAAAGTCCACGGAAGGATTCTGCTTCGCGTGATTCAATCCCTGGTATCTTCTCAAAGCAACCCCGCCCTTTCATCGAGTTCACACTCGTTCAAACATTCATTTGCTCTTCCAGATCGGGACCAACGTATTCACGGGGGTTACTTACTCTTTTTTTTTTTTTCTTTTTTTTTAGCGTTGTATCTGTAGCAGCTCGCTGGCGGTAGAGACACGCAACCATCGTAATCTTGTCGGCTTTTCTTAAAGATGAAAAGAAATGGAGCCTATATATTCGTTAGGTCGTGCCCTTGCTTTTTTTTTTTTTTTTTTTTTGTTTAATGTGCTAGTTTCCGTTTTTCAGGTCGTCTTCGCACATTTGAAGCGGCCCCTCCTCCCCCCGCGAGAGAATGGTGGCAACAGAACCTTAGCATTTAAAAAGCAGCAGAAACATCATTATCATCATCAGCAGCAGCAGCATTGAAGCCCATTGTTGTTCTCTGTATCAAGGAAGCATTCTCTATATCAAACTCAAATGTGTTGGTATTTCTACCTTATATCTGCTGCTGTCAGTTCTTTGTAGACGAACAGGTTAGATTAGTAAACAGCGCACAGGAAACAAAATAATTAAAATAAAATGAATACAGTGTTCATTTATGTGCTTGTTCGCAAGTTTCGATAATGCCATTGCTTGATATATTTCGCTTGTTTGTGTTGGGGGATTTGTGGCACGGTAGTCTCCGTATTCGTTCGACGGGATTAGAGAGGGGCACAGCAACTGTGCAACAGTATCAAATCTTGAACCTTTCCCACGCTCATCTTGCTATACTCTGTTTCACGCACGGCGTTTTGCGCAAGTTCGCTGACTTTGAGCACATGTTCTTCATTCAGGTACACATTTTAGGTTCAACAGAGTTATGAAGAGCATTGTTTAATGTGTTCTCAGTAATCATGCTTATATACAATATTAGGAAGATTAGCTCTGTATCGAGTGAGTGTATATAAATGCTGTATGCCTTCCTATTTCTTCTCTGATCCCTTCTCGGCAGGGATATCTAGGGATACAGAGGACGAGCTCGCAGTCGAGTCGACACTTTGACCTGCCCCGTATCCAATCCTCTCTTCTATTTCAGCCTTTTCCCCAGATGTGCCCTCCACCTCTTTCATGTCGCCACCGGCTCCATTGCGCTCCAAGTCGTTGCTATATTCGTGGTTGTGGTGTATGACCTCTTCAAGTCCCTTTGCAGTGTCGCTCGCGACCTCTGCAAACTCCGGAGGATCCCTGTTCGCGGCAAAGATCAGCATCATGATCAGACCTACACCACCCATGACAGCGTATGCATAGAATGCTGGCCGGTAACCATCCATCAGTTGGCCGTCGACAGCACCAGCAGGCGTGTGGGCTTCTGCGATGATATTCGCGATCGCTAGGCCGATGGGCGCGCCGAGCTGAATACCGACATTGAAAAACGCGCCAACGATGCCTTGATCCTCGTCCTTGGCATCCGCGACAGCATTGACCTGGCAGCACATCCACGTAGGTGAGAGCCCCACACAGTTGATAATGAATGCTGGGAACGCGTATTGCCAGTAGGTAGAGTCAGGCTTGATTTGGGCAAAAATGATGGCGCTGCCGATGACGAAACACCAGCCAAAGGCCATGATGACCTTCGTCCGTGTGAAAGAGAACAGCTTCGTAACAGTGTAGAGTCCAATGATGAGACCCACGCCGTGGACAATATAACAGCACGCAGTAATGAGAGAGTTGTAGTGCAGCACGTTCTGGAAAGTCAGTGAGGAATAAAAGATCATGGTGTTATATGTTGCTGTGAGGCAGATGATGACGATGATCGATGACAAGAACCGACGAGACTTCCAGATATGAAAGGGCATCATTGGATAGTCGATTTTGTACTCAAGCACAACGAAGCTGATCAATAAGGCAACGCCGACGAGGAATGGGGCCAAGGTCTTGGCGGAACCCCAGCCCGCGGTGGTCGATTCAGTCAGGTAGTAGATGATTGCGATGATGCCGACCATGAAGCAGAAGGCACCGCCATAATCGATGCGGCTGTCAATTTGTCTAGAGGGCTTTTCTTTGTGCTCAGTAATAATGAAGAAGCCTGCGACAGAAAGGGCTGCGGAGAAGATTGCAGTCAAGAAAAAGATCCACTGCCAGCCGATGGTGGCGTCAAAGACTCCGCCGAGCAGAACACCGATCGTCTGACTATGAATATCATGGAAATAAAGCGGAGAGTGTAGGTTAGCTTAAATATTGAAAGGGCGCTGTGCTTTGCACAAGCGTAAACATAGGGGGAAGCAGATCCCCACGCAGCAAACAGTGGCGGTACTTGACGAAAGTACATGCATTTACCCAGTAATGGCAGCGCCACTAAAGATGGACAGCGCAAAGGTACGCTCCGCTCCGGGCGGGTAGCTTGTCGTCAACAGTGCAAGAGCAGATGGGCTAGAGCAGTAAAGAAAGCATTAGACTCTGTTTTCAGCATTTCTCAAGAGAACCAACGACCGAAAGATTTGAAATAGACATATACATGGTGAAGCCTGCTCCAGCGCCTTCAAGGGCGCGGGCGACGGACATGAATATTGGGTTCCTGGCAAAACCACAGATCAAAGCCCAGACGCTGAACCATGAAGTACCCAGCAGAAAGATACGTTTATGGCCAAAGAGATCACCCTAATAAAATCGTGTATGTCGTTAACTAAAGGAAGACAAAAGCAGCTCCGAAGAAAAAGAAAAAACCTTACCATACGACCTCCGATCAACAGGAAGGCTGCATATGTGAGCGCATATGCCGAAACACACCTGCAGCGGCAAGAGAAGAGTGCGGGGGCGTATGTTAGCACAAGCCAAAAAAAAAAAGGAAAGGGCGCTCTACGGCGGAACGTACCATTGAAGATTGTTTGAATCGTATCCCACATCGCGCAGGATTGAGGGCAAGGCAATGGTGATGGAGGCGACGTTGATGATGTCAAGCATGGAAGCCATGGAAATCAAGAATAGCAGCACGCTCTTGTTTTCGCGCAGTCTCTTGTACCAGGGACCCATTTTGATGGAGGGACCCATTTTGATGGGGTCAGCATCAGCAACCGTGTCTGCTGGCATCTTCGCAGCTGATATGTGGTGTATATGTAGACTGTGGTGGGTGCCTGACGATGTCCTTAACGCAGCTGCGCAATGTGGATAAACGTATTATGGTTTGTGGCCGTGGGTGATGTGAGTTTAGGAATTCGTTTTCTCGGTAATGAGACTGGAGGAGGAACACGAACGGAATAAGGGGATGGGCGCGGGTCCCCCAGATTTTATAGCTTTTTGTGTAGGTGGCTGTATGAGGCACAATGTACCAAAGGCTGTCCGCTCATAGTCTAGAGGGAGCAGAGTAATGTACGAGAGCATTTGTGCGTGGTTTGCATGCCGTGCCCTATTCATCCTCCCTCCCATGTTTAGCTCCGAAGGAGAACAGCACGTCGCAAAGGAAGAGGGACTGTGGGCCATCTAATGAAAGGGGAAATGCAGCCCAACCCCTTACCATTTGCCACATTCATCTTGTCTTTGCGCTAGATGTCTATCTGCCACGATGTGCTCTGCCATGGTGCGATCTGCCATGTGCATCTGACTCAAGGAAGACGAGGGCGACGTACAGACACCTGCCTTGGAATTTGGAAACATCTATCTCAGCAGAAGAATGTCGGTATGACTAACAAAGCGCAAGAATAAAGCTGCTTAGAAAGTGCCTTGTGTTCCAGGCGGAGGTCATTGCTATTTGTTACGTTCGACATTCATGTGTAACCATTGCAACTACTGCGTAGATGCTTTATGGAAGTGTCAATCCCGCCATCCATGAGAACTCACGGGAGTTTTTTGATAGCCTCCGAGCAAACGCTTGGCTCACTATCGAGCATGCATTGATCCCTCGCATGGCCTATGGACGTGGCTTTTCGGGAATCGGTGTTGCTGCAAGCGGCTTCGTCGACGCTTATGGAGGACGTCTCCAGAGACGTCAAGTACAGGTGCTGCACGAACGCGAGAGCGAGTGCAAAATGGAGCCCAGTCATAAAAAGGGTGTCCCACAGCAGGTGCAAGTAGCGATATCTGGTCAATTGCACTACTGCAAACAATATCAAGTTCATAGGAACAAACTATATGATGGCAAGGACTTATAAGAGAGAACCGCGAAATAAAGATAGTTAGCGGATCGAGATGGATCGCGTATGCGATCGCCACATTGGCAAAAAAGGGGCCTCTCAGCACGCGTAAACGAAATCGTTGGTAACATCAGGTATGCCTGGATCGATGTCAAAGCAATGGCAAAGAAAACCTACGCCGTGAGATCTCGTAGGAAACGAAATGTCCTTTCTGTATCCCGTTCGCTGGAAAAGAGCGGGTAGGAACCTCTATAACTGAACAGATGGCTGTCGACCAATGCAGAAAAACCGAGAAATATGGTCATGCTGGCGATTACTCAAAAGGCCATGCTTGGATAGAAAGAGGAGGGACTGGATTGGCGGCAAATATTCGCTATTTGGTCGCCTTTGATGAAACGGCTTATCCGCTATTGCTCGTCTTTGTCTCCGCTATAGAAGATGCTGGTTTATCTGTCAAGAATCCTTTGGTCGATGCTTCATCCGGACCTTGTACTGACAGGCTCCTGAGGGCATATCGAGTATACGAAAAGAATCCAACGACAATTGGCATCTCTAGGAGAGCGTGTCCCGCAGATTTCTTGATAAGGTACGATTTTAGCATGAAAGAGAACAATCTACATAAAGTATGGAAGCGTACCTGTGTCTCTGAAGAGTTAAGTCGTTAAGTACGAAAGCGTGCATACAAAAGGGCCTATTTTTCTGCCTCACGGCTTGCAGGCAACATAGTAGGTATTGGGCTTGTAAGGTGTCTCTGTGGGAACCGAAGTCTTGTGCATACACTGGAAGGAATAGCGTTCAATGTCAGAACTGGCCCCTGAGTGCAAGATCGTAGTATATGGAACGAGCAGAGTAGAGCATAGACAACTGCGATCCAGTGCGCCCCACTAGGGTCGGGTTTGAGCATAGGAGGCGAGGAATGGGGAAGCAAAAAGAGTATGTGATACATGTATGAGGGGATGGTCCTACCAAGTTTCCTGAATTGACCCTTAAGGTTATGTGAGCCAGGCACCGCTGGTTTGTTCCCATGTGGGTGCCATACGCCCAAGGCACCTTTTTCATTCTTTCCCCAGGAAAGGCTCCCCTCTGCCATTCCATTCATACACAGCACACAGTCCAGGTGTCTGTCTGTCTGCTCTTTCATTATTTAGAAAGAGCTCTTCGCCACGTTTTTTTTTTTTTTTTTTTTTTTCCTTTCCTTTCCTTCCTTCTCCCCACCGTGCCACTTTGAGCGGTAACAAAAAGAACGCCGCCTTCTCGGCATTCCTCATTCCTCATTCCTTCCTTCCCTGCTCCTCAACCTGTCTTCTCCACAGTCTCCCTGGCGTTGCCCAACAAACTAGCGCCGTTCACACCACAGCACCACACCACACCGCGCTGGACAGGACACAGCACCACCTCGACTCATTCTCGTCGCTCATTCATCCCTCAAGTTCATCCTTGATCAACAGCAACACTAACCTCCCCTCCCCCCGAAGAATCGCCTGTCGCCGTTGCTAATCAGAGCTCCTCTGATTCCTACCGACTTCTTCGGGGACTACTTGATACCAACAGCACGTCGGCCTCTGCACCTTTCTGACAACCACTGTCTCAATTTTTATATCCCCGCAATGCCTCCTCCACGAAAGAAGAGCGCAGCGGCCAAGGGTCCAACCTCGATCGCAGAAGGCCTCTCATTACATGACAAGCAAGAGGCCATCGCACAGATCCTCGAGAGGCTGTCGAATCTCACCGACAAAAGGTATTGTTTCTGTCGACCCCAATTCAGTCATGGAATCAGTTCAAAACACGATCTCAAGCTCAAGCACTCACAGGTACATACATGGCTTGCTTTTTCATGTCAACTGTGTTTTAGTGGTCGCTCAATATCAGAGCTCTTTCTGGAACTACCTGACCGCGATGAGTATCCGGACTACTTTGAGATTATCAAGACTCCGATGGCACTCGATATGATCAAGGTATCTTGAACATCTCCCCTTTGCTTTGTTTATTGTTCTTTGCTGTTTTGATGGTAGCAATAAAACAGTCGAGAGTCAGCATCTGTGTTTGTGCATTGTGTGTCGGGCGTAAGTGGGTTGCACAAGATTCATTTTATCCGTTGTGGCGAAAATCATAGGAGCGTTTCAAGGCTGGCAACTATGTGGACGAGAGCATCAGTGACTTTGGGAAGGACCTCAAAACCATGACCTCCAACGCCAAAATCTACAACCGGGATGGCTCAATGGTTTATAGAGATGCGACCATTCTGGAGGTAAAGGAATATCTCTTATAGTGTTCATTTCCTGCCGTAATTCTAACTGTTTCTAAACAAAAAGGACTTATCGTATCGTTCTCATTATAGAGTTATATCGATGTCGCATTGAAGGCGTTGAAGGGCGATGGCGCCTTGCAACTTAAGAAGGAAGAGGTAGGTCATACTCACTCATGACATTGATTGGATATAAGATGGCGTTTGTGTCCGCACGCGTTCAGTCAAACTAATATATCTGCTGCTATTCTGCCCACTGTGCTATAAGTTCTCCATGGATTTTTGTCAACGCATCCTGGATACTATCAAAAACCACAAAGATGAAAGGTATTTCAGGTGCTTGATGGACATGGAAGGCCTCACATGAACATGCTGATGCATATGCTGATCCTTGCGCTTTTTGTCCCTATTAGAGGAAGACAGGTAGCCGAGTTGTTTCTAGAGTTGCCAAGCAAGGAAGAATATCCTGATTATTACGAAGAGGTAATCACAGAGCCACCTGTCTTTTTTGTAGGCGGCTACTTAGTTTTTTAAATATATTAATCGATATTAACTCTCGTCTTCGAAATAGATCGCCAAGCCAATTGCTATCGACATCATTGAAGAAAAGGTCGAGAGGGGCGCTTATCCCACAATGGAAAGCTTTGAGAAGGACATGAACCTGATGTTTGCCAATGCCAAGTACTACAATGCCGAGGGCTCAGACGTCTATCTTGATGCAGAGGAACTTCAGGTACATGCACTACTCGTCACCTCTGTAGCTCTCAACATTTGTTGTTATATAAGCGCCGCGTTAATCATGATGGCGTTTGCTTTCTTTGTGCTATAATAGCTACTCTTCTGGAAATCGATCGGCAAAAATGGACGAGGCAGGCAGACCAAGGGAAAGCGTGCGCGGAAACACGAGATCGAACTATCAGAAGTTGTACAATGCGGACAGACATACCGAGTCGGTATGTACATACGACCCCTCAATATATATATATATATATTATGATATTCAATTGGCAATACGCTAATAGTTTCGTCGCTCCTTTGTCCTTTGTAGGCGACTTTGTACATATCCAAAACGACAGTGATCCGTCAAAGCCCACGATTGGCCTTATCTTCAGCTTGTGGAAGGATGAGAAGTGAGTGACTCTGGCGATGATATCAAACCAATCAGAACAATCACCCACAATTGTACGTATGGCAAACTGACGATATCGTTGTGCTTTCGTACTTTTAGGGGAGCTGAGGGGCTCGATGCGGTTTGGTTTTTGCGACCGGAGCACATCGTACACCCATACGCCAGTCGCTTTTATCCTTCGGAGGTCGTCAAAGCATCAGGAGTTCACGAGCATCTCGTCAGCGACATTTTGGAGCGGTGTTTTGTTTTACAGCCCAAGGATTATATCCGCGGACGACCAGACAACTGGGAGGAAGGCCAGAGTATTTACGTTTGCGAGCAGCGTTACAACGACTCTTACAAGTCTGTTTCAAAGATCAAAAACTGGGCAAGCTGTCTGCCTGCCGGTCAAAAGCCAGGGGACATTCAATTGAAACTGTTTCCTCAGTCCCTTGTGATCAAAAAGCTGCCTAGTGCTTCCATGATGGATAAGGCTGGGCGGAGGGATACCAGCGAATCGGTTTCGCGAGCCAGCACACCTCAGGATGCGTTCTCTTCATACGCTTCATCACGGGAAGCTTCTCCAAAGCCGGAACCAAAGCCAGAACCAAAACCAGAGCCACTTAAGACGACAAAGTCCAACAAGCGCAAATCAGCTCAGATGAATGTAGGATCACCCTTAGCCAAGGCGATTGCTACTGAAGAAGTAATACGGGCGGCCCCAGTGCCATCTACTCTGCAAGGGCGAGTCGCCTCCCAAGGCCAATATCGATTCCGCTGCAACTATTCGAACCTGAGTACAAAACAGCAATGTGGCTCGTAAGTTGAAATAATTAACAGCACTCCTCCAGTGTGAACACGTTGTGTCAAACAATAATCTTACCGAAGCAAAACATTCTTGGCCTTCTTAGTACATTTGTGAATGAGATGGAGTTGCAGCAGCATGTTGCCGCAGAACATGCGAGTGTCCTCACTAACGCCAGTCCTGTGCCAGCATTAAAGAGAGGTCGACCCAAGAAGTCAGAGTCGAACATGGAGCCCAATGTGGCATCCATGCCCACAACTGCAGCGTCACATACTGCTGGGGCAATGGCAGCAGATCAGAGCGCTTATCAGCAAACCTCATACAGTATGTACAACTCTGCGGGACAGTACGTACCCTCACAGACCCGAGTAGCAGTGTCAGGGCAGGTCCTACCAAGTCAGACCATGTACTCCGGAGCACCCTACCAACAGTCATCTCAGCATCAATCGACACACTACATGCAGCAAACGGATCAGCGAGGCATGCCATATCCGCCACAGTCATATGGTCATCCTGCACAAGGAGGACAGTCTCGACCACAGGGATATTCACAGGGAATGGCCTATAATCAGGCGTACGGTTACGGGCAATCATACCCAGTACATCAGCAACAGCCGCAGCACGCTCAGCACCAGGGATACTCCTACGGACAACCACAATACTCCCACGGATATTCTCCTCAGGGACACCCTACGCATCTGCAAAGCCCATATGTGCAAACGTATTCACAGTCTTACTCGTCTTCTGAGCATGCGCATTCGCATTCGCATCAGCAACCGTACGACCCCTCCTACTCGGCTTCACCACAGTACCCACAGCAGGGCCGTCATCATCTTTCGCCATCATCAAGCTCACAGGGACAAATCAGCCACCAGCAGCAACTGGCTCAGCAGCAGCGCCTCGTTCATCAGCAGCAATTGGTTCAACAGCAGTACCTAGCACAGCAGCAGCAGCTGGCACAGCAACAGATGCAGCAGCAGCAACTGACGCAGCAACAGCATACAGGATATCATCAGCGAAGTCTGTCCCAGTCGCAAACAGCAGCGGACTCGCAGCCGAACCACCAACAACAGCAACAACAGCACCATCAGCAGCCCATGTATACGCCCCAGTCGCCTGTGTCCATCATCGCATCGCAACCCTACGCAGCATTGAATCCACCCTACCAGCAGCAGCCGTATGCACAGCCGACCAGTCTTGCATACAGCACTAGCGGACATGCTCCTTCACTTTCCAACGCGTCCTCTCATGGATCAATCTCGACTGTGACAAACACGATGGAGGGTGTCGGGCTTGGTCTCTCTGGAGTCACTAATGCAGATCACGGACGGGTCGCAACGCCCACTGTGTCGACAGACACGGTCTCCTCTAGCTACCCTTTCAAAGGAGGTAAGAGAAAGAGTGCGAGTCTGGTCTTTTTGTCATGTGTATGCGTATACGTCTTCGTTCACATTTATTAACGCGCGTGCTCATAGTTGTAATAGAGGCTGTCGCCAGCAACGATAAGAATCAAGACCAGTATTTCACATCGCCTCACATGGATGGTGCGATTCTGCCTTTGTCCCAATCGAAGCCTCAGCATTCGGCAGAATATCTTGTAGCAAAGAGACAGCGAATGGATAGTACTCCAGATGGGATTAATAACGGCATGATACTTGGTCAATTGGTTGATGGTCACGGCCACGGTGCAGGCATGGACAATGGTGGGTCTACGATGAGCGCGAGCACAGCACCAAGTAACCCCAATAATGGCAATGACTCGTCGCCGGTTATTCTTCCTGGCATCAATGCGTTAACAAATCAGCTGGACAGGGGAGGTGAGGTTAGCCAGTAGATTGGTTGACTCTTTGGTACGTATACATCAGTTGCAAGCCGACAAAAACCATCGCAGTTGGACTTCCACACAATCATAACTTTCGCTCCCCACATACTCTGCATAGCCTGCTTTACTCTCTATCTCCTTCATCACAATTCTTGCATTTACATTACCGAGATCGAATAAACACGAGCGTAAAGTAACTTTTAAGATTTTGGCCTGACAAGCATGGGCGCGACTAACCGGTCAATATTAAAGTTCCGCCCTGAATGCCCATTCTTGCCTCGTCAAAATCAACGAAGCATTAAATATCCCGACCACAGATAGCCGACGTGTACCTAATACTTCCCCCTTTTGCATAACGAATAATACTCATATAAATGTTTTGATTCTCTCATTACGTCTGGCCTCACTTTTTCTAGATATATGTTAAATAGCCTTAATATTCAGTTGGTACCTGGGCAGCGTCGGTTCTTGAGCAGCAACAGGGTTCATCGACCTCTCATCTACTCATCTCGCCTTGATCCATCGTCAACTTTTTCTCACTCTCGTTCAATTCCGCTGGCCTCCTGTCAAGCCTATCAAAGAACGCTCGACTCCAAGGCCTGCATCTTCCCATAAAAAGATCGACACAAATACATATATGGGCACTGATGTCTCGGTCTGGGGCACAGACTGAGAGTGAGACGCGGGTGAAATATTATAACGAGCGCACTTGCGATATCAGTAGCCGTATCGCCACGCTTTGCAGCGGAGCTGAACAAGGTTATCGGCTGCAACTCAAGTTGCAGTTTTGAAAACATTCCAGCAAGCATTGATGCAGAGCACATTTATTCTTGATTTTTAATATTTTTTTGGAGACTGGATAACTCTTGAAGCCCTTCTGCAACCGGAACGGCAGCGTATACGTGACAGAGGGCGGAAAGATCTGCTATCGCGTCAAGACGCTTGCTTTCTCATGAACTCCTGTATCCCCCATTGCTCACCAAAATTGACGCGGAATCCTGCCACTTTGCCGTCCCCACCTGTCGTAAACGTCAAGAAGGCCGCCGAAATGGCATTGTAGTCATCTAGCACCATGCTAAAGGAGTCGTAGTGGTAGTGCTCCATTTCGCTATTAAAGGAATGCATTTTAAACCGCAGCACCTTCTCCCTTCCCTTGCCGCCTTTATCCAGTTGAATCGAGACGTTACCATACAATGGACTCGAGTATTCCCCAACAAACTCGCTCAAACTACGTGTTGGAGGTTTGTTCTTGATGCGCTCGGGAAAGTCGCCCTTGATTTGTGCCGCAAGGATGTCATATCTCCATTGTGCATCTCTCATGGCCGCGTCGTTGATCCAGTCGAGAGTCTTGGGTAATCCAAGGAGTTCGTCCGCAACGTAGTAAGGAAAGTAAACCATCAGATCTGCGATGTATGAATTGGCAAGGTGAGCGACAACCAACTCGGAATCCGGAAACAGGATCAAATTGGCTCGGAAGCCATTGATAAGGCCACCTAAGAACGGAAACACATTTTGTCAAAAATACATGAAGGCAAGCAGGGTTCAGAGGTATCTAGGGTTCTTAAGTTTTGAATACTTTTCAAACTTACCATGGGAGTAGATAGCTTGACCCTTGTACGTGTCCAGGTCCCAGCCCAAACCATAGACCAACGAGGGGGCAAATTCAGGTATTCTTTTCCGTCTGAAGCTGATGTTATACCCACTCAGCAATTCTGTAACGCTGCTCTTGTTCAAGACCTGTTTCCCATCCACTGCACCGTAATGCATAATGGCCTGACCATAGCGGACGAGATCCAGCACATTGGAATACATATCGCCTGCGGGTGCTTGTGACATGTAAATAGGATCTAATGGGAGCTGTTTGAACAAGCCCCTTTGAGCGTCCTCAAATGTTGCAGCGGTGTACGGCACAGCGTAGTTGGGGTGTTTCTTCATCTCCATGGGCGAGAACCCCGTGTTGGAAAGGCCTAGAGGCTTGATGATCCTGTCCTCGACCAGCCTCTCATAAGAGATATTAGCCACGTTCGCGGCAGCCTCTCCGGCGATGGCATAGCCTGCATTGTTGTAGTGGACAAGAGTGCCCAGCTTGGAGTCAACCTCAGCGTACTTGAGTCGCTTGATGAGGTCACGTCTTGGTTCGGTATTTCTGAACCATGCTAGGTCAACGTCCGGAAGATTCTTTATAGCAAGAAAGTTTTGCGTTGAGTCACTGGGCGGTCGAAACCATCACAGATTGTTACTAAACGGCTACTTACGGTGCGGTGAGAAAGGAAGTCGACCATTGTCAATTGAGAGGTCAGGACTGGATCCCGGAGCTCAAAGTCGGGCAGGTACTTGCACAATGGTGTCGTATCCCAGTCCATTTTACCCTCAGCGACCAACTCGCCGACCGCTGCAGCTGTAAACGATTTTGTTATCGATCCGAGTTGAGACAGCGTCTGTTTACAACACCAACGGCAAAATATTGTTACCGACACTTCCTTCACTCACTTGACAGAAAAGCATAGCGGTCGTATGTGCCTTCCACAATTTAGCATACCTCCACTGTAAAGGGATCGCGCTCGTTTCGCTTTCCAAAACCTTCAGCAAAAATGAGCTCGCCTTTATAGATAATGGCTACGCTCATTCCTGGGATGCCGGACTGATTCCTTGCCTGTTCTAGGATCTCGTGGAGGTCTGAGAGAGGAGCTCGCTTGTGTTGGCGCACCCCACTCACGACAGTATGGCTTTGGAGCGTGAAGAAAAGTGTGAGGAGGAGAGATGAGAGAAGTTTCATAGTGATTGAGTATTGTGTCCCTGAAGTTCAGAATTGAGCTTTCTTCCCTGATTTTATACAGAAAAAAATGGCAAAGATGTAATATTTTCAGAAAGTAAAGACGCGTTCCTTAAAAGTGGGCTGTAGGATTTGTACCACCCAACGTTACTAAATCGATTGGGTAACTGACGATGAGAAATCAATGTAGCAACAAGAGCGCGCCCAGATGTATAGCTAAACTTTAGGACTCAGATCTTTATCGCGATTTTGCACACACGGAAGGCAGCATCCGATTTTTTTGTGTAACTACAACAGAAAGCCCTATACAAGTTAAAACGGCTCGGCAAGTCAAGTCGTATGCTGTGGCCGATTATCTTCCCAGTATTTTTGGCCGTTTGATTCCACGCCCGGTCTATTAGGTGATACTATTTATTTCATTCTAAAGTGCAGCACCATGCCATTCTCTCACCGCTTTTATCCATTCGAATTAAGATGTCGTCACATAATGGGCTTGAGTACTCCTCTGCGGGCTCGCTTACCTTGCACATCAGAAGTTTGTCCTTGACGCTCTCCAGAAAATTACTTTTGACCATCATGGCGATTTACTTATAGGTACCCTGGGATGCCTTGACTGGAACATCGTTGAGTCAGTCCTGGATTCTGGAAAGACCAAGGGGCTCCTCAGCGATATGATAAGACATCAGCGAATGCCAAGAGATCTGCCATCGACAGGACCTTCTAAGGAGAGACATATAAGTTACCAAAGCAAATAGAAACGATCAGAATGTGCAAAAGTTCCCTGCACCTGGTACTGTTTGCCACTTTTAAGTCAACCTGGCCTTTGTAGGTGTCCAGACCCCAGTTAGGATCGTACGCCAACGATGGCTCGCATTCAGATGCTCGTCATGCGCAACGTATCCGCTCGAAAATTCTACTACGTTGTCCTCGTCCATGATCTGCGTGCCTTGCGCTTTGTCGTAGTACACGATGGCTCGCCCATAGCTGACGAGGTTCAGCATAGATATTAGAATAAATTTTACTAGCGGACACATAGTTACGTCCCAGAGATCGCTGCCTGAATAAACCTTTCTGCGCTTCCTTAAACGATACCACGGTATAAGACATAACATAGGGGGCCCACGGACTGACTCTACAATGGATTTAAAGGCATAGTTTCTTGTCGTGCGGGGTCTTAAGTAAACTGCTCTATTCTTTGCTATAGCCTGTATACGCTGAACGCGTCTTTCTTTTATCTAAAGTGTGTCGCAGAGCTGAACGCGCATAGGGCAACTCATTTTCTCACATCAGTACAGGTCAATAATCGCCACAACCCTCCGTGGATAGGTTTTAGCGCCCTGCGACGCCTCATATGTCGAAATAAACCTTCAGTGGTCCCTGTATCTCTCCTTCTGCTGCCGTAACTAGCTGCCCTCCACTCGACACATTTTAAATCCAGTAACTACGCCATGTGGCGAATGCCCAACGGTCAGCATCACTAGTTCTTTCTGCCCACTCTTCGGCTTTAAACCCGATCCAATTGACTTCGAACTCCCGCTCGAGATACTCTAGATGCAGAATGAGATAGCTGTTGGAAAGACAAGCGAGTAAAGACATTTCTTTGATTCTCCAAGCACGAAGTGGATACACAGCTTTTCCAGCTGACTGAAAAGTCTAGTGGACAATCCTTCATTTATTCACAGTTTAGTTTGGGAGATCTTGATGAAGGCGGCATATTGGTTAGCACGCCTCTTTCGAATCCACTGCTCGTACCGAGACCAGAATTCAGCCTTTCTCTGTCCCATCCGCTCTGTCCACCCTCTCTCCAATGTGCAGTCCGCTGTAAACACAATGGCTTCTTGCCACAGTCCGCCACCCCCAAGCCCACCAGAAACGGTTGCATCTCTTGGTAACAGAGAGCGTAGGCCATGTCGTAGGCCATACTGTCGACTAGTTTCGCCCCACGCAAATAATATCCACAGGTCCATCATCCGTTGCGAGAGCTGCTTCTCCTCAGATGAGAGGGTCAACAGAGAGGAATCCGAACCAAAGACATACGGCAATTCCGATCCGTGATAGGCTCCAAGTACGCGTAGACCCATGTCGTCCAAGAGCTTTAGAGGTCGATCAAAGTGAAACCGGACCATCTCCAGCTCTGTTGTCGATTTGTTGTCCTTGCAACCTGTGTTTTCCTCTGGACCTAGGGCCTTCATCAACGCTACGCTGGTCGCGTGGATCGGGTATCCGAACACTGCATCGCTGAGCACCTCTGCTGAGATCTTTCTGGACTCCTTATCCGTCGTTGGTATCCCATAGATCGCTTCGAACGCCTTGCGGTCCTCTTCGGTTGGAGGACAATACCTCGCCAGGAATTTTTCCCACCGCTTCATACGCCTGGCTCCAAGGACGGGCACAAAAGCCTGACCTTCATCGCCACAATCGCCTAACATCACAGCCTTCAGACCTGGGTCGTAACTTGCGGGATCATGGACTGTGCCCCGGGCATCTTCCTTGATGAGTACGCCATCAATCGTCGGAATAAACATGCCCACTTTCCCCCTATCTCCTGCTTTGACGAGCTCTGTCGCAGGGATGGCCCTGAGCCGATCAACCTTCTCGTCTCCAGTCAAGTGTTCTAGTTTGAAGTATCCGCATAGATGATCGAAATATCGCTGTCCCTCAATCTCTGCTCTACCAGCAGCCATAGTCGTTGTTGCGCCAGACTGCAAGATCGCCCGTTGAAAAAGGCCATGGTGCTCTGGGATCAATAAATGATAGGCGATCGAGGTCGCCCCCGCTGATTCTCCGAATACTGTAACATCTCCTGCGTTTCCGCCAAAGACATGAATGTGATCCCGGACCCACTCCAGCGCCATCTTTTGATCTAGTAGGCCCCAATTGCCGACACTCTTGTTTAATCCTGGATCTTGACCTGGCGAATGAACATCTTGCACCAGTTCTCGAGAGGACAGGAAGCCCAGATAATTGAGACGATAGTTGATGGTCACCAGAATAACAGGTCTTCCCAGTTGAATCGATCGCGCCACAAAATTTGTGCCCTCATATATAGGCAGGGCATTCGATCCACTCAAGAATCCTCCGCCGTGTATCCAGACCATGACCGGAATCAATGTCTGTGCCTTCGTCAAATGCTCAAGAGGCGCATATATATTCAGATTAAGGCAATACTCCTCTGAATAATGGATGCTTGTAAGTGCCTCAGCCGTCTTAAGGTCATTAGTGAGATTCGCAAGCGGGTTGTCGTTGGCAGGTTGCGGGCATGCAGGTCTAGTGAATCGAGGGAACTGTCAGCGGATGTGATATGCATTATCCCATATGCGAATCAAGGGTCGATGCACCGATTGCGATAGCCATACCCAAGGACAGAGCAGTCGCGGATTTCTTGCCATGCAGAGGCTCTCGCAGCTGGACGCCAGCGCTGTGGAATAGTTGCGTAGGGAATGTTTAGGAACTTTGCAACATTTGGCTGAGATTCGGCCTGGATGCCCTCGACAGTGCCACAGCCGGGGATTGCAATCCGTGGTCTCTCCAGCATTCTTCGCTGTTTCTTTTGTGTTGATAAAAGACGTCTTCCCTATACGAAAGTCGGTAGGTATAGTGATAGTCAAGGGATGAATGTAGGGAAGGGGGAGAGTAAAGGGATAAGGTGAAAGAAAAATGGAGCCTGGATGTTTTGCGCACGAACAATGCGGCTGGTCGTTCACTTTAAACATGATTCATTCCATCCGAGCGCATCGTATCCGTAGCCTTGTGCAACAAACATCAATGGCCCGTCCTGCAGTTTTTTTTTTTTTTTTTTTTTTATTAGTAAGATGCTGCTTAATATCTACAATGCGACAGAGCTATCTCAGTGCCATGTCTGTGAAACAAAAAAACAAAAGACGGACTTGAATGCTTAACCGAGACGGATGATGCCAGCATTAACCAGCTTGCGGATGTTAGCAGCGACCATAGGGTTCTTCATGTGCTCCTGAGCAGCCTGGGGATCCTCCTGCATCTGTTGCAAGATGCTACGCATGGCTGGGTCTCCCATGATCTTCTGGACCTCAGGATCCTGCTGTGCTCTTGCCAGCGTCTCTGCCTCAGTCTCACCCTCGCGACGCTGGGGTCCCCGGCTCATCTCCATGTAGACCTTGCTAATTTGCTGATCGATCTCAGCAGCGTTCTTCTTGTCAACATCGGCCTCCTTTGCCTGCTGGCAGGTCTCGAGACACTCGGTATATTCCTTCTTCAAGAACTGGATTGCAGCCTTGCGGATGTATCCCTTGACAAACTTGGGGTCCAGTGAGATGCAAGTCTCGCAGTCCTTCAGCGCCTCATTGATCGCCATTAGCTTTGTGTAGCAAGCAGCGCGGTTGGAATAAGCGCGGGGATCGGTGTCGTCACGCTTGATTGCCTCCGTGTACTCCTTGACAGCTCCTGCAAAGTCGCTGTGTTTGAAGAGAGCGTTACCACGCTCACGAGCCTCGGCCGAGAGGGCAGGGTCCCTGTAAGCGTCCTTATCAGCCTTGGCCTTGGCCTTCTCAGCCTCCTTAAGTTTGGTGAGAATGTCGGGAGTCCTGTGCTCGGCCAAGGACTTGCCATAGTATCTAATGGCCTCGGTCAGGTTGTTCTGCTTGAAATACGCAGTTCCAATACGTCCCAGAGCCTTGGCGATCAACTTGTAATCAGCGCGATGCTCACGTCCAACATCAATGGCCTCCTCGCATGTTTTGATGCACTCTTCGTAGCTGCCCATTTCAAAGTACACTGCAGCCTTGTTGGTCAAGATCGAAATGTTGGTAGGGTCCAACTCCCATGCCTTGCCATAGTGCTCCAGAGCCTCGTCGAACTTTCGCGCCTTATAGCTGGCATTGCCGAGATCCTTGACCTTTGCCGCCTCCTTCTTCTTCAGTTCCTCCTCGCTTGGCATCTCCTCCTCCTTGGGCTCTTCTGGTTTAGGCTTGGGCTCCTCCTTCTTGGAAGTGGGCTGTGCAGGCTGGGAGGCGGGAGGGGACTGAGTAGAGGCGGTAGGAGGTGAAGTGGGTTCGTAATCCATAGGACCGGGGCCGTCCTCAGGTCCACGAGCATCGAGACCCATCAAACCCATCAATAGGGACATGATGCGGGGATCTTGCATATGTTGGTTCAACGCGTTGGGGTTAGCCTGAATTGCCCTGACTTTCTCTACGAGATCGGGCTGCGCGAGGAGGGGAGCCAACTTAGGGTTGGCGGCCATCTTTGTGAGGACATCAGGTCCGAAGAACTGGCCGATTCCCATTGAGGCCTCTACAAGAATAGGAAGCAAAGAAAGCCGACGTTAGCTAAGATCGGGCTACGATTCCGGTGCATGGTGCTGTCGCGTTGCTTCTTCCTAGCGCGAAATTTTGAGTACTTACCCTTCTCCATAGCCTGTTGCGTCTCCTGAAGACCCTTCTGCAATTGCACGTTGGTTGGCTCGACCTTCAATCCTGCCTCGTACACATCATTGGCCTCGGGGTAGCGACCAAGCCCGAAGAGAGCGGCGGCCTTGCGACCGTAGCCCTTACCCCAGTCGGCCTTCAACTCGACGGTCTTCTCGCCATCTTCGAGAGCCTGCTCGTAGTTCTTTTGGGAAGCGTAGCAAGCCGAGCGGTTCGAGTAGAGAACGTGGTTGGTGGGATCGAGATCGATGGCCTTCGAAAAGAAGTCAATAGCCGTGGGATAGTCCTTGGCGAGGAAGGCCTTGTTGCCTTGTGCTTTGAAATCGTCAGCCTATTGATCAAGTCAAGTAGAATGTAAGGGTGAGAAAAGTGGTGAAATGTCAGACGCCTCTTTGTCGATCTTGACTCCTATGAACAAACAAACAAGGAAAATACTTACGCTCATGATGTGGATGTGAAAGTGGATGCGGAGTAGTGAGTGATGAGAAGAGTGGCGAGAAAAGAGGAGAAGGACGGAGTGGGCGGTTTCAATATGAAGTCGCCGTTGTTCCACCGTGTTCGCCAGAAGATTCTCGATGGCAACCTTATTTCCAGGCTATGTTTCAGTGCAAGGATCTAACGCGGCTATGCAATTACTTTGAAGACGCGTTTCGCCGCACATCAACACTCCCGAGGCGAAGGACAGAAGGTATTTCAGGCAAGTTGCCAATCATCACCGTCCTAAACCATCGAATGATGCAGTACCATCCCATACCGCATCAACACGAACGACACCACGCGTTCCAGAGACCATAGACAAGTCTGCAGGTCAGCATCGCTGGCAATTGTGCTTTGGAAGCATCAAGGTGTATACTTGGCCGTCACGTCACGACAAACCCTTAAAGTTGAGCCTTCATCATCATCTAGCCGAATCACTTTGCACACATCACCATCCCTCCCGCCGATCATCCCCCATATGCCATCATCCTTCTCTGCAGCAACCTCCATGGCCCTCGTGGCCCTGGTCACATTCCTCTCCTTCTCCTCTATCACAAAGCCCGTCGAGGCTACCGCACTCACCTACAACGTCGCCGCACATGAGCGAGCGTGCTTCTATACCTGGGCTGACATTCCCAAAAAGAAGATTGCTTTTTACTTTGCGGTAAGACACTCCCTCTCGACTCCAGGCTCTTCCTGTAAACACCGGATTCTGTTCAATGCTACAAGCACTATACCGCTGAACATCCAGCGGTCCACAGTGCTACCTATTTTACGCTCTAGCCCAGTGGCCTGTATCGAATCCAATCGCTGATCAGACAGCGCCTCCTTGTCTCCCTTTGATATAGGTCCAATCCGGTGGATCATTCGATATCGACGTCGAGGTTAAGGATCCTAAGGAAAAGACGATTCTGTCGCTCGAGAAGGAGCGCCAGGGCGATTATGTGTTCACTGCCAACGAGATCGGTGAATACTCCTTCTGCTTCTCAAACGACATGTCGACATTCGCGGAAAAGGTCGTTGACTTTGAGATTACAGTCGAACACGAGAAGCGACCTGCCCAGATAGATCAGAGCGAGAAGGGAACGGGCCCTCAGGCTCAAGCCCAGGCCATGGATGAGTCGTTGTTCAGATTGACAGGCGAATTGTCACAGATCGACAGGATGCAGAAGTACTTCAAGACGAGAGAGAGCCGCAATTTCGCTACCGTCATCTCGACTGAGAGCAGGATCTTTTGGTTCTCGTTGACCGAGTCTGCTCTGATCGTAATCATGTCGGCCTTCCAGGTCTTTGTCGTCAGGACTTTCTTCTCCAACTCCAAAAGATCTTTCGTCTAATCATCTGGAACCAGGGATCCCATCTGCATTATGCATGGATATGAGATCAGGTTCAATACAAGGAGGAAAGAATGTATGGGGCACAAAGCAGCACTGGAGAGTGCATACTGCAATAAACGACTTACCTATTGACACCAACCGACAATGCACTTGAACGGATAATGAGACCGAATAAAGTCAATGAAAGCCTTCTTCTATTCTTCGGATATATAATGCGCCTTTAGGTGGAAAAAGGATATTTTTCGTCAGATGGCGCGTTGCATGGTTGTGCAGATTGATCTTAGGGCCATCCTTCGTCTCGAGGATGCAAGTGGCCGCGGAGCGCGTTTATGCGTTTTGTTCAGCGTCGAGGCCTAGGGCAGTGAGGATTCTGCATATATTTTTGGCAGCCTTCTCAGCGTCCTACGTCAGTCATGACCGAAGAACTAGCTCAGGCACGAGAGGACTCTGCGAACCAGATCCTGAACTCAATTCTGACGAAGAATCCAATGTCGAGCACCCTAAAGCGATTCAAGACCAACTTTGTGTTGTAGAAGGTAATCTTTCGCCTATACACTTCGTATACAACAAGTAATAAAACGAATGATAGTTTTTCTTTTAGAAATTCTGCGATGCAAGATACGAAGGCGACTGTAGCGTTAACAATACTTCATAGCCACATGAAGCGGTGTACCCGTGTATTCTATGCTGATATGCTAAACACTTTTGCGCGTCGTGTGTATAATAAGATGCTCCAACTATCAATGCATGAAACAACATGATGCATGTCGAGATAAAGGATGTGAAAAGGCGAGGAAGAGTAATAACCAAAAATACAAAGGTACAAGCAGCAGTATGCGCTATAATAAATCCATCGTCCGTAAACCATCCCTCATCAATGACTGTATCATCGTTTTATTGCTCTCGCTTTTGATGGCTGCTGGAGCGCGTAGGAGAAAAAAAATACAGCGGTGAAGGGTGGGTTGGTGTCAGACCAGCGATGAATGTTGCATTGGCAAGCAATGAAACGCGTCTGATAACACAAGGGGCGGATGGGTGTACAAACTGTACACCGCCATCGATTTCAAGGCAGTGATGGCGTCAATAACGATGGCGATTGAAATGGCCCCTCGAAAGGCGGGACCGACGCAATAACTTGCACTGTGGCGCACTGCTGTGCTGTAATTAGGGGTTGGCCCGTAATTGAACATCGACCGGCAAGAGCCCACGTACGTCAATGCTCGGGGTTGGCGACGTCTGCTGTGCTGGAATGGCCAGAATCGGATGGACCAGGTCGCTGCTACCTGATAATGGTATTGCCGGCGGCTGTGTGTGGCCCTTCATCGAGGGCGTAAAGGGCTCTACCTCTAAATGAGGAGGTATTGAAGGAGTGTGAGGAAAGTGTCCTTCTATAGTGGGCCTTGGAGGTACAGCTGACGAGGATCCTTCATGGGGGCCATCCATTGGAGCCTCGATCTTGTATGACGACTCTTGTAACGGGTCGTCGTATTTACCCTCCATGCCTTCGCTCGCTTCCGCGCCTGTTGCTTGATCGGAAGTGGACAACTGCTGGCTCTTTAGATACAGCTGGTACTCCTTGTGATACTGCTCCATGTCGTAGACTACTGCTCCATTCAATCCCAAGGGCTGGACAACCCCTGTCTCGACACTTAACTGCCGCTGGTTCACCGTGGTTGCAGCGCCCATGGATATGGGTCCACAGTCCCGGCCGCCATCCTTCACGTAGTCTGTAATGGATTTTTTGTTGTCAGCGGTAGCAGCGCCATTGTCCGAGGCCTTCTCCTGACCCTTAAAAACCAGAATAGTCGAAACCGCCTCCATTATGATAAGGCAAATGTTCAGGGAAGCCACGGCAGCCATGGCTGGACCTATACCGCGCTCAGCTTGTGAGTACATAGTCGCGTTCACAACCCAGAGTCCCATCAAGAAAAATGATCCAGTATGTCGAGCAGCGCGCCCGCAGACGTTAGATGTGAATGGAGACAAGCTGAAGAGGGTTTTCCACCAGAGACCAAGGCTAAAGCTTGCGATCGTGAGGACATCTGTAACAAGGGTGGCTACTTGCGAGTCATAGGCGTAGAGGGCGAGATCGTAGATGAGGCAGGCGCCAGCGAGAAGCATTATTAGATACCATAGCTTCCGCAAGTGTTTTGAATCAGAAGTCATTACCGAATGCAGTTGCGGCAAGAGGAGTGAAGAGAAGAAATGGATGGCAAATGAGCGATGAGGCATTAGACGGGATGAGGGACATTTTGCCAAAGACTTGTGAGCGTTGTAAGCGCTGTGAGCGCAGGGGAGCTTGTTTGCATGCCACGCATGCATTAATCCAACGTGCTTGAGATTCGATTATTGTATCCATTCATCCGACTCCTTTATTGTTCAAAGGGACCTATGATGACAGTAGAGATCGTAGTGATGATGATGACGGCGACTGAGATACTTCCTCTCAAGGCGAGCCGAGACGGTCACCTGTCGCCTCATACTGAATGAGGAGTGGTCTGCCAATGCCTGCGTCTGCCTATGGGTAAGACGTTGCTGCTGATGGCGCTCCTTCCAGGGGCCGTTTTAGAGGATTTAGTCCTTGATCGATGGCTGCCGGTGTAACGTCTGACTGAGGATGCCAACTCCATTGTGTGAACAAAGCATTGCACTGATTGTATCTTGTTACTGATATCTCATCATATCTGAGTTCACGACTGAAACTTTACGATCTCGGCCCTGTCAGTCAACTGGCATCCTCATCGTCTTACCTCCGTTCAGAATCATCAACCCTGCGTCGACTGTTGGTGATTAGCACCGTCAGCGTCAATATAATCGCCACTCAGGAATCTCCTCTGCTCCCTACCAAGTCGGACCATCGTGATCAACTCCAGTTGATTAAAGGCGAGAATATCGGCTAGGAGGGGAGGTAGGGGTAGAGGACGATATCCGAGATAACAGACGGTAGTTGCGAGGAGAGTCAGGTACCAGAACTCCAAAGCCGCTTCGAAAAGAGGAACTTCAGACACCAAACCTTAGAGCTTGATTATGTTGTCTCAGCAGAGGCTTCCCACACAACTTTAAAGGTCTGGGAAGTGACTCGTGGCGACTGCTTGTGGGGTTCAAGGACGTGCACCATGCCATGTCGAGAAAGAGTGAGAAATTTATTTAAAGACGGTCCTGGGAAGTGGGGCTGTGCGGATCGCCTTGGCCCTGTCGCGTCATTCGAGGGCTCCATTGACGCGTCTCTTGGTCGCGTTTAATTGTGCAGGGTGGCTACTTTAATGAGTGGTTAGGTGGTGCGAAATCCTCTGCAGGATCGTACGTCGACCATGGTGTTGGATGAAGCTGATATCTAAAACATGGTAAAACAATGAAGGTATCTAGGGAATCGTAAGAGGATGGATATGGATCTAATTCGGTTCGTTTGGGTACAACTGGGTTCAGTTGAACCGGTACAGGACGCCCCATTCGAGAAGGCGGTTGCCTCCAATGGATGCTCCACGTGAAGGAAGACCGTAGGAGCAAACCATGCGTCGCTGTGGCTTTTCTTTGGGTTCCATTTGTTTTTGGCCCATGGGGGAACAGCAGCGCACTCACAGTGCAAGCTTCGAGAGAATTTTTTTCCCCCATTTTTCGTTGTCTCTACGCTTTTCTTCTTTCCATCACCCATCCCTCATCATCACCCACTAGCACCACCAACCACCATGTAAGTAACAGTCCTGTCGCGATCAAAGCCCATCAAGAGCAAGACATCTCCGACCTCTGCTACAGATTCCTCTTCAGTCGACTCGACGAATCCGACACCTTTTTCTTGAATTGAACACTGAAGGACCGTGTGAGATTCTTCCTTGCCAGACGTGCTTCTGACATTTCTTCCATTCCCGTTTCATGTCCCTCTCTCTAGGATTATCTACGAGGACATTATCTCTGGGTAAGAATTTTCTTAGTCTTGGCCTCATTCTCCTTGTCTCCACCTCGTTTCTACCCAATTGACACTCCTTGTTTTCTGTTATTCTTCCTCTAGCGACGAGCTCTTCTCCGATGCTTTTGATCCTAAGGAAGTTGGTTCCACTTACGAGATCGACTGCGCCATGATCAAGGTCAAAGCCGGTGCTGATGTCGATATTGGTGCCAACGCCTCCGCTGAGGAGGCCGAGGAGACTCTTGAGGATGGTGAGGCGATGGTCAACAATGTCGTTTATTCCGGCCGTCTTCAGCAGACCAGCTTCGACAAGAAGGGCTATACTGTCTACATGAAGGGTTATATGAAGGCCATCAAGGCCAAGTTGGCTCTCGACGAGAAGGCTGGCAAGGAGTTCGAGTCCGCTGTCGCTACTGACTTCAAGAAGATTCTCGCCAACTTCAAGGACTATGAGGTATGTGAGCCATACGACGTGGTTACGTCCGTCGATGTTGACCCTTCAGCACCCCATTGTACCTGCTGAATCACTGAAACTCGTATTTTTGTGCTTGTGCTACGCGTTTCTTGTGTAGTTCTACACCGGAGAGTCCATGAATCCCGAGGGCGCTGTCTTGCTCCTCAACTACCGTGAGGATGGTACCACTCCTTACTTCACTGTCTTTAAGCATGGTCTCAAGTCCAGGAAGGTCGTAAGTGGCCGAGCTTTTATTGCTTAAACAGGACCAGTGCCTACTCTATGACCTTTTAGAGAGAACAAACACAAATTGATATTAATAATTCTTCTCTTCGCCTCTGCTTTTATAGTAAATGTCGCACAATGTGCGTAAGCAATAATCGCCGTAGAAGATTGTTCGAGGGCATTGCTCTTGCGAATAAACCCAGAATAAAGCAGAACGACAATTGCAAAGGCCTCGGCAATATGTTGCGCAATGCCACTGGCATGTTTTCCAGTCAAAACACAGTATTGAACGGATGGCATTATTATTACTATTTTATATGGGTATATGGTACAAATGGATGCTCAGGGGAAAGGAGAACGAATGATGTGGAAACGTCGCTGTGATGTATGTTTGATAATGATCCTTCAGAAACCTTCAGAGTCCTCCAAGACCTGGTGTGGGTGAAGTGTTGCCTGATGAAGGCTCTCATAGATATTGCTTGTCTGAATCGCCTGCTGGATCTGTCCGTTGCCGCTATAAGTGCTGCTTCTGTACGAAAGATGTCTGTTGCTAGTGGTACTCAGGCCGAGCTGCTTAATAGACCACCGCTGCGAAAGAGATCGCTCAAATTCGGCCAGCTTCCATGATGAGGAGATGCCCTTGAAGATTTGGGATACCACATCTGCACGCCAGAGAAGGCCATGCGTGCCGCCTTCGATCACGCTCAGAGTGCATTGCTCCAGCTTCTGCTCCATCCAGTCCACAGCTTCCCTGGAAATCACAGCGTCCTGTTGATAAGTAATATATTAAGGGGCAACTATGTTAGAGAGAATGTTGACAGCATTAGACAGATGGAGTGTTCATATCAGTCGTACGTACCTTGGTGCCCCAAAAGACGTGAACTGGGAGTTTTACATCCTTGTAGCTAAATCCAAACGAATGATATAGTTCCAGGCAGACCATTAGATCGTTATTGGCGCCCTCAAGACTTTCAGCCATATTATCCTCCAACATGGCCTTGCACAACTTTTCACGGTCATAGTTCAGGATGTTGGGGTCCGAAGTAGAGGGCGGCTCCTTGGCTGCGACCGAGAGCGACTTGTATAACAAACTGGCTGTACTTTGGGACTTGAGTAACGTTGTTGGGACGTGCTTGATCCACTTCATGCGCTTTGCGAGTGTCAAATGGACCCAAGGAGACATCAACCAGACAGTGCCGACGATACGAGGTTTAAGGCGGAGGGCACAGGCCATGGCGTAAATGGCTCCACAAGAGTGGCCCATCACGGAGAAGCGCTGGATGTTGAATCCGTTAGCCATCTCCTCGACAATCTCAGCCATTCGGAGAGGCGTCCATTCCTGCAGAGACCGACAGTCAATAGATGGATGGATTGATAGATGAATAAACAGGAGCTGCGGAGGAAAAAATAAGATCCTGTGTCTTTCGATGGGTGTGGAATACTATACCTCAGGCTCGGTTGTGTGGGACATGCCTACGCCAGGCCGATCGATGCAGTATATTCTGAGCTGGTGCTTGAAGGCTAGATCCTCGAGGATAATGGAGTAGTATCGCATACAGCCCAGTCCTAGACTAGTTTTCGTAATGGTATTAGACGGATTTAGTGTCTTTGCTGTGTGTTACATCTGGATTTGCGTGCCTGGGATCGATTTACGGTTGGTTGGGTTTGCTTACAAGCAGAAGACGGGGTGTCCGCAAGGATGGCCGACCTCGGCAAAGGAGATGAGTCTGCCGGAGTAGAGTTCATATCGCTGGTTCATATCGACACTTCCAAGCGTAGCCTCGACGTCTGCCAAGGTTGGGATGCTGTCGAAAGAGCAGACAGAGGTGGCCTCTGACATTCGTCGTGACATTGCGATGGGTGTGTTTCGTTGTTGCTTGTGCTGGGTAAGTCGAAGGGGAAGGGATAATAGTGGGAGAGGACGTCTGTGTGTGAAGAGAGGAAAGGAGATGTGATACGGATGATGACCCAATGGGATTGGGCGTTAGGAAGCAAGGTTTAGGGACAGGGAGTGGTCAGACAGGAGGGACGGGATACAGGGGTAGTAAAGCAGGGGACCGTTAGGGTATGGACAAAAAGAAAAATAAAAAGAAGAAAGAAAGAGGAGGAAGAAGACAAAAAGAAAAGTGCATCAAAGATAAAAAAGCCATCCCCACTCCCCCTTCCACCCCTTCCAAGGGTGCTCGTATGCGGGCATGCCCCTGACCAAAGCATGGGCAATGCTCATACACTTATTATTAAAAAGGGTTAAGTTGGCTGGGATGCCATGTTGCATCCACATACTCTTCCATGTCTTAATATATAATTTGCTCACCATTCCATCCAGCTCTTGCTCTTACACCGCCGAACCTTATCTTTTCGTTGCGCTGGTTAAATGAACCAGACTCATCGGGTGTCCGCCCATCCTCTTGCTTGCTCACTCAATTGCTCTTTCTCTGATTTCTCTCGTTCTGTCCTTCTCTCTCGGCACAATAGCCCTGCAATTCCATTAGTCTGCAGTGCATATTCATTGTTGTGTGCTTATATCTCTGTATGTTCGTATGCATGAATAACGTGTTTGTATGCGTGCGGCAGATCTCTGTTGGTCCTTGGGAAAAGGGTAACACTTGCTCGACCAGCACAGTAGCATTGATGACGGTCGCTGATTGGTGCCCTGAGGCTGAGGATGGATATAGCACATAGCCACTCTCTTTTTTATCTTCTCCGTAGACGACTTGTTTAACCGCCATCACCATCATTATTGCAAGCTACCTTTGGATTTGGACTCTCTATCTCTGGATTAGAGCCAAGAAAACGTCCAGTTAATCCGCATCACATGGTCAAAAAGTGCCATTCTGCTCGGCCATCCTTCATATATTCTTAACCACATGGTCGGGTCAAAATTGCAATTGTTTCTGGCCTTGAAACATTATCAGTATGAACGCCATGTACTTTCACTCAACCACAGGTTTCTTTCTTTTTTGTTTCTGCACATCAGTTTTCAGTTCTGAAATCCTCAGCGCCATCTTGTTTATCCCAATTGTTGAAACCCATTTTTTTCCTCTTTGTCATCAGTCGGGATAGAGATGAAACAGCTTTTTTTTTTTACGTTCTTGTACCATTGAGATTAATGCTATCCTTTGATTTGTCGTTTTTATATATGATGAAACTCTCCATACAACTATATGAGCAGCTTGGGAGATGCATGGTTACAAATGCAATATGAAATGATGCATGGTTCATGCAGTACTCGGTAGGGCAATCCCTTGTAGTTATGCCATGTTCCTTTCATATAACCCTATCCCAACGTTTTCCTTCTTTTCTCTTTGTTGACATATTGCCACATGGGTTGCTACGCAGCAATGGGAGTGGCGTTACGCTCTGCCTATCTCATGCGACGATTGAAACTGCGGTTGGTTCGCCTTTCTTGACTGTGCAGACGACACTGAGGAAGTCTGTGCGGTCCTTTTGTCATTCAGATTACCAGACATAAAGCGAGTTGGCAGACGATCATAAAAAAACGAGCCACCATGCCTGATCTTGAGTAAAGTAGACGTCCGAAGCACGAAGACGTTTTTCGCGCCTTTGGGACCACCTAGCCTTTTATTTAACATGCGCACGATAACTTATAGTAAACGACCGAAAAATACTGTTGAACATGGCTGCCATAATTTATTTATTCGCAAATGTTATTTCAGCTGCAGAGATAGGGAGGAATGCATAGCAGAATGGTGGCATGCAAAGGAAACGGCGTCTTCTGCTTCTTCATCTGAACCTTGCGTCATTGACCTTGATACACGCTCATTTTTTGGGTGCTTTCGAGGTTGACTGCTGGTCTCGCTTTTTTGCTTGATGTTCCAAGTCCTTGGCGTGACTCTGCCGGACCAGCCTTCCGATCTGGGTCATGGTCAGCCCTCCAGGTCCTTTGATTTTATTAGGATCTAGGGCTTTGCTATCCGTTGATTTGGCAGTGGAATTGGATGATGGTCCTGTGCGGTTGCTGTAGGTCCTTGCCAGTGTCCCAGCTAGAACGCGAGTGTTTGTTATCAAAGCGGCGCGAGCGTTGATTCGGACGAGTGTCTGCACGCGCATCGAGATCATCGAAGCAAATGGCATGTCGGGATGGCGTGTCGTATAAGAGCGAATCATTTAATGTATCGCCTTACGAAGACGAAAATAGCGGGGTTCAATTGGCGCACGAACTAAATCTTAGGCTTTTGACACAGTTCAGCTTCTCTTTTGAAGTTTATTCGTGTGGGTCAAACTAACGCGCGTCTTCATCCTCGTCGTCATCCTCGGCTTCACCCCTCGCATTGCCATCCTCTCCCTCTCTATCACCCGCAACGTCATTCTCTCTTCTACGCCTCCGGATCATCGAAGGTGCTGAGGTCTTGTCTGGAAGTCCGATTAGAACCCTGCCTGGCCATGCACTATGACATGTTGGACATACGGGGTTACTCATGTTCTTGAAGTACTGTGAAGCGCAATGGTGATGCAGCCTAGACGAACACGCAGCGACCTCGCAGCGCTGTCCTTTGGTAATGATCTCCATGCAAAGCGTACACTCCTGGACTTGATCGCCATATGTCTCCTTGAGGTATGTCTGCAACTCAAGCAACGAGCGCATCGAAAGTGAGTATGCTCCAGCTCTAGAATATACAAAAATGGCCATAAAGGTCTTAAGTTCCTCTCCGGCGCCAATTATGTTGCGGAGCAAATAATAAAAGGTCTTAGTCACGACAGAACGACGTACGCTGATCGGATAAACCATTTGTCGGCCACGAATCTGTCCAGCAGATTTTCAGCTTCACGCTTTGGGATAGCCAATGCCTTATTTTCCTTGTTTTTCAGTTTTCCTGCTTCATGCAATGCTGCTGTCGAGCTGATACAAAACGCCTCATCGTCTGCCATGATGATTGCGTCCAGCTATCGTCAGAGAACATTCGTCAATCAAAAGCGAAAGATATTAGCATCGCGCAAGTAACTGTATACAAAGACGCATATCAGTAGGCTATCCTGAACGTACCAGATGCTTAAAGTACTCCAGTTCCGTGGGGCTGTATCCTGTTGCGACCTGTGCGATTTTTTGTCCATTTGTATTTGTCTAAATCCAGTGATAAAGAAATCGTGGATCCTGCGTCAGTTGACGGACGCAAAGGTTCGTTGTCGCGCCTGCTGGAGCCATAGCTAGCCGTTTCCATCGATGACCGTTGAGACAAGGTATATTCATACAAGTGCCACAACTGCTTCGCCTGATATCTCGTCCTGTGCTTGTCTGAACTCCAGTTCCACATTGTTGAGCCCTTCGTTCAATTGCGTAATAAAGTCTTGGAACTGGTCCTGATCGAATTGTTCTATTGTCAAACGCATGTTCCGTTGGAATTGGGTGATATAATGACAACGGTTAGTGTGTGTGGTCAAGTCCGTCCTCGAGTTGTAATAGACCTTGTTGCCACCAAAAGGCTGGATCGAGTGCACCTGCCTTCCGTCACATTGCAGATTTGTGAGTATACATTCAGTGCAGCCGCCTGTGTCATCAATCGCCGAGAGATCGCTGCCTGCAGGAACAGCCTATGGGTGTTTGTAAAACCTGAGGTGATCATGTCCGGATGTTTTGGGTGAAGAAGGAGGCCAGGCGGTGTTAGCATGAAGGTTTGGCACAGGCGCGACTGAAAAATAAAGCAAGGGCTTCATTAAGCCACCCCATTGGCTCTTACCCTGAACCCTGAAACGACGCCCTCACACCATTCCTACCAGGAAGCACACCAGATCAGGACATTCATTGGATTTGCTATAGCTTCAGCCGCATCAACTTTCACCAGAATCCAAACAGCGTTCACCAGCGAAGCAGGAAAGATGAAGGAGAAGGATCTCCTCTCTAAGTTCCTGGTCGGGAACGAGCTTCACGACAGCGTTACGCTACAGCAGTTCAAAACGTTCTTTCCGTCTTCATATCGATCGCACCCAGAGGTCAATGATCTTTACCGTGCATACCTGAATGCTCGCCATCAAGCCAGAAGCAAAGTCCGGAGAAATATCGACATTGAAGTCAGGCGTAACCCGTACAATCTGGATCAACAGGCACGGTCAGATACGGAGGCCAATGCGTCATCCACAGCAGCCCAAAGTAGCGATATCGACCTCGGTGCTACGGATACCGATGCTATGGATATTGAGGTACGTGGATTTGCACTTCGGCCGACTACAGGACGCTTATGTGCGTAAGAATGCATCGTAAAGCTAATATGGATGCGTTTACAGGACGTTGACAAGCATCTGACACTCGATCAAGCAATTCAGGAGCTCTTACAGGCTGAAAGCATCTTCAAAAGAGAAATCGGCAGGCTTGAAAAAGAATGCGACGAATTCGTCCAAGAGTTCCAAGAGTACGTCCATGCAATTATGTGGCAGTCCGAATCGTCTATTGGAGTTCATGTCTAATTTTGCACTCGCCCACTGTAGCCTGGATCGTGAGATGGATGCTGTGAAAGCTCCGGAGAACCCCGCCATCAGCCTTAGCGAACAATCTTTGATGGAAGATCTTCAGGTACGGACAATTGCTTAGTGGCACCAGCTCTCTATGAGCACGTCTTGTATTCATTCTACTAAAGCTAGCAACACCTTTTATAATAGGATTTAATAACTATGTGCAATTCCATTACTGGTAACGCTCCTTCAGAAACACCTACAGACTGAGTCGTTCTGCATCGTCTGAGATGCTCGTATTTCAGTTAGCGCTTCACTCGTTTGTATAATATCACCTTTACTCTTGTATCATAAAAGTACCACTCCATACTGCACATGAATGTGTCATATTTTTGTCCGCATGCAATTTTGTCGATAAAATGGATAGGCAAATGCACTTGATCTAATTTCTGTGATAATGGTGGTATGTTCTATTCGTGTATATCCAAGAAAAACTCTTATCGGAATAGAGAACACTTTTTGAAGGCTTCCTTAACCTCTGGGCTCCTGCGGATAGGTGAAGTGGAAAGGCATGTCACAATATCCTCCGGCTGCTCTCTCCAAGTGACATGTGGTACATCCAGACTTGAAAGACTTGCTGCTAAGGATTCTAGTTGTGGCAGATTCTTGACCTGATTGAGGTCGGTGTTTGGTCCGAGTATGGTACGTTAAAAAATAAAACGTCCTCGTCGCGGAAGCTTTGTATAGTGATGTATAGTAAAAGATATAACGTACCTCAAGGACGACTTTGTGCATATTGTGCAAGTCGGCTAGATATTCGCGCGTATCTTTCAAATCCTGGGTATTGTGCAAGACGGCCGTGGATGCATGGCATGCTTGAGCAATTACACTGCAGTCGGTTACGCGATGGAAAATGCGAAGAAAAGCGTAAGATGTCTTTGCTTAGGTTTGATGTTTCCAGTACTTCACGGAAACAGCTCTCAGTTACCTGCCAGTTGACCATCCAAGGGTCTGCGAAATATGTGGATAGGGATGCACATCAGTAACCCTGTGATAATCGCCTAGTATGCAGTATTGTTCGGTAAATACAAGCACTGGTACCTTGATTAAATCCTTCCGGATAACGATAAACATAGTTAGAGGATCGGCCATTGTTGAGATATGGGATAGCAGAGCGTAAAGCGGAAAGCGCTCAGTTTCCTTCTTGTTTGCAAACACATAGTCTTAGTTTAGATCTAGGAGGGACGTACGGTTCGTCACTTCGGTGACGTAGTTTTCGCGCCCATTGTCCTAAAATGTTGGTTCGTCCTTCGGATCGTACCTGTTCTTTCTGCACACTTGAACAATAAAGATGCTTGCTGCCGCGCGATGCGAGCTCCACATACAACATGGTTTTATCTTCCACGCTTTAATCAACCTATTCCCTTCGCGCATACTTTCACCCCAGTTGAACAACCGCTGTCAATTATCGTTATGACATTCTCTGCGGCTACCAACTATCCAAGGGGAAGAACAAATCTACATTCACCTGCTGAACATGGTCCTTCTGGCTCGCACTGCCATGACCATCACTCTCGTGTTTGACATTATTTCGCTTTTGTTGATTCAAGGGTAATAACAAAGTGTTCCAAAGGACGATCATTGTTCGTGTCTAGGCATGTGACATCGCCTGTTTTAAACAGTATTTTCGCTGTGTTAGCGCTAGTATAAATGAAATAAAGACAAGCACCCCAGTTTAAATATGACAGGCGCTTTGTACTCGACACATATGCATGATGGTACCTAGTTGACTGATCGATACACTAGTTTTTCCCATAAAGAAAAGTGTTCAGCTGTAGGAGCATTCTCCGTTATCGCAGAAAAACCTGTTCTGTAGTTGTAGCGCAAACATTCCGCTTTTCGTTTCGATGTCTATATTTCATATCCAATCGCTGTCGTCGTCGCTCCTCCACTCTGCCACCTTTTTTTTTTCTTTGCTTCAACAGCATCGACGCGGTACTCCTCCCTCTCCACACAACACACTTCATTCCGCCCACCCTTCTTTCACCACCACTCCGCATCCGCATTCTTATTGCTAATTCAGCCCAATCTTTGTCTTTTTTTTTTTTTTTTTCTTTTTCCTTTTCTTTTCTTGTCGGCAGCAGTGCTCTCAGCGATACGTGTGTATCGGGTCGGTGGAACACGCACGCTGGCGCTTTCATAAGCGGTTGCAGGACAGCAGATGCCCTTCCCTAATACATCCCCGGACCTCATGGCAAATGTCATGGGTGGATCCATACTTTCATCGTCCTCTACCGTCAACACCCCCCTCAGTGGCGCTGTCTCAGCTTCTTTGAACTCATCCTCATCAAAGACCAAAAAGGATGCCAATTCCGCTTCTGGCAGCGGGACCGTCCGCATCTTTTACTCGCTTCAGGAGAACCCAAACGCCATCATCTCATACGCGGACCTGATCCGCTTAGAACAGAAGCGTCAGCGTGCAGCTCAGTTACAGACATCGCCTTTGTCCAAGAGTGGTGCCACTGCAACTTCGTCAGCGTCTACAGGAGTAACACCCAACGTAACAGGATCCTCTTCCACCACAGCCTCACTGCCAACATCGTCACCCCTAAAAAATTCAAAGGTCACCGGGACAGGGGCAGGGGCGAGTATCAAAGACGTTAGTCAATCTTCCACGACTGCTATGGATATTGACCCCCCAGAAGGCGAAGAAGCGCTTGGAGAGGGAGACAGCGAGGCAGAGGATGATGACGAGGAAGATGAAGAAGAACATGACGAAGAGAACGAGGATGGTACGGAGGCAGAGGACGAGGACGATGACGAGGACCCCGACGAAGACGACGAGGAGGAAGATGATCCAGAGTCTGGTAAACGAGAGCCCAAGGATTTCCTGGAGGCATTAACCGAGAAATACGCCGGACTCGAGGAGGGAAATGAAGGTGAAGATGAAGACGAAGATGAGGACGACGATGGCAAGGTATGATTACCCGTTCTTTAATTCGAGCTATTCTTTGATGACTTTCATCTCTGTCGCTTTGTATGTTTGTATTGCGCCGGCAGGCTTTCATTTATTTCTGCTCAAGTATGAAATGAATTATTATGGGAGTGTCGGTAGCCGATGCTATTTCAGCGCGTGGCACGTATCGCGTGTAGTTGATATGTTTCGATTGATATGGGAATGTCAGTGCGCTGGATATCATGATCATTGTTTGACGGTTGGTCTGAATTGCATCACTCTTTTACTGGATCACCTTCAGGGACAAGTATATAAACGACCAAGTCGATGGGACACGGAGCACTACGATATTGAGGACGAATTCATCGACGATAGCGAGATGATGCTCGAGTCCATTGGCATGGTACGGCCCAAGATCGATGGCTTCTTTGCGTATAGAGGACCTGTCGAGATAACAAATGAAGATCCGTAAGTGAATGTATTTCGTAGAGGCGCCCACATCATTCGCGCAATCACTGCTCATGCTTTAACACGCGCTGCATTGATATGGTTCTAGTGATTCATCGGACGCAGGGCCACGATCGAGAAAACCAGCAAAGAGGAAACAGGCTGCAGCATCTTCGCCTCTAAATACAGGGAAGGGTGCCACGAAATCAAGTAAAGGATCCAGTCTGGCAGTCATGGAAAATGCCAACGATTCTATGTCTGAGATGAGTGAGATGGATGACAAACCAAAACCGACCAAAAATTCAGTAATATCTGGGCTTGCAAACTCTACAATTCCATCAAACGAGGGGTCAGCAGCAGCAGCAGGAGCCGAAGGTGGAACAAACAGCGCAACCGCAACTCCAAAGAAAAAGAACGCTCCTTCGAAATCGAAGGCTGCAGGAAAGGAACTTAACAAGGACGGGGTAGAGGCCAAGGATTCTGACAAGGAATCCAAGGCAGGACCAAGCAAGAAAGCAAAGTCGAAGCCTTCCAAATCCTCTGCAACTTCATCGACACCGGCAGTAAGCACGCCTATCGTACGAATAGAATCACCGCAACCAATGGATGATAATGCCGATAACTCGACTCCGCCACCTGAGCCTGTCCGTGCATCGTCACCGTCTAGATCGAAATCGAAACCAAAGGCGAGTGCCACAGTGGAGCAGGATTCCACGGCTACAGGAGCACCCTCTGAGAATGCTGAGGCATTGGTGTCATCATCTACACCGCCCTCACTAGAGACTGCATCTGCCGTCAATGAGTCTGCCAAAGGATCAGCGAAGTTAAACACAGTAGCAAGTGAGGCAGGCTCCAAATCAAAAGGACACAGGACTCTAGAGCCTTTAAACGAAGAAGTGCAAGTGGCGTACGACATTGTGGCTGATTTGGCCAGGAAAGGTAAGGAACAATTTGCTCCGCAAAGCTCTCTGCTCTAATATCAGCTATTTAATATGGTGCCTGCTAATATTCTGCTTGCTTTTTTCTTTAGAAACATGGGAAGTGAAGGCACGCTTTCCACCCCACATTAAGGCTCCACTGTTTGAGTGTGCAAGGATTGCGCTTGCGACGCGCTCTTCAGGATATGTGCTGGAGGACAGCTTCTTCGTCCACTTACAGGCAGTTTTGCCCTATAATAAGTTTACGCTAAAGGTATTAGGCGTCATGAAATACTGCAAGGTTGGCGTACGATGTTCCGGAACCTATGTTAACAATGCTATCTATGTTTTTGCCAACAGAAACTTATCTACAAGAATGTATTGCCTGGGTGGATTGCTGATTTGGAGGCTCAGAAGTCACGTCTTATCGAACAGTTCACGACTCGCGCCAACATGGTTTGGAAAGCCTCAGGATTGGCCGATCAGCCTGAGAAAGACGGCGATGGAGATGTGAATATGAGCGGCGAAGAAGGTACTACTGGAACTCTAAATAGCCGGTCCAGGCTTAACGATAGGCTGATCTTGTCGGATCGTCTGCTAATAATATCTTGTGGTATCTCTGGTAGGCAAACCTCAAAGAAAATTCCCTTGGAGTCAGGACCTTCGCTTGCTGCTGTGGGAGACAATGGAGAAGTTCATGGAGATCCTAGCTGCAAGGCAAGAATTCCGTGCAATCGATGAAAACCAACCTGCACCACCCTCGGATTCCAAGACTCGGAAAGACGCCTATCAAACGGTATGTTTGTACTGCAATTTTCGTGAGGACGTCGTATTACAGGCATTAGTTGACAATATTTACAATTTTACGTCTTCTATCTTCTTGCCTATAGTTATTACTATCATTCCCGTCAGGATGGATGACATCGTATGAGATTTCCCGGCAGTACAGTCAATTGAAGGAGAAGGTTCAAAAGCAGGAAAAGCGAGAGGTCGAGTCAAACAGTACAACGGTGCCAATAGGAAAGCCCAGGCCGGTCTTTTCGGGAAATATAGGCCCCAAGTCAGGTAACGTCCCTTCAACAGTCCGCAGTGCAGGAGCGCAGTCCTCTAGTAGCACCTCTAGTACCGACAAGCAACCATCCTCTGCAGCTCCGGTGACTCCTGCGCCCTCTACAACGTCCCCAGCACTATCAGCAGCAGCACTACCACCATCGTCATTATTAACTACGTCACAAAGCGCAGACGCTCCAAGAGAGGGCACTCAACGAATGAGTCCATCCATATCGCCTTCGATCGTAAGCCGTTCAGCTCATCTCTCTGAAATCGTGCACCCTGCGTCCCAGCAGCCACGTACGCAGCATGCCCTATATATGGGAGGCCCGATGGCAGGCAGCGGAAAATCAGCGGCGAGTAAGAAAAGAAAGAATCCTGAAGAAGGTACTGCATACAATACGCTTGTTCTTGGCTGTGGGCCTCTTTTGATGTGTGCAACTAGTAGCTAACACTATACTAACATACAATAGGAGTCATTCAACCCCATGCATCTGAATCTGGCCATGACACTATCCATATTACGGAACCAACATACGATGACCCTGCGAACTATCGGAAAAATAATAGCGTACCCGATTATGCGTCCAATCCATCCTCTAATCCGTCAACAAACACAGGGAATCCGGCTATGTATTCTTCCATGCTTTCCAGCGAGGCTACAAAAAAGAAAAGAGCAACTGATCAAAGGCTACCCTCATCGATGTCTACGGGACCAACTCCAATGGGACACCATCCTGGTTCTGCTCCCTCCTCATATCATCAAGGAGCACGGGAATCCATGTATCAGCAACGCCACCCCCCGTCGCCACCGCAGACATATGCATCGCACCCATCGCGAGGATACCCTGTGCCGCCATCACAACAGCCGCAGCATCCCTCGCCTCACCTTCATTACCAGCACCACGAGCCATCGTCTTCACAGCATCATCATCGTGTGGGATCATCGAGTGGGTCATCAGGGGGCGGCAACGCATATGCTCCCTCTGTGCACTCATCTCCCTCGAGAGTCCTGCCACCACCATCAGGTCCGCAGACCAGTTCTGCCCCGAAAGCGATGTCCATGAGTAACCTTTTACACCATCCACTCCCACCACAGCAACAATCTCATCATTCGCGCCAGGGCCCAGCATAGAGCCCCTTCTCTCTTCGCGAGCATTGTCTTGAGCCTTATTCTTTTGTTGCTTTGACCTTGTATATGATAATAAAAAATTTAGGAACGTGCAAAAATTGGTGGCACTAAAAATGTCCGCACAGCCCCCGGTGACAGCCTTTCCTCACAACACCTGAACCTCAAACCTGATTCTCATACTTTTCATCCCATGCAGAACTCTCATCTCCATGTCAACGTTTGATGGTCTCATCCGAGAGTTCCCCACCGTCGCCATCGACAACTTTAAAGAGCGCCCCGGCGTCAATGTCTACCTGCTATCGCACGTTCATAGTGACCACCTATCAGGATTGGCAGCCAAGGCATGGAATACAACAATATATTGTTCGCAAATCACTGCCCAGTGGCTGCCGCTGCTCGCAACAAGATCAAAACAGATAGCGTTCGAGTCAGGGCAGGACCGCGTTATGCAAAGGAAATACGCCCACCTGGCACCCTTTTTGGTACGCATTTGATGCTAATATGCGAGAGAGAACGAAGCAATTGAAATTCGTATTTGTCAAGGCGATCGTAGTTGTTCAGTTGAAAGGAAATTGACTTGTGCGATTTTCTTTAATGCGATTAGAGGCCACTTGCAGTTGACTTCCCACACTACATCGACCTCGGCAATGGGCGGCAGGCGCGACTATGCCTTATTCCAGCGCATCATTGCCCAGGCGCCGTCATGTTCCTGTTGCAAGATGACAGGTCCTGCATTCTGTACACAGGGGATGCTAGGAACGAGGTATTGAACCTGCAAGGACTGAGTACTATGCCAATTTTCTCGTCTTCAGCTCAGCGGATTGACAGACTTTATCTTGACACCACATGCTGCCACCAAGCCTTTCAGGAGTTCCCAAGCCGAGTACGTTGTAACTTCAAAAATGACGGGATTATGGGCATCAAAGTTTGCACTCTTTAAAAAAAGGCTTGCTTTAACCATTTCTGTGAACGCACTCCCGATTCCCTTATAAATAGGATCTCGCGATTTCAGACCTGATAACATTTATTAACCGCAGACCGCGTCTCGCGCACTATTACATCGATGCCTGGACATTCGGTTACGAAGACATATGGATCGCGCTTTCGAAGGCCTACCACACAAAGGTCCATGTATCGCCATATCTGTACGAACTCTACGAGGCAATTGACGACCTGATTGATCCAAAGATCTTACCACATTTGACGCTCGATGGGATATCGGCTAGGTTTCATTCCTGTCGATTGAGGCCGACATGCGGGTACGGTGGTGCGGGTGGAGAACATTCTTCCGCAAGAGAGTTGATCAGGATTCAACCAAATGTGCCGTGGTTTTCGGAAATGGTGCGCAAAGCGAGAGGTACGGAGGGAACCTTTGTGCAGAGTTCAGTGGTCGGAAGGGGTCATTTGTTCAAGTTCAATGAGAATTTACCACCGAGCATCGGGAAGAAGGACGACCTTTGCTATGTAAGGTCTTTAGGAGATAGCTTCCTGAAAGTATGTCACTGCTTTTATTATTCATGCGCGAGCTCTAACCATTATTTTTTTTTGGGATGTGACAACAGTATATCAACTACGCGTGCCACGCGTCGCTTTCGGAACTACGGCAGCTCATCAGATTGGTATCTCCTCGCGCGTTGTTTCCTTGCGTACTCCACCGTGATCCCACGTTCGGAACACTGTACAGGTCTAATCGCGATATCATCGGATTACTGGTCAAAAGCATACCTGAAAAGACTTTTTTCTTAGAAGTGGAAGAATATGAGGAACGATGTCCTTGTCTCGCCGATGGAATCACAACTGACTTTCAGAGTTTTCATCATGCAAAGGAATTCCATGTCCTGGATATGAGTGATACCGTGCTCGGAATCAACCCACTCAACTCATCGGGCAACAGGGGTGTCACTGCATTGGATGCCGGCAATGTCCATCTGACGAACCGTTGTACCAAGGCTATCTCTACAAAAGAACCCAGCCTGATCTTGTCACCGCGCTCGAATCATCTAAGAAAAAAAATGGAGAAATTGAAGCGACAGCTGCGCAACACGGCAAGTCTTGAGGAAGATGGAGTCGCAGAGGAAGAGTCGATATTGGAGGATGGACCGCTATCATTGGATCTGGAGGTCATTGAACGGAAGCGGAAGTGGTGGCTAGAGCATGAGAGGGGGAAGAGTACAACCCAGGAGGAGTGGATCGGAGATGAGGACACGGATCGACAGAGCAGCACGCTGCAAAGCAATGTGAATCATGGACAAAGTGCGGGAAACGCGAAACCTATCGCTGGCGGTGAACACGCGGAGGATGGGAACGAAATCAACGATCAGATAAGACACACGAAGGGATGGTTCGATCAGAGCACTTTGGAGCTGAACCCATCAATCCTGGGGTTCGAGAAGGAAGAGCAGCAGTACCAGGATTTATCTCCCTCCCATTCCTTGTCAACAAATAGATATCTCAGTTCTAGTCCAGATTCTATCTCTAACTGTGCGACCTATACGGGCCATACCTCTGGAGATACGACCAACCTCATCTCATCTGCATCATCAATCGTCAACCTACCTTGCTCTATACCCACTGCTTCAATCCCAGAGCCCAAGCGAGTGGCTACTCGATCGGAAACTGCTACAGGTGCAACAGGACTATATGGCTCATCACCAGTATCTCGACCTCCAGCCAGGGCCAGCGAAGCACCTATCGTCGAGTGCATATCCATCATCTCCAGCAGCTGCTCCCTACCGGCGCCTTCCTTTGGCCCACCTTCATTTGAACCGATATCAACACTATCATGCATCCCTAGGACACCACCTAAGCGTTCCGACTGCGGAATCATCCTCGGAGAAAGCCCTACGACGACGCGCTATTACTCAGTTATACCACAACCTCTTAAACGGTCATCTTCGCCTTCACTACCGCACTCATTCAAAAATACAGCACCAACTATTGGGAACATCTTCGCACAACTGGCATGGTCACCGCCGCTCCGACCGACCGTCCAACTGTCCCGCGCGCAGACAGACCCACGCCATGGCCTACAACGAGAGCCGAGGCAACATTTCTCAACGACGACTTCGCCCAAACGGTCTGCGACGACGACATTGGTTGGCAGAAGCGACGATGGCGATCGGGAAGTGATTATTATTGAGAGCAGTGACGATGAAATTGATGGCCTAGAAGTGGGGCAACGAAGGGATATGGAAGCGAAGAAACAGAAACCGAGCCAAGCGTCGGAACAAGATCTCAGTAGCCAAGATGTGGCCTGCTTGGAGTACCAGGATATGGTGCTAGAGAACGGGACATTATCGTATTTGATGTAAATAATGAACAGCGACATGATGATGACCTGGGCGAGGTTTATTCTATAAATAAAGTATTGCTTAAATCATGATGCATGTGCGGACGAAATCAAAGTGGCACTGAATGATCATAACGAGGCTACGTTGGATTGATCGAGTGCGAGGACGCGCTTGAACTCGTCAACGTATTTCTTCTTTGCTGCCGCATGATCCACAATCGGTGTGGGATATCTATGAAGAGCCATAACGACAAAAGAATGATCCAGGTAAGAGTTAATGGACGCGATACTGTATCGTAGAAGCGATTGAGGGCCGAGTTGGCTAGCTTACCCAAGTTTCAAGAACTCCTTGGATGGAAGGGCATGATAAGGTTCGTGGATCTGTTTGTCGTTCAACCCTCTCAGTTCTGGTATCCACTTGCGAATGTATTCGCCCTTTGGATCAAATCTCTGTGATTGCAAAAGCGGGTTGAAGACACGGAAGTATGGCTGAGCATCCGTTCCAGTTGAGGCGCTCTTACGCGACAAACGAACAAAATAAAAAGCGACATATTGTTAGCCATTTAGTCCGTAAAATATCGTAGAACGCAATCATCCAGACTGCTGTTGTTCACATTACCCACTGCCAACCCCCGTTATTGGACGCCAGGTCGCCGTCGATGAGTCGCTGCATAAAGTATCGCTCGCCCTTGTGCCAGTCGATGAGCAAATCCTTGACAAGGAAGCAGGCTGTGATCATCCGCAGACGATTATGCATAAATCCGATCGAGTTTAGCTGTCGCATGCCTGCATCGACAATCGGGAACCCGGTCTTACCGTCACACCACCGCTGAAAATTTTCCTCGTTCTCATCCCATTGAACTTTCTCGGTCTTTAACTGGAAGGCTCTGTTCATGCATACACGAGGGAAACACACGAGAATGTTCCTATAAAACTCCTAGTGGAATGAAAAAGGCAATAATACGTTGTCTGTGTCAGTACGGCATCAGGGGTAGCCTCACAGAGGATAATCAAACCTATAAGGACATATCATACTCTCCAACCCAGTTCCTTGATCCAGAATTTTAATCCCTCGTTTCCAGTTGTGATTTTGTTATTGTTGGCTACCCGAGCAAGGACAATGCACTGGCGCACTGAAATGATACCGGAGCTGATATAAGGGCTCATGACACTTGTGCCTTCTTGGAATGGAGTATTGCGGCCCTCGTGATAGACCTTCCCCTTAGTCTTGATGAATGCATGTACCCTGTTGTGTGCCTCCTCTTCTCCAGCAGGGTAAAGACGGTTGACTTCGTCGATGTCCAGATCATGTGGATGAGAAGACGGTACGTCAGCCTTAAAGTAATTTACATAGAGTTCTCTCGCCTCAGGTGGGTTCTCATCCGGCGCTTCGGACAGCTCCAAGTAGTGGGGTTCGGTCTCGACAAGTTTGCACCATGTGTTGTAGAACGGCGTGAAGACCGCATATGGGTTTCCAGTCTATACCCATAAATTAGTAAAACGTAAATGCCATTTGAGTTCTCGCAAAAGCCTATTGCAAATGACTTGTGTCACCTACTTTGGTTCGAACCTCCAGTGGGTTAACAACACACTGGTCGTCGCACTCCTCAACGCGAACATTGGAGATTTTCAACAGCCTCTTCCTGACCGCGGCATCTCTTCGCCTCTCGTCAATCATCAGCTCCGCATTCCAGAATACATGACTGATATCCATCTCACGTACGACGGATTCAACCACTCCCACAACATCTGTCTTGTGTTTCGCAGTCTTGACGACTAACGGGATCGCCAACTTGTCCAGAGAAGTCTTCAGGCTGGCCAGGTTTCTCATCCAAAAGTCGATCTTGACGGCTGCCTCGTCATGTTCTTCCCATTCTTCCTCTGAAATGATATACAGCGCAATGAGACACCTGGCGCCAACCTTGGATCGCATGGACGCCCCGTACAGAGCTCTGTTGTCCTGGAGTCGCAGGTCGTTTCTGAACCACATGAGGGCGTTTTTAGTGACGAATGGACCTGTGTCTTCGTCCTTGATCTTAATGTTGTCGTCGAACCGATCCGTATGCGAAGTCGTGTTGGTGACGTGCTTGGCCGCCTTTAAACGTGGCCCCTCGTCGTCTGCAGCATGGCTCCAGATACGCTTTCTGAAGTCCTCATGCAGGGTAGCGTCGCCGACTTCTTCATTGGAGCTGTTTCTCTGGGGGGCCATCTTTGTGAAGAGCGGTGCGAACGTTGCTGGTGTATCAGCAACAGTGGTAGTGCTAGACTTGTTAACAAGACTGCAGTTGAATGAGGAACAAGGAATGAGGGGAATGAGTTTTGAATGAGAAGAGAGCAGCGGACGAGACGGTAAGCGAGTCCAGAATAAGATCACCATATGGCTTTACTTCGTTGATGAAGAGGGATGGATGGAGCGAGAAATAAGGTGGAAAGAACGGATATAGCGACCAAAGGACCAAGGACGGCTGTATCGACAGACTTGAAGAAAAGACATATCGCAGAGGAGCCCTAGAAGCGCATAAACGCAGATCCGCAACCTGCTATCTACACAGCCAATCAGCGGCCTGAAAAAAATTGGTGGCGTACTTCTTCAATTTTTGAGGTGGTGAATATGCAGAACATTCGCCCAGCGATATGCTGCGTTTATTAGATATTCGTCGCTAATTATCATTCTATACCACTAGACAAGGATAGATAGTCCTACTTGCTTAAATTCGTTAGAACAGTGAGCCGGCACTATTGTTTTGTGGGTCATGATAGGATTTAGCAGGCACCGCCGTCCTTCCAGACGCCCCAGGCAGAACCGTTGGGAGCCTCACCCTGGGTCCACCACTGGTTGGTCCAGAGGTGTCCGTTATAGGTAACCTTGGTTCCGGGGGCAGCATAGGCAGTGGCGCTGCTCCAGACAGCGACACCAGCGCAGATGCCAGTGCCGGGGTTGCCGGTGGGCGTTGGAGTCGCAGTCGTGGTCTTGGTCACAGTGGTGGTGGTAGTAGCAGTAGTCGTGGTCTTGGTGGACGTGGTAGTCGTGGTGGATGTGCTAGTCGTGGTGGGCGTGGCAGTTGTGGTAGTCGCAGGACAGTTGCTTGTGCAGTGAACCAGGTTGAGCGTGTCGAGCAATTCCGAGTTGTAGTCATAGGAAATGTCCCACAGCATCACACCACGGAGAGATTGCTGCTTAACATAGTTGACCTTGACTGTGAGCGACTGGGGATCATCGTAGGAGACGAACTTCTTGTCCGAGGCACGGAACAACCATGGGGTCTGAGACTCTGGGTCCCAGTGGCGGGTCCAGCCCGCCGCAGGAGTGGTGGGGCCTCCAGTCAGAACTTTGGTTCTGATATCCTTCCACCTCCAGGAACCATCGTCATCGAGAGCAACTACGTCGCTAGCAGCGCAGGCATCCTGGCGCTTCTTCAGGGCGGAGTTGGTATGGGGCACGTACTGCGTGATTGGGACCTGCGTATCCATGTTGACTGTCGCGGTGAAAGCGCTACCGTAGAAGGCGGTACCGACAACCAGCTTGCTCGAAGGCCAGCCAGCGGACTTCCACGAAGTAACAGCCTGGATGACTCCGAATGGCTCACCTGGGGGCGAGGGCGTGCCGAAAGGAGCGTTGGGGCCAGTAGTAGCCGACCACGAGCCGTGAATGTCGTAGACCATCAGGGCTATACGTCAGACGAACCAAGAGGAGCATTGGGGGAAAATGAGTATGTGTCCTTCCATTATTTACAGCAAAGAAAGTGATTGCCACTTACAGATCCAGTCAAAGTACGGGACAAAGGCGGAGACATCGGTTTGGGGTCTGCCGTTGGAGCCATCGAAAGGCTGGACGCGGACAGCAGCAGTGATGAACTTGTGTTTGGAGGGGAACTCGGCGTCCAGCTGAGCGCGCAGCTCCTTGAGCAAGAGAAGGTAATTGGCGGAGTCTTGAGGCGAGTAGGTGTTGCAATCAGCGCCAGCACGTCCGGGATATTCCCTGTGAAGATCAGGAGAAATGAGGAGAGTCAAGTATTAATTACTTTTCAATATTTTTCAAGAGCATGTCTTGCGATCTATTTCGATGGCACACCATCTTCATTACCAGTCGATATCGATTCCGTCCATGTCCCAGCCGTCGGGTGTCGCGGCGTTGTCACCGAGAGTGTTCTTGCGGACAAAGACCAAGGCGTTGTTGATGAAAGTCTTGCGCAGAGAAGCGCTGGCGACGACGGTGGAGAAGGTCTCAGACCCAGTCCAACCACCGATCGACATCAGGATGGGGACACCGGCCTGGTTTCCGCGCTTGACGAGCTCCCGCATGGGAGTTCCGTCGTAGTAACGATCAAAGATGATATCGGCAGGGCTTGGAGAACTCTTCTTGAGGATACCGAATCCGCTGTTTCAATATGCATCAATTCAGGGACAATGGTTAGTCGATTCGCTGGCGAGTAAGCAGCATGAAACTAGGAACCTGACTAAACCAGGGGATGCGATACTTACTAGTTGATGTGGGTGTACTTGGTAAAGTCGACGGCCGAGACAGGGACATCGCCCCAGGGATCCCAGTAACCAACAACGAGCTTGTCGTCAGTAGCGCGCTTTGCGATTGGCGCGGCGGAGACCGATGCGACTACGAAGGCCACGGTGGCCAAAGACAAATAGGCGATTTTCATTTGAGTGAGATGGTTGAGGAGGAAATCTGCGGTAGAGAGCAGGAGTTGGGTCCGTATGAAGGAGTGAGGGGGAGAGACAAGGAACAAAAAAAAAGAGATTCTGAGAGCGACGAAGCCAGGGTCTTTATAGGGTCTCCGTCGCTAAGAAGGATATCATGAGGGTTATTCAATTGGACATGAGGATATGGATGGACGATTGATGGTGGTTGAGGTTTACATTGATATTGAGTAATGACAGTTTACTCGGAAGCAGGATGTTGTGTCAACAATAACAACAAGACCAGAGAGGGCATTAAAACTTGATTGAAAAGCTCACAGTGGCGATAATTACAATCGGGCAGGATAACGACGCGTGTCGTGTCGTGCCATAGCTATCATATCTGATCAATATGCAGGGAGGGGACACAAGGCAGTTGACGCCGTGGCCTCTTGCATCGAACGCTCACAACCCATCTGCCTGGGTTCTGCTGCCACGGATCCGCGCATGTTCTACTTATGTGATTCTTTTATGATTGTGTTCCCGCCATCCATCCGGGAATGCACTCGTTAACGATCGCGCTGCATGGGAAGATGCGCTGTAGGTCACACAATCTGCACATCTAAGGTAAGATTGTATTGGTTGACCTGCCCCAATGCGTGAACCTTGTCGTGTGTTCCTGACATGTCCTGAAACGTATGAGCAGGACAGTGCCCTTTCCTCTTTCATGATATTAGCCATTCCTCTGTATCTCAATGCCTTCAGTCGGGAGCAGACACCCTGGTGGGGCTTCTTCTACTCTCTTTCTTCCATGAACCCCACTTGATTGCTCATCAATATCACTTTTTTATTCCATGGCTATTTTATCTCCCTGGAGTATATTTGGATAAGAAATACTCTCACAAGGACTTTACTCAGGAAACAGTGTGGAGTGATGTGGATACAAATAAAGTCGATGTATAGGTGCATCCCCGGATTCTGGAAATGATCGCAATCGCGATAGATATGAGCGCTTGAGATGGATGACATGTCTGAGCCCGAATCATTGCATGCCTGATCACGGATAAGGAAGCTTGCGATGGTGCACAGACTTGGATGTATGTGAATACCTATTGTGAATAGATGTCAGGGTCCTGAGCATCCGCCTGGATGCCCTTGACCGACCAACCCGGATCGGCTCTGTTAGCGTATTTCCATTGTGGGTTCCAACCACTGACAGATGGAAAAGTCGGCGAGACCCGTCAAAAGACAGACGGTTTTTTTTTTTCATTTATATCCCCGGTGAAAGAATACGATAGTCGACTGAATGGCCTGCAACATCCCCTATCTAGATTATCATGCGTCAAATTGATGAACGCGAGCTCGCCATGTGAACGGGTACCAATCTTATTGCCTGGGGCATTGCCGGCGTCCAATGCACAGGTTTGTTTTATCTTCATGTGCATAAAGGTGCCTACGCGCAAAGATCCCGTTTTGTACCCCGCAAGATGTTGCACTCTTGTTTGTTGGGCAATCGCGGCCCGATTAGTTCATCTCCATGGCTTATTCCGGTCATGGACAAACAGAAAGCGGCAAATATACTCCCTACGATGATTTGAGTCCAAACGATCCTAGCCTTCTCGACACTCTGGGTCAAAAATATATATAAAAAACAGGAAGAGTGAGGCAATAGGTTAAACATGGCTCAACATTTAGGGCCGGAGAAATAGCGAATACGCCGCACCGCCAACGGCAGTCCTTCGGCCGTATCTTGAGAATGCTTAACTAGCCATCATTTGCTTAACTGTGCAGGGTGGATGGAATGAAGTTTATTCAGTTGTGTATGGCTCGTATTTCCAACATACCATTTGACACTGTTCTATCCAACAATTGCTGGAGGTAATTTCCGTTTATGATCATCGTCGGCCTATTGCTCATTTCACAAAAAAAAAAAAAATAGGCGATAGGAGGACAAAGACGAAGGCGCGAGGGACAGCGCGTGATGTGGGATGGGCAGAGGACTTAACGATCGAGAGACCAAATGAGAGCCTGGTTTTAGCGGCCTTCTAGGCAAGATACGATACGATACGATGTACGATATCCGAATGGGAAGGCAGCTCAGCACTACTCTTAAGAATAAACGACGCGCTCTTTTTTTTATCTTTTTTCCTTTTCTCGTCGACCATCATGAATGCCGTGTGAAAGAAAGGAGATCACAGCGGCATGTTGCTGACGTTCAGTATCGCTCTCGACCTGAATAATATCTACATTATCACCTACGGCTAAACGGCGCGTTTTTACCTCCCCAGGTGAGAAGGCTAGGTAGGACCTCTATCCACGTCGTGGGACAGAGGGGTGGGGGCTGAAGGCTATGGGAAGGGCAGGGGCAGGGCAGTGATTCGGCCTGTAATTCGTATTGACAGGGGTATGGAATGACACGCCGAGAGATGGAAGAAAGGCCCGGGGTTACTTCTTTTTCTTCTTTTTCCCAAGTGAGGCCGTGGCGTTCCTATGGGCAACGTTCCTCGTTGATGAGGATACAGTTTTGTTTGTGTCACATAGGGAGCCAGGCCGGCGACCCTACATAATATCCAGGTTTAATGCCCGATGAAATGAAATTCCTGAGGGCTGAACGTATTTTGGATCTACGCTACCAGGCCCACGGCTTATCCTTTTCGAATGAAGCGGTAGACTATATTCATATTTGGCGGCATGGAGTCTCCTTCCAGTGCTGTCTGCGGGCAATCCAGGCATTTTGCTAATGTGAAGCTCATTAATATCTGCTTATTGCGAGCAAAGATGTTTCCGGCCCTTCTTTTTGATGCCGATGCTGTACCCCCGCGGGTAATGTTGCCCAAGTTGCTTGAGGATGGGCTCTGGCTCTCCGCAACACTTCGAGCAGTCTAGCGCGTATGAAAGCCATGCGATTGGAGTAGACTCGACCTTCATGCTCTCTGATAGCTTTGGCTGACATACCTTAAAAACCATGAACCATAAGTGTATTTTTGCACATCCATTCACCGCCTCTCCAGGAGGGATTACTTCCAATCGCCATCGACCATCGACCATCATCATCTCATCCCCCACCTTCCTCCTCTTCTCATCCCTCGCCCTCCCTCTCCCGTCTACCCTCCCCACCCTCTGGCGCCCTTACCCGGATTGAAAGATATCTGGCTCCCTTTCTCCATTCCCTCTCCGCCCCCTCTCCCCTCTCACACTACCATCGCACACTGCTCTCTTACCGCTATCACTGCCACAGCCTGTCCCCAGCTTGGTTGTCACCCCTGCCCACATAGTCCTCAGTCTTCAATCCATGCCACACTCGTGCCCTCCCTCCTGAACCAGGTCCTACTTTACTTCCTCCTTTCATCTCCTTGCTTAGCCCGACACAATGGCTGACCATCCCACCACTATCACCACCACTGTTCATCACACCACGACTAGGGGGGCCACAGGCACGCCAACAGGCACTGCCAGATCCACCAGCCAATCGACGAGCCGTGTCTCGCGTACTGCAACGCGTACTGGGACCGCCACGTCCATCACCACGTCCATCACTGCTACCATATCTCCAACCCCTTCCCTTACTCCAGCGCCTGAAAGCGGTGTGTCTGGTGCCCTTATTGGAGGCATTGCCGCAGGAGTGGCCCTCCTGGTTGCACTTGTGGGCGTCCTCTTCTACAAGAGACGCAAGAGGGCTGCTGTCGGTGTCGCAGACGCGTCCAAAAATGGCGGCAAGGCCGGTCCCGTAGCAACCACGGAAACCCCTCGTTCGGCCCACAATGCTATCTCAGGGCCCATGGCCCTGGCGCCTGAAGACGGCATCGATGCTGTACCCGCGCATCGTCCAGAGGCCCAGTTCCGGCAGCAGCAGCAGTTCCGTCCTGGAATGAGAGATGAGCTCTTTGCCCAGCCTGGAAGTGCCCTCCATAACACCATCAGCGAGAAACAGGGCCATAACAATGGTATCAAACCTGGCGCTGACGGTCCTGGATCCGTCAGCCTTGGTAGCATTCAGAAGGACGAACATGGAGATAAAGGCAACCGACCTCCACGTCCCCACGAAGAGCAAAATTCTAACGCCTTTTACGGTGATCATCTTGTCAACGACTACTACGGTGGCCCAGATCATCCTTCAACTGAGGGAGCCATTGGCGCACAGCGTCCTCCGAAAACAAAAGATGCTATGCACGGCAACCTGACCCCAGCGCCTGAATATTACTTGGGTAAAGAGGACATCGACCCCCGGCGCGACCTCCGAGGACTCGACTCTCTAGATACCTATGTGACAAAATCTCCCTCGGCGCCCGATGCTCGCCGACCCCAGCCATCCAAGGGTAGTCCCCGCTCCTCGTATTCATCCGATCGCGATAGTGCCTACCTGACCCTAGAGCAGGCGCAACAGGCTCACAACCACAAGATGATGGGCCACAAACAAAGCATTGGGTCAGTAGACATGTTGTTGGAAAGCTCTTCTCACAGCCAGCACCAGAACCGTCCCAATGATCGCTCAAACGATCGGTCCAATGGTGCGCCTCCCGACCATCTGCTTTCGGTCGCCATGACAGAATCGACTGTCTCCATGATGCCTTCGCTCCCTCCGACGGCCAGCCCCATGCCTCTGAATGGTATCAAACACCAGAATGGCCCATACGACCCTCAGATGCAACATCAACAGTCCCCTCGAAATGGACCCCCTCAGCGTGGCCCAGGTCCTGGTCCAGGTCCTGGTCCAGGTCCTTATTCACCCCAATTTGCTGGCGGTAGAGAGGACCCCTATGCGGAGAGCGCGTTCAGTGAAGATTTCCCTGATGATCGGTCCTTGGCTTCAGGAAGTTACTATAATCCGCACTATGCAGGACAGCAGCAGCAACAGCAGCAGCAACAGCAACAGCAGCAGCAGCAGCAGCAGCCGTACTATCATCCTCAATCTCCATCCTCACACTATCCTCAGAACGGCCGCGGCGGTCCTTATTCGCCTCAGCCTATGTCGCCTCCATACAACCCTAATTACCCTCCTTACCCACAGCAGCAAGGTTACAACAACAGACCACAGCAGGGATCGCCAAACTATCCCAACTCTCGCCCTCCACCACCACATAATGGCCCTGGGTTCCAGCGCGATGGGCCCTATCAAAGGCAGTACTAGACGGTTTAGGGAGATGTTCCTGTTTAATAAAAAACGCGCATTGTTGTTTTGACTCCACCAAGCGACGTGAGTTGGAAGGTTAGAAGACCTGTAATGATCGAAACAAAGATACAGACGCAGGAATCTATAGATATTTTTCATAAAGCAAACAAGAGCGAGGCATGAAGAAGTGGCGTCGCAAGGGGTAGACTAATTACATGGCAGCAGCGCGGACATTGTGGCAAAGTCAGGAGGAGAACAGACACAAGTAGAACCACCGGATAATGCTACTTGCACTACGCTACTGCATACTTCCTTTCCTTTCCTTTACACTTGCTCATCACACTCACCACAGCTCCTTCTTTCTCGCCAGATTCTATTCTCCCAAGGACTTTTCTGCTCATCTCTCTTCAGCAATCGCCCACCATACAGCAACTGCGACAGCGACAGTAACAGCAATCACCTCAAAGAACTCTTGTCTCCTCAGTCATGGTCATGGGTACATTCAGCCAGGGCGTGGCGCTCCACAACAGCTCAGGAACGGGCTCAGGGCCAACAGGACTCCCACACTCGTCCCACCACCGTTCCTCCCTCAAGGCACCCAGCCAAGTCCGCTGGCCCGTGAACCTCAACCAGCTCGCTGCTCTCTCGCTCGAGGACGACTCCGACCTGGACAGGTCTTTCACCGACGGTATTATTTACATGCACTCTTATTTATGACATAGGAGAGGCCAATTCCACCCCACACGACTATCTATCCATCCTGTGTATTGTTTGACCAACATATTGTATTGGCACATGGGTGCTGACATATGCCTTTATTCCGATTATCAGCTTCCAACGACGACATAGGATCCGTCAAGCTGTTGCAGATGCTGAAGGACAGCGATGACGAGTCCACCTCTCCGGTACCTGCTCAGTCAAAGCTACGAAGGTACACGTCTCACCCCTCCTCCCTGTGTTGCTCCACAGTATCCGCGGTTTTCTGGTGTCCTCGTCCGCCATATCGTTGACCTCCTCCTGCCCCTTATATGTTTTTATGTGTTGATGATGGACATGGCCCCACCTTCTAACCCCCTTGTCTCCTGGTGTTGCGTACATCATACGTTTTCTTAGGCCGAGGTCAACATATTCAAGCTTGCAAGGGACACAGCGAAAGCTTCAGCAAAGTGCCAACAACTCTATTACGCGTTCCTCTTCTTTACGCGATGTTGAGGGAGCTCGGGTTGGCAGCGGCAACACCAGTATACCCAAACCACAAAGAATCAGATCTGACTATAAAGGGACGAATACCGCGTCTGGAGGGATAGCACGGCCGATAGGACTTCGACACCATCAATCAGACATGTCGCTGATGGCCACAAAGAGGCGACAGGCCAACAGCAATAATAGCCCAGAGGATATGGAGCACATCTTTTCAGAGGCCAATGCGATCGCACAAAGACTCGGTGGATCTGGATCACGAGCAGCCACTGATACAAGCAGCGCGGGAGGTATTCGCGGGCCGACATTCAAAACTGGGGCACTTCCCGCACCCACAGCACGGGCATCGGCTGGCGCAGACTCTCTGTCGTTGACACGCAAGTCCTCCGGAATCCCCAGCCCATTGTCATCGTCTGGAGCACAATCAACCAATACGCTTGCACAGGCGAGGTCTCGACTCTCAGCTCCTTCCAGGGCAGCAGTCTCTAGCTCTACCTCGAGTCATAAGCAGCGTTCATCACATCCTGGCATTGCCATTTCCAAGCAGGATCTGAGAGAGAGAGAAACGACATCACTGCCGCGATTTATCGCATCTCCATGCTCTGCACAATCCGCACCTGCAACAACAAAGCATGTACTGCTTCAGTCATCATTGTCACAGCCATTGGCGTCCAGACACGCCACCACGGATGGTCAAATTGCCACAGCAATGCTTCTCACACCACCAGCACTGGCTTCCTTACCCAAGGCTTCCATAGACGTCGAGAGCAGCAGTACTATCCGAGAGCTAACCGAGGAGCTTGAGCACTGGAAGGCAGAGGCTCAGGGATATAGGCAGGAACGTGTGGCGGTCGAGACTTGGAGAAAGCAGGTCTCGGACCTAGAACGGGATCTCGAGACTGCACTGGACTCATTGCAATCTGCAGAGGCCAGGGTCATTGAGACGACAGCTGTGCAGGCAGCAACTGGATCGAAACTGACTGCATATGAGAAAATCGTCGAGGATCTGAAGACAAATCTTGCAAACGCCAGGACTGCGAACGAAAAGGCACTAGAAGAAACAGCGGCTTCTCAGAAGCGAGAGTTGGCGGAAATGGAGACTCGCAACAAAGGTACTATTGTGCTTAAATTGCCTGCCGATGTGGTATTCATAGTCTGATGGGCATTACGATCTCAATTTCAATGCATAGAACTTGAAATGAAGCTGACGCAGGCACAACAGGAAGTTGACCAGCTGGAACTTCAGGTCGTTCCTGCGGAGCTCCAGGACGTCCATCAGGCACTCTTTTCTGCAACACAGGAACTCGACGAAGCGAAGCGCCACATTGAGAAATTGGGAGCTGAATTATGCGAAGAAAAGGTCAAGGTAGCGCGGGAGCAGGAGGACTCTGGTCAGCTATTGGGCAAAATCAGTCAGCTTCAGGACACCATAGCGTAAGTTGACGACAATGGTCAAACGGTGACTGCATTTTAGACAACGTCGGTTCATCAACGAAGGTTTATTAATCCGGCGTGCACATCCAAACGTACTTTACCCGCATACAGGAATCACCTCCGCGACAACAACGCCCTCAAGGATGCAGTCAAAGAACATGAATCATGTCAAGAGAACGCTGAGATTGCGAGCCAGCAGCACAAACAGGAAGTTGGAGATTTGAAGGTATACATTTCGAAGGATATAGCGCTCTTGTTTTGAACCTTTCAAATTGTATCCTTGACACTTTTACATATTTGGACCCCTGATGACATAGAATGAGATTCTGTCACATCAACAGAGTCTGACACAGGAAAAGGAGCAGAGGGCTAGGCTGTAAGTAATAGACGCGTCCATTTCTGAATATGCTCCTCGATACCTAGGCATCCTCTGAATTTTATTTCTTTCCACGTTGTTTTATCCTATCAAGTGAACAAGCGCTTCAGGAACAACAGTATCAGTTGCACCAACTTCAGCAGCAGGTTCAGATGCAGCAAACACAGCTCCTTCAGCAACAGACTGAGATTGTCAATTTACGCGCATCCCTGGAGGTCGAGCAAAGGCAGGCAGTGCTGTTCCAGCAGCGACTTCAGGAGGAGCAGAGGCTCAATAACCCTCATTTTGGTCGGCGTGTCTCTATGGACGGCGAACTTAATGGCTCATTCTTGATGATTGAGAACTCGAACAGTGCGGGTCCTAACACTGGGATAATGAACATGGGTGCCGCCGATGGCACTATGGGTTCAATGGGTGCATCAACAGCACCAATGATGATGCATGGAGGACTACCATCATCTCAGACTCTTTCGACATCTGGTTCAAACGTGATGTCGCCGATGAACCCTACTATGATGCCTTCGGGACTCCAAAATATCCGCAATTTTGACGGCGCCTCACCATCAATTTTGACGAACAACCAGCTCAACATGAGCGCAACACAGGCAGCAGCAGCCTTGCCTCCAACTGCAGGTCCTCTTTCGACGTCTACAGGCGGCATGGTCGTATCAGCAGCACTGACCGGTATCATGGATACCGAACCCAGGCCCACGATGAATCACCGCGGCAGTGCTGGTTCGATTTCAGGCATTTTATCAACAGGAAGCCCAAACAACAACCGATCATCAATCCATGGCGACCCTTTACCTTCTTCAGCCGGCGCTACGCAGGTAACAATCGTCATATTAGCTTATTTGGCTCGAGCAAGAACACGTTCTTTGACATTGATGTGATACATCCCATTTCTGATTTTAATAATAGTCGGTCGAGGAACTGACGGCTCAACTGCAGAGCCTACTAAAGGAGAAGGAGAGGGTAAGATTAACAGTACCCCCATATTACATGTCCTGGGCGTTTCAGGGTCTCTTATGTCCAATTAATGTTGCGGCCTCGTTTGTGTTGATCAATAGCTCCAAGCGGATCTGAGCAAGATTCCAATCTCGGGCGGTGGACCTATGACAAGAAGAAAGGCCGAGATGCTGGAGGAACAAATGGACGAAACCGAGCGGGCTATTAGCAAGATTAGATACAACATCCGCATGCGATCATGAGACAGCCTCAATTTCGTCAATCTCAACGTAGAAATCATGGCATAGCACCATAGGCATTGCCACCAAAATATATCCTGCATTTCAATCGTCTACAGTGGACATATGAACCTTACTGCTTGAACGCAGTCGTGGGGAGTGCTTGGGATCGTTTGGATCAGTCCTTCCTTCTCTAATTCCACCATTCCCCGCCATGTCCAGCCCTCGTGTCCTCAGCATCCAATCCCACATGGTCTCTGGCTACTGTGGCAATAAAGCTGCCACATTCCCCTTGCAATTGCTTGGTTTTGATGTTGATGTCATGAATACCGTCAACTTTTCAAATCACACTGGTGCGTGTAATACTATTTATTCTTGCCAGCGCTTTCTGCAGCCAGTCCTGCTAAATCAGCTCTTTGATTCCCATTTTCTACCGCAGGATACCCATCGTGGACAGGGGAAAGGGCTACCGGGGAGCACCTGCTACAGTTGTACAAAGGACTCCAGACGAACGGACTCGTTGAATACACGCATATTTTGACAGGTATTGTCCGCAACCCTTTCTCTTTCACTCTTTATCCCTCGAAAATAATGATTGCTCGCGTGGTAGGTGTTACCATTTGACGCGAGCAAGAATCTAATATCGAGTTGTTTCTCCACGCAGGATATATCGGTAGCGCTCAGAACCTGTCAGCTGTAACTGAGATCATTGCCCAACTGCGGACGCATGGCGATCCGTTCTTTGGTACGTGAGCCTCCTTATTAATACGATGGGTTGATATGTTTCTTTTGGCGCAGGCGATTGAAACGCTTCTGGCCTCCTAACATCTCTTGCCGACAAATCACGATTTGCCATCTTTTTTTTTTTTTTTTTTTTTTTTTTTTTAGTGCTGGACCCTGTAATGGGCGACAATGGCCAGCTTTACGTGCACTCTGACGTGATACCGCTTTACAGAAAGCTGATGAAGTACGCCAATGCCATTACACCTAACCAGTTTGAAGCAGAGTAAGTACTTCACTGTCTTGCATAGTATTTAATATTTATGGATAACGACAGTAAGTGATCCCGTATCGTCGCTCTGACAGCCCCTTCGTTTGACAACAAATGGATCCGCGTAGAATCTTGGCCGACAAAAAGATTACAGACGTCAAGTCATGCCTGGAAGTGCTCGATATCTTGCATACTACTGGGGTAGAAAATGTTGTGATTACATCGGTGTCCCTCTTGCCGAGTGATGTTGCTGCTCATGCTGCACATTGGCATCCACATCACCATCACCATCATAAGGACGAAGAAACGACCGAGCCTTCAATGTACTGTGTTTGCAGCAGTAAAGGGGATCAGGATGAGACTAAGAAAGTGTTTGCTATTGGTTTCCCCACCTACGATGGATATTTCACGGGAACCGGAGATTTGTTCTCTGCATTGCTGGTGGCATGGTTAGATGAGGCACTAGTGGAGGCTCAACCCCCTGCCAAGGCTGGGTCCGCGTATGGACTCGGATCAAAGGAAATGCACACTCCGCTCGTGAGGGCCTGCGTCAAAGTGGTTGCGACGATGAAGGCAGTGGTGCTGAGGTCGTACTTGGCACAAATGGGAATTACATCTGGAGGGCAACTAGATCGAACGCAGGCATCGTCTGCTGCAGTGATCAAACGGTGTGAATTGCGGCTGATTCAGAGCAAGAAGGATATTGAGCAGCCGGATGAGCAAGGAGTTGAAGCGGTCGAGCTCAGTTGGATAGAAAAGGGAAAACATTAACAATCAAGCTCGACAGATGCCCCAATAGACCTATTATGTCCAAGATAATGAAGTAAAGCGCTCGTGCGAATTTGACCTAGAAGATAGTATCGCAATGGGCCCTTTGTTATCAAGACACAGGATGCCGTTATTCGTCCTTCATTGGGCGATGAGGGAGTGTGTAATTCACTCTATCTCTTCCTCTCTCCTTCTCTCCTTCCTTGGTTACCTATCACTCTCTACTTGTTCATCTTACCTTTGTCCATTGCTGTGTGCATCCACCATTCTGTCATTCTGTTCATTCATTTCAATGCTGAATCCTTCTTTGACACGCAATCCATTTTAGCCTCGGGGCTAATTCATAAACGTTTTGTTGCTCGTTATTTCTTTTATGCAAGGAAAAGTAAGTAGTCTCTGTATACAGGAGTGATGTTGTATGACAGGTCTCGCATGGCGGGAACTCACCTAACAGTGCGCACGGGCATTGCGGAGTTGATATATGTTGTTAATCAACAGACGCGTACAGTAGCCAGCGCAGCCCCTTCTAATGCACTGTTTCAATATTGTGCATCAGTCGTTTCAGGGTTTGATGGACGTACAGACCAGGAGGAATATTACGAGGAGCCCATCGGTGACCACGCTAGTGTCAAGCTTCTCCTCGGACGAGTCCATGGCCAACGCATGCTCTTCTCCATGCACAGCATACTCACGCCCATGGCTATACCTAGGCATACAAACATGCATTCGGAAACATCCGCATCAGAAGCGGTCGGGGTACAACAGCACTGCGCATCGAAGCACAGTTACATCTACTGGCCAGCACCACTATTCAAAAATATCGCCGACCCGTCTTTTTACTGTCTGGATATGTTTCTCGTTCTTTTGTGGCGTCGTCCGTGGCGTTACCTCTGCTGAAGCCACAATGACAGCAGTGCCGCCGATAGTATTCTCCCCTTTGCCATCAACCTCCAATATACTTGTGCCTCCTCCGGAACCAACTTATATACCACATGAGGAACAGCATCCAACTTATGATCCGCCTTACCACGCTCCAGGATTGACAGATCAGGAGTTCAATGAGACTTGGCTTGGCCTCCCGCAGACAATTAAGTTTGGAGTGTTGTTGCCATTCTCTCCCGTGGACGACACTACCTATCGCAAGAATCTGTCCCGAATTAGCTTAAGCGTATGTTAAGGAAACGCGGCTATATCAGAGCGTTGTTTCTTGCCTTATTTTACGAATTCTGACGCGTACTTTCTTACTAATGCAAGCTTTCGTTTTCGTGTCCACAGGTGCTCCGAATGGCAGTGAGGGATATGAACAATCAGCAGGTCATACCTGGTATGAGTGTATTTTACCAAGAAAAGAGTTTCGTTTACTATCTGCAAGCATTCTGATTATCTATCTTCTTTTTCACACTAGGAATGAACATATCACTAGTAGTGCGAGACAGCCAACAGAACTTACCAGGAACGAATGTCTCTGGTGGGGCTGCCGCTATCTCCGCTACAGCTCGCCTACTAGCTCTGGAGGTAAGCAATCAATCAAGGAAGGGAGAGACATCTTACATGATTTGGTTAAGAATCTCTTTTCTTCTCTTTCAAACAAATAGGTGGGCGCCGTAATTGGTGATATTTCTTCGGACCTGACAATGGCAGAAGCTATTATGACTTCTAGTATCGGCATTCCCCAATGTTCCTTTTGCACTTGTAAGACGATATTGCCTTTATAGACTGCATTCTGTTCTTTCTCGAATTTATTGAGTGTGAAACCGTGTATGAATATCTGATCTAGACAACATGGACGAAACGCAATTGAGTACATATGGGTACTTTTTCCGTACAGTGCCGGGTGTCGTTACATATCTCGAGGGATTGATGGCAGTGATCCGACATTATGGCTGGCGAAGAATCTCCATCCTGTATACGTCGGATGTGCCGGGATTATTAGGTACCATATCGACTTATCTTGTTTACGCCTATAAAAAGCGATTTGTCACGTTAACTAAAGTGGTCATTTTCCAACGCATTGGTATTGATAGGCGAAAAGTCATTCTCGAGTTGGTGCATCAGCAACAATATTGAAGTCATAAGGGTACGGATCCCGCTACCAGACGACGATAACCAGCCCTCAATGCTTGCCAACCAAGCACGTGCACCAATCAAGAGTATTTTAAACTCGGACTCGCGCATCCACGTCCTTATTGCTCCTAGACTTGCTCAAATTACTCTCCTGCAGGCCATCCGGTAAGGACGCAGTCTGTTTCGCAGATGATTTGTTGAATTAATCGCCCGGGCAATGAGTTGACGCATGTCGTTTATATTTTTCTTAGAGATTCTGGGCTTTTCAGCCCAAATCATGTATGGTTGACCACTATCGATCTATCCAACTCGCTTTCAGTCCTCCCGAGTCCCTCAGATTTCAATGGGTTGATTATGGCAGATGCTCTATGGAATATGCCTGGCGATCCAGCCTATGATAAGTTTGTAGCGAGGTGGACGAATTCGGATCTGAAAGAGTAAGTAGTATCGTTTAACAACAGACGTGAATGGAAAAGTACCAGTTGTTGAAGGTACTCCATGGACTAACTCAACTACAAAACATACATTTCCTTTCAGATACCCGATGTCGGGAAGAAGACAGTTGACATGGCATGAGACTTTTGCGTATACTTGCGTCCAGGTATTCGCCGAAGGCTACAGACAAGTAAGTACCCGAGAGGCGAATCAAGGGAAGGTGATAAAACCAGCCTGAACAAGATGCTAATTTATTCGCTACATTCATGCGGCGAATTTAAACAACCAGTTGGTTCAACGTGCCCTGCAGATTCCCGACGTAAATGAGCGTAACACGATGCTGACCCAGATCCTGCACGGGAAGCGGAGCCAAGACTTGTCACTCAAATACCTTGGATCGATGTCGTATAGTACGCCTATCGGTAACTTCACTGTATCCAATGCTGGAGACCGAGTACAAGTGTAAGTCCAGTCTGACTTCCATCTTCCGTTGAAAAATCATCCTCCACCATTGATTGTTGACCTGTTTTTCAATATTTTATTGAGGTGAATCCGTAGCCGAGTAACCATTGCCAGTTTTCAAAACAACACAAGTGTTCCTAATGGAATATACCTCAACAAATCGCTTACAATAAACACCCCAATCGCCTTCAATGACGGCACGACCTCACCTCCGCTAGATTCTCCTGCATGGGATGGTATTGTTTCCAGGGCCACAGCATAGGATTGCTTGCAGAAGAAAAACTGAATTGTGTCTTAAGGCTTTCTTATTTTTTCCCTTTTCATAGAGCTGAACCCTAGCAGAAATGGAGCGTTCGGACTGACAATGACTATCTTGTGCACGATATTGATGGTGGCGATATTATGTACCGTTATTGTCGTTGTTCTGCACCGCGACAACATTATCATCAAATCTGCGAGGTAGGTTATATTATCCATGGCCATTGCCCAATGCCATCAAAAGGATAGCAGGTCTTTAATATTTCCCTGTCGCATATTCATTTGGAATCAGCCCCCTATTCTGTATCCTAGAACTTTGCGGCTTGGCTTTGACAGTGTCATGGATATATTTCAGAGGCGGTGTCCCCGCTCCAGGAGTTTGCAGAGTTGGTCTGCTGGTCCCCGTTATAGGATTGACTATCAATCTCTCTGCCCTAGTGGTCAAGAATTATCGAATCTACCGTATTTTCAACAGCGTCAGCATCATCAACCATGCAGTATCGAACCACTATCTATTGCGAGTCGTCGCCATGCCTGTCGTCATTACTTTTGTAAGTCTAATCAACCTTATTCCCGACTTTATTGACCGTGAGCTGCGTGCTGATATGTCTCCTTGGATACTCTATTCATAGATCCCTTGCATCGTCCACTGCTTTGTCGACTATTTTGAGCCGAAATTGGTTCGAACTAATAACAGCGAGTTCTGGGCGATATGCAGCTCCAGCTCTTCTCAGCTTGGCTGGGCCATCGTAATTGGAATCATTCCTGCTATTATGATTTTGTTTGGGATATTCCTTGCATTCAAGACGCGTAATGTCACGCGCCTTTGGAACGAGGCTCGCTCAATCGCTTTGACAATCTAGTGAGTACTATATCGTTGTATTTGACCAGTCGTTTCCTGTTGGTATTGCTCGAGGACGAAATTGCAGCCATGAATTAAACATACTAATGTTCACTTTCTTCGGTCGGAATTTTTTTTAGTATGTTGACGTTCTTCGTCATCATAATCATTATTGTTCAAACGTTTCCTTCGGATCTCTACCAAGTTACCTACCATGTCACCATGGTCTGTATACTTGTCAGTGGATTTCTCGAATATATCATTCTGTTCTATCCAAAGTTGAAGAATCTGTGGCTCCAAAGGCATGGCCTCCATGTCCCCGCAGGAAGAGGCGATAATTACATGGACAATATCATGGGAACAGGCATTCCTATCACGGACATGAGGCGAGGCGGCAAAATGGTCTCATCTGGAGGGACCATGAAGAATGGTGGAAGACAATTTAGATCCTTAGGGAACGCAGTCAAGGACTCTGAATGGCACTCTGTCGATATGCAGGGGAATCCTAACATCTCGGATTTAGTTTCGTCGTATCCATTCGGTCAACTATCGGGAGAAAACTGTAGTAGCCTGCTCACCTCTCCTGTTCACCGTCCTACAAACTATGGCCAGTCCAGCCTGCTGAGCCGAGGACACCGAAAGAACCATGCTGGTGACGATCAGGACTCACTGGAGATTGACAACCCGCAACTGACAGGGACACACCGGGCCCCTTCCCTGGCAAACCACGTGGCAACAGCGCATGATGTAGGTCATACCGGTAGCGGCAGTAACCACGACACACCGGTTCGAGGAAACTCGCGAAAGCTGAGCGCAACCACGGTCCCAATGACAGCAGGATACAATACATTTGGGCAATCAAACGCCTTCAGACCGAGCCGTGATATCCAGCCTCTCGGCTCACCTAAGATTTTGGCGGCTTCATCCAACGAGGGTAGCGATTCGGGTAGGGATCGTGCCAGTGATATGTTGTCTGTGGAAACGATACCCGCCGGCTTCCAAAACGTTCATCGTCCTTCTGTGGCATCTCTAGATACTCCGGACTTTTCAGTGCGCGATTTTTATGACAGTATACCAGAGCTGAATCTTCAGTCGCGAAAAAACAGCTTTGGTGGATTTTTGCCAAGCCGGAGCCCCCAACAATACCCTTTTCAAGCCCTTACTGCACACAATGACTCTGGAATATGCTCGCTGCAGGAGATGAGGGTAAGGTTTGGGGACTATAACAGATGGCTGTTTTCCTCTAGGGTCTTCGTGTGCTAAAATTTTGTCAACCCGTCTTTTCCTGCTTTATTATTTGTGGATAGATGGACTCGTTCACTGTAAGCACATGCCATTTTGTAACCTATAGCTAGCCTTTCATCTAGAAAGTGCGCTGACGAATTATCGGATCTTATTAGGTTGTCGTTCCGGTGCAGCGGCATCGATGGTACATCATACGGTTCTTGGCTCAGTGGAGGATGTCGCGTGTTATTTTTGTGCCCTGCTCTAAACTGATGGTCTTAATCGATGTAAGGGAGCTGTGGTATTGCATTATCATTCTCAGATTTTCTTTATTGTCCATGAACTCATGCAGCACTTCACCTTCCTCAAACATAGCTTGAGACGGAAACATCAGAAAGTCTTATTATCCACTCTGTAGAGCGAGGCTACTCGCAGCATGATTGTTCACCAGAGTCCTCACCCCTCGACCCAGGCGTTTCCGGATCGTCTTTTGTTGCCGCAAGCAGGGATGACCCTGGATCAAAGGCCAGAGCGACCACAGCCACAACTGCCACTGAAGCCCCACAGCGGAGCTCAGCTCCATTCACGAACAGGGCCGCACTTATTACACAGTTCTCTTCCGTACCGCAGAAGGATCTAAAACAACTGCACCAGACAGGATTGGTAGGGAGGGAGAGGGTACGAACGGCAAGACTGCCGTCGCACGAAGAATCGTCAGCACCATCGCAGTCGACGGCAGAAACACCTACGCCCACAGAATTGCGAAGCGGTGCAAACACTGCAGATCCAGGGACCGCCGGAATAACGCCTTCTCGTCAGAGCTCATTTCTAAAGCCTGGGCCTGGTTTGACGCGCATTACTAACATGAGACACCTCTCGATTAACTTGGGCCTTGATGTTCGTAATATGGATGGAGCCAAGGGTCCTGACGAGGGTGTCGAAGGAATCGGGGGAATCATGAGTGACTATGTCATTCGTGTGATATCGATTCATAATCAATGTTGGAGGGTGCAACTGCCTGATAAAGAGACCATGGACCGGTGGGTTGAAATAGGGCAACAGATCAAGGACGAGAACTGGATTAGCAGGCCCATCAATCAAGAACCCAGAGGTAACAGGTCCGATCGCCGTCGCAGCATTCTAGATGGTGGGCCAGGGAACTCGCGGGTTGCCGTTGGTGGGCGATGCGACAATGAATACCCAAGCCCTCAGTTTGGACAGCCGTATCAAATGCAGGGAGACATAACCACTCAACGAACGCTCCATCCTTTGCAGCGCACCAGCGACGGCTATTTCGGCCACCCAACAGTTGCAGATCTCCAAGCTGCCTCGTCGTCCTCATCATCACCGAAACCAGCGCTTGCCAGCCCGCAGGTATACGACGATCTGACAGAGAAAAGCGTGAGCTCAAGTGACACGGAACGACAGCAGAGCCGCGAACGCGCCGCGAGAATTAATCAGCAACTAAAAGTATCTTCGAGAAATGCTCCCTTCCTAAGACTTAAGTTCAATGGCGGTAGATTGAGCACTGAGTCTTTTGGTAGCACTGGCAGTAATTCTCATTCACCAAGTGGCACATCGTCCAAATTGAGCACGACCTTCATGCGACGGCTGCCGCGTACTGGATTTTCGGGCCATATGCCGGCAGCGCCATCCAAACTATGCACCTCCTCCTCCGGCATACCTGTCGCTGATTCAAATGATGTTTCTATTACAGGGATGTCCAACACGGTAGCACAGAGTGATTCACCAAGTACTATTGTGGAGGACAGCGAGCCATGTGGAACTGACTCCCAAGAAATCGCTATGGACGCAGTACCAGAGAGGATGGCGCATGGAACGAGTATCAAAGAAGCGCTCGCTGAGACCGATATCTCATACGATAGGGGTCAGCACGTTGTGTTCGATGGATACCCGTCAGGCAGAGAGCATCGCAACCATCGGAACTTTGGCAATCCCCAATACAATTATGGGCGGAAACGAGGAGCAGCCAATGCTTTTGCCGATACCGGCGAAACTAATGGATACGATGCCGACCATTACGATGCCAGGGGGCTAAAGAGCGGTGTCCACAACGAAAGCGAAGAGTTTCCATTTCCAGAAAACTCAGAGTGCCATTTGACGACTTCTGAACCGGAGCAGTTGGAAGCGCAGACTCAGAGGGAGAGGGACCATGGTATTTCGGGGTCGAGTAGCAAGGATCTTTCGGCAGCCATCGTGAGTACAGAAAATACTACTCGGGATCCGATACCTGTGGTGCGACATGAAGATACGGCCGACCTGAGCGTGAACACAACTACGGCGTCTGCCAGTGATTCGCGGCCGAGATGCGCGAGTATATCAGGCGAACAGGACAAGAGTACAATTCCATGACATTTTCCACACATCATACCTCAGCTGCCCTTCATAGCACCCTTCATGGGTGATCCTTTGCATAGTCTTTCAAGGAGCTGACTACATGCAACCCGTCTACACATCCAGGCGTGGCCAACAAGGATATCGACTTTATAAATGTTATCAATAAACGTCCCCCAGGCTATGAAAGCGCCTGCCATCGATCTATACGATTAATACCGTATATCGTATACTCATAGTTTAATATCATTGTGATGCTATGCTGAAAGGACTATTATGAAGGCTCTTCAATCCTGTCAACGGAACAAAGGAGGCGAAATGAGAGAAAACAAGAGCGAGAAAAATGATGGGAAACCCAACGAGAAGGACATTAGATGCCCTTGCTGATAATCTAGCACTTTAGCTACTTCAGATCCATTCCATATTCCCTCTCGAATTCGGCGCGTTGTCTCAGCATATGCTCCTCAGACTCACGCCTCTCTGCACTCGTGCTTCATCAGCTATTCCATTTTTCAGAACTCATCCTGTCCCTGTACCAGCTCATGTGCGATTGCTTGATCATTAAATCAATATTGGTACTCGAGCAGGCGCAGATATGCTGGTGGTTGTGGAATCTGGATCAGGCCCTCGTCAGAGATCTCCGGCGAGATACCGCACATGGTCACACTGTGATTTAGCTGAGGATGAGTCCTGGATGATCCTGGATGCGACTGTAACTCGGAATGCTTCCTGAAAGTGGTGGATGTATTGCTCGACTTGGTAGAGTTCGAAAAGCAAATCCATGTATGAGTCGGTTGGGGTGGAGGAGTGGCCTGTCGGGAAAGCTCTACTTGTTCCTCGATGTTGGACTGAACCTGATCGCGGTTGCGGCTGTAGTGGGTGGAGACAAGATAAGAAGACTCGTGTATCGGTACTAGTAGCAGGCTATTGAAGTGGGGAGGGCGACGACAGCCTGGCCATGGGGACCGTTCCAAGTGTGAAAGCCTAGGAGAAAACGCGTTTCTGAAATAAGGTTCGATTACCATCGCCCTTCTATCTTCGGGAAAGCCAACCGCTGGCCTCCAACAAACACGTCGCGCCGTCCCTCTAGACTCGACTTCAAAAAGGCAGCAATCTTTTGCATCGCATCATTCCTTGTCATCCTCATCCCATCTTCTTCTTACTTATCACCAAGACGCGACTCTCTTCGGTAGCTACCAGAGACAGGACCAGCAGGAACACATACACCAAACCGCAAAAATGCGCGTCCTCGGGTCTCCCGTGCGGACATCCGTCCTGGCGCTCGCCATGGTCGCCATGCAGGCCACTATGGCAGATGTCGCATCATCGCCACCGATTCAGGCTTCTATTCACGCCTCCTGGGCCGCATCTCCCTTGCTTCTCGAGATTTTGTATGTTATTCTGGAATGCATATTCTCGGTATCCAGCGCCAGTAATTCGAGATACACCCTTTATGATTCCGCGACTTGACAACCCTTGCTGTTCGATGTGATTGATAACGTAGGGAGGCCGTCGCGGTCGAAAACAAGACCTCGTACTTTCCGCTGATGCGTCAACTGACAGAGTCCGAATTCCTAGAGAGCGCTAAATCACAGCAGGACCTCTACGAGAAAAGTCTGCAGATCATCCAGAGCCAGGGCCATGTTCAGCCCCAAGCACTGTCGACCTTAAAGTGGTCGCTCGCCATGCACACCACTGCTCCATGGATCCAGGCGCACTATCATCTGTATAACTCCACGATTGTCCCTGACAGGACCTCAAAGCAAGGATTCAACCCGGACTGCGGTGCTTGGATCGACTGGTACGATCGCCAGATCTGCACAGCGGCAGAGCTCGAAACCATTGTTGCCGGAGGTTTGGACCAGTTCGCGAAAAAGTAAGGAATAGCATCATCGGGAGGTCTTTGCTTTTCAACGTACTTTTTTTTTTTTTTTTTTTTTTTTTTTGCTGATTTATATATCCGCTTATTTTTCGCCCGATCAGGTTGGACGCCAAGCCGACGACCATGGATCTGGATCATATTCAGTCATCACGGACTGACCCAGGGCTTTTCACTATCCTCTACGCGGATGTCTTTGACCCAGAATTCTTAAAGTTCAGAACGTACCTCGACACTCTTTCTAAGGAGCATGGTCTTCAGTACTCGATTCGTTACCGACCTCCAACAACTCCAGAGAACAGGGCTCCGCTTACATTGGCTGGATACGGCATCGAATTAGCGCTCAAGAACACGGACTACATCGTAATCGATGACCGAGATCTCGGGCAAAGTGACGATAGTGGTACTACTGGGCAGACGGTGTTCAAGACAGGAAATGGTCAGGGGCTTTTTGGCGATGAAGTGCCCTCAGTTGACCCAGTCAGCCAGGCGGATCTCCCAGGTACGACATGATTTTTGATCTATTGAACCGTGCATTAGGTGTCGATAGACTCTAGAGAGTACGGGAAACTAATCGAATGACATCTGCTTGCATATCCTCCCGTCGTCCCATAGCTCTGGGCATGTTGGCCGCTCAATTCGTTCTTCAGTCCGAAGATCCTCTAAAGACACTCGTAGCTGTTGTGCAGGACTTCCCGAAATACCAGCGCAAGATCTCCAAGCTTGAACTTAACGAGACTCTCAGGGAAGTCTTCCAGAGCAACATGATGTCGGTGACCCGCGGCGACCAGGCACGAGTATGGCTGAACAACCAACCTGTCCCACACCATAAGATGAACCCATTTAAGTATGTCGATGCAAAGCCTAATTTGTTCCGTTCTGTTGATCAGGATTTAGTATTCTTATTGGCCACTGACGCATACCTTCTTCTGTTCTTTTCTAGCCTGATTCGCCTTCTTCGTCGCGAAAGAGAAACACTGTCCTCTCTTGCGACTATCGGTGTATCTAGCAAAAAAGCTGTCGATCTTTTGACCGATTTTGGCTCGCAGGACGAATCGGAACCTGGATCAGATGCGCCCACCGGCGTCTTTGACGTGCGCGACAAGTCAAAAGAACAGAACCTGATTGTTTGGTTGAATGATCTGGAGAGCGACATCCGATACCGGGACTGGAGTCCTAGTCTGATTCGTATTCTGCAACCGACTTTCGGACAGTTCCACCAGGTTCGCAGAAACATGATCAATTCGCTCTTTGTGATTGATCTCAGCACTCCCCAATCCCTTGAGCTGGTTTCATTCGAACTGGCCAACTTTATTCAACGGATGATCCCGTTCCGATTCGGCGTTCTCCCGCTGGTCAGAAGCGAGGATGGCGAAGGTGAGAGTCAACACGATCTACAGCAACGGAAATGCTGGAGGATTTTACGCATAGCGCCCCTACCGCGACGGCTAACAAACGGTATAAAATATTTGATATAGATGCGAGAATGGCCATGCTCTGGAGACATGTTGTGAATCGCCATGGTATCAGGGGAGGACTAGATTTCTTGAAGAAGGTGAGAACACGGCGGAAAGGAACGGATATTTGAGGGTTTGCAACGACCGCCTATCAACCACAGAACTCTAATCCTTGTTTTTCCCTTAAAATACAGACGCTGATCGACATGGTTCATGGAGGCCAGGATATCGCGTCTGCGTCTCGTAAGAACTTTGCGTCCACCATGCAGTCGTCAAAGCTGAAGACGACTAATACCCCCGAGATGAAGTATGAGGAAGTTATTGCTCCAGACTCAGTTTATCGTAGCTGGTTGAAAACTGTGCAAGCGATGACTGACAATATTGGCGTCAATGCTCCCTCGCACTTTATCAACGGCAAATATTTTGCCTGGAATGAGGTATGCCATTAAGGGTTCCAGATGACATACAACATTGCTTACAGGCAGCTCTTAACCCCAAATTTTCTGGATGTTCTTAGGATCATGGCCAGCAACTGATGACGGAGACGCCCCGCCAAACCGCCTTCTTGGCTGCGCGCCTCACAAACGAAGAACTGACTGAGGACACTAATATCTACGAGTATTTCCTCACTTTGCCAACGGTCCACACACGCCGCAACCCATACATTTTCATCAGTGAGGATTCGCCTATCAAGATTATAGACCTTGTCCAGGGCCAAACACGCCCCTTTGTCGATACTCTTTCGTTTATATCGGCTGGTAGGTTTTAATTAGAGCAACGTGCTTCTTTTAGCGCCTGTTCGGCTTTAGATTGTCTAACCCTACATTCATGTCTTGCTGGTTATGTAGGTGATGAAGCAACTATCGCAACCACGGTTCTTTTGGTCGCTGATTTTGACAGCAAGAATGGGGTGGATAATGCACTGGGATCTTTGAATGCCCTTGAAGCCAACCACGACAACGTTCGCGTGGCCTTTATTCAGAATGGAGAGTCCTTGAAGGAGTCAGGGCCGTCGCTCGGAAATTTCGTCCGCCAGTCGTCTGTCGACGGAAAGACGCTATCGATTGGGTTCTGGAAGGATCTTTTGCAGGGTATTGCCGATGGTAGCTCGTTCTTGGACAGCTTCCAGAAATCCACTAGTCAGCATCCCGAGGTGGCCATGATTGCCACAGAGGGATCTAAAGGACGAGAGGAGGAAAGTAACCGTGCTAGACATCAGTTTTTGAAGACTACCCTTAAAGCAAAGGAAGGCCAGGTTTTCATCGTCGTGAATGGCAGGGTACGTTTAGCCCACTCTCATTGTTTGGAACGGTCGGTCCGAGATGTCTACAAACGTATTAAATTAGTTATGTCTTCTAGGTAATCGGCCCTATTGAAGAAGCATTCGACGCCGGCGACTTTAAGTTACTGGTCAACTACGAGAAAACTCTGCGGGTGGACAAGATCAAGAGCCTGCTCGAGAAAGCGCAGATCAAGACAAGCGCCAATAATATTATGAAGGTTTCTTCAATTATTCTTGGAGCGGCTCAGCAGGTTGACCAGGGACTCTACGATATCAACCAGGCCGAGATCACCAGGGAGCGCATTTTTGAAAGATTGAACGACGACGAGGCTGGCTTCACTGTGAATCCAAGAGTCTATGCTGAAAATGATGATGTTTTATTCCACTTCACGGCTCTCCTGGATCCAGCAAGCGAGCTAACGCAGCGCTGGGCATCGATCCTTCTCACGCTTTCGCAGTTGGATAACGTCAAAGTCGACATTGTCTTGCAACCTTCGCTCGAGCTCAAGGAGGCTCCTATCAAGCGTTTCTACCGCTATGTCGTAGAGTCTGAGCTGAGCTTTGATGGCAACGGGTAGGTTGGCAGCCATGAGACTATCCAATAGGATGCAATTCCTCTTTTCTATACTGAACTGCATCTCGGTCTCTTTTTTTATTCCTTTTGATGTAGTGCTATTACTCAGCCTACCGCTTATTTTGCAGGACTTCCTGAACCCACACTCCTCACTTTGGGCATGGATGTCAATCCAGCATGGGTTGTCACCTCCAAGGTGTGCATCCACGACCTCGACAATCTCAAGCTGTCCAGTTTGACAGGAACAGCACGCATGATAGGAGTGCAGGCAGAATTTGAACTACAGCATGTCCTCATCGAGGGCTTTGCTCGTGATATGACCCAAAAGATGCCACCCAAGGGCGCGCAGTTTATCCTCGGAACCAAATCCGAGCCACACGTTGCAGATACACTGGTGATGGCTAACATGGGCTACTTCCAGCTCAAGGCCAACCCTGGTGTGTGGGAGATGGTCCTGAGACCTGGACGCACTTCTCAGGTGTACTCGATCGAGAGTATTGGTAGTGAGGGTTGGGTTACTGGAGGCATCAAGAATGATAAGCGCGATCTAGTGGTTGCGAACTTTGAGGGACTGGTGCTGTACCCAAGATTGGTCCGTAATCCTGGAATGGAACGTGCCAATATTCAGGACGAGGCTACTCAGGAAGGAGGTGGCCTCTGGGATTCGATTAAGACGACGTAAGTGGGGGGGGGGGTTATTTCATTGTTCTTGCGATAATGCATGCAGTCCATGTGCATGAAGCTGTGTGCAGCCGCTAATGTGCAGCCGTATCGTTGTCGACGATGATCTTTAGTATCAAGGGTTTCACCCATAGTGGTGATAAGGTTCCTGCCAAGAAGAAGGCCGAGATCAACATCTTTTCTGTTGCCTCTGGACATTTGTATGAGCGATTCCTTTCAATCATGATTCTGAGTGTCATCAAGAACACTGACAGTCGTGTCAAGTTTTGGTTCATTGAAAACTTCTTGTCGCCCTCGTTCAAGGTGAGATTGCTTTGCAGCCCCACTGTAGTGCGTCGAATGACAAGAAACGAATTAATTGCTTAAATATTTCTTCTTTTCTCCATAGGACTTCATTCCTCATATGGCAGAGGAGTATGACTTTGACTATGAGCTGGTCACCTACAACTGGCCACACTGGCTTCGTGCGCAGACTGAGAAGCAGCGAATCATTTGGGCGTACAAAATTTTGTTCCTGGATGTCCTGTTCCCCTTGGACCTTGATAAAGTCATCTTCGTCGATGCAGACCAGGTACGTCCGCAATATTGCCGGATCTTTTATCTCAGCAACAGGAGAATAATCTTGTCACGGATCTGAAATGGATGGATCTAATGTCAAATCTACGATATTCTGAATATATGCCTTTAGATTGTTCGCACTGATATGAAGGAGCTGGTTGATCTGGACCTTCACGGTGCACCTTATGGCTACACACCCATGTGCAACGACCGCACAGAGATGGAGGGATTCCGATTCTGGAACCAAGGCTACTGGAAAGACCACCTCGGCGAAAAACCCTATCATATCTCGGCCTTGTATGTGGTCGACTTGGTTAGATTCCGTCAGATGCAGGCAGGAGACCGTCTTCGAGGTCATTATCAGCAGCTGTCACGCGACCCTCATTCGTTGGCCAATCTGGACCAGGATCTGCCCAACAATATGCAGAATGAGGTGCCGATTTTTTCGTTGCCCCAGGAGTGGCTCTGGTGCGAGACTTGGTGCGGTGATGAGGGTCTGGCGAAAGCAAAGACCATCGATTTGGTAGGTCAAATGGACATCAAATGGCTCGCTCTCATATGCACATAACGTAGTGCTATCATTACGGAGCGACTAACCTGCTTCTTCCTTCTTATTATCGTTGTTATAGTGCAATAACCCATTGACGAGGGAGCCCAAGCTGGATCGTGCTAGGCGTCAGATCAAGGAATGGGAGAGTTTGGATAACGAGGCGACCGAGTTTGCCAAAAAGGTCAATGCCAGACTCAAAGCCGAACGCAGCCAGCAGCAGAAGCAGGGACAAAGGCACACTGAGGTGCATGAACAATCGCAAACCAAAACCACACACGACAGCCATACCAAGAAGGATGAGCTTTAGAGGCGATGTATTTACTTGATGTGGTTCACACAATAAACCGTGTTGTCAATCACTCGCTTAAAATCAACCATAGGGAACATAAATTTCGTTCTATCCTACTCGTCGAGTTGAGCATACTAAACGATGCAGCGTCGTTTGTTCGGCTATGCAGAGTAGTGCACTTGGCTTCAAGGCACCTGTTTATTCTGGTATCTGGTGCCTGAGCATCCTAAGCAGCTTGTAATTTGTCACCAACTTTGTTATTGCATTGCAGTTGGCAACCAGAAAAGTTCCCGCTTTCGCATACGAAAGCAAGCGATATATTCACAAGCGATATATTCACGTTTGAAAGCAAGCTGAGATATACAAAAAACCGTGGGAAACCCCAAAAGCCGGTGATATTACCGATAAATAGCCACACAGGCATTTTATTTTTTGGTGCGTTAGGATGCTACAGCTGCAGGATCTGTCAGTATTTGCTTGGCATCCCCTTTTTCTATTCCAAGTGTACACAATCAATAGCACTGGCTGTCGTTGGCTATAGTCGAACAGGAAGAGTCTGCCATGCAGAAGCATTGCATGGCCAAGAAAAACACGGAAACGCCAAGAGAAAAAAATGCGACAGACATCCAGGAGGAAGATAAAAAAAAAAAGCCCTAATGCAGCTAAAAGAGAATCATGTCGTCAAAGGCACCACAGCCTTCCAAACCCAAAAGCAAAATTTCAAGCACGAACCAACTGCAGCCTAGTCTTGATTTTGCCAAGACAAAGGCTGCACCCATCCTCGGTACCGCTGCAGGTGCGGCACACTCGAAAAGACAAAGCGCGTCTCGATAGACGACGCATGGCTGTTGCACGCAGACAAAGCAGATCAATCAAAATGAACGTGAGGAGATGGGTCATGTTAAACCCCCTCCCCCCTCCATTTATAATCTCGCGAGAAAAGATATCGCGTCCTTTTTTTTTTTTTTTTTTTTCCCTAGTATCATCAACGGCAAGAACCGCAGACATTCTCCTTCATATTCTCTATCCACTAATCCTCCTTTCGACTCACCGCAGGCTCAAGCGCTCCCATACAGAGAGAATAACCACCAATATACACAATGGGCCTCGAGAGATCCCAGACAGTGATACGCTACGTGCTCCTCTTCTTCTGTCTCGCCACCTTGGGCTTCGACATCTTCTTCATCCATGTCTACCAGACCTATAACCAAGTCGTCTTCACCTGGAAGTTCTACGCCCACATGGGCTTGGTCGGCGTCCTCGTCCTCATCATCCTCGCCTCCGAAATCGTCCACCGCATCTCCAATTACCGTCGTGTCCAACGCGAACGCGCCTCTATCGAGGCCGCGTACGAAACCTCACACCACGCACCTTACCTGCCCCCGACCTCCTTCTCCTCCTCCTCTCCCGAGTCCACGGAAGCCTTGATGCATGAACTTCCGAAACCCCAAGCGCTCCACTACCCCGAGCCTCCAACCTGCTGCCAAACCACCTTCTCCATCATCCGTCTCCTGATCCTCTGGGCCATCAGTGCCGCGCTGCTCAACATCACCGTCCGGACCTTCGAGACCCAGGGACGTTTCGTCTTTTCCCTTCCTTTCCCTCGCGATTCTTCCCAGGGTATAGCTCTCAATAACAAATTCAGTGCCTATGATCCCCACGACCTCTTCTTCTGCCCGGACATCAAGCTCCCGGATCTGACTACCATTCTGTGTCATTTTGACCAGATCACCATGATCTTGGTCACTGTTGTGGCCATCTGCGCGATTATCGAGGCCATCGCCGTCATCGTCCTCGTGAACCGCACCCGTAGCCCACGTTTGGCGGCCTGGGCGGGCGTCGAGAACGAACGCGGCAAGATGAAGAAGCGCGTTGAAGTTTATGATGACGTAGAATTGGGCAATGCCCAGGTTGTAGCCGTGCCATTTCCGTGTCCGTCTCCGATGGTACCGTCTCCGGCTGCTATTGAGATGCATCCATATGGAGCGTATCACCAGCCTGCATTCGCGGCGGGTCATTTGAAGGATAACGTTGACGAGAAGCATAGGTCGCTTCCTCCATTGCCGCTGTGGGTGGACGATAAGAAGGAAATGAAACCGGGGTATAATCCTTTTGAGGACGATGTCAAGGACAAGAAATTCGCTCAAGAAGAAGAAGAAGAAGGTCCAGAGCAGGATCCAGCAGCAGGTCCTTCGGCATCCATACCCTGTAAATAATGGATATTCCCTAAATCGATAATAAAAACTTCCGCTATCATGAGAACATGGCTTTATTGTTTAGGTCTATACCGTTTGAGGCAACAAAGGAGGGAAAAAAAAAAAAAAAAAAAAAAAAAAAAACCGCTTCTCGGTGGAGGATATACTACTCAGCAGCCTGCTTCAAATGTTGGTTTGTAAACACGCGCAAGCACTGCTCCAATTCCTCCTTCCGCAGCGGCTTGCTGATATAGTCGTTCATGCCCGCAGCAATGCACTTCTCGCGGTCTCCTGGCATCACACACGCCGTCATCGCAATGATATACGGCTGGTTCACTGTGCCGCCAGACAGGTGGTCACGGATGAAGGTCGACGCATCCAGTCCGTTCATCTTTGGCATCCAGACATCCATAAAAATCAAGTCGTATGGCACAATGCGTTTCTTGTCGCTGCCTTGGACAGGCCCTTTGCTGTCGTCGTTACCGCCACTGGTGCTCCTCTCACTGTTCTCCGAGGAAGCCAATTCAGGCTGTTTGACTATCGGACCGGGCGCCAACATTGCAGATGTCGTCGCAAGTGTCGGTGTCGTCATGGCAGGGTTTCCTTTGTCTGAGAATCCGACTCCAGAATCTCCATTGCCGCTATCCAACTGAATGCCTCCATTTGAGGGCCGACGCAACGGAGGGTCCTCCTGCAAACGTATCAATGCCGCCTTCTTCTCAATCAACTCAACCGCCTCGAGTCCGTTGTTGGCCATATCGGGCTCGACACCAAGGCGCGCCAGCATCTTACAGACAACCTTGAGGTTGACAGGGTTGTCATCCACGACCAGCACCTTGACCTTGGCCAGCTTGCGCGCCGTAGATGAAGATGCGGCAGCGACTGCGGCCAAAGATGGGGATGAGTATCCTCCGGCCGAGTTGGGCGTACCAGTAGCAGACCCGCCTGCTTTTCTCCTGGGCGTTCCTGAAGCCAGACCACCTTTGAGCGGTAGCCTTTTGGTTATGGGGGTCTCCATGCTTTCAGAGCCACGAGATCGAGGCTCAGATTGGGGCTGGTGCTCATGGATCTTGACATCAGCACCTGACCCAGAGGACGCAACCCGCGATCGAGAAGCATGGAACTCGGAGCCATTCTTGTGTCTGGACATTGGTAGAGAGCTATCTGTCGATGCAGGCGCAGCCGGGACCGTTAATGTTACCGGTTCCGCCAAAGAAGGGGCCAGCCTAATGGACGGCTCCCTCAACTCTTGTATGGACCGCGCGTCTAGGGACCCCTGGAGAGAATGCGCTTTCTTCGTCTCCTTCGTTGAGGCGGGAGGAAGGAGCGAAATAGACGCAGGCATGGTTCGAACAGCGCTGCTAAACAGCGTCAATCCAGAGGTAGAGTTATTCATTGGATGTAACTCCTCCACCTCCAACTCCATGTTGATAGGATCCTCTGCCAGCGTCTGCAAGACCTTGGAATGGCGGATCGGCTTCGTAAAGTATACCGGCGCTGCAAACACACCCTTGGGTCGAACAGGACCATGAACAATCAGCATCTCCCCGGACGTTGGCGTAGTAGACTCGTTATCACTACTGCTAAAGTAGCTGGTCCGGTTCAAAGAAGGTGTCGGCGACTGGGCAGTAGTCGAAAGATGATCGATACTGCTCACACTCTGCTCATAGAACGTCGCTTGCGTGTGTGGCGTCAGTAAATTTCCTGCCCCTGTGGTATAGGCTGGTGGAATTGTAAGCTTCTCAAGGGTCGAAAGAGAGGCCTTTTCCAGAGCAAGAGATGATGTTGACGAGTCCGAGTGATGCCTATACATCTTCCTATACGACTCGGGCCCTTCTTGAGGACTGGATCCACGAGAATGGCGCACCGGAGTTTTATCTTCTCCAGCATCACTACTCGAGATCCTCTCGCCACTCCATCGGGAGGCGTCCCGTCGAGCATGACCGTGATAGGAGGTCGACGTCGACGCAGCCGTCTTGACATCCCTCATGTTCTTGAAAATAATCACAGGTATGGCGGGCAGCGGCTCTTGATTTGCCTTGAAATCCACGGCTTGATCGACGTGCCGAGCCGCGGTCCTCCGGATAACGTCCAAAAGATTTTCGGGCCTGTTAAACAGGGATTCGTTGAGGTCTGTCTCTATAATCAAGGCCTCCATCTTGTCCTGAACCCTTTCGTGCTCACCAGATGGAGAGTCCTCGTTCAGGTACTGGAGAATCTGGTCACTGCGCATGATCTTGACCTGGTTCATGTTCCAAGAGTCCGTTCGACTCTTCCAAGCATTGCGGCCCATCCTCGTGTCATCGACGATCACAAGCTTCTTATCCGCCAGCTTTGCGAGCTCGAACTGCTCCTCGTATGTCTGGCATCCTATGGGGCTATCGAGAACAATGTTGAAGTAAAAAGTCGACCCGACATTGGGCGTGCTCTTGACCCACATACTTCCGCCCATCATCTCGCTAAGCCGCTTGCTGATCGCAAGGCCCAGACCAGTGCCCCCGTACTCTCTTGTTGTGCTCTCGTCCACCTGAGAGAAGCTAGTGAACAGCTTGTCAAATCGATCGAAGGGGATACCGACACCCGTGTCCTTGACAGCGAAGAGCAGCCTGACTGGCTTGGTCTGTGGCGCCACCAAAGAACCGGAGCTCGTACGGCCCATCTCAGCTGTTTCAGCCAAAATGGACTCGTTTTTACTGCTCTCCTGTATAACAGTCGACTGAGGTGAAGTGGGGCTGGTGGCCGCCTTATTGGCCGTCTTTGGTGAAAATGACGGGCTTGGTTCAGAAGCAGGCTGTACACTTGGTCGAATGGTCTTTGGAGAGTCGCTTGACGTGCCTCGTTTCTTGTGGTTAGTCGGAGGCATCAATCTTGTCGAGTCCACCTTGATCTCTTGCTCGTCCTCAAATTTGACTTCGGGCAGGGGTTCAACAACAACAGATACATGGATCGTGCCCTCCTTTGTGAACTTGACGGCATTGCTCATCAAATTCAAAAGGATTTGGCGGATACGGGTAACGTCCCCCATGATTTCTACGGGGCACTTCCTATCGATCTCATAGATCAGGTTTAGGTTCTTGGATGTAGCCTGAGAGCTGATTAGATTGACGGCCGATTCCATAACAAAGCTTAGGTCCAAGAGCCGGCGCTCCAGTTTCAGGTTTCCAGACTCGATCTTGGAGAAGTCCAAAATATCGTCGATAACGGTCATGAGTTGGTTGCCAGAAGACTCTATCGTTTCCGCGCACTCTGCCAGCTCGGGATTCAGCTCGGAGTCCAATAGGATCCTGGACATACCGATAACGGCATTCATAGGGGTTCTATTCCAGTCAGTCAGTCAGTCAAAAAAAAAAAGGGGGGGGGGGGGGGGGGGGAGTTAGGGCCATGTCTTCATTTAGTTATGCAATTATGTTGATACCACGATCATTACAAAGAAACCACCATACCTGATTTCGTGCGACATATTTGCCAAGAAGTTGGACTTTGCTGTCGCTGCCGCCTCAGCCCCTTCCTTGGCCTTCTGAAGGTCTACGAGCAGGCGGTGAGTCCGGGCGCGCTCCTCCTCAAGCTCCTGTGTCCTCATCTGAAGATTCCTGGTCCGATCACGCACGAGTTCCTCCATGTCATTACCATACTTCTCCAGCATAGCTGCCATACTGCTGATAAAATCACTCGATTTGTGAGGGTTGATATCGTTGATTCTGTTAAGCATCGCCGTAAAGTGGGGTCGAGTCGTGGGTTCCTTCGCGAGACACAGACGGATGAGCTGGTTCATCTGCTCGATGTTCTCGCGGTCCTCGGCTGAGTAAGTCGATTCCTCAGGGTTGATAAGGGTCGGTCGAAGATCCTCCTCCTTTACATGCTGGATCACATTAGGGAAGTCGATGTGGTCATGGTATGGCAGGTGACGCGTCAAGATCTCGTTGAAGATAACTCCGGCGCTGTGGAGAGGCACGAGGAAAATAAATAAAAAAAGGTCTAGTGTTAGTGGCCTAATGCTGCCGCTGCTATGCATGCATACCAATGACAATGACTAGAATGATTTACCTATACAAGTCGCCTCTCTGATTGCCAGCGACTTCATAATCGCCATTCTTATTAAGATGGAGACATTCGGGGGCAGCCCACATCAAGGGCATACAATCAAAAGGGTCGTCGAAACCCGAATGCTCAAGGCCGTCCGAAATAGCACTGGCCGAGGAGAATCCGGTGTTCGGCGTGCTGGAGCTGTAACGACTGCCGCTACTGTTCCTGGGCTTCATACTTGAGAACAAGGGTGCGCCTGAAGACACGCCAGTATCCTCGTCAGCAATTGATCCCACTCCAATAGATGAGCTCCTGTGATCCATGTCTCCACCCTCCATCAAATCACGCAGCTCCTTACTCCTTCGGAGAGGCTCTTGGCTGAAATCGTAAATACCCTGTTGTGGCATCGATGTGTCATGCTCTAATGGAGCGTGATGAGCTTCCGAGAACCATGGTCGTCCAGAACTCTTCTGCTTTGGTTGCTTCTCATTCAGGAGGCTGGGCTGCGATACGGGTTCCAACTGGGACTTGTAGAGCCCGCTCAGTCCGTATCCAGCAATCTTGAGTTCCCAGCGAGAAGAGATCAAACAGTTCATACTCGTCAAGCGACCATGAAAACCAATCTTGGACATGTGAAGGAACTCCATTCCACGGCACAAGTCCTGCATGAAAGAGAACTTGAAGAGCCATGTGAACTTATGGTCCATGTTGGCCAAGACAGAAGCCAAAGTACCCTTGGGAGCAAGTTCTATCGTTATTCGGGAACAGAACATCAAATATCGAAAAAAAAATTAGTCATTGCCGTCTCATAACGATCTTGCACCTCAATCCGAAGCAATTCCTCTTCGTTCGATACATACCTGTAACGACGCAAATATTGGGTACAGTAAGGCAAACACCGATGAACTCCACAAGTTTGGGATGACGGAGCTCCCTCATATTGAAGATCTCCTTGCGTAGATCAGAGTTCACAACGACCTTTTTGGAGCCGATCTTCTTGATATAAACAGGCATACTGCGCCAAGTACCAACAGCAGATGATCCGCGGCTCATAACCAGAGAGAACTGACTGCCGCTGTTCGAATGCTGGATCGACTTTGTGTTGTTGCTGCTATTGGAGCGTAAGAGCATCTTGGATTAGCAAAAAAAAAAAAAAGGAACCAGAAAAAGAAAAGACATGCCACGAGCAGTCTACTTACGATGACGCGGAGCGTGGGCCCGTGCTAGCCACATGGTCGGATCCAAATCGACTACCTGCGCTTCGGGAAGGAAGTGACGACTCTGCGCTATCGACACCAGGTTCATTGCTTAGGCGCGGACCAAACTCTGCAGACGACCTTCGCTTGAGAGCACTGAAGGCCGAGACACCGCCGACGGTGATAGCGGGAAGGACAATGCTATTCGCACCTCCGGGACTGCTCATACGAGGGAGACCGTAGGTTCCGTCGGTCTCTCCGCCAATGCCGCTGTAGAGGAGTTTAGCAAGGTCAAGCTGCCAAGAGTCATCGTTCATCTTTCTTTCGTTGATGAACTTCTTGCGTCGCTGCCAGCAGTAAAAGATGAGGGCCACCAACAGCGAGGCCGTAGCTATCGGGATCAGCACCGCCATCAGAATCCCTTGCAAGGACACTAAAAGATCATGAGCATAGACGGCCGACTGTGAGCGGAATATAACATGTCAACAAACATCATCAAGTACAGACTTCATTACAACGAGCCTTACTCCCTGAGGACGGTTCACAAATGCCGTCAGAGCAGACCTGACACATGTTTTGCCCTGTACCAGAAGTCCCTTGTCCAGACGAACAGCTCATACACTGCTGTGAATCCGTCTGATTGGTGTATGTGTTAATCGCACATCGCTGGCACATGGACTGGACCTTGACATGACCGCTCTCATCAATGCACAGCATGGACTTGCTGTCTGTCGCCATCGACAGAGCGGAGAAAGAGGTCCCAACCGATAGCGCTCCTGGGCTTCTAACAGTCTGCAACTCGCTAGAAATATTACGGGTAGATGAATAATATTGGCCGGCTTCACAGACATATTTCATGGGCATTGGTCCCGAAGAAAAGAACTGGTTGAAGACAGTGTTTCGGTTCGGAAACATCATTCGGGTAGTCATGCTGACGATCGAATAAAACCCTTGGAGATACTGCTGTGGGTTCAGGAGTCCCGTCACTTCCACGTCGTGCGCGAGGGAGTAGACAGCCTTGGGAGACACGCCCAGGACAAAGATGCCAAGCGAGTTAGGATCCGGCGCAGCCTTGGAGAGCGAAGGCCTGCCTGCCATTATCGAGACGTTTACGTTCGGAGGATTTAAAGACGCAGCTGAAAAAGTGCCCATGCGTAAGCTCCTGAGTTGTGGATATAGCTGATCGACGACGTTGTACAGTGGTAAGGAAGTGCAGAGAATCGAGTCGAAGGACAGCGACGAGTTGGGCGAAAATCTTGCGAGGATCGGGTTGTTTTCGACTGTAGGGCTAACATCTGATAAAATGTTTTTCGAGTTGCCTGTGTTGTTAAAGATGCTCTGCTGAAGGTTGGTGCCGTTGAAGGCGAGGTCGGTGGCGTTCGCTGGAACTGAGAGCATCATGTCCTCCAATGTCCCGACCTTGCCGATTCCATAGATCAATTCCAGGGAATTGTGCAGCTGTGTGCAGTGGGAGAGTTGCCACCATGGGCCATTGTCCTCAATTAAACACAACGGAATGCTGAAACCACTGCTTAGGATCTGGGAAGCAAAGGTGGAGCCGATCGTGTCGTCACTGGGGCCAAGGAAGACAGCCCTTCTTGGGAGTCCCGTCCAGTTCGAGACAGTGCCCATGCCTATGATCGGTATATCCGATCCGATCACAGTGCTGTTCAAGAGTTGGTCATACTGCATCTTATCCGCCAAAGAGACCACAACGCCCTGCACGCCCTTGTACGGTCCATAGTTTGTTGCGGAGGTGTCGGAGATAGTACTTTGGTTGTTGCCGGCCATCAATTCGCCCTGGATGCGCTCCAACTCGACCATCGATGTCGCTGAGACCGTGTCCCATCCAAACAACTTCCCCGCCTCCACCAGCCCCCCTAACGCCTCATTCCACCGAGTCTCCTCTAGCGGAATGTCGCGATTGAGAACTACAGCGGTCTTGGCCTGTTTGGCAAACTCGCCTAAATCCGCCGATTGATCCAGCGCATACTCAGTCATAATGTTGCTCTTGTCTAACAAGTACGGTCCAGTCCAAATGATGTCCTCCGCCAACCTTTGCTTGGCCGAGATCTCCAGAAAAAGTTCCAGTACAGGAAGTGCTCCTTGAAGATATGGCGTCTGCGAGATGGCTGCTACGATAGCTCCGGACTCGACACTCTGAACCACAGTGTCGGTCAAATCAAACGTACCAACCCAATATCCTCCGACTCTCCCAGATACGGAATTAGTCTTGTTCTGCGAGATTTCCAAGGTCATATTAACAGCTAGAGTTGTAAGAGCAACAATCGTGTCCACCTGGGGGTGTGAGTTGAGGTGAGCCATGATAGCTTGGTAATTTGCTGGAGAGTCAGGGTTGACTGGATCGATGAATACGGTCTTATTGTTGACAGCCGTACTGGTCATGTTTATCCCTCGAGCCACGAATGCCTGGAGAACACCCGAACAACGGTCCCCCATTGACTGAAGCTTACGACTGTGGCTCACGCACACAAAGTCCCGCGCACCTAGCAGTATGCACGACGAGTGATTTTGTTAAGTCAATGCGTATCCGAATAAAATAGAAAAAGGAACCTGAAATTTCATGCATGGACCCTACCTTTGTCAATCAATGCGTTTCCAATCATTTGTCCTGCAACTATCTCATCCTGCATGACCGACAATAATCCTTGCTGCTTGGCGCTCTGCCGACCAACATTAAAGATGACCATTGGATAGCTCGGATAGTCGCGCAGGACTTGCATGACCGCGCTGGCGATTTCTGCATTCGGAATGGTGACAAACATGCCGTCGTATTGTCGGCTTTTTGCAGCGTTGGAAATCTGCTGGACCATATATGTACTGTCGAAGATGTTATTTTCAGTTGTAAGCCAGGTGAGTTCGACCCCGAGGATACTGGACATATCCTTCGCGCCGGTTTGGGATCTTTCCCAAAATGCAGTGACACCTGCCCATCATTGTCGACAAAGAGGATTCAAGTCATTAGTATTTGCAGGCAATAATATACGTACAACGCGGTTCATGGTATCGCCCCTAAACTAACCGTGATTAATTCCAATAATACGAATTGGTCCATCCGTTACTATATTTTGTTGCCTTCCATTGACTCCAGTCATTGTACTAGGGTCACAGATAGGAAGGTTGGATAGGTTCATTGCCGTAGTGTCGTCTGCCGCACTTTTGCTTTTGAGGAAGTTGGGATGAGACACGGCCCTAGGCTTTAACGCGGGAAAGAGCGATGGTGGCGAGGATGACCTTTGAAATATTGGATGCTTCTTGACGCCAGCTAGATCTTGAAGCGGGATTGCGGTAACTCCGTTGAGGATCGACAGTGGAAGCAGCAACATCATCGTGTAGATTAGTATGTATGAAAGAAAGGAGCGTCTCCTAAAGAAGAAGGTCGAATTAGACCGTTCATGGTGTGTATCATTCAAGCGCCCGCTCGTAAACGACGATAGTAAGCGGTCGATGCAGACATCCTTATCCTGGCTCAACGGCGACGAGTTCTCCTGGCAGAATTTAGTCCGCGAACCATTGCAAGCGACTAGAGCAGTACAGCGATTGTAGGGTTTGAGATACGGGGCCCTGGCCCCTATGCTCTGCTTTTGATTCCTGAACTTCCTTGATGAGGCACGGCGGATTCTTGTCGCAGGATTACTCCTGAGGTGCTTCCTGCGAGAATGCTGTTTCGAGAAGGACTGATTGGCGGACCCAATGTTGGAAGATGCAGTCGACAGGAGAGACGACAGGACTGAGCGTAGAGAGGAGATGGGGTCCTGGTGGCGGCCGAGGAGCTGGGCGGAATGCATGCTGTGCGGGGATGCAGACGAAGAGGAAGCGGGATAGGGCGATATTACTGATAATGGTGAGGATAGTGACGGTGATGACGACAAGGGTGGCGGCCTGTGTCCTTGTTGTGTGCGGCGCGAAGTGCGGTGGCGGTGGCGGTGGTGGTGCCTGGCCGATGAGTCTGGGCGTGGTGGACTCGAGGAGGATATCTTTGATGCGATTGGTCGCATTGGTCTCGCTTCTATTCCGTTCCTTTACTGAGACAAAGACAAATGGCAGACAGCCGGGTGAGTAGAAAGACCAAGCACCAAGTAGGGCACAAAGAACCGGCCGATGCATAGACAGCAGGCGCCAGCATCTCCCTTCTTTGCCTCTCGATAGACACATGTAGTAGAGGAGGTGTAGTAGGGGAGGTGTAGCACTGAATGTGTTGCGTAAATGTGCGGATGGTATGTGGATGTGGGCATGCATGCGTGTGTGTATACATGTCATCATATCATGGCCCTCTGGAGGGAAACAAACAAAGGAAAAAAGAGGGGCGACAAGGAAGCAGGTACGGGAGGAAGGACAAACCTCCCTGGTCTCCTTTTACGAAATATGGACGTTGCAAATCCGCACTCTTAAAATTATATCCGCCATCGAGGTCCTCCGATCTCTCTACCCCCATGGATGCGGATCACTCAACATTACAAGTCCATATCCTAGGTTATGCACGCACCACAGACATTTATGAAAAAAAAACGCGCTAAATAAAGGAACGCCATGGTCACCGCACATACACGCGCTAAACTAAATCCTACCCAACGACTGAATCAGGGACAAAGAATGCGTATTGGACTAAGTCTAGCGTCTTCAAAGATCCAATCCCACGAGGAGGACACGATCGAGCTGCTGGGAAGGATAAGAGGGCTCTATTTTTCCACCGCGATTCTTTTTATATCTATTAGGCAAGATCGTAACATCTGAACCATCTGCAACCTTGCATTAATGAACCCATAAACCAGGCTCAGCTGTATCTTTCATTGTTCGGATATGACGTTAATGCAGTGGTAACCGAAAGCGTGGAATGTTCGGGGAGAGATGAGAACTGAACCAGTGGGGAACAAATACGATTTGCTATTCGAATAGGGAAAAAGGCAAAGAGGAACCGGGGTGCTATCCAAGGCTTTTGAAGGCGTAGAATCAGGAGTGGTCGATGTGATGATACAGCTGAGGGGAGAGAAGGAGTATGAATTGGTCGGGATGGATCGTTGCTCGTATAGAAACTAATGACGATAGAGATTTGTGGTGTGTGCGTGTGGGAGTGTATGCAGAAGAGCTGGATGGAGTCGTGAGGTGTGAAGTGTGTGTGTGTGTGTGGAGGAGGAGGAGGAGGGGGGGGGAAGGTGTATGCAGTGTGAAGTGCAGGGTATGTTTCCAATCCAATTGATTGCGATGAGGACATACCGATTACGATGTGCCAGGAGCCGAAGGGTTTTTTTTGGTTTCCCGGTTGTGGATGTCGAGGTCGAGATCTGAATGGATGCAGCCGGTGAGAGGTGGAATTAGATTCTGTTGAACGGAGTAGGAGGATGTGATTGAGTCGGTGGCTGAAGAGGGATGGATGGATGGATGGAAAGTAGAACGGACGTGTGAGGGGACAGGGGACACAGTGAAGGCAGCAGGGCGCATGGAAGGGAGAAGGGCTGCTGAAGAAACAGAATCGATATCCAAAAGAAAAGGCGGCAAGGTCAGAGGCGAGTGCGAATGGGAGGAAAAGAGAGTGGAGGAGAGGGTGAGAAGATGTGTATCGCACTGCGGTGTGTGCGACTGTGGATGTATGGAGATCGATATGAAGATGGAGAATATGAATGAATGGGTGGATATCTGAGAATAAAGCGAATAAAGTGAGCGAGGGAGGGGAGGGGAGAAAGAGACGAAGAAGGAACAAAGCGAACGAACGAACGAATGAACGAATGAATGGGAGCCGATAAGACTGAAAATGAGCTCCTCCCTCTTCTTCCTCTTCTTCTCCTTCCGCCCTTCACGGTTTAAACCCCAAATGGCTTCTTCCTCTCACACGTACACCCCTCCTCCAGTCCTTCCCTTCAATCGACTGCAAACGATGAACAACAATGAAGGCTGAGGTGGCACAACAGCAGACTCCACCTGTTTTTTCTGGCTAGCCTCTGCAGCTTTCTTGGCCAGACCAACCAACTCCGGCCAGCCAATCCACTCGATCACTCTATCAGCCAGGCCAGCCCTCCCGCCAGCCAACCAGCGGCAGCACAAGAGGTTCTGCTCTGCTCTGCTCTGCTCTTATCCAATTTCATTTTCCTGTTTGCTGTTGGTTACTCTGCCCATCCCATTCTTTTATGTTTTTCATCTGCGATCGCGGTCCCCGCAGACACACATCTGGGGCACAACTGTCTATCGAAAACAATTATGTCATTTTGCTCTCATGCACTTTTTGGGTGTTCATCTATTGCAGGAACAAGAATGAAGGTACATGCAGTATGTACAGTACCTACCGACGAACGAGGGGGGAAAATGGGAACAAATTGCCCGGAGTAAGGACCTTCTTCCCAATTCGCTCTCTGTCCACTCGTCTCATCCTCGCAGATCGAGTTGGCTCTCGATATTTGCCTTATCTCGCACTACTCTACTTTTTTTTTTTTGTTCACTTGGCTCTTTGTGATCTTTCACAGCAACCCATTCCCTTTACTGCTGCTGAGACAACACTCAAACGCTCGCCCGTTAGCCAATTCGTGTTGCACCCCAGGCTGCCAGGCCTTCCCCATTTGGATGGCGCGTCAATGAAATACAGTATCCAATGATCGCCACAAACGCATCCGGCAACTGGAACCGAGTATTTCGACCTTCCTACATACATACCACCTGCGCGTCGCTCATCGTCCGATTCGTGTCCGTAACCTCTTTTCGATCCTCTCTTTTCTCACTCTCCTCGTCGGACAAAAAGCAAAAAAGGGAGGACCCTTTTCTCCATATCTGCGCCTCATCCCTTTGTAGCGTGTAGCCTGTTCCTGCTTCTCCCTTGCCCTTGGCAATTGCACGTCCTTCTCCTGGACACCTCCAAGTTAAATACATGGAGATACTCCTAGGATAACGGATCGGGACCTCTTGGCCCATTGCTCGTAAATCCGTCAATCACAACAATTACTTGATCTGTCAAATCGCAACGATTCAACCGGCAGTGATTTACAGTGCCAATGCCATGGTCTCTCAATTTCAAAGTGCTGATTCTTCCGCAGAGATAGACCACTAGAGCAACAGCAGCAACAGAGCTCAATAAAACACCAAAAGAGCGCCATTTCATAAGGCATAGATGTATCCGCTGTCCTGAATGTATATTCCGCATTATAACATCCGATACAGAGAGTGTGAAACAAGAGAAAGATACACATGGAGAGTTTAGTCATTCTGTCAAGGTTCATGGTTATCAAGACCCGGCACGGTATAATGAAAAGAGATAAAAAATACATGTTCTCTTTCCAGGCGATAGCTCCCTCGTGGCATGCTTTCAACCTTGCGACATCTTCCACCAAGCAATGTATCCCTTATTCCTCGAACTTCTCGCAACACCAACCGCAAAACACTCCGGAGTCTATAATTGGCTCTTCTGGATCTAGACATATTCACAACTCGGAAGTCAGCATTAGTAATATTGTATGAAATGTGATGCCTGTTATCAGATCGTAGAATATGCTCAGAGAATCCACGTTGATGTTGAGAGCTGAGGAGCTTGCTCAGTGCTACTTGACTGGTGCTCGCGGTGGTAGTAATGGTTCTGATGTCAGGATGGGCGGGAGAGGGTCCTTGGAAATAGAGTTAGATATCGGCCGTTGAGAAAGCGAAAAGTAGACACTCGCAATGCAACCATCATAGCTGAATGGAGGTTTCTGAGCTTGTTAGCGTGCTTTCTTCGGAAGAATATGCATTCTAAGTTGGTGAGCTCAAAGTCTTCGTATACACTTATGACATTGGCACCGCCGTTAATGATACGCCTGAACTTGGGAAGTCGAACTGGTTGGTAACAAAACACGTAGGTTTCCAAGTTGCACTCGTCAATGATGGCAATACTCAGAGTGCTCGTTGCACACCTTGCCGCTTCCTTGTCTTGAATGGCCCTTTATGCAAGACCCTACATCAACCCCCCACACTGCCGACGGGTCGCACAACAGAAATTGTCTTGGGCACAGCTCGTCATATCTCCACGATTTGGTTCCAAGCTTGGAATATGATGGCGAAAGAGAATTTATGCACCAGTCATTTGCATGGGCAAATAGAAACGAACCAGCCCTGCTGCAGTGCAGCTCAACTCCTCGAGTGACATGATCCTACACGTACAGCTGTTCAACTGCTGCATACTTCTGACCATCCAAACAACCGTAAAGCCTTTCGGACGCTATTTCAAGTGCAGTACGGGTTATCATCGTCGTCCATCGTCCAAGCTGTCTTCAAGGAACAGGGAGTTTTTTTTTTTTTTTTTTTTTTTTTTTTTTTGAAAATATCATACGGTTGGTTGGTCTCTTGTCGTGGCGCCTGTTCCTGCGACCCCAGGTCAATGCGATGTTCCCGATATGGGCCTTGATTTGGGTCGTTGCGCCAGTTTCATCGGTTTCCATTACCTTTTCTACAGGAGCAGTGGCTTTCTCCAATAGTATTGTCTCTGTCCAAGTCGTTGAAGCATCATCTCTCGGGATAATATTCCCTTGTCCTCTCGCAGATTTATGTTGGCAATTCGTAGAGTCGCGTACGCATCCGCCGGAGAGCTGTCTGAATATTAACCAGCACCTAGTGTGGTGGTGGCCGTGGCTGTGCTGATTAAGAACGTGAAGCCTAGAGTTATAACAACGTTAGGTTGCTAGAGTCTGGGCAGTCTCCATCGCTTGGCAGCGGTCGTCTTCCGCCACCGCTTTACAGCCTTCTCTTGCTCATCATGTTCCTCGGTTTCAGCCATGGTCGTGCTGGGTTTCAGGGGCTCTTTATTCACTTGCCATTATTCTATCCAGGCTATTTTTCCGAAGTTCGTTATACGCGCTGAGGACCGGGCAATCACGTCGATTGCTTCCGTGGGGCACAGCTTCGCCTGTCAAACAAGTCATGAGGCGATCGACATAGCTATATCTATGTAATCACCCTACGTGCCCGTGTCCTGGGTACATTGTCCACTCATAAACTACATGCCGCCCGCAGATCACTCTGAGCACTTCACAGGCGCTTGTTAAGTCAGATACACACCAAGATTCCTACGAATAAATATGCCAGCGAGAGTTGCTTGCGTGCGGTATTATTAGTCTTGAAACATAAATTGCGCAAAGCTGCCTAAATGAAGTGTAACGTACCATAGGTATCCTCATCTGGAGGCAAACGTAGTTATTATGGCCCTTACCCGGCATACATGAAGGGTGGCTTTTCGCTGGGTACAGCTTCAGTTATTTATTAGAATCAAGAGATGCTATGTAAGATGAGTAACATAAACGAACATGCCTTGTCCACATGTTAGCAGAAGTATAGTTCAACGCGACGATGAATGCCCGCTCGCTCATTCAAAAAACAAAAAACAAGGAAAACCATTGTTCTAATAACTTTCCATCGTAGTTGTCGACAGACGTGCTTACTATAGCTGACGATGAAAGTCTTCGTTTGGACTAAAGAAAGCGCCATACAACTGTTATTACGTTATCCCCAAATGAGCTGGAAAGAATGGTCGTAGCATATGGCTCTGCTAAGAGCTGAATCCCGCTTGCGTCGAAGAGAGAGTCTCGCCCTTTCAAGGCTTCTGGAAGAAGTTCATTTACACGGCGTGTTATATCCTGGGATCAAGGATACATCACGATTAATAACACACAAGCGAGCCGTAGACGTTAATAAATATTGGTGGCAACGGCTCGTGAGAGCACAATCGCCTTGTCCTAGTCTAGTTGCAGTAGAATCCATAAGGTGGGACATAGACCACATATCCAACATTTTCTGATGATTTACATACATGTACAACGCGACTAGATTCATAGAGTATTTTTTTATTATTTTTTTTTTCTAGGAAGATCGTCTACGCACACGACGCGGTTGTACACATGAGGACGCGACTAAACATAAGCTAGGACCCATGACGCGATAACCAGATGTAGGCTGTTTGTTGGGGTGAGAAGAATAAGGTTTCTGTACTTGGTCCTCGGTACTTGGCGAGACAGAGGCAGAGAAAGAGGACCGTGTAATGGAATAAGTGTGGTGTCCAGCCAATCAATGATGGCCAAATACGATCGTTCCTGAAAAATGCAACGGTCGTGTTCACTGCGATATGCTCATACGCGGTCCCTTTAGCTGCCTTCATGTGCCTAAGTATTTTTTTTTTGGCTCTTTTATCCGACACGCGACTACAGGTATGCGCAGGTGGAGGGACGATTGAGGGTGACCATGGGCAAATTACCGAAGGTGCAGTGGTACTCTTATGTCGGTATTGACTACGGATGGCAATTAAGGGAAGATGCAGTTGACGTGGAAGGGACCGCGTCCTTGTCGAGGGACAAGAAGGCGAAGTCCCTTTTCCTTTGGGGGAAGGTGAACTCTCCACGAGAATTCGTTCCATTGGCTTCCTTTTATTGGGTTGACCCGGAGGACAGACAAGCACGAGCAGAAGCACGCGCACGAGGGCCATAACACGCACGAGCATCTGTTTGCGGTAGACACTGGACCATCCACTCTTATTTACTTATTTTTTGGATCCTTCTCCATCCCACCTTTTGATCCCCCCTTTGTTCCTCTTTTCCTTTGTTCATTCACCTCGGCCTTCCTCTTCTTGTCTTCCTGTCTCCGCAATAACGAGTCAAGCAAGGCCTACAGAGAAAACAAAAAACCGAGATCACTAGCGAGAAGCAGCCATGGATTCAGAGCTCCGCAACAGGAAGGCCGCATCGACCGAATCCTCGATCAGTGGCGTGTCCTCATCCAACAAGCTGCATTCCGCCGCCACTGACGCTCTTGACGCTCATGAGATCCACAAGAGAGATTCCACAGAGTCATCGTCCTCAGGCCACTCTCTGACCGACAGCCAGAAGCAGAGCCTCGCCAAGGAACAAGAGGAGACCGCGTTTGGCAAGACCCCCAACGGCACCAGTACGTCTATCGTGTTTCTTTATTGGTAAATTGCTTCGCTTTTGATCCCCTGCGACATGGCATTTCTGATGCCCTTTTCTTCGTCTTGCTTTTCTTGATCGTCTGCAGTTTTCCGAGTCCCTCTCACCAAGGATATGCTGAGCGAGATTTTCGACATGGGAAAGAAAAAGTCAGCCTTTGACCTCATCACACTGGCTGTGATGGGCGTCCAGATCCTCATGTTCTTCACTCTTCCCACATACATCAAACGCTGGCTCTTCCTCGTTCTCTTCATCTTCTGGAGAGCAGGCTACAATGCTGGTCTGGGCTACCTCTTGAAGTTGCAGAGTGAGCGCCGCGGCCTGGTCGCCTGGGCTCGCGAGAAGGGTATCTTTGACAAAAAGCGTGGTGGAGGCTGGTATACATGGCTCAAACAGGAGCTCAGCTGCAAGATGGACAAGGACTATGACTTTGATGCAAGTAGACCAACTGTCAAGAAGCACCAATGGTTTGTTTGGTTTGAGGCATCTTCGCCTAACATTGACATTTCTTTGCTTTATTGATCGTTTAGGCTGTCCCGATCGAGTTCAATACGTGGTTGCTGTACCGTCAGCTGGTGGATTTGATCTTGATGAACGACTTTACGACCTACGTCTGCTTTGCGCTGTCCTGGCTCACATTCCCCACCGGATCGGGCTTTTTCAGCCATCTGCTGCGATGGATCGGAGGATTTATCCTTGTGTTCTTTAACATCTGGGTCAAGCTGGATGCGCACCGTGTTGTCAAGGACTTTGCGTGGTGTAAGTTTACTCTAAGAAGCTATGTTTTTGGGGCTGTCCTTCAATGCAAAGGCTCGAGAAAACCTGTATTTTCTCGCGCTCACATTCATGTGTTTCCTAACCCCACACTTTATGGATTCCGATTCAAACTCCTTCTCTTCCTCATAGACTGGGGCGACTTTTTCTTCCTCATTGAGCAGTCCTTGACCTTTGACGGAGTCTTTGAGATGGCACCCCATCCCATGTACTCTGTCGGATACGCGGGTTACTACGGCATCTCGCTCATGATGGCCTCGTACATGGTCCTTTTTGTTTCACTCTTTGCTCACGCCGCACAGTTTGTCTTCCTGACCATGGTTGAGAATCCCCGTAAGTGCTATTTATTCGCGTGTTGACCGACTGCCAAGTACTCGACGCGATTATCTTAACAAAGATTATTAATCCATGTCCATTTGCGTATTTAGATATTGACAAGACGTATAATCCCCCTCAGGTTGTCAAGAAGCGCGTCCCTGTCTCGAGCGAGTCAAACATCGCTTCCACGGCTAGCGCGACCGCGTCTGTTGCTTCGAAACCGACTGACCCTGTTGCTCCCATTGACCAAGTAGCTACCTTGGTTCCATGCGGTTCTAAGGACATGTACAACACCTATTTCAGACGCGACTTGATCGTGTTTAAGAATTTCGACATCTACCGCTCGAACGATATCTTTGTAGCGCTGATTATCTTTTACGCAACCATCGTTCCTCTGTTGGTCTCCAACACTGGCTCTCGATTCTTGACGTTCATGATGGTCATTCAGGCTCTAGTTTGGCGCATTTTCCATTCTTATGCTCTTGGTGCTGTCCTCAAGCAGCAGAGCGATAACAAGTTCTACACGAAGCACTTCATCAAGCACGGTGGCACTGTTCAGGACGCTTTCCAGAGCTGGAAGAGCATCTTCAACCTTTCTAATTCCATGACATATGCTACCTTTTTCTTGGCCGCCTTCAAGATGTACTCGATCCCTGATAACTGGACCTATGGCACAGTTCTCCTTCGCCATGTTCTCGGTCTTGCGTTGATCGCCCTCCATATTTGGGCCTCTGTCTCTGTCTTCGAAGTCCTGGGTGACTTTGGCTGGTTCTATGGCGACTTCTTTATGGAGGACTCTTCCAGCGGGCTCTTCTACACGGGTATTTACAGGTAAGATATTGGTGAAAATGTGTGTATTGGCGGCATTTTGACATTATCACACTCGTTTAACCATACTGAATATATTCTTGTGTATGCCTCCAGATTTGTGAATAACCCGGAGAAGGTCATGGGTCATGCTGCATTCTGGGGTATGACATTGATCTGCAACAGCTGGTCAATTTTTATTCTCGCCATGTTCTCGCAGGTGTCGAACTTCTTGTTCTTGCACTATGTCGAGTCCCCTCACATGCGCAAGATCTATGGCGACAAGATCCGCAAGGATGCCGGTGTGGTCAAAACGGTCAAGGCTGCCCAGATCTTTCCCAAGAAGATGAAGGATGAGGTTTCCAAGATCCGCGAGAAGCTAGAGGAGACCCCTGAGATCAAGGATGTGCTCCAAAGGACTCGTGTTGTTTCCGAGAAGGCCCAGGAGATCGTCGAGGGCACGCGCGGTGATTTGAATGGGCTGGTTCAGAGCGTGGCTCCTCGCATCCAGGAAATGGTTTCCAGCTCAAAGGCTCTCCTCGAGAGCTCGAGAGACAAGCTGATTGTCGCGTAAGTTCAGTTACTGCTGGCTCGATCGATTTTTCTTGTTCTGATGCAATATGCCCAAACTCATAGCTCGCCTTCCTTCTTTGAACGTTATAGCCGTACATGGGACGATATGGGTGTCTACGATATGTCAGAGTACTCTGTCAAAGTACTCAGTGATACTGAGCCGACGTCAAATGCCGATGGCATTCCCACCTACAAACTTGGTCAGAAGCTCACTGTTGAGTGGACCGCTCCTTTGAACCACGGTACCAAGGATTGGATTGGAATCTACAAGGTCTCGAACAACAACTCCAAGAAGGTCACGACAGTTGCCTCCAAGGGTCGCTATCTCTTTGTCGGCCGTGATCTTGGTCTTGGTGAGGCTGAGGAGGGTGTTGAGAACCACGCTGGCAAGGGCGATGGTGAGGTCATGGAAGAAGAGGTAGCCTGGATCGGGGAGAAGGAACTGTGCCGTGGTCGTGTTGTCTTTGTGGGCGACAAGCTGCCTTGGTTCCAGGGCACGTTTGAGTTCAGATACCACCACCATGGACGGTATAATGTCATGGCCTACACGACTCCATTTGCTATCAAATGTAAGTGTCTAAAGTATATATATTTGATTCAGCATGAGGCTGACGTCTCTTTCGTGAACATTTATTTTTATTAACATTTTGTTGTTGTTGCTGGTGTTATAGTGGAGAACTATCAGGAGGATAAAGAGCACACTGTTTCTGCGATCGGTCAGTCGCTCTTGCCATATGTCCAACGCTGCTTCAACTCGGACGAGGAGACCATGCCTTGCACAGTTGACGAGCGGTTCATTATGATCAACGAGCCCATTGCGCAGAGGATTGTCAAGGGTATACAGTTGATGTACGGCATCGAGTTCGCGTGGGAGGTTGTTGCGGTCGATATGAGCTGTCTTCATCTGGCTCTTCGCATCTTTACAGCTCGTCGCGCCTTGGCGCCATTCTCGTCGGTATCTTCCCCCAGTGCCTCGGACGAGCCATAGTTTGCGTCCACGACCGAGGAGAAGCCTTTGGAGACAACGACTATTTAGACGCGCGCTGAAGGCGTGTTTGTGTGTGTATAAATGGATGTAGCATAGGAGCGATAGACAAACAAAAACATGTATCTAGTATTAGTAAAAGTATCCTTTATTTTGATGACATAAAGTAATGCTGAATGGCTATGGAGCACGAGATGCAGCGAGGGCTGAGGGAGTGCACCAGAAGCGGAGACGGTTATCGTCACCACAGCTAACAAGGGCGTTCTCGACGGGCGAAGCAGAAATGGAGCGGATCAGGGCCTGATGACCTGTGTAGCGCTTCAGGAGGGTTGCGGTGCGGGAGTCCCAGCAGACGATCGTGTTGTTGGATTCATCCGAACTGAAGACAAAATCTTCATTATACGAGAACACGGTCGATTGCTTCTCGTTCTATTTGGATATCGAATATAAGCAACAATAACAACGACAAGAAGAATAAAAAAATAAAAACCAGTGTGGTTCAGTAGTTTGCTTTTAAGACGGTAAATATACCACCGAGAAAATGAATGAGTACCACAAGAGAAATTAATCATTCTTTTACCTGCTGGGCAGCACCCTGATATCCATGGATCATCTTGCCCGATCCCAGGTCCCATAACTTGCTGACCGAGTCATAACCACCCGAAAGAATATATTTCCCGTTTTTGGAGATCGTGGCCGTCGTCACACCTTTACCCGCGTGCGCATTCTCGATGGTCCGAACAACCTTGCCCGAGATCGCGTCCCAGACCTTGATGGAGCCGTCCTGGGAGGCCGTGATGAAGACCGAGCCCGTGGGGGCGTATTCGATATGGTTGATACCACCGCGGTGGGGGCCCTGTTGCTGTTGTTGTTGAGATGGGGTGTCGACAGAGGATGAGGAGGTCGTGGTTGGACCGGAGAAGGCGCGAGGGGTGAAGCATTGAAGGGTCTTGACATCAAAAATCCGGACGGTTTCAGCTTCAGAGCCGACGAGCAGAAAGTCGCCGGAGGGGTGGAAAGATACAGAATTGATGGGATGTGAATCCTATTTTTGAAAAAGTGTTTTGGCGTTGTTATGAGAAGGGATGGCATCGGGGCGTTTTGTTGTGGATAGAGAGGATTAGACAATTTTTTTTTTTTTTTTACCTGAAGGTACCGGAAGGATCGTTTCACGGAGGGCCGTGAGAGATCGTACAGCTTGACGACTGTATCAGAACTGGCTGCAAGGACAAGACCGTTGGGATGAAAGTCAACGTCCGTGACCGGCTACGCGGGGGAGGGACAGGCAAAAGAAATAGCGATCCCTGTTAATGGGAGGGGTGGGGAGGGGGGTTTTTTTTTTCTTTCAATCTTTTCATTCCCAGATAATTTGTTCCGCAGGTTCCTTTCTCATCAAAGTCCTCCAACTGCACACCAACATAAGCAAGGAAGTTGGGAATATTCAAGGGTCTTCCATGTCATTTCTTGCAAGGGTTGTTTTGACATGTGGGAGGAAGGGGGGGAGGGGGAGGAGGTTCCTTACAGAGACGTGATCATAGAGCGTTCGAATCACTGGGTGGACATCATCATTGACTAGCTTCATTTTATTCACGTCCACGATCTTGAGCGACGCATCTGCAGATCCCGAGGCCGCATACCGTCCGTCTTTACTAAACGTCGAGCATGTCACCGCCTCCTTATGTGTCGTCGTACAGACCGTGCTCAGATTCGGTGCCGGTCCCGGTGTGATCTTTGGGTCCATATCCAGATTGAGTCGCGTCAGCTTCGTGCCGGCCTCCATGTCATCGTCATCATCGTCGTCGTCCTCGCCCATTGCTCCTGCGCCCGAGGATGCAGAGGATTTGATCTTTGATTGATCCGTCGGTTCAATCTCCACAGATTCCTCTAAGTGTTTGTGATAGCAGGACAGAGTTTTTTTAAAAAAAAAAAAATTGGCAGTGAGTGTCTGCTTGACGCGATGTAGCCCCACGATGTCTGCTTCCTTTCCTTCTTTTCTCCTGCGCTCGTCTCCGGATCCGACGAAATATATACCTCTTGCGATAAAGAGCATCTCGCTGAGTCGCGAACTAGGCTTGATCGATACGGTCGTATGCGTCTGCTCTGCCACTACTTGCGCCAGCTGCGAAAAAAAAAAAAAAAAAAAAAAAAAAAAAAAAAAAACGTCCGAATGCTGAGTAAGTCTTGTGGTTTCTTCGTTAGCAGTTCCCTCTCTCGCAAAGAGTTCCTTCATGGAGATCTAATTTACCTGAGCGTATCCGTATTCTGCAAGTTGGCTAGGAGCAAAGAAAGAAAAGTGCCAGTGTTAATGTCCATGTCAGTGAAGTAGAGCACTGACAGTCCAAAAGCCAGAACATTCATCAGCAAGGAGTGGAATGGAAGGTTACCTGACGATCAGAGGAATGACCTCCTCTTGTCGCATCTGATTCTCTTCTGTCGACATGGTTGAAGTCTGTCCGTGGGGGTTCATTGGTCGCTGTCGGTGGGAGGGGAGGAGTAGTTTAGAACGAACACATGTTTGTCTGTCTCCCCAGTCACTTCAACTGTGGTCAAAGAAAGTGGCTTTCCATCAGCTCCATTGAACTTTGAACGCATTTTTTTTATCATGACTTTTCTCAATTCAAACAGCACAGCACAGCACTTTTTTTTTTTTTTTTTTTTTTATTAGAATGACTAGTAGTTAGTTAGTTTAGTTAGTTAGTTTTTTGTTTTGTTTTTAGATGCTAAATGGCCCCGAATCCACCCCATTCTGATACCTCAGCACACCCTCCTCCACATCGGGTATACTCGATCCTATGTACAATGCCGATCCAGCAGCAGCAGCAGCAACTCCAGTTCCAACCAAAGTCCTCGAAGAACCCATGCCCAATCCCAATTCCAATCCTAACCCTAATCCAGTACTGGAGGAGGTCGTTGGCGGCCAAGACGACGCAGGTGTCGAGGTTGAGGTGTTGGCCTCTAAATGGCTACCCTCCATGATCATAAATGCATCCACACCATGGTTCTTCTGAATTTGGACCAGCGCCGGGTCCTTATTTCCTGGGCCGAAACTCGAGAGGATCAGTCCAGATTCCTTGATATGAGTAATAAGACTTGGAACTTGAATCTATAAAATGCAAATGAAAGGAGAGAAAGAAAAAAAAAAAAAAAGGCGTTAGAAATGGTGCACTCACTATATGGAATTGATTCTCGTCCAGCAAAATAGGGAACACGTACCAAAGGCGTAGCCTCACAAATGACACCCAGCAGGTTATTACTCCTTGCGAATTTGACAGCCTCCTTGATCGATGTGCATCTCTTATCGTCCTCATGAAACTCTGTATCACTGGTAGAGGCGGTAGGGATTGCTGCAGGGGTTGTAGATCTTGGGAGCAAAGGTGAGTCAACCTTGCTCACAGATGAGGATGTAGAGCTAGGTGATGCGCCCACTGCAGAGGCAATGCTGGGCAACAATGGCGCGGCCGATCCATGCTTGGGTGAGGGAAGCGATTCTGGGTCGATGGGTTCCTTGCGCTTCAGTCCCTGCAGGTTTTCCTCGATCGCACGCGTGGGTCTTTTCCTGTTCTTGTTATAACCACAGTTCGTGCTGAAGAACACAGCATCTAGGGCGGAAAGCGAACAAGGACAGATTAGAAACACTTTGGTCGCCTCAAAAACGACACACACACACACACACACACACAATCATGCGCTGACAACGGTCCAGCAAAGGTTCCTTACAATTAGGCTGTTTCCAGTTCATGGCGGAGCAAATGACTGGATTAAACGACGAGAACATGAAGCTGCGGTGATGAGTCACTGAGGAGGAGTCGTAGACCGACTGCAGGATCGTGTCCACAAACTTGTTCACCTCCACACAGTTCGTCAGTCTGTAGTGCGTCCTCTCAGACAGGGTAGGGTATTTCAGCTCCAAATTAACTCCAATGTGCTTTGGCAGGATCTACGGTGTTGCAAATAGGAAAAAAAAAAAAAAGGTTGGATAGTCAGCAGTCGAATCCTGGTATCCCCTCAGTCAACGCACACTCATTCTTCATCGGTACTAGGTCCATCCGTACCTTCAAGACTTGCTCCAGACTCATCCAACGCTCATAAATCTTGCGCCTCCACTCGCCACTTCTCCAGCTGTTGGCCATGCGAGTTGTTGCGGCCTCAAAGTCCTCGTTAGAAGCAGCCCTCTGATGGATCAACTCGCCAAACTTCTTGAACTGACTGAATGTAACATCCGAGACCGCCAAGTCGAATCCCTCTACAGGCAGATACCAGCTCGCAAACACAACCGGAACCCAATCCCGAGTCATCTGGATCGACAGCTGGATGTATTCTCCTGAAAGTGAAGAGGCCGTGATAAACGACGGAATCATATTGCCAACCAGCAACGACTGCGACGACGAATGAGGCAGTGCACTACCAGAGGTCGACATGCTGACGGGCATAACCGAAGGCGTGCCCACCACTGGTGTCGTGGCCGCAGAGATGCTCGAGTCGATACTGTTGGTCGATTTCCAGTAAGTCTCCACACGACCACCGACCTCCAGCCGCACTCCCTGGAACGGCCTGATAACCGAATATTCGAAAGCCAGCTCTCCAACGACCTTCAAATGTGCATCAAACAAGGGCAGCACTCCCTTGCCCATGGACGATTCCAAAGACGAGAAAACACTTGGCAACGCAACCGCACGACCAATCGCCTTGGATCCAAATGTGGGGAAGATATCGAATTCCACTGTAAAGTGCTCCAGTGAATCAACCTGGAATCCAAACACCTCTCTGTCGTCGCCCAGGGGGAGAATGACATTATGGGGAATCATTCCGTTGTCGGGGCGCGATGAGATAATGAGTTTCAGAGACGAAATCTGAGCTGTGCCGTACAAATGAACCGGTGCCTGACGTGCTCCAGCCTTATCTGGCGAAGCATGATCTGGGTAGTTGGGATGACCCAGCGTAAGATTGATCTGGTACTTCTTGTCCAGATAGTTGTGTCCATAGATCCTGAATGGGATGATGGGCGGAGGCAGCGAAAGTGATGGGATAAAGTCCATGTCAAGATCGTCCATATTAGGGCTGGACAAGGATCCGGAGGCTGCGCCGAGAGCAGATTCAGTCGCAGGAGTGGATGTCGCCGCCATCATGCTGGTTGTCGTCAAGGGTGCTGGGGCGTCCATCGCAGTGTCCTCGGTAGGGGCCGTCTTACCCTCGACCTTGCCTCCAGCTTCTATCAGCAGCTCCACGCAATCTGCATGTCCCTCGCTGGCAGCATAGTAGATAGGTGTCTTGCCAAGCTCGTCCACGACGTTGACATTGCATCCAGCTTCCAATAAGATCTTCACACAATCCGCATGTCCCTCGCTCGCAGCGTAGAACAAAGGCGTCCAGCACATATACTTGTCCTCCTGGTCCAGTCGCGCACCGCGGGTTGTCAATGTCTTGGCCAAGCGAGTATGTCCCTCTCGGCAGGTGATATGCAGGGGCTCCAGGCCATCGGCATTGGACGCAATCACGTTCGCTCCACGTCCGATAAGCATCATAGCAATGTCTTCATGACCGTAGTGGCAAGCGAGGCTGAGAGGGATTGGATCGCCATCCTGACTAGCCTCGATCTCGGCATTATTGGCGAGGAATATTTCGACGCACTTTGTATGCCCGTTCATGATGGAGTAGATCAGAGGTCTGAAGCCGTCGTGATCCGTCGCACTCATAGACGCGTTCATTGAAAGTAGGTAGGTTGCACAATCTGCGTGACCATACATGGAAACGTAGTGTAGAGGGCGCCTCCCATAGACGTCCGCGCACTCAGGGCTGACGCCGTGATCTAACGCCAACTTGAGCAACGAGAGCCTGCCAACCATGGCAGCTTCATGAAGACAAGTCCTGTCACTGATGTCGTCCACGAATTTGAAGTTGATCAGTCCGGTCTTGACTAGCTGCTGAATGACAGTGTCCGAGGCACCTACTTCTGAACAGCATCGCCAGAACACCCGAGAGACAACCTCGCGCGCATTTTCCGGTCCGAGTTGATTGTTGTTGCTCGCATTGGTGATAGCAGAGGACTCTACTGAGGCCGAGTTGTTCTGGAGGGCAGAGGGCGTACTAAGGCGGCGTTCCAATATTTCCTGGACAAGCGATGATTGGTTGGTGGTGAGGGCGTTGAAGAGATCGGTCTCGAGTTCATCCATCTGTTGCTGCATTGGCGAAGAGAGCGCACCGACGGAAGAAGACTGCGAGGGCTTGGTTGTGATTGGGCTGGAGGGAGCGGAGGAGGACCGACTGTTGCCCTGCTGGATATTTTCAAGCTGGAGGAGGTGATACGCTGCATTGTCGGCCAATTCGACCATGGCATCCTGGTTGAAACAGGGCTGCAGCTCTACCTGGCGAGAGAGGTAAAGCTCCTTTGTGCTTGATTTTGACCGCTTGTCCCACTTTTTGAGAATCTTTCGAAATCCTGTTCCGTTTGTCTCGACGAATTTCTAATGGGCGATGGGGCGTAATGAAGGAGCCTTTTTTCTTTAATTCTCCTTCTTCGTCTCGGATAAGCAGCAATTAAGGAACAGTAACTGAGCAAACAACTGAAGGGGGAGAAGTTGCACTTCCCCTTCCACCCATACCTGTAGTTTGTTGAGGTCCTGTTCAAACTGCCGAAAGGCTTCCTTCAGAGAATTGATTGACGAACTGGTGCCTGGCCGTCCCTGACGCGATAGAATCACCTTTTCCTTGTCGATCAGCGAGCGCAGACGGACCTTGAGTTCTGATTCCTTTTGCAGATAGAATGTGTTGACCTGCACAGAATAAAGCGATACACATGTTTCCACCATTAGAGTCAATTGAAAGTATGGTCTTGGTTCTAGTTCAGGTTATCGCACCCTGTAAGGAGAATTAAAAAAAAAAAAAAAAAAAAAAAGAAAAGCCAAAGTGGTATACCTTCTCCAGCTCACGCTCCAGTTTGAAGAAGAAGGCCGCCTTCTGGGATTGCAAGAACTTTGAGTACTCATCCTCAGGAAGGACGGGTGTAGATCCCGGTGGAGGTGAGGCTGCGATCGTGACTGAGGTCTGTGCCTTTTCCTGAATAAGCGAGTTGATGATCTTTTTCAGACCCTTGTAGCTCATGTAATGGTTCTGCCATTCTGTGATCTGCTGGAACTGGATCTGCTTTCCAAACTATTGGTGTGAAGGCAAGGAAGAAGAAGGGAGAGGAGAGAGAAGAAGAGCAGAGGTATGAGTATTGCGCTTTCGTGTTTTTTCATTATTATATTCCATCGAGGAGTGATAAAAAAAAGAAAAAAAGCGTATACCTTCATGATGGGCAATGGGTTTTGGGATCAAGTGAATCAGAACGTGGTGGTGGGACCAGCAAGTGGGAGGGGAGGAAGAGTCGGGGAGGAGAGCAGCGACAGAGGGATGTGCCTGTGTGTGGTGTGTGTATCAGGGCGTCTGTAAAGTATGCGTGTATCTGTGTACGTGTGTATGCGTGTATGTGTGTATGTATGTGCGATCAAACAGCCATCCTTTATCCTTGGAGCAGTCTGGAAGGGAAGGCGTGGAAGTGAGGGCGAGGGATGGGGAGAGGGACTGCAATAGGAAAGGAAGGAGCAGGGGGAATTAATGAATGCTCTGATATATATATACCAATAGGTACGATACGATATGACAACCCCTCCCTTGAATTCTACGTGGTACGGGGGTGCAGGGGTGGTCTGGTTTGGAACGAAGGGTCTCCTGCCAACTCAGTCGCCCCAAGTGGGGTCGGTTCCATCGCCGGCCGCATTGTGTTGTTGTTGTCTCCCCGCCATCCCTTTCTTCTGCCTCCCCTCGGGGCTGCAGCAGAGGGCCCCCAAGCGAGTCCCTGCACAACGTGCGCCCGATTTGCATTCCCAGTGCTCGAAACTCAAAAATGCAGAAAACAACAAAAACATAAAGAGAAAAAAAACCGTTGTGCATCACTGGAGCTGGACAGAGTCTCTTCTTTTCCGAAAAGGATCAGATCAAGACACGCAGCGGAACATTAGGTCTTTTCAGATCCTTCTCCCGTGCAGGAACCAGCATCGGTCTACCATCTGCGCTTTACTCCCTCTTCTTTCTTTCTTTCACGAAGCTGGAACACCCTCTTTCTTTACAAGGCACCCCTTTCCCTTCCAGAGCATGCCTGCCCTATGGATATTCATCAAAATCGGCGGTCGGCCGGTCTCCTTATCATCCGAAACGATCAGATCGGCGAAAATGACAAACCAGCCAGTTTGTGTATTAATGTCAGATTCCTGATAGCTGCCTGCGTGGTCTATGCACCGGTGGCCTGCGGGTATGAATTACGGGTCCAACAGATACTCGACAGAGGGTCAAAAAAGGATGCGATGACGCTGGATGGCCATCTGCGGTAACGGATCATGGGTGAGCCCGTGGGTTGGATCAAAACTTGGATGGACAGGCGACAACAACAAAGCATGGCATGGCACGGCATTGCCACGCGGTAACCATGCGTGAAGCAAGTTGCACAAAGTGTTCATTTTTCAGCATCTGTCCAATAGGTGGGCTCTGACTTGTGCATCTCAGTGACAGTAGCAGGCAGCATGGCCAATGGACCGTGTGGGAGGCAACAGGAACAGCTGCACAGCTGAAAGGCGGGAAGAATACGCACAGAATAGTTGTTGCATCGCAGTTCTCCAATGTTAAAAAAAAAAATCGATAGACTCAGCATCAGCAAGATAGTTCCTTCTCTTTCCTTTCACTCGTTTGATCATACTCTGTGGTTATGATCGTGATCTTTGTCTTGAGCCTTCAATGTGGATAAGGCATTCTATTGTTGTTTTTATCGATTTGTTTATTTCTATCTATGTTGAGGGTGTGTTGAACGAATGTTCGCCTTTGTTTTTTTGAACTGGCGTGCTATTGGTGGTAGTGATGGCGTGCTGAGTTTCCTAGCCATCGGTCATTAAGAAAAAGATCCTCCTCCCTGCATCGTCATCCACTCTAGGCAGTCTTTTCTACGGGTGCGTTCATGTAGCGGGGATCCTTCCATGGGCCGGGCTCGCCTGTTTGGCATCCTCCCTCGCCAGGACACTCGCACGTGCCTCCAATAGTCTTGGGCAGATTCTCGGCATCAATATCCTCGAGCAAAGTCGACTGGTAGTTGCTGCCCAGAATGACAATCTTCTTGACTGTAACCTCATCCAGCAAGGGCTTGACCATACCCCAGACAGAGGTGAACATCATGGGGGCGTTGATGACATACATCTTACCCATCATCTCAGGATAGTAGTTCTGTGCGATTGCTGAGGTGCGCTTGATGAATCCAAAGGCGTTGGCGAACTGGCGGAGGGAGACACCCTTGAGGTCGAGGATAGTACAGCACTGTTCGATGTGGTGGCCAGAGCGCTTTGAGCAGGCGGGCATGCGGTCGGTAATCAGCTTCTCGTATGAGAGGACGTGCTGCTTCGTCATGCGATCCTCGTCAGTGACCTTGAACAGGGTCTTGATGTCGATCACACCGACGTGCTCGATATAGATGGGACGACCCTTCTTGTCAACGTTGTGGTAGTACCTAGGGTAGCAGCTGCGGACGGCGTCTTCCTCCTCAAAGACAAAGGTATCCTTCAAAGTGTCAACGCCGAGCTCCTTCCTCCAGTTTTCGCAATCGACGAACATCTTGTGGGTGTTGCCAATGTGGAACTTGCGGGCACGAAGGAAGCGGAGAAGCAAGTGATCATCATGACGTTCAGGCACGAAGATTCCCTCTGCCTTGATCAACTCCTTGAACTCATCAAGGGCATGCTGCTGTTCTGGGGTCAAGTTGCCAACGCGGCCGGGAAGGATTTCGGGGGCAGGAGTGGACATGCTATAGTGGTAAGGGTAGAACAAGACAGATCAGAATCGGACGGTTTATAGCATCCAATGAGGCGAGAGGACAATGTTCCATCGGCCAGCTTCCTTGCATATTATACAATTTCATCGAGGAAAACATTGGCTTGACCAAACAGAATCAGCCAGCATCTCTATCCTTCAATGGGCCAATAGCTTATCAAGACAAGGGTGGGAAGACTTACATGTATGATAAGGAGACAGTTAAAAGGCGGATAGGATGAGAGGAGACGGCAGCTGGATGTGGGGTGGTGGTGGTGAAGGTGAGGGTGGTGGATGGATGAGATGGGATGGGATGATGGGATGAGTTGGAGAGAAGGAGAGAAAGAAGGATGATGCTGAGACGGACGAGGTGGTATAAAAGGGAAAAGGGAAAAGGGACAGGCAGGCAGACAGAGTGATAGGACGCAGTACCGTTTATAAATAAATTTTCATGGAGAATGAAAACAAGAGAGCTTCTTCCTCCGTCGCCTTTGGGTCTTCGTCGGTCGTCTGTCGCGAATTGGGAGCTGGTTAGACCAATCGACTGCAATCAATCCAATCGGCCTACCGCATGGATACGCTCTGCACGGCACTGCACTGCACTGCTGCACTACACTACACTACACTACACTACACTACACTACACTACACTACACTCCACCCCAACAGCTCTCTCCTCCCCTTTGGCTCCTTTTTGCAGCTCTCTTCACTCGCTTCACTCTCTTCTCTCTTCTCACTCGCTCGCTCGCTCACTCTCTCTTTCTCTTCTTTTCTTCTTTCTTTCTCTTCTTTCTTTCTTTCTTTCTTACTTTCAACCAGTCTATCTATCTATCAGTCTATTCAGTCAGCCTTGCTCCACTGCTTTGTATATTTATAATAACATAAACTCCACGTCCACATCGACTCACGTTTGCCAATGCTGCTGCAGAATGCTCAGCAAATGCTAACACTCTTTCCGTCCACGTCCTTCTTCTATATATACCCGGTCCGGCTGTTGCCCTCCCAGCCCACTCCACCTCATCATGACCTTTTTTTCTTGACAGATATCCCCAAGAGACGATGACGAAAGCATAAATCGCGGGTAGAGGAGAAAATCCCCTGGCCATTGTGTGTCGGGTGCATGCATCCTGGAGAAAGCGTAAGCGCCTCGCCATCATCCCCAATAGCCTTACCTTGGCCTCTTGTCGCCCTTCTGTTACAATCAGGGGTAGCAGGACGCATTTTTAGGAGGATAAATGCAGGCCCATCGAATGGCAAAAAAAAAGGACCGCAAACAAACAACCTCGACTGACTCGATCTTCGCCTGATCCAGTTGTCGGTACAGGTAGTCAAAACTGAATGCAAGGTGCATGCTGCACAAATCCTATGCAGAGTGCTCATATACATTTTAGTTTCGCTATCCATAGCAAATTAACTTAATTTTTCTTCATATTTTTAGCGCGATGCTGTGCACCATATCTCGATGCCGATGTATACCATGGACGCTCTTGCCCTTGCAGACATTGTTATAATCGTAATCAATTGCCACGATCGATCCTGATAGGCCTTCTAGATACCATCTATCCCCCAAGACCTTGTTTGTATCGATACCTCCAGAGATTGCGAGGGAACAGGAGTAAAGAAGGCTCTGGCGCTCTCGCCAGCCTGTTTTTTGGAGAGAAAACTCAATACATCCTTCCTCTCGCACGCTCTGTCTCAAACTGCTCTCCTGTCCAAGTACAGACAGACAACAGAATGCAAACAAAATAAAACAAACCGAAAAAAAACAAACAAGTCTCCACTCAATATTCTCACCATAAGATGGTGCTCCTATCGCTTTTACGCAGAGTCCTAAAGACTGAGTACGCGTGCATTGTTTTTCGAGTATAAAGCCATAGGCTCCTCCTGGCAGACTCTTACCAGTTGCGGCACCCAAGTTTGGTGGCAAAATTTAAAAGTCATCAGGTGATCCATTAAGCCACTCCATTGTTTTCATCCTTTTGCAAACTTGTGCTGCCCACTAAAAAAATGAGCTGTGGTGCAAAAACGCAGCAAGGGCCGTAGGAATACAACAGCACTTGAGGACAGTTTTGGATCCTCCTCTTTTCCATCACCCCATCCACACACCATGACCGAAGGTGCGTCCTTGGCTATGCTAGAACAGTAACCCAACCACTGTTGATGACTTTCGACGATCCGAACTCAACACACAACGTGGGCACTATCGACACGCACCAGTTCAAAGGCTTTTTCTGTCGTCTTCGCCATATCTTATCCCAACTCAGCATGCTTTGTCTCTATCAAAGTAATTTAGACAACTCAGGTCCTTTGTACCATGCACTGCAGTCGCTAACCTTTGCATATCCCTTGCTCTCTCGCTTCCTTGCCTTTCCCCCCCACCATTAGTAGGACAAAAGAAGCAAAAGAAAAAGGGTACCAAGATGGCCCTGAGTGACTTCTTGTCGGATCCCTGTACGTGTTATCCTGTTTCTTGACCGACACGGTTCTCCCTGTCGAGTTCTGCTCTAATAACTCCAACCTAGCGAGGAATGACTATCCAGCCCAGAAACTTTTTTTTTCGTGTTGCTTACTTCTTATTCTCTCCCTACCTCCACGCTCCTTCAATATGTTCTTCTCCTGCCCTCGCTGTTAATGCCCTTGACTCTGACCGATACCTAGCCACGGGATCCTGGGCTGACGAGATGGACGATTTGCCTTCTGCCCCTGCTGGTAAGTTTACTGTTGTGTGCATCTCCCAAACGGGCCAATTTCCACATGAGCTACTCTAGGAACAGCTCAGCTGAACCCCTCCTCAAATTGTATTCTAACGCCTGCACGTGTAACCCCACCTTTTCAATTCATAGCTGCCAGTCAAGGTACAGGAACTTCGGGATTCTTTGCGCTCGACCTAACACTTTGCGGACGTTACTACACGTGCACCTCCAGCGATTATTTTACTATTATTCACCCGATATGCAATTTCTTTTGTTGGCGACACAGATAGCTACCGCTCCGGTGGATTCGGTGACGACCGCGGCAGTCGTGGCTTCTCGAGCCGTGGTGGTATGTCAAGGGAACCGAATACGACAATCGGTTTGAGATTGTTAGCATTATGACAGGATGCCGACGCACATTTACGATGACTAACCTTTGTTATCGTGGACAAACTGTTACAATCTTGATTAGGATACGGAGACCGAGAGGAGAGAGACTCGCGCTTCGCACCCCGCGCTCCCGTCGAACTCCCCACTCGTCCCCCATACACTATCCATCTTGGCAACCTGCCCTTCGATGCCACCGAGTCTGACATTGAGGGCTTCTTCCTTGAGTCCACTGTAAGGGCCATATGTCAAGGAGCGATGATTTAATCAACGAAAATGCTGTAATACACAAGTGTACTAATCGCACAAGAAATCGCTATTTTTAGATCACTAGCATTCGCATTATGAAGGACTTTGAGGACAAGCCCAAAGGATTCGGCTATGTCGAGTTTGAGAGTCTGGATTCGCTGAAGAAGGCATTGGAGAACAACGGCCAGAGTCTGTGCGGCAGAAACGTCCGTGTCAGTGTTGCGGAGCCTCGTAAGTGGTGGAGTGGATCATATTGGACCTTTGGACCTTCGGACCTTTCATTTGATATTTTTTATATTCTGACTTTTTTTTCATTATTATTGTTGTTGTTTCTACAATAGCCCGTGAGCGCGAGATCCGTGAGGACCGCACCACTGGAGAGTGGCGTCGTGCTGACCCTATTGCTCCTGTAGGAGGCCGTTTTGGCAATGACCGCGGAAATGACCGTGGCAATGACCGCAGTGGTGACCGCAGTGGTGACCGCAGTGGTGACCGCTTTGGCGGCGATCGTGGCGATCGCGGTGACCGTGGTGAGCGTCGCGACTTTGGATCACGCTTCAATAACTCGGAGCGTCCCCCAGACCGCACTGCCGTCAACAGTTGGAGACGCGATGAGCCTTTGCCTCCAAGTGAGACTCGTCCTGGCTGGGAGAAGCCCAAGGAGCGCGAGTCCTCCTGGGGTCGTTCCGCTCCAGGTAAGGCGGAGTGTTCATGAACAGTCGTGGATATTGTTTCCATTTTTTCTATTGGGCGAGACGTGTCTAACCAGTCTCTTCACGCCTTGTCTTCATCCTCGCTTTCTCAGCAGGAGCCTCAGCAGGAGCACCAGCAGCAGCCCCTGCGGCCCGCAAAAAGTTGGAGCTCAAGCCGCGCAGTGCTGATGCCCCAGCTCCAGCAGCATCTGGTGAACCCAAGGCTAACAAGTCCAGCCCCTTTGGCGCCGCCAGGCCCATTGACAACGATGAGGCCATTCGTCGCGTCGAAGAGAAGCTGAAGCAGGAGCAGCAGGAGAAGAAAGAAGCCGCTGAGAAGGCTCGCAAGGATAAGAAGCCCGCTGCCCATGCCAAGGGTGAGGAGGCTGCGGAGGAGAAGAAGGAGGAAGAGACCGAGGTCAAGGCCTAAGAGACACCTTTTGTTTTCAATATTTAGACCTGCACTTTTCAAAAAAAAAAAAAAAAAAAAAAAAAAAACGACCAGAAAGAACAGTTTTTCATTTTCACACTGTTTAGCATTCGTGTCTTCTTTTTATCTTGTAAGGAATTTATTATCCAAGGAAATTCGGCAAAGCTGTTGAGTGACGGCGATCTGGCAGTGTGCAACCAGCCACAACAGCAAAATTTGTTTATGCTTCTTTGAAGAACTTCATGCACGTTGGACAAAACCGTTTTTCTGTTCTCATTCCAAAGACCCTTTCTTTACACACTCCGCTACATTGGCGAGATGGATTACGATGACGAGTATGATCAGGCCCAGCAGTACGAAGACGAGCTTTACAAAGACTCGAGCGACAAAAGGTGAGTGCCATGGCAGACTGGACGAACTCGCGTGGGGTTTATCCGCAGAGTAAGGACGAGTGCTTGCGGACACAGACAACTGACTACTGGTACGCTTCTCACGATGCCATAGCGAGTCCAGCGACGAGGTTGACAGCGAGATTGAGGATACGATATTAAGCCATATCCACTACTCCACCAACGTATACAAGAAAGCAGGCACGACACCCATAACGCCTGCAGGAGACCAGGAATCTAATGTATGATCATGCTACGCTTTTTTATTCAGGAGCAGGAGGTTGCTTGCGCCTTGGCCGAGGACACATAGGCATATTAGTGCACCTTTTAACAATCGAAAGATCCGCTGCATTGGTTTTTCTAGGATACTTTTCTTGACAGCACCGATATACCAGGACCAACAACACCTTCGTCAGTACCTCCAAACGGATATCTTGCAGTAACACCGACCGCAGCAGAGGATTATTTTCGTGCCGTCAATCAAGGAACGGAATTAGACTCAGAGAGCGAAGAGGGCCTTATCAAAGGCGCCAAGAAGGCCAGCGCGACCACAGCTGGTGCAGGTATCATCGGCAGCAAAGCCAGCGATCATAAGCGCCCAGTAGAGGACGAGGAGGAGTCGCGGTACAGTGTCGAGAGGAAGAAGGAGATCCCCAAAAATACATGGAGCCAACATGCAGAGAGCCCACAGGGTCCCGCAGATGAAAGTGCTGGCACTGATTCAGAAGGATCGGAGGCGGAGCAATCTATTGGATCGGCGAGTATTAATGAGATCAGCGACGACGATGAAACCGAGGGTGCTCCACAGCTCAAGAAGATGCGCTTGATCGATGACGCGGAGGGACTCAACGAACATGTGCTGGATTTGGGAGCATCTATGAAGGATCTGGAGGATGAGGCCAACAACTACGATCTGGACACGGAGCTGGGACATTTGGAAGACGAGAAGTTCAAGGTGTGTTTGTGTTTCGTCTCTCAATTTTCGTAGGCGTTTCTTTGTGGTTTCCATGCAACGCGGTAGATCGAAAACCGGACATGTTTATCTAACATTTGCACATTTGTTTGTCTTTTGCGGGATCAGGGGCACAGCCGCTACTATATGGGACCAAAGGATCAGAAATCAAAGTCCCTGATTGTCTGCCACAGGTGTGATAAAGTCGGACATATCGGTCGTGATTGCACTACTGTCGTGGTAAGTTTTTTTTTCGATGTTGTGATGTTGCGATATTGCGATATTAATATTGTCTTTCTTTCGGATGTTATCTTTCCTTCTACATCGGTTATACTCAACTAAACATTCTTCGCCTTCGCCGCGGACCCATTCTATTAGTGCAATGTTTGCGGAGCAAAGGATGAGCATGCAACAAAGGACTGCCCGCACTCGATTTGCTACAATTGTCGGAAGAAGGGCCATGTTGCCATTGTAGGTTGACCTGTCACTGTTCGACATATTCTCTTCTGCTCAAGATTTACATTCCCCATACGGTCTTCTAAACCGAACGATTCTTTATTACATCTCGCAAATAGAATTGTCCATACGAAAGAGGATATGCATTCAAAAACTACTGCAGGACATGTGGATCAAAAGAGCATGCAACGGAGGTATATACTGCCAGCTGCTGAGTGGCCCTTTTTTTTTTGTTTTTTCCTACTCCGTGCATGAAACCACAGATCATCTAACCGTTTTCTACTTTACGCTTGAATGGGATTTAGGATTGTCCGACAGTATGGCGCGAGTATGTGTTTGATTCGACCGAGCCGCGACAATCAGCCATCAAGTACTGTTACAACTGTGCTTCACTCGGACATTTTGGAGACGATTGCGATCTAAGGCGGCCTACGTACGTCAAGACAGGTGGATCAGCTTTCCATGATACGAAGACGTTGTCGTCTTCTTCTTCATCGTACCATGGCTCGTCGTCGTATTCTTCACGCCCACGACATGATGATAGGCACTCGGACCATCGTGATAGTCGGTATGACCGCTACAGCGACTACAGTCGACATGGCCGATATGAAGATCGAGACAGAGACAGGGACAGGGACAGGGATAGCTATAGAGACAGAGACAGTCGACATAACAGCAGTCGAGATCGAGATCGTGGTCGGGATCGGGATCGTGATCGTGATCGTGTGTCTGAAAGAGACAGGGACAATGATAAATCCAGGGGCAAAAGTAGGACGAAGGCTCATCATGATGGGTATGGGGATGACTACATCAACGACCCTACCAGCAACAGCAGCAGCAAGATTAACAACAAAAACAGTAAGGGCCCTGGGAATTCGAAACGCAATGATACCACCAAGGGCTCGTCATCCTTTGCACCAAGCCCGGAGATGGCTCCTACGATGGCGACGGGCGGATACATTGGAGCTAACAGCAGCAGGAGCAGCAACAGCAACAACAGATTTGGCTCGAATTCCTCAAGGAGCTCTCCCTCGGCCGCGGGCAGAAGCGCAGACAACCCCGTGGTCATTCCATCGTCACCCTCTTCTCCTGGCCCGTTGTCATCAAGAGCCTCGAGCAATGGCAGTGGCAGCGGCAGCGGCGTGCGGGTGGTCCACCCATTACCTCAAAATCCTAATCGCCGCGCCGTGAGCAGCGGTAATAACAATTGGCGGAACAACCCAGACCGGATAGCGAACAGTACCGGTGGAAGTGGTGGAGGTGGGGCGTCTTCATCTTCCTCAGGTCGACAATCCATGGCGGAACAAAATGCTTTTCCGCGTGGCAATAACAATTCTGATAGAAGCAGTTCTGCCGGTGGTGCGTATGGCTCGTCCGAATTGATTGGTGTCTCATCTCGGCCATCTACCCCTGTCCCTGCCCCTGCCCCCGGTCCTATGTACACGGGAGGATATTCTCAGAGGCGGTAGAATCCTTCTACTGTCTGTGCCTTCTATTAAAGAATGACCACCGTTTCTTTATCTCATTACACGTCCCCCTATATACGACTTCAATTACTTGCATAGACTATATCATCAAGGCAACGAGACCATGCGTGTTTCGTTTGTCAAGTATTATTCCAGGGACTAGTTTAAAAAATAAAACATTCTATCGCTGTGTACTTCACCGTCCAGCAGCATTCTTCCTTATCAACCTCGGCGATGCTGATGACTGCTGCTCCAAACTGCCCCTACTAGTACCAAACCGAAGTTGCTGTTGTTGCTGTTGCTGTTGCTGTTGCTGTTGCTGTTGCTGTTGCTGTTGCTGTTGCTGTTGCTGTTGCTGTTGCTGTTGCTGCTGCTGCTGCTGCTGCTGCTGTGTTGGTTGTGATGGTGCTGCTTGGGATTGTTGAGGAGGACCTGTCGAGATGGATGCCAGCCCCAACGCCAAAGAACTACCTCCAACCAAATATCCTGGCTTCTTGTAGGGGCTCAAGCTGTCCGGATCATCCATTCCACTATCCGAAAGCACAGACCCGTCTCCAGAGCTCGTCATGGTACCTCCACGAGACTTCATCCGCGAGTACTCCGGATCCAAGGTCTCGTACGCCTTGTCGATCGTCTCAGTCGCCACCGCGACCGCTGAACTGACCCATGATCCAAGAGACCAGCTACTGGATTTCTGTAGGTTCGAAGATGCTCCTGTTGAAGACATTGTTGGCTTCTTGTTGCTGTCCTCCTTATCATTACGGCCACCGTTGTTGGAAATGCCTCCCGGTCCGGCCATCTTCTTCTCATTTACGATGCCCGTAATATCTCCCACAAGACTGCCACTACCACCGCCCCCTCCCCACAAGCTGCTGTTGTTGTTACTGGCACTGCTGCCGTGATCATGTCGATGGCTCATGCTTCCGGCAGATGTTGGAGAGAGCAGCGACACGCTCGGCGAATGCTTGGATCGGTCGATCAGAACCTCGCCTTCATCCGTTGAGTTCCTGGCCTTACTCTTGTTCGACCTGTTCGCCATGGGTCCATAAGGATCATACTCATCCACCTTCGAATTGCTCAGATACAAAGACGTTGAGCTAGTGCCCAAACCAGATACCGATCCAGATCCAGATACTGTTGACGGGCCACCAAAGCGGTCAACATGATCGTCATCCAGTCCAGGGACCGTCTGCTGATAGAACGAAGACGACGATGTTGACGATAGTTCCGTTGTCGCTGGTTGTTTTGGCGGGAAATCTTTCCTGCCGGCGGACATGGTGCTCTCCACCTCTGCATTTTCATCGACGTCTCCGAAATCATCCCATCCTGACCGCGAAGACGACGTCGAGATTCTCGAACCGTATCGATAGGCGTCGCTCTGGCTCGTCCTCACGATGTCCGACTCCTGATTTTCTGCTGAATGCTGTGGCTTTGGCCGGCTGCCATCCTTGTTCCGTCTAACAAATCCCTCTGCAAGGATTGAAGGCGAAAGAATTGGTGTTGGTGATCCATGTGAAACACTCGATCTTCTGTAGCGAGATGTTTGTCCAACCTCCTTCGCAGATGATTCATCAAAGGATAATGGTGTGGATGCTTCATGAGTATCAGACAGATGCACCATCTTCTTTGCCATCGTTGGGGACTTCAATGTATGTTTCAGCGCTGAAGGCAACGTAGCCTGCGAGATGCGCGGTGATGCAATCTGGAGGACCGATGGCTGTTGTTGCTGCTGCTGCAACGGTTGATGGCCCGCTGAAGGTTCCGTCACTGTCAGCCGACGAACAGCGCCGAGTGGTGAAGCCGAGGCTCTCTTCTGCTCCAGTCGCTCTCTCTGCTTCTGCAAAGCCGGCGTCAAATACTTTTGATCTGTGGGTGTCGTCGCTGCATTCGACATGGGGCTGACTGGTGTCTTAACAGGAGAGGTAAAGGAGATCACAGGAGACGTTGTTGCAGAGATTCGTGGAGAGACCGTTGTCGTTGCGCTTTGATCCACATTGGGAGTGCCCTTAGTGCTCTTGTACTTTGAAATTGGCGGTAACGGTTTTCCTTTGGCTGCGAGTCGGGCGCGTTGCTGACGAATGGCCAAGGGCAGATGTGAATCGTCCTCGACCTCTGGCTTCACATCTGGAGCGGCTTCGGCCGACGAAAGACTTTCAAAAGTCGAAGACGTAGAAATAGGTGCCGAAGGCTGAGCCTGATGGTGGCCGAGCAATGTTGGACTTGATCCTGCGACACTCAACTGGCTGAATGATAATCTACTGCCAGAGGATGGTGAGGAGTAGTTGGACGTATGGTGTTGGACAGCGGAATCATGCTCAGAGATGTCCGGCGTTTTTAAGTTTCGCGAGGATTCTGTCCTGGTAGATATGGAAGTTTGGTCCGCAATAAAGGATGGCATACCGATGTGCACATCGTCGTCTTGATCAAAGTCCCAGCTGTCTGCGCCGCTGATATCCGGCAGCTCTGAGATCTCACTGCTAGCGACGATATCCTTAGATTTCTGGTTGAATGACGCTGTTAGGGAAGTCCTTTCCTTAGTGTTCTCATCATGAACGACGTCCCCATGCGCATCCGTGTGCCAATCGTCCTGATTCAGGTCCGTCCATGACATAGTGCTGCCCATTCCTCTTCTAGACTCAGAGGATATTGAACCACTGCTACGATCACGACCATGGAATTGTCCGCGTTCAGATCCTGGCGAAACCCTCTCATATTCATCTAGCGATCGAATCGAGTATTCGGACTCAAGCTCGGACCCAACACTTACGCCAGCCTCGCTCCTCTTCGAGACTGAAGCCGGTGAGACGTCCTGCCACGGACTCTGACTGGGGCTGTCCTCGTCGCCTTCGCCGCTGCCCGTTCCAAGGGAAAGAGGCTCATTTTGGATGGTGAGCGGAGATAATTTGTCAGATATACTGATGACAGCAGCCATGGCTAGAAGAGCATGTGGCGTGGCCTCCTCCGGTGCAGCCATTGTCTTTGACTCCTCTGGCGTTGCCCCCTTGTTAGTTTGGGATACTTCTTGTGGTTCTGCAAACGCCTGACCGCCGAGTCCCTCCGAGACCTCAAACTTCTCTTTGCTTGAGCGAACGCCCTCCTTCTCGAGCTTGGGATCGACATCGACATCATCTTCATCCCATCCCCAGGCATCCTCGTTAAGATCATCTGCCTTCTCAATCTGAGATTCAGGAATAATTGGTTCCACCTTGCGAGAGGATACAGAGACGCTCGTTCCATCCTCGTTTGTGGAAAACGGCTGAGCGCTTTCCTGAACCTCTTCTTCCTTGCTTGACTCTTGTGCTGAAGTGAAATGAGCGCTGTGAACCGGCAAATGGAAAGTATCGGCCCTCTGTGACGAAGTGGTAGGGATGGTGTGCACCTGGTCAACAGAGGCATCGCCGTCCTGCTCTCCCCACGCATCCTGTCCTAGTGCCTCCTCGAGGTCCAGCTCAGCCGTGGGTTCACCCCAAGAAAGACCAGGAGTGGTAACAGAAACTACAGCTGCAGGCAATACGGACTGATGATCGGATTCGACTGCAGTTCCCTCTAGAAGATCGATGTTGCCTGTGTGATCCCTGTGCTTCACATGGTCCTGCTCGAACGGTGTTGGCGCGGCGTGGAAATCCTCAGAGTTAATGTCGAGATCCTGATCTCCCCACATGTCCTCCTCAACTGCCGCGTCGATAGCATTCACAACATCACCATCCGTAATTGACTGAACTAGTTCCTGGGTATTGATCTCAGCCCCCTGCAGACTCAAGGCATCGTGGCGATCATCCTGGCACATGTCCGTAACAACAGCGAGCTTTGCTTCTTGGTCCGTATTAGACTGGCCGGACTCGTCGATAGCGTCGGCGTCCAGGTCGGGCGCAACGCTGACATCACCAGAGCGGCCGGAGATTGCTCCGGCAGCAGTAGTTTCCGGAATCAAATCGTTAATATGGCCTTGTTGGTGCTCGTAAAGGTCCTCCGAGCTCACTGCCTCCTGAACATGACCTGGGGCGATCTCAGAGTTAGTTTCGAAATCGTCCCTCCATGCATCCTCTTGTTCCAGAGCAGTATCGATAAAGTCTTGAAGGCTGATGCCAACTACGGGCGCCGAGATAGTAAGGTTCGCATGGACAGCATCACCGTCATCATCACGATGGGTTTCAACCTCGTTAAAGTGTGCAGCCGGCATTTTATCGCCTTGTGTCGCGCTTGGTGCTGGTTCCGCGTCGAAGGCAAGATCCTCCTCATTTTCGTCCCAAGCATCCTTCTGAGGGCCCGACTCGATGGTACCCTCAAGATTGGTATCCAAGGTGTGCACAGAGTGATTTTGGGCATCAAGCATCTTAGGGGCCGGGTCATCTCCACTTGGCTCTTCATGCGCAGATGTATCATCCGCTACAGATGCCTCCACGGGAGTAGGCTCCATGATAGTATTCACTTCCTGATCGATCCACGCATCATTCTGCTCGCTTGCTTCGACAGTATCCTCAAAATCATTGCCCAATGTGCGTTCAGGCTGGTTTTGAGCATCGTGCTCTAGGAAAACTGAGTAGTCCCGGCTGGATTTCTCTTTCCCGGGTATGTCGACAGGTGGATACTCCTCTGTAGTCGTTGACTCCACTACAATGTTCATATCCTGATCGGCCCACGCATCTTCCTTTGTGCTCGCTTCGATGTTGTCATCAATATGGCTGTCAAAAGCGCGCCCGAAATGACTCTGCGCCTCGACTGCGGAATAGACACTGCTCGGTTCCTCGTGCACAGACGTATCAGTGAGCGGGTGCTGCTCTGCGAGAGCTGGCTCCACGACGATGCTCATGTCCAGGTCGGCCCACGCATCTTCCTCCAGCGTCTCATCAGTATTCTGAGCAAATCCATCGTCAACCTCCTTCGCAGGTGCTACACCTGTCTCGATGATGTTCTGGGACTCTGGCTCAGAATGCTGGACGCTCTCCTGAAGCTGGTCGTCTTCGTCAGCTTCAGACTTCTGGATTCCTGTTGGAGGCTCATAGGATGATTGCCATGCATCCTGGTCATCAATGGCTGCCGCATCGCTGAAGGGATTGGCTGGATCCTGATCATCGTCCATGGCACCAGCTATTGTCTCTTCCAAATCCTTGTCTTCACACTCGCTAGTATGCTCGGCTACCGTCTCGTATGTATGCCCAGCATCGTGCTCAGGGCGGGTACGGATTGATTCCTGTGGTACTGTAGTCAATTCAGCGCCTAATTTCAGCTCCTCCTGCTCAAGATTATCATGATGTGGCAAACTGGTAGCGGATGTAGGGATGGCGCCATCAACGGCGTCTTCTGGGAACGGCATATTCTCCTGAAGAAAGACCTCGTGCGCTGAGTTCTCAATCCTTGCGTCGTCAGAAATAGCGACAAGACTAGTAGATGCAGCAGACAGATTGGAGAGACCAAGGTCGTCCTCCAAGTTAGAAGGCGCAGCTTCAGTCTCGTCCTCACTCAGAGCTTCATGCCGAGCAACTGAAGTGCCATCCAAGGGTCGAGGCTCTCCACGCTCCATCAGCTCCACATCTTCGTCGTCCACAATAAACTTTGGTGATTCATCGTCGCTATACGGGGTGCTGATTGACCGATTCATTGGTACGCCACGCTCCATGTGTTCCAGATAATCGTCGTCGTCTAAAATCTCGTTCAGACGGTTTGAAGATGCATTCATCCCTGAGCGCGCGGTGGAGAGATCGCCATATAGGTCGCTGCTCTCTGAATCCGAGGCGACGGACATTGAGTCTTGTGCAACGGAACTTGGACCTGTTCGACGAGTCGCTGATTCGAGCGAATCAGTCTCAGTGGACTCTGGAAGGGTATCCGGTACTTGCGAATATAGATCATTCTCCACGTTTTTGACTTTACTTTCTACCGCAATCTGTAGGGAAGCAGGGATGGATCCTTCGGAATCGATATTTCTAGTAGTGCTGCTGCCCTGCAGATGATCCTGTTCGCTGGCTGCTGAGGATAGTGCTACTGGGGTCGGCTCTGTGTGATGATTGTCCTCTGGCTTGACGAAGGGATTGGAACGAGCTGCACGAAGGACCTATCATGACATAGTTGTACAAACGAGAGTAAGTCTTTTTTTTTTTCCTTCAGTGCATCCTGTTCAAATAAATTCTCTCTCTCATAGAGACATACCTCCCTAACTTCAGAGTCGTGCTCATTGTCGCTGCCATGAGTAATGTGGCCAGGCTCCGTATCAGCGTGTGGCGTCGCGCTAGCCGCAAATGACTCCAAGCCCTTCTCTTGACCATCCGAGCTGCTGATGGTGCCGAGTGAGGCGCCCAGCTCATGGTGTTGATGCCCGTTGAGGGACCTCTCCTGATCATAAGAATATTCTGACGAAAGAGCCTCTTCTTGGACGGAATCTACCTCAATGTCAATGTCCTCGTCCATATCAAAGCCCCAAGATGACTCTGCATTCTCGACCCCAATATCGCTTGAATGTGTCCCATGCACTGCCTCTGTAGGATTGTCGAAGTCGTGCTCGAGCCGAGCACGGTCGGTATCATTCTTGGTAGCCTCTGCTAGTTCCTCCATCGCGTCTTGATTGGTCGTGGAACGAGGGACATCAGAAGCAATTGACTGGAGTTGATCCGCCTCACTGTGGTGAAGCCCCTCGCTCACAAGACTGGGTTCAACGTGATCCTGGTTGATAGTTGATAAGGTTGAAGTTTCTGACGACTCCTGCTCTGCATAAAAATGGTCGTCTGAACTGGCAAACGGATTTGAAGGCTCCATTGGCTACAGAAAACCATGAAGACATAATCAGAATGACGGTAATAGACACTGAATAAAGAAGCAACGATATTTCGATGAAACGCTTACCTCCCCAATTTCAGCGTCGTCTCCACCATCGCCCCCAATGCTGACCCGTCTATCCTGGTCAATCGTCACCTCTGCGGATTGCGGAGCGGTTTGAACCGCTGTTTCAGCGAGATCCATGAGCTGATCGTCATAATCCCAGGCGTCCTCGACATCCTCATGTGTATATTGAGTATTTGGGTGCTCCTCTTGCTGAGTCGTGGCACTGTCCTGTGCTTGGTGGGTAGGAAAATCAGACGCAGGCTCCTCAATCTCCAATTGATCATCAAACCCCCAAGACGTCTCCACTTGATCCGATGGTACAGTATCATCGACAACATTTCTATCATCGAATTCCCACGACGTTTCTCTTAGATTCGTCTGCTGTGTCTCTTCAACCTCAGCCTTGTCGTTGAAACCTTGAGACATTCCCGCCAGGGTCGATTCTTGCACCTCGTCCACATTGATTTCGTCGTCGAATCCCCAGGATGCGTCTTCATTTTGCAGATCCGGCATAGAGTATGCCACAAAGTTTGAGGGAGTAACAGTAGGGGGCGCTAACGAAGATGAAAAAATATTTAGTATGGATGGTAGTCTAACCAGTCTTCCATAATAAAGTGTCATGAGTTTAACTGTACCTGGCGCTGAAATCGGTACTGAAGGCTCTCTGTGATCCCGCACAGGAGTGACATATTTAGGCACCCTCTGGTCCACGGACTGGCCCGCCTCATCTTCGAAATCGTCCTCACTGCTCTCCTGTTCTACATCCTGAAGCCAAGCCTGGCGAACATGTTCTGGCGTCAATTGCTGATATTGGCCTGCGGAGCTATTGGGGTCGAGGTATGCCTGGACAACCTTAGAGTAAAGCACAGGACTCTGTCGCATTCGCTCCCGAAGCTTGGGTGTTGATCCGTGGGATAGAGTTTGGCTGGAACTGTGCTGTGAGCGCGTCAAGGATGAGGTCGAAGAGGACGAGGAATGCTGCTTTACTTGTTGGTGAGTTTGCGAATACGAGTAGGACGACGACGAAAACGACTGAGAGTGCGACTGCTGTTGAAAGTGGGAAGTGGTTGTCGCTGATGGATCGCTGCTCCTGTACGACTGCTCGTGAATGGATGCACGCTGGGGCTGCGGCTGCAGCTGACGATGTTGTTGGTCGTGTCGAGCAGGTTGGTTCTGGTGGTATTGATGCTGATCATGGTGCTGTTGATTATGGTACTGGTGTTGCTGTTGGTAGTGTTGCTCATGGTATCCATGGTGTTGCTGCTGTTGACTAACTTGCGCTGACTCTGGTCGATGCTGTTGATCCACATGCGTCTGCGTCTGAAGCTGCTGCTGAGCCTGGTTCTGATGCTGGTGTTGTAAAGCTGGCTGCTCTGGCATAGGACGAGCGGTCGAATGTGCTGGCCTAGGTGTTTCGATTTGGGCTTGTTCCTGGTCGTGCTCCTGGTCGTGTTCCTCTGGGGCGTTCAGATGCAGATGACTCTGCCTGGCGATGATGGGGCTTTTAGTGACAATTGGTTCCCATGGTAGTTCGTCGTCGCCCTCGGATGCACTGGCAAACTCCTCGTTCGAGTCGGATGTCTCCTCGCTGTCGTGGACATAGTGGCCGTACTGGGGCGGATGCGACGTCGAGTGCCCGCTAGTGGATGCCATGGTGTGTCGTTGATCCCCGTCTTCGGTCTACGATCCAAAAAGCGAGCGTGATGATTGATGGGTTCCCTAGATGATGGCGTCGCGCGATGATGACAAGAAGGATGAGTTTGCGGGGGGAGACAAAGTTCGTATATTCACACCTAATGCGTTGTGACACGTATATTTCTCGATTCTGCTGCCAACTTTGTAACACACGCGACAGGGATCCTCGGCCATTGTCTCCGCCAACCCCCCCTCTAACCCTTCCCGTCCCCTTCATCGACGTCGAGCATAAGCGAAGATGCTGGACAACGATTCGTACCAAGCGCTTCTTTGTATTTCGCCTCGAACTTGCGAGCCTATCCCATCTGGACCTGCCAGAAGACAGATCAATCTTACGGTGTTACTGACATGGATGCAGTAAAGCCCATCAAGCCAAACAAAGAGGGTATCCTCGTACTTTTTCGATTTCCTTTCCACGTTTCTTTGCTTGTATATCTGCAGCATTGGCGAATGTTTTCGCGCATTTAGCCTTCGTACACTTAAAGCTCATCGATGCCATTGTCATGTGGATCATCTCAGGCCCTGGAATAACGAATCCTGAGGGCCTTGAATCCCCGGGATGGGGTGATGGCGGCCGAGCGCCGTAGGAATGCCAGCTTTGTCTAACGCTGGTACGTACCATTGACGATCGGAAGTAAACATACACGCAGTCGGCGTGCGGACATGCTGATCTCGGAGAGCTATATTCCACTGTTCTGTATAGTGTTACTAGCTGGCTTGCTCGCAAGAAAAGATCTGCTTACACATCTAGTAGCAGTGACTGATTGCCCATTGTTCTTCATCCGCAATCTTGTACCTTGGATTCCATTTGTAGTTGTTAATATGGCCAACGGACCTGGAATAACTCTTGCTGCTTATTCTCTCGCTGAAGCGAATCCTGCAAGTCCTTGGAGAGGCCAACTGATTCCCTCAATTGTCGGTTTGCCCCCTTCTACTCCCACCTCAGCCGTTTCACTGCGTCTCACGGGTCTCGCTCTCCATTATCCATTATGGCAATAGAGCTGTAAGACTCCAACGGTGGAGGTATACTATTGTCCTTCATTCACTACCTCGATGTCTTGAACTTTGGATTCTTAACTACTGTCTTCCGAAAAGGTATATATACTTACGTACAGAGACTACGTTTGTGTAACGAGCCCATTTCGGTCCATGGAACAATAGAACATGTACAGCAGTCTATTGCTGCTTGCATGTTTGCTTTTGGCGGCAGAGAGAGAACCCCGTTCCCTTGTAGATCCAAATAAGAATAGAATATTAGCCTAGGACTATGCTTACCAGCTAACCGAGCGACTAAGTGGCATTGGAAGTAGTACGGCACTTGGTCTCGCTAGCGAGTCTCAAGGCGCACTTCATTTTTGTTGGGTCGCTAAGCATTGGGCATGGATGTTCATGTATGTACGTATACACACCCTAAATAAATAATGTGCTCCGTGCACGGGAGAGAAGAAGGACTGGTCTACTCCCCCACGTTTGTTTCTTTGCTTTGTTTATGTCCAATGATTCCTCTTTCTTTTTTTGAGTTGTTGGGGATGGATGCACCAATGCACCTTGATAACCGGACATACTTGGCCTTATAAAAGGGCTGCCCTCTCCCTTATCTCTCCACTCTTCTCACCGACCTTCTTTCCTCTCAACTCTTACCCCGTCTCGACCAAAGTAGTCAAGCAAAGTATACACATACACATACAGCCATGTCAAAGACAGAGTCCTTCCTCATCGATCTCGCCTTCAACGGCCAGTCTGATTACGACGCAAACCCATCGCTGCACTCGACCTCGACCCGCCGGTCTCCCTCCTCCCATGGTGGCCTCCCACATCTTCAAATGGCCCAACTTCAGGCACCCCGTTTCGACGAGGCCACATTCGACCCCGAGGCACGGTCAGCGGCACCATCGAAGGATCTTTTCGAGTCCATGGAGCCACATCTCCGACTCAACCATACCAAGAACACTGCCCCCACTCGCTCCAAGCTGTAGACTTTGCAGCTCCCTCCCGTCCGCCTGCATGTACCCTCATTTCGCACACCTCAATTTGCACAGTTCGTTATCTCTTGATATCTTTTGATCACTCTCCGACTCCATCCTTCATCCCAGCATTTATTAAAGAAATTTTAAATCAGTTCTTGAGTGGTGCGATCAGACGTACAAAAATTGTGCCATTACCGAGCAATTGGCCCGATGATACGGCTGTCACAATTTCCAACTAAGTGCCTCTTTTTGAACAGGCCAAAAGTGCAATTCGCAGAGGCTTGGTGCCGCCTGGAGTCAAAGAATGCCTTTCTTTGCCAAAGTCTTGCGGAGCATGTACTCTGAAGCATTTCATTGGTTCAAAAGCATGTTGATTTTTAGCGTGGACTCTAACGTATGTAGCTTTATGAAGTACGACAAAAAGACGCACCTCGTTTGAGGTTTGTATGGTCTAAACAGGGCATTCTGCTTTCTAGCTACATACTGAAGAACCGAAGATGTGCACGATAGAGCGTTGGAGGGCCTGGATGGACTCGGCGATAGTCCTCACAGAACAACAATCATTCGTGACAGTAGCACATCAACACTAATCTATGCCACGTCGATCATTGAACAACCTGGTGCTCTTTTCCTCTTGAAAAATCATGCTGCATAGCTCCTTCGCCCAGACAACCTAGTGGTATACCCCTTGAACAGCTTTCTTTGTTTAATGAATCAATTTCCTCGAATCAACTTGGGATATTTTTTTTGGCACTCACACAGCGCAGGAGATCATCCATTTTTGAAAGGGCCTCATCATCGTATCACATAACAACAGTCTAAGTCGTTTTACGATGATCATCGCCCTTACCCTACCCACTATCCCCCCAAGCCTGGGTGGGTCCTGGATTACTCTTTAGCGCAGACTTTATAGCGAAAGTTGAATAAGCTCAGTGCGAATTCAAAAGTCATACCTGCTTTTCGAAGGAGGAATTTAAAAACTACTCCAGCTTTTTCATTCCACATCTATCACTTGTATCGGGCGTCCCATTCGTTCAGGTTGTCACGGACTAACCGCGCTATCGATTGGTACTGACTACCACCGTCAGCAACCAACATAGCGAGATACAACTAGCTGGAAATGTCAATCCATTGCATCGTCAATCGTTCTTAATAGGCATCGAAGTCGCTCCGCTACATTTCTCTGGCTGCCGACCGTCTCATTTAGCATCTGTCATCGGCCCATTCTCGTCAAACGGCACTATAAAGGTACAATGAAAACCTATGCAGCGAACATTGGCATACAACGACTCCAGAGGGGTGGACTTCATTGCGACGACTCCTCGCCTCATCGGATATCACATATGTGAACTTCTTGCAGCTACCCTAGTCATTCTGAAATGTCCTAGCCCGATCTATTAATCTAAACCGTTTCCCAATTTATTCTCTTTCACGTTGTTCTGCATACCACTGGTCTATTTGCCTTTGTGCCGCCACACCATTTGGCCCCGTGCCACTCAAAGAAAGAAGACCCTGCATCTTTAACCGGCAAGTGGCCGAAGCATTCATCTGCAGAAGTCCTAATCGTGAAGCGTCTCCTATTGTAAATAGAACTAATGGTACCGGTTAAAGAACTCGCTGTTAGACCCCCTTCACGACACCACCGCTTTTATGCCCGAACTGCTCTTAATTATATAGTGGTACAGGAGCCAGAATACAGTGACCGGGTGGCGCTCCCTGAGGCGAAGCGGTAAAAGATGGCTACTGTTTTGGCGAAGGTGATGGCGTGGTCGGATTTCGACCGCAACTGCCTCTCCACCAACGGATCCAGCTCCCGGTCTCCCTTACACCACAGTCTCGTCTTGCTCGAGGCATGAAGGGAGATGCTTGCCCCGACAGATACTGTCCCCGCCGTGAGAACCATAGTAGCTGTAACAAAGACATTGAACGAGAGCATGCTGATCAGCAACTATCTTTAGATCCCATGTCGCTTTCGCGAGATCAATGCTATGGATGTCCTCGGTAGGGCTTCGCCCGTAGACCTCCGCCTTGAGGATGAGCACTACCGAGGACTCCGACTGGAGCAGAGCCCCCGCAAAGGCCCTTGCAATCCTCTCTTTCTTGATTGAAAAGTTGGCCAGTGTGGTGTAGTGGCTCTACATCAGGTAAAGGTGCTAGCTGTGAATACGTTACTCAATAAAGGTCTCTTCCGATCAACGAAGTCTACATAATAATTGTCCTACTGTAATAATATTAAGCTCCAGATGCAGAGAACACTTGTAATGAGATCTTTTGGCAGAAGGATAATAAAGACAGCAAATACTATTTACAAGGATGAGAAAGATGACGGCGCACTCGGGGTGGGGATCAGCAAGGTCAAAGGGACTCTGTCTTGACTCCTGTGTCTAGACGACGATGTCGAGGGGTGCTGTTCTTGACCCTCCACTCTTGTTCCTTATGAGACCATGATCGTTACCTGGTCGAGGGACCTCCAGGCTACGTGAGTGGACCCCCAAGGACACTTGACTGCACTAGGGTGCAGAAATTCAGACGCATAAGTTCCGTCTCTGCTAGTGCTGGGTGGTACGCTATGATGACCAGCAATGGCAGAGTATACCAACTTGGGGTACAGTGAAGCATTGGGAGGAAACAGACCAGGAACCTTTCAGTCCTGTCGTGCTGTGTTATTTATTAACCGCAGCTGCATGTTCAGTCCGTACTTGGTATGATCGTATGAATGTCCTGTATCTATTCCGCTCATCGTATCATATCAACTGATGTGCCTGATTCTTGTATATGGCTACCCCGTCTGCACTCTATGTGGATTTACCGCATCACACCAGGCACAGAGGGGGTTCGACTGGCTCGTAAGAACCCATCACCACGAGGTCCCTAAACTGATGGCCGGCTAATGCAACCCTAAGCCTGAAAGCCGCGAATTCCCTAAGGTTTGTATACTAGCTACTATGCTATCAGCACTCCGTTCCGCAGGACGCTCTGCTTGTTCTATGCTGACCCTCTTACAAAGAGCGCGAAGAGAGAGGGAGAGAACAAGGATCTTCCAGTTCTAGCACCAGAACTGGGCACCTCTCCATTATTCTTCGTCCACATTTGTAGAAATGTACCAAAAAGAATCTGACCCGCCAATCCATCGCTGTGTCTGGATATGTGTTCGGAGGACTGCTATAGCAGTTCTTGACGCCCATGCAGAGCCAAGGCCTTGTTACCATCATTCTTTCGTGGAGAGACCCGTTTCACCAAATTCATCGAGACGGCCTGACACATGAAAACCACCATAATAATGTTTGAAGAAAAATAGCGAGGACACACCCTAGTCGATGACAAAAAGCCCTCAGGGGTGGTTCGCGGTGAAGATCGAATACAAAAAAATACGTGAAAAAGCGCGTCTGGCTCAGCCAATGGACCTGCTTTTACCACCACAACAGAACAGCAACAACGAAACCGGCTATCTGACGCACTCCTCATAGTCAATGAAGTCAATGAGTCGCGGCGAAGGTTCGATTATGATGAAAAATAAAAAGAAAAGAAATGGGGTTTCCCAGAAAAAACAGCCCCTGGGCCCCTTCATTGCGGGTAGATGTGAATGTTGCACAGGTGCTCTCGGGGTTAAGATCTATGTGATGCCGTCGAGGCTGTGCATCGCCCGGGCCAGATATACGCGTCGATCACTATGTCCCTTCAATGCAGTGCGAGCACCAAGTGCAAACCCATTCATTATATTACTGACAAAGGCTTTTCTTGCTATTGTACATTTTCATCTTTTCATCGTTTGGTTCAATCCTCACTCTCCTCACTCTTTATTTCATTTTCACATTGACGTTTGCTGGTTCTACGCTGACTAAGGTGTGGGGTCGAAGCGATACATACAAAGGAAAGTGGATTGGCTTGCCATCAGTCAGTCTTACTTGGGAAAGTAAAGACTGTGCAGGGTACACCGCGGGCAGGTTGCAAGCCATGGTACCCCAGAAAAAACCACAAGGGAAAAAAAGTTCGGCTTTTGACCTTCTTATTTTTTGGGGGGTGGGGAATTGTATTTTTCTTGTTCTTGTTTTTTTTCTTTTTTTCTTTTTTTCTTTTCTTTTTTTCTTTTCTTTTTTTCTTTTCTTTTTTTCTTTTCTTTTTTTCTTTTCTTTTTTTCTTTTCTTTTTTTCTTTTTTTCTTTTTTCTTTTTTTTAGAGAGGTGTAATAAAGCAAGAGCAGAAGCAAGAGCAGAAGCCGAGGCCTAAGCAAATGCCAGAGTCAGAGCAGTGATAGATGCGCAAGTCCAAGCAAAAGCAAAAGCAATAGCAAAGGCAGATGGAGAAGCAAAAGCAGATGTCGAAGCCAAAGCAAAAGCAACGCCGGAGCAGAAGCAAAAGCAAAAGTCCAAACAAAAGCAAAAGCGAAAACAAAAGCCAGAGCACAAGCAAGAGCAAAAGCGGAAGCTTAGGCAAATGCCAGAGTCGGAGCAGTGATAGATGCAAAAGTCCAAGCAAAAGCAAAAGCAAAAGCAAAAGCAAAAGTAAACAAAGGAAGAGAAGGGGAGAGAGAGAGAAAGCTAGAAGCAATAGAGACAAGGGAGCGCTGGGTGAGTGAGTGGGTGAGAGAGATACGAGAAGTGCAGGTGAACGAGACTGAGGTGAACAAGAGTGGGAGAGAGCAGTGGGAGAGAGCAGTGGGAAAGAGCAGTGGGAGAGAGCAGTGGGAAAGAAGGGCAAGAGACAGCAGAAGTGAAGGACTGAGAGTGAAGGACTGAGAGTGAAAGTGGGAGTAGCTGGAGCAGGGGTAAAGGTGGAAGAGGAGGAGGAGGAGGAGGAGGAGGAGGAGGAAGAAGAGCTTACCTTGAAGACCAGGAAGAAGACCGGGGAGAAGATGAGGAAGAAAAGAGAGAAGAGAGAAGAGAGAAGGGAGAGAAAAAGAGGAGGGCTTCATATTCGGTCCTCGATAGACACTCCCTCCTCCACGACAGACGGCACACGTCATCGCTGCTGTCTGCAGCGAAGAGAGTGTCTTCGAGCAGCCTCCTATCGGTATAGTCTTTTCGGGACTTTCACATGAAAGAAAAAGAGATAGTGGGCGATAGACAGCACGGAGACAGTGGACAGAGAGACAAGCAAGGAAATGATGGTGGCAAAACCGGTGACCTATCGGGACATGAAATACACTTTGGTGGTAAGATAGCCTGGTCTTGACAGCAAAGGAGCAAAGAGAGGGAGAGAGGGAGCGAGGGAGTGAGGAAGTGAGGGAGTGAGGGAGTAAGGATGAGAGAATGGGAGGAAGAGAGGAAGAGAGGTCTCCTTTGATGAGCATGCAAGCATGGAATAGAAAGAAAGCAATAGACAGAAAAGACATGGCAAAAGTAGTGCCACCACAAAAGTGTCTTTTGTGAGTGCAGTCAGCACGTCTACTGAAGCAACCAATGATGTACCTGGGAGTGTACAAGGATAAAGAGGCACAAAGACACAGGAACAAGCAGCAAGGAAAGAGGACGAGTGAAACAAGGAAAAAGCGGCTACAGCGGCGATGATCATATGGGTCACATATAGCAATACTATTCTTTTGCAGCAGTATGCGGGCATATAATAGTCCCTAAAGACAATATACCGTGAATATGTTGGACTCGGATCAAACTATCTATTCCGGCATAACCACTGCTGGCTGCACCCTCTCCAGCTTTTTTCTTATTTCATCAAGTGCTCACATACGGCTGTGCTGCATCTACTCCTTAAGAAAACCAGCCTGTTACAGACCACACCACCAAGTGGGGCACACGTCGTAGCTACGAATAGCAGCACTGGGAGTGGCAGAAAGGACTGTCGCCAACGACACACGCGTCCCTCTCCAAGCATTGTTCATGTTTATGCGCACACTCGGCAGCACTTCATTTCTTCCTTATTAGTGTAACCGCACGAGAAATCTGCAGTCGTGGTAAAAATGGGCGCAGTCCATAATTTCGCTATGCCCCCTAAAATCCTAGCTGCTTTGTAGCAGCTGAGGGCCATGTCCGCAGGCAATCGTCGAAGAACGACAGACTTGTTGTATCCGCATATTCATCACCATCACATATGCTTCGTCTATGGCATGGTAACAAATACGCTCTGTAGATCGACTTTGGGTGTTCTGTATCGACATAGTGCAGCCGAACTTTGTGTGATCTGGCGCTGGGCCTGTTCCCTCGTATCAAGAAGGGTCCTCCGCAGATTGCCACCAATTAAAGTTGAAACGCGCGCGCGCTCAAATATCTGCGCCTAATCTCTTGTGATCTCTCCTTCCTTCAGCTCATTCTTCATTCCACTCTTCGCTCATCTTTCATCATTCATTGCCATTCCATAACAAGCACAAATCCGTAAACCCCTCCTATAAGGACATGCAAGGTCTGCTTTCATCACGATCATTGTTGCTATCTTCTCTGTTAGACCGCTTCTTCTCTCCCAAAAAAGGTGCCCCCATCATATCCTCGACCCTCGCAGCCACCCTCGCTATCCCCGAAATCCTCGAGGCCATATTCTCGCTCCTCAATCACTATCTCCTCCGCGCCGTCGTTTGCCTGGTTTGCAGGGAATGATTCCAGGTCGCTAGACGTATTGTTCCACATGAACTCCACTAGACTTTTAATTTGATACGGATGGAACACCGACAGGTTCAGAAAGCTCTACCGACTGTGGCCCTGCTGCTCACGCCTTACTCTGGCATTCGGGAACGAATCATCAAGGATAGCCTATCCATGGAGCATCGTGACGCTGCATGGGTTGAACTCGTCACATCCATATGACTACTGCAGGGCTGGAAGTGTGGGCAAAGGAGAGAGAGTCAGAGATACCGGATGGTGGGCAGTGTTGGCCGCACCTCGAACTCTTTTCGATCGAGATTCTGAAGGGAGATACCGGGGTGTTCTGGGAGGCATGGACTTTTGTGCAGAAAATTCGTCTGCGGACCATTGTCTGGTTCAATGCCAGAGCAGTGTCCAAAATGAAAAGGCCAATCAAATAAATCATCTTCGATGCGGGCGATTTTAGCCCGATGAGGATGATGCTCATCAAACAATAGTCGAGAAAGATCTTGCTTCTTAAAGACAGCCTCGGTGCTCGGTCCAAAATGTCTTGAAGAAAGTGCTTTCAACCCATGCCTCCAGTTCATATGGACACTCATCTTTCAAGAATAAACCGCACGAACACATGATACAGTCTCTCTGTCGCCTGCAGCCGCAGTGTCCTGTAAATCCACAGAGAGAACATAGAGGGGGCCTCCAGAACGCACAGATACAGCTCCGCCCAAACTCTTTACTCTTTCGGACACAGCCATACGGGAGCAAACCCTATTCGTCTCGCAGTGTCCCATTCACTGATTCGGATTGATTTCCCAACAACATAAGATTCCGCTTTGTTTGGATCTTCACTTCCTCCTCTTTCCATACCATCAAAGAAGCTACAAACCTACGCTGATTCATCACGAGTCTATGCTTAATGTTAATTGATGATGATGCAGTTTAAATGCGCCGCTTCAGCAGCCCATATTAAAAGAAAGAAAGAAAAAAAAGAGAAAGAAGAAAAAAAACCATAAATACGTCCGCTTTTTATTCACAAGCCAGTTGCCTTGGTCCTAAAAGTACTGGGACTCGGCTTCTCTCCCCAAATTATCCAATAGTTCCTCATAGATCACATTCATCGCCTGAAGTGCCTGTCTCTTCAGGATGACACAGGAGATATTAATCTCGGACGCGCCTTGCGAGATCATCTCCAAGTTGATCCCGGCCTTCACGAGCGTCGAGAACATCCTCTCCGAGATATCGACCATGTTCTTCATCTGCTTGTCGACCAGCGACAACATCGCCATGTTCTGCGTCACATCCACGGTACCGATGCTCCTCAGCTGCAGCATCGCCTTCCCTATCGCCTTCTCGTTCACATTCGCACCCAACGCCATCGAAACATGCACTTCCGAGGTCGAAACCAAATCGATCACAATCCCATGCGTGTCCAAAGCCCCAAATATCTGTGCAAAAAACCCATGCGAGACCGATTTATGGTTCGAGTGCACGTTGAGGACCCACACATTATCCTTGATCGTCACCGCTGTAGGGTGCCGCCTTGACAGGTTCAATTGATATCCGTTCTCTAGCAAGACCTTCGGCAACGGAGGAGGAGCCATGCGTCCATCCGGCGTCGATACTCTCGAGGCATTATCCGGAGAGATGACCATCCCTGGACCCATGGGGCTCATAACGTTCTTGATACGAATAGGAGTCTGGGCGTGGATGATCTGTTCCATCGTAAAGGGATGAATGACTTCGGATCTGTAGCACGTCAACTCGGAGGCTTCCTCGGGTGTGATGATGTTGCGTTTTTAACCATGCAGGGATCAGCAGTGAAGATCCCGTCGACCTCCTTCCATACTTGCAATTCCTCTGCATCCAATCCGACCACGATGAGTGCTGCGGCGAGATCTGTGTAACCGCGACTAATGCTGGTCAACAAAATGCCCGATACTGGGCCAAAGAGACCTGGATTGTGTAAAAAGCGAGATGTATACGATAATGCCTTTTATTTATTTATTTTTTTATTTTTTATTAACATAAATCCACATGAGCGCGAGACGCATGGTCCGCAAAGGCCTTAAAGACTAGACCAATTGTGTTGGCTTGAGGCGTCTTAGCTTCATAGCTCATATCGCATGGTTAGCCTAACCTAACTCCTACGTGACCTGTTGCGCGATACACGTCTACTTAGCCAAGATCCAATGTTCATAGAGTTGTTTTTAAACCGAATAAACTCTCCATTATGTCCAACTTTCCTCGTCCTAAGCAATCCTGTGGTACCCTGTAATCCGCAGTCCGTCTACCTTCCTGGATTTCCGCTGCAAGTAACCGTCCCTCTTTCAAATCAGGGAAACCACCAACACTACGTTGGTGTTCCCGAACACCTCGGCGTCTTCCGGCGCGTTTGCTCATGAAGGTGATTCCAACTGACTTTTCCCAGGCGACAGTGTCCTCGCACCGTTTGCTCCATATCTTAGTCCTGCCGAGCTCGATCCTGCTCGCGAATTTTGTCACCATGATCGTTGCAATCCACTTGGTGGTGGTAAATAGCTGTTTCCAGGCCTCAATGAGTCTCATTGGTATTAATCCTTGGTATAAATCCTTGACCTCCCAATAGATGTATACGATAGTGCCTGGTTATTAATTTTTTATTATTATTATTATTATTATTATTATTATTATTTTTTTTTTTTTTTTTTTGGGTGCTGCTTTGGTACTACTTTATCGGCGTTACCTTGTCCCTACATAATCCACATCACTTTGCCATTTACTATGATCGCGTTCATTTTCATATTATCACATTAAAGCCTTTTTTTTTCTTTTTTTTTTTTCTTGGATTGGAACAAGAAGCAGAAAGGTCTTTATTGAGGTTGAAAAAATATATATATTGAAGTTGAAAAGGGGGATGTCAGCTAGGTCAGATAGACTATATCTGATCGAGCTATTTTGCTCTCGGAACCGAAGGATGCCAGCGCTGCTTGTCATACGCAAGAGCGTTGAGCAAATGGCCCGTGGTGGTGTACACAAAGTCCCTTTGCGTCTCATTGTTTCCTAGGACTTGTCTGCCGTGTAGCCACGGCTCCTGATGTCTGCATCCTGTAATGCACAAAGCCCCTTTATGTCTCAATGTTTCCCAGGGCTTGTCTGCCGCGATTCCGTGGCGTGAATATAGCACAAAGTCCCTTTACGTCTCATTGTTTCCTAGGACTTGTCTGCCGTGTAGCCACGGCTCCTGATGTCTGCATCCTGTAATGCACAAAGCCCCTTTATGTCTCAATGTTTCCCAGGGCTTGTCTGCCGCGATTCCGTGGCGTGAATATAGCACAAAGTCCCTTTACGTCTCATTGTTTCCTAGGACTTGTCTGCCGTGTAGCCACGGCTCCTGATGTCTGCATCCTGTAATGCACAAAGCCCCTTTATGTCTCAATGTTTCCCAGGGCTTGTCTGCCGCGATTCCGTGGCGTGAATATAGCACAAAGTCCCTTTACGTCTCATTGTTTCCTAGGACTTGTCTGCCGTGTAGCCACGGCCCCTGATGTCTGCATCCTGTAGTACACAAAACCCCTTTACGTCTCAATGTTTCCCAGGATTTGTCTGCCATGTAGCCACGGCGTGGTCAGACTCTTAGCTAACATGGCGTGGCCTTGTCATTGCCCAGGGTGCACGAACATGGACGTGATCTGCCGTTGCTACCCCTTCAGAAAACATATGTGTGTGCTTGTGTATATGTGTGTATTTGTGTATGTGTGTGTGTGTGGTTGAAATGTATGCGCGAAGTGGAGTGGCGTGCGCGAAAATAAAGCGGATAGGCGTAAAGATCGAGAAGGAAATGGTGGGCACGTCTTCACTTACACTGCTTTGACATGATTGCTTACCTATTTGCTCCTTTGCTTGCTGTCGTCGATGAGGAAAAAGATAGAGCTGAAGCTGACCCCCATATGCTCCAGACAGCCTCAATGTCCGCTGGTGATCTGGAGATGCCTTAGGAACAGAGCTGTTCATCATGCCAAAGAAGGAACGCAGCTCCGCAGGAATAAATAGAAACGAGCCTTGGCTGGCCTTCAAGCGTTGGTCAGATAGTCTGCGCACAAAATCAACTGAAAGGAGGTGTATGATCACAAGCCAGTTTTTACCAAATACGATAGGCAGCTGCAAGACAAACTCATGATTCCACTTACCTCGAGATCCCATCCGTGGCAGGGGGACGCCTGAGCATCAATCGACTGCCACAGGTCTGCAGCTCTTGAATGGTTGTCTCTTGGAAGAGGAGACCAGGCACCTAACAATAGCGAGAGAAGTAGATAAAAGAAGAGGTGGAGCAGGAGAAGGGAAGGGAGAAGGAGAAGGAGACACAGAAGCAGGCGCAGAAGCAGGATCAGACGCAGAAGCAAAAGCAAAAGCAAAAGCAGAGTAGAAGATAGAAGCAAACAAAGAAGTAGTTGAAGGGGAAGGAGAATGGGAGAGAGAGAGAGAGAGATACAACGAGTGCGGAAATGAAGGACTGAGAGTGAAAGTGGAATCAACTACAGCAGGGGTAAAGGTGGAGAAGAAGGAAGAAGAAGAGCTTACCTTGAAGATCGGACGAGAGAAGATGAGGAAGAGGAGAGAGAAGAGAGAGGAGAGAAGAGAGAGAAAAAGAGGAGGGCTTCATACTCCTCGATAGACACTCCCTCCTCGACAGGCGGTAAACGTCATCGCTGCAGATAGCAGCGAAGAGAGTGTCTTCGAGCAGCCTCCTATCGGTATAGTCTCTTCGGGTCTTTCACATGAAAGAAAAAAGAAAAAGAGATAGTGGGCGATAGACAGCACGGAGACAGTGGACAGAGACAAGCAAGGAGATAATGGTGGCAAAATACATCTGACCGGTGACCTATCGGGACATGAAATATACTTTAGCGGTAAGATAGCCTGGACTTGGCTGCAAAGGAGCACAGAGAGGGAGTGAGGGAGTGAGGGAGTAAGGATGAGAGAATGGGAGGAAGAGAGGAAGAGAGGTCTCCTTTGATGAGCATGCAAGCATGGAATAGAAAGAAAGCAATAGACAGAAAAGACATGGCAAAAGTAGTGCCACCACAAAAGTGTCTTTTGTGAGTGCAGTCAGCACGTCTACTGAAGCAACCAATGATGTACCTGGGAGTGTACAAGGATAAAGAGGCACAAAGACACAGGAACAAGCAGCAAGGAAAGAGGACGAGTGAAACAAGGAAAAAGCGGCTACAGCGGCGATGATCATATGGGTCACATATAGCAATACTATTCTTTTGCAGCAGTATGCGGGCATATAATAGTCCCTAAAGACAATATACCGTGAATATGTTGGACTCGGATCAAACTATCTATTCCGGCATAACCACTGCTGGCTGCACCCTCTCCAGCTTTTTTCTTATTTCATCAAGTGCTCACATACGGCTGTGCTGCATCTACTCCTTAAGAAAACCAGCCTGTTACAGACCACACCACCAAGTGGGGCACACGTCGTAGCTGCGAATAGCAGCACTGGGAGTGGCAGAAAGGACTGTCACCAACGGCACACGCGTCTCTCTCCGTGTTTATGCGCACACTCAGCAGCACTTTATTTTTTCCTTATTCGTGTAACCATACGAGAAATCTGCAGTCGCGGCAATTTCTCAGAAATCCAAGCCCAAACCTTGTTTACATGCCATTGCGGTTTACGACCTTCAGAAGAAACAGAGAAAGGGGATGATGCCGCTGACGACAGAAACTGCTGTCGCCCTTCGCATCTAAAAAGATGCTCCCCATGTCCATGCCCACATGCCTACACGGAATTGCTAAAAGACGATAGGCCTACTGCATTTGCATTTTTACCTTCGTATTCATTTACATATATGTGCTTCGTCTGCAAAATGGCTGCAATGTGCATCCTTTCAAATGCTGTGTATTGACATGCAGCTGGGCGTGCTTGATATACCTATTAGAAAGAGGATATCCTTTCTAACGCTTCCAACCGCCAAGGTCACAGTTCCTTTTGAACAACCGTAGTGTCGTAACCATTCAACCCGTTGGTGCGCACTTAGGCACATATGTTATTCACACGTTTCGATGCAGAACTTCAACCATTTGTGGCGCGAACGTCGAAATAAGTCTGCAGTAAACGAAATATTCCTTTGTCTGATGATCTGTTTGTTTAGGAAGGTTGTTTTATTGCTGCGTGAGACATCGTCGCATTGGCCACATCAAGTAGCTTTGCAGCGATTTAGTTTCGCTTTATTTGGTCGAAGGTGCCAGCTTATCACTACGCGCTGCGGGCCCAAGATTCCATTTCACAGTGCCCATAATCCCACGATAACTTATGATGCAGGCATAGCGAAACTAGAACACATGCGGCTCATTATTCTGATCATAATTGCCCATTGCCGAATACCTGGCCTGAGACATTCGCCCTTCTCTATAGAAAGAAGTTTTCATTGAATATAACGATGCGAGCTAAAGGTGAGAGTGGCTCTTTAATTCATCGCCACACGAACAAGAACGTCAGGATCTTCCTTTCGCTCAACCCGCCGAACATCAAGCTAGAGCTCAAGTGCAATCGCATTTTCAATAATCATATGAAGAACGATCTCAGAGCCACTCGATCTTGAGGAGCTAATACTTCGGGCCGATCATCGAAGAGCAAGACGCGGATGTGTTCGGAATTTGTGCATTCGACAAGGAAACCTCGAGCTGGGCAGGACAACGGTCAGATAAAGAACACTATGATCGATGGGCGCCTCCACACACTCGGAAGCTTGTTATGTTTAATTCTTAGAAAATCATCCTGAAGCATTAATTTAATATTACCAGGGATAGCCCTTTGCTGGAGAACGTGACATTGTATATTGAAGCTACATTGACCTTCACCATGGACGCGTTGTCGAGGCTTTTGTCACGCAGTCTCCACCGAATTTCGAGCTGCTCCTTCTGTACGACAAAGATGTTACCAGGATTATTGATGCACAATAACGAATGTCACGTCTTTCGGTTCCTTGTAGTGGGTCCGAACGTTGTATGTTCCAGGCATTACGACACTATTTTGGCGCGATCAGGGGATTAGGGTCAACGCACCCTGTTTCGAGATGTTGTTCCTGTTCTCGGTTAAAGCTTCGTGAGCAAGAGTGTATTTACCAAGGGCATTGGCGAAGGCAGACCATAGGTATGCCGTTCGATTAAAATATTTCCTCGTTCCATTTTGACCAACGAAAGAAAGTATGGCTTTTAATCGAAGACCCTCCAGCAGCTTGCGAAGCTGATGCTGTTGGAGTTACTTGATATCAGTGTTCTTTCAAACGAGGAGCCATTGCCCCAAATGGAACCGCTGGAACTTCGAATTCAGAGCGAACTGAGGTCGCTAGCGAGTCTAAGAAACTGTATGAAATCAATTAAGTTCGCACGAGACAGTTGGCTGACATAACAAACGAGACATGAACGTTGAGAAATCTGAAGAGCCTCATAATTATACAGGGAAAGATGAACAGGAGTAACGAATACAACGAGGCACTTCAATGTTTGCTGCAAATCCAAGATATACCTTACCCACCTATGAATAAACGTAATGAAGTAGTGTCCAGCATATCGCAGCGAAGACATTCCGCATTTAGTGCACTGTTATGAGAACGCCGCCCAACGATACCGAACCTCATTTTGGCGTACTTGGTGAGACGCACTAAAACACCTCTGCTGGTCCTTTCAAAAATCGAAAACGGTCACTCAATACATTTTGTTTTCATTTTGGGGGCGCCAAATCTGCAGGAGGCTCTACCCCACTTCTGTTGTCCTTATGCAACCCACCGAGCAACTCATCCCTACAGGGAAAGTGCACATGAACATGGAGGCCACATTGGAATACATCAGCGTCGGATGCAATAGGCTTACACAGGCACTAGCTTGGGGTGTCGACGGGCTCGCTGCATTCGGAGCGCACCATGCCGTAGCACTATATAACCCTATGGTAAGTAAGGACGACCACTCCAGCGGGCCTTACCTGGTTCCGTTGCTATAGCGTACTCACACGAATCACTCTTCTATTGTGAACAGGACCCTGCAAGAAGAGGCGTTCGCTCGACTCTTCAGGGCCACACTGCCCGCGTCAACTGCGTTGCTTTCATTAACAGGGGCCACGAACTCGAACAAAAGAACGTGGCGATCGTCTCAGGATCGGCGGACAAGACTGTCAGGATTTGGAAGCGACATGGAGACGACAAGTGGATATGCTCGGCCGTTTTGGAAGGGCATACAGGATCTGTCATCACCATTGGTGTCATCAGAGCCAGATCGATCCAGGGCGAGAAGGACCTGCTGGCAACGGGGTCAGGCGATGGCACAATAAAGATCTGGGAGCGCGTGGAAATCGACAATAGCAAGGGTATGGATCTCAGCTCTCAACCCAACTCTTGCCTTAAGGTAGTGGACTGGTTCAAAACGTTTTCACATCAACAGCGCATTAACAGGATCATGACCCTGCTTTTTTGCACGATCTGTTAGACGAGGTCGCCTGTATACAGACAATACAGGTCGGGAAGAAATATGCTCAGTCAATAGCTATTTCTTATTTCCCCAATACCACAGTGCCGGTCATGGCTGTGGGCAGCACTGACAACAGGATTAGCATTTACGCATTTCAGGCGAAGCAGGTCCGTGTTTTTTACCTCATAGCCAAATTGCCGCAGCACCATTTAGACTGTACGCCACTGAATTACTGATCATTTGCAATGACTCATGTCTGTTTCGCATCGCTAGTTTGATAAAGTCTTGTCTTTGCAGGGACATGACAACTGGGTACGCTCATTGGATTTTGCTACATTCACAAAGGAGGATGGCGCCACGGACGAGTCAGACACAGGCCACCAAACCAGTAAGAACACATCGCATCATCATACATTGCAGGACGGCGACTTGCTGCTTGCTTCTGGGTCCCAGGACAAATACATTCGTTTATGGAGGATATCTCCCGTCGATAAATCCGAGGAATCGCAGGACGATACAGTCAAGGCGGGATCTGAAGGCGCATTGACCCAGGATATGCTAAAGAGCCTTGAGGAGATGTCAAAGTCAGGAACACAGCTCAGTACAAAGGCACATATTATCGACGTCGCTCTAGACTCGGCAGAAACGAAACGCTTCTCCGTCATTTTTGAGGCATTGTTACTGGGACATGAGGATTGGGTTTATACTATCAACTGGCAGCCCCCTATGTTATTGAACGGCAAGTATTATCAGCCTATGAGTTTACTTTCAGCCTCTACCGACAAAAGTATGATGATTTGGAAGCCGGACGAGTCGACAGGCGTGTGGATCAACAGCACTCAGGTCGGTGAGGTTGGTGGCAATACTATTGGCTTCTATGGAGGATTGTTTGGACCAGATGGACGATGGATTCTGGCATACGGATATAATGGCGCGTTCCATATCTGGAAGAACGAGGGCAACGAGACTACAGGTAATATGGACATACCTCGTCGCTCGTTACTAATTTTTTTTGCAAGGCTATATCGAGAACATGAGCTGACAGATTTTTTTTATGGGGTGCGTTTCGATAGATCGCTGGGTGCCGCAGGTCTCTGCAAGCGGACACTACGCCTCGGTTCAGGATCTGACATGGGACCCTACACAGTCATACCTGGTCACCGTCTCGCTTGATCAGACGGCACGCTTGTTCTCTCCCTGGAAGCACACAGAGGAGGTATCAGGAGCAAATGTCTCGACGTGGCACGAGATCGCCAGACCCCAGATTCATGGTTACGATGCCCAGTGCATTGCTTTCTCCGATAAGTGGACTTTTGTCAGTGGATCGGACGAAAAGGTCCTCCGTGTTTTTGATGCTCCACAGACATTTGTTCGCTCGTTGGCGCACCTTACCGGAAATGACGCCGCCCTTGCGGAGGTGAGCTCGCGTCCTGTTGGAGCGAATCTGCCAGCATTGGGCTTGTCGAACAAAGCTGTGTTTGAGAACGATATCGCATCCATGGTTGAGGCACAAGAATCAGAGGACTATTTGTCAGATCAGGCGTTCGTTTCCACGGGCGCAACACCAACGTCGTTGATCGAGACCATGACACACCCGCCTTTTGAGGAGCATCTGCTGCAGCATACGCTCTGGCCTGAGGTCGAGAAACTGTTTGGACATGGATATGAGCTCATGTGCGTAGATGCCTCCCATGATGGTAAATGGGTTGCTTCAGCATGTAAGGCGCATACGCCCGATCAGGCTGGTGTCCGATTGTTTGATGCGCATTCATGGAAGCAGACACCAGCGCCCTTGGTATCGCATACGTTGACGGTCACTAAGGTTAAGTTCTCGCACAGTGACAAGTACCTGTTGAGTATCTCCAGAGATCGTCTTTGGAGCGTATATGAGCGCGTCAATGGTATGCACAAAAAAGCTGAGATTTTCTGCCGCATACTGTTCTACCTGCAAGTACGCACCACTAATTGATACTCTCTATTTTTAATATTATGTTTCTAATAGCTGCTAATCCGTATAGACTGATAGTGAGTAACAAGGCCCATGCTCGTATTCTTTGGGATTGCTCTTGGTCCCACGACGACACCCTCTTTGCAACGGGATCGCGCGATAAAACTGTCAAAATTTGGAAGACATCCATATGGACGAACATGACGACCATCAAACTGCCGGAGGCTGTCACTGCCGTGGAATTCGCTCCCTCAATGCCTGGACGTGAGGAGACACAGAAGGAGCATGTGCTTGCAGTTGGACTGGAAGACGGCCGCATATTTCTGTTCAGATGTTTGGCAGAGAAACCAGAAGAGTGGACCCTCTTGAGAGAGATAGCACGCGAGTTCACGCACGCTGGCATGGTGAATGGATTAGCCTGGAGACTGGCCAAGGACGAGAACGGCGCATTGAGCAAATTACAGCTTGCTAGTTGTGGAGTCGACCACTCTGTGCGACTCTTCAACGTTACCCTCCAATAAACATTGCTGCAGTTCCTAGGGAACTTGAACATAGCTTTATTGTTTTGTCGGGCGTTTATGAGTGGTGTTACAAATGATATATTCGTTTTTATATGGCGGGGAAGGAGGGATGATATTGGCAAATTACTTCAAAGTTGCTTCTAACCAAGAAGCGAGGACTGGGTAGTGGATGTTTCTATGTTTCATTTTACGTAAGAAATCTGGGAGAGGTCAAAGAACTGGTCCAGATGGTTCAGCCACGAGCACATCTCGTCGCGGTTGGGTGCTTGCATAAGATACGCGTTACTTGATGTGTATATTGCAAAGACATATTGCCGCTGTTTGGTGTCCATAACAAGGGTGAGCAAAAAGTATCGATTAGTACGTTAGCAAAGAAGGCGAAGATATCAAGAAGATTGAAAGCATGTAATGCATCCCTTACCTTGAGCATGTTTTCGAGGTCCTTCTGGTAGTCAACTCGAACATGGGTCAAATTAACGACTCCGAGTTCGTCCGTCTCTGTCGAATTGGTGTAGATGTACATGTAAGGGCGACGGATCACGAACCAGCACTTGACCCACGTCTCGTCGCGATTTTCGGGGTAGAAAAGATATCCTTTCTTCGAGACATTGTCACTGATCAAGCATAGGAATGCATAAAGATAATTAGAAAGCCGACTCCAAGTGACAGAAGGCGCAAAACAAATCACTATGCGCAGATGATTACCTCTTGGTCACCATCTTCACTTCAGACTGCAGCTGAGGGGAAGGACGAGGTTGTTTGAGCACTTCTGGGTTATCCATGTCGAGCGATGGAGGATCCTGACTGAGCACCACCTATGGATCAAGAAAATATCAGTAGATTGCATTATAAGTAAAATGAAAAAGATTAGAGTGCCTACGTCTTGCTTAGACAACCAAGCAGTCGCAATCATACCTCTTCCAGCGAGATGGATTTGGAGAGCCACAGGTCAAGGATGCGCCGCAGTAGCTTATGCTCATGATCAACCGCCCCCTGGTTACTGCCTGCTTCCGTGCCGAGTTTTGATGACTCGTCTCCATCCTTTGATATCGGCCGTGATTGCGTAGTCCCCTTCAACAGCTGTAGCCAATGTCTCGTCCTCTCAACCTCCTCACGCTTCTGGATCGCCTCCCTTGTGGTTTTGAACTCGTTCAGGAGCGAGACTCCTCGAGGTCTCCAAACTCCAGCCAAGAACTCCTCTCCTCTCACATACTTGCTGGCAGTGTTCATCCGCCAAAGCTCAGATGCCTTCTTGGCCACAATCGGCCGCAACGTCAGTAAGAACAATCCGCTTGCTTTTTTAAGCACTCTTGTGTTGGATTGTTGCAGGAACATGGGAACAAGCCTGTAAGGCGAATGAGATGTGGCCCGTGCCTCCCTGTCTTGAATCTGAGCCGTAATATCCATCTGGAAGCACAAAGGATCCATACACCGCTCTGCCTCCACAAACCAGGTTAATGTCAACAAAACTCGCGTATTCGACGCCGTCACCCTGTTCAAGAACAGGGACTCATGCAGTGTGCTGTCCCACGAAGCTTGAGCGACCAGTAGGCTAGTGCCGTCGGTGGGGTACTCCACCTTCTGTCCTGGTACGATGTTGAGCGAGATGTCTTCTCTGGGTGGCGAGTCTGTGATCCTGCCCTTACTATCGAGGAGTCGAACTCGTCCTATTTTAATCCCAGAGACGCCACTCCATACAAACTGACGGCCAGAAGTATGCGACATTCTCAGAACGATACGTCGCTGCAGTCCCTGTCGAAGCTGGAAGGACCCCGTGTCAACCGTCGAGTTCGACACCACTTGTACAGGTACATACTCGCCAGTAGGTGCCAGCTCGCATACTTGAATATGCGCGAGGACATCATGCTGTTCCTCCGTCATCAACTCATCCTCTGAGCGGCGCTCCGTAAGAGATGCGGCTGAAGCGCCTCGTACAGTTGCTCTGCATCCGCTACGCTGCGAACCATTTCCATTTGTCGCCAGAGGTTTGCTGGGTGCTGGACCTTGTTGGGCCTCCTCCTGGTCCATGTCCCACTTTTCCCATCTAGCGAGTGCCGTAGTTGTTGCTTCTCCAAACACTTCAAAATGCAGCGATTCGTGTAGCAGCACGTCCAAAATGGACTCAGTGACGACCATTGATAGGGTCTGCGAGAATCCAAAAAAGATGGGCCCGTCATCGAAACCGCTCACAGTCTCGGTTGCAAACAGTTTATCGTTGCGGATGCTCGCAGTCTGAGATGACCCAGAAGCGTCTTTTCCTGCACCTGAAAAGTTAGATAGTCTGAATTGAGCATGGACATGGGTATATTGCTTTTCAGAAAGCCCTTCAATATCGATGAGTGAGATTTCAAACAAGACTTGGTCGCCAACTTTGACTGGGTCCGGTGCTTCTGCTGGGTCTTGCTCTAGCTGGTCCTGGTCTCCATTCGCTTCGTGATGTAGACTGCGTCCGTCTGTTTGATTAGGTGGTGGGGTAGCTGGGGCTTCTATAGCGGTCGGACTCTTGGCGCGATTGTGATTGAGTGGCGTGATTCCTATCCTGGCCCGTCCCAGTATTCGTCCGGTCATCCTGCAAAGGATGGGTACGACCGATTGCTTGAACTGCAGCTTGGCTAGACACATCAAGGATGTCGAAGCACTCCCAATAAACGTGAATCTGGGGGCTGGCGATTCGTAAAAAGGATCCTCCATGTTGAAATGTTTTCGGTACTGAGGTCGGTCCACGAAGTTGTATAGGTTCCGCATTCGATGTAGACGGGCTTTGAGCTTCTCAAGCGACCAGGTATAGATTGAATTGTGCTTATTATCGATGACTTTAATACCCACGCAAGGTCGCTTGATTGTCTGAAGGGACGTATCTTCGTCGCTGTTGAATTGTGAAAGTCCCGAATTCGATTCCCAGTGTGATTCCGGATTCCCAAAAGGTCCTGCCTCGAGTATGGTGAACTGGTATACGACCTGCTTAGAAAGTTCACGGCTAATGATGTTGGCTTCCTTGACCAGGACCGCGTTCGTGAGAATGGTTTCAGCCATTTGGATTTTTCTGTACTCCTTCCAACGCGATATGGTCTTGCGAATCAGCTCCAGCTCATGGTCGGTATATAGTAGCAAAGATTTCCCCTTGAGCTTCGTCTCGTCGAGATTGCTACTCGCCATGCTAAGTAATGACATGCGCTTCATTTTTTCCTCGAATTGCTCCCGCTGCTCCTCTAGCTGTGCCATGAGATCTTCTTTGGCCTGTCGCAGCCGTTCCTCCATGAGTGTCTTTTCAGCCAACAATTCGTCTGACTTAGCCTCCACTGCGGACAGGTTCTGGATTTTAGCCTCGTATTCCAGTCGCTGTTGATTCATCTGCTGCATCTCCTGTTCTGCAATCCGAAGTTTCTCCTTCAAAGCCAACGCAGATGATTCTAATGGCGGTACCTGGTTCTCTCGTCCATCCTCTTCGAGCACTGCGTGCTCACCATGCCACCGCTCTACTGTCGAAAGTCTTGATGATCTCGATTCAGTGTCGTCATCAAAGTAGGATCCTCCACGACTCTCGGGCCGCATACCCTTTCGCTGGTATCTGACCCTGGCAATATTGTCGAAAAGAACGTCCAGGTCCTGATCCTTGAGTTGATGAATACTGGATTCCGACAGCATATGTGCATGTATAACAGCTTCTTTTCGCGCATAGTTCCAGTCGACGAACTCCGATATGACCGACGCCGACGAGATTGGGGAGTCAGGGCGATCCTCAGGCCGATCATCCTCCATGCTGTTCGAATGACCAGGCTGTAGGATCTTGGAAGCAGGCGATGAGACAGAGCTTGACGCTGCAGTATTTTGTTGTTGCTGATCCCTCTCTTTCCGAACTTCTTCCGGGTGATTGAAACGAAAGACGTGGTAATCGCCTAAGATGACTCGAAACCCTGAGCGAAGTCGCTTCGGTTTACTAATCCGTAGGCCGTTCACCATCGTCATGGATGAGCTGCCGGGGTATATTGTGACGACTGAGTTGTTGTTCTCGAAATAACAGTGTTGATCCAGAATGTTGCTACCTGATAATCGGATATCAGCAGGTGTGGATGATCCCAGCTTTCCCACATGCGTCTTGCCAGACTTGAGCTGGTACACCAAGCATTCTGACATCAAAGGGTCCTCATTCAGGTTCACCAGATGGGGCATCTTTTTGGGAGTATGCACACCAATGTGCCCTTTTTCGACCGAAATGCCAAGTTCCTCCAGCGTCCGCTCGCGTTCCTGCTGGATTTCCTGCGTCTTCCTCAGCTTCTCCTCCCACGTCTCGTTCAGTTCTGCCATGATCTTCTCCGACGCCTGAACCTCATCTTGTAGCTGCTCTCTCGTGAGCGTTCTAGAATTGCCATGCAAATCCACAATTGTCACCAGTGCATTCGGGGTAGCCAAATTTGAACCTGTCTGTAGGGGATCGCTCACACCCAATTTTGACCGCAGCTCTTGGAGTTCTTCCTTGAGTTCGCGGATAAGCTTGGCGTTCGGATCCTCATTAACGATGGCCTTATTCTTGATTCTCTTGGCCTGGTCTGCATATCGCAGAGTACTAAGCGTCTCGTCGTAATTGACATCTGCCGGTGATAGTGCTGCAATCATGGTCGTTTTGGAATTTCCTCCAAGGCAATCCTTCAGTAGCCATGTCAAGACCTAGTTGTGTTCATTCGGAGTAAATTAATAACTAGCGTGGAACGACCAATCATAAGGCCTCATCGTTGATAAGATAGGATATCGATGTCTTACCGAATCGCGGTATGGTACAAATACTTCAGGCGTCTTCTTGGCTCCTTTCTTCGGCGCAGGTACACTCGATGCATCTGCTAGGGCTGAAATGACCTTACCTAGCGTGGTAAGTGATTTGTTGATGTTGGCGCCTTCCTTCAGTCGTGCACCCGTTGCTCCTGTAGAGTTGGCTCGCTCACTTCCTGCAAGATCCACCAAACTAAATGGCATGAAAGGGAAAGCTGGTCAACAAGAAACATCTAAATAAAAAAATTCAGCAGTGTCAAGCGTACAGAAAGAGTTGGTCATACCAAATCCTTGACACTTTTTCTGTCTCCAGCTTTGTCTCGACATCGTATCGCTTCTGAGTGAGTAGGACGGTGAAGACTGCATGGGATCTACTTGAAGTCTCGTTCATGTTTGTTGCCGCCACCGTTCGGGCCTACAGTTGAATGACAAGGCTGGTCAGTTAAGAGGCCATGTACAATCCCTCAATACACAGAGACAGCCAACATTTCCCGTACCTTGTTGCCTTCATCCATCAGATTCTCAATGTCTTGAAAGGACGTGACCATGAGCTTTGATAGGTCTTCGACATAAGGCCCCAGGGACGGATGTTCGCGCACTTTGAGATGGCCCTTGTTCTTTGGATTCAACAGATCTCGGACCCGCTCGCAATAGATTTCCATATATGAAACCTCAACTCTATAGCTCAACGTGGGATCCTTATTAGCCTCTATTCGCCGGAAAAGCTCTGAGCAGGAAAGGGGTATAATGCCACGATCTTCGCCGTATCCCATCTACAGCGGATTCAAGAAAGAAGGGTAGCTGTTAGTCGCATTGCCGTCTGACATGGTTGATCCTCTCCGTACATTCCTGACTCTCTACACCTGATCGTCGAAAAGTAACTCACCATTGAATACGATTTGCCGCTTCCAGTTTGTCCATCTATTCAAGTTTTAAGAGTCGTAGGAAATAAGAATCTTAACTTTTCGTAGGCATCGTATATTAAATTGGACGCCCTGTTAATCATTCCTGCGTCTCTTCAAACTTACATGCCACAATGCAAGTGTTGTATCCATTGAACGAGTGGTTTAGAAGTTCTACGCCCAGATCATCGTACAACCGCTCCTGTCCTGCATAGTTGGGATCCTTCTTGTCGAAGGACCAATATGAGTGATCGAACGAGAACGACTTAGTAATGCTTCCGCCGCCTTCAGGCCCCTCGGGTTTGGTGATGGTCGTCATATTGCCGTCCATGTGGATGATGCATTCCGCCTTTTTGCTGATTTCTACAGGTTCAAAGCATAGAGAAGGTGTTAGCAACTCTTTGCGAAGCCATCTTCTGTTACTCTTACTGATGATGGCTGGTAGAACATCCAAGCGAGGTTCCCAAGTGACATACCACGACTATTCAGCGGCCGGCAGCGGACCACCACCTTGATATTGCCTCCCTTGCTCATGGTTTAAGCTGATATGGACGAGGCTTTCCGAAGCTGAGAAGGGTGATGCTGCGACTAAGGGATCGCTGTAGGCCTCCTTGTTGACGCTCGTCCTGCGTTCGTGGCAAAGAAAAGTCACCCGTCCGTCCACGTTACTGCCCCCCGGGGGTTGGCTTCACTTTTTTTGGGCGATTCAAAATGCCACGTTGTGCGATCGTCAGGTACGCGTTCCTGGTTCCTGAGAGGTAAAAGATGACAGGGTCGTGTCGGAATCCTGAAAGAGCTAACGATGAGGTCGGAAGCTGGATTTGTCTTGGTAGTACGGACGAGAAGATGACGGGCGGGATGATAGAGCGGGACGGTAAAGTTGAGAGTGAGATGAGGTTGGTCTGGGGCTGATGTGATACGTTGTTGATGAGGCTATGTAGCTCTTCAGTTGAAATTGGATGGGAGAATGAGCAAGAGCTGGATAGATAAGGATCGGATAAGGAGTGAGAGGAAGAGAAGGAGTTGAAGTAAGATGGTGCCTACTATGATGCTGATGGAAGAATGTTACGGCCAATGGGGAGAGAGCCACGAAGAGAGAGGAGTGAGAGCAGCCCGCTTCGTCAGAGCAAAGGAAGAGAGGATGCAAACAAATATCTAAATCAAAGGGCACTATAAGCTGCAGCCGCATGCTCGGTGCAGCAGCCCAAACGGACGTTTACCAAAGAGCAAAAGGATATCGCCATACTGCCAGGACAAGGTGGTGCCTTCAAAAAGGGGGAAGAGCACTGGGGTCACACCCTCGTCTCTTGACAAAGCATAGAAACCACATGGCATTCGTCCTTTATCGCTGTTCAGATTGCTAATAACCATAACTATTCGATCTAATATGAAGCGCTCATTATTTTCTTCCTAAAGTCGTTCCTACTCATGCCTCTCTGCTTGACATTCACTTCACCGAAAGAGTACGCCTATCTATTACTGACTCTTGACCTTCTTAATGTTCGACTTGACATCAGCCCCAATCCCGAACTCGCTCCTTGCTGCTCGATGGCGCATCACGATGCTGGCCACCAGCCCTACAACCGTTCCAATGCAATAGAACAGAAATGAGCCTAGGATACAAGGAACGGGCCATGCCTGCCAGGGTCGGTCCCAATCCAAAGGAATCACAATCGAGCCCAACCATGCGCCAAAAATAGCCATCATTCCCTGGCAATAAAGTGCTGCCTCTGTATACGTTTGCGGACTATTTAAAACGTTGAATGCATGATGACCAATGGCCGTTGACGAGTTAGTGAAAACTGTGACAGTACGATGCAAACGGTGCTATTCACCGATCAGGGATAGGGCAGATCGCAGTTGAGACAAAGGTACCTGGTATGTATGTAAATCCTGAGCCAGCTCTTGAGGTCTGTGCCCAGAACAAATGAGGCCGGGTAAAACGTCAGCAGTGATAAATAGCATGCCAATTGACTTGTTTCCATTGCCTGACTGAGGATAGAGTGGAGAATGTAAGTCAGATCCCTTAAAATTGTCCACAAACGATCCAGACTCAAGTACAATACAAGCAGTGTTCATGCGTAACATACTAGACGAATCCTGCGCCGAATAGTACTGCGAATACATGGCAGAGCAGCGTTCCAACAGCGCCAATGGATACTGAGGTGTTGAAGGCTGCGAAGAGCGACAATGAGGCCTGGTTCCTGCCTTTGCCTGAGTTGTTCATTGCCGTGGTCTGGTATGCAGAATGCAGTTTAGCCTGAACCAGTCCTGTAAGTGTCTGAAAGAGGAAGAGCGAGACTAGCGTCAAGGAGAGTGATGGCAGAGTGCTGATGTTGGCGCCCTGTGCGGCGTCGCTGTCGCCGTGCTTGATCATCTTTGTTGGAATCCAGGTGAGGGTTGCGTATGCCACAATGAGATTGACCATGGCCACCAATGTCATCCTGAGTAACGGGTATGATGGCGTGATAGTCTTTATCGTTTGGGATGGGTTTCTTGGAGAGGCGGTGTCCCTAGCCGCACCCTGACGCGTCGTCCGTTGCATGGTTGGGTCGTTGTTGAAATGGTAGAAGTGTGGAACACCATCCTGTTGCCACCAAACCTCTATTTTGTGATCTTTGGAGCGGCAACACCCTTAATGAACTGGTCTCTCTCTCTCTTTTCCAAACCATCACCTTTCTCACACAGCTCTTTTCATCGTTCCTCAGATCCATCCCTCCTACACCTCCACCCTTGACAATCCGGATCTCCTCTGCTTCATCCGCACACACCCTCTCATCTTTCATCTCTTTGTCGATACTCATCCCTCTCTCACTCGGTTGAAATCCTGCTTCTGCTATTTACAATTTTCTTCTCGTTTGTCAAACGTACGTTCGTTTTATCTCTTCTTCTTGTTCTATTTTTTGATTCGATTTATCTACTTGCTGCTCCCCTTCTTCGTCTTCGCGCTGCCCCCTCGGTGCGATCAACTTGTCCTTCCGACTGATACCTCTGTCCTCAGATCTGCTTTAACGCCCACAATGCACCCGGATTCAATTGCAGTGGGGTGGGTCATGGCACCCTCCTGTGGATGTTCTATCTGGGCCTTTTCTATATCTTGAACTGCTCACCCACTTCTTGAGATTTGTTGGCTGTGTCTTCGTCTTCTGCTCGTTGTATTTACATTGCGATCAACTTTCTTTGTCTTCTTTTTCTTTCTCTCTATCGTTGTATTCTTTTCATTGCTGCCGCTGCAACTGCCATTACTTCTAGTATCCTTTCCGTTCGCCAGTTTCGCCCGTTCGTTTGTTCGTTCGTTCGTCACTTCAGCTTCCTTTCAGTCGCGGCTTTTGCACACAAGAGGGCCCTATTATATTCTTTTCCGCAATCTTTTCTTAGTTGCTTCTCTCCACCAACCACAACGACATGAAGCGAAGCAACGATTACGCTCAGAGCCATGATGCCTTCAAGAAGCCTCGTGTCGCCCAGGGCTATAACATGGGCAATACTTACTCGAACCACGGCAGTATGAGCGGTTCCTCGGGCGATTTGTACGGAGGTGGATATGGTGCAAATCCTATGGCGATGGTTGGCTATGGCCAGATGCCCGGCGGCAACTCATATGGAAACCATTATGGCGCCGATCCATCCATGTCCATGGCCATGGCCATGCCTACGCCCTTTCAGCCATATCAGGCGCCTGCTTCGATGAGCCCCTTTGGGAACGTCCCCTTTCAAGGCTCTTTCCAAGCCAATGCAGGAATGGGAGCACCTGCTGGCCGCACCGTTTATATCGGCAATGTTCCACCGGAGAGCTCAATCGAGGAGGTTTTGAACCTGGTCAGGAGCGGTCTTGTGGAGAGCGCTCGACTTCTGCCCGAAAAGAACTGCGCCTTTGTTTCTTTTGTCGACACGAATGCTGCTGCAGTCTTCCATCGCGTGGCCAACTCGCACAAGTTCAACATTGGAGGACGTGATCTCAAGGTCGGCTGGGGTAAACCATCGCAGGTGCCTCCTCTGGTTCTTCAAGCTGTTCAGCAGGGGGCTACCAGAAACGTCTTTTTGGGCGGCATTGACGACTCGGTCACGGAACAGGGATTGCGCGAGGACTTTTCCGAGTTTGGGCAAATTGATACCGTCAAGATCTTGCGGGAGAAGAACATTGCCTTTGTGCACTTTACAAGCATCGGTAATGCCATGAAGGCGGTCTCGGCCTTACCTCACGATCCTCGATACGCTGGACGCCGCGTCAACTATGGCAAGGACCGATGTGCCAAGAATAGTACAGTAGGAGTCTCTGGCGGAATGCCCAATAACTTTACGTTTGGTACACCTGGATTCGCGGGCTACGGATCATCGATGCCATTCAATCCAACCTTTGACGGGTTTTCAGCAGGTGGTCGCATGGGTGGTATGGGATCTGGTCCCAATGGAGCCAACTCGATGATGGGAGTTACCGGTGGAGCATTGACGGCAGAGGGCAACCGGACGATCTATCTTGGCAACATTAGTGACGAGACAACATGCGAGGAGCTCTGCAACATCATTCGTGGCGGCATTCTCAGTAATATCCGCTATCTTCCACAGAAGCACATCGCCTTTGTCAGCTTCTTGGATCCCCAGGCGGCTACCAACTTTTACAACATCGCGACTCAAGGACTCGTACTCAACGGACGCACATTGAAGGTCGGCTGGGGCCAGAATGCGCATGCACTTCCGCATCAAGTCATTGAAGCAGCGCAAAGAGGTGCCACACGTAATGTTTACCTGGGATCGATTAACGAATCGTTTACAGAGGACAGGCTGCGACAGGACTTTGCCGAGTTTGGCGAGATCGAGCTCGTGAACCTGTTGAAGGAGAAGAATTGCGGATTCGTCAACTTTACCAACATTTTGTCAGCGGTCAAGGCAGTTGAAAATATTCGCCACAACCCCTCGTATGAGACCGTCAAGGTCAGCTATGGACGGGACCGTTGCGGTAACCCACCAAGGCCTCAGCGGCAATACAACAGGCAGTCGAACGGAAACAGATACAATTCTGAGAATGGCAGTGAAGGCGACCTGCCGGATATTGGATCGGACTCGGTAGCCAAGATCAAAGACACTACCTCCAGGCTGGAGGACTCTGCCAGCGATATCAAGGCCTTTGAGGAGGACGATGTGATGTTTCAGGTTGGCGTGTGAGGTCGGAGGATACATAATGGGTAGTGCACGTGATAAATCGACTGAATTAAGGGTCCTGCGTAATACGCCAAATAAAATTTTTACGATTGCTGGGTAAACAAAAAGTAGACGCTGGTGGGATTGACCTTTTTCCTTCTCTCTCGCACATTCCACAAAGGTATACATACCACTGGGATCGACTCACTCAGCGCATACCATCTGCGACGGAACTCGTCTTTGGGACACGAACTCGATAAGGAACGATAACTGGATAATTTCAGGACAAAGCGAAAGGGTCGCATACTGGAACTATCATCATGGATCATTGATTCTTTATAGAATCCGACTTTTTTGTAAACAACATTCAAAGTGGGCCAGCATCTACTGACTGAACAGGATTTAGATCCAAGTTGTCAACAGCATCATCTACCAAAGCATTGGGAAGGACTTTTCTGGGCTCATCTCTGACTCGTCTCCCCTTTCCGATTTCTCATCAACAGAATTATTCAAAATGGGTCGCATGCACAGCAGTGGTAAGGGTATCTCGAGCTCCGCTCTCCCCTACAAGCGTTCTCCTCCTTCGTGGTTGAAGACCTCGCCTGAGGATGTCTGCGATTCGATCTTCAAGCTCGCCAAGAAGGGTATGACCCCCTCCCAGATCGGTGTTATCCTCCGTGATTCCCAGGGTATTGCCCAGGTCAAGAACGTCACCGGTAACAAGATTCTCCGTATCTTGAAGTCCAACGGTCTCGCCCCCGAGATCCCCGAGGATCTTTACCACTTGATTAAGAAGGCTGTCGCCGTCCGCAAGCACTTGGAGCGCAACCGCAAGGATTGCGATGGCAAGTTCCGCCTCATTTTGATTGAGTCGCGTATCCACCGTCTTGCTCGCTACTACAAGACCGCTGGTCAGCTCCCTCCCACCTGGAAGTAGTAAGTGGCATTTCTATTGCGTTGGAGTTTGGAGTTTTTTTTTATTGTTTTTTTTAGTGACCTCTGGTTTGCTTTAAGAAAATGCCAGAGAGGTTTTTTAATTCCACTTTTTTTTTACTAACTCCTTACTTCATCTTTTTTTCAACTGTATAGTGAGTCTGCCACTGCCTCCGCTCTCGTTGCCTAAATTATTGCTTACGAGCAATAATTGGAGGGTTATCGACGCTCGTGTCAGTCGGTCGCTTTTCAATAAAGTCGAAGTTTTTTTCGGTTTTTTGTACCCATCGACATCAGCTTTTTTTCTTTTCTTCAGGAGCAGAATGGACTTTCAGAGGAACTCAAGCGAATATTCATTGGACTTAATTATCAAAGGAAAGAAATGGGATCCGCAGGAGAATCCAGGACAAGGATGGGGCGCTCGCTTTTTTCTTATCACAGGAAGAATGACCGTTCGAGATGCTTGTGCTTTTTAGTTCGAGAGGAGTGATGACAGTAATCACTTTACCGAGAACATAACCCATGTGGTTTATTTGTATTTCACACTGGCTGACCTCTCAACCAAAAGCATATGCATCTTGAACACGAGTTCTTTGGAAACTGGCAATCCCATTTTTGATTCTGTTGCGAAGGAGACTGCAGTGGCCGCTCATGATCAATCCAAAATGTCCCTGGGTATCTCTGAAATGTTCAATTATTACTTGCGTTTGATGGCGTGTGGTGCCCATAGCTTGTGGTTAGTCTCGTATGAATCCTTAAGTCGAATGAATCTGACTATGAAAGCGCTGATATTCTGTGCGTCCGTGCCGATGCAGAACGATCTTGAGCTTTTACTTGATCGATAATGAATAGCACAGCAAAAAAATAATTACAATAAAAGAAAACTGACAAAAAATGGAAAATGAAAAATGTGTGTCGATGCTATGAAGAAGTTGCCTCTAGATCTATCGCTTCCAAGATCGCTCGCCATCCTCATCCTCCTCGCTCTCGTACGCAGCTACACTCACTGATGATGCATTCGTAGTAGGGCCTGTTGCTGAGAGGGTAGGCGTTGTTTGTGGAGCTAACGTCTTAGATGCCGGTGCTGTCGGGACTGGTGCTGCTGGGGGCTCTGAGATCCATGCAAGCTTCAGAGAAGTAGTCGCATTAGGTACCTGCGACCCTTGCTGCATCGCTGTCTCTGCGTCCTTTCGGATCTTGTACTGAACAGTGGCCGAGGTGCCATCGGGTCCAAGAGTAAACGACTCGAGTTCGCCATAGGACTACAGTAAAAACGAAGAAAATCCGCCGTTAATATCACGCTCCTACTCAATTTCATACTCCATTCCTCACAGAGCAAAATGAAATGATAATATACCTCGAAGTGCTCTTTAAGCCCGCCTTTGGAGGCCTCGTCGATATTACTGACGGACAGCTTTGTGGACCGGTTATCAAGTCTGAATGTGCGATTGTGTGACCCCATGGCTCCACCTCGCCCGCCTCCGCGAGTCCACATATTTACTGGCGCTCCACGACCACGGCCGCGTGGAATATAACCGCCACGGCCACGCCCTGCATATCCCCCTTGGCTTTCTAGTCCCAAAGCAGCAGCCTATTAAGGATCACGTAATAGCAATCCCACTAAATTAGTATCTCGTCCTAATTCAACTCAACCGTTACCGAAAATAAAACTCGCTTAGATCACTCACCTGAGCCTGAAGTGCCGCCAGCTTGGCTTTCAACGCTGCAGTGGTCTCTACAGCATCAGGGCTCGTGCCTGAGCTAGGAATCGTCGTTGCAGCAGAGTCCGCGCCTGTTCCGCTAGCCTTCACAGGGACTGTGTTGAGGGTCTCAAGCTCCCGATCCAGTCGTTCCCTCTCTCTCCTCTCAGCTTCCTTTTGGAGATCTGCTTGTCTCTGGGCCTCTGCTGCTACCGCTGCAGCGCGTGCTTGCGCATGCGGATCCACGGGCTCCTTCGTGACTTCAATCGCAACATTCTTCAGCCCCTTCAGGATCTCATCCTTGTCCTGCTGAGACATGTTCTTGTTGGCAAACATTTTTTGCAGCAGAAGTTTTTGCTCCTCCTGCTGACGTTGAATCAGTGCTTCCTTCTGTCGCTGGATCTCCTGCATTGCCTTCTTGCTCTCTTGTAGCTTGGCCGCCGCTGCTGCACGCTCTGCTGCCAACTCTGCTGCACGTTCCGGGGTCATCAAAACGCTCGACACCGGCGGCTTTGGTACAGCTGGATGGCCATGATGCGGCGCTCCGCCTCCTGGGCCCTTCTCAGGTCGAACCTGTCCCGTCGGCTTCGGCTGGCGACCAAACGTAGAAGCGTCCAAATCATCCGGTTGCCAGTAGACCTTCACGAATCGGTTCCCGAAAATGACGTCTGGGGAGTTATAGGCAGCGCCCGCCTCCTCGCGGGTGCTGTATTGGATCAAGGCCTTATGCGCACTCTGATCGACCTGAATGTTAGTTAGGCTTCCGAACTTTTTGAAAAACTCGTTCACCTTGTCGATAGTGTTGTGCTCGTCGGGTATATGTTCAACCACCAGAGAAGTCTTTGATCCTGCCGTGCCAGGTCCGGCTCCAGGAAAATGTCCAGGAGCTGAATAAGGATGACTGGCACCGCTTCGACCACGACCACGCATTCCTCTGAGACTGCCGCGACCACGCATGCCTCCTCGACCACCCATTTCCTGACCGCCACGACGATGTCCTCCCTCCATATCTTCGATTCCTTGCCTTGGGAGACCTATCTCGTTTGCTGAGAGTGCGGCCGCTTCAGGGTCGTACACGTCTGATGGATTAGGGATCATGCCTCCAGTGGGTCCACCAGGGAAAAATGGAGGGCGGCCCCCCGCCATGCCCATCATACCATTTGGTCCCATGGCTGGTGCCCCTCCCATCATGTCAAACCTTGGCAGATCATCAACAACAATCCTGTCCACACCATGGTCGTATGGGCACAAGTCTCCACGCATGCAATATCCCTTCTCTGTTAATGCGATAAGAATAAAAAAAGAAAGAAAAAAAGGCAGTTGGTCAATACAAATGTTCTTAGCATTAGCATCCAAACTATTGACAAAAGGATAATAAAGCATAGCACTAACCATCATAGTCGCGACACCTCTGACGTTTAGGTCTGTCCTGTCCGAATCCAGAGCCTGTATCGTGCATGCCGCCACGACCTCCTCTCATGTTAGATCCCCCGCGCCACGCGTCACTGTTTCCTCGCTGATCTTGAAACCCGCCTCGTTGACTGCCCTCAAACCGACCCCGGTTCTGCTGAGGACCATTCCATTGGCCACGATCCACGCCATTATTATCGAAAGCATTCTGGTTGCTGCCCATGCTGTTGTTGTTAAAATTATTGACGTTGTTCCGGTTGTTAAATCCAGCGGTCGTAAGACCTTGCTGTCTTGTATGACGATCTCCACGCCGCTCGTAACCGTGATCCGGGGCTCCGTTTCCATGGTCGGCTGACCCTCTACGTCTTGAGCCATGGCGGTCGTCATCACTAGGACGGGAAGGGCTATAGTCCCGACGACGGTGATCTCGGTCATCATCTCGACGAGCGTGTTTGTAACTCCGATCTTCGTCGTCAGAGCCGTCACTGTCTCCACGGCGATGCTTCTCCATATGTCCATGAGACGAACCATCATCACGATGGCGTTCGGCCGCAGGCCCTGTAGGAATGTCCTCAAAGCCAGCATTGCGTTCTGATGCTGGATGGGCCGAAGGTGGTGAAGTCGGAGTAGGGTCTGCTTCATGGCGACTTTTTGCATCATGACTCTGCATATAGGATTTAGTATCCAGGGCCTTAAACAGCGTGTCTACAAAGGCGTCCGCTTCTAGAATCAAAATGGATTACAAAGCAACTTGTTAGACTAAACGTCGGCAAATATCAGTAAGAAACAGCACCAGATCATAGCAAGGAATAGCATACGCTTTGGCAGAAAATCCTCGAGCTGTGAGATGCACAGGGCCCTCAGGTCGTCCTTTTCCTTGTCATGCTTGAGCAGGGCGATGACATAGTCGGCCAGCATTCCAGGGTCGGCATCCGCACTATACAGGGATGGAGTATTGTGTGTAAGCAATGAGGCCATGATATGATTATACAATTGCAAGGGCGACCAACTGGTCTAAGGTTTTTACATTTCAGCGAGCTCCTTAGCCAAGTAGGCCTTGAGATCATCGTGTGTGGTTTCGTCGATATGCATCGTGGTTATTTTCTCCTGACTGGTGTGGACTGGATGGGATCTCTGCTGGGGTACGATTGCAGCAGCTGCGGTCGCGTAGTATCCACGGGTCTGTTTGGTGCAATTGAGTCGAGGAAAGGAAGACTGGTCGTGGACTGATCCCTGTTTTGTAGACTGAATGTCCGATACTTTTTCCGGTCTAAAAACGAGTGGTGGCTCGAAGGGAAGCAATAAAAGGATGATTGGTGATCAAGTCGGTCGGATTGGGACAGACTCAGGTGCTGGAATGAAAGAATATGTGTTCGTGAAGAGGGGATGGTAGCTGGAAGAGGGAGCTAGTCTAGCAACTACACTATTTAGATCCAACTCTAAGCCACACCACATTTTTGCTTGGTAGCCGGGCTCCCAGGCGCGTCCTTTCCCACATGGATATCATATCCATTTAACTATATCTTTGCTAGGAATAGTGCTTTTTTTTCAAGTTTTATTTAGCGGCCAGCTGGTGTGTCATGCTGTCTGTGCTGAAAGGGCGTATTGAAACCGTTTAACAACAACTGTGCCCCCAGGTTGGTTTTTACCGTCGTTACAAACGCGACATCGAATCCAGCCATCCTTAGATATACGTCAAAGTTGTACTCAATCGCGGGGAACAACGACAAGGCGGAAGATGGAAGTCCCATCCCAACATTGCCTGTGGCATTACCGGCAGACTCTGGCAAGCCTGGCCACTCTTTCATTCGAGGGAGGACCACTTCAATCAGCCTGTCAAGGAATTAATACATCTTGTCGTTCTTTAAGATCACTTTGCATCCAATTGGGTTGCCTTCATGAAAAAGATATCCATAGAGTATGCACCATTGATTTTAATTACAAGGTATCCTGCTATCTGGCAGCAACAGAAAGCGACATTTAGATAAAACATGCAGTTCGCTACTTGCACGCAACCTCCATGGATGGACTCCCTTCTTTGACTTGATTATCTCCAGCACCTCTCCAGCAATGGACTATATGGCCATGATCCCACTCAAAAGATGATATTTGCTGGCAATGATCTCCTTCATCATGTGGTGTATGTCTATCTTGACTAGCTTCGGGATATGGCGCGGTGAAGGCGCCCTGGGTGATGGCTTGATATGCTTCTTACCCTTGAGCTGGACCCTCACTTCTTCAGGGATGGCAGCCTTTGGTTTAAAAGAGTGTTGATAGACCAGGACCATGAGATTCTCTTGCACAAAGTTTTGGTAGTGCTCGCGAAGATGTGAAAGAGCAGTAGTATACTGATGATGGAGGGATCTCCTTGCCATCTTGGTCTGTGCCTGCCTTGTATTCCTTTTTTGTCTTGTGCGGTTTCTCGATTATGGAGGGCCATTTTAGAGACCAGAGATACAGGGCGAGTGAAATCAACTTGCTGAGGATGCACTTGAGGGGGTGAAGGCGGTTATGGTCGAGTGCGAATATATCTTGAGAGTGTGAGCAGTGCGGACATGGTCGAGCGTTGGCTACTGCTCAAAAAGGCGAAGAAGGTGCAAGTGTGTGGGTAAAAAATAAGCTCGCAAAACGCGAGGGATGGAGGCGTCCAAAAATGGGCATTGAAGACCGCTACTTTTTGCCACCATTTTTTCTTTGAACTTGGTTTGTTTTGAGCCCCTCGGTTGTAAGCCACATGGAGACAGGCACCATATTTTGTCCGAAAAGACAAAGGAGATCTCCCGCGGATGCCGCTGGACCTACCTCAGGCACATACAGCACTCTTATCCTTCATCACCACTCTCCACTCTATACCGTATATTTATTTTACACCTATTCTCCTACTCACCACCTCGGCAACTCTTGGAAATCGCACTGCAACTATCTTAAGGACGCCAACAGCACGAACCTCGGCACATGACTACAATGCCCTCTTCATCATAATCAGGAACTCCTTAGGAACACCGCTTTTACACGTCTCACCACCAGTGTCGCCAACGTGAGCTAGCTCGCAGTTACAGGTATGTATTCGCGCTGTTTCTTTGCGTTTGGTCATGTGCTGGGAATCTGAATTTTTTTGGCCAAAAAACAGATCCTGATGTCATTCTTATCTTCTCATCACTCTTTAGTTTTGTTATGCTTCGGAGGAGGGGCGAGGTCTACAGGACGATTTTGGGGATGGCCCCTCAGAGGTCGACTCAGGACCATCCGCTTTCCACCACAGCAACGTCTTCCGCGGCTGCTCGGCATGTCTTCTCGTCAATATCCTGTGGATTTACAAGCAATATATCACCATCACACAGACATCCGACCCGTGTAAAGTCGCCATCCAGCCAATGTTATCGTCAACATACTCAGCAACAACCACCTAGCGTGCAACATAGATCAGCTCTACATAATCATCACCACCGTTTCCACAGATCCTCGCCAATTGATCAAGGTCACATAGCGACGCGACATCATCATTCTCGGTTATTGTCTTCCAGGCGGTCGCAACACTCAAGCTACGATCCAGAGCTCGCTGCATACATGGACCGATGGACCAGAATCATTTTTTCGGGACAAAGGAGGATGCAGTCAAGCCTAGCGAAGCGTCTACCGAACACTACGGCCTCTACTTATAGTACTGTAGATGTGTCGAGGGCCAGCATGACGACTCAAGGACCAGTAATCAGCCAGCATGAGCAGCGGTCATCATCTACAAAGCCAAGCACCACATCAGATGACATCCCAGCGCATTCTTCAGTCCTCTCAGCCATGGAAATATCAGAGTTTAGTGCATCAATGAGTAGGATACCGGTCGGGGACCACGAGCTGCCACCATTGTTTCGCTCGCTCAAAAAGATTAAGGGAAATCGGAAACCTATGCTTCCAATTGAACACAGGAACGCCATCGAGACGATATGGAGCGAATACATGTACCTTTCCATGAAAACAAACATGGACGACGACCTGCTTTCAAGGCAGGATTACGCCAGGCTCTTGCAAATTCTCCGCCAATCTCACAATTCATCTCTGGCAGCAACCCGTATTCTGAGACTGTACATGGATTTGCAAGCTGTGGGAGTGAATCTGACGCGGAAGATGTACGAGGTGGTTTTGCAGGCGCATATTATGGTGGGCGCACTGCCAGAGTCGATACGACTATATCAGGATGTTACTGATATGGTGGGACAAGGGACGCTTGAGCACAAAAAGGTTCTCTGGACCGTAGTTGATGCATTTGGGGCGAATCAGATGATACCGGACGGGATCGCCTTTCTGGATCAACTACCTATTTTCAGCAGCGAGGACGGAAGCGCGACATCGTTTGTACATAGTCTTTACAGGAGGCTCTTCTTATGCCAATTCAAATCCATGCTGCACCCGGGAACTACAGCACAACGTGCAATTGTACAGTTTGCAGCTCGCCCCAAACCACCAAGGCTCACGGACGTTTCACGGGTAATGGAGGTCTTTGCGAGATATCCTGAGGAAGACAGTGTGCTGGTATTTTCAAGGATGGTCACAGGATTACTGGTCAAGACTCAGGACGTGGAAACATTGACTCCATTGTTGCAACGCCTATTGTTGTCAAGTCATTTTGGTGAGGCCGCCCGGGTTTTGGACATGACGCTCGCACACGGCATGGAACCAAGACTGGATCAAATCCGCCTGCATCTCCTGCAATCGGCACACGCTTTCACAGACAAGGCGCATCATGAGCATGCCATTGATCAATGGGATACCATTACCATCCAGCGCTCCAGATCGCAGGACACATCACCATTGGACCCGTCCCAGTCATTGGCAGAGCAACAAGCGCCGCACAGCATACTTGTCGCGGAATACTCTAATCTATTAAGGTGGCGCATTTACGAGGGCGATCTGACTGGAGCGCAGAGTGCTGCAATACACATCTCTGCACGCGGATGGACCCCACAGGGTATCGATTTCCACCAACTTTGCAGCTACATGGTCAACCACAGTCGTTCCTCCCACTACCCCGACTATCTCGAGGTTCTGTATACCCTCGGCGGATCCCTTGTGCCTGATCTGCACACCTATCGCCGCCTTGTCTATGCGGCCTGCCGTCGATCTGACCTCCAGTCCGCCCTGACCCTCTTCAAGTTGGTTCAAACCCGTCACCCGGACTGGCAATTGGACTCCACAATCTACAACGCCATCATCTCGACCGCCGCTGCCGCGGGACACATTCGAGTCGCCGAGAAGACTTTGGCGTGCATGCTGAAAGATGGCGTCAAGCCTGACCATTTCTCGTTCCACGGACTGCTCAACGGATATGGGAATGCAGGAGATCTCGAGGCTGCAGCCATGATTCCGGAACATATGCTCAAGCAAAAGCTGATCCCGACAACTAGAACTTTTAATCTGGTGATGAAGGCGTATCTGGGCTCACGCATGGATCTAACGACGACTCGTAAGCTGCTCCGGGTGATGCAGTCTTCAGGGCAGATGGTTCCACCGGATCTGGTCACATTTAATCAGCTGCTGGAGGGGTACCGACGTGTTGGGAATACAGAGTGGTTCGACGCATATTTCGACCGGTATTTTAGGGATAAGCAGACGCCTTCAGTGTCAGACTCCGCCTGTTGCGAGGAAGAAAATATTGTTGGTGAGGGTGACCCGGATGTGATGCAGAGCCAGGATACGATTGCGAAGGATGGTATCACACAGTCGATCGACAATGATTGCAAACAGTCAATGAAGACAGTGGTACGGCCTGTGAAATCGGATGACTGGACTCTTTTCATTCAGCTCAAGCATTCTTTGGAACTGCGAAATGTGGATCTGCCGACTGTGAAAGAGCTCTGGCATGCCGTTAAACCAAAGGTGGTGCCATCTACCGCGAGGCCTCTTATCCCACAGGATAGCGTCGATGTCAACAACACTGACAACGATAAGGCTGCGCCTATCCAGCCTTTGTCATCGCCGTCTAGATCGGACGATAGTGTATTGTCATCAACGCACGTGCCCTTCCAGAAAAGGCTCGACTCTGTTTGGATGCCTGCAACAGACCATGAATACTTCCGGTTCACGACATTGACCCTATTTCGAGCAGCATTTCGATCAAGAGGCGACACCACGGGCGTCAAAACGATGGATGATATCATATCGCAATTGTTTCCAGAGCACCCATCGAGCTTGATTTTTCTCAAGAGGAGAGCCATGAAGAAGTTTCGAGCATTGACCAAGAAAACCAAGGGCAAAAACGGCAGCAAACACAGCGGACCATCATCGAAATAAAAGACCTGCATTCCCAAATAAAACTAAAAATTATGCGATTGCTGTTTTTGCCACCAAACGTTCCTGATCTCAACTAATGGCCCGGATCTCCTCTCATGCTACCAGACGAATCGCATACATCTATAGCGAGGAGTATGCTGAACTTGCCTCGCGTTTGCCATCGAACGTCGGCCGGGTACTACATTCAGTCTTGCGAATCCACTTGCACGATCAACGCCCTGCAAGTTACTCAAATACTACTTTTTTGACGAACGAAAAGTAGTCCAAGAAAATCCATGCTCTGGTCGACGCGTATGGGCTGCTGCGAGCTGCTGATTTAACTATCATATCGCCACGTCAGGCAACCATCAGAGAACTTTGTCGGTATCATTCTCGCGACTACATTGGTATGGCGCGCCTGTATTGGGTATTGAACTATTCTCTTTTTCTTTTTCTTTTTCTTTTTTTTGAGGGGGGGGCTTCTTCTAATCTGTGCTTTCTTATAATCTTTGACTGTATAACTTAGAATTTCTGAGAGGAGCTGAGGATGGCGAGTCATCGAGTGGGGATGATGATAATGTCATAAACGATGATGACCATGCAGACAGCAAGGAAGATCAATTGGAAAAATACGGCTTACGATATGACTGCACTGTGTTTGAGGGGATCGCGAAGTATGCGGAAATGGTCGGTGGATCGTCGATCGAAGCGGCCATGCTACTCAACGACGATGCCTTTGACGTTGTTATTCACTGGGACGGAGGAAGGTAAAACCGAGTCCGAAGATTAAAAAATCCATCATACGGATTAACGGACTAACGGTTACTCTTTGTATCTGTAATTATAGACACCATGCTAAGAAAGACATGGCAGCTGGGTTTTGTATTGTGAACGATATTGTCCTGAGCATCATGGAGCTGCAAAAGATCCATAAAAAAGTCATATATATTGACCTTGATGTCCATCACGGCGATGGTATGCGTTCTGTTAGGGTTGCTTTTATACATTTATTTATAACGCGCCTATTTATTCATTGTTTTTCTTTTCCTCCAGGTGTCGAAAACGCTTTCCAGTTCACGGATCGAGTGTTGACAGTATCACTTCATCACTTTGCTGATGGTTTTTACCCAGGAACAGGAAGCGGTACTGCCACATCCATGAAAACAAAAGCTGTTGTCAATGTCCCGTTGAAGTCTGGACTGTCGACGAGTACTTTGGTACGGATCTTTGACGAGGCGATTGAGCCGCTCTATTCTACCTACATTCCAGACGCTGTTGTGCTGCAGTGCGGCGTAGACGGTATGAGACATGTTGCCGTGAACACCATCGGCCTTTATTTTGAAATGGTATCGAGTTCTAAGATGACTTATTGTATCGATTTTCTGTGCTTAGGTATGACTGGCGATCCGCTCGGGAAGTGGAACTTGAGCATGAAGGGCTATGGCGAATGTCTGAAGAGGGTTCTGACCTGGAAAAAACCATTGATGATACTTGGTGGCGGCGGGTACAAGACCACGTCGGCGGCAAGGTGCTATGCGTACTTGACAAGCCTTGTGCTAGGAAAAGAGATACCTGAGGAGATACCCGAGCATGAATATTTCGAAGACTTTAAGCCGGATTTTATGCTGCATATCGATGCAGGCATGCAGGCGGATGAAAATACAGATGCGTATGTGGACGACATCCGAAAATTGGTTGCCAAACAATCCCAGGCACTGCAGATATGAGTATCGTGCAAAACATACAATAAATAAACATCACAACTCAACTTTAGTTGAAGTTGGGTTCAGACCCTTGAGGCGATTGACGATGCCCAACAGGAAAAACGCCAAAACGAAAAGGCTAACAACGATAAAGAGGAGGAATGATCGTCGATCTCAGGGTCCATTTGGTACCAGTACAATGTCCTTAATGTTGCGCGTATTGCTTGCGTATTTACTCTCGATTGCTAGCTCTTTAACATGTGCGCGAGAAAAAGAATGCCTCTATATTGTGCCTCGCGTGGAGTCGACAAGACGGCCTTCACTCACTCGGCTCCCCTTACTGTTGCCACACGCTCATACCTCGGAGGGTAGCCTGTGCTCACAATCATGGACTCGGTTCAAACGCATGGTCCACGTCAGCCTCTTCTCTCGTTTTGGATATTGATTGGCAGCATAGATTGTGCTGTTAACGGGATATACTAATTATAACACATTGCCCTTGTATGACACGAGGAAGGACGAGAGAGAGTTATGGATAGCATTGACAACGTTTTGGCCCTCGTGAATCGCGCGGAGCACAAAGTAGGTAAGCGATCGAAGAGAAAAAATTTCATTTGAGGAAGAGAATATGTGCTGTATTCATTTTTGCATTACATACAAGAAAGATACTGACAATTATTCTAGAGGGCTGATCTAGCATGTGTATGTGGACGTAGATGTGGATGGAGGGGAGTAAAGGAAGATTGCAAAAATATGAGCCCTCCGGCCATATAAAAAGAAAGAGATGTAGTGCCTCCCTCCTTCTTTTCCCTCTTTCTCTTCATCCTCACCACACCTCGACAAAGACAGGACAAGACAGGACAAGACATCGAACCAAGAAAGATAAAAAAAGGAACGAAATAACCTGCCATGCCATACACCAACATCGTATTCAACGCCGCCTACTGGAAGTCATTCACCCAGCGGGCCAAATTCACCGCGGAGGATATCCCAGACCTCACAGGAAAAGTTGCCATTGTCACCGGCGCCAACTCTGGACTCGGATACGCCACCACCGTTGCCCTCGCTTCCCATGGCGCCCACGTCTTCCTTGCCTGCAGATCTCAGGGGAAGGCTTTGCAGGCCATCGAGCAAGCGAAGGTCGATGTCAAGAAAAAGAATCCGTTGTTCAAGGGAGAGGCCAAGCTCGATTTTTTGGCATTGGATCTGAACGATATGAAGCAGTGTCATCATGCTGCTCAGCAGTTCTTGGCTAGGGGATTGCCTCTGCACATCTTGGTCAATAACGGAGGAATCATGACGAGTCCGTTTGCGCTGAGTGATAACGGAATCGAGCAGCAATTTGCGGTCAACCACATGGGGTAAGCAATTGACGTAGGGACAACACAAGCATTTTTCTTTGGTCGACTTGTATGCATCTGGACCCTCAATTTTGTGTTCTGTGAGATAACTGGTCTGATTATGAAATTTTCAGGTCCTTTTTTTTTTTTTTTTTTTTTTCATGCATGACAGGTACTACCTTGCACCATGTACTAACTCTCAGCTATTTCGGCACATAGCCACTTTGTGTTCACGATGACTCTGCTAGACCGGATCAAGGAGTCTCAGCCTTCACGTATCGTCATGCTCAGCTCAATCGGCCACGAAATGACCACCAAAGGCGGCATCGATTTCGATACCCTCAACGACGAGAGCAAGTCCAGCCCCACATCACGCTACGGACGCAGCAAGCTCGCAAACTTGCTCTGCGGCAAGGCTCTGGCCCGTCGTTTGGCGAATGAGAAAGTTTATGTAAACATGCCTCATCCTGGATTTGTGTACACGGATCTTGCACGCAACAACAAGGCTTCGCTGGGCACCGTAGCAGCGGGAGTATATGATATGGCAGGAAAGATGTGTGCGGCCACACCGGAGATCGGAGCCCTGAACCAGTTGTATTGTGCAACGAGCCCAGAGATCGAAGAGAACGATTTGAGGGGACGGTACTTTGTGCCTGTCGGAAATGACTGTCGACCTAGTAAGTTGTGGCGATTAAAAAAAGACTGCTGAAGTAATGCAGGTCTGAAGCTTTCTCACAGTTAAACTAATATTGTGACATTTTTGTGGTTCGTCTTTTGCCATAGGTCACTATGCTCTGGATGAGGAACTGCAAGAAAAGCTGTGGGCCTTCTCTGAGAAGTTGATGCATGAGCATGTCCGGGAGCCTTAATTGAAGCCACAGTGCCTGACATCTTCTTGTCCGTATTCTCTCGTATTCTCGTCATTTCTTTCAATATATCAATTTGTATCGCGTCTGCTCAATTGTTGAGACAGTTTGTGTGCGCTCAATTCTCGAGACAATTGTTGGTCGAATCGCTTGGCATTGGACTTTGCTTGTCGGAAAAGGATAGGGAGAGAAGAAAAAAAAATGCATGAATGATGCGGCTAAAACCTCAATCTTCAGGCACAAACAAACCACAAACAAACATTCATCCCACCGCTGTGATCTTCACGCGCAATGCTGTGTAGTGCGATGGATGGGGCACCTCCATTTTCAGGTGTTCATGCCTTGGTCGAGCTATACTTATCTCCAGGGGCATTCGCGTATAAAAAAGATTCGCGCCTTCAGACCAGCTAAGGGAATGAGCGGGCATCGTGGTGATGGTGTGACATGATCCATACACGTTCTATTCAAATGGTGGATGCTTGCCCACGTTGATTTTTAGGAGATGACTGAGAGGTGTTCCATGACCATCGCTGGACAGACTTTAATGCCGCTTTGTTCTGGTGACTTTTTATTGTAGAGTGAGAAATGAATGTGTTCATGCCTCGCTCATTCTCTATTCCAAAGACGAATTTGAATATTTGCTGGGGGTAAAAAAAAAAGGGGAGGTGGGATGGTTTGAAATCCGTATCCGCAACCACAACCACTACCACTACCGCCGCCTACGTCTTGATGGTATTGGCTTAATCACAGATCGTGCCTACTTTTCTATGCAGTCTACTCAACAATCCCCACATAATCTATGGATCCTGCGAATCTTGGGGGCACTGAAAAAAAAATGATATAGCGCAAGAAAGAGCACCATCTTTGGCACACGTAGGATACTGCTATCGTGTATCCGGATACCCACTGTTCGAATCCCAATACCCGTCTGGATGCAGACACATTTTGGCGCGAAATGTATATGTTCTTTTTACTAAGTCTGTTGCGATCTGCATCTTTCGCCACAATGGGATACCATATTAGCGGACGATTAATCTACGCTACGACTCACCCAATTATGAACGACTCTCATTACCATTGCTGCTGCTGCTGCTGCTGCTGCTGTTCATTTTGCCACCCTCTTCGTATCCCACTTCTTGACCTACCCACTCGCCATTCCCTCAACCTGGGTCCTTTTCATTGCCGCCCCTCCTTCAGCGACATCTCCTTCAAGGCCTCATATTTTCCGGCACCTCTACAACCCCCTCTTCCTGGAACTTCCTAAACGCTGTTGCTCGACCTTCCAGCTCTGGGAGCAGCGGGAACTCCCCAAACCGCTTCTGTAACTTGGAGGACAAAGACTCGACATCAGGGAGGACGATGGGAATGGTCGAGCGTTTGTTCAGATTGACGTTCCGGGACCGGATGCTAGCCAGACGCTGTCGATGGTGGTGGTGGTGCTTGTTCTTTCGGTGCAGTTTGCGGGCGTCGAGACTGCGGGAAAGCCTTAGGGACTCAAACCATTCTTCGGGCGCGATGATCTCCTGAGCGAGGACTGCGCTGGAGATGAGAGCAACCAGACCGAGGCAAAGGGTTGTGGTACGCATTATCGATGGTCTTCTTCTGAAGGGAGAGGAGGGGAAGGGGTTTAATGTGATAGATAGTAGGAGTGGGAGCTGGTCCGAGACGCGGTTGCGCGTAAATAAGAAATTGGGGTGGGATATGCGGGCTGGATGAAGGAAACGAGGGGAAAAAAAATAAAGAGAAGAGGAGTTCGAGCAGGCACAAGGAAAGACAAATGTTCATGAGATAATGGCCGATGGCTCGATGCGCGAGCTGGTCCATACACGGATATCTTTTATATGCTGTTAACATAACGATTTTGATTCCAATGGGATCCACAGCGCATGCATGACAGTAGATCCTCAGTCCGGGAACGGTTATTCTCCTCTCTCTCTCTCTCTCTCTCTCTATCTATCTCTCTATCTCTCCGTCTCTCCCTAGTTGCAGACCGCGAGGCCATCCACGGAATGCCTGCGCCTTCTGCGGGTGTTATTGGTGAGATGGCGATGAGGAATGTAGCAACGAACGCTCAAAATAAACATAAAAAATGACGCGTCCTTCCAGACTATTGTGGATTCAGGCACACCGCCGGTTTAAATTAGTCTGAAACCCGAGCACTCTGACAGAGTTACATTAGCCTGCGTCAAACCACACTGTTCCCATTTTGGGGAAAAGTTCGACTTACCTATTTGTAAATCGAAGAATTTCTCGTTAAGGCAAACACATAACGAAACGAACCGCACACGTTCCAACCTGAAAACGAACAGTTCGTTTCCACCGTGCAAAATCATCATGGGTTAATTGCTTGGCCTACAGGCTTGCGAGAGCGATGGGATAATTGCGCTAGATAGATATTGGTCAAACCTTTCCTGCTGTAGGACCGGATGGCGCCAGGCTAGATGTTGGCTACCCAGTAGTAAGGAATAAAAAACAAACAGCCGTATCACCGAACGCAGTGCGATACTTTACCCTTATTTCACTTACAAACAAGAGAGTCAACAAGACAAGAGAGGGATCTTTATTTTCAGGACAGACGGTACCTTATAAAGCGGTTCCTGCTCGTACGTACTACATAGGTCAATATAATGCAGATCCTACAGCAGGAAAGTCTTGAACAACATCTAACGCCATTATCTTTCATCACTCTCATAATCCTGTAGGTCAAGTAATTGGCCCATGATGGCTCTGCGCGGTGGAATCGAACTGTTCATTTTCAGATTAGAACGTGTGCGGTTCGTTCTGCCTTTACATGGAAGGTGTGCGTTGTGCGCTGTGCGTTTGCCTTCTTCGATTTACAAATAGGTAAGTCAAACTTTTCCCCAAAAAGGGCTCGAAACATCCCTCTAAATAGAACAGTCTGGTTTGACGACGCAGGCTAATATCTTCTGCCCCTCCTCGCAGCCTCCTTCAGCCTTTTGGACTTCAACAGCTTTTGAGAAAAAAGTGTAGGTTTATTCCCATAGAGGAATGAAGCAAACACATATTCGTATATGTAAAAGTACAAGAAGGCCACCAATCGTCAAGTGCTTTTTGTTTATCATAAACGTGGCCTTGCAAGGGATTTCTCCTCTTTCCGTCCGCTCCCTACCGGTATCCAGCCGTCGTCGTCGCCATCGCTGTCGCCGTTGTGGGATGATAGCCATACTTTGGATTCTTTTGCTGTTGTGTATATCCAGACGGCGTCACCATCAACGGTTTCACGCCCGTAGGCTTCTCCCTCATCTGCTTCTGCGGCGGCGCCATCAGCATCGACATGGGCACTGACACCTGGACTGGCATCGGTACCGGTACTTGAACGACTCCCAAACCAAGCCCAATCTGCTGCTGTTGCTGCTGCATCGCCACCGTCACTGCACGTGTTTGCTGCAACTGCTGCTGAAGCTGTTGCTGTTGTTGAAGAAGAAGGTGCTGTTGCTGAATTCGGATCTGCTGCAACTGCTCCAACTGCTGTTGCTGCGCCTGCTGCTGAAGCTGAAGCGACAGGTCGTGAGCATGGATCGAAGGAGAGAAACTGCTGCCAAGGCTCGGGCTTGGAAATGGGGATACCTGCAGCAGCTGAGGTGGTGCTGGTGAATCGAAGCACGCCTGCTGCTGCTGCTGCTGTTGCTGCTGAGGTGTGAAGTACCCTGTGGACGATAGTCGCTTGCGTGGAGATCTCTGGGAAGCAGCGAGGGGCGAGTGCTGGCCGCCTTGAGACTGATGCAGAGAATTCTGGCTGCTTGAGGAGTTCACGCGTTGACCCGTCGAGATATATGGGTGCTGCTGTTGCTGTTGAGCTACAATGCTGCTGTTCGATAGCCTCTTCATGTGGGTTTCCATCGAGGTCGCATGCAGACCCGGACTTGGCAACTGCGGGCTGTTCAACCCGTTCGGATAATATAGATGCTGCGATCCACTTGAGTCCCGTCGCGCGTTTGGGTCTCGTGTCAACATCGGTGGCGCAAATGTGTCCTCGCTATACGTGGACGATCTTCGCACTCTCGGAGAAGCGCTCTGGTACAATAAGGGCGAGTGCTGCTGTTGAGACTGAGGTGGAGGTGTACCACCTAGTCGCTGGTTTGTCCTGAAATCTTTCCGATGCTGCTGCACCAAGTTGGACAGGACAGGGTCCAAGTTGGCGTCCTTGGTGAACGTCTCCTTCTTGACGTTGGGTGCTTGGAAGCAGACCGAGGCGCTCTCGCGACTGACCTTAGAGATCAGCGTTTCCGCGACAATGACTGGTGTGCTGCTCCTCCGCGGCATCGACTGCGATGACGAAGATGAGGGCGAAAGCGCCGAATGAGCCAGTTCGCCGCCCATGAAGCCGTGATGATGGCCCTGTCGCTGCGGTGCTGGGGACTGCAGATCGCGATCGGCATGTCCGCGAATCTGTGGTAAGGATGTCGAGAGTGGCGTGCTGTTGCCGCCATGAGCGGATCGGAGCGGTTGATCTATATACATGGCCCCCTCGATCCTTTGTACCGAGGATCGGTTGCTGTCACTGCTGTTATGAGAATGAGGCTGTAACCTTGGTGATGAACACCGCGACGACGTTCCTGGACGTGGGACCGCAAACGAGCTCGAATTTCGGTGATGTCCCTTGCCTTCGGCCTCACCAAACCCACTATCTCTTGCTTGGCGAAGTCTGCTTCCCTCTACTGCGGGATTGTATGCCAGAGCAGACTGACCACTGATGCCATTCTGCCCGTGAGCAAGGCTGCCGATTTGGTCCGGTGTAGAAAACGATCTCTGGTGCATGTACACGCCATGGGCACGGCTTGGTGGGGCAATCAGTTCGTCGATCGGGGTGAGCGATGTGGTCGAAGACCTTGCCGAATTAGAATGCTCGAATCCAGAGATCGAGGAAGCAGGAGACCTTGATGAGATGGGAGAGGGGGCAGAGGCGGCAGGTTTGCTTCCTCCGCCTCCAAAGAACTTGGATATCCTCTTTCCCAGAGACACTATTGACACAAGTATTAAAAATTCATCATGAGTACCGGTATTTGAAACAACATACCTAAGCGCTTGTGCATATGTATTTGTCGGTATGCGCGCTTACTCTTCTTTTTGTCCAAGACTAAAGACCCTGAATCCACATCCTCTGAAAGGGACGACGTTGTGGGCGACGAAGCGCTCAGCTTCGACAGGGCTATGTTTTGACCAGGTTACACACAATCAAATAAAGTGAGACATGGCGCGTAATAAAAAAACAACAACAACAACAACAACAACAACAACAACAGCAACAGGGCACCGCTCCATATCTGGTATCAGATATCTCTCCATACCGTTCAAAGCCTCAGCATCGGTGTTCAGCTCAAGCGCAGTGCCCGACATGAATTTAGTTCGCCGCTTGATATCAGACTCGTCATCGCTGTCGAGCTCGTCCTCGGATGGCGTGTACTGCTTCGACAACTTGGACCTGTGTGCGGGCTGTCTCCAGTTCTGGAACCGAACTGGGTTATCTATTCGGGTTTGAACACATTGTACCAAGTAGACAATTCGAATTCGTCAATAAATAACTCATGAACAAGACTCCACCTCCCTTTCTTATCAAATCCCTAGACCAGGAGTATTTATAGATCAATGGCCCATCATCCCCCCCCCCCTAAAATGAATTTCGACCCCTGGCTATGCATGGCCATCACTTTAAATTCAATTTATGTTTAAGGATCCTTTTTTGTATTTACCTGATACAAGCTCGTGGCTCGAAGAGTTAGTAACGGGCATAGGAAGCGGCGGTGTTGAAGAAGCCGAGGGCGGAGGAGGATAGTTCGAGTAAACAGTATGAGACTGAGATCGAGGACGAGTCCCATTCTTGTCCTGTGTCTGGATTGCAACCGCAGCGGACGAAGGCTCCAGGAGCACAGAAGCAGGCCGAGCAACTTTGGGCAGCTGCGGGTAAAACGACTGCTGCTGCTGCTGTTGCTGGTGATGTTGCATGTGCTGGTTATGGTGGTGTAGTTTCGGGCTGGAAGAAGCTGTAGGACTCATGTCGCTTTTAAATCTACAGGGCTGAGGAACTCAGCAAGAATTATTTCCGTCAATCGAGTGTGAGAGGGGAAGAAGAAGGGGAAATGATGAAAAGGGAGCAGGGAGCGAGGGAGGAGATGAAGGGACAGCTTCAAGAAGAAGAAAAAAGAAAAAAAAACTGGTAGGGAGAATGGGTCGTGAAGGGTACCAGGAAAGGATAGGTAACGAAACAGTTGTAGAAGGCGAGGTTGTTTTTTTTCTTCAAAGAACCATAGACATTCCGATGGATATGAAACGGTTCACGATGTTGTAGGTAATAAGGGCGTGGTCTGTTCGGTGAGGGGTGTGAAAGCCGAAAAGCGAGAAGAGTATACGGGACCAAGGATGACAGATAAAGAGGCTTTTCCTAATCCGTTTCTTTTCTCAGGTGTTAGCGAAGATCCAGGGACCGCACTAAAGGAAAGACGTCGAGCGTGAGGAGTAACGGGTAGAGGGGCGCCTGCTTGGTTGATACGACAAATTACGGGGGGTTGGTTAGTTTGTGGGCCAAGCTGGATGGTGAGGCACACTGCTGAACTTATTAATAGCCCCAATGACACCACGTAAAGCGCAATACGCCTTCGGCACACACAAAGTCTCGGAATGGAATCCGGTGAGGAAGGGGAGCAAGGGGACCAGCAGAAACGACTCCAGCGCCTTGAGCAACCGCACCGCATCCCGCTTCACCTCACTTGTGTTGCATTGGCATTGTGTTGCACTGCTACCATCGTGTTACTGGCACTGTCCTCTTATAAGGAAATGTCGCTCGATCCACCTTACTCGCTCGCAACATGAACATGCCACATGTGTTACACTATTGCGTGTGTGAATAGAGCAACTGGGCAATAAATAGACCCTCTCACACAGACAACGATATACGAACAGTCTAGGGTGGCCTGGAATTGATGAAACACACAGAACCGTTACGGTTGTGGACAATAACAATGAAGACCTGTAGAACAAAAAAAATAGAACAAGAAAAAAAAACGAGTGCTCTCTCGTAATACCCTTTGCCTAGAACAAGACCTGCTGGCGCTATGACAAAAAGCAAGGCAGAAACAGGGAAGGAAGACGGAAAGAAACCAAAAGAGCAAGAAACAAGAGCACACACACACACACATACACGCGAGGACGAAGAAGGGGCATGTAACAACGGCATGGCCTCGTTTCATAACAATAAACCCATAAATTGGGTGCACGTTTTCGAAAGGAGCAAAACAGACGGTGAACTAACGAACAAAACCAGCGGTATACTGAACTGGTAGTGCGGGAACATCTAGATCCCTCGATATCCTATCCTCCTATTCCTTTCTCGCTCGACTACTGTCTTGGGATCTTGTCTTCCTCTTCCCGTCCGGCACCTCAATCGAACCCTCCCCCCCCCCCCCCCCCCCCCCATGGAATGTCATCCCCAACACAGCCAGCACATCAGAAAGGAGTAATAGAGGGAAGGGAGGATTTCGTCAAAAGGAGGGTGGAGGGGCCACCATCTGCTTCGATGGGGTTTACCTAAAGAATGAGCCCAGTCCTCCAACCAGCAGTTTTTGGCTAGAGCCAGCCGGATGGGAATGGGTCCCAATTGAAGATAATTCTGCACACCCTTCCCTCCATACGATCAAATATTAAAAACGATTAATTTCCGCCAATCGCAGTGCGGCCCTTTGTCTCATTCACACTCCCCCCTTGCTCGCCCAGCACCCTCCTTGGGTCTTTGGGTCGGTGAAGCGGAGGCGACCTCGGCGAGAGAATAGGAACGATAAGCGCAATTGAAGTTCCACTGAAGCGCTTGGTGGAAAGGAGCGACCTCAAGCAGCATAAAAAACAAAAGATGCATGCGTGTGGACTGTACAGTCTAGTGTTGTGTGTGATACAGTGTAAAAAGAAAAAAAAGGAGAGCTGATCAGGTGTGCTGTGGCGTGTCGTTACCTGTGAATGAGTCCAGGAACAGACAGAGGAATCACAAGCGCAGTCAGTTGGGTGAGGAGATGAGGAATGGAGTTTGGTGGGGTGATGTGAATTCAAGCTGGACGAATGGTGAAGAGAGAAGAAAGCGGACGAAAGTGAGGGGAGCAGGAGAGAGAGAGATACGAAGAGCGAAGAGCGAGGAAATGGAAGCTTAAATTTTGGCGATTAGATCGCACGCCCTCTCAGTCCAGGTGTCTCTCTCCAATGTTCATCCTCTGATTCTCTGGTCGGTATTCTGTGTGCATGTGTCGATTGGTCCCCACGCGGGCTATCTCCTTCCTCCTGCAAAGGAAAAGCGGATCTCTTCCGCACATGTTATACACCCAATGTCGTAGCATCCGTCTGAACTGCGTGCGACCATAGTATACAGTAGCAGGGCGCTGTGCCGTCTCAGGTTTTCTCCGGATGACCCTCTGCCTGGCCGGCCTGCCTTCAACCCGTTTTCCATTTACATTTGATCGTTCTATATATATTTATTAAATTTAGCGTGTACTGTGGGCAATCGCTATTTGTAGCATGTAAAAATACCCCAATGCCCCCCATACTCACCTGTGTCCTTAGCTTATTTCTTATTTTTTTTTTCTCGCTCAAGGTTCTGCGCCTTCGACCCTCCCCCCTTCTCCTGGTTTATTCGGTGCATATGTTCTCGTGGCCTAGATGATCACTTACACCCTCACGATGATATCGCAACTCAATACTTTGCCAATGGCGCAATCCAAAAAGCAAGCCAGCCATACAAGTGGATGAAGAACATACATATAAAGCGCCGTCCGTGTATTTATGGAAACGGACGACGGACGACTGAGGAAAAAGACCATTCAACCGGGTAATTGCCCATTTTAGATCCATGGCAGCTCTCAATTCAAGCTTTTTGTCTCCAATGAACATATTCTTTTCTCCGCAAAGAAGCAAAGAAAAAAAATAGCGAGACACCGAATGATTGCATTATACCTTGGTCGCCTACCGAATGGATGCAATTCTATTATCATATTATCAAGGAGAGATAACTCAACTACGGAAACAGCTCAATAACATTGGCAGATGTGTGTGGTCTATGTCGAATAAGTCAATTCACACCCCGTCCATTTTTGTTTTCCTCATATACGATTGATCCTGCGCTGCTTACTACTGGCCCTTTACTTTCTTCTTTTTTTGGCCTTAGGAAAAGCATGGGTGCTCGGTCAGGTCCGCTCTCGTGAGTCCCTTCAATCTGCGTCGTGGTCTTGGATGACATGATATGGCGAGTAGCCCAAAAAATACCGACCTCCGAAAAAGAAAAAAAGCCCCCATAGTCGTACTTCGTTTTCTCGTCGCCGTCGTCGCTCATCGCCACCGTACCCGAATAGAGATAATAACGCGAAAGAAAGAAAAAAGAATGGCCGGAGGGGAGCGAACTAAACGCGCCGGTGTTATGTTTGTTCATTTATGTGGGGTAGGTGGAAATTCTTCCTCCCCTTCATCTGTTCCTCATATCCTCCTATTCTGCACAGCAAATCCTCAGAACTGTCATATACCCCTTATTGTATTTTTTTTTTATATTTTTTTATTGTCGTGGTGGTGGTGTAATATGTACAATGCTTCCTATCCTCATTCCTAGGTTTTAGATTCCATACATCGTGTGCGAATACGACGTCGGCTGGTTATGGTTCCTCGGCGGCAACTCTGGTGGACTAGCCGACCGTGCCCTTGCTCCTGTACCCTGCTTATTTCCACCATCCGCCCCCGGGAATGCGCCCGGAAACGCGCCCGGGAACGAACCTGGCAACGAACTACTGAAATTAGATCCCTCTGCTCCCGCATGCGACCCCCGTACTGGCATCGGTGCCGGGGGCGACAAAGAGCTCGTTGGTGATGGTGAAGACACCTGCGGTTGCTGTGGTGGATATAGTCCTCCCACATTCGTCATCCCAGTGGTAGTCGGAGGCATGGGCGTGGGTGGGTACAAGTTTGACGCCGCGTATGGGTATCCCACAGGCGGGTACCCTACTCCACCGGGTGCTGAGGCTGGTCGTGTAAGTGGTTGTTGAACTGGTGGGTACAAGCCCCCGATATTGGCACTAGTCCCTACAGGTGGATAGATGTTTGATTGGGGCGGGTATCCGTTGAACGTATTGTTGACATTGTTGAGCTGTGGTGGATATCCGGATCCGAAGCCGTTCATCATCGCTGGATGTTGGGGTGGGTATCCAGATATGGTGTTAAACTGAGGAGGAATAGTCGCAGGAGGGTATCCTCCGAGGTTAGGTTGTGGTGGATATCCACCGCCATTGATGGTGTTGTTGTTGGGGTATCCGACTGACGGGTACCCTGCGCCCCCGAGCATAGGGTAGGACTGCCGCCTTTGGCTAAGATCTACGGGTGGATAGAGTCCTGGGTTGGGGTTGGAGTTGGGGTAGCTAGGGTACGCGCCCATAGCCGCGTATGGGTTGATGCCAACGGGAGGATATTGCTGCTGTGGAGGATAATGCGCGTTGGGTTGGATGATCTGTCCAAGATAGTGGTTCTGGCCAGGGGGAGAGATTCTTCCTCCCAACAGTGCTGCTGGAACTGGTGTTGGCACTGGTTCTGTCATAGCCGGTGGTCTATAAACTGCTCCCTGGTCTGCTGCTGCTGCTGATGCGGTTGCTGTTACTGCGGGTTTTGAGGATGGCGACGAGTGTTCTGAGGATGGTGTGTTTGTAGGATGGATGGGGCGGCGACCAGGCGCGCCAGTTGATGGTATGGGTGTCTTGGGTGCACGGTTCATCTTGTTTGTGGGGTGTGTGGGTTCCTATTTTCATGTTCAGTAACACAATACAATCGGTGAGTTACTCAGCCCTGCATTGTGCTCTCTCTTCATTTCAACGTCCAGGGAGATAGTTCCCTGCAACGATGATGGAGATGACTGAGGGTGATGACTGAGGGTGATGACTTACATAGGAGTAGTAGGTCAGCTGCAGCATGAGTTCTCCTGCCTCGCGACCCTTGTAGTGCAGCTCGAACCAGTCTATGATGATTCCCAGGGGGGAAAGAAAGTTGCAGAATATCAAAGCCCAGGTTAGCAAAAAGCGCATCTTAGACTACATTCACTATGACCGCATGCATCTTTTCTTTTTCTTTTTCCGAAGGGGGGGAACACTTTCCCGCGAGTCGCATGTTTTAACCCAGCACAAACGTTCATCCTCCCGCCCCCACTAGCATGTCATAACATTCGTTATCCGCTTCGGGATACGTTGAACTTACCATCATGTTCGCCCTGCTCCAGCACCTTGGCCAGGTTAATGACACAATCGCCAATGAGATCATTCTTTTGGTGGTCCTCGTCCAGACATGTCACGTAAAGCGACGTTGCATCCTTCGCGTCGCTCTCGTACAGTGGGATATTGATCTAGATACACCCAAAAAGCAATCAGCCCCTCCCAACAGTTAGATTAAACTACCCGCATAATCCTTATCCGCTAGTGTCTACACCCGAAACCGTCCTTACCTGGTCATCCTTCCACCGTGGCCTCTGTCCGCCGCGTACGTCTGTTGAGCTCCGCTTCGTGACATTGCCCAGCTTGAACAAAATGAACGGGTTTTGTTTCCCGAACCGCTCTCGGTTGGGGAGATCGCGTCCTTGGATAGGAACTATCGCCAATTCACCTGAGGAGAAAAAGAAAGAAAGAAAAAACAGTGAGACGACCAAGCATTAAAAATACTACACTGTTCGTGGCATACACTCCACCATCACCATCACCATCACCATCAAGGAAGGTGTTCTTTTTTTTCGTTACCAATTGGAGTCTTGCCCTCGTCTGGGTCGACCAGCGGCTCTGGCAGGGGCTTGTTGACATGACTGGGTGTGTGGCGACCACCGAATAGTTTGTGCATGATGTGTGTAAGGGTATGAAGATGATGTGCTGTACGCCTGTTGGTGTTGTTGTTGCTCTTGGTGCTGTTGATGCGTATGATAGGTAATGAATGTTCAGCAGGAGTGTGCCGTGAAATGAGAAGTGAGGAATGAGAAGTGAGTGAGATGTAAGAAGGGGAAAATAAAAAACAAGCTGCGAAAACAGAGTAGTGGGAGGCTAAAGAAGTGGAAGAGGCGAGCTTCCTTTTATATATTGGTTCCTGTGCTCACACACGGACACCCCACCTCCCCCTTCCTCAGGCACTGACTTGACTTGTATGACCATGCGCGGATTTTCCTGTTCCTCTTTACTCCGCCATTTCTCTGCAGTGCTCTCAATGCGGTCATTCGCCTCGCACTCATGCAGCATATGCATGGTATTATGGTGGGCTGAGCACTATTATTAGAAAAATTGGACTATTGGACCACGGGACAAAACTGGCCGTTGCAATTTATTTACCTTGGCAGGACATGCATGGTAGGAGATTGCGAGCAGCGAATTCGGAGGAAAAAAAATCCTTCTTTTATTGCATTAACACAGCACTCCATGCAAAAATGCAACAATAACACAGTGTGAGAACAGATATTCCTCGGTTTTATTCGAATGCTAAAACATCTTAAGATTCCGATCGGCAGTTTTCATTTATTTTCTTTGCATCCCCTGGAAAACATATCTCCTTCCGTGCCTGATTGCTTATTTAAAACAGGCCGACGACGTTGCCGGTCTCAAAGTCAATGTCGACATCATAGAAGCAAGGACGAGTTGGCAATCCAGGCATCGTCTGCATAGCACCGCACAATGGGTACAGGAACCCTGCTCCCACAGATGCGCGGATATCACGAATAGGAATCTTGAACCCTGATGGGCGGTTCTTCAGCTTAGGATCGTGCGACAGTGACAAGTGCGTCTTGGCCATACAGATTGGCAAATTGCCAAAGCCCTAATTTAAACAAGTAGGCCTTCCTTAGCGCTTTTTCTCAACATAAAGAATATAAGAGCATATATGTGGAGTGACAATTAATCCTTACCTGACGGGTATAGGTGGCAATCTTCTCCTTGGCAAGGTCTGAAAGCTCAATACCATCAGCACCGTACATCTCCTTGGCAATCGTCTCAATCTTCGACTCGATATCTGCGCTCACATCGTATAGATACTTGAAATCAATTGGCTTGCTGCATGCCTTGATAACCGCCTCTCCGAGATCCATAGCGCCGAGACCGCCCTTAGCCCAGTTCTCGCAAGCGACCGCATCATCCGCACCAGCCTCCAATGCGATCTTGCGGATCAAAGACATCTCCGCATCTGTGTCCGTTGTGAATCGGTTAATCGCCACTACGACAGGGACACCAAACTTCTTGGCATTCTCAATGTGTTTCCTCAAGTTGTCGCATCCTGTCTCCAACAGCTCCAAGTTCTCCGTGTTGTAAACCTCGGGCAGGGGCTTGCCAGGAGTGACCTCAGGTCCACCACCGTGCATCTTCAGCGCCTTCACAGTCGCAACCAGGACAGCACAATCAGGGACCAACCCACTGGTACGGCACTTGATGTCAAAGAACTTCTCCATTCCAATATCAGCTCCGAATCCTGCCTCGGTCACGACATAGCCCATCTTATCCTCATCCTCGCCGGGTTCAATACCAGCCAACTTGAGCGCGATGCGGTCGGCAATGATGGACGAGTTGCCATGAGCAATGTTGGCAAAAGGACCAGCATGGACAAACATAGGAGTGCCCTCGAGCGTCTGCATCACGTTAGGTTTGATCGCATCCTTCATCAAAACAGTCAATGCTCCACCGATGCCGATATCATCGGCAGTGACTGGATCGCCAGCTCTGCTGCTTGCAACCACCATCTTGCCCAAACTATCATAAAGAAACAACATCAAGCACGAAATATGGCATGAGAAGGATTTCAATGGCGAAAAATCAGCACTGCATATAACAAGGACAGAGAATACACCATACCGTTCACGCATATCCTTGAGGTCGGTGCTGAGAGCCAAGACGGCCATAACTTCGGAAGCAACAGCAATATCGAATCCAGTCATACGCTCATGGCCAGCTTCGGTATCATTCCTTCCGATCTCGATCCTGCGCAGGAAGCGATCGTTGGTATCCATGACGCGTTGCCAAGTGATTGTGTCGGGGTTGATATCCAAACGGGCAAAGCGTGACACTTCCTCCGGTGTCAAATCCGAAGGATCGGTCTTGTTGATGCCCAAACGCTGCAGACGGCCCAGCATGACAGGAGCAAAGACCTTCTTGCCCTTCTTAACCGGGCACAGACGACTGAAAAGAGCCTTGTCCGATTGGGTCTTCTCGTGGAACATACGTGCATCAATTGCAGCAGCAAGCAAGTTGTTGGCGGCAGTTACCGCGTGGATATCTCCTGTCAAGTGTAGATTGAACTCGTCCATGGGAATAACCTGAGAGTATCCACCTCCAGCAGCACCACCCTTGATGCCGAATGTGGGACCCTGAGAGGGCTGACGGACGCATCCGAAGGCAATCTTATTCAGGTGAGCGCCCAATGCCTGAACCAAACCAACGGTCGTGGTCGACTTTCCTTCACCCAAGGGGGTTGGAGTGATTCCAGTGACAACCACATAGCGGCCGTTCTTGCGGTGAGAGAGGCGATCCAAAATGTCCAAGTTGACCTTGGCCTTGTACTCGCCATACAGCTCCAGCTAAAATTGGTTAGACAATGATGAGTCATCCGGCATCACTGTCATCGAATCCTAGATCCTGTCTAGTGTCAACAAACCAATTTGCCAAACAAAAAAATGCAGACTTACCTCACTGGGCAAGAGTCCCAGCTCTTCTGCAATGTACTTGATAGGCTTGGGTTTCTGAGCCAAAGCAATGGCGATGTCACTGGGGACGGGGTCCAAAAGCTGCAATGGAAGAGGGTTGATCGTGCGCTGACGTCCCTCATTAAAGAAGCGCACAGCAGAGAGGTACGTGTTCTGCATCAACATGGCGACAGTCATGGGTCCAACTCCGCCAGGAACAGGAGTGATATGGCTAGCATGCTGAGAAGCAACATTGTACTCGACATCCCCAACCCAGCGGATCCCAGACTTCTTGGTTGAATCTGTCCAAAGAAACATGGAAAAAAAACGGTAAGAAACTGTTCACACAATAACTTCCCCAATGAGCTAAGCCCTCCTATCTGCTGAGCCCTGGGATGCCTATTATGGTATCCTCTGTCCATGTTACAAATATCATCAAAAAAAAATGCCTCGCATACCCTCGACGGCGTTGGTTCCCACGTCTATGACCACAGCCCCCTCCTTGATCCATTCGCCCTTGACAAACTCAGCGCTTCCGATAGCAACGACAACAATATCAGCCGCCTTGACGATCTCAGGCAAGTTCTGGGTCTTGGAGTGACACAGCGTGACAGTGCAGTTGTTTTTGGTCAACAAGCTGAACACAGGGGTACCCTGAGAAGAAAAAAATCGAGGAACAGAAATCAGCACACACGGAAAGATATAAGGACGAGCAAGAACACGAGGAGACCAACGATAAATGGTACGTACGACAATGTCACTGCGTCCAACGACGACGGCCTTCTTGCCAGACATGGTAATGCCGGTCGACTTGATGAGTTCAATGACACCCTTGGGCGTGCAGGGGACGAAAGCCGGCTCAGAGGCACGCTTGGAGAGATGACCAATGTTAATGGCATGGAAACTACACGTTAAAAATTAAGAAACAAACGCGTATAAATTAGCATCGCCTGCTCTGATCCATTTCCTTGCGCGCCTTTGACTCTTGGCCCTCCCCGACACTCAAATGCATCTCCTGATCTGATCTACCGTACCCGTCAACGTCCTTCTTAGGGTTAATTGCCTCCGTGACCATTCTGTCGTCCAAGTGGTCGGGAAGAGGGAGCTGAACGAGGATTCCGTGCACCTTGGGGTCATTGTTCAGGGCCTGAACCTTGGCCAGCAACTCGTACTGAGTGATGGTGGGAGGTAAGTGGAAGAGCTCGAAGTCCATGCCAGCCTATTGACGTTTTATTCAAATTCAGATTCAGACAGGACCACATTCCGGGGTAGTCAGTATAAAGAGCCGTATATGGTAACCATCTTTTTTTTTTTTTTTTTTTTTTTTTGCATTGTGAGTGACTCAGGGCGGGTCGACTGCTCCTGCAGATCGGGGGCCCATGGAGCGGCTTCCCTTCCCTTCACTGCCCTTCGAGAATAAGCAACGCCGACAAACGAGGTTGATAACATTTGAAGCAAACCCAATCCGTGTCCCAATTGGTATGGAATGCGCTCTTACCTCCTTAGCAGCCTTCTTCTTCATGTTGACATACACGCTTGAATCCTCGCGTGCTCCAACCTGGATGATCGACAGCTTTGGGTTGAAGTTTGGTGCAGTCTTGCGCATCTCCTCGATTTGCGACTTGATGTCGTTGCGGAGGTGCCTATTCCATGACATGATACGATTGTGCAATTGAGGCAGGTCAGGTCAACAAATGCTGCTTGATATCTCGATTGCATTATGGTGATTGACAAAAAAAAATAAAGATAGAGTCTGCATCTTACTGGGCAATTGCCTTTCCGTCGATAACCTTGGCCATTGTGACAGTAGAGTTGGTGGCGGTAGTCTTGGTGTTGGTTAAAGTGGCAGGAGAAGAGGAGAAAAAACGAGCCCGGGTCGGGAGAGAGAACGAGGGCTTGAGAGCGCGAAGAGCAAGGAGGAATCCTGAATGAGGCGCGGTCGAGAAGATGCACCTGGAGGAGCTGGGTGCGATCGAGGGTGGGGCTGGAGGGGAGTGAAGAAGTGAAGAAGAAGAAGTAAAAGAGGGAGAGGACAAATAAAAACGCGCACAAGAAAAAGAAGTGGTGAGCCTTGGATGGGGAGCGGGGCAGGAAGGGTGGGAAAGATTCGAATGGCGGATGGTTCTCTCGATGGCGGGCAGTGTTCTTGACGGGAGCTTCATTCAAACTAAAAGTGGATGCTTCTCAGGAGGAAGGAACGGGTGGAGCAGGGCAGAGGAAAAACGAAAGGGACGGACGGAGGGGCAGAGCAGGGACACGCACGGCGCGGATGGGCTTTGAAGGGAAGTAAAGGTTAATCGGGGAGATGTATTTCCCACACCACGCCCCCCACCACTGTGGGAAAAAGACGCGACCCTTTCCAGCGAATAGGGAGCCTGCCCTCCCCTCCAGCCCGGCACTCACACACCCTCCCCCTCCTGATCCCCCGACTTTCCCTCTCCCTCTTCCTCTTGCTTTCTCTTACTTTTTCTTACCTCTACATCCCCTTCTTACATATTCTTCAGCTGCAGGCTTCTCGGCACAAGAATATTAAGCACTATCACGACTAACCGTCCGTCGCGTTTAAAAAAGGAAAGCGATCCTCCTGGAATTCTTTCCTTAACGTAGGCTCCCGATAACGACGGCTCCTTTTTTTCAGTGCGAACAGACAGCTCCAGAGTGTACAGATACATTTACTTTTATTTCCATCTTCTTCAGAGTAGGTAAGATCGAATCTGCCAGCATGAAGCACTGTTGGAGATGGGTCCGAAATAGTGTTGAGGAGATCAAGATGAGGATGAAAAGCAATTAAGAAAAAAAAAAAAAGGCCGCGGACACTGCTCCCACTCGTCCTCATCCAGTTAATACTGGTCTCGTACATTTTCATGGATGGAAGTTAGAGTGAAGAGGACGCTCTCGGCAGCAGAAGGACCTGTGGACATTACGCTGATCGACGCCGAAAAAGTTCTTGGTCTTCCGTAAACCCATCGTCTCATGTAAACACGGGCTCGTCTATTTGTAAGAAAGAGCATTAGATGTGGACAAGGCTGAAACCAAGCGTCTGAAAAGAGCAGCCTGTTAAATGGGCTTTCCACCTACAACTCCATCACGATGGATTAGAGACATGCGCGCGGATGCTGAGACTGTGAGTAGTGTTCTACAAAGAACTGGGCGCTAGAGAAGAGCACAACGGACAGAAGGAGACAGAGCACTAGGATTTCAGGTCTTTTATATACAGATTAGAAGCGAGGATGTGGATATTTGCCTTTAAGAGAATAACCCAGCTCGGTGCACCGTTACCACAGTACTTTTGAGTCAACAGACCCTCGGTGTGGATAGCGGACGGCGTAGACAATGATGATATGAGTATGCGGTGAACCGCTCCACATTACCCTTCTGCCCTACAAGTAATAAGCGCGTTGGCCACACTTTCACCACGCAGCCCATGAGCATGTCTTTTGCGCCATGCCAAGTATGGAAGACCAGATGCTTGCATCGACTATTACCCCATCGGCCTACCGACATCCGTTCTAATCGATATTACATTCTTGGTAAAGTCCTGATTTACTGCAAATCCCCACGCCTCATTATTGTAGTTTGACATAAAACTAGAAATCGTAAAAAAGCTTCATATCATGGGTCTTAAAGAATCGTCCATAGATGAGTAAGGGCATGAATAGTCGTAAGGGTATTGTATATAGGGTATACAAATGATAGTAAAAACAAAAAATAGTGCATGAGAATAAATACGTTAAAGATCGATATTCGTGATGGATATGGAAGAAAGAGTCGCGGTTTAGAACAGGCCGACGACGCGACCTGTTTTGAAATCGATATCAATGTCATAAAAGGATGGCCGCTATTACAAAAAAAAGTCCACGGAGAGAACTGTCAGTTAAATCCATGATGAAAGCAGCGGTGGAGAATGACGATGCCACACTAAGTAAGAACGCACCGTTGGGAGACCGGGCATAGTTTGCATGTTGCCGATCAGTGGGTATAGGAATCCAGCACCTACGGACGCGCGGATGTCACGGATTGGCAGACGGAACCCTGTCGGCACCCCCTTCCTAGTTGGGTCGTGCGAGAGCGACAAGTGTGTCTTGGCCATGCAGATCGGCAATCCAGCGAATCCCTAGATACCATTCCAAAGCAATCTTCGTCAGCATCGACTGACAAATGTCATATCTTTCAATCACAATCGCGAAGAATCGCGGTTTTTTTTTTTTTTTTTTTCTTTTACCTGGCGCGTGTATGTCGAGATCTTGTCCTGAGCTTCTTTGGACAGATCGATCCCATCCGCTCCATACATCTCCTTCGCGATCGTCTCAATCTTGGCTTCAATGCCGTCTTGGACATCATACAGGTACCTGAAATCGCTCGGCTTATCGCACGCCTCCACCACCGCCTTACCGAGCTCGATAGCGCCCAGCCCACCTTTGGCCCAGTTATCACACGGCAGCGCATCCGAGGCACCAGCTTCCAAGGCTAACTTACGAATCAACGCCATCTCTGCATCCGTATCCGACGTGAACTTGTTGATCGCTACCACGACTGGCACGCCAAACTTTTTTGCGTTCTGAATGTGTTTCCTCAAGTTGGCACATCCAGCCGCCAGCATCGGCAAGTTCTCGCTCAAGTATACCTCTGGCAGAGGCCTTCCCGGGACGACCTCTGGCCCGCCACCATGCATCTTGAGTGCTTTCACAGTCGCAACCAGGACGACCGCGTTCGGGACCAAGTTGCTGACACGGCACTTGATGTCGAAAAACTTTTCCATCCCGATATCTGCGCCGAACCCGGCTTCGGTGACTACGTATCCCATGTTACTTGGATTCATCCCTGGCTCCACTCCTGCCAGCTTGAGCGCAATCCGATCCGCAATCACGGAAGAGTTGCCGTGTGCAATGTTCGCAAACGGCCCAGCATGAACAAATACCGGCGTACCTTCAAGTGTCTGCATCAAATTGGGCTTGATCGCATCTTTCATCAGTACCGTCAATGCACCGCCGATTCCAATATCATCTGCCGTTACTGGCTGGCCGGACCGGTTGCTCGCCACCACCATCCTTCCCAACCGTTTGCGCATATCCTTCAGGTCCGCACTGAGTGCTAACACGGCCATGACCTCGGACGCGACAGCAATATCAAATCCGGTCATGCGCTCGTGGCCTTCTTCGGTTGCATTGCGTCCAACCTCGATTTTGCGTAGGAATCGGTCATTTGTATCCATGACGCGCTGCCAGGTGATCGTAGTTGGATCGATGTCAAGTCTTACAAACTTCGAGATCTCCTCGGGCGTCAGATCATCAGGTCCGCTCTTATGGACCCCAAGGCGCGTCAATCGCTCGAGCATCACTGGCGCAAACATGCGCTTGCCCTTCTTCTTGGGACACAAGCGGTTAAAGAGCATCTAAAAGAAACAAAAATCAAATTACTTTAATCTTCTTATCTAAAGTTTGGTCAGTAGCCCATCATCCGACTTTCAATAAATGACCTACCGTATCGGTAGCGCCCGATTCATGGAACATGCGTGCATCAATCGCAGCAGCAAGCAAGTTGTTGGCAGCGGTGACCGCATGGATATCTCCAGTCAAATGCAGGTTGAACTCGTCCATTGGGATGATCTGAGAGTATCCACCTCCAGCAGCACCGCCTTTGATACCGAATGTGGGACCCTGAGAGGGCTGACGCACACATCCAAACGCGATCTTGTCCAAGTGTGCTCCCAGCGCCTGAACTAGGCCTACGACCGTCGTTGACTTTCCTTCACCCAGGGGCGTGGGCGTGATACCCGTCACAACAACGTAGCGGCCATTCTGACGGTGCTCAAGACGCTCCAAGACTCCGGGATCGACTTTGGCCTTATATTTGCCATACATCTCAAACTAGGAAAGGTAACGACGTTAGCAGCAAACCCAATAGCCCCACATGTCATCACCACTCCGAGCGTTCCAGCACTCACCTCATCAGGCCCCAACCCAATCTCTTCTGCGACCTGTTTGATGACTTTGGGTGTCTGTCCCAACGCGATATCGATATCACTAGGGACTGGTTCCTTGAGAGTTAGTGGTAAAGGCGTGATCTTGGACAGTGCGCCTGCTTCGACCTGGGTTTGCCAGAATCGACGTGCTGAGAGCAGCGTGTTCTCCATGAGCATTGCCACGGTCATGGGACCCACGCCCCCAGGAACAGCGGTGATGTGGCCAGCGACCTGTTGAGCCTTAGAGAACTCGACATCGCCAACGAGGCGGACACCTCTCTTTTTGGTAAGGTCTTTTTTTTTCCATCGGTGCAAGATTGAAACAAAAGATAAAGGAAAAAAACGCCCGTCGAGTCAGCAGAGACAAATAGAAAGGTGATGAACTCAGGCTTGAACAAATATGATGCTTGACTGTACCTTTCTGAGTGTTGATTCCAACGTCAATGACCACTGCGCCCTTCTTGAGCCAGTTCCCTTTGATGAGCTCAGCATGGCCGGTCGCAACCACTAGGATATCGGCTGTCTTGACCTATATCACCAACAAATGTTCGGGACGGTATTACGAAACGAGACTGGATTATGTTTGCACATCTGCTGCATTGAAAGGAAAAAACCCCCATTTACAGTCTCAGCAAGATTTTTGGTCTTGTCATGGCAAAGCGTCACTGTGGCATTGTTCTTGTTAAGCAAATGAAATGTTGGAGCACCCTGGATCCCATATTAGCAAACAGTAATCGATAATAGACGCGTTAGCCGATTAATGGGGCCTGTAGCGGTTTGTGCCCAATATGCAAAAGGAAAGGGGCTCTTACAACAACGTCGCTGCGTCCGACAACAACGGCAGCCTTGCCTTCGATCTCAATTCCTGTAGATCGAATCAACTCCAGAACCCCCTTTGGTGTGCATGGCACAAAGTCGGGCATTGTTGACAATTTGGCCAGTCGTCCAATGTTGGTCGTATGAAACCTTGGACGGGGCAACGTTAAACGCGTTAAGGTTATGCGCGATGTGGATGGTCGTTCGGTTACACGGAGCAGCCAACTTACCCATCAATGTCCTTGATTGGATCAATCGCTTCCGTAACGATCTTTGCGTCAATATGCGGTGGTAATGGTAGCTGAACTAAGATACCATGCATGTCGGGGTCTGCGTTCAGCTTCCCGATGATGTCCAGCAGCTCTGCGAGTGAAGTGGACTCGTGCATGTGGTGCTCTGTATACTCGATCCCAGCCCTTTTGCACGTCTTCTTCTTCATTGCCACGTAAACGTTAGAATCCTCCTTCTCTCCCAACTGCACTATCGCAAGTCGCGGTTGGAAGGTTGGGTTCTGGAGTTTGAACTGGTCAATCTCGGTCTTGACGTTCTTGACAATCGCTCTATATCAGAAGGCAAGCGTGATAGTCGTTAGTGTGGCGAAAAGAGGATGAGCACAAAACGAATAATTCGAGCGACGATATTGTAAGGAAGGAAAATATACGTGGCCTGCACTGCTTTTAGTCACTTCTCTCGATCTTTATGGTTATTACTTACTTTGCAATTGCTTTCCCGTCAATGATTTTAGCGGCCCGGACTTCTTGTTCCTCCATCAGCGTCAGTTCAGGACTCAATTCCAATGGTTTGATATCAGCCATGACCTCCTCGAGTGTCATCGTCTTCTGATAGCCCGAAGGATGTGGACGCGGGCATAAGACCTGATCTGAAAGAATCGAAGTCCTTAAGCCAGGTTCCGCTGATGAGGATGATTTTTTCAGGCTGTCTTTGCCCAACACTCGATCCCCGCTGCCACCAAAGTCGTCAAGTGCTCTACTTCGACATATAATCCTTGCTGATTGAAATGCACGCTGCTGCTGCTGACGCTGCAACAACGGAGGAGGAAGGGCTGTGCGATGACCAAGAATAGCAGAATGGTAGACATGATGGATCGGGCGGCTGAAATGCAAGGAGGATGGCGCCATGGAAGCGGCTCCAGAGTCCAAGGGGGCTGACAAATGTCGCCGGTTCGTATGTGTGATGCTCGTTAGCCTCTTGGAAGAGGAGGTGAAGGATGATTTTTTTACTATTGAGGATATACGTCGAACGTGTGCTGTAGTGAGAGCGATACCTCCGGACGGTGACGAGGAGACAGAAGTACCGCACCGTTGTAGATCAAGGAATCTGCGGGATGCATCCAGATATTGTATCGTGCTGCTGCCAGCAGGCTGTTTGTGGGCGATCCTGATCATGATTCGTAGATCTTAGGGTTTTTTCTTTCTTTTTTAATAAGAGATGAAAGCCGACCGAGCAGTCAAGAAAGTCAAGTTGCTAAAGGAGGAGAGATTAGAGAAGAGGAGACGGAGGAAGAGAAATAATGATAGCCCAGAAGGGCAGCGGGGAAGCCAAGGGAGTGGATGCCGGGACTGAGTTGAGGGTGGACAAAGGCGATGCAAATTATAGCAACGGTGTAGTAACAATTAGTTAGACAAAAGGCCTTTGATAATAGCACTGTACGTTTGCTCTTCCGTATACGTGTGTGGGCGCTTGTTGCTTGAGCTAGAACTGGTAGTGCTTTATATGTTCGGGGAGAACCAGGTTGGATCGTTGTGGGTGGACGTGAAGTGTTGGAGTGTGGGCGTATTTATTGGATGTAGGTCGGGAACAGAGGGGTTGATGCGGTCGTATGGAATGAGGAGTGAGTCCGGTACTTGGTCGTGCCAAGTGTGAGAGTGATTCGTCGCGAATTGGGTATGTTCGTTCAAAGGTTTGTAAAAGTCGTGATCACGGTCCTTTTTTATATTTGGGGAATTGTGAACTGTGAAGAAAAGTGATAGTAGAGACTGGTCTTGGTCATGAATAGGCGGAGCTTCTGGGAACAAGAGAGAGGGTGTGTATGTGTATATATGAGGATAAGAAGATAGACAGCAGAGAAGAGGGATGTGTGAATAAGCGGAATGTGCGGAGGATGGGGTGTGCGTTGTGCTGTGTTGTGTTGTGCTGTGTTATGGTGTAACGTGGAATGAGCCGTGTTGAAATTCGTAATGGGTTGTATGGATCGTCCGCAGAAAAAAAATCGTGCAGGCCGTACAGGTCCTCAAGGAAGTGGATAGATGGAGAGAGAGAAATAAGAGAGATTATTGCAGATCAAGACGATATATAAAGAAGCCGGGGTAATTGCTGACTTGATACATACATGAGAAAGAGAGAGAGAAACGGGGACGAAACGGAGAAAGGAAAGCTTTGATGGGGTAATACCGTATATGTAATCAGAGAGCGGGAGGAAGAACGGGTTGCCTCAAAGCCGAAGGGGATGTGTGAGCGCGACCGTTTTAAGTGTGCGATATGGTTTGGATGTTTGGGCTAAGCTGTTGGCCAGGAAAATAATGGGCGCGAAGAAAGCGATATGTGGATTATTATGAAAGATGCAGATCTGGTGCTGAGGTTTTCTTTTCGGACAGTCGGGCCAGAACTGGAAGAGGATCGGATAAGCATAACATGCACCTTAACGCAACTGGACGATGGGGGGATAGAGAACGGACGCGTGGAAAAGGAATCCGAGTCAGAGCAGAGGAGATATTAAAGCGGGGCGACGCGGATGAGTAGATGAATGGATGGAAGAATGGGGCGTCAATTAAATAAATGAACGAGAGAACGAATGAATGAATGGATGGGTGAATGAACGTACTGTCTGTCTTTTTGCCTGTCTTTCAGTCTATAAATGAACGCGGCACGTAGACAGTACAAATAGCCTTTTGCTCACGAGTGGAAGAGGCGTCGAAAGGGAAGGAAGGGGCCTTAGGAAACAGAAAATACGAACCTCCTTCCTTCTTGATGTGCTGTGCTTCATTTAGCCCAAATGGGATTGCCACTGACACCGGGGCACTCCTCAAGAAACGAACATGGGCACGGACTCGCTCTGGAAGCAACCTGCAGACGCCAGAGGACCTCTCTATCTCGCATTAAGTGTGCGTGTACGCTACCCATGTTTGCCTATCCATCTTCGAAGCAGCCATCTCGAAGTAGAACCAAAGGGACACAGGGACATGCACAAACAAAGACCAGGACTGAAATAGAAAAGAGGGAGCAACCAAGGCTGACCGCCGAGTAATTGTCTTTTTCCGGGGCGGGGGCATCTGGTTACCATTTGTCAAGAGACTATTGTAACCATTTCTAAGCACATTATTCTCTCCTCGCTCTCTTATTTCATGCGTCATTCCTTGGGGATAAAATCGACTTGCTAGACGAAGAAGCGCCAGCATCAGCATAGGCATCAAGGTATTCATCCATCCGTCTTTTCCCTGTGAGCGAGAGTCATTGTCAAACCAAATTAGCAAAGCAACAAGCCAAAAAGAAACCACAGGAAGGAAACCATGGGCTCGAGGCGGTAGACTGATATGTCCCTTAAAATAAAACATCGGCTGCTTGAATGAGTATTTACGAGCGAGCTCGAAATCCGGAGCAGGATCGTACTCGAGACGCGTACATGAATGCCCATCCTCTTCAACGACGCGTATGTCAATTTTTTTGTGAAATCTTGTCACAGGTAGTACATGGGGGTATCCTGTGCAACCTAGACTGATTTTGGCCAGCAGAAGAGGCCCTGACCAAAGCGCGCGTGATGCTTTTCGTTTGTTCGTTCATTTACAGCTGTATGCTGCTTGCCCCGCTATACTCATTAACAAGAGTCTCTGCCTCGGCTACTAAGGAAGCATTGAACCTTAAGGCCGGGGATGTCTATCATGCCTGTACCAAAGGAGAGAGCAGAATAGATGTAGTTCAGGCTCATACAAAAAAAAAAGAAGAAAGGGACTTCAAGGAGACGACAGAAAATGGGCGGGAGATGAAGGGCAGAAAAAACTAACGGGCAGAAGAAGAAGAAAAAGAAAAATAAGGCAAGATCGACCACCGTTGGCTGGACACCAACGGAGGATAGTATGCACCCAGAGGGGGCTAGAGTCTATGAAATGCAGAGGCGCCAGGAGGGCGAGAGGGGGATGCCGTCGTCTTTTCTGGCACCCTCAAAAAAGAAGGGCATCCTGGATTTATCCCCTTCTCCGCTGGCTCCAAAAGCGGGCACTCCTACTTGCATGTACAACAATAAGAGAGAACAAAAAGATGGGCCAGTCCATGTCTCCTGGATCCTCCAGCTTTAAGAGTAAAGGGGGAGCGTGAAGAAGTGGATGCAAAAGGGCGATCAAACCAGTCGTTCCGCTGATGACAAAAGTCTGGCTCTCACTCTTGGAGGAGACGCATCCCAGATGTTCACGCATTGGGCGGATGGTCTGCTGAACCTATCGAAACACGCGTCGCAATCGCTGCATAGAACCGCCATAGCCGTAACGACGGCTAGACTGGCAATACATACTCTCCATCCATAACATACAATGGCTGACGACCACAAACATCATGGATCAAAAAACAACGATGTGCCCATAAGTTCTGTCTGTTTGCTGTATTTATTGGTAAATGTATGTAAAAAGATGATGATGGCAAAGCTAGATCTATTGTTCTTCTCCAACTTCATGAACCCGTTCCTTAATCCTTACTCCTGCATGACATACGGATCCGATCCACCGGTCTTGGCCACCAATTCTCTTGGCATAGCCTTGACCAGCTTAGGATCAGCTGTGGGGAACGGCAGAGGCAAGACATCAGCTGGTGCGATTTTATCTCCACGCTTCTTGACCGCATCCTGGACCTTCACAAACTGCTCATCCACACCGGGGACACAGCCCTTGACGTAGATCAGGTTCAGGTCGTTGTCGACTTTCATGACCTTCAAGCTCTGGACAGTCGCCTGCTCGCCTCCCATGCGTCCTGCCATCTTCTTGCCCTTGAAGACCTTGCCGGGGTCCTTGCGCTGACCCGTTGAACCAAGCGATCTGTGAGTAACCGAGGTACCGTGTGATGCTGGCTGACCTCCGAACCCGTGTCTCTTCATGGCTCCTTGGAATCCCTTGCCCATACTGGTGTCCATTAAATATGATTGTAGTTCCCAAGTGTCCACATTCGGTCGAATGAAGAAGTATGATTAGCGAAATCAATCCCTTAAAAAATCAATATATGATCATTCCATAGGCAAATAGGAAGGGAAGCACTTACGTCGGTGCAGAGCAGTCGACATATTGACCGGGAACAAAGTGAGAGGCAACTAGTTCAGTACCGACGGGCAAGACCGCATCAGGCGTGACACGGAACTCAAACAACTTGCGCTTGGGCTGGACGCCAGCCTTCTCAAAGTGACCCAACATGGGCTTGGTGACATTCGTTTCCGAGCGATCCGAACTGCCGATCTGAAGAGCAGTATATCCGTGTGCCTCCTCGTTCAAGACCTGGACAACTTGACATTGCTCCAGCTAAAAAGATAAATCCATGGAAACGATTGTGACATGAATCAACAGTCAGTCTGAAGAGTCGCAGCAGTCTTTCCCTGTCTGGAGACAGCCTGTTCGGCGTTCAATCCTGCCGATCCTTTGCGGTTTTAAAAATGCCGAGTCGTACCTGGAGAACAGTGACGGGTATCCTCACACCCCACTCGTCCCACATGGCGGTCATGCCTTTCTTTCTTGCGATAACTCCTGACCTCAATGACTTGCCTATCCGTTTGCAATCAAGGTGACGGACCCGGTTAGGAACAGTGCACTGAAGTTTTCGGGTGCCTTTTTACGGTCCTTTCGTCGAACGTAAGATCCCGCGAGGTTATGCTAATCCTTACTAGTCCAGGTAGCAGGCTGTGTGGCGGCTGTGACAAAGGAGCGGCATTCGGTTGTAAGGCCAGCGCGAAGGCCGACCCTGACCGAGTTGAGGAGCGATGCCATTATTATTGAGGTGTTGATGGTGTCGAGGTGAGAACGAAGAGAGCTCCCCTTGTAGGGCCCGTCCCCGCCAATTATGCACCGAGGTCAAGTAAACAAGAAAGTGACCGCAAGCCACGGGACTATCAATATGCGGGTCAGGGATCCTTGACTTGAGCCTGGATACTAATATGGGCAAGCATTAGCACAGAAGGCGAACGTACCATGATACCTCGGTGCTCATGCTCTCCTCAACGATATTGACAAGAATAGGCTAGGTATCATGTCCGCCGTTCTAATCGGCAACATCCGTCTCCTCTTTCAGCGTGTCCCTGGCAACACCCTCCCAATTTGTCCGAGGGTTCGCCGCTTGAAGGGCAAAATGTGACAGTGCTGAACATAGTTCTTATTTCACTCCCCTTTCTCCATTCAACTCTCTCACGCTTCCCTCCATTCTTCATTCATAACATGGCTGTCAACGCTCGTCGTGTCGTCGTTACTGGTCTCGGCCTTATCACGCCCCTCGGTATCGGCGTCCAACAATCGTGGTCAAGACTTATCGCCGCAGAGTGTGGTGTCGTTTCCCTGAAGGATCACCCTTCTCCCAGTGGTCTCCCTGGTTACGACAGCTTACCCTCTCAGGTCGGCGCAGTGGTCAAGCGCGAAGGTGGACAAGCTCTTGGGGGATTTGATTCGACAGAATGGCTTGAACGTGGGGTAGGTCCTTCTTCGACCTCAAATAGGCTATTGCAACGCTGTACATGTGCCCACCTTCGACCAATGCTAACAGTCGAGTACTCGTTATTGATCACATAGGATGAAAAGAGAATGGCACTCTTTACACAGTACGCGATTGCAGCCGCAAAGATGGCGATCCGGGATGCACAGTGGGAAAATACGACCGAGGATGAGAAGGAGCGTACAGGCGTCTGCCTTGGATCGGGCATCGGAAGTCTAGATGATATGGCCGCTACCACTTTGTCATTTGCCGAAAGCGTAAGGTTACAGCAAGCATCCTGCTACAACCAGTTCTCAGGGGATAATATATACTGACAAACCGGTATCTTGATTATAGGGCTACCGCAAGATGAGCCCTATGTTCGTTCCAAAGATCTTGATCAACATGGCCGCTGGACATTTGACCATGAAATTCGGATACAAGGGTCCCAATCACGCCGTCTCAACCGCCTGTACCACCGGAGCGCACTCGCTCGGAGACGCCATGCGGTTTATTCAATACGGAGATGCAGATGTCATGATTGCAGGTGGTTCCGAGGCTTGTATTCACCCCATGGCCGTTGCTGGATTCTCAAAAGCAAAGTCATTGGCGACTAAATATAATGATAACCCGGCAGAGGCATCTAGGCCTTTTGACAGGGATCGGGATGGATTCGTCATTGGCGAGGGTGCCGGCGTCGTCGTGCTGGAGGAATATGAGCATGCAAAGAAACGCGGTGCACACATCTATGCAGAGTTAAAAGGATATGGACTCTCAGGTACTTTTGTAGCGATAGTACTCAGGTCGCGTCTAATTTGCTATGTTTTCAACCCTAATGCAAAATTCTCGTTGATTATTCCTAGGCGACGCACATCATATGACAGCACCACCAGAGAACGGCGCTGGAGCCGCCATGGCCATGCGCAGGGCCCTGAAGGCTGCACGTCTTACACCCGCAGATGTTGGATACGTAAATGCCCATGCCACCTCCACACAGTTGGGCGACATTGCCGAGAACTGTGCCATCAAGAGCGTTTTTGACGGACATCACGACTCGATCGCCGTTTCATCCACCAAGGGCGCTGTGGGCCATCTCTTGGGCGCCGCTGGTGCTGTCGAAGCCATTTTTACGATCCTGGCTGTCAAGAACAATATCCTGCCTCCAACGCTGAACCTGCACAACCACGACGACAGCGGCGAGTTCACACTCAACTATGTTCCCTTGAAGGCACAGGAAAAGATCCTGAGTGCCGCACTCACGAACTCATTTGGATTCGGAGGCACAAATGCTTCCTTATGTTTCGCAAAGGTCGATTAAAGCATAAAGCATGCAGAAGTATTGAAAACGATATGATTTTATTCTAAGAAAAAGTTTGGCATCGTGCAAAAAAAAAGAAAACAAGAAAGAGGCATTCTAATCCCAGGTCGTATGTTGGTGCAAAAGAAGGGAAAGAAAAAAATGCATCCAGCTCATGTAATTCACTCTTCACTGCGGTAGTATCATCTCTGCGCTCATCTCTCTTCATTAACAGCCCTTTAACGGTCGACTTCTCCGAACACAATATCCATGGTTCCAATCATGGTGACAACGTCAGGAATAAAGTGGCCCTTGGCCATGAAATCCAGACCAGCCAAGTGAGCGAATCCTGGAGCACGGATCTTGCAGCGGTAAGGACGGTTGCTGCCATCAGAGACGAGGTGGACGCCTGATATCGAAAATATAGGTGACAAGATTAATCATTGCATTCAAGCGAAGAAACAAAAACATCAGCTAAACCCGAGAAATGATAAAAAAAAAGGCACATACCGAATTCTCCCTTGGGAGCCTCGACGACGGTGTAGGTCTCACCGGGAGGAACAGAGTAACCCTCAGAGTACAATTTGAAGTGATGGATCAAGGCCTCCATGTTGTCCTTCATATCGGCACGGCGAGGGGGCGAGATCTTAAGGTCGTCGACACGGACAGGGCCAGGGGGCATGTCGTTAATGCACTGATGAATAATGCGGAGCGACTGACGCATCTCCTCCATACGGCAGAGATAACGGTCGAAGCAGTCTCCCTTGCTTCCAACGGGGACATCAAAGTCGACGAGATCATAAGCATCATAAGGCTGGACCTTGCGCAAATCCCAGTTGACTCCCGATCCACGCAACATGACACCGGAGAAGCCCCAGTCGAGGGCTTCCTTGGCAGTAACGCGACCGACACCGACGGTACGACCCTGCCAGATACGGTTTCCAGTGATCAACTCCTCAGCCTCATCCATGCGCTGTCCGAACTGATCAGCCCAAACATGGATATCCTCCAACAAGCCCCTGGGGATATCGAGCGAGACACCGCCGGGACGGATATAGGCAGCATGCATACGGGCTCCAGAAACACGCTCGTAAAACTCGATCAGCTTTTCACGCTCCTCGAACATCCACAAGAAGGGGGTCAAGGCTCCGACGTCCATAATATGTGACATGACGGACATACAGTGGTTCATGACACGAGTGATTTCGGCAAACATAGTGCGGATGTACTTGGCGCGAAGTGGGACCTCAATGTTCAGCAGCTTTTCGACAGCCAGAGAGTAAGCCTGCTCGTTGACCATCATCGAGCAGTAGTCGAGACGATCGAACTGTTGTGTCATACGCCGTTGGTCCAAGTGTGAGAATAATTATCCAGCGTCCGATCGATATGCACGTTGTAGAAGTATACATAATGGTCAGTCGATCCGAGCTATCCTGTCCAAGACGCAATAGCAGGAGCAGCAGCAGGAGTGAGGAGCAATCGAGAAATCGCCAATGAGACTTACGTAAGGAAGGGCTTGGAGGTATGTCTTGTACTCGATCAGCTTCTCGGTACCTCGGTGCAAAAGACCGACGTGGGGATCGCAGCGGAGGATCTCCTCTCCCTCCAACTCCAGAATCAAACGCAACACACCGTGAGCGGCGGGATGCTGAGGTCCGAAATTGACAGTAAAGTGGCGAGAGGTGACATCGACGCCGTCGTCAATCTCGACGTCCTCGGAGATGGTCGATCTGATGGGCATAGTGGCGCCGACCAGGTCAGGGTCGAGGTGGTGGTGGTGCGTGGAAGAGCTGCTTGAGCCGGATTCGATGACACGCTCCCTCTCCTGGGTGGACATGAACCTAGCAAACGTAGGTTTGCTCCGGAGGGAGAGAGGCGAGAAGGCCGTGTGTGCAGGACGAGCAGCCGAAGCCGCGGCGGTTTTGCTCAAGAAAGTCGTCGAGCGACGCGAGAGAAGGCGCGCAACAGAAGCCATTGTTGTCAGTAGGTTGATCCTTTTGCGGGCGAAGCGAAGAAAAGAAGAAAAAAAAAAGAGAGAAGAAAAGGAAAAAAGAAAGAAAGAAAAGGAAAAAAAGGGAGGCGTGAGAGGGAGGAGGAGGTAGAGCGGAGAGGGTGATGAGAGGATGTAATAAAAGTAGAACGCAAATCAAATCTTCAATCGCACCGAGATTGCCGTCGGCTCCGGGCCACAACAGGAATCCCACCATAGCTACGTCACCGGAGAAAATTTTGTCAAACTTCATTCTTGTAACGGGATGCCTGGTTCCTCACGCGTACCCAATCGTTTTTAGTGTGCTTGCTGACACACACAAGCAGAGCTGAAGTAGCTTGTTGGCCTCGTTTTGGGATCCGACCCTTGCTCGTTTAAGCCTTCAGCCGCCTTCTTGTCCTACAGAGGCAGGAGCTATGCTGGTGCTGATGGTGCTGCTACTATCCTCTGTCTGCTACTTTGCAGCTTGCTCTCAAGGATACACCCCGTCCTCATCCATTGGCTCAGGACATAGAGGTCACTGTTGGTGAAGCAAATGCCCGCGAACGACGTTGCAGATACTATGACCTGTCATGATTTCGCGATGCACGCATATTTTGTAGGTCTTGCAATACAATCTACGAATCTCGACCCACCTCACAAACTGCTAACCCGTTGGGCACTTCTTCGACACGTACTATTCATTCGCGCCCGTGACAATATAGCGGGAGGATCTAGCCTAATATATCATAAACGCTGCTCCAAGTTAGAGTCCACCCATACCACTTTCAACTATTCAAAAATCCCCAGCGATGGTAATATATACTTATTCTCTGAACAAAGATGGGAAGCCTCGACTTTGATGTAGGTACTGGGATCGAAGTTGCCTTGTCAAATGAGTGTAAGGTGCTGTTGAAACTTGCTCAAGGGCATCGTTGCTGCTGCGCTCTTGTACAATTTCGAGGCTTCTGGTTTACGCCGTTTGGGTCCGCCTCGTCCTATATCTGCAAGCAGCCTTGTAACAAGGAAACCTGGCTCTTGATCCACCAGTCAATCGAATGCGTCAACAAGCACAGGATCATAATTCGTTGCTTCAATTGGTTTCCTTAATCTTTCCTTGGGCGTCTTGCTCCGCCAGAAGATGTGGAGCAGTGGCACTTTCGGGTACGGGACGAAAGGCTGGCTAATGGATGTCACGTAAACTAGCCTGCGAAGGTTCTTACTGGTTTGGTTCAAATGGATAAAACTCTCGAGCGCCAAGAAGTTATTACGGATCTCGATACTGCGCCCGTCTGGCAAGAGCCCCTTGTCCTTTTAAGTCTAGAGCTGTTATAGCGAAAGTCAGTTCTGCTAGCTCTGCATTCTTTCAAATTGCTTCCCGAGCTAAACCTCAATGGCGACTAAAGTCGGTGAAATCCTTTACTTTTTCATGCAGATTCGCTTGAGCTCAGCTAAGAGTTGAGAGGAAACGGATCGCAGCAATGTGTTTCCTGAGTTTATATGGCATTCTGGTCTTTATTGCAGCTCTATTCCCTTTACCCAGCAGGCCCTGGTCCTGTGCTTGATCGATGAACTGTTGCATGCACTGACCGATCTGCATTTTGCCAGAGGGATAGAGATGCATGCCAACGAACTGGGTCTGAGCACTCCCTTGGCCTTCCATACCCTCCTTCTCTTCCTCTTCGTTGCCCGTATCATCCCCTCCGTGTCCTCTTCTCTCCATGCTTTTGTGCTCTGTAGGGCAGGGCTGATGCTGCCTTAAGCCTGCGCCATAGCCGTTGCGCGGATCGCTTGTCGACGGGTATAAACGAGCTCCTTTTTTTGCGAATGAGGGCCGTCCAAGTAAAGAACAGAGTTAGCAGAGGTCCCGAACTTCTCTATCGCCCTCTCGACGGCGGTGTGTGCAATCCCCATGATGTAGGGTGTGCAGGCATACTGAATGATAGAGAAAAGAGATTCTGGGATGTCAACTCGACGCGTCGGGCCACTGTAAAAATGACTGAGGAGAACGGTGTTTTTAGTGCACAGTAGCCTCGTACCCTTTCGTTTTCAAGAAGAGCACAAGCCGTCGATGTCCATCGTAGAGTCGTAAGAATATGAAGTTATCAGAGATGGAGGTCTGGGGTAGAGGTGGTGGTCAAGAAAAAGGGAAAAAAAAGCGTTCCGACTCTTTGCGGTAAATCAACCGCACATATAGTCATTGAAATTTAGATTGGGCTTAGATACCATAATTCCTTTCGCCAAGAAAGGGAGCTATAGCTAGGAGCTCCTAAAAAGAGTGATATACTCGAAACGTATCTCTTCTGGGGAATAGTAGTAACGGCATACCGCCGGTTCACAAACCGGAATAAAGAGAAGCACTCGATAGACATCCATATTAACATTTACGCGCAGGAGCGATTCTACGGTCTACAAGTGCAAAAAGCGTCCCTTCCCTCGCTCTGTACGGTAATGGCATCATAGGAGGCACGAGCGTAACCGCGTCTAAACCCAGTCGTGGGCGCGTTTTGTAATTTTTGGCAGCGGATTGTTTTCTTGGTTTGCTTTTTCGAGGCGTAACGCTTGGAGGATAGGTTCGATTGTAGTAGTCAAGTAAGAGAGAAGCATGCACTCCTATTACCTGTTTTACCTGTTTCTTTCTTCATTTACTTCTTTTCCTCACCCCCTGTGCCAAACAAAGCGCATCGACCCAGATAGACCAGCGATATAACATTCTAAAATGAACAAAAAGGACCTGTTTGACCTTGTGTACCGCGCTGTGCAACAAACCTGTTTACTACCGCCGCCACTCTATAGCTTACACAACCGGTTTTTTGCAGCCCTTTTCCTCGGCATACAAGCGCTCAATTGCTTCTTTTGCTCTTGCTAGCTCCCGGAGCAATCAAAAGACACATGCACACACGCACTAGTCTAAGTATGTGGCAGAGAACGAGGTGGGGATGAAGAAGGTTATCCTTTCCTAGGCATTAAATGTTAAATGGTTAAAGCTAATAAATCGGGTCATCATCGCAGCAGCTGGACCCATCCATATCTTCCTGGTTAGCTGCCTGTGGAGAAGAGGAGCTCTCCCTGCATGCGCCTACATGACCATCCAAGGAATCGGCGGCGCTCATTATGATACAAATGAATATAAATGTCCATCGACCTTTCGAGGATGCCCGACGTAGCGGCCAACATACAGGTTGTTGCACTTTGCTGAAAGATGGGAAAGGTGGATTGCGAATTGCGCGTGCCAGTGCTCGCAAACAAGTTTGGCAGCAACCGATACCGTTTGAACACTACACACATACACAAACAAATAAACACGATTCCTCATTCAAAGATGCTTATTGATGCTCATGTAGTATCGTTCGACTATTCAGCAAAGAAATCCGTATAAAACCCATGGCACTTCCTCAATTCCTCGTCTGCACTTTTGCACTCTTCCACCGATCATTTGCCACCAACTGTCTGTCTGTCCGCCTTTCTTTCTATCCAGCGCCCCCTCTCCTTCTTTTTCCTCTACTTCGATTGTCTCGCGGATCCAAGTGTTTCTGCAGCTTCAGCACCCTTATTTGCACCACTCCACAACAAAACTCAGTGCCCTTCCTCGATACATTCGCCATTCATAGCACAGAATGGCTGCGTCCACCTCGTCCTCGTTGACGCGGCTTGAGGCAGCGAACAATGCACCGAAGCAAGAGACCCCTGTCCATGCTATTAGCGAAAAGGACGCTGCTGTGCCTGAAGTACACGGCGAGCCTAAATCACAGCAAAAGGTGGACCTTTCTGACGGACAATCAGAAAGGGAAACAGTCGATATTGAACGGCAAGGAGCCAAGGAACCAGAAGCGGCCATCGGACACAAGGCTGCCACCTTGCTCTTTATCGGGTACGTTTCGTACATTCACTCTTTTTTGATGGCTCATCCTTCCCCTTCCAAAACGATACTTCCGCAATGGATATGCCTTAGACATGCCATATCCACATCGTCCACTTCTTTCGACTGCGGTGCCTCAGTCCCAGCTTTTTTTCTTTTTTTTTTTTTTTTTTTTTTTTCCACGTTACCACGCTTCATGTATTAGCCGTCGCCTTTCATTCTACGGTCCCTGCTACCAAGGATCCTCAGATAATGACCGGTATAACAATCACTGTTAACACTATGCTGTTCAAATCGTTTCATATTGCAGGTTGGCTATGGCCACGTTCCTGGCAAGTCTTGACGGAACCATCATTGCGACAGCCCTGCCAAAGATCGCTTCGGATTTCAAGGCCCAATCAGAAATGTCTTGGGTAGCCACAGCATACCTTCTCACCTACAGTAAGTGCTCCCTACTTTTATGCGCTGTCTTCCCTTGTCCGTCTGCGGTTTGTGTCTTTAGCATCTAACAGTTCCTTCATACGTGATTATCTACGCGCATAGATGCGTTCCAACCCCTGTATGGTATGTCTTTGATACGCGTTTGATTCCATAGCATATACTGCTAGCATCTACCTGCGATTCACACCCTCTCCATGTCGTGCACTGCTTATTGTATAGGCAAGTTCAGCGACATCTTTGGTCGGAAGATCATGATCCTCTTTGCAAGTGTTACCTTCATGGTAGGATCCGCCGGTGCCGGTGGTGCCAACAGCATGACGATGTTGATTGTCTTCCGTGCGATCCAAGGTCTTGGTGGCTCAGGTCTTCTCTCGATCGTTCTGATCATCATCTCAGATATCTTCCCACTTGAAGAACGGCCCAAGTATCAGTCCATTATCTGGAGTGTCTTCGGAGTCTCATCCGTGATCGGTCCTTTACTCGGCGGTGTCTTTGTCCAGCAGGTCACCTGGCGATGGTGCTTCCTAATCAATCTCCCATTGGGCGTGGTCACTATTGCCTCGGTCCTCCTCTTCTTGCGGTTGCCGTTCAAGCGTCAAGCACTTCGTGAGCAATTGGCACGTATCGATTACCTGGGCACGCTCCTGATCATCGTGGCGGTCATTTGCTTGCTCTTGCCGATCACCTGGGGTGGTACGACCTATGCCTGGAACTCGGCCGTGATCATTGTTCTGTTCTGCGTTGCTGCAGTTTTGATCGCGGTCTTGATGTGGGTTGAGAGCCGCGCCGTTGAGGCCATTATCCCGCCGAGATTGTTCCTCAATAAGACTGTCGCTGTACTCTTTGGTGTCAATTTTTTGACAGGGATAGCCTTCTTGGGTGTAATTTTCTATTCCCCCATCTACTTCCAGGTCGTGAAGGGGGTGGGTGCGACGGCTTCGGGTCTACATCTGCTGCCAATGGTTTTGGGACTCGTCATCGCGTCCATTGCATCGGGTGCGGCATTGAGCAAGATTAGGGACTATCGTGTCTTCATCTGGATGGGAACCACGATGATGTCCATCGGCATTGGCCTCTGCATACTCCTGGATGCGGATTCTGGAATGGGTCCACAAATTGGGTTCCTGCTGATCGTCGGAGTGGGCATCGGTTTGATTCTACAAACATGTATGCTGGCTGCACAGGCAGCGGTCGAGAAAGAAGATATGGCAGTCGTAACGGCACTGTGCGGATTTATGAACAGTATTGGAGGAGGCATTGGCATTGCGATGTGCTCCGCATTGTTCAACAACCACTTGACGGAGAACCTCCTGAAGCTGCCGGACTCTGCGAAGGCGATAATTTATCAATACCACATCGCAGAATCGATCACGGCTGTGCAGGAGTTGCCAACGGATGTGAAGGTGTTAGTGATTGGTTCGTATGTAGACACGTTCCAGTTCATTTTCAAGTGCATTACGCCGATTGCCTGCGCTGCGTTCCTATTGTCGCTGTTCATCCGCAAGCTGAGGATGCTTGACCCGTCCGAGATCGTCATGGCAGCTGGTTAAAGCTAGATATAGCCAGGATAAGCGATTTAAAAAAATAAAAAATAAATAAAAAAAAAAAAGCGCGTCGCTTTGTCTGCTTCCCATGAAAGAGAGGAAGGCCCGTAAATGAAGAAATGAAACAGAACGCGCTCTGCGATGCGTGACTCGAGTGTCTCAGTTTCTTTTTATTTATGTTATATCTCTTTCTCTCTCGCCACCATTCCGGTTTCATCTTGCCACCCTCTTTCGACTCTTTCCCTGCACTACACTCTAGTTTTGCCATCTACTCTTGTTCTTGCAGTGCAACGTCGACCATCACCATCTGTCATATAATTTCGCGGCATAATCCATGTCACTGCTCAACAAGTTTCTGGACAAGACCATCCATCGGAAAAGGTCTGGGCATGAACATGCCATGGACACGGACCATGTCGGTGGTAAGGGGACAACAAACCACTGTAACCATCCACAACAATGCTCATTTCTTCCTCAACAACAACATCCTTTATCTAGCGACATGCAGGGTCTGCTTCTGTTGTAGCAAGGTGACACAGAACTTGAATAAAACCACCGGTGGCAATAGGAATGAGCGACAACAAAAGACATCGTGGATACGAATTGGTGGCAAATGGAGACGCCATGATGCGAGTATGACCTCTTTCTTGAGCTGTCGAGATGAAGGAGAAGCACCATAGATGGCGCATGGACCAGGATAATGGACACCATCTGAGACCACCTTCTCTTCCTCTTCCTCCCACTCTCCTGGGCGCCGTTGTCTGATGGTATACCGTCGTCTCGTCCATCGCTTCTTCGTCCCACGCCTTTTTGTGATTACACATAACTCGGTCAGCTAGTGCATTTGATGTGCATATGACAATGTGAAGCATTTCATTCGTTCCAGCCAATCATCGACATAACCTGCATAGCTCCATCAGCGGCCGATGGGTAGCCGACGTGCAATACGCAATATGACCTTCAATGGGACCAGACTCTCTCGGCATTTAAAAAAAAAAAAAAGATACGCTTCCATAGAAAAGGATCTAGAAATCCATTTTGGGTACATTCTTTGATATTTCCACATGTGTATGCACATGCACATTCGGCAATCAGATATTGCTGTCATCATGCATTCCATCAATGCGTGCAGGACGATCAAAAGATGTGAATGGAGAAGGAAAAGGGGGAGAAAAGAGCATGTGCGTCAACGAAACCAGTGAGAAACGGCCAGGCGGCAAACGGCATTCATTATCGCGGTGCTTTGTTTTTGATTTTTTTACTTTTCCCGCCATTTTTTGTCAAACGATTAACACTTTTCATTCTCTCAACATAGCCTCCGTTGACTCGAACGACTTTGGGCACGATGAGCAGCCCCGATATGAAGCCCGAGTCGGCACAAACAGCGGCCATAACATGTCCCCCATGGCCACAACCATGATTTCACCTATCAGCTATAAGGGTGATGCTACGACCCTCAACAGCAACGTTGGTGTCGGCAACACAGCCAATATCCAGAGCAGTCAGGCAGGAGGATACAGTAACAAAAATGGCTCTGGATATCAGCAGAGTCGTCGAGGTAAGAAGAGGGAACCGGCGATGGTAGCGTGTTTTCATTTCTTTCTCGACTGGACGTGTATCCTTGACAAAGTAGTATTCTTCGACTGGGGCTTCCTTTTTTTTTAAATATATTCATGGATATCAACAGCGTGCTTGAGCGTTGAACAAACAGAGGTTAGCTGCGATGCTGGTGCACTGTGGGGCCATACAATGCAGTGCAGTGCGGTTTCCTCGGATGCCTGCGGACCCTGTTGTTCCACCGGAATAACGTTTTCTCTCAACGACGACGCTTTATGCAACTGACACCACTTCACTCGCTCCTATTTCTGTTTGGGACGAAGACTATTGTATGGCAGGCCGGCCAATTGCACAATCTGCTTGTTCCCTTTCTCTCTTTCCTTCTTTCCCTCTCACCCTCTTACCCTCTCACCCTCTTCATCTCTTTTTGTCACCTTTTCAATTGCTAATTCACAGGTATATATGTCAACTTGCAGAAAGAAGGCCTTTGCATATCTACTTTTTATCATTCCATCCTCACCTTCATGCCCACTTCTCCACTACTTTCTGGCGCTTTTTTTTTTTTGTGGCGATGCTTGCAGTGTGGGAAATACCAGTGTGCGTATGTGCTACGTGTGCTACGTGGATTTTTTTTTTTTTTTATATTATGAAAGTGACCTTATTGATGGCCCCTTCCCTCGCACTACTACCCTCCGGATGGATCCAATAATGCGTCGAGGCAGAAAAACAGAGTAATTCTCACTCACTCACTGCACACAGCCGCAATCAGTGTCTCTCATCATGTCATGAGTGGAGCAAGAGTGAGGATCACCAGAAGAAAAGACATACCTGACCACTGAAGGGCCAAGCCAATTGGTTCAATTGGTCAGTTGCTCTATGGGTTCATTCAACTTTATGTACTCCCGCAGGCCTCTCTCCCTCGGTCAATTGCTATTTTGTGGACCTGCGGACTTGCGGGAGAGAAAGCGAGAGCAAATGAGAGAAGGGAGAACACGACTTATTTATCTGCTCTTTCTCTTGCCTGCTAACCAACCTACCTTCTCTCTCCTTGGCTCATACACATCAGCTTCAAACCCATTCACCACCTTCGACTACAATACTCACTTTAACGGCCACGGCTATAGCCACGACGACTCCAAGCTACAGTCCGCCTCCGAGTCCAACCCCGACATCCAGCAGATTCCACCATCTGGCCAGGCCTCGCCCTTGACCTCGTCCAACAACACCGCATCAGCCTCAACCTCAACCTCAGTCCCAGTGCAGCAGCAAACGACGCTTGCCACACCTGCTACGCCTGCCACAACATCCCAGAGCCCCGTTGGAAATAATCTGTCACTGGACCAGCTTCAGTTGAGTTCCTCAAAGAACCAGCAGCAGCAACCTCAGTTTCAGCAACTACAGCAGCCCCAACCCCAGCAACAACAGTATTACCAGCAGCAGCAAGGTGGTCAATTAACAAATAGCATGCAATCTGTCGAAATGGTCTCTGCCGACGCCAACTTGCCCGAACGTCAACAACTGGAGCAGCGGCAACTGGAGCAGCAGAAACAACAGCAGGCGCAATTGCAGCAACAGCAGCAAACAGAGCAAACACAGCAGCAGGCACAGCTACTTGCACAGCAGCAAGCACAAGCCCAGCAGGCACAGCGGCTAGCACAGCTTTCCCAGCAGCATACACAGCAACAACAGCAACAAGTTCAGCAAGTTCCACAACAAGCCCATCAGCAAGGGCAATTACGGCAACCACAACAACAAGCCGCCCGACGCAAGTTCAACCTGAATGATTTCCGGATCCATCGAACACTGGGTACAGGCTCGTTTGGTCGTGTGCACCTGGTGCAGTCTCGGTACAACTCTCGGTTCTATGCTATGAAGGTGCTGAAGAAGACGGAGGTCGTCCGACTGAAGCAGGTTGAGCACACGAACAACGAGAAGATGATTTTGGAACGCGTCGAACACCCGTTCTTGATCAACCTCTGGGGCACGTTCCAGGACGAGCGCAATCTGTACATGGTCATGGATTATGTCGTTGGAGGCGAGCTATTCTCCGTTTTGAGGAAAAGTCAGGTAAAGATTTGCTGTATTTTTCCCACTCAGCCTTCTCCGCCCCAGATCGAAGCGTGTTGTCTCCAGGCTCCGTGAAAAGGGATCCAGGGGTGCGCGATCTGGACCGGGTGCAGACAAAGAGACACCCTTTTTGTGGCGCTGTTGTCTCCAGCAAGGTTGGATGCAAAAGAAAGAGATATGGGGTACAATCGCGCGAAATGTGTCAATCCTATGGTGCGAGTGACCAAAGTACAGACCAGAGGCAACTTAACTTTTTTTTTTTTTGCATGAATACTTTATATTTTTGGATCTGGGCTGGGAACAAACTACAAACAACAAACGCAATGTACCCGCAGTCGTATACATTGCGTAAAAAAGAACAAAGTGATTCTGCAGGGCAACCGCACCATAAAAAAGACGCGGCAAAATGTGCAGGAATGCTAACCGATCTTTCCCCCTTTATTCGGCGATGACTTGTATAGCGCTTCCCGGAACACGTAGCGCGATTTTATACATGTGAGGTCCTCCTTGCACTCGAGTACCTCCACTCCCATGCAGTCATCTACCGTGATCTCAAACCCGAGAACCTACTACTCGACTCTCTGGGACACATCAAGATCACAGATTTCGGATTCGCAAAGCATGTCCCTCAGAACATGACCTGGACGCTGTGCGGTACACCCGATTACTTGGCACCGGAGATCATTCAGTCGAAGGGATACGGCAAAGCAGTCGACTGGTGGTCAATGGGCGTGCTGATGTTTGAGATGTGTGCAGGATTCCCGCCCTTCTTTGACGAGGACCACATCAAGCTGTATGGCAAAATCATGGCGGGCAAGGTCAAGTACCCATCGCATTTCTCATCATCACTCAAAGATCTGTTGAAGCGGCTCCTGACCGCGGACCTGACGAAGCGGTACGGAAACTTGAGAGGAGGCGCGACGGATATCAAGAACCATGCGTGGTTCGAGGGCGTCAACTGGGATCAGGTCTATCAGAGGCAGATCGAGGCGCCCTACCGACCAACGATCTTAGGAGAGGGCGACGCCAGCAATTTTGATGACTACCCCGAGGACGCGGAACAGTATGGAGTCTACCCGCCAGGGGAGGTCGATGAGCTCGGATCATACTTCCCAGGATTCTAGAGGAGGGACGACACAAGGACAGCGTGTTGGTCTGCTTTATTTGTTTGCGTTGGAAAGAAGGGGTATGGGGGAGGGGAGGGTTTGAAAGCGACGTACGATAGCCGCAACCTGTATTTATCTAAGTTTTGGGTACTCTCATTTTTGTTCAATCGCCTCAGTTACTCTCTAGGCGTCTTTCTGCTTTATTTTTGTCACAGTTCTAAATGCCGAAATCTGTTCTCATGTCTCCCTGTTGTCGATGATGATGATGATGATGATAATGATGATAAAGACCAATGTTATTATATGCATGTAAAAATACAATGGGGGTTATTCTAACTGGCTAACTACTCCTGCCTCGACGTACAAAAAGTACCCTCCGTCCTTCCTTTCGTAAGGATTCCGCTCTCTCTCTCTTTTTTTTTTTTTTCTTTTCTTTTTTTCTTTCGTCTTTCGTCCTTTTTTATTATGTTTTTCATTTTTGTGCATTTTTTTGTCCTTTTGTGTTCCAGTAAGTCGAGTTCTCCTGTATCATATCCGTCCCCTCATTCCACCACAATGCAGCGCTTGTTGCGAATGGACTCCACGATTAAAAATAACAATATCCATCAAAACTCCGCTTCAAGAGACCTCACTCTAAATCGCAACGTCCATGTCCATGTCCATCTCTGCTGCTGCCTGCTCCTCCATTGCCTGGATCGTCGCCTGGTCCAACTCCTGCTGTTGTTGGTGCTGGTGGGTGGACTGGTCCGGCTGATGACTGATTCCACCACTGGCCCAATGTGCGCTAGCAGGCACATGCAGCTTCTCTACTTCGCTCGCATCTGCTACACCGCCTGCGAAACGTTCACTGGTTTTGGGGCCGCCGTTGAGGATCAATGATTTGTGGTGACCCACGCCAGGTGTTTGGCCGGGGGCATGGCGGAATGGACATCCAGGGCGTGTGCAAGGGTTGAATTTGCACTATGTGAGGAAAAAACAAATGCGAAATACAGTCAGCTTCTGACGTATTCCAGAACAGTGATGTCGTGCCAAACAGCGTTAATTAACATGCTTCGATCGTCCTTACAAGAGGCATAGTGGAGGTAGCAGCGGGACCATCGCGTGGATGCGTGAAATGACAACCAGGGCGTGTGCATTGATCGCCATACCGACAGAGTGTTGGTAGTCTGTTAGCGACTTCTCCATTGACCTCTGACTCATCCATGGTCGTGTCCTTCTGTGCCAATGGCTCCCTGTGATACAAAACGAAAATTGAATAATACGATGACAATGGTTAACAATAATCAGCATATTATACCCCAGTCGAAGGAAAAGAAAATAAAGGGAGAACGTAGGATGATAAAGCCTCGCATTGGACAGTCGCTTACCCATATGGCGGATGGAAGAATGGACAGTTGGGCTTGGTGCAGTGTGGAAAGAACTTGCAGGGCTGCTGATTCGACTCTTTCTGTGGATGACGGAACTTGCAGTCGGGCCTTGTGCATCGCGCTCCAAACTTACAGTCCTGCGACGTAGACGACCCCAATGCAAAGGGCATCTGCAGCGCATTGATCTTGGGCGTAGAGCTGCCATCTCCATTTCCGCCGGACGAATCGTTGTTGCTGTTACGCATAGACTGCATCAAAGCCTGGCGCGCAGCTGCTGCAACCTGCTCCGCTGTTGGTTCTGCGAGTGGGTGAATGTAAAGACACGTATCCGCCGTCTTGGAGCAATTGGGGAAGTCCGTGCACAGCTCTCGTGGGTGCCAGTACTGACACATCTCGCCCTGCGCACAGTTGGGCCAGTACCGACACCGTGTGACGTTGGCGGTCTGTGCCTCGACGGTACGTCGTGTGATGTCGGCTTCGACACGCAGCATCTGTTCTGGGTTCCATGACCACGATGCAGGCTGACGGGGAAGGTTCTCATCGCTATCGTGGTCAAAATTGTTGACAGGGCGAGTACCTAGACGGCGTTCAATGTCCCTCAAGGCATCGCGTCTCCTGCTACCACTACGATCATTCTTATTCTGTTGACTGTTCCTGTCAATTCGTCGGTCATGGTAATCACTGTGCCTATCCCATGAGCGCTCCCGAGATCGGACACGGACATCGCCCCGAGTGCCTAGTCGATCCTCAATCCTTCCTCCTAATCGTCCTTTCATGCGATCGTTATCCTTGCGGCCGTTACCGAGGCGTGCATCTATCCTGGTTTCATCCTGGGCACGCTCCCTGCTCGTTCTCCGGAATCGGATCCGTTCGTCTCGCGTCGAAAGACCTTCTCTGGACCGCGCTGGACTCAGGCTCCTCTCGCGCGACTTAGGACTATTACGCTCCCGCTTTTCGTTCTCGTAGACTCTCGAGGGTGCCTGTCGACGTTGTGCTGGCTCCTCCCTCGTGGCGTTGCTGATCGCGCTCTTTAGCAAACGCCCAGGTGCGCGTGACTCTGGAGATGGGCGTTGGCGAGAGGCGTCCATAGAGACATCGTCCGGCTCAGCGGCAGATGCTGAGATCTCTTGGCTCTGTTGTAAGGATAGAGTGGCTGGACGATTTAAGCATGGATTCCAGTGGTTAGCCGCTGGGGAAAGATGCCTTTGAATGGATTGACAGAGAAGAAAGGCGCGGCCCTTGATCCATGCCCATCCAGATAAAATCGAACATGATCCTGATAATTGTGTATACCTTGCTGCTGCTCCTCTGCCTGCGTGGGTTCTGTTGCCTGAGCTCCTCCGTCTATGGTGGTGTAAAGCCAATCCACGAAATCGGACGCTGATAGATGAAAATAGGAGATGCGGCACAAGAGAGGGAGCAATTGGTTGAGTTTTTTTAAGAACATAAACTTCAGGTACTGAGAATTTGTGATGACGACCCCTTCCATGCTGATCTACCTTGGTCGGGAAGGACTAGAATGGCAGAAGATGTGGACGGGCAAGGCGAAAAAGTCTGGGTTAGATGATGAATAAGTGCAGATCCACTGGACTTGTAACCATATGTGCGCCATTCGTTGCTTACTGTCGTTCAGCTCTCCGATAATATCGATCTTGGACTTCTCGTTAGCAACCATGACGACGATAAAGTTGGCGAGGACCTCATTGTCGGCCCAGCCATATTCATTCAACTTTCCCAGAACCAGAGTCTATGCAGGGTAGGAGTAAGACGGTGGTCGGCGTCGAAAGGTTGAGAGGTTAGTATGCTTTCAACGCCATGTCTGGTCGATGGTCATGCATAGCAGCTGGATTGTCCATAGACACATCTGCCCAGCCTTACAGTCAGCTCCTTTTCCTGGGGTGTTCCGAGCACGATTCTTGGCATGGTGCTTCTAGTGATGACTTTTCTCGTAAAGGCTGAGCTGACTCGAGGAATGGTAGAGAAGGGAGGGTTAATGTGGACTAAAGATCAAGTGGACTCAACTTAAAAAAATTGTGACGTAATAGTATTCGGCGCAAATGGTCGCGCAAAATGAAGCTGCTCATTTCATCCTACTTGGCGCTTGCCCTTGATACTATTTAGCTTCGAAGTCAGTCTGTGCGACCAAAGATCACGCCAAGCAACTGTTTGTCGTCCGTTGACTGTTTCCTGTGTTTAACAAGTTTACTACGGTTACAGGATTTTGCTAGTTTTCTGGCAGTGGTAGGGCTCCTTCCTTTACCTCGCCAGTCTCCTTTGAAAAGTTTAGCTTCAGTCTTGTACCTTTATTTTCCCTTGTTCAGATACCGCATTATATCCCCTAGTCCGACTAAATATCGCACAGAAAACATCGCGATACGCATCCTTGACTATTCAGCTCTTCTTCAAGTGCGTCTGCTCATCATCCTGCTTTGCGCGTTTACAATGCGAAGGAGAGAATGGTCAGATACCAATTAGGCAAGAGAGTCCTCTGTTGCATGACATAATGTATCTTTGACTGTGGCCTTGACGTGAGCGCGAACAAAAAAAATATATCAATCTTCATTTATTTGGCGCGTATGCCATCGCATTCTACCTCTCCATCTCCAAGGAGTCGGTGCTCGACTGAAATTGCTTGTCTGGCATAGCTCCCAAGTCTTCCGATTCTAAAGATTTCTTGCGCGCCGCCGTTAGGGCTTCCAGTAGGTACTGATACCGCTGCCAGGGTTCAGGATGGGTGCTATCCCACCATAGATAATAATCGGGGCCCATACTTAAGTCGTAGTCGCCTGGCTCAAGAACGTCATCGATATCTTCGCCGAAGCCCCACACGGCTGCATTGTATCTCGCTGAGTATCCGAATTTGCGCCGAGCGACTGATTGAAGTTGGCGGCGAGAGTTCCGCACACGCTGCTGCCCATAGCGTTTTGTGAGCATACTATAATAGCGCAGAGCGGAATATGGATCATACCCTGCACGAGCCATGACCTCAAGAGCCACCAAATCGGCTTCGCGTTCGCGGATCTGGCTGCTACGGTTGTTGAGATTTGTTGTTATCCAGGTTTGAAGGTTCGCGGAAAAAGCAAGGCTGCCAATGGAAATCAAGCGACTAAAGCGCCAGAGCAATGCACATGGTCCTAATAACGTGCAAACTGTAGTCGTACCCGGAAGAAAAAAAAAAAAAAAAAACGAATTAGCCGTGCTTGCTGGCGTGGTCTGTATCGCCTATCAAACCTCATGGATGTGGATTAACGTACAAGCAATAAATGTTATATCCAACCCATGCTTCTCATAGGCGTGTTCCTGGTCCAGGTGCGCGAGCTCATGCGCCAGTACCGTTGCGATCAAGCCCTCGTCGTGACCCGCGAAATCAAGCATTCCTTTGTTGACACAAACGTACCCGGGCGGAGCTGCAAACGCGTTAACTTTGTCATTCCTCAAAATGTACAGCGACCTATGCCTACACCTTTTCCCTCTCTCTTTGCCATCCTCCCCTGGCATCTTGCCATCGTCCCCGCTCACGTTTAACAAATTCCCCCACACGCGCTTCCATAGTCTTATGCGCTCATCCTCCCAGGCTTCGACAGTTCCCTTTTCCTCGAGCTCTTTCCTTATGGCGCGTGTTTGCTGTTCGGTTTCATTAGGATGCTTGGAAGGAAGGAATTTAAACTTCCATCGGCCTGTGTTTGACTCTTTTTCAGTCCCAAAGGCTACAACGGTGAGGCAAGTTAGACTCGCTGCCCATTCTAGCAAGGATCGAAGAGCATTGCCACCCTGAAGGAATCGATTGTAGAACGGGTGCAATAGGCGTGCGGTGATTGACACCATTGATAGATATGTAAGTATCTCCGCTGTCGGTAAAGTTTTGAAAGTAGTCAGCGCTTCAGGGATCGCACGGAGCGAGAACGCCGTTTGATGGGAAGAATGGAAGGCATGAAATTGACTATACTGAACAGGAGTGAATGTTTTCAAAAATGGACTGCAGGAAAGGAAGTGGTGTTGCTGCATTCCTGTCGCGACACGAGCGTTGCAACTAAATCTAGGGTAGTATGGTTTTGAGTAAAGAGATGTGCAGGTGGTGAAAGCTTGGTGAGGTTTCGACAGTGTTATTGCGAGGAGCGTAGTTTTAGGATAGCTGAAGGAGGGCGGACGCACTAATCGGAAGTTGGCTGCAAAGCCGACAGTAATTACTTCTCTCATAATGTTGTTGTTGTTTGATTGAAATCGGGTCCTGTTGCAAGGCATTTTTATGAAGCGATGTTTTATACATCGTCTAATAAACGGCCTAGAGAGTGTGGACGATTGCCGATGCTCTTTGGATATATCGACATCAAAGAACCATTTCGATACCTCTATGTCCTGGGATATATCATATTCAGTCATGAAAGAGGAGCGGTTTTTAAAAAAGTGTCAAGTTACATAAGACCTGTGTTCAGCAGAGCACATGGCTCTTTCATGCCATACTAGCATAAACCTATGTAGCTCTTTGTTTCGTAGTTGCTGTTGCAGAACTCAATTTAAAAGAGAGGTGCGCCTGAGGTGCCGACAGTGTGTAGACTAGAAAGTGTGCCTAATTAAGAGTGGAAAGAAAAAAGGAAAACAGGCACATGGAATGGCGCATGAGATGCTCGGTTCTGTATCAGAAGCACCCTTGCGAGCAGAATCCGGAGCAGCGATGGGAGTACCTCGGATATTCATTTCTATTATGAGGGGATAATGCAGCTAGGGAATTGTGCAGTAAAAGGTCGCTCGATTGCAGGGGTATGCAGCTAAATTATTGCACTTAAAGAATAATTGCACTTAGAGAGCGCTAACTTTATTATAAATTTTAAAAATATAATAGTCTTATAACGCCAAACGTTCATGATTCAAAAGCAAAGTCGCCCAGAGGAAGAGCGCTGGGCTCATAACCCAGAGGTCGGTGGATCGAAACCACCCTTTGCTACATTTTTGTTATCTTTTATCTGGGTTCCCGTTGCTGAGAAGAGCATGTTCATGCTTAGAGGTCTTGCTCGAGAGAGCTAATGTTTTTTTTTATTTGTATGACAGCCCCGCAAGCTTGAACGAGCAGGAGTGCTTCCTATTCTGTTTATAGAAGGAAAGTGAAGTGGGGGCATGGAAGTAAGTGCCGATAATGGTAGAATTTGGATGTGTGTAGGGAGGATGGCTACAGGCGCCTGTTGTATGCTAGTCCTAGGTCCATTGCATATAGAAATCATCCTTGTCGCACAAATACTAACGACTCGCTCAGTTCACTCAATTGATATCCACTTGCACAAGTACAGAAGCTACAAAAGCACGACAACGCCCCTCTCTTCTTCACCCCCGCCATGGAAAGAAAATTGCCTTCTGGAGACGTTCCTATCAGCCCGCTCGACCTCCCTAGCACCAGAGTGCCAATCAAAGTCCAGGTGTGTATCGTATACATTAAAAGTCAGCGCTCATAGCCGTCTTTATCGTCTGCTTTATGAGACCAGCCATCCTCCAGTATCAGCATTGATGTAAACTCGGCGACTTTTATTCTACAGAATCAATGCCGATCTTCATCGCCTTCTTCGCTGCAGGACACCAACTATGAGTGCCAGCTATCGCTTACACACTAAGAAGTTTAATGCTGCCGAGAGTAACAGCACCGCTGTTGAGGCAGCAATCCTTTTTATATTAGCATGGCCCTAGCTTACATTCTGCTTTCTCTTTCTCGCGCTTTTATCCCACACGCACCTCTTTTCAAGGCAATGAATGATCGGGAAAACCTCTTTCGAAACCATGGCGCTGACACCATCGCGTCTCTGCTACCCACTCGCTCTTTCCCAACTTTTGCTGTCACAGCCATACCGTCTATACCACAGCCTTCACCTCATGAACCATTTGACTTCGCCACGGCCCAGATACCCAGCCTTGATCATGCACAAGTATTTTGCGAGCAACCACAACAATCGATCAATGAGTTAAGGTTCGAGATCTTGCAACAACGAGTACCACAGAATCAAGGGCAGTATTCACCTCCATTGAGCGCCAGGGTGTCAGTATCACAGTACCATTGCCAGTCGCAATCGTTGCACAGGCCCCATTCGCCCGACGACCTACCATCGCCGTCCAGGCTCCATAGCCAACCTAGAAACGTCCACCAGGACGAGGCATGTGTCCAGCCTTCACTACCTGAGCTTCTGATGTTAGAAACGGCAACATCGAATGTGCTCCTAGCACTGACCAAGGAATGTTCTGTGGCATCCGATCATCAAGAGCCCCAGGTAAACCAACGCGTTTGCCAACGGCAGTGCCAACGCCGCCGTCATCTTCGCCGTCGCTCGCGATCTCCTCCAGACACGCCTCCAGTCACATCGCCATTGATAGACGCTGTTGTATCGATGCAGCCAGATAAGAGGCTTAATCGCCGACGACGCCTCTCAATCGATGAGACAGAGTACTTGATGCATCAGTTCTACAAGAACGAGAAACCCAGTACGAAGGAGCGGCTAGCATTTGCACAGTATCTGAGCCTGGATCCGAGGACGGTTCAAGTCTGGTTCCAGAACCGGCGTGCCAAACTGAAGAGAGATGAATTGCTCGCCCGAGTGATTTATGGAGAGCAGGAGGAGGTGGAAGAGGAGGAGTATAGGGGGAACGAAGAGGCTGGGGATGAGCAGCTGGCGCGATCCAGCGACAGCGACGACAATGACGACAGTTGTGATACGCACGAAGACCAACGCGTTATATGTAGTCCCGCAAATTCACCTACTGCTTCGAACACGTCCCTTGCGGCAATGGTGCAGCAAAGGAATAGCAATATGGCCCACCGAGGGAGTGGAGCCGAGACGTTTGTGGGCTTTGAACGTTCTGATGCTGGGTTGGACGTTCTATTGAATAGCGATTTTGGGTTGCCCGTGGCAGACAGGGCAGTGGAGGATGACATGTCTGTTGCCTTGGTTCTCGGCGGAGATTATTGTGACATGGCAACGCTGGGCTTTGAGCTGACCTACGAGCAGGTGCTTAGCACGATAGGCGGATCCAGGGTGCCATTGGATATTCCGCTGATGGCGCGAGGACATGCTGATGATAATAGTGATTTGTCTTCTGCGCCGTCGTCGAATGATTCCAGCGAAGCAAGTAATCCAAAGGACACAAACAAATTGAGGGTGAAGCATAAGGCGCCGAGACAACAGCCAGCCAGAAAGGCGTCCAGCTACGTTTCGGGTTCCCAATCTCAGTCGCATCAACACCCAAAGTGCTCCGGCCATGCAGTCGGAGGCTCTTCGTCGTCTTCATCAAAGACGCCAGCCATGCGCATGGCTCCGTACTTCCTTCAGCACCAGAACCCTATTCCACGCCAGCAACTGGCTCTCACGCTGATATCCGCGCAACTAACCTCTCCTCGCACTTAGCAGCCATGCGATAAATGGTTCGCACCGAATAAAGAAATCACAAAGGCACGTTTCAGTTCTGGTTCCCCAGTAAAGGCTGCTGGGTCTCCATGGTCCCGTCACCGAACTGCCAAGGCAGTCCTTTCATGATGCTTTCGTCTTCAATTTGCTCTCAGAAACCCTATCTTTGAACTGTTCCAAAAAACAAGCCCACACAGGCTATCTTATTCTAAGTGTCGAAATGCACCTTTGTTAGACAGTCACCTTCGTTTAAAATCTTTTCCAGCCTTTCAGTCCACTGTTTTCCCTCATGTCATACGCTCGCACAGAGTCACTCTTTTGTTCTTTCTACCATAGCAAGGCAGTGCTAGTGTTCAGCAAGACATCAGCAACAGTGACCTGATCAGTCCCTCATTGAGGGCCAGGTCCTGGCGGGGACACACCTATATCGTCCTGGCTTACGCCTCGCCCGGGATCGAGTGTCTACGAAGTCTCTGCGGAAATCTCTCTCAAACAAAAACAGCAAAAACGAAACATAAATACCATAGGGCGGGCAGGGTTGTCTATTGAGCAATGGAATACTAATATTGTTGGCCTATCTCGCAGGTGAACCATTCACCAGTACCCCCCGCTGCCTTAGCACGCACGCGGTCAAGGCTCATTGCTCGGAGCTGGCTCAATGCCTGTTCCTCGATCTGGATCTGATAAAGACTCTTCTTGTGATGCCGTGCCCGCAACAACATGTTTCGGTCCCTCAATTGCTGGTTCTGGATAATTGCAAATGACGAGAGCGAAGAAGACGCAGATGCTGATGACGCAGAGGGCGAAGGAACAGACATTCCAGAGGTCGAGAGAGCTGTTGCTGTTGGTGCCGGTGTGTCTGCGCCGCTTGCGCTGCCATTGTTTGCAGCCAGCTCACTCGACGAACCATTTGATGGAAGGCCGTTTCGGACAGGACCCAGGGATGGCGAAGAGAATGATCCTGCTGACGAAGCATTGGATTCCAGCTTGGGATACATCTGACTTTGGTGCCTGGTAACAGCTCGCAAGGGCTCTGGGATCGCATCCAATCTCCAAGGCGCTTCTGAAAATGTTCTTTCCGCTGTATTCGTTCGCCTAAGCAGATATAATAAAAATTGAGAGTGAGGTTATATTAGATGAGGTATTGGCGACCAAGAGCTGATATAGAAAGCAATGAGTATCATACGTTGTCTCCTTGACAGGCTTCGAGGTGGCAATAGCGACACGAGGGACCTCCTTGGGCTGAGTTCGGAAGAGCGAGAGTTCGCTCTGCTGAATGTCAAGCAGAGTAGGAGTGCTAACTGGAGTCCCAGCAATTCCCGCAGAATTTTGTCTTCGCAGTAATCCCGATCCATCAACGCCTCCAAGAGTCAGGTCCAGAGAATGCGCAGGCGGTACTTTTGCCCAGGCCTGCGAGGCAGGCGGAGATTGAGTCGCCTGAGCCGGGTCGGACGATAATGGCGATTGTTGCTGTTGCTGCATTTTCCGGCGCTCTTTTTGCGACAGTTTACTTGTCTTTTGAGTAACGGCCGTAGCGACAGGAATGCTGAGGCCCTTGTTCGGATGCGCCTGTCCCTGACGCTGCTCCTGTTCCAAGATCTCACGTAGGGTTGGCCTCGACAAATTATCTGCTGCCCCTGCATCCTGACCAGCTCGAGACATCTGTGTGCTTTCCACATTCGGAACGTGGGCCCAGCTTGTCTTCCTCGTCGTCAGTGCTGGGATATCTCTCCTCCCTGCCACAGGCGCATCTGAGAGCATTGGCCAATCTGGAGTGCCCTGAGCATTTGATAGCGATCCAGATCTCTCAAGACCCTGCAAGATAGGCGAGATATTTTCGATGGGACCTGGCGCACGCGCGCTGTCAGATGTTGACGAGAGCGGTATGACCGGCGCTGTAGTGGATGAAGCAAGTGCAAGTCGCGAAGACGATGACAAAACTCGCGGAGCTGCAACAATGGTTGCTGATCGCTGGGCGGTATGCATATGCTCCATGTCCCGCTCATGACTTTGTCGAGAACCTTTTGATACGTCGGGCTTGAAGGTTCCGCGTGGACGATAGAACCGATAGCCTCCGACCTTGATTGATTCCTTCATCTCTCCTACTACTGCCGGGTCCGGGAGATGGCGTCCAGACCGCACATAAGGCATAAAGGCATCCTGCTTGTCTTTCAGAGCCCTCTCCACCAATATCAAAATATCATCATCGACGCCCTCCAGCCATCTAAAGAAGTCGATATTCAACCAATAAAGAATGTTAGTTGTTTTTCGTCTTGCCCAAAGTCATGTTCGCCGCAAAAAGAAATAGCATTTTAAGGCATACCTCTGATCAAGGGCCATTTCGATGTTATGGCACAGGTAATCGATGCAGGTTACTTTTAGTGAGTCGGCCGCATACATCAACGAGATTTCTAAAAAGGCAACCACAGTTTTTGCACGGACTGGGCGGATAGAGGACGGATATTGCCGTTGGTACCTTCGATGGGTATTGCTTCTTCAATTGAAACCAGCTGCAATACCATACCTTGCTCGCCTAGAACATTCTCGCAAATCTCTTTCAGTCGGTCTATGAGCAACTCGTCTGCAATTTGAAGTACGTTGATAACCAGCTGAATGAGATCATCCATGCCGTCCTTTTCTGTAGAAGATAAATGTCAAATAAAAAATAAGGTCAATTCATGTCTTTTGATATTCATATCCATTATCCTACGAACATAAAAAAAACGCTTACCAGTGTCATTAAACAGTTCTGGGCCGCAATCGGTGTAGATATACTTCATGACCAGGGTCATCGACTCCAAGTCCATATGCTTCATGTCAATCTCCAGAATCGTATCCTCAATCTCTCCACTGGTGTCTGAAATACGTCTCCAACTCTGTCTCTCACGGATCCATTCGTCCGTCCTGACAAACATGGCGTTGAAAAATGGAGAGCGGTGTCCCAAGATCATCTGATGAACGTCCATAGAAGCGCTGTCCTTGAGTAGCAATCGAACATCGGCTAGACTTTTGAGCTTTGACGGGCTCTGTACCACTTGATCCATGTCTTTTGAAAGACTGGCGCTGCAGACATGAGTAAACGAGTATTGAAGAGCGGCCTGCAAAGTAGGCAACGAAAGCTCCAATGCCAAATGGTAGAGTTGTTGTCGGACTTTGAGAGCATATTGCTTTTTGGCCTTGGGCAGATCAAGCGCATCCCAAAACGGATCGAATCGATCGCTGTACAAGAACTGAAGAAGAAGCACCGCTGTGGCAAATTCGACCTTCAAGAGAACGGTGTAGAGCGTCCTGCTGGTGGATCCACTTGCTGTTGGATCCACTACCACAAGAGACCCGACATTTGTGAGGGAGCGAGGCGTGTCGATGAATGCTCGATGGAAGACTGGACTCCGGGCTGCAAGGACTATTCTGTGTGCACCAAGTATCCTCTTTCCCGCCTGAATCTCCACATCAAAGAGATGGCTTCCCGAGACAGAGCTGCTGGTGTTGTTGGTGAGGTTCGCCGTCATATCCAGGAGCGGGACGACATCATAATCCCAGCTCTTCTCAATATTCTGCCAGCCGTTGGTATCAATCCTCCAAGGGTCTGCTGCCACCTTGTCGTCCTCATCTTCCTCCTCATCATCATCATCGTTGAAAACTCTGTTCTGCACACTCTTGTCTCGATTCTTTTCATTGTTACGGTACAGATGAAACTGAGAAAGCGACTGTTCCATATCAAAACCGAGGGATCCTGGACGCACGACTACTGGAGTCAGTGTCGATTCCGAGCGTAGGGCTGCCCACGCGCCACTAGGATTAGCGTAGACTTGCACAATACGATCGAGATGTGGGATTCTAGAAACCAGATAAAATAAAAGTTTTTTAATCATGCAGTTCGTTGCTTGTCACGGTAGCACATTTGCTTCGGATCACGAACTTGTACCTTTGCCACTTGACATTTCGTCCGACAGTGTTTCCCTTGTTGATACCAATGTAAACATGCCCGCCTTTGGTGAGCATGATAACTGAGCCATTTTGCCCCAGCGCAAAGTCTATGGCATGTGTTCGGTCTCCACCGTACGTCCAAACTCGTCTTGGTTTCTCGGGCGGTGTAATCGATGAGAACGGAATGGAGTGGTTTGAAGGCAAAGACCCGAGTGTAATTCCGGCATCTGCATCCGGGTAGCTCCAGACATGGATATCGCCCCATCTCGTCATCATTCCAAACTTGTTTTCCGAGCAGGAAATCTTGCATGGGCGGTTCTCGTTCAAGACCATCGGCATGCACAAGGTAGAGAACCAATCAGGATAAGGGAAGAGCGAGAACGACACTCGGTGGTATGCGTATTTGTAAAAGACGATGACATCGTTTGAAGACATGAGACAGGCGGTGGCTACATCGGACGCTGCCACCTGCATGATCAGACCAGGGGGAAGCGAAGCAACCTTTCTGGGCCCCAACTGTATATCGCCCTTTCTTTCATATCCTAATTGACCGTAGTTGAAACCGAACGTGAACATCTCTGATCCTGTGTGGACAACAGTATGCCATTTCGATGCTGCAGCGCCCACGATAGGGAGTTTTGCAATGTTGAGGGCAACCCGCTTCGGCGAATCCTGAATCGGATCCTGACCGTTCTTGGGAATATCCAGGGTGTATCCCAGTTGACCATACTTGTTGTTTCCAAGGGTGTAGACCTCACCCTTGGAGGTGATGAGAACCGTGTGATCCCTTCCCAGAGCGGTGAAGACAATGTTGCCAGAGATTCCGGATATGGGTGCCGGGCGCATCTGCATTTTTCGGTCCGATCCAAGTCTTCCATTAGTACCGAAGCCCCACAACTTGCCAGTAAATCCAGGCTCTGATGTCGCGATGGCAGTATGGAACTTGCTCATGGAAAGCTGGTACAATATCGGCTTGGCCGATTTGACCCTCGGAAACGTGATGGTATTGGTTTGGTAAGGAAACTTGACCAGCTCTGGATTCTTCCTGTCATCGCCGTCGTTGTGTCCGAGAGTGAAGTTCGAATTGGATCCCCAGGTGTATAGAGCGTCCGCCGGGCATGGCCCCATCTTTAGGGATACAGGGAGAGTTGCCTGGCATAAATCAACTGCCGTATTCCTATCCTTGTCCTATGTGTATGAGCAATGGATCTATTGTCAGTGTGCATTTTGATGTCTTAAAGTATAGCACCAACGGTAGAAGTGAAATGCGTAGTTTCATGGTCTTGGCCCTAGATGGTTACCTCGATGGTCATGTTGATATCCTTGTGTTGAATCAATTCCAAGGCAATCCTGAGATGTCCAAGATAGAGAGCCCTAAATTTCGGAATAGTGAAAGGGTGGGAATGTTGAGTACGCGATCTTCACAGCGCAGCATGCGCAATATGCTAAGCACAGGTCTGGATGCTGGGCTTTACTTATGAAGGGCCGTCCAACCCGACTCGAGGTCCTTCTCGTTGACATCAATTTTAGGGCGTCTCAGGAGTGTCCTGACCAGCTCGAGATTGTTACTGGCCACGGCATAGTGCAGAGGGGTCATCCCATCCTCATCCTTGCGATTGACATCCTCATTCATTGTGTTGATAGCTGCATTAGAAAGGACCCTGGCGGGGTGTGCGTGCGAGTTCACTGCTGCATGATGCGTCGACATTGAAGGGTTGCGAAGAGGAAGAAGCAAACGTCAGCTTTCGCCGCAGCTCGTTTTGATATCCCGATTTGGAACTCCAACACGATCCAATGGAAACTGCGGATAAATTCGCACATGCCTTTAAAAGTGGCAGCTATCCCACTTACGCCTACTCATCGACTCGCCGAGCTTCTCATTATTCTTCCATCAGCATACGTACGCAAAGGAATACAGCATCAACAAGGACGCAGTAATCATGGCGGATCTCAACGGTTTCCACTTGGCCAACATTCTTCGAATGACTCACCCAGCCAAGTTCCAAAAGGATCACTCTGTCAATACCACGGAGGATATCAACATTGTCAATGGTGCACCGCGCGACAGCTGTGCCGATAGTGATGATGACAACCAAGAGGATGAGGACGAGCTCGTTGTTCGTGCCTTGAATAAAGCGCATGAGGAGTGGAAGCGCAACATCATCGACTTCAAAGCCATGTTGACAAGCCGACGCGAACGACAGCAGGAGCAGCTCTTGTCAAGTGCCGACTTCCCGCCACTGGAGGAGGAGATCGAGTATGGTATGGAGAATGCAGGATATTCCTACCGGGCGCCGATTTGGCCCACGATTGACGACAGCGATGACACTGAGACCATCTCGGACACGGACTCTCTCTTGAATCATCACCGTGATGCCGATCTTGGCCAGCCGGGCGATCAGTTGCCTGATTATGGCACTATTACGCCTCCCCTCCTACCCCCGCGTGCTACGGAGCAAAAGACTCATCACGAAGCAGATACCCGGGCGTCGTCAATGTCCAGCATAATTTATGACCGTGCTTGGCTGATCAGCCAATGTACCTCTCACTTGCAGGCATTTGGAGATGCCACGACGGAGATGACCTCCAAGCGGCTCTCAATTGACATTTTTACAATTCTCAGATCCGATAAGGCTGGTAGGTTTATTAGTGGTCATGACTTTCTGGGTTCGTCAGCGCGGAAGAAGTGCCGCTAACGGCTGTCTTTATGGCATGTTAGATGATGATATTCAAATCAATTTGGTGGACCTTTTGGGATTTGAGAACTTCGAATTCATTACTGCCCTCTTGACGAACCGGCGAACGATCGTGGAAAATATCATGGCACAGGTATGGAGTCGATGGTCATTGAAATAGAATCAGTAGAAGAATGATTATCTCTTAGATCCTCGTTGACCTTGATATTGCATGCGCTTCTAGACGACGTACGATCCAGATGCAGAGCCTTCAAAGAATCAGAAGCACGAGCGCCACGACAATTATAGGGCACCCATAGGAACCAACTTTACTATTCAGACAGAGGACGAGAAACTGGCAGCCAAGTTGGCCCGAAAGGAGCGCAAGAAGCACGGAGTACGCGACGAAGAAGAGGAGGCGGCACTGTCATCGACAATCCTAGGATTCGATCAGGAGGATCTACGCAAAGCTCGTGAGGAGCAGCTTCGCAACAATGCATCCATGCCTTTGGCTAGTTCACAGCAAGTAAGTGCCTCACCAGGAATAATAGGTTTGATTGGAATATATGGCGAAGGTCACTTACATTTACGATGCTTTGCCCACTCCATTTAAATATAGAAAACGAACTTTGGCGGACCTGACTACCCACATGTATATCAGTCAAAGAAAGGTGGAAACATGCTGTCGGCTATCGGCAAGAGCTTTGCCCTCCCTCCAGGCGCAACACGCGAAGACGAAAAGGTAACTGGACTGTCGATGCCATGATATACAGTGTCGTATAATACATTCGTGATTCCTAACACACATAAAACATTTATCACTTACAGGATTATGAAGAGATTACGATCCCGATTACTAAGCAAGCTCCCCGTCGTGCTACAGAAAAGGTCATCATGATCGATCAAATGGATACGTTGTGCAGTACAACCTTCAAGGCATATGCCTCCCTCAATCGCATCCAGTCCATTGTATACCCCGTGGCGTATGAAACAAACGAAAACATTCTCATGTGCGCCCCCACTGGAGCTGTAAGTCCAAGGCGCCATGAGTCGTAGGATGAATCCATTTTCCATAAGTATGTTATCGTACTTACATGATAAATCCCGTCATAGGGTAAAACGGATGTCTCCCTGCTGACGATTTTGAGAACATTGAACCAGCACTGTACTCCAACACCCCGACCTGGCCTTGACCCTAAGCAGTACGTGGTAGCAAAGAACGACTTCAAGATTGTGTTTGTGGCACCTATGAAGGCCCTCGCAGCTGAAATTGTGCGCAAGTTCAGCTCGCGTTTGAAGTGGCTCGGTATCGAGGTACGCGAGTTGACAGGAGATATGCAGTTGACCAAGGCCGAGATCGCCAACACGCAAATCATTGTCACGACGCCTGAGAAGTGGGATGTTGTCACTCGCAAGAGTACAGGAGATGTTGAACTAGCTCAGAAGGTCCGCTTATTGATTATTGATGAGGTGCATTTGCTGCATGACGAGCGTGGCGCTGTTCTGGAGAGCATCGTTGCGCGTACGCTGCGCCAAGTTGAGACCTCCCAGTCTATGATCCGTATTGTTGGTCTATCAGCTACACTTCCCAATTATGTCGATGTCGCATCGTTCTTGCGCGTCAATCCCTATCAGGGGCTGTTCTACTTTGATGGCGGCTTCCGACCTGTGCCATTGGAGCAGCACTTTTGTGGAATCCGCGGCAAGTACGGCTCTTCTCAATACACTCGAGGATTGGACCAGACTTGTTATGACAAAGTAAGCAGCTTGCTGGTCCTAAAAAAACTACGGTATTTCCAATGCGGCTATTAACAACATCTTTTATCCACAGGTTGTAGATCTCGTCAAGGAAGGACATCAAGTTATGGTGTTTGTTCACGCGCGCAAGGATACCGTCAAGACGGCGCAGATGTTGAAGCAAAAGGCCAGCGATGAGGACGAGCAGATTTTCTTTGACGCCTCGAGCGATCCTCAGTACGAACTCAGGAAGAAAGACCTTGCAAGATCAAAGAATCGCGAAATGAAGGAGCTCTTCCAGTATGGCTTCGGAATTCACCACGCAGGAATGCTGAGAGCTGACCGCACGCTTACAGAGAAGCTGTTTGCTGATGGATTGATTAAGGTAAGGACTTTGTGCATTGCGCTCAAAGGGCATTGTGCGTACTCAACATATTCGAGCGCTAACTGATATTCCCTGTACTGATAGGTTCTCTGCTGTACTGCTACTCTTGCCTGGGGTGTCAACTTGCCAGCATACGCTGTAGTGATCAAGGGTACGCAAGTCTACAACACACAAAAGGGTGCCTTTGTTGATCTGTCGATCCTGGATGTGATGCAAATTTTTGGTCGTGCCGGTCGTCCTCAATATGAGACGCATGGCGTAGGATATATTCTGACGACTCAGGACAAGCTGAACCACTATGTCGCGCTCATCACCCAGCAGCTTCCCATTGAGTCGAGGTGAGTGCGGAGTAGCGTTGAAATGTTTACCTTGTCGTCGAATGCTTCAAGGATAAGGGGATCACTGATGCTTTGTTTATTTTTGTAGGTTTATCGAAAGTATGGTGGACAATTTGAACGCAGAGTTGTCACTAGGAACCATCACAAACGTGGACGAGGCCGTCACCTGGCTCAGCTACACTTATCTGTACGTTCGCATGCGCAAGAATCCGCTCGTCTATGGAATGGACCACACGGAGCCTGCGGAGGACCCTCTCTTGGGCAAGAAGCGCCGAGACATCATCGTGGCAGCTGCCAAGGCCCTACATAAAGCGCAGATGATCATTTACGACGAGAAGACAGGGTTTCTGACCCCCAAGGATCTCGGACGCATCGCCTCCAACTACTACGTGTCCCACAATAGCGTCAACACCTACAACAGCCTGATGAAGCCGCGCATGACAGAGGCAGACGTGCTCGCCATGGTCAGTAGAAGTACTGAGTTCGAGAACGTCAAATCCAGAGATAACGAACAAGCGGAGCTGGGCAAACTGTTGGAGCAAGCTTGCCCCTGCGATGTCAAGGTAAATAATACCGGACCAGGAGGATTGCCCTATTTGTTCTCTCACTGTTAGTGCATATTGTACTAATGCGTTGTGGTCTGATTGTCAATAGGGTGGTTTGGACGCCTCGCCGTCCAAGGTCAACATTCTGCTCCAGGCAGCTATCACGCAGGCCCCGTTGGAGGATTTTGCCTTGGTATCTGATAGTGCGTATGTTGCTCAGAACGCGTCGCGTATCATCAGAGCCCTGTTTGAAATCGCACTGAATAGGAGCTGGGGCCCTGTATCGAATGTCCTTTTGTCTCTCGGAAAATCGGTCGACAAGAAGATGTGGTCCTTTGAACATCCACTTGCTCAGTTCGGACTTCCTCGAGATATCATCACCAAACTGGAAGCCCGCACCTACCCACCTACGATCGAGGACATGCGCGAAATGACCGTCAACGAACTAGGCGAGCTGGTTCGCTTCCATAGGATGGGTGAGACAATTTCTAAGTGCGTGGACCAGTTCCCAGTTTTGCAAATGGACGCTCAAGTCGCTCCCATCACCAGGAACGTCCTCCGAGTTGCTCTCACAATCACACCCGACTTTGTTTGGAACGACCGTATCCACGGATTCAACGAGCCTTGGTGGATTTGGGTCGAGGACTCAAACAACACCGAGATTCTGCATTCAGAGTACTTCCTGCTCTCGCGTCGACAGCTGGGCCAGCCCCAAGTGATCACATTCACCATTCCTGTGATTGAGCCCCTGCCGCCTCAGATCTTTGTTCGCGCGATTTCTGACAAGTGGATCGGAGCCGAGTCAGTGCACGCTATCTCGTTCAAACACCTGATCCTGCCAGAGTTGTATCCACCCCATACGGATCTTCTGGATTTGCAGCCCTTGCCTGTCTCCGCACTGCATAACGAGGTTTTGGAAGAGATTTGTTTGAAGCGATTCTCACACTTCAACCCTATTCAGACACAAATCTTCCACACGCTGTACAATACCGGCCACAACGCTCTTATTGGTGCCCCTACTGGATCAGGAAAGACTGTTGCTGCTGAATTAGCCATGTGGTGGGCATTTAAGGATCAACCAGACAGCAAGGTCGTATATATCGCTCCCATGAAGGCCCTGGTTCGCGAGCGTGTCACGGACTGGACAACTCGTTTGGTTGGTCCCATGAACAAGAAGTTAGTTGAGTTGACTGGAGACGTGACGCCCGATATCAAGTCGATTGAGAGTGCTGACATTATTATTACGACGCCCGAAAAGTGGGACGGTATTAGTCGTAACTGGAAGACAAGACCCTATGTTCAGAAGGTGTCCTTGGTTATTATTGACGAAATTCACCTGCTCGGCGGCGACCGCGGCCCAATTCTGGAGGTCATTGTGTCTCGTATGAACTACATTGGTGCTCAGCTGGACAAGCGGATCCGCTTGGTCGGACTTTCGACTGCATTGGCCAATGCTCACGATCTGGCGGACTGGCTTGGTATTCAAGAAGTTGGATTGTTCAACTTTAGGCACTCTGTTCGCCCTGTTCCTCTCGAAATCTACATCGACGGCTTTCCCGGAAAGCACTACTGTCCACGTATGGCGACTATGAACAAGCCGACGTACGCTGCCATCAAGACCCACTCTCCCAACCAGCCCGTCATTGTCTTTGTCTCGTCGCGTCGTCAGACTCGTCTCACCGCCCAGGATTTGATTGCTTACTGTGCCATGGAGGACAATCCCAGACGTTTCTTGCATATGCCTGAGGAGGATCTTGAAATTCTGCTCACGAAGGTCCAGGACTCGAGTTTGAGATTGTCACTCGGGTTTGGTATCGGTCTGCACCACGCTGGTCTGCCCGAAAGCGACCGCAAGCTTGTCGAGGAGCTGTTTGTGAGCACAAAAATCCAGATCTTAATCGCCACTAGCACCTTGGCCTGGGGTGTCAACTTCCCTGCCCATCTGGTGGTCATCAAGGGAACGGAATTTTACGACGCCAAGACAAGAACATACGTCGACTTTCCTATCACGGATGTTTTGCAGATGATGGGACGAGCTGGTCGTCCGCAGTTTGACCAGGAGGGTATTGCCAGAATCTTTGTGCATGATGCCAAGAAGAATTTTTACAAGAAGTTCTTGCACGAGCCCTTCCCTGTCGAGTCGAGTTTGCATCTACATCTAGATGATCACCTGAATGCCGAGATTGTTGGAGGCACTATCAAGTCGAAGCAGGACGCCATGGATTATCTAACCTGGACGTACTTTTACAGACGACTGCAGATGAACCCCAGTTACTACGGCGTCGAAGATTTGACGCCCTTGGGTGTTAATACCTTTTTGTCAGACCTGATTGAAAAGTCGGTTTCTAACCTGGAGCGATCCAGCTGTTTGGAGGTGACTGACGACTTTGAGATTGAGCCAACCTCGTTGGGCAAGATCTGTTCGTTCTACTATTTGATGCATCCAACCATCCGTCATTTGCAGGAGCACCTCAAGCCGGATTCGACATACGAGGACTTGCTGATGATTCTCTGTGGCGCCACCGAGTACTCGGAGCTACCAGTGAGACACAACGAAGATATTTTGAACAAAGAGCTGGAAAAGGAGTTACCACTCTTGATTGAGTCTTCGATGTCATACGACAGTCCCCACGCAAAGTCGTTCTTGTTGCTGCAAGCATACTTTGAGCGGATGAAACTGCCCATTGCGGACTATATCACCGATACAGTGTCCGTCCTCGACCAATCTGTCCGTGTCCTCCAGGTAAGAAAACATTCAGCGACCGCAAATACACGTGTCTGTGTACCCATTGTTTTTGCTAACAACATGGTCTTTATTGCATTTTCTCAAACTTACAGGCAATGATCGATATCACGGCTGAGAAGGGCATGTTGCAGCCGTGCTTGTCGACTATGAATATTCTGCAGTCCGTTAAGCAAGCACGCTGGAGCGACGAGTCTTTGCTGACTTTGCCCCGTATCGAGAAGCATATGCTTCCTATTCTTGCCGCCTCGCATCATCAGGGCCGCAACAGAAACAATAAGAAGGGTACCTTTACTAAAACTGTCGAGCGTTTGTTTGATCTGACATCCATGACCGAGCATGAGGTCAAGGATTATTTCAGTAAGGTTCAGACTTTGGGACCGATTCACCTGCAGGACATTTGGAAGGTGGTCCAGAAGCTGCCAGTGCTTGAGATCAAGTCAAGCATCGATACTGGCATCAAGTCGTTCTTAGTGGGAGATTTGACCTACAAGGTGACGCTGGAACTCAGCAGGGTCAGGCGACCTAGGGTTGAGTATGATGGACGCGTCTACTGCCCCAAATTCCCAAAGCCGCAGTGGGAGTCCTGGTGGGTGGTGCTCGAGGACGCTGATGCGAACGAACTGGTTGCGCTCAAGAGAGTGAACATGCGTACGGGACCTCAAGGCGGGTTCATTAACCGAGTGACCACGCGTCTGGATTTTGTTGCGCCAAAGAGAGAGGGTCGACATGTGTGGAAGATCCATTTATATAGCGATGGATATCTGGGTATGGACCAGACAGTGGATATTCAGTTTGATGTCATGAATTAGAAGGGTTTACGTCCAATTTATCCCTTTCTCCAAATCTTTGGAGCCATTGCAGAAACCCGCATTCCTAGCCTTTGGTTTTAGATCATAAAAAGAAATAATCTTCACTTATTTGCACATGAGATATCTTTTCTTGAATGTCGCATCGATCTGTATTTTGGCGGAATCTAGAACTAGCTCTGATATCCATTGATAAGACCATAGTATTCAGGACCCGCTCCTAAATTTACAGAATGACCCTTTGCTTAATGTCAGTAGCCTTGTCGTCGTGCTGCTTTGTGGACATCGCCTCGTTGTCCTGCGTCCTTCCAGTACTGCACAATTCGGTCATTTATTCTCTCAGTGAGACATTCTTCTTCCGTCAGTAATCAACCTGGTATCTGTTATTGTTTTGATCTAAGTGCTGCAGTTCTCTGATATCTGAAGTACCATGCGAAGAGGATGGTTTTGGTGCTCCCCGTCAAGAATGCGGGAGGCCCTCATTTGGTTGTTGAGGCTGGCCACAGTCTCTAAGTTAAGCATAACGCATGGGAGGAGCATGAAAACAGCGTATATGTCAAAATTTCAGACGACGCGAATATCATAATACGAAGCACATTCGTGTGAGGTCTATCTCGTTCGTCTTACTTAGCGGGCAAGTAATGAGCTGAGGTGCTCGTCGGGGACGCTGCTTAGTGTTATTGTAAGAGGCAGCAACTGCGAGGCGACGCACATTCAAAAAGAAGAGGGATTTGGGTGCGGAGAGTAAGGAGATAGAGAGAATCAATAGTAAAGTGGTAAAGACAATCCAGAGGTAGATACAGGCTCACTGGAAACTTAAATAAACACGAAAGTCTAGAACGAAGTGACCTGTGGAACACTTTATACCAGAGGAAGACGAATGCTAGATAACTACAGAGTAAGGCTCGTATAAAACCTTCTATCCATCTATGCAAAATAGATCCACATCTGAAGTGGTCTATAGGTGTCTACAGGTTCGACAAGGAACATCGGGGACAAAGAGAACAGGTCCACAAAGACAACCGTGGACGCTAGGACAATAATTAGCAGTCGGCGCTTTGTCGTTATCACACGTTGAGGACGGTACTCTTTAGGAGCGTGGTCGTTCAGACTCGCTAATAAAACCCATAAAATTCTCTCGCCCCTCACTCTTCCCTGTCCTCGCATTCTCGTCTGTCGTCTTCACCCTACTTCTCCGTTCACTTTCTATCTCACTATCCACCCTGCCTACAACGGCGGCGTCGCATCCCGTAATTCTATTGTACCCTATATCTAACATTCAGCAGTGTAGACACAGTGGGGGATAAAAAAGAGCTGTCATTATCTCTTGTTACAGGAAATTGAGCCTTATGACTTGGTTAGATGGAGCATGGGATAAATAAAACTAACAGTATTTGCAGTGCTATGGATGCTCTACTAATGTATCAGCATTTTGATGGGAGTACGGAAATGCTATGGATAGGTCTTCTGTATTCTGTTGGAAGTACGGGTATGCGTGGATTCAACCCTTGAGGATGCTCTGCGCAGCATACATCGAAACGCCTGCATTGACTTTAGCTTAATGATATCTCAATACTGTCACATTCTTGATGAGAAATGGTCCAGAATGAACTGCCTAATAGCTCTCTTTCATCACTTCCACAGGGGATGTGGGCGTAGATGGACATTGTAGTAAAATGCTGAGGTGCCTTTAAGTTTGGATGGATAAAAAGATTAAGGAAAGGACATTTCGAAATTGTGGACTGCGCCCATTTTTACAACGACTGCAGATTTCTCGTGTGGTTACTAATAAGGAAGAAATGGAGTGCTGTAGAGTATGCGCATAAACATGGACAATCCTTGGAGAGGGACGCGCGTGTCGTTGCTGACAGCCCTTTCTGCCACTCCCAGTGCTGCTATTCGCAGCTAAGACGCGTGTTCACTTGGTGGTGTTGTCTGTAACAGGCTGGTTTTCTTAAGGCGTGGATGCAGCACAGCCGTATGTGAGCACTTGATGAAATAAGAAAAAAAGCTGGAGAGGATGCAGCCAGCAGTCGTTATATTGGAATAGACAATTTGGTCCGAGTCCAACATACTCACGGTGTATTGTCTTTAGGGACCATTGTCTGCCCGCGTACTGCTGCAAGAAGATAGTATTGCTGTATGTGACCTGTATGGCCATCGTCGCCGTAGCCGCTTCTTCCTTGTCTCACTCGTTCTCTTTCCTTGCTGCTTGTTCCTGTGTCTTTGTCTCTCTCTATATCCTTGCACACTCCCAGGTACATCATTACATCATTGGCTGCTTCGATAGACGTCCTGACTGAGACACTCTTGTGGTAGCACTACCTTTGCCATGTCTTTTCTGTCTATTGTTTTCTTCTATTCCATGCTTGCATGCTCATCAAAGGAGACCTCTCATCCTCTCATCCTCCCATTCTCTCATCCTCACTCCCTCACTCCCTCACTTCCTCACTCCCTCGCTCCCTCTCTCCCTCTCTCCCTCTCTTTGCTCCTTTGCTGTCAAGACCAGGCTATCTTACCACCAAAGTGTATTTCATGTCCCGATAGGTCACCGGTTTTGCCACCATCATTTCCTTGCTTGTCTCTCTGTCCACTGTCTCCGTGCTGTCTATCGCCCACTATCTCTTTTTCTTTCATGTGAAAGTCCCGAAAAGACTATACCGATAGGAGGCTGCTCGAAGACACTCTCTTCGCTGCAGACAGCAGCGATGACGTGTGCCGTCTGTCGTGGAGGAGGGAGTGTCTATCGAGGACCGAATATGAAGCCCTCCTCTTTTTCTCTCTCTTCTCTCTTCTCTCTTCTCTCTTTTCTTCCTCATCTTCTCCCCGGTCTTCTTCCTGGTCTTCAAGGTAAGCTCTTCTTCCTCCTCCTCCTCCTCCTCCTCCTCCTCCTCCTCTTCCACCTTTACCCCTGCTCCAGCTACTCCCACTTTCACTCTCAGTCCTTCACTTCTGCTGTCTCTTGCCCTTCTTTCCCACTGCTCTCTCCCACTGCTCTTTCCCACTGCTCTCTCCCACTGCTCTCTCCCACTGCTCTCTCCCACTCTTGTTCACCTCAGTCTCGTTCACCTGCACTTCTCGTATCTCTCTCACCCACTCACTCACCCAGCGCTCCCTTGTCTCTATTGCTTCTAGCTTTCTCTCTCTCTCCCCTTCTCTTCCTTTGTTTACTTTTGCTTTTGCTTTTGCTTTTGCTTTTGCTTGGACTTTTGCATCTATCACTGCTCCGACTCTGGCATTTGCCTAAGCTTCCGCTTTTGCTCTTGCTTGTGCTCTGGCTTTTGTTTTCGCTTTTGCTTTTGTTTGGACTTTTGCTTTTGCTTCTGCTCCGGCGTTGCTTTTGCTTTGGCTTCGACATCTGCTTTTGCTTCTCCATCTGCCTTTGCTATTGCTTTTGCTTTTGCTTGGACTTGCGCATCTATCACTGCTCTGACTCTGGCATTTGCTTAGGCCTCGGCTTCTGCTCTTGCTTCTGCTCTTGCTTTATTACACCTCTCTAAAAAAAAGAAAAAAGAAAAAAGAAAAAAAGAAAAAAAGAAAAGAAAAAAAGAAAAGAAAAAAAGAAAAAAGAACAAGAACAAGAAAAATACAATTCCCCACCCCCCAAAAAATAAGAAGGTCAAAAGCCGAACTTTTTTTCCCTTGTGGTTTTTTCTGGGGTACCATGGCTTGCAACCTGCCCGCGGTGTGCCCTGCACAGTCTTTACTTTCTCAAGTAAGACTGACTGATGGCAAGCCAATCCACTTTCCTTTGTATGTATCGCTTCGAACCCCACACCTTAGTCAGCGTAGAACCAGCAAACGTCAATGTGAAAATGAAATAAAGAGTGAGGAGAGTGAGGATTGAACCAAACGATGAAAAGATGAAAATGTACAATAGCAAGAAAAGCCTTTGTCAGTAATATAATGAATGGGTTTGCACTTGGTGCTCGCACTGCATTGAAGGGACATAGTGATCGACGCGTATATCTGGCCCGGGCGATGCACAGCCTCGACGGCATCACATAGATCTTAACCCCGAGAGCACCTGTGCAACATTCACATCTACCCGCAATGAAGGGGCCCAGGGGCTGTTTTTTCTGGGAAACCCCATTTCTTTCTTTTTATTCTTCATCATAATCGAACCTTCGCCGCGACTCATTGACTTCATTGACTATGAGGAGTGCGTCAGATAGCCGGTTTCGTTGTTGCTGTTCTGTTGTGGTGGTAAAAGCAGGTCCATTGGCTGAGCCAGACGCGCTTTTTCACGTATTTTTTTGTATCCGATCTTCACCGCGAACCACCCCTGAGGGCTTTTTGTCATCGACTAGGATGTGTCCTCGCTATTTTTCTTCAAACATTATTATGGTGGTTTTCATGTGTCAGGCCGTCTCGATGTATTTGGTGAAACGGGTCTCTCCACGAAAGAATGATGGTAACAAGGCCTTGGCTCTGCATGGGCGTCAGGAAATGCTATACCAGTCCTCCGAACACATATCTAGGCACAGCGACGGATTGGCGGGTCAGACTTTTTTTGGTTCATTTCTACAAATGTGGACGAACAATAATGATGAGGCTCCCAGTTCTGGTGCTAGAATTAAAAGACCCTTGTTCTCTCCCCCTCTCTTCACGCTCTTTGTAAGAGGGTCAGTATCGAACAAGCAGGGCGTCCTGCAGATAGAAGGGGAGGTTTATTTTTATTTTATTTTTATTTATTTTTTATTGATGCCAGATCCCCCCAGGCGTGCAGGCGTGCAGGAGTGCTGCATTGTCCAGATCTCGGCTTGGACTGTCAGCCGGCCGATAGTTACCTTAAGATAGTTAACAAAAGGCCCCACTAAACTAATGTAAAATGAGGAACCAAATACCTATGATGCACACACATTTTGAGTCGCATAGTCTCCAATACTTGAGCAGGGGTCCAAAACCGCTACGCAATCTGTCGGGTCCACTGGGTCCTCTTTATCAACGCCACCTTTCCTTGGAAGTGGTCCGCTAGGTGGTGGTCTGCTCTCCTTCTCGCAGCCATCGTAACCTCCTCTTGGGGCTGTTGTCTCACAAAGCCCTGGGCCTCACCTCCTACCTGGGTCCTGGCTTTCTTCATCCTCGCGCATACGTCCTTGGACTTTTCCCATGCCACTGTGGCACTACATCGTTCTTTTCATAGCTCCTCTTGGCCAAATGCCTCAATTTGTTCTACAAAACACTCAACCAGGTAAGCCGCGATACTCTTCGACGTCTTCAAGAGCAGTGCCCAATTCGTTGTCAGGGACTTTGGTACGAGTCCATGATATATGTCCGTCGTTATCCAGAGCCTGATAGGCGGTGCTACCTGCTGTACGCTTCCTTGACTGCCCATTCCTTCTCCTTCCTCCTCGTAGACATTCTCTCTGTCCTCGTCACCATTGTCCCTGTCTCGCCGCTCCTTCAACAGCCTTATCCAATCATCATCTCGCGTATCCACCATCGTTTCCTCTCCCCGGATCTCACGCAGACTCCACCAAAGAGTGTCTAGCTCGCACAGGATAAAACTCGGTTCGGTGTGTGTGAATTGTTGACATCCTTGATTGCCTCCTCCATGTCGCGCAACTACTTTTCCGCGCCCTACAGTACTTTGAAAAAAGTTACGATACTTTCATGTTTATTGCAATTTGCCTTTTTGTTCAACATTCTATTATCTTAACGCCCAGTACTTCCTAGTCAAACATTGTAGCCGTAGCACTGTGCTTCCTATCACTGAGGGTCCCAATGTTCTGGTGTTTATTCTGGTGAAGAAAGAAATTATATGTCCTCATGAATTTAGGACAAGGAATACATGCTGCACATAAACGCGCCATATAACGCGCCCTTTCAAACCTTGTCACTATGGCGGACTTCATTTGCCTCTGCGGCGCATTTGCTCACAACTAATATCCGCGTGCTCTTCTGATTTTTCAGTATTTTCTGTTCCTTAATCCTCATCGTTGAGGATCGTGAGAATGATGAGCTGCTCCAGGTGGGATAGTAGCTGTTGGCGTTCTGGCTTGAGATGCTACCTATCATTTTTTTGAATTGGCGTATTACTCAGCTCTCGAGGTGGTGTTTTGCAAACGCGTTTTGGTCACAAACGCGCCTCGATATCTGCCCACAAAAAATTTATAACGCGCCGCAAAATGTCAATGTTTGAAACCTCCTTGTCTCATCCACAAATAGCCATACTTTTGCATCGACCTCACTCTTCTCTCCCTCTTTCTACGCCTTTTACTCATGCTAAAGGCGCACTCCATCCATGACAACCCTTTTCATCGATAAGAACCCACTCCATATCCCCGAGATCAGAAGCCGCATCAGTCGCCTAGTCTCCGTGAAGGATGCTATCTCTTGCGTTCGGGTCTCTAAAGACTGGTCGAATGATTTCGTTTTTCCGATTTGGTATGCCATCGATTTCAAGGTCCACAACACTTTTGAGCAACTCAGCGCCGACATTGTCGCCAAGCATGGACACCACATCCGCATAGTCGAGGATCTCAAAACCCAACTGCAGCTGAATGCCCTTCTTTCTCCAAGTATCAAGAACATACGAGTTCTCCGAATAACATGCGCCAGCAGTGCCCGATTCCGCACCTTGTGCATGGATCTCATCAGCAGGAACAACAGCAACCTCAGAAAGCTGTCATTGGGGATAGATGTAAATGCGAACCAGCGTGATCTGTCTTTCCGGATGATTTTCGTTGATGCGCTCGTCCCTCACTCTTCCGTCTCCAGACTCTCTTCCGTAAGACTCCATGGTATCTGCCTCAGCCGGAATTCGTTTGCCTCTTTACTGAGAGGTTGTCCTCTGCTCACAAGAGTGGACTTGCAGCAGGACGTCGCGCTGCTCTCAGGCTCCTCCATAGACACCTTTCAGCACACGAGAGTGGCCACTCTGACGGCTCCTATCTCTCAAGTCTTCAAACCCGACCCCGAATCAGAGCCCTCACCCCCAGGCTCGTCGTTGCTCGCACATTTCCCCAACCTGACTTACTGGCATGTCTATAATCAAGTGACGACCCTGGTCGTTCCTATCAAGCGAATCAAGGCCGAGGTTCGAATGTGCTGCCCAAAAGTGACTCAAATCGGTACATGGGTCACACCAAGCCCTGTTCTATATGACTTGGTGGCAAACGTGTTCCGCAACCTGGTGTCTGTCACTTTTGCGTACAAAGAGCTCTCTACAGATGTCATTATAGCGCTGACATTCCATAACGCGACGTTACTCGATATCTCCACCTTTTGGGATGTTCATGAATGCCATACTGAAAGAGATCACTTCCCTCGCGAGGACGATTACTTTCAATCGAGGGGTCGAGCTCTACAGTTACTGCCGCGCAGCTGCCTAAACCTTCAGATCCTTGGACTTGAACGTCACGAGATGGACATGGACCATGTGGAGGAGTCAGAATGGGCATGCAAACGATTGCAAGAGCTTCGTGTCCGAATTCGAGAATTAGATACCAAAGAAAAGGTTAAGAGGGCTCTGCAATTGTGGAAGGAGGGAAGGAAAAAGAACGAAACAGACGTGATGGACGAGGAAAGGAAGAAGGTTGTCGATGAGTCTAACGAATCTCATGTGAAGAAGGAGGACACATCGATCGAGGCACGCGTGGCGAAACATCTCTTGACGTTCGATAAACTGAAGGCAGTCTGGCTGGGTACTCGCACATGTTATTCGTAGATGGCCTAACTAGTCGATGGTTCCCTATTAAAAAAAGCAATAAAAAAATAAAACGCACCCTCCATGGGGCGACATGAGGACACTGAGAGCAGAAAACGGCCTTGTATCCAAGCTTTCGGATTGAGGGCTATAGGCACTCAATACCCTTCGTTAACGCTTACGAGATGGATAAAGAAGATTGTCAAGCTGGTGTTAAGCAGATACCAAGGGATGTGCAGCGAACTGTGTTGCGGAAGAGGAGGAAAATGAGAGTGAAGGAGCGCGTGAAAGGATAAGGTTTATATCCGAAATTTTGGCGAATCATGAATTTGGCTGCCATAATATCCCATCACGAACTACGACATTTTATTGACGCCAGATCCCCTCAGGCGTGCAGGCGTGCCACAGGCTGCATTGTCCAAACCTCGGCTTAGACTGCCAGCCGGTCGATAGTTACCTAAAGATAGCTAACAAAAGGCCTCCACTAAGCTACTAAACTAATGTAAAATGAGGAACCAAATACCTATGATACACACACATTTTGAGTCGCATGGTTTCTAATACTTGAGCCGGGGCCCAAAACCGCTGTGAATCTATGTCCTTGAGTGCTGCTTTTTCCATTTCATGTACCTTCTGGTGCTCATCCATGCCATTATATTTTTCACGCCGCTGTCGCTGTCTATATTCCTTGAGTCGAACAGCAATATTGTACGTATGCAAAGCATCCTCAGCAGTACGCCTCGCTTGTCTGTCCTCGGTCTCTGTGAGGGGTCCTATCGAATGGTGCTGTGATACAGAATCTTGGGGATCAGGACCTGCGGATAGGACTGCTGATATCGCCGTGACTGGCGCACAGATCTTGGAACGGCCAAGGCTCTCGCCGCTTTCAGAGCACGATCTCGAGGGCATCAAGTGCACCATCGTGGACGAGGTAGGCACAATTCTGGCGTTAGGCAGTCGCCTTGATCCAGTTCAATGTGGAAGAGCTAAAAAGCCCATGATCGACCAATAGTCGCGCCATGCTGCCATAAAGACCTACACACGTGTCTTTGACCACTTTGGGGTGGATAAAAAGGAGGCGGAAGATGTAGCTCTTGAGGGCGTGACACCACACGGAAAAGTCTGCGGCTGTACCCCTTTTTCAGACCTTGGCTGTGCCCCTTTTGCAGACCTTGGCTGCAAATTTCTCGTTTGAAGTGGTAGAGTGCGCAAAAAAAAAGTTCATGACTTTGCGTTCGTACATTTGATTGCTCCAGAGCCTCAGAGAACTATACCTTGGTATTACATCCACCACTATGCAAGTTTCGAGGAGGAACTCATGATTCTAAAGTCTCATGCCCATGTGAACTTTTTTCGCATTTATGTTGGTTGTCAATTCCTTTATTTGATATCTCGGATCTTCCTCTCTAATGCTTAGTAGGACCTCCCTTACTTTTGTAGACCATCGCGATGCGCTGAAGCGTGCTGTCGTACAGTTTATGAATAAAATATATGGGAATATTTGTCCAAATATCCTGCACTGTCACGAATTGAGGTTCGGGCAGAATTTCTCATCACAATCATACCTCACATCTACCACGCAAGCCTGAATCAGGTCGCGTCTCAAGGACTACTCCACACAGAAAGCATATCTGGTTTAACGTTGCTCCCCCGTGCCAAGTACGCGCGTGCCCGCTTTTCTCCTGCCTACTCCATACATGCGCCATGGGAGTTAATTCCTATTACGATTCCAAGCGCAGGAGCTTATAAGATACAGGCTACCGAGCCGGGACCTCGAGCCATGCTTTGTTCGTGTATAAAAGGCCTAGCAGTTGCCCTAGTCAAATCCTAGTCTGCAATAAAATACCTTCCTACCTTGTAACCACTCTTGCTCCCTTATCTATTACTTACCTGCCTGTCCGGACCTTGGCAGCCAGCGAATTAAGGTTTCGATGTAGATCTGCGTGAAGGTAATGAACGAGGTAAATTCGGGCAACTCGCTTCCTTTGTACCGAAGGACCAACTTACTCATCTTGTTCGTGACGAGCATGTACTTATCTCGGTTCAGGTCTTGATTGTAGAGTTTATAGAGTCTCTGCAGTGACGACCGAATGAGGCGATAGTTCTCCCTCGAGGGGTGGTGGTGCTGAATCCGCATCGTTGTCGTGATTTCGTTTGTAGTCACCACGTGGTCTTGCTTGACGGGGTTCGGCTTGTGTTCGCTGATGTACTCGAAGGAATAATTGCCATCCAGAAGCGTGGCCAGCGAGCTCTTGAGTTTTAAAGTGCAATCGGAATACTTGATCTTCGCTATGGCGGGGCCCGACACTGGAGGACCCATGCTGGTGATTTCTTTCTCGCATCCGCCAATTAGCTCAAGGATTTCCTTCTTGAGGAACGGCAGTTCCTTCTTGATGTGAGTATACAGCAGCTCACCCAAGGATTTCTTGACGGAAACTCACCCCTTGCGTATATCCGGCACTTGTCTCCATAGCTCCGATGATTTGAAAAAAATCGTCCTCACGCTGTCTGGCGTCGTCTCATGGTATGTCAATGTCCTTGAAGGCCGAGTTCTTCAATACGAGGTAGCCTAGCTTCATACGCTTGAGTCTGTTGAGAAGTGTGTCTACCAAACTTGGAAGCAGATCCGACTCGAAGGTGTCGAGCTTGTACCGCGCGTTGATTGCTCGTATGGTCGAAACTATTGCCCTTGTCCTGCGTACTAGTGGTGGTGTTGATGTGGCCAGGAAGATCGATGATGGTCAGCAGAGATGATGTCGGCCCTGAGATAATGATTTTCAAAACAATTTCGCTAACCTCTACATTTGAATACAGAATGCCGTTGGCTTCGTTAATAGTTGTGTGGATGTTCCATGCTTTGTCCTGTGAGGCATTACGCTCGTTGAACTCGGGCTCGTCATCGATATGTGCCGACATTTCGGCTCGCTCGCTCTGGCGTATGTTTACTTGTGTGGCAAAGTGTGTGCATGTCTCGACGTTGCGGGGAAACGACAGCTTTATGATGGCCGCCAGAACGCTTGATTTACCGCTTGACTGGTCTCCCAGGATGGCAATCTGAGGAATGGTAAGCATCCTGTTCAGCCCATAGCTTCGGATCTTTTTGTTTTTGTCGATGATATCCTAGTACTCTGAGGTTTGTAACATGGTGGTGACCTGTAATTGCTTTGTTTCAGTGCTATCTCCGGTCGTTTCTCTTTATACTTTTTGCTTTACATAGCACGGGTCAAAAGGATCAGGCAGTAAGGGGCGGTAATATCATGCAAATCAGGGCTTTTTGCATCATCCACTCGTATTATCAAACGAAACCTATCATGCAGCATGCAACAGGCACAGTAGTTTATTCGAGAATAATGCTATAATCATAAGAATGCTTCGCCCAGTTTCTAGAGTAACCACATCCTTCGTATATAATAGCCCTTCGAACGTAGGATTAGATAGCATTGAATAAACCACTCTTTTACCCTAGACTCTCTTGACCCAGATTCCCTTGATACCTAGGTCTCTATGACCTAGGCCCCCTACGACCCTAGATCCCCCAGACGCTGCCTTTTTTATGCTCCAGGGCCCTCAATCATATCTATTTGATACGGGAGGGTGAGAATCTCAGTTCTCTCTTTTCAGCCCTTGGAGGTGCTCTTTGGTATGCAATCCTTTCAAGTGTGATGCAGCAGCGAATAACATCAGAGGCAGTACAAGACGTTTTTGACGTGGCCATCAACATCAGCAACACCTCTTATGTCGATGCTCGAAATTGGATATTACAGTGGCAAGGTGATTTGGACGTCAGAAGCCTTTTGACCAGTATGCTGGGTACGTCCGCGCTGTGGGATGGCTCTCGAGACAATGAAGCTGGACTGATCAAGAAGAAGTTCGACCCTTTCTTCTTGACCTTTATTTGCTCTGTCAAGCATTTGAACGCGTTCTGGTAAGAACAGAGTGACAAAATTGGAATCTAAATGTGGTCTAAGTTTGTGTTTAATTCCCCCTTTTTTTTATTACTGCAACAGGGATATGACTTTTCCTCCTTCAAAGCGACGAAAGAGCATGGACCCTGGTTTACGTAGCCAACGCCCAGACTTCTTTGTCTGTGCTATGCTATCCAGTCACCAGTGCTACCTCTTCACTGTGGAGGTCAAGAAGGCTGTCCAAGGGCTTGTTATTCAATCGGATCTGGAGAAACTTGCCAGCGAGATGAAAGATGGGATTGACGATCTTGCTAGCCAAAGGATCAACATCTCATCTGTGAGAGTCTTTGGAATGGTGGTTATTGGTAAGTGAGCTTGGGCTGTGCAACATGAATGGTATCTGAATTTTTTCTTAACCCCCATCTCTGTTTTATAGGCATGCGGGGGGACATTTATAGCATGGCGCTGGAAGCTAATGGCCTCTACGTAATGCGTTCTTACACGGCCGTCTTTGCTCCACGCTCACACAAGGGCTTGGGTGGCCTACCCTTGACCATCAATGTTTTTCTTAATCTCAAAGCCGATATTGAGGAATCAATCCAACTCTGCTCACGCCCACTCTTGCCGGCCATTGCCCCACAGATCTGCAAAAGTTTTGGCACTCCAGTGAAGTACCACATCAAGTGAAACCGATGTTGGTGCCTCTTCCTATCTCTCAAGTAGCAACGTGAGGAATCCGCAGAATATTCTATGAGTCGTCAGCTTGGCTGCCGCAAGCCAGCTCTGCCTATAACTTCGTGAATTTCGATAACTTTATAATCTGTCTTCCCAACTAGACCGCACCCATTAATCCTTTAAGACGACAGCCAGCGGAAAGTAAAATGGCTTTCAGCCTCGCACCCACATTGGGCCCGAATTCAGCCCCAGATCGCTGCATTGAGCTCCATTCAAATGGTATAAAGGAGGAGCACGCCCTCAAATCCTCATATCGCTCATTACACATTCTGCCTTCATACGCTATAAATTCAAGTCGTATCACTCTTATCAAACAAGCCTTCCAAATCGTCGCCAGAATGGTAGGTTACTGCGTCATTTTGTCTCTTCTTTGGTCCTCTGTATATGACAGTTTTTGTACCTGACACGCGTTTCCTCTGCTTTCGTGTGCAGTCCGCTTTCGGGATTAAGAAAGAATTTCTTTCTTAATTTGATTGTATTCTGTCAATTCAATAAATATATCAAAACTTTATTGTCTCTTCTCTGGCTCAGTCGTTGATGTTATTGAGGAACTTGTTAACTTGGCTTTAGTCACTGGACGTTTCTTTGCAGAGGTTTGTCTGGAGTTGTTGCCGTTGTTGTTGCTGTTGTGGTGGTTGTGGTGGTTGTGGTGGTGGTTGTTCAAGGTTTCACCTTGACTTTAGCTTTGTCATCAGGAGATCGACAGAATACGAAATTCGAATTAAGAACAAAGGATGACAATATTTTGTAAACTAGCTTTATTTAGCAATCTGTCCAAATAAGCTCTTCGCGTCTTCTCTCCAACTGTCTGCAAAGAGGTTGAAAGATCCAGGAGCCTTGAATGAGCGAAAAGCCGGTTCATTGTAACCAGACTTCTTCATCGTGTCGATTCTGATTATAAGGACTGCCAATGTGTTATGTCCGTAGTGATTCCGTAAGAGACGACCCCCGTAGGATCGTTGTCTGTGTCATCATCGAATTTACGTTTTCGTCAGACGATATGGCAACGCCTGTGCCCGCGTTGCAGCAAGCAAACAAGACGATTCCACAACATAGTGTACAGATCCAAATCCGTGTCGTCCTGATATTACCTTGTCCATATTCAGCTTCAGGTCCGGGAACAGTGCGACTGCATGCATGAGGAATGCAGTGATGCAGGTCGGTACTCCAGCTCCATCCTGCGATGGCATCAATTTGATTGCGCCAGTCAACGTTGCGTATATATCGTCCAGTGCCTGGTCAAGCTCCTTGGAAGTCAACGATGTGTTTCCAAGGTCGTCTAGAGGCAGGGGAGGGTGTGTGTGTGTGCGCTCTAGGTTAGGGTAGTGGTGCTCTTGCCTTTAAGGGTGATGTCCAGTGTTATATCGTCGCCCGGGTCTTGCGCTGTATGTGCAAATTGAATTTTGTTGTCAGTGCCCATTCTTGAGAGCGTGCATTTACGGTTAGCAATTAGCCCGGAGACGGGAGACTGAGCGTGAGGGCGAGGGATAGGGCGAGGGCGAGGGCGAGGGATAGGGTGGGGGCGAGGGCGAGGGCGGGGGGGATGAGGACGGAGACAAAGTCGTGAAATTTATGCTGATCTCAACAAACGTTATTCATCTGTTCGCGTTCTCTGTGCCCTCTCCCTGAGGTGTTTGTGTATGCTCTCTACACAGCCCAGATTGCGCCTTTCATAATGATCTATATTACAAAAATTCATATTGAGCTAAGGAAAATCGCCCTTTGAGCGTGCATACTGTCTTTTCAAGAGTTGCAAGCTAACATCCTCCGCGGACTTTGTCACAGACATGAAGTATCGGTGGGCAAAACCAATATAAATAACATATCGTCTTTGCCTTGCTGTCATGAAGACGTTCATCTCGACATATTCATCTGTTCTTCCCCTCCTATTATGCTCGATTCATTTTCCGTGAGCTACAAGCTCACCGCGAAGCGGGCCAGGATATTTCAAGTCTCTACTATCATTGCAACAATCGCCATTTTCGCCTATAATTTCATCACGACATGTTCCCCAAGCTTATCTTTGACCTATTCTCAAGACTGCAGCAAGACGTTGCTTCCGGCCGGTTCCACGTTCAACTACAAATGGTTCAAGATGACAAGCGGGGTCCAACTAGATTATGATGGGTTTATACCGCAGAACTGCAGCCTTAAAAACGTCGTCATTCGACAGTGGTTCACAGCTATGCCCATCTACATGGCCGACATGGACATAGACTGCGACCAGGGCGTCAGTTTGTCCGTATTCGATCTAACCACCAGCTTTCGGGATCAACATTTCGAGGATTTTAAAGCAACCGCCGCTTTTTTCAGGAATTATCCGAAAGGCGTGGGTCCGTTTGAAGCTTTGGGATTCAAGTACAACATGCCTGCCTACCCCGTACAAGCGATACTTCTCTTCAACGGTACTTCGATTACAGAATCTCTTGATACTTCTGACAAGGATCCCCAGCAAAATCTATATTTCGAGACGATGCGGCTTGCGTTGGAAGAGGTTCAGGACAACACTCTCCCTGGCGTGAGATATCAATGTAGTCAATGCAGCCGGAATGCGGACTGGACTGGACAAATGGGCTCCTTACTCTGGAAACTTTTTTATAACACTGCCAACACTGTTGGTTCCGCCATTGGTATCATCCTGTTTGCCATAACCCTGGGAATGAAGAACGATCTTATGGAGCTTTTGCGGCGCCAGCAAATGTCCAAGGGAACAGACTATCTCCATGTAGCCTTGTTATAAAAAAAGATCTCCGTGCAGCTACCATCTGTGTAATTTATTCAACTGAATGATAAGGAATGAAGTAATCCTTGTCCTGGGTCAGGCAGAAGAAAACTTCACATGGATTGCAGAACTAGCTTGTTCTGCAATTGAGAGGTGGTTGTTTGGTTTTCAAGGCATTGCGTCTGCATGCACTGCACTCAGCTGTCATTGTTCTCCAACTACTTCCTATGAATAGATAGGCGGTGTCCAGGAAGGAATCGTTTTCCACAAAGATCAGAATGTTACGTTGTTGCATATTGTCCTTGTTGTTGCTTCGCCGGCCGTCCCTGTTGTTGACAGCCTCCCTGTCCTTGTTGCTGTCCTTGATCGTCGAGCTCCTTCAAAACTGCTCTACCTATCTTCTGACCTGCTTTTTGATGTGAACGGGTTACATGCTGCTGCGCCAGTTTGAGACGAAAATCGCACCTTGTTTTGACGATGGTAAATGTTCCATATACTATAGGCATTGATGATCGCGGTATCCAGCAGCTAGTGGGACAGGGGCATCCATGTCCGACTTGTACGCCATTGAACAGTGTATTACTGGCAAAGTTGATATGCAATGTCGACTTCAACTATATTCATACTGTAATCGTCTACTACACGGGGGACCAAGAGTAACTTGTATGGTTCTTCACCAAATACCTCGCGGACTTTCACAGCATCGGTGCCTGCTCCAGAACGAGGACATCGTTCACAGCTACTGCTCCCTTTGCATCCCAATCGAGTTGCGCGTTTTCGAAGCCTTTCAGTTATAGAGGGAATTTTGAAGAATCGGTTCCACACGCGCCAATTTGTCGATTTCGCAAAAGGAACAGCAGAGGAAAGGTTATCCGTGTAGACGTTGAATCTGCGATGGTGTTGTTGTGACAGTTGGCTGACCAGGAACAGGACTTTTTGCCCAGTGACGGATAAAAGTCCATCCCCTTCCTGGGCCGGCGGTGAAGTATCAAGCTCGACGTTGGATTCAATACGAGACTCGGGCAGGAATGCGAATGTATAGCCAGAGCCACGAAATGCCAAGATCCTGTAGTCTTTAAGAGTTGGTTTCATTTCCATGCGGACGGTGTGTTTGCTGCGACCAGAAAATCGGATAATCATCTGATCAATGGGGAGATTTTTTTTTGGGTAGATGTGCATTTTGGATACATGCTGGATGTGGTGGAGCAGAGGCAGCAGTTTGTCATAATAGCTGGCGCGCGTTGTGTTGGCGTTTGGTGGTGCATTTGGATCTGAAATGTGGAGGTATTTCCTGACCCATCTGACCTCCTGTATTGTAGTGTGTTTTGAAATTGGGTGATTGGGCATCCATTCGTTTGTTTCTGAAAAATGGTCTTCGAAACGAGACAATAGACAGTTTGCGAAACTGAACTCGACCCTCGAGTTCGCTCGAAGTTCAATAAAGTTCACGCTAGTGAATTTTTTCAAACTCAACTATGCCTCTGAAGCTCGAGTTCGAGCTCTGAACTCGAGGGTCAGAAGCAAAGTTCATTCGGCGTTTTGATTGGCTTGCTACCAGGCGGCTTTGTCTAGATATATGAAAAGAAAAGTCAACATGAGTTTGTCACTCCATTACTTCTCTTCGTCAATGAGCTTCACACAGTCCACCTTTACATCACAGCAGCAGCAACCGCAGTATGTGCCGCAACAGAGTGCCCCTCAGCAACAACAGCAGCATCAGCCGTATGCGTCTCTGCAGCAACAACGTCCTCTCGCACCTCATCCTCCTCGCTTCTCCACGCAACAAGGGCCTCAGCTACCTCGCCCTCCACTTGACCAAGTCTCGCACCAACAACCACCCGCACAACTGCAATCCCAGGAACCTGAGCAAGAGGGAGAGTCCACTCTCCAAAACCGCAATGGATCCACCTCGATGGATACCATGATGGAGCATAGTCAGGAACAGTCGGTTAGAAAGAAGCGCGATGTATGTCAAGGTTTCGCACCAAGGAGCAACAACTACCACGCCAACACTATCACTCTACTCGAGGGCATGATGGGACACCCACCTTTCGTTGGACATGGTCAGAAGAAGGAGGCCTGGGAGAAGGTCGCAGCATATGTCAGGACACAAGGAGGGCGCGACCTAAAGAAGGCTAACTACCTTCTTTGCATGAGGCGATATGATGCGCTTAAAAAAGAATTCAAGCAACAAGAGGCAGCATCACGGAGGTCAAGTGGCGGCACAGAGACTATGACAAGGCAGGATGAGCTTTTGCTGGAACTGGTACAGAAGGAAGACGACTTCGACGGGCATAGACAGCAACAAAGTCAAAGCACAGTGGATGATTTTTCGGCTCAAAACTTGGAGGAGTTTTATGGTCATACCAACAGGCAGGAGTCATTACGACAGATGAGCATGCCCACGACTTCATCGGCCACGGCAGCATCCTCATCATCCATGGATCCCTCTTCTTCGACTTCATCATCTTTTTCTTCCTCAAGTTCATCATCTACCACCACAGCAACATCTTCGAATCCAAACCGCCTGGCAACAGCTGAATCTGTTCGCTTCAACCCTATCAACAGACGCGCTCCGCGATCACAGGCTCCACGAGCAAGTACTGTTGAGAAAAGAATGTTGGAACTCATGGAAAACATCAACGGACTCGTTTCGGATATTCGAAAAAAGATTTAAATTCAATCCTCTTTTTTTTTTTTTTTTTTTTTTTTAATACACAGCACTACTATATCCCTTAATATAAACGTTTTGATTGCCTTGTTTAATCATGAAGATACTCATCAAGAGTGGGGGGTTGACTCGAAACTTGGAAGAGGATGAGTTTGTTTGTCGGATGCAGGAGCGAATGTTTGCAAAAAGGACAGAGCAAATATAGTGGGTGTGCACCTCCATAAGAAATCAGAGAAGGGGAAGTATTGCAGAACGTAACCAAAGCACCACTCAACACCAATTCTGACCTTAGACATACACTCATTGAAACGCTGCTCCTCAGGAGAGATGCCTGCTGTGTGGAACGGCCGCTGCATGATGTCGCTCAGTATATAAGCAGGATCTCCATACAGACTCATCTGGCGGTTGTCATACCCTTTTGCACATGCTCGAAGAATCGGAGCAAGGGCAGACATCTCGAAAAGACGCGAATCATGGCGGTTCCCTGCAAACGGCCCAGACAGGTGAACAATGATACCATCGGGTGTGGCAACTGACTGATACTTCATGGCGTGAACGCGCTTGTGGCCATTGTAGATTTGCTCTTGCCCATCGATTGGACGACAAACTGCACGAACAGTACCATCAATAAATGCAAAGCTTGAAAGGCATGGTGCATTCTGCCTTCGGATAGCATAATGAAGCTCTTCCAACTTGTCGGGGCCGAGACGGATGGGATCCCAAAAGAGTCTTTGCCTCCATCGCCGATAGAGGAACCGAAGGGTGTGGTTGAAAATGCGTGATAGCATAGATTGTGATCGTCCAAAGATATCCATGAGATCAAAGAGGCGGCATGGATATGCAAGTCGACGCAACACGATACAAAGCGCCTCGACAGAGTGAACTTTGGAGCCATTGTCAAGGACGAAGATCTCTGGCGTTCGCAATGCAACAACCATCTCCAGAATGTCCTCCTGGTAAAAGCGGAAATAGAGCTGACAGTTTGGTCTAGGGACTTGTTCGAGATCGAAACGAATGTTGGGTATGCGAGGTCGCTCAATCCTGGGCCGTATTTGCACAAAGTTTCCATGCATCACCTGGATCGCCTGTGCAATAAGTTGTAATACTGGAATGAAGCGCTGCAGCTGCTGTTGAGCATCAGGATCTGGCACAACCTCATCATCCATCCTTTCAACAGCCCCTCTCACTAGCTCAATACCTGCCACAATAGCTTGAACTCTCCTGTCATCCTCGAAGTCTCCCTGCTCCTGCTCGGGTTCATGATCCTCGTTCTCGATCTCGTTGGCAGCCTCGAGCCGCATGTCTTCCAACTCGGCCCCAATCTCATCCACACCAAAGAAATACTCAGCGCGATCAGGAATAACCACCCCCTCCTCTCTGTTCGCGGCCAGGTCAGCTTCATACTGGATCTGGCCTTCGAGCTCAGCATCCAAAAGGTTGCGCTCAAAACCGTCGAACTCTTGATCCCATAGAACATGATCGAATTCATCGTCATCATGTAGAACTTCGTCCACGGCATTAAGCTCGTATGCAGCGTGGAGTTCGTCGATATCGGTGTCATTGCTGTAGATGCTGCTGGCGTCACTGTCTGTATCGCGCTCCATCTCTGTGGGCTTTAATGAGTAAGGACGGAGGGAAGAACAATGGAGTTTAAAAGCAAGCACACCACCTTTCTTTAATTAAAGCGTGTAAGCATAGTTCGCGTCTGCTTGTGTTTTTTTTTAAATGTGAAAAAAATGCGCTCCCATTGGTGCAATGTGAACTTGCGAAATTGCGGTGAACTTGTGGTAAGACTTTCGCAATGACCAAAAGTGCGAGTCCCTACTTGATAAACTTTGATTGTACTGGATGATTTGTTTCGCAAACTGTCTAATGGAAACAGGTCACGATAGATTAAGAACGCGAGGGAACGAAGCAACAGCGGCTTCGTAAGGCTGATTGGTTCGATGTCATGATGTTACTCAGTGTGCTTCTCAGCCTGGACATTCGCTGCATAAAGGTTTGTGTTGTTCACGATCGTGTCCAGCATGGTGTCTGGGAAGAAAAGCTGAAAAGACTCGTCCTCGTCGAATTGAAGTACATAAGGTGACAGAGATTGAACGTGCGCGGAATGGTGGCCTTGTGGACATTGTTCAGGCTGGTTAGTGGTTTCGAAGATCAGCGGCTTTGGCAGTCGATTGTCAATCGACACACTCGTGGTACGCAAATCTTGCTTTAGATTTGAACATTGCGTGTAAACTGCATACCGCTCACCTTTCTTCATCTTCACTGGCATTATTACCGTCTAGAGATTGATGGCTCTTTCTGGCTTGACCTCTTCCTGACCTCCCCGACCTCGTCTCACTTGTCCAAGCTGATCGCCTCGACCCCATGCCCCAGCATGGTCGCCTTCAGATCTTTCCTCCACTTCATACAGGTTTGTATTGTTTTTAGGGCAGTAATGACTGATTCGTACTCGACAACTGATCCATAGTATCCTCGGAGTAGTTGACTTGGCGATAAGAAGGGTAGCTCTCATCGCCATCATTGGTAAACTCACGACCATCAGAGAAGGTGTCGAATGTCCATGATGTGGAAGTAGGAAATTGTTGTACAAAAATTTGAGCACACAACTTCGATCGTGGGAATTCTCAATGAGGGTGATCCCATTTCAGCTCACTCCTTAATATCAATTCCAAGTAAATGCCAACTAGGTTATACTTCTAGGTGCACCGAGGGCCAGGTGCCAATATGTGCTTAGAAAGGGGGCGGGGATGGCAATCATGATAGTATTTTACAATTGCATTTTCTTATTAAAATTCATCCCATATATGGGATGAATTCGGGACAAGGGATAACTACGAATTAAGCTAAATTGAGTTATGTCCATGATGCAATACAGCATGATTACGCACGTTTTTTGCTGTGCAAAAAATGCTGTGTTCGTTCTCCTGCAACTATGCACTAACTCCGGGAATTGAGTAAATGTTTTCGGATTTTTCATTCTTCTTGTCAAAATACTTTATACGACAGAACTTTCTTTGCAAAACTTAATCAAGTTGTAACGCTGCATTCAAAGTTTCAAGCATAGTTCTCTTGTATTGCGTACTGCATCATTAAAGACGGTACGAATAAATGTTTGCAACTATGTCATTTACTCAATTTCCGGTTCCTGGTGCTGCCATGTCGTACTCGAATCTTTCTCCATTAAGTCGCTATCAGATCTCCATCCTCAATAGTCAGCGCGCTCTCCCTCTGCGTTCTAAAGCGCCCCAACCCTTCGCGGCATGCTCTCAATTAGAATCCGGTAGACTGAAGCAGGAGTTTTGTTCCACTCGAGCTGCAATCGTTCCCACAACTCGATTATTCCTTCAGGAAACTCAGGGCACTTGGCTAGTTACCTCCCGAGGTGCTCCCAGAGGTGCTCTATCGGGTTCATATCTGCAAGTTATAGTTCTTTTCCTCTAAAAATATTTTGGCTGTTCTTGAGGTGTGTTTGGAATCGTTATCCTATTGGAAAATCATATCCTGTAGCCAGATCCCATAACACTCTTGCGTCAATGGAACACATTCCTCAAGGATCCCGACATACAACTCAGCATCCATTGTTCCATGGGTTTGAAAGATGAAACCTGGTCCTGAGTATGTTATGCAATCCCACATAAAGAGGCGGCCTCCTCCGAACTTGGGCACCTCCTCAACGAGCCGGTCCTGCGCGCCGATTTTTTTGTCTTTCCAAACCCAGCCCTTCCCATCGGACCCATATCAGTTGATCCTAGTTTCATCTGTCCATAGGACCTGTTTCCAGCCGTCGACAGCCCAATGCTTACACATACGGACGAAATCCATACGTGCCTTATGATGTTTTGGGAACAACTTGGGACGTCTGACCTTTCTCATTGCTATCAAGCCCTCCTCTCTGATGATCTCTCTAGTCCTGTAGGGCGAGACGTTGATATCGAATCCCTGGAAGAGGTACTTCTAGGTGTCGGCGGCCGTTTTAAGGTTGCCGTTTATGATACCTCGTACGATTGCGCGCTGAGTGGTTGGGGATATCTGGCTTCGGCGACCGGCTTCGGCTGGAGGAATACTTTGTTTTATTTTTTGGACTGGAAAACAGAGTGCTTTCGAGCAATATGTCTTGACAGACCCTGGAAAGCATTGAGACGCAAAGAGACTTTGTGTACTACAGGATACAGAAAACAATAGCAGTGGTTACATGTCAGGCAAGTGCCCGGAGACTGGACGACGTTAGGGACTTTGTGCAAAAGAGAAAAGAAAAAAAAACTCGCTGACATTTTATTGTAGACGACATTGGCGGCGGGAGGGCTTCAAGGCTTTGTTGTTGACAGCATTGTCACTCTTGATGAAATACATCCCCTACGGTTGAAATGACAGCGTTTTGTTTTAGACACCGCTGCATCTCGAAGACAACGGCGTCTTGTTCTAGACAAAACTACGATTTCAGCCAACACGGACCATTTGCTTGGCCCTCTTGAGCATTGAAAAACAGCATGGGTATTCCCTAGTTCTGAAAGCAAGATGGCTCGATCGGATATAGTCTACCTGGCCCAGCTGGCATCCTTAGCCCCTTTCTCTCACTCTTCCATTATATCCATACAGCTACAATCAAGACCCTCTTACTTTTTGTTCCAATCCATTAAACAACTGCCATGCGAGAATGAACATGATTATATGGAATGGCAAAGGGGACACGGATAATGTAGGGACATAAGCAGCATTTAAAAGCAGCAGCATTAGCAGCGCAGCGCATTCCTGTTCTTTGCACTAAAGAGGCATTGTTTATCACAGATTCAGTTGTGCTGATATTTATGCCTCATATTTGCTGCTGCACAATGCGTGGACCATGAGTGCTATTCTCTATTGCGAGCAAACTAGCTAGTTTAAAATACTGCCATTATCCATCTCGCTCGATGCTCCTTTGCGTTTTTTTTTTTTTTTTTTTTTTTTTTTTTTTTTGATTTTAATCAACAATAGCTTTGATTTTGTCTTTGAGCCGTTTATACTGAATATTCATCGACTAACCTCATTTTAGAGCTGGCAGTGCGTGGACATGGATGCGAGAGAATTTAGAATTCAGCTGGGATGCGAGCAGAAGGTATACCTACGCCAGGCCCTGTGCAGTAGTAGTAGTAGTAGCAGTAGTAGCAGTAGTTGTTTGACCAAGAGACACTGTGAGTAGGATACTCATTTATTAATGGTTGAGAGAGACGTTTAGCTATCGACTATAGTCTGATTAATCCAGGAGCGCGACTAAGCAGAGGCAGAGCTGATAGACCCTGCAGATGCAGAGAGTCGGGCGTAGTGGTGTTGCTTAATAGAGTTCTCCTCCTGCACAGCATATTCCCTTGCCAGACGTTCATAAGTGTTTCTCTCGAACTGATTAAGTGATTTGATGTAAACTCTTCCTGTCTGTTGCGGCATCAGCGGATTGTCGAGTAAAAGAGAGAAGGCATAAGAGTTAATATACTGAGAATTAAGTTTTCGAGATATTACCCATACACCAATGGTGAACTTACTGGATGCTGGTTCAGCCGATTAAAGAATGCTATAGTGTCATTGCGGACACTGACCATTGGATGGAAGAGCCCATAGGCGATACAGAATAATCCGCCTTGAGATAATGGAAGACTGGACAAGAACTACCGACACAGACAACCATAAGGAGGTTAGAAGATATCGTCATATAGTAATATAGTAATCCCACCAATTTTGATTTCTGGTTACCTCAATAATTTGTTCGTCCGTGGAAATGTTTTGCAAAAATCCCTTGAATAATGTTGAGACATCCTGTGGAGATAACGTCCTTGCCAATTTAAGTAGCGAAATAACGCGCTTGACATCCATGCACTTGATAGATCTTGATGATAGCCAAGCTTTATGATCCTATTGACACCAAACATGGAGATACGGACACGTTACACCGTGTAATTAGTGTATAGCCTTAAAACTTCCACATGAAGCGAACAATCATGAATGCAGAAGGGCCGCTTACCTCCTGGAGATACGTATAGCTAGTTGTTGCTCTCCAGCCCTCGATTCTGCTTGCATTCGCGGCGATCTCACGAGCTCTTGAAGTCTCATCCGCAAAGACGAGTCCCGTACCCAGGTACTTTGTGGACTCTGGTGTGTTGACGCGGTTGAGACCAATGGTAGTCTGGCCATATGTTTGTTCTTCATATTGCGATGCCAACTGAACGAACCGTGTGACATAGTCTTGGAATTTCGCCCGAATTACTGTCTCTCCATAATGTGCCTGAATCGCATTCAGTATCTATTTTGCAGTAAAGATTAACAAAGGAAGCGATTGTTAGACGATGTCCAACACCGCTATCTTACCTTTCTGGTGGGAGGACATAAAACAGAAGATATCTTACATCTGTCATGAATTCATTGTCGCCATTGTCGTATTTGCCGCTTGGTTGACTAGTGGGTGCACCGCTGAAGATCGCGATAGGCCGTGTATCGTCATAGGATCCGGAGCCTTGAGATACCATGGCAGGCATCGGCGTGATGTCCTTGCTGACGGTGATCTTCCCAGTGTCGATATTGCAGAGTACATCCCACCATGCTGTGCGGTCCTCGAAAAGTTGATTGGTCACACCGGCGATGAATCCTTTGCTGTAGATAGATAATATTATGAAAACAACTTGGTAAGCCAGAATACATGAGTTCAGCCTGAGACAGGCGTTGGGCAGGTTATGACCTTGGCAACGATATGTTTACATATATTTACCATGTCAAAAGATGATCAATGCCTGCCAAGTTCGTGTAGGGATAAGCGCGTTCAGGAAATCCGCGCAGTACACCTCCTGAGCCGCTTCCGAGAGCACATGCGGCCAAGACGAAGTTGGCAACATCTCCTGCGGGGTGCCCGTTACCCAAAAAGATGATCCTCTTTCCTGTCAAGAGCGCATTCATTAGGAGCATGATGGGGTGTGTGTTCGGTCCATTTGAGTCCAGATGTGCGTGAAATGGATGCGAATTGGGCGAAGGCGATGCTGGACTGAAGGTTGTAATGAGCTTGATCAATGAGAACTAGTCGATTTATGGATAGGGAAATGTTAGAATGGTTCTATTGTCCTATGAGTCCGGATTGCCCTTCCATCGACGGGGCGAGTAAGGCAGATTGCGGACCAAATCCAGACGATCCTTTCTCCCAGTCATCCTTACCTCTCCAACTTCTTCAGGGTTGATGCTGAGTGGCACTCTGATGGGAATCTTGATCCCGTCGTAGACGACCTTGGTTTCATAAAATTGACAATCTCTGTTCTTGGCCATCGCCGCTGTTGCTGCTGCCAAGGCTGTTGCTGCACCTCCCTCCTTGCCTTTGAGAGGCGCTTGTCCCACGACAATTCCCAGTCCATACGTCATATCAACCTTGCCTGGCGCATCTTCGCTCGCCCCTGTGGCTGCCTCAAACTTTTCAATGAACAGTTCCTTGTTGTCTGATGATCTCAAAATCATGCGCTCATATGGCGAAAGGTCCGGTGGGCTGAGCTCCATAGAGTTGACGGACTCATACAATGTCTTTAATACTTCGACGGACGGGTCCTTGAAGTAGTTTTCGAGCGCAAGCAAGAGCACAGGCTAAAATTATGTTCCCAGGGAATTGGGCAATTGAATTAGTACCGCAAATTCCAGAGCAACAGCAAGCGCATTCCCCCATTTGCTTTTCCAAAGTAAGAGGATGGATAAACTTGCCTTGTAAACATGCAGGTACTGGTGGGTGGTACAAATCGCCATTGCCTTCACTGCAGCACCTCTAATATCCATGAATATGTCTAAAAATCAGTAAAGTATGCGGACTGCAAGATCATGGTTTCCGTACCAACTGTTTCTTTCCTGCGATACGTGGGATTGCCATTACCTGCGAATGGAAGCATCGTGATTGGTACGGACCAAATTCAGGACATAAAGAAGAGGATTCTCGACTTCATCCGTCAATGCATTGTTGCCGTTCCAGGGAGCTGGCTTCGCCTGATTCAAGAAAAAGATTGTCCAGTCAGCCGGCCTTAGATGGGCACCGTCAGGCAACATGAGCTCTGCCAGTACACTATATCAGACACAGTTGTGCACAAATGAGGAGTAAGAAGTGATCCCGTTAGCGAGCGATTTTCAAGGCGTTGTGCTTATAGTCGAGTGCCCGCGCTGTAGTGCAACTAATCCATACTGGTTGTCCGAGGTGATGTTGGTTGGGTACTGATGTGTCAAGGTCGAGCCCTGGTCGATATCGAACTCTGCTAACAGGATGGTCGTGACATGTTGGGGTGCCATTTATATCACTCCAATATATGAGGTACAAGTCAATTGTTGATAAGGTATTGCAGCAGCACCTCTCTCGTGCGACAGAGGAAAAGGAAGGACAGATGAAGAAGGGACGAGAGGACAAGATGATGAAAAAAGAGGCTGAGGATGAATGATGGAAGAGGTCAATGGATGGTGGAAGGATTGGCTGCAGTGTTTGGGTAGAATGTGATGGCAGTGGGTCGAGAGCGTTCGTTGGTTCAAGAGCTCGTGAGAAGGAACGAGGCTCTGCCTCCTTACAGCTCCAATTGCTTGGAGGCCTATTTTTTTCCCGCCAGCCCGTTCCTGAACAAATTTTAGTGACGAGCGCGCCCAGCAGCATGGCGCGTACTACGACTATATACACGCGGTGCCGGATCCAGGAAACCCTTCAGCAACACATCCACGGCGTCAAATATCGGAAACACAGATCAAGTACGGAGCCAACTGCGTCTCGTATCGTGATGACCCACAGCTTAAGGAAAAAGCCAAGACGCAATGAGAGAGACATTCGCGACTCTCAATATCTATGGACAATATTCTGGAGCCTTACTCAAATATGCATTCATTTTGCGCCTCATAAGCGCACCTAGAAGAAAAAGCGATGAGTTGGCTTCCACTCCATATTTGATGTGGGAGATTAGAGAAGTTTGATACAACAAACAAACTCAAAACACAAAACAAGCAGAAGTGTTATGGAAGTGGTCGGAATGTTAACTCAGCAAAGAGCAAGCAAAGATAATACGTCCTATCCCCCACCCCCAGCCTCATCCGACGCCATATGGCAGGCGCAAGGGTTGAACAGATCAAATGAAGAAGAGGTGAGTGAAGCCCACTGCACGCAGCTAACCGTCAATCCGGGGCTATTTACGGAACATCGATTAGTGTTGCCAACCACATTTTCATCAACAATGAAGGTATTCCCGATTCCTTTTCCACTGTCTGGGATTAGCAGCAACAAACTATACACGGTCGTCATTTGCTCTCCAACTTAATTGTGGCACGCATTGTCTATGTGAGGGCTAGGTCTGGAAATGAAAAGTATTAAATAATCTGCACGCATCCTCCCACAGCTATATGCAGAGCGAAGGTTGCTGTTCTCAGTTCTAAAAGCATGGCGCGCTTCCATGCATGCTTTCGGACGTTAAGAGGAGTACTCAAGGGTTTGGGATTGTTTGGTGCAGAGATCTGAGCTGAACAAAAAAGGCACAAACCGTTTGATGAACCAGCACAAACCTGTTGGGAAGCAGCATAGGCACAATCAGCGCACATGCTGGTTCACATTGCAGAGCCTTGTCTTTTGTCTATTCTCAATAAAACTCTTCGTGCCACTATTTTTCACACAACGCATGCAATTCTTCACTTTAGACGTGTTTTGCAATGGCCAGTCAGAACGAATATGACAACGATTTCGCTTTTGACGACGATGTCGACGATGTCGACGATGATTACCGTGACGAAGGCTACACCAATGAAAGGCCCATGGGCGAACATCTAATGTTCGGTAAGGACGGAGACGGGGATGATAGCGATAATAGTTATAGTGGGCTTTCTGTAAGATGATTATTTGTAAGTCTGTAACTCCATATCCTCCAAATGCTGCCTGAAATTTGCTGGCCCCAAACTTATTGCTAACACGTCTTTTGCGTGCTTCAATGCTTCTGTAAACTCTCTTGACCCGACGCTATTAGCGTACACGTAGAGAAGGTTTACAATACTCCGTCCACAATAGCCTTGCACAAGACCAACTTTGTGGTGGGTCATATGAAATCTTGGACGCGCCAGCGGACGTGGAAATCACAACACAGCAATCGCCAGAAGCATCTGCAAGGAGCGAAGCCAGTATCTATGCTACGTCCCGCCGCGGCAAAAGAGGGCTTCCCAAAAACCCTTCTCCTCCTCTTGCAGTACAACAGCAACTGTCTTTAATGTCAGATCAGCAAGGTTTCATCGTTCAATTTCACACTCGATTCACTCTCCTCTTTCCACGCAACCCGGTAACACCACAAGTCTCACAGTCGCTTCGGGAGTTGCAAGCTTGCTCTAGTTCTGCTTCCATAAGGACCTCATCCGACACTGCGTAGTATAGGTGTGTGTATAGCGCTCGTCCTAATTCTTCCTTCACTCAACGCATGCTCTATCAAGCGCCTCCACCGCCCTCCCGTTCACGCGTGCCTCCTCCGTCCTCTCGCGGCCTCGCCAATGCTTCACCCTTTGCCGTACCAGATATAGCTCTCTGTACAGCAAATTCTTTGGAGCAGCGCCGACGTGACGTACGAAACAGTTATAGCGCAGCAGACGGATGGTATCGGTTATATGAATCCCTCGAACTTGGCACCATACCCAAACCTGAATAATGCAACGACGCTCTTCCGTCACAAAGACTATTAGCGAGGGGCCCAAGACCGAAGTCCTCGCGCAAGGACAACGCTCTGGGCCGTTTCTACACCTCGTACCTAGACATGGAGTTTCAATGCCAGGTTGTGAACGACTCTGGCGATATCTGTGGACAACGATACAGGAAGTCAGGAGGCGGCAGAGCACGAACAAACTACATCACCAACCAGTGTTTGTGAAGCAAGTCGGGATATTGCTGTTCGTTAGGATGGTACAGAATCAGGAGAAATATGTTTCTCCTGCCTGTAGTACATACATGTGAAATAGCGCGCTGCAAAGGTAACATTTATAGGCATACACTCGCCTGCGATCCTAGTTATCCTAGTGTTATTTCCCCACTGCTCATTACTTTACCTCTCACTCTTTGGTTTTACGAACCCACTGAGTGCTTTAGTTTTGCTCTTGGTTACCATTTTTTTTTTTTGTAAATTGTCATTGACAAAGAATGCTCTGTATAATTTCTTCCGAAAGCGCAATTCATACACTAGATAATAAAATTCAACATACTAGCGCTATTCTCCTATTTGCATCACCTTCGCCTTTCAAGCAAGCGAAAAGGCATTCACCGGGTCGACCGGCTTGCTGACTGTACAGCAGGAGAATCGGCTGTGGCGGCGGTATCCATCATATTGCGGTTTGATGGCGCCTTGAGTCTATACGCCACGGACGCCATGCTAATTAGCTTTTTGCTTACCTCGCGGAAGCTCAAAGGCAGAATCGGCTGACCCACAGTGCTGCGTTGTTCTAATAGCCGCATATTTATCCTGCTTAAGTCTTGCACGTTTTGGATAGATGCATTTGACATGATAAGTCTGTCATGCATCGAACTCCAATGCAGGCACACCTGATAGCGATCCTCCTCTTCTATGACCTGCCACATGCGAACAGACTTATCGTTACAGCCGGTTGCGAAATAGGTGCCGTTTGGAGTAGCGTTCCAGGTGATGCTTGTGATTAGTCCATGGAAATCTTCAACCACTGCCAAACATTGACCCGAATTCACTTCCCACAGTCGCACCGTCCCGTCGTTACTTCCCGAGACGATCTGCTGGCCACTAGGTGAATACACCACGCTCGCAACACCGCTGGTATGGCCGCTTAAAATGGGACCAGGTGCGCCGGTTTGCGCGTCCCACAGTCGCACCGTCCCGTCGTCACTTCCCGAGGCGATCTGCTGGCCATTAGGTGAGTACACCACGCTCGTGACACCGCTGGTATGGCCGCTTAAGACAGGACCAGGTGCGCCGGTTTGCGCATCCCACACTCGCACCGTCCCGTCTTTACTACCTGAGGCGATCTGCTGGCCACTGGGCGAATACACCACGCTCGTAACTGAGTCGGTATGACCACGCAAGGTGTAGGCTTTTGCCCAACTCGAAGTATCATACATACTGATCGTGCCGTCGCCGAGACCTACCGCACAGAACTTCTCATCAGGCGAATACGCACAGGAACGCACCTCATCATCTTCTAAGAGATACGGCCGTTCGCCAAACTGCACGCGCGCCATCTGTGCGTTGTTCAAATTGCCCTGACGTAGCCAAACGTTGCGCAGATTGACTTTTCTCAAATCCGCCCCTTGCAGCTGGGCAGAATCGAACGCGCCATAGCTGAGGTCCGCCCCTGGAATCTGGATGCCTTTCAGATCCGCTCTATTGAACTGTACACCTGCCTTGACCAATATCGTGATCGCATTGGCCGCCGCCTTGCGCGCCTCTTTGTCGGTTTTCGAGCATTCGATCATAACGAGCAGCTGCTGCTTGAAGAGAGGTTCCTGCTGGACACGCTCTGCTAAAAAGTGCAGAATCGACGGCTCATCCACAAAGCTTCTCCGTGCCAAGGGTGAATCGAGCACCGCCTGTTCATTGGCCGCCACGGCTTCCTCTACAGCAGCCTGGTTTTCAAAGCTCATGATAGAATCGACGCTCCCTCGACGCGGTATGGCTTGAGTTAAAGCTGCACGACTCGCGCTCGCACTGTCTCGTGGCTCAAACACTGCTCGGGCCAAGCAGTACTCTAGCAGTGATTTATGGATAAACCGGTACTGATTGCCGCTGCGGGTCAGAGGACATGCCTCTCGCAAGAGCTGCTGCTTCTCGTCATCTCGGCTAAAGAAATCTTCTTTCCATGTCCCTTGATCGCGAAATGGCGAGTACTCGACCACCGGATTGCCCGCTTGCTCTTTGTACATCGCTGCCGCTAACGCTCTCAGAAAGGTAACTCCGTTCTGTGCAAAATCATCGTCGGACAAGTTCTCGAACACCTTTTTCTCTTGATAATTCAAGTCCTTCTTCTCAACGAGCCGCTTCTTGCCTCGCTCCAACCATTGCTCCAAAAACTGGTCATACAACGCGACTCTCGTGACCCGGACACCCGAGAGATCTTGTCCTGGATCCACCATGCGCGGCAGTACCTCCAAGGACAGCGTCAACATAAAGGGGTTCTTGACCAGGTCTTGCAGGCTGGGAATCAGACTGAAAGCCTTTAAGTAGTCCTTTGTCCGCCAGAGGGGTCTGTTGATGCACACGTATTGCTTGACATAGTCTTGAACTCGACTCATGGAAAATGGAACGATTACTGCTTCCAGAAAGACCCTCGATGCGGCGCTATAATCCCGGTCGGTTGGTTGGAATCGATCCCGATAAACGAGGCCAAGGTACTCGCTGCGGCAGCTAATGATCATCTGAGCTCTCCATTCTCCCGGCTGATTCAATCGATTGCTTGTGTACAAGTTATGGATCTGCTGACTCTCATCATATCCATCGCAAATCAAGATGAATTGGCGGTAGACCTTCAACTCTCTGATCTGGGACTCGGAGAACAATGCCCTACGTAGTTGTTTGGTGATCAGATCCTGCTCCGGTTTGTCGATGGCGGATAGGTTGATAAAGAGTGGAATTCGGCCGTGCTTTTTCTTGTAGGCATCCCACAAGTCGCACTCGAGCTGCCGGTTAAAGGTCGACTTGCCTCCACCCGAATCGCCTAGCAGGAGCATCACCTTACGTTCACTGCTCAGGAAGCCTTCAACTTCTTTTTTCAAGTCGAACAGGTTGTCATCGGACGCTTGCAGATTGGCCTTGGCTTGAAGAGGGATATAGACGGCATTACCTCGTTCCTCCAGTCGCTGCTTTCTCAGTCGTTGCAGGTCGGCTTCAACATCTGGCCTGTTCTGAACACGATTGAGCAGGAGCGAAGATGTCGGCTGGGGTAAAGCAACCGCCAACGGATACGAGGCGGGCCTCTCCTTGAGGCAGGTTTGAAACAGAGCACGTTTCGTTGCATCGCCATTCCTTTCCAACTCTTGAAGGAGCATGCCGGCGCGATCTTTTACCGGACTCTCAGTCGAAGCCTCCAAATGGATAAGGATTTTAAGGATCCATTGCTTGACGGTGGCATGCTGGCCCCATTGCGCATCATCCTCGTACAGCTCGCCTAAAAATGCGACGGCATTTTGGCGCGTAAACTCATCCCAGAGCGGATTGCCTGCGAGGATCCCTAGGCGTTGGCATACACCCCATTGAAAGGCAGGGTCTCGCCGGCAGGGCGCTCCACAGGCCAGCTTCTTGGATCTCGCTAGTTGGCCGTCCTGAAGCAACGTGTCTATGCCGCGTAATGCTGGATACCACGGGTTTCTGTCCTTGAAGCTTTCTTTGATAGACTCTAGAAAGGATTTCCCGCTCTCCACCAGCGAGGTCACCCTTTGGTTCGCGATGATGATTTGAACGACATGGGATGTAGGCAGTCCTTCTTGAATATGCGCCAGTTGACCAATAAAGTTCTCGAGATCCAGATCCTTGGCCGCGCTCGCGACGCCTGAAACACCTTGTGCCACTTTTATCGTGCGCCATGGCGTGGTTTGCACCAAAGATTCGTCGTTGGGGACATGCAGTAAAGCTTGAAAGGCATAGGCCGCTTGATATACCAGATAAGGGTCTGAGCTACCCTTCAGCTCATTCAAATAGGCAGAGAAGGGTTTATGCAATTGTTCGTGGCTCAAGTCCTTGACATGACAATCGGCCATCGCATCCAGAACGTGCGATACCGTCAGCGCCAATAGATACAGATGCTCGGTCGATTGATGGTGGGTGTGCTGTAAGCGCGTACTGAGAGCCTCCAATATATCGACCAGATCATCAGCTTCAAGGTATCCCGGTGTAGCGTCCTGCATCAATTGTGCCAGCCCTTCGAGTTGATGGATCTCCAATAAAGCGCCATGACGGATTCCGTCGATAAATTTCACAGGTAGCTTTTTGAACTCTCTTTGAGCCACTTCCGCGACTATGGTTTCCTGTTGAAAGTCCTCCTCGTCGATGAAGGCCTCGACCAGATCTGTTGCTAGCATGCGCAGCCTTTTCTGTTCATCAGGATCCGTAACTTTGGCTTGCGACCAGGCGCGTTCTGTTTCATCGAGTTCTTCAGCAGAAAGCTTCGGACTGGGCAACAAACTGAGGCAGTATGCGAGTTGAGAGGTGCTGGTGATGCGCTGATCCGGTTCCGGTAGTTCATATTTGACGGCGGGACGGGCCACGTTCAGTATCGTAATAGCATTGGTTGCCGCCAAGCGCACCGTCTTGTCCGTTTTCGACCGTTCAATGACGGCGATTAACTGCTTTTCAAAGACAGCGTCTTGTCGGACTCGCTCCTCCAAAAAATGCAAAATCGAAGACTCACCCGCGAAATTGATTCGCGTTAAAACCGATTCGAGCACAGCGTGTGCAGTGGTAGAAGACTCTTCCTTGTAACCGCCTCGATTCTCAAAGCTCGATACTGAACTCGCGCTCCTTCGAGTGTACAATGCTGGTGCCGATCCCGCGCTGTTACCGTTCTCTCGTGGTTCAAAAACTGCTCGAGCGACGCAGTACTCCAGGAGCGATTTATGAATAAAACGGTACTGATTGCCGCTGCGGCTGAACGGGCTAGCTTCAAGGAGTAGTTGCTTCTCGTAGTCTCGCCCAAAGAACACGTCCTTCCAAGTCCCTTCGTCGACAAAGCGTCTGTATTCTACTACTGGGTTTCCTGATTGACGTTCGTAGATAGCTGTTGCCAGGTCCTTCAAAAAGGCGATGCCGTTCTCTGTAAAACCTTCCTTAACTAAGACTTCAAAGGCGCGTCGTTCCCCACCTGACAAGCTTGTCTCCGCTAACCGCTTTTTGCCGCGCTCCAGCCATTGCTCAACGAAGTGGTCGTACAATGTAACTCTAGTTATTTGGGCGGCCAAGAGGTTATGTCCTGGATCCACCATGCGCGGCAAGACCTCCAATGATAGGGTTAACATAAACGGGTTCTTGACCAGGTCTTGAAGGCTAGGAATCAGAACGAGAGCCTTTGAATAGTCTGCCGCACTCCACAGCAGTGTATTTGCAGACACATATTTGTCAATGTAATCTTGAACTTGTTCCTTCGAGAATGGTGCAATGACCGCTTCTTGAAACAATTCTGGTTTCGCTTGGTGATAGCGATCTGCTGGTTGGAACTGATCCCGATAATCGAGGCCAAGGTACTCGCTGCGGCAGCTAATGATCATCTGAGCTCTCCATTCTCCCACCTGCAGTCCGTTGCTTATGTACAAGTTATGGATCTGCTGACTCTCATCATACCCATCGCAAATCAAGATGAACTGGCGGTAGACCTTTAACTCTCTGATCTGGGGCTCTGTAAAACCCGTTTTGCGTAACTGTTTGGCGATTAAATCCTGCTCCGGCTTGTCGATGGCGGGTAGGTTGATAAAGAGTGGAATCCTGTCTTCCTTTTTCTTGTAGGCATCCCACAAGTCGCACTCGAGCTGCCGGTTAAAGGTCGACTTGCCTCCACCCGAATCGCCTAGCAGGAGCATCACCTTACGTTCACTGCTCAGGAAGCCTTCAACTTCTTTTGTCAAGTCGAACAGGTTGTCATCGGACGCTTGCAGGTTAGCCTTGGCTTGAGGGGGGATGTACACGGCTTCGCCTCGTTCCTTCAATCGTTGCTTCCTCAGTTGTCTCAGGTCGGCTTCAACATCGGACTTGTTCTGAACAAGATCAAGCAATGATCGAGACGCGACAGTTGGTATGGTGACCTGCAGCGGATGTAAGCTTCGACTTTCCTTTCGGCAATCTTGATAAAGAACCCTTTTCGCCTCATCACCATTCGACTCCAACTCTTGCAACAAAGATTCGACACCTACACCATGTATCGCATAGACCGCAATAGAATATAGTATGGCTATTAGTATCTGCTAGGTCGTGAACTTCGTACTTTATAATAAGGCAAGAACCTCTCACACATCCGTTCATCATACATACTTGGCATAGTTGAGGCAAATGTCGAAGCCAACTGCATGAGAATGTGAAGGATCCATTGCTTGACGAGAGCTTGCTGGCCCCACACCACATCGTTTCGGTACATCTCGCCCAGAAACGCAACAGCGCCTTGGCGAGACTCGATGCCCCACAGTGGATTGGCGGCAAGATCCCCCAGGCGCTGGCATACTCCTAGTTGAAAGGCTAGATCACGCTGGCAAGGCGCTTCACAGACCAGGATCTTGAACTTGGCAAGTTGGCCGTCCCGAAGCAACGTGTCTGTCCCGCGCAGTGCTGTATACCAGGCACGTTTCTTCTTGAAGCTGAGACCGACTATGAGAGATTCCAAAAGTCCTTGTCCGCTCTCGACCAGTGCGCTCACGCCTTCATAACCGATTTTCGCTACCTGGATCACCTCTCCCATTCCTTCTTGAAGATGCCCGAGTTCTGTGATGAAGCCTTTAACGTCCAGACCTTTTGCGGCGCTAACTAGCCCCGAGACGCCCTTCAAAACAACTCCAGTACGCCGCATCGTTGCTTGCCAGGGCGATTCGTTGTCTGGGACGCGCTGCAGCGCCTGGAAGGCGTAGGCAGCCTGGTACGCCAAATAAGGGTCGCGGCTGGCTTGCAGCTCATTCAAATAGGCAGAAAGTGGCTCGTGCAGCTCTACACGCTCTAAGCCAGAGACCTTGGTATCGGCCATGGCATCCAGGACATTGGACACCGCGAGTGTGAGACGGCAGATGTGGTCTAAAGACTGAGCGTGAGTATCCTGTAGACGGGTGTTGAGGTTGCGCAGAATCGTGGCTAGGTCATCCGAGTCGAGGTAGCCTTCGGGAGCGTTTTGGACCAGCTGCGCCAGCCCTTTAAGGGACTGCACATCCAGCAGGCTGGACTTATCAACACCATCGACAAATAGCATGAGCAGAGAATGGAAATATTCCTTTTCAAGAAACGGGGCCAGGCACACGACTTCTGCGATGGCCCCGGTATCTTTGAGCTCATCGCGACTAAAGGCCTGGATCAGATCTATGCCCATCGCCTTGAGTCTTTCTTTTTCCTCTGTGTTGTTCTCCGTGGCTTTCACCCAGCTGGCTGCACTTGGTTCAAATTCCTCACCGAGTGACAGTGTGGCTTGCAGAAGGGCAAGGCAGTAAGCGAGTTGGGAAGTGTCCTTGAGTCGTTCATCTGCGTCGGGTAAAGTACACTTGACGGTGGGCTGACGCATATCATCAGGAAAGATATCCTTAGGGACCCGTGCGATGTCGCAGCCGGCGCTCTCGGTGGAAGAGGAAACTGTAGGGCCTGGATCTTTTGTAGGACGCACATAGCTGTTGAAGTCAGAGGACATTCAACAAATTAAGAGATGGGTTAAGTACGGCGTACGATATAGCCGGCCAATGCGAATAAGTAGAGCGCAGATACCTGTCACTTACCCCCACTTTTCTGCCCTCTTGTAACTGACCTCCGCCATTTTGCTATATCCCAATCTCTCCAATAGGTTGGCATGCTCGAAGCAGGCGCCGGCGAATCCATCGCGCAGGGCTTGATCCTCGACGGACAGGGGAATTGTAAGAAGCTTTTTCGCAGCTCTTTTCATCCGGGATAACGCGGCCCCCGCATCGTCGCACAATGCTAAAGCAATTTCCAGATCCTTGGTTTTGCGCGCATTCTCCACGTAAAAGTTGGCGAGCTCCAGCTCCTTTTGTGGCGAGAGAACGTTTCGCGGTGACAAAAAAGTTCTGTCAAACATGTTGCTTCTCTGAGGGAGTTTCTCCTGTATCATAGAGGAGATGGCGGTGATATTAGTGACCTTGTGCTCGATTAATATACCTGTGCGAGTAGCCAGTATACGTATTTGTACTTGACAGACACTTCAGTAGCGCAATGGGGAACCAATAAGTCGCAGTGGGCTGGTATACAATAGACGTAGTGGGAGCAGAATGAGTTATGCTAAATAAAAAACATTAATATCCATAGCAGATGCATGAATATTATCATATGTGGCTACTCTGCAAGTGATGGGGCGCACCTCGGAAGTGTCTATTCGACTCTTGTTTCCTTTGATTGGATGCAGAGGTAGTCCTGAAGATTTGTGCCTCCTAGCAGCGATACCCAATTGCCCATCATGAAACATGAAGGGTTAATAAGCTTAAAACATGCCTATAGGTTACTATCGAATGACAAGAAACAGTGCCCCACCTCAACAGGGATCTGTTTCTCGAGTTCTTTCTCCCAGCCGAGGAGATGGTCCGTCCCTGTGCAATGTTCTCTACTCCAATTATTTGTTTAAGACGGTCTGCACACGAATAAGGCGGTCAAGCGGAGTGATATTCGCTTCCCTCGTCACTTCTAGCAGAGATTCCTGTGAGCATGAAAGAAGGGATTAATATCCATTGCACATGAATGGCTGTCCTCTTTATCTCGGCCATTCTAGCATTAGCACTCTTGACTCGACTGTGGTTGCTCAGGCACATTCAGGAGTGGGGCTTTGGCAGATAAACTGTGTCTTTGTTACCAATGAGTAGCCGCTGGGTTGTCCTTATTGAGATCGAGCAGAGACGTACGAGAGACAGACAGAAGAGCGAGAACAGATGAGAGAGATACGAGGCAGTTCCTGATGGATTGAGGGAGGGTGAATGTGGAAAGAAGGGAAAGAGGGGAAGGAAGGGAAAGGGGAAAAAAGAGTGCAGCATTCGCCAACCGGAGCCATGCTTATTGTCAGATTACTCCCTCGCCCTCGTGTAACGTGTAATGGGCTCCCAGCGAAGGAGAGTAGGAACGCTACAGTTACTGAGAATTGTGCAGTTTACCACCGAACTCTTCCTTGCTCATCCTTTCTCGCCTCTTCAGCATGTTCCAGTAATGCTTAACCTCACTTATGTTATCGGAAGGTCATTACAACCTTTCTTACAGCCCTGATCGTCCCGGCTAACGTTTTCAGGTCGCCGGCTGTTTTTATTAACGAGTAGTTGATTTTTCTCTTGTTGTGACAATCTTGATTTCAAAGTGTTGGCTAAGTGTTTCACGTTCAACACGGCGAGCACCCTCCTCCGCCTTCATCTTCCGCTTCCTATTTTCCATGTCTGCCTTCTTCATCTCGGCCTCGACCTCCATGATCGTCGCCTCTGCTGCAGCCTTCCTCCTCTCTTTCGCTGCCCTCTTCGCATCTTTCACTGCCTTCTGAGCCTCGGCCTGTGCCTTCACCAGCCCAGCCATCATCGTCTGCTCTTGAATGTGCTTTATCCTCATGTCTATATCCACTATCTGCTGCTGCATGTCCAGTGTCCTTTTCTGAAATTCATCAGCATATGCGACCCTTTTATCAAGTTTCAGCTGCTCTGCCGCCCTCCTTTCCTGTTCTTCCACCATACTTCTCTTCCATTCCCGTTGCTGATCTGACTTGCTCACCAGAGTATCTATCAGCTCAACCATGTCGACCCCATCTCTTCCACGCCCCTTCGATCTCTTTGGATCCTGAGATCGAGCTTTAAATTCCTGTGGCCTTGCCTCGTCTTCGTCATTGCTCCCACTCTCGCCACCATCGCTTGCATCGCATGCGGCCTTTTTGTAAGACAGGTTGGTAATGAGCTGACACACCTCGGGAGGATTCAGCTTTATCGACCTTGAGGCATCGCGATAAATGATATCGTAGTAGTGGCAAAGCTTCAGAACCCGTTGCTTCAGTGTTGATGCCGGTAGGTCGCCGTTTTCAGTCCTCCTGAACTCATCATTGGCCTTTTTCCAGCATAGCTCCATATTCATGATCTTATTTTTAAGTTGCTTATCATCGAGCTCCAGGGTGAATTTGATGTTGATTTCCTTTAGCTCCACAAGAATTTTCGTCTTGTTTTCATTTTTGGGGGTCTTGCTGCTCGGGCCTGATAGGAGACGCCAATACTTGGAAATGGTCAGTAATTCGGCAATAGATGTCTCTTGCTCGTGTGTATAGATATGCGGCCGCTTTCCCTTGCTGATGTTCGAAATTGAGGGTGCAGGCGACTCAGAGGTCGGCGGCTTCTGTTTCCATTAGGTATTTGCAAGTGCTGAGGAGGATATTGAGGAGAGGTGGGGTGAGGATGCCGATGATAGGGCAGGGGAGGGTAGGGAAGAAAAGGGTGAATCCAGATACGGGGAAAGTCGCCTTGCGTGATCTGGCACCAGAAAGGCATGACCCTGTGCATCCTCATGTGGCAACATGGCATATGTAGCGGATGACTGCACACTATAAGCTGGCGCCAAAGATACGCCATAGTAACTAACATAGTAACCACTGTTAGTATTATGAAATTGTCAGCTTGATATGTCAAAGAACTCTGTCAAAAATGTTACTTGCTCTGGCATCGCTGGCATATCACTCCATCCGCGTCGAGGCTGTGTGAATAACCGAGACGGGTCCTTCTGCTCTTACTGTCGCGGTTGCTGTAACTGTAACTGCTGTTGTTGTTGCTGGCGCTGTTGCTCTTTCTGTTGATGCTCGTTCTGCTGCAGCTGTTGTTCTTGCTCATGCTGCTGTCGCTGTTGTTACTGCGGTTGTTGCTGTTGCTGCCCAGCAAAAAAGTCCACACGGAAGAAATCTGTTGTCGAGCTTTGATCCCGAGGTTGGGCAGGTTGGGTCCGTGGCTGGGTACGGACATTAGAGGGAGGTTGCTCTGAATGTGATAGGTCGCGCTCAGTGTCAGTAGTGAGAGGTAGTTGTGATGCTGAAGCGATGTGCCCGGAGCTCTGAGTGAGTAGTTGTTGGCTCGGCATAGTCACATTGGATGGAGTGTTGAGCATTTTATTGAGGTGAGAAAGTGGGTGGGAAGGAGGGGGGTCTGAGGAAAGAAGAGAGGATGGGACAGGGAGCATGATGGTACAAGCATGAGTCTCTTTTGTCTTCCCGTGCAGGCTTTCCGTTATTCAAAGTTTCGAAATCGAGCTTTCACGCTTTCGCTTCTTGTTACACAAACCCCCATTAACGCCTGAAAACGTGCATGGAAGCGCGCCATGCTTTTAGGACCGAGGACACTTAGTTTTTGTGTGATGAAACGAGGGCACAAAGGGGTTAGTTTTGTAAGATGTAGCTGGCATGTATGAACATGTATCTGTGGCACAAAAAAATACCTCTGAGCATTGTGAGCCAGCACCCACCCACAACAATTCAACTCCCCTCAAAGATTTAAGGTTAGCGCGACTCGACCCGTTTTGGAGCCATTAAGGCAACTATTTATGTTCCGCACTATGGTGCCTCATCCTGCGCGACTAAAGCCATGCACGCCGACAACGTGGACTGGACAAAGGAACCAGGACAAGGTGGGCGGCGATACGCTGCACCGCTAGTTGCCATGTAGATAAATAAACGAGAACGATGGACGAAAACATCGGCTGTCGTTGTTGGCGGTATGTTGATAGTCTTTCAGTCCCCATATTCGCGATCTAGTTTCTTCTGCAATGTATTATCCGCAATAAATAAAAAAAAAAGAGAGCTGCCGGTCTAGCATGTCATGCATAAGCACTTGGCCCCAGCCTGTGCCGGGCGCATGTTCAATTTACATTACACCACTTGCTCGGGCAGTACAAAAATAGGGCATTCCTCTTCTCTCGCCCTCCTTTTTCTCTTCTGCTTGTTCTTCCGCTCCTCCACTCGTCTTCATCCTCATTTTCGTCCGCATCATTGTCCGCATTATTGTCCGCATTCTCATTATTCTCATTCTCATTTTCATTTTAATTTTCATTCTCATTGTCATTTTGATTTCCATCGCACTTGATCTTTTATTTATTATTATTTTTGTTCAGGATTGTGTTCTATCAGCCCTCCTTTTTCTGTACAGGTCTTGGTGCCTGAAAACACGCCCTTTACGTCCACTCTATCCTCACCTATCGCCGCCCTTCAACCCCTCTGCCCGAGGTCATGCCTCTCTCACACCAATCCCATTCAAAGCCCACCAATCGGCCTTCTGTCTCGTCCATATCCCTGGATAGCTCCAGCATATCTTCTCTAACCTACGCCGATGATCTTCAGGGCCTTAAACCGCTGCCTCAGGCCCATGCGCCCCTCGCCTGCGTCGACCCTTCCCTCGCTGTGCCCTTTGACATGTCCATCCTCACTATATCCCACAAGCGAAACCACAACACAGTGAAGGCCGTCGTTGTAGGCGGTGGTATCGCAGGTCTTGCGATAGCCATCATGATGGATTTGGCTGGTATGGAGTTTGATATTCTTGAGCGATCGACTGGCAATGAACCCACAATGAGCAGTGCCATCGCCCTAGGACCACCCGCCCTACGGCTCCTGGAACAGATGGATCTATTACCCCAGATTGAGCGTCACTCCAAGATCGTAGCTGGATTGACAATCATCGATGGCGAGTGCAGGCGGCTAGAACGCGTCGAGGGCATCGATGGAGAGAGGTACGGCTATCCTATTCGTGTTATGTCCCGCGAGGCGCTTCATAAGATCTTTCTGGACAGAGTACCTAAGTCGCATCTACACCGCGGTAAACTTGTTGTTGAGACCCTTCAGAACCCCAATGGCGTCTCATGCAAGTGCTCCGATGGCTCCACGTACTACGGAGACATCATCATTGGTGCTGACGGCGCTCAGAGTCTGACACGGGAGAGGATGTATGTACAGTTGAGAGAACAGGGGAAATTGCCTGAAGCCGATATGGAGGCCTCATACTATGGACACGTTACTATCACAGGAATCTCCGACCCACTTGACAAGAGCATCTACCCTATTGCTCATGACAAAGAGTCCGAACTCCAAATTATGTACACCAAGGACGCACCCTACACGGTAAGTCGAGCAATAACATTCCTTAGCCGCGATTATGACAGCGTGCCAGCATCACAAGTTTCAATACTTAATTTCACTCTTCTTCTCCATAGCTCTGGTATGTACCAATAGCAGACAACAGAGTGGCCTGGGGCCTTAACCATTCATCGGCACCAAAGTACAAACAGCACGCATACTCTCGACCATACATTACTCCGGAGCTGCGAGATTCACAGGAGCTCATTGCCGCTGCCTCCTCCAGCCGGCCATTTCCCACTGTCCCAGCTTTCACCAAACCCCAGCTAAAGGCGCCATCGCTCTTGAGCTCGAAATCCTCTCCAAAAATGCACGATGACTGGTATGTGCCAGCCAGCATTGACCTGGAGAAGGATTTCAGCGATTTGTTGGACAAACGTTGCGCGCTGGGTGCTGGTACTGTGCGAGACTTTGTTGCTCGTACACCCAAAAAAGCCATCTCCATGATTGATAATGAGGAAAGGCTCTACAAGACGTGGTACAGCGGGCGTATCGTCCTCATCGGTGATGCCTGTCATGAGGTACACTCCTGGCAGTACACTATAATCGTAGTTTGATGTTAGGGCTGTTCTTTTTTTAACGCGACTTTTTGTTTTCTCCTCATTGCTCTCAATGTTGTAGCACTTGGTCATTGGAGGTCAGAGTGTGGTCCAAGGCATATTGGACGGCGTGTGTCTCGTGAACCTGCTGTATGATATGGAGTTCAACGGGCCTTCAGAGTTTTCAAAGGCCTTCAAAAAGTATCAGTCAACGCGAATTAGCGTTGCAAAGTCGTCAGTTGAGCAGACAAATATGATAGATAAGATCTTTCAAAGCCAGGGATTCAAGGCGGGCATGGTACGCAAATTTATGTTCGGCATCGTAGGATCCTTCAACTTGAAGAACGACAAGCTCAACAATAATCGCCCGCAGCTCTCATTCTTGCCCTTTGTGGAGGACTACGGTTCGAGCAAAGCCAACAGACAAAAGATCTCGGCGCGGCTCTCCGGCAGCAAGACATTTACAATCTAAGTGAAATGAATGGACACTCTCACTTATCTCTACCGGAACCCCACTTCTGTACATACCCTATACTCTTTTACATGCCCCCTTCCAGATATCTTCATGTAGAAGGTTTCAATGATTATAATAAAGGCATGTTACTATGTATGCCCCTCTACATTCGGCAAACTAAGCAGATCACATGGGAGGGTCTCCGGGCCTTTTCAGTATTAGAGTTTCTCACAGCATAAGATTTGTGGGTTCTGGCACATTCGCGTCGCGAAATAAGGAATATGCGCTCCTGGCGCAGTAGAGTTGATCCCACGGATGCATCATCGACCTGAATTCATTCGGATGGCCTTTGTTGCTCAACTTGAATTCCACAGATCAAAAAGCAAGACCAAGGTGCGAGTTTAGTCTGCGGACGGTGGACACTTTCGTACCGCAGCCGTGTACAAAACGCAATATATAAATGGGTTACTCAAACCAACATAAACAACAGACCATGGCCCTCAATGATAACACCCCTTCAGGACCTCTGGAACCACTACTCCAGCCCAAGGTCCTTCGCCGTCTTGGCGAACACCTCGGTCGCACAGATCTCCTCGCCGGTCTTCGTGTCTGCAAGACCTGGCACACTGCATTCGAGCCCTTCCTTTGGCACACCCTCGCTTTGCAAAACCAGCCATGCAATTTTACACCTCGCCAGGCCACTCCAACCCTCCTCCTCCGCAACCGCCATCATATCCGGCGCCTTCATGAAGTCGGATCCAATTCTCTGCTGAAATTCCTAGCCTTCTCGACGCAGCCCCCAACCATACAACTTACCAACATCTCTGTATCAATCTTGAGCCCCGAGATCCTGATGATTACCCACCACTGCATCGATACCTTGGCTTCTTTCAGCTGCCGCTCCAATCGGCTGCGAAAAGATCACCAGACTCAGAGTCTTTGGTGTCGGCAACTGTTCTCGATCCTCGAGATGGCCTCAGCGCTGACGGAGCTGGCCATCGGACCCTTGATCCTGTTGGATTCACCCAATGACGTCTTTGCGAAGGTATGCAAGAACCTCAAGCGATTAGAACTGGACCGAGTCAAAGTGGCAGACCGAGATCTGTACGACGAATCGATTGCGGTTGAGGCAGTGTCCTTCAAGCCCTTCCCAGCCCTAGAGACCTTGATCTTGATCTGGAACGACTTCCCACCACAGTGCCAGCTCGAGTTAATCCGCAAGTCCCCAAATCTCAAATCCGTAACCTGGAGACGTGGAACACAGCAGCTGGCGCAGTCGTGGCTCTCGGGAACATTAGCTATGCCTATCTTTCTAACTAGCTTAGATATTGGCCATTCGTACATCAACGACGAGAGCATTGCCCGGATTCTGGCTATGGCACCTAATTTGGTAACGCTCAACGCTCGATCGACACCGTTCGCAGCAAAGAGTGGCCAGTACTTGCTTGAGAACCAGGGACCAAAGATGGTGGAGCTCGATGTTATGGATTGCGTTGATTTGAGTGCTGGGATCGTCCAAGTGATGTTGACATCCATGTCAAAACTGAAAAAGTTTTGCGCGCCGCGAGTAAATGCTGCCGACGTTGCATTCTTTCTCAAAAGGTCCTTATCCGCGGGATGGTCGCCGGAGGAAATCCCAGTTCAGGTTGAGACGGACAAGTCGAGCCCAGCGCCAGGATCGTCCGTAGTACAGCCCAGGGTGCCCACTGGCTCTTGGACGTGTCTCGACATGGAGGAACTCGAGCTCACCATTGATGGGTCGGGGGGTTTTGAAGATCAGGACTTTGCTGAGGTTCGCTCGTTGGTCTTTGAGCAGCTAGGACGGTTGACACGTCTACAGGTGTTGGTTCTAAGCGAGAAAGTACAGGAAGGCGATGAGGAAAAGCGTCTTCTGAATTTTACTCTACAGTGTGGACTTAGTAAATTATCTGGTCTGAAGCGCTTAACAGAGCTGGATATTTGCAGTTTGCAGGTCAATATCGGGAGGGAAGAGGTGGAATGGATGAAGAAGGAGTGGCCAAGGTTGATAGACGCGAAGGGGAAATTGAAATGCAAAGTCGATATTGAGGACAAGTTTTTGAGGAGGTCGTTTACATAGAACTACACGATGCCATAAACTGTACCAAAATGTAATCTCGTGGACTTGAGACTCTGCTCAGATGCGTGAATCTTTGTAACAAAAGCTAGGAAGCAGATTGACACGCGTTTTGGCGCAGCAGTTGATAGTTTTGTTTGGAAAATTGATCGTGGACCAATGGCCAGACAATGTCATCGTAGGCCGCGTCCACCGCTGGAGTGGTAGTCCGAAGTATCATTAGAACAATTCATGTTTTTTACTCGCCTTCGATCGGGATTTTGACAGCTATAGTTCTACTGTACGCTGCGTGAAGTTATGAAGTTGACGCCTTTTTTTCGTTCCTACAACGAGCATCTGAGTCATTGACTTTCACGCAACGAAGAATAGTCTTTACAATGATCAGAAAAATAATTGCTCCGCTCTGTTTTTATTCTATTTTTTTCAGCATGACCCCATGAACTCTTGAATGTCACAAACTCAACCAATTCATTCGCAGAATAATCTTTGGAAAGAACAAAATAAAGGCTGCTTTCAGTAGCAAGCAATGGGTTACACATTGAGGGCCACTTTTACGCGACGAACGTTGGAAGCTATGGTGAAGTAAGAGGCACTTTGCTTGCGGAGAGGGTAAGGCCGCTATGGCCATTTACTCTGAAGTAAAGTTGCTCTCGCGCTCATGCTATACCCAAAGTGGCAATGCCTTTGCTTAAATTGGGTGCCTTATGAAATAGATCAAAAAGCAGTTAAACGCATGCATTAACTTTGACGGCTTGCAACCCACGAACTATTGTCCGATCCGCTCAAGGATGCGGAGGTAATGACAATCTGCAGGGTCATTTAAGCTGGCCTATCCAATATTCCTTTATTCAATACTATCTATAGACTAACATTAAGTCTTGCGTATGTTCAAAACATATACGGAACAAGAACTGAAGTGAGTTGAAAAAAGGCTGGCATGATGAAGGACTCGGTGCAATGATGAAAAACAGGTCCTTGTTGAAGAGAAATGAACGAACACACAAACCTACACCGTTATCTCGCCTATAAAAACCTCGATCTTTCTCTCCAAAGCCCACCTTCTCTCTCTTCTCCTCCTTACTCTCTCTTTTCTTTCCATCCTTCATCCCCACCTTCTTCCTTCGAGTCATCTTGCACTCATCGTACCCTCGGCCCTTTCATCTATGGCTCCTAAAAAGACTAAGGTTGTAACTAACTCTCGTGGACCTTGTCCAGTGAAAGGAAAAGCTTCCGCGCAGAACCGAAAGGCTCCAGCTCAGATTCGACCGGCCGCTAATCAGGGCCGAAAGGCTCCAGTTCAGAGCCAATTAGACCCTAATCAGGACCGAAAGGCCAAGATTCGGGGGCTCCCCGTCCGTCGCAGCTGCCGTCTTCGCGGAATTGCGGACGGTATGCTTGGACATATCATGCTCAACCGACACCTCAACAAAGGTATGTGCCTTCTTTTTCTTTTATGCGTCTATCTATTTCTTTTTTCAATGATAGACTTTCCCCTTCAGTGGTAGCCTACAGTATCAAATCCACATTACTTTTACAGATTCATTCATTTCATTCCATCACATCCCTAAAACACGCGTGTCCGAGCATACAACCCTGTTGTAGTGATGAATCGCATTCTGTGTTACCAAGCTTGCTTGCTGCCAAATATATTCCATGTATCAGTAGCGCTTTTTGAGATGCTAAAAACCTCTGCCATTTATTCACAACTGCTGTATCAGCACATCAATGCCACCACTTCCTTTGTTGTACTATCCTATTCTTGCTGTATGCGGAGGAAAATATTTATGCCAGAAGTTTTGTTGAAAGGTACTAAAAAAAGGCAATAGTTACTACTTTCAACTGAGCGGCGGTGGGGTTGGAGGTTTGTTTGATGAGTTTATATGCAAAAGACAAAAAAAAAACTGTTGTTGGCTTCCTGGGTGGTGGTGGGTATGTCCTTTGATGACTTGGTTAGCGCCGGTTATGCTTGTTTTCGGAAATATTTTGGCCCCAACAGAGAATAGCACTAAAGGCTGGTTTTCCATGCACACTCGTCCATATTCTTCATCACACATGATGCTTTTTTTATCCCTTTTTCTCTCCCTTTCCCTCTCCTTTCCATTTTTTTTTTTTTTTTTTTTTGAACTGGATGGCTCGCCTCTTCTTACATATCGCGCATCACTTTCTCTACTCTCCTCCTTATCTTTACGACTGTTCGCGACAATGCCCACTAGACCTCCAGGCCATCGAGGATTTGAATCCTTTTCCACTGCCAGAGTCAGTCGCCGCCTCGGTACTTGACGTCGAGATCGATGGGGCCCCCGTCAGTCCAGCTTCAGAGGAGGACTTGGCTGCTGATCCAGCCTCTCCCACCACTGTCGCTGCGGCTCATGCTGACCCAGATCCACAGGACGTAGCTGCTATCGCGTCAGCCGCTCCCATAGAAGCTGACACTCCGGCTCAACTACCCGCAGATGCTGCCGTGCCATATTCCCATTCGGAGGCTGCCTCAGCTCCGGTTGCTCTGCCCAACATAACTAGCTCTGGTTCCGACCTAGGCCGCCGCACCAAGCTCGCTTCTATCCAAGCTAACATGGAGTGCGAGCGTACAGCTAATACCGCGTCTCCTACTGCTTCTCTGGGAACGGCTCAATCGGTTGAGTCCGTCGCCACCGCTGCCTCTAGTCCTGGTAATGTTGCGGAGTCAGTCGCGGCCGAAGGAGCCGAGGCGGCTACTCCGGCATCTCAGCCCCTTCTAGCTGATGATGATGCCAGTCTTGATACTCCGTCGTTTGGCCTTGAGCCTGCGACTGTCCAGACTCCTCAACAACCCCAGGCCTTTAGTTGGGATGAAGTTTTCGCGTCCATTGGCCAGCCTTTGATCGATGATCTCGATTTTTGGCTCGACATACCGTCCTACGATGGCTCGTTATTCTAAGAGAACAACGGCCAATTGCCCCCATCCATTCCGTAAAATTTCGATCAAGGTATATTCTTAATTCACACCTGTTGATGAGCTTGTGTCTGACACTGGCCAAAACTAGGATATGGATTGATTTCAGCTGTTGAAGTCCATATCTGTATTGTGCCTTATCGTGATGAAAGCAGCACTTTGTGGTGCAACGTTTGCACAGAGTTCACTAGCCAACGGGCAATTTTGCAGTCCTTTGTGGTTGAGGGAAGGACGCGCATCCAACGGCGTCTCACGGCGCTCCGACAACCTACTTTGTAGATGGCTATAAGGTTATACTTGACTTTGAGGGCCTTTTTTGTTGAAAAGGACCGTTTAACCAGAGAGGATCAATACATTTCTTTGGGAAAGGAATTATACGTACTTGATCCAAGTGCCTCCACTGGGAGTGCCCCATGTTTTTATTGAAGATGAAAATGTTCTAATAGAGTATTTTATGTTCTCATTACGACGTTCCACATAGCCCTGAATACTGGTTAGGCCGAGCTAGTGAAGACGTGGGAAATTGCCCGTTCATGTCTTTCTTGGGCGATTACAACGAATGGGCGGCAAGCTGTGGGTTTGATTGACGTACCCATCAAGACGTCGGTGTGGCAGCATTACTAGCTTTGATATTTCTCTCTTTTACTCTTTTCATAATTTTTTTCCTTTTTGTGCTCCCCTTCAGTTTGTGCTTTGTGTTCATTCACTTCATTCGCTCGCTCAAGAACCAAAATAAAAAGAGGTCTCCTTAGCTACTTTAGATGGAATGTTCTTATGCAGGATGTTTACTGCGCAATCCCCATCAAGCTACATATTACGATTTCAAGCACCTATTGATGCGAATTAGGTCGTTTGTAGACTGTCCTTGCACTGCTAGATATGTCAGGAGAGAGATGCAGAAAGCACAGAACTGATGATTAACGCGTCAAAATAAGGTTTAATTGCTCCTCGCTCTCCAATGGGCATTGTAGTTGTTCCTGAATCGATTGGTTCCCCTGCATCAGAATGAATGGAGGATAAATATGGAACAAATGAGGTCAGCGGGGTCGTGTAGTAAAAACGGTTCCTGAATTAACGAACAATGCTCTCCTTGCCACTCTCTCTGTCTTCTCGCTCGCATTGCCCAAGGGCCATCCATTCCTCCCCGTTCTTTCCTTCTACTGGCTTAGCTGCTCTTGGATAATAGTGCCACGGAAGCAGCGGCCCTACCTCTCGTTCTTTGCTCCCTTCTTTCTCTCTATCGCCTCGTTTAATTTTATCACACCCTCGCGTATTCCACCTTTTCCATCTCGCCGTGCGTTGATGATTCCCTTGAATCCCTCATCCTAATCCACACTCCAAGAATGCCCTGCGTCGCATCAACAACCTAGGCAACATCTCCATCCTCAGCCGCCATCCCCTCTCATCCCTCATGATCACCATCACGCCAACGAGTCTGCCTTACCGGCGGCTACTGCAGACTATCAGGACAACTCTGACCTCCACATACCTTGACCTACAGCAACACACCTACACCATCCTCGATTTGCAATACGTTTTTCTCTTGGCCCTCTTCTCGTTCTGCTGCTATCTGATAGACCAGCCCGTCTGGTTCAAGTCATCTGTCGCCTTGCTAGTCCTCTTATTCCTTATTTTTCAGACCACTCGGAGTTTTATTCTACCCTTTCTTGCAATTGCCAGCTGGCTGACTCTCTTTTACAGCTGCCGCTTCATTCCTTCCGAATGGAGACCTCATATATACACCTCAGTACTTCCTGCACTCGACAACATCATCTACGGTGGAAACCTTTCGAACCTACTTGCTAGCTCAACTACGCCCTGGAAAGACTTACTGGCCTGGCTTCCCTATGGCATCTTTCATTTTGTGATGCCAATCGTGGTGGCGATCTGGATCACTATGTTCGCACCCGTGGGGACTTTACCAGTCTTCGCGAGGACCTTCGGCTACATGAATGTAGCAGGAGTGCTAACTCAGCTCCTCTTTCCTTGTGCTCCTCCATGTAAGTCTCCCCTCCCTCTTCCTCCCTTTAACATTCTGTACCATCGATTGAAAAAGATGAGCACTCGATTTATGCTAATTATGGCTGCCTCGAATTAACTGTATTGGATTCTTGAGTGTCCAACACATCGGATAATTGTTCGCGTGCTCTTTTATTCTGGATTTCGCTGCCGTATCGATAGACTTTGATAGCACCTTCGTTTTTCTAGTCTCGTCTAGAACTAACCCTATAACATATGATACTACTTTTAGGGTACGAGATGCGATATGAGCCACTACAGCCTGCTATGTATTCTATGCCGGGTGACCCAGGCGGATTGACGCGCGTGGACGATATCCTCGGGACAAACATGTACCGCTCAACCTTCACAGCCTCACCGCTCGTGTTCGGAGCCTTTCCGTCTCTGCATTCCGGATGCGCTTGGCAACTGGCATTCTTTACAGTGTTTGTGTTCGGCCCTCGATCGATCCCGTTGGCGCTATTTTATGTCTTTTGGATCTGGTGGGCAGCCATGTATCTTGGTCATCATTATGTTATCGACTTGGTCGGGGGAGGCATCTATGCCGTTGTTGCATTCTGGATCGGGTCTTCGTTTTTGCCTTCGGTTATGTCTAACGACGGCATCAACGATTTCGTTCTGGAGAAGCAGGTCTTGCTCCAGAGATCGCCGCACACTCTGACCAGCGAGAGGAAGGAATGGAAACAAATGCAGGAGGACAGCGACGATGATACAACAGAAGGCTCCATAGACACAATTGTGGTACAGATGGAAACAGCGGCTGACGCGAATTCGATTGCAAATACCATGTCAGTCATGAACAGGAGCTATGAGAGCCCTGTTTCTCAATCTTGGAATGGATGGCAAGGTTATGGAAACTGGTTGGTCATTTTATCGTCCATGAAGTCAGGAAAAAGAGTCCCCAGGACCTCTCCCAACGTCTCGCCAAGGTCTCAACTCAAGCCTGCTCTACACTTTTCACCGGCAGGGGAATCTACTATGATTCTCCCCAACCAGAGCTCGTATACTATCGATGACATCGACCTGGAAACAATCTGTGTAGAAAACGACGTAGCAGAATGCGCTGGACTTAGCTTGTCAAATCTAGCATCACCACCGCTCTCGACTTTATCTATACCTTCGGTCGCAGGCGATATCCAATCGACGACAGCAGCCAGTATTACAATAGCAGCGACCATGGGAACGAGTGCGGACGATAGTGACAAAAGATCCATACGACCTGCACATCTTTCTATTCCGAACTCACCATCCGCCACACCAGCACCTACCAGTCTGCTCAAGTCCACATTTTTAGACCCGGAATTTGGAACCCCTGGATTAAATACTGTAGGATCTGGGCTCGGCTTAGGTCTTACGGGTTCCATCTCCTCTGCGTTGCTCGTCTCGACGGCTGGTACCTCGAGTGCGAGCGTGAACGTGGGCAGCAAGCGGCTCAAGGACGATTGATTTGCAGTCTTCATGTATGATGAGAACAATCTCATCATCTTTTTTATAACTCTTGGACGTCTTGCTCTCCTTTGTACCATAGTCCTACGACGTTTTCACCTGTAACATTATTCTCACACCTGCCAAGGTTCATTTTTGCCCAAAAGTGTAATTTTATTTCACGATCATCCTCCCCTCTGTAATAAAACGCCGGCCATTAGAGCCGGGTTTAAAAAACGTAGGGGGAAACATTAAGGATACGTTTCACATAGACCCCTTTGTTGTAATCTGGCTGCTGCTGTAGTAGCCGGTAGATCGAAGATTGTGTATGAGCGATAAGCGGAGAGCTGAGACAAAGGAGCGAGTGAGCAATTGCTTCGTTCCTGCGAGTTATGAGAGCTCATTGCTGACGTGGATGAGCCTGACCCCTTTACGAGTAGTACCTCTTTCCCCTGGGAATGCTGGCAATTGGACGTGCGCCGACTACAGAGACATTCACTGGAACGCAAATGGTTTCTGGGTCGATGTGCACGGGCTGCAGTTCCTCCGCACTGTCCGCCACCAAAAATGCACAAGAGCCTGTGAGGAACGGTCGTCATGACTGAATAAGGTACAGAAGCCAGGGGAGGAAGAAAAGGGTGAGAAAGAGATTCAGGACAACGGACAAAAAGGAGCCTCATCGGCTCATTCCTCTCACCCCCATCTTTTTCTTCATCTCATCCGACCTTACTCTCATTCCAGTCCGCTCTACTGTACCCCCTCTGTCTCACCCTACCCTTCAAAAACATAACGCGTTCATGACAACATTCTTTCAGCTAGCAAGAGTTCGACGTGTACCCTCTCCTTCTCCAGACCCAGGATGGACAATTGAGGTCCCTGAAGCTGCCAGGACAGTTCTCGAGAACCTGATTGACCCATTGGTCATCGTATCTTACTGTAAGCGACTTCGCCCAACGCTCTAATATACGCACGTACTCCTCAAATTCTAATGAAACATATCAATTCCCGGATGCAGTTGGATGCGGTCGATCTGTCCAGGACACGCTGTTCACGTTCTTTGAGAAATTACACGGCCAAGACAGGACGAATAAGGACAGCACCAGTAATCCAGGGGGGATTTGGGCTTGGTTACCCACACTCAGCACCGATCATATTCACAACCGTGGAACTCAAACGCTTTATCTGATCTACCGAGAAGACGAACACACCAAGGAGCCATTAGAACCGGAGGACCAGGTGAAGCGAGGCTTCAAACACGACATTGCCTCTGCTCACAGTCATCCTCACGATGACATCCTTCTCCCTTTGTTGGCATTGTGCTCAACACAGCTGCACGTCATTTCTACGACAGCGAGCGATACTGCAGCAGATCTGACACGCATCGCGAGGTCGCTACAGATATTTGTCACACAGCAACAATGGCAGAGAGTCAAGCAATTGAATCTGGCGACGCTAATCTGGCGCTGGTGCGATTCAACGTCTGACAGTGAATCCGTCACATCAAGCAACAAACATGAATACGACTATTCTGCGCTGGCGTCGTTGCAGGCGATCATAGAGGATATCGAGAATAATACAGACGGCACTACTCAGGATCTCGTTCAAAATTCAGCGCACCTGGATGTGCTCCGTCAATGCTTCCGGGATATTGAGTGTCATCTACCTTCGGCGCCGTCATTAATTTCACGCTCTACCAGAGAATACAGGGGTATGGATGCCGCGATGCCGAAACAGCAGAACGCCGGGGAGAAGCAGGACATCGATCAGGTTCTTACGCAAGTGTTACAGGATCTATCGTTGGCTGATGAAAGCGGATCGAGAGATATCTATGTCGACAGCACCTGGCTCCGCGATATTTTGTCCCGAAATGGCACAAGCAACATGGATATTATTCCATACAACGCACAGTACCACAATGGTAAGGAGAACATACTATACACGCGGCTTTCGTGCGTACATTCAATATCCGCTGGAAATCACATCATGCTGACAATATGGCGCCCCTTTTTTCTCCGTCCACTGCTTTGAACTACAACAGGTCCGGCACTTTATGCCCAACTGCAAGCCTGTGCAACTCAACTTAACACCTATCCTACATTCTTCTGCATTTTGGAGTTGCGCAGATCCTTCCAGGATTTGATCCGCAACCGTGCCTCCCACTACGGGGTACAGGCCTACCATCGCATCATGAACGAGCACCTCGACCGGCAGCCTATCCCCATCTCTTGGCACACACTTGCGATGTTCCATCATGATGCTCTATCAAAATCTTTGGATGAGATTGAGAAAAGATATTATGGGCCCGAGTGCCAGCTCCCAAGTTTGCTGCAAGAGTTTCGCGTGCGTTGCCTCGAGACGGCTGCCATCACAGGAGAATCGACCGATTCTGGAGCAGGGGCAGCAAATGTGACTGACACGGTGTCTGTCCTGGAGATGATGGTTCCTACGAAAGGGCTTTATTTGGAGTATTACTCTGCGAACGCGTCTGCACTGCAGAATCACCACTTGATCTCTTTGGATGAGCATTGGCAGACTCTGCTGAAAAGCCGCTTGATGGCAACGCAGACTAATTCCGGCGCCATGGCCCCGGCGACATTGTCGCAATCAGGTCTTGTGCCGCTAAGGTCAGCTCCCGATATCAAGGTGCGTATCAGAAAGTGGGGAGATGTTATTTTCTTATCATTCGGGTTCGACCCTAATCTTTTTCTTTCTTATTCACACAGGATTATTCCGGGTTCCTGCTGGCTGTGGATCAGGTGCGCAGATCCTACCTTGAGACCTGTATCCCCAGCCCTGAGGCAATTTCCGTACTCGAGAGCTTGGATGAGATGCAGCAGGCAGAGTCCACCGTGTTCTTGCAGTCCATCACCTCGGTCTCGCCCTCAACTACGTCCCCTGCGCCTCTACCCACTCATTTGAAGCGAAGCGGCTCTATATCTTCGTCACGTCAATCTGTAGCTTTGACCAATATCAACGTCAGCAGCGGTGGAGGAGACGTCCTGACAGACACTTTGAACAACAAGAGATCTAGCATCCAGGCTGTCAGCACAGCTAGCGGCGGGGGGGTTGGGACGAGCAGCCAAGCGTCGCAGCAGATGGACCAGACTCCGACTGAGCTCGAGCAGCAGATCGCAGAGATTATGCAGGCGAAACGACGTGTCAAATCAGGCGCCCAGTATGGATCATTGTGAGTACTTAAACTTCACATATGCTTGTTTCTATATAGGTGTTCTCACAGCTGACTCAATGCCTTCCGGCGATATTTTTAGCAGCGTCGAAGCATCTGGCGCGGTCGGTCAACGAGATGCATTCACTCGGACGGGCAAAGGAAAAGAGGGTACAGGCAAGGGTAACGAGTCTAGTGCGCTTGCCGCGAGTGAGTCAGCCGCAGTCCAGTTTGGATGGACGCTGCATATGCTCCACGCCAACACACTGCAGTATGCCTGGATATGGACGTGGTTATACATGCATGAAGGATCCTCGCGACAGAACGTAGGCAAGTACTAAACGGATCCACTGCTGCCACTACGCCGCAGCTGTATTCAATAAGAAATCCTTGTGAGGCGACGGTCGATATTATTTTTGTGCTTGCCCTGACACACTTTGCTCTCTCGACTATCTAGTTGCCTGCGACAGCAAGATGTACACTGCCTCAAAGTGGATCGTTCTCCCAGCCAAGGACCTAATCCGCACACGCAAAGACTGGAAGATATCATATGGAGATCGAGTCTGCATTGTCTCGTACTGGTTCTCGACCCGGAATGCGAAGACGGACTTGCCAGAATACCTCCCCCGAGCTCGAGGCGCGCCTTGTCGACATGTGGTTCCGTATGGTGAGACCTATGTCATCTGCAAGACCTGCCCTGCAGATGTCCTGTGCATGAGGTGCTTCCGAGGTAATGTCTCTGCAGCGATTATTGTCAAAATTCGTGGAGGTGCTTTCATCAGTCGATCTCATGGGCGTTTACTCAATCTTTATACTGCATTATCCTATGGTTAGCATCCGATCATGTTGACCATGTAATGTATCTGCAATGCTCGTGGGGTACCTCTGTCTGCGTCTGTGGAGATGCTCTAAAGGCGAGTCATGCGCTGCATTGCTCGTTACACAGCGCGGAGATTCAGCGATCATACTCGCAACTAGCAAAGGGAAAGCCTTGTCAAATCAAATTCAAGGCAGGCGAGAAAGTCTATCGCTGCAAGGTAACGCGAATTATTGCGGTACAAGTTTCTGTGTCACGGATCCAGTGCATCGTGTTCAGTTGACTTACGCCTCATTTTTTTTTTTTTTTTTTTTTTTTTTTTTCGCGTTGGCAAATAGTCGTGTGCTACTGTTAAAAACGGAGGCGCCGTGCTCTGCGATCGATGCTTCCGTTCGGTAACGTCCACTCCCGCATAAAAAGCATCGAGATGTGCAAGCATTGATCTGTGTTATCAAAACTTTTTATTAACACTACAAGTTATGTCCTTCACATACGTAGCATAACCATTTTGGACATGATGTTGTGGCCCAGGCCGCCCAAGACGGAATGATGTGCAGCTGCCATGACGACAAGTCTTGGGACCCAAATCTTCACTGCGCGTACCACAGTCCTGGTATCCTCGAACCCGAGTACCACCCAAGGCCCCTCGCCATCCTCCCTCCTATGAATTTAATACCCAACAGTTCCTCCCAAAACGGAGGTCACGATGACAAAGCATCCCAGGTGCCAGCCGTCGTACCAGCACAGCCGCCTCATCGCTGCGGACACGTCTTTCGGCACGGTGAGGATATCTATCACTGCCGGGATTGCAGCTTCAACGAGAAGGTGGTTCTCTGCAGCAGGTGCTTTCATAATTCGGGGTGTGTAAACCATCGCTGGCAAATGGGCGTGTTCCAAGATCCCACGATCGAAGCTGGAACTGGGTCATCGAGTATCAAATCGAAGGGTGAGAAATCTGTGTTCCACGGCCAGGCCTCGCCCTCTGTCGTGGTCGATGATCTGGCCATTGCTGATCAAACATCTGTACCGACAACGCCAAGTACCGATGCAGATGCTACCAATCCGTCAGCGACGGAGACGAATCGTGCATCGTGCGACTGTGGTGATCCTACGTTGTTCAAAACGGCGTTTGATTGTAACTACCATCTGCTACAGGCTTTCCGCCCAGTGCCCGACCTCGTCCACTGTGGATATTTGTTCCAGAAGGGCGAGACCATGCTTCGATGCCGAACTTGCCACATCATCGAAGAGACTGGACTAGCAGAGGACAGCGAGAAAATGAGCGCGAACGGACCAGGAGAGAAACGTGTAGATTCCGTAGTGTCGGATATTTGGATTTGCGGTCGATGCTTTGACATGGAAGAGCACCATGGTCATACCGTGGAAGAAGTTGTCAATGGAGAAAATCAAGGTCTTTATTGCCATTGTGGTGATCCTACCATTTTCAGAGACCAGGCGATGGCTTCGGCTGTTGCATCAAGCAACGGAGTAGGGTGTAAAGACGATCATAATCGCCAGAACGTGCTTTGCACGACCGAGATCAAAGAAGGCATGGATTATTACAAATGCAAGGTAAGATGGCCCGCCTCAAGACGTTCTTTTGATAAGTTAATATGTAGTAGCGCCTTATTCGTAGCTTCTCATGCTCTTTTTTCATTTTATTTTTTATTTTCTACCATGGTAGACGTGCCACACAAATCCCAAGCGCATCTTTTGTGAGGCCTGCTTCATCAAAGAGGCCCACGAGGGGCACTCGTATGAGCGACTAACTGCAGAGGTGGACTTTGAAGTGACACGCTGCAGTTGTGGCGAGAACAGTGCTTTCCGGTTCGCGACGCACTGTCAGCAGCACGAGCGAGCCGGAGGATCCAATATCGTGCTCCGGTGCCATTACCGCGCCACTGCGGGCGAGTGGGTCGCTCTTTGCAGGTATGCATCCTCACGAACTTTTGGTTTCTATGGAACTGCTACCCTTCCCTATATCATGTCAGTGCTAATCATATCGTGTTTTATCTCGATGTCTACAGCGATTGTTACCCCGCAAAGGATGGTATGCCCCCCTCATACCTCTGCCTGAGGTGCCGACAAGCTTCAGACCACAAAGACCACAAAATCAAGTGGATGAAAGCAGATACCGACATGCCATACCCATGTGCCTGCGGCTCCCATTCTCTCTCGCGTCTCTCGTCTCCGAACGGATCCTCGCCCGAGAACCCATCTCAGACAGCAACAACAAGTGGATCCGAGTCGTCATCTAGCCCGGAGATTGGCACTATCCATCCTCCCCCACTCTGTCAGTACCACACCATGATCTACAAGACCACACCTTCGACAACGCTCTTTCTGCATTCGCACAATCACCGATCCGTCAATCACCAGAACCATAATGAGGTCTCCGGCTATAAATACCACGACAGTAACAACGACTGGATCATTTCTCGCCCAGATATGGGAAATGGCAGTAGTCGCATGCCTTCTTCGGCCCAGTTGTCGCCCTATCTGCAATGGAAAGACGTCTTCTGGCTGAAGCACGTTAACACGGGCAAATACTTTAACTCCATGGCCAGCCGGAAGATCAGCCAGGGGTTCCAGGAAGTCAGTGCCTTGGGAGGACCCCACAGTAACAATGACTGGATTGTCGAGGAGACCACCTGGTTGCGACAGCAGATCTTAAGCGACGAATGACCGTGGCATATCAATAAATAATGACAGTTGAGGGATGCATTTTTACTACAACTTTAATACTCCCAAGTGGTTACTCGAAAGCACAAGGATCAGTTCTTGGATTTGCCGCCAAAGAACAGACCCTTACTCGGATCCCATCCACCAGGCGCAGGTCTATTTCCTCCTCCATTATGCGAAGGAGGCTGCTGATAGGAAGGTAGTGGATTCCTTTGGCCCGCTTGCTGTTGCTGCTGCTGTGGTGAAGGCGAAGCCGACTGCTTCTGCTGGAGCTGCTGCTGAAGCTGCTGTCCAAAGTTCTGTGGAGGCCCTGTAGGAGGATAAACAGCACCAGATCCATGCTGTGAATAATTATAGGATGCACTGTTGTTGGCGAAGGCCGATGTGGGCGCATTAGTGGTTGAAGGTGATGTTGGAGCAGCCCCGCCGAAACGTACTCCCATGGTCGGACTCCATCTGCCAGAAGTTAGCGGAGGAGGAGCACTGGCTGCATCATAGGGCGAGTTCATGACGGGGCTTTGCGGTTGTGAACGATTCAAGTTCATACTTGACATCCCAACAGTTACTTCGCTAAGTTATTGATTGATCGTCAAATATTTCACCGTTAGTTCGAGCTGAGAGCTGCATCTGGTGAACCTGTACAAGAAGATAGCATTATAGTACTCTACCTCAGGTAGTCCTTTGCCTCCATTTTGCGGGCAAAGAAGTAGTCGCAGCAGTTACCACGCAGACGCACCAAAATTTCGTCGAAATCGCGATGGAACTAAAGGCAAGGAATCAATGCAGTTTCCAGTTAGTGACAATCACTCCAGAGAGATGTATAAAGAAAGGTACGGCGCAGACCAATGGGCTTGATCACCTACCTGAATTCCCTCTTTAAGATTTGCCAAAATTGCTCGGTACTTTTGGAATGCAGCCTCCAGATTTTGAAGAGCCTTTTCGCGTTGATGAACTATGGCATTGCTCTTCCTAGATGCCACAAATGCCTTGTTTGTTTCCTAGCAGTGCGAAGAAGCCCATGAATTAATATAATAATCCGAGTAGATTTGTCACGGCAATCAATGATGCATCAAATTAGCTCTCTCGTACCTGGATAGCCATCAAAAGATCCTCTTGAGCAGCGGTCTCTTCTTTGACTAATCTCTTATAGCCATCATACTTCTTGAGCTGCTCCTGAAAGAGAGCCTCGAAATGAGCGGGTTCGATCTTCATCGCTGAAGAGTTGGCTGTCAGTTTGTTGGTGATAGCCACCAACGCTGGACCAATGTCATCGTCGTCTGCAATCCTCTTGATCTCCTCTAATTTGATCCGCCGTGCCTTGATCATCTGGTCAACTTCCTCAAGCAGCATCTTCAAATCGTCAACAAGCTCGGGATCGGAGGAACCAGGCGCATTCGTACTGCTAGGAACAGCACGCTCGACTTCAGCCTACGCCACACAGATTACACGATGTCAAGTGTCAGCCAACCTATGCTCCAGAACAACTTGGAAAACATCGAAAGCAGAATGGTAGCGCGATGAAGGACTTACCCGTCCACTACTGAGTAACTCCAAGGAACGACCCCAGGTTGTCAATAGCGCTTCCAGTTTGTTCTCCACAATCTGGTCGCTTTTCCTTGCGGTCTCCAAAGTTTCCCGGTATTTCTTTCCTTGCTCCACAAATGCAACAGTCAAGGATGCTGAGGTCGGTCGGTTCCACCGTCCCTGAAATCGCTGTCTCATCGCCTCATCCTCTTCAGCTTCTTGCTGTAGCGCCTCGAAAATCTCGTCGAGAATAGCTGCATTCTTACGAGATATTGTCCGGACAGTCTCTAGCATCTCACGAAGTGCGTGAACGCCTCCCTCTGCTTGAATCTCATCAATGTGGGATAACAGGGAAGGTGGCAACCCCACTGGCTGGTCTAGCGCCTGCAGCGCTCCTGGCAGATTCAGTGCTTGCATTTGGCTTAAAAAAAAACGTACTCTGTTGGTAAGAACAAGTTCGTGGATAAGATACGGGTCAAAATTCCAGCAATATGCCTGCCTACCTGTAGCACACCCCGGTGAGTTCATCGAATTTTCCTCCGATGTCCTCCTTGACAATTCTTTCCTTGCGTTCCGTGTACACGCTCGCTGCCTGATGCACCGCAAATGGAACCAATCTCGAGAATAAGGGTACGCCGAGTAGCATGTTGTGCTCGTTCATCAAGGGAACTGGGTTGGAGATCTCTGGAATAATTGTTGCCTTGCTCATGTCTGCCTTTCCGATCGCCCCCAGCGAAGCCTCTGCGGGAATGGGTTCCAAGTAGATGATGTCGTTATCTTTCTCTGCCCGGGAGAGATTCCGATGGATTGCTGTCTGGAGCGATCGCAGGTCGCTGATGACGGTCTCTTTGAGGTTCCGCTGCAGATCTAATCCGGAATTGACGAGCCGTTCTGCAATCTGAAGTCGAGCAATCTCCTCCCCGTATTTGTTCTGGGATATACATTCGCATGACTTCCTATACTGAGCCACAGCACCGAAGTGGAGCGCCTTGGCCTGCATCTGGCTGGTCCATGATGTCGTGAAAAGCGAGGACACACTGCTGTGGGTCGCCCCTTCGCTAGCTGCGTCGTAATAATCGGCCACCATTGCTGCAAGTTTGGCAACCAACCCATCCTTGATCTGATCTATTGTGGTTAATAAGCATGTCTGTGTGAATTTGTGCTCCTTCATGTCTCCATCTTTCAAAAATGTCAATGTAAAAACTCACCGAGAGCGCCCTTTTGCCAAAAGCACTCCTGTGCCTGCGCGAGCATGAGCTGCACGTATACCGTGAGGGCTGCGCTAGAAATGTCGACCGTGGGCGCGATCCTTAACTCTGGAATAATTGTATCGCGTAAATGTTGGAATACTCCCGCGGCATTCTATCCGTGTAAAGGAAGGGTTGAGAATGATTTGCGAACGATGCGGTCAGTGAAGGGTCACCTACATGTAAATCGTACTTATTTTCGATCAAACGTCTCTGTACCTGGAAGTGAGAGTAGGCGCGCTTCAATCCTTCCGCCGTGCTCCTGATCTCGTTATTGCCCAGCTGACTGTACATGGCGGCAATGTTGAAGCAAATACATGCTCGCTCGTAGTACATGTTCCTGAACGAATCTAGAGGATCGATTTGACAAAGGAATGAGACTTGTGAAGACAGATTGTGAACTGTCCAACTGCGCGCATTGATACAGGTAATGTGATTGGGAGTGCTTACACATCTTCTTGTCCGTACTGTTGACAAGAGCCCAAGGGAACTCGATGCCGGTCTAAAATATTTCAAATGAAAGCATCAACAGTGAGTATTCATGTTCCTTTTATCCATCCAAACCTTGAACTTTTCTTGGCAAATTGGGAGAATCCATACTTACATCAATAGGAAATTTTGAGCTGATAAAGACAAGCTGCGCTTGGTATCTACATGCCGTTTGTAGCACATATGTCGATGGAAAGGGTCCAGGGTCAGGCCAAATCACAGTGAATATAGTCGTTATTAAACAGCAAAATTCGAACAGAAACAAAGAGGTACTTCAAAAGGCGGTTGAGCGCATTTTGGTGAGGTTCGAGGTTGACGATATCGGCTCTAAGCTCGTCGAGGACGCGAAAGTCGTCTTGATAATTGTCTGGGTGCTCTGCATACGACATTGATATATAGTCGCTCAGGCTTTTTGTCATAGACAGCGACTCTGTCTTTTTGAAGTCGATGGCTAGAAGGTTGCTGATTGTCAATGCCATCGTTGCGTGCGTGAAGGAGAGAAGGAATAGAGATGTCTCGGCGTGGATAAAAGGGAAAGTGCCTTCAAGGAATGTGTGAAGGAAGAAGGAATGAAGTAAAGCGATGACGGACTTGGCCGAACGTGTCAAGTTGAACCAACGTGGGGAAAGAGGCCTCAGTGCCTCAGTGCCAAGCAAATTGATAGCGCGAGATATCACATGATGCATTTGGACAGGAGGTCCAGCAACTAAGCTTTGTCTCTGCGCGTTCTGTGGCACGCCTGCACGCCTGGGGGGATCTGGCGTCAATAAAAAAAAGCTTTGTCTCTGCGCGTTAGGCTTGGACAATGCTGCCTTTGGCACGCCTGCACGCCTGGGGGGAATCTGGCGTCAATAAAAAAAAGGCAAGCAAGAAAGCATTCTGCGGCCATCGCTATATCCATTGACATAATGCGCGTATTTTGGCCAGCTAGCGAGTGTGGTATTCTGTAGCGTTTTATTGCTTTGTTGAAGATAAAGAGGTGAGGTGAGTCAAAAAAAAAATTCCTTCAAGCGCAGGACGCGCGTAAGAAAGGTGAAAGCTGGTGTCGATCATTAATATTCCAGAATCCATTCATCCGGTGCCTTCTCTCGCATGACTGACTGGCTGCATCCTAAGGCAAGGTCTTATGGCAAGCAGACCTGTCGACAAGAAGACAAAAGACATCCAGGAGTGTTCGTGATACATTTAGCGGTCCTCAGCCCACTCGTTCTCCTTCTTAATCTGGGCCTCTTCCTCGGGCGTGAAGTCGTTGACAATGTTGAAAGCCTTGCGAATCTCCTCGGGGGTCTTGCCCTTGATGATGTTGGCAACGGTCTTGCATCCGACGTCGAGCAATGGCTTAATATCGAGGTAGTTGGCGGCAAGAATAATCTCGAACAGCATCTCCTGGTCCACCTGCATGAACTTCATATCCCACTCCTCGATATCGTTCGAGCGCTTGCGAGGATCGTCAGTCTCGTCGGGGACCTGGACGGGGTCATTGCGGTGGTGCTCGCAGTACTCGATCACCTTGGTCAGGACTGCGGCAGTGACATTAGGCAAGGGAATGGGGGAGTCCGTCTCACCAACATCCTCAAGCATGTTCTTGATCAGGATCGAACGCTCGGCGACCTCCTTGTCGACCTTGAACTCTTGGTTGTCTGAGGAAACGAGAATCACGGGCATGGTTGGTTATATGAGATTGTGAAGGATGGGTGAGAGTGGATGAAGGAGGCAAAAAGAAAAAGGATGAAGCAGCGGCGCAAGGTGCGGAGTGTTTAAGGGGCTGTCTCGTCCTTGTTTGTCGCTTTGGTGGCAATGCGATAGTGGGCACCATGGCGGCAGGATTCCTTTTAGTCCACAGTTGCCGCAGCGGCTTTATTGCCTCAAAGCAGTTCAGATATGGAGCATTGGGCATAACAAAGAAATACCTCTGGACAAGCCGGCGTATTTCCGTTTACCAGACCACAAATTGCCAGATCTGGTCTCTCAAAAAGACCGAAGTGCCCATTGAACAAGGCCCTTCTCGCGATATATCGTCGTTCCCGGGGTTAAGCTCTCGCGTAGGAGGCCGCGACATCGAAGGCTTTTACAATCGTCGCTATCAAATAAAGTTGCTCCCAATTCAGAGCATAACGATGCACACCTCAGTAATGATATGACGTTCTTTTGCACTCTCTTCGGCATCGCTACTTTATGAACATAGTGCGTTCTGCGAATCAAGAGCAGGCTCGTCAATGCATGATGGATGTGAATACCGTGCCCGTATTTGCTACAGCTAAAAAAAATGCTGTGCGACCACAGGCAATTGATGATGCGCGGGGACGGATGCTGCCGTCCAAGTGAGGTGCGATACTCAGGTATATCCTCCTCATCCGTTCCCCATCTCTTCTCATTCTTCATTTCGCATCCTCACCAACCAGACTTTATTTTTCTCAATAGAATACGTCAGATCTCTGCAAACCTTTTCATGCCGCGCGTCTTGGCAGTAGGAACCGGCGTCGGTGGTCTATATCCTTATTTCCTTGTATTCTTGTATTGATGTTCGTTCACCACGACAGCATGATTTTTGGTAGGTGATTATTCCAGCCTTGGATAAGTCTGTCGCCTGCATTCCCACTGCCTTCCGCAGCTCTGAATGTGGTCCTGGGGCAACTGAGAATATATTCAATGAAGCGCGAGACTTTCCACCGATATCCCGCTTGCGAGAATAGAATGCTTGATGACCTGATCGACGTCTAATCATTCTGGAAAAAAGTCATCAGCAAATTGCCAGATATCATAGGCATCGTGTCGGCTTCATATTGTTTTCTTTGGTGCTTAATGGAGTCTGTCTCTCATCATTGACGCACTGGTGTATTTTTCTGTCACGTTAGAACTGGCACAACAATACAATGCTCCCAAGTAGATGTGGATGCTTTTCATACGGATCCGAGATACTGTCGACCTCAGGCCGCCTGCAAACGATCAAAAGTCTTGATATCTATGATGCGTTTATTATAGCTATATCTTACTACTGAAGAATACGGATCCAGGTACCCTCACTGGGCACACCATTCTCGACAACCGTCATCTGATACCAGCCAGGGGGTGCCAGCGCACTATTCTTGGGTCCCTTAACTTTCAATCGGTCAAGAGCTCCAGGTGTCCGCTTATAACCAACAATTTCCAGTCCAACCAAGCGATGGCTCATATGGGTCGAGTGAGTTGAAAATCCACCATTCAGTAAGCTGACCTGAACTCTCGACGGTGTATAGTTACCAGGGTTACCCTTTGGCGTGACCACCTGGCTCTCCGTCATGACGCTTGCGTAGAATTCGACTTCAATTTCAAACTCGGTATCGTACGAAATCACGTTCTCGTTCGTATCTCCGTCACCCTGCCCACGCTCTGGACTCTGCTTGGCTACTTGCACTTCCAGGACTGTCAGTGCGCTGGGTTGATGGATCGTCCTTCCAATGGTGGTCTCGGCCTTCAGAAGCGGGCGTGGTACGTCTGCAAAGAGGTATCCAGGAGAGAACATCTCGACACGGAACTCGACAGGGAACTCGCCCCAGTCCATCGAGTTGGCATTCGGGTTAGAGCCCGTGACTAGGACTCGACCGTCCAAGACGGGCATCGCAATCGAGTGGTACAGCCGAGGAATGTAGCTAGGGCTCTGGGCCATAAAACGGGTGTTTGCCTGCTTGGTCTCATCACTATCCCAGGGCTGATACCTGAGGGGCTGCAAAACAGGCTCCTTCGCGCGGCCATATCCTGCAGTGCCCTTGTTGGCGCCGTTAAATATGAGGACCGATCCGTCTGGGACAATAACAAGATCAGGCATCATTCTTCCAAATGGCATGTCTTCCATAATCCAGTCAGGGTCTTCACTCAAAGGTTTGATGCGTCCGCATTGATCCTGCCCCTTCGCACGAGAACTAAAGTCGGTTGCTCCACCACAAATCAGCACTTCAGGTTCATAATTGTTTTCGGGTCGAAGAGGAAGAAGGATGCTTCCGCCGGAAAGCGGATAATTGCGCGGAGGTCCTGGGAGCTCGGGGTAGTTCTTTATGATAGACCACGTCTTAGTGGAGAAGAGGACAGCTCTCGTGTTGGCAAAGATAAATAGGTTCCCATCTGGCATCAAATGTACCATCTGTAAAATATTCGGATGTAGTAGGTTAGCGACACGTTGTGATATCAAAAGAGCTCGCCATTCATGTTCGGATTAATAAAAACGTACAGGATACAGATTGTAAGGTAGGGTCTCTAACAGAAATGGAAAGTGAGTCGGGTTGGAGGGCAGGGGCGGGTACAGCTCCCAGGAGGGGACACCGACCTCCTCAGAGTTCATGGATACACCCCGGCTTGAACCACCAATAATGAAGAGCCGGCCGTCTGCGAGGGCCTCGACAGTCGGGTACCAGCGTCCGGCCTTGAGTGTGATATCGTCGCGAATATCCCAGTCGCATTTCGATGTGGTAGCGTTGCTGCAGGCGGATAGGAAGCGCAATGAGTTCCATCCTTTTGCAATATCTGCTTGTGCCTCGGCTCCGCCCAGAGAAATGATTGTCTGGGAATGAGGAAATCTATGTGTTAATATCTCAAAAAAAAAAAAAAAAGGAAGCGCGCATTTTAATCTGGTAAAGACTTACGCCATCTGGACGATACCCTCCTGCTGAGCAAAACAAATTGGTCTTTGTGTGCAGAGACCTGAAGGTCGCCTCGCCAATGTCGTATTCGACTGACCATGAATACTTACTGGTGTCGTCTGGCAAATAAGCGTTTGATGATTTCTGAACCTTTTCCAGAAACACAATTCTGTTGGTGTTAGGGATGAGGGTTCCGTGCATGGCACTCACACCCGACAAGCCGACCAAGTCCCACTGGCCCATGTCTCTACTTGTTCCACGATGCTGAACTATGGCGTGTTGCTGCTGGTCCTGTATCGCAACGATCATGTTGTTATCCTTATTGGCTCCTTCTGGTCCTTGTCCTTCCTTTTTGGTGGCCAAAGTATACACGCCATCAAATACTATAGAACCTGCTTTCCTGTGAGCTCCCGCGAAAAAGTTGAGAGAGTCAAATACAGAGGCAGCATCTGCCATAGCAATGTAAGTAGAGCGTGATGATCCAGGCAACCCCCCGGATGAGAAGGATTCATGTCTCGAGGAGGGAGACGAGCCGAGCGAGAGGACGAGCAAGAGACCCATCAGAAACTGACTACTAAGGATGAGAATGGTGTTGAGGGGGTGGAAAATCTTCCGTTGACTGCTATTCCTTGTCAAGATCATTATTATAGGGTATATTGGTAGTATATGGGTGTATGGAAATGTACTTGGGCGAGAGCGTATAAAAAAATGGAACAAAAGAGTGTTAGAAGGACAAGATAGGCAGAAAAAAAACACGGGCTGTACCGACGAGACTCCCAACGGTACTGGAGTATGCGTGTGATTGAGTTGCAGCGTCCATTTGTATGCTGCCATGCATGTGTTATAAATTCATCCAACGATCCTGATCCTGTATGCGATTCCGAATACTGATCTTGTTGCCTGCAGCTTAAAAAAAAAACTATTGTCTGAAAACACAGCTCCATGCAAAGCAGCAATACTATGTAATACGAAAACCGTGCTTCGGGACGGTCGTTCGGGGCATTGTGAGTTTGATGGACCCCAGCAACGCTCTATCCCTGCAATCTTCTGAATAGGATCGAGGTGAGGAGGAGGGGAGGGTTTCCAGCATGACCCAACTTTGAGTATGTAAGCAGGGGTCAAGCACAGCATTTCTCGTCCAATGAAAGGGGTCTTCGCACTGACCTCTGTAGTCCAGGGTGAAAGTGGTGGTCAAGCGCACTGACAATTGATTTTGTGGGGTAGGCGAAGAAGCCTGGGCTGGCAGATTGACACCCGTGCTTTACTCCACGTACTAACAGCGTGACTTGTGGGGCCGTTGAGCGATGGCGACACTAGAGACGAGGAGGCCCTTTTGCTCCCCGTGGGTCATCCCGTGCACTCGTCCAGCCCTGTTGTGGTCGTGGCGACATACACCCGGGCCCACTGGGAGGCTTTACAGATAAAGCACAGCTGTTTTGGGGAGATGCGTAGGGACGTGTAGTACAAGCTGGAGAAGGGAGCTGTCCCGTGGGGGCGGTATAACAACACTCGCTGGGATGCGGTTCGCGTGATACACCCAGCCAATGAACGGCGTCCAAGCTCAGAACGACTTTTCCTTAGGCTTCTCATACCACAGTCGAGTGTTCTTTGTTCGCCTTGCTATGTATATCTTCGACGCTCGGTGGCCCCGCCTCTTGTTCCTCCTCTCTTCTTTCCCTCCCCACCCGCATCGGCCATTGCCCTGTCCCCATCCCCACTGCTTTCCTTGAAAAACAAGAGGATATCAAGAAAAAGTACATCTCCAGGTATAGTTTTCCACGCTTCAGTGCATACTCCTGATCGTCCTGGGAAAAAAAAAAAGCGACCTGATCAGTCCTCATCGCCCATTCGTCACCACCTTGACTACAATCTCGCCTCTTTTGTCAGTTCGCGATTCAACCCGACCTTTGGACTTGTCTGAAGTAATCTCGGGACAGTGATCTAACAGATTCTGCCTTTTGCTTGGAAATAGATCGATTCGTCTCTGCGTGTTTTTGCTGTTTCGGATCTTGCTTGATCACACTTCTCGGTCATCATCGTCCAAATCGCTACCATGGAGTTTGTCAACCCCACCACGGTTACTGTCGCAGTCGTTGTGGCCGGAGCTGGAGCCATATACGTCTACCAGAATGTGGTAGAGCCGCAGGCCCGTCAGCAGCGCGCTATTTTGGCTGAGCAAGCACAGAGGGAGCTCTTGGAAGAACATGAGCTCGAGGCCAAGCGTGGAAGCAACAAGCAGGCAAAGAAAAAGTAAGCTGTCGCCCCTCCGTTCGACCCTCCGTTCGGCCCTTCCCATTCTCCTCCTTTTGTGTTTGCCATTGCTTTTCTCTGTATTGGACTCTTCGATTTCCAATGTTCTTTCTTCCCGCTTCTCCACAAAACAAACATCAGTAGAGATCCAATGCGACCCTAATTTGGATCAGCAGCACGTTTTACTCGACAGTGGCAAACATGGTCATTGAAGTCGGAACTAGTGTTGCTGTTAGCAAGTGGATTCTCACCAGGCAGCCATTGTTCCACAGAAGAACAGAATAATGGGATGATGTGCTGCACGGAGCCCATTCCATTCGTTATTTCGTTTTTTTTCGCTTTGGCGTGGTAGCCAGAACCTTAATCACGCAAACGCAAGATGGAGCCAACTGACCAATCTTCCACTCATCTCTCTGCCCGTAGGCCTGTCCAAGCTGCGCGTCCAAAGAAGGCTGCTGACGCTCAGGAGAATGAACCTGCCACTACGGATGCCGTTGACGAGAGGGTTGTCTCTTCCAATCCTTTCGACCTTCTTAACGCTACCCCTGTCAAGACGGTGACCAAGAAGGAGGCTAAGAAGGAAGCCAAGAAGGAGGCCAAGAAAGCTGTCCCTGTTCCCGCTCCCGCCAAGGAAGCTGCCCCTGTTTCCGCTCCTGCCAAGGAAGCTGCTCCTGTTCCCGCTCCTGCCAAGGAAGCTGCTCCTGTTCCCGCTCCTGCCAAGGAAGCTGCTCCTGTTCCCGCTCCTGCCAAGGTCGCGAGCCCTGTCGTCGCGCCTGTTACCGCTACTGTCCAGATCCATGGGACCAAGGTCGAGAATCCCAAGTCTTCAGTCAAGAAGGCCAAGAAGGAATCCTTCCAATCCTCTGAATCAGTCGTCGTTGCTGAGCCTATTAAGACTCGCGAATCGACCAAGGCTGTTGAATCCAAACCTGCCAAAGTCGAGGAATCTGTCGTCAAAGCTGTAGAACCCACTCCTGGCGCTCAGAACACTGTTCCCAAGCACGAATTGGAGCTTCTTCAAGCCATTTTGAACACTAAGGAGCAGGAGATCGCTGCTAAAGAACAGGAGATCGCTGCTAAAGAACAGGAGATCGCCGCTAAGGAAAGGGAGATTGCTGCCAAGAAACAGGAGGTCACCGCTGCTCATGCTCAGACGGACAAGGCCAAGGCTCAGGTTCAGGATCTGCAGCAAGAGTTGATGACCAATGCCGAGGTTGTCAAGGCAGCCAAGAAAACCGAGAGCCGCGCCCAATCCATTGATGCCAAGGTCGAGTCCCTCAACTATACTAACTCTCTTTTGGTGAAACAGTTGGCAATCGAGAAGGACAAAGCCAAGGCCGCTTTGGAACAGGCGCAGCAGGCGTCGGAAAAGTCGAATGCTGTCGCCGAGCTGGAGCGTCAGATTCAGGATCTCCAGCAGAACCGTGCTCATCTCGTCGCCCAGCTGGATCGTTTAGACGGGATTAATCGCGACTTGACGCAGCAGCTCAACCGTGCCGAGAATGACCTTAACCAGATGTCTCGCACTTCGATCGATGCCGAACGCCGCGCCGAAGCTGCGATGAGAGAGCGCAATGAGTTCCACCACAAGTGCACCGTGATTTTGTCAGAGAAAGATAGTAGGATTTCTTCGCTCGAGACTGACTACAGATCCCTGGAGAACGAGCTCGAGAACTCCAAATTGCAGGTCGAACAATATGCCGAGGCTGTCAGCCATGCCGAGGAAGTCTCCCACAGCCAGGCAGAGACTTTCGAGGGCGAGAAGCACTCGTTGATTGAGGAAATCGACATGCTCCGCAACCAGCTCTCTCAAGAGTCGGCCAAGGTTACCGAGAAGGATGCTGCGATTAAGCGTATCGAGGAAGAGGTCAAGAAGCTCAAGGGAGAGTTAATCAAGAGCCAAGAAGAACACACGACCCTTTCTGCCAAGCACCAGGAACACGCCGCCGCCCTTTCCACCAAGGATTCCGATCTATCCGCCAAGGTTACTGAGCTCTCTACCGCCAACAAGAAGCTGTCTGCTACCGAGGCTGAGCTCACCAAGGCCCAGAGCGAGGTCAAGTCGTTGGAGACCAAGATTGTGGGTCTCCAGAGCACACATGCCGCCACTTTAAACACTCAACAGGAGCAGTTCGCCCACTTGACCAAGGAATTAGAGACCTCCAACGGCCAGATCGCCATCCTTGTTGAGAAGCAAAAGACCTTAAACGCCCGTATTGTCGAGCTGACTGAGCGCTCATCCGAGAACACCAAGGGCGCTGAGGAGCAGTTAGACGCTCTTCAGAAGCGCATTGAGGAGTTGCAACAGGAGGTCGCTGCTAAGGAGTCCAGCCATAAGGTCATCATCTCTGAGAAGGAAACCCTTGTCGCTGATTTGGCCGCGACCACCGCATCTAACGAGGCCATCAAGAAGGAGCATGCATTGCTGACCAAGGAGAAGGAGGAATATGCAGTTGCTATTGCCGCCAAGACTGCCAATTTGGAGTCCCTGCTCAAAGAGAAGGAGGCCTTGGTATCGGAAGCCGCCAAGAAAAACGAGACTGTCTCTGCACTTCAGAAGGAGAAGGATGCCTTGAACGCCGAGTTGCCTGCCACAATTGAATCCAAGAAGACGGTCGAGGCAGGTCAGACAACTCTTTCTGCCCGTGTCGCCGAATTGGAGAAGGAGTTGAGCGAGGCCCACAAGGTCAGCAACAGTAGCAACGGCACAAACGGAACGAGTAGCGCGAATGGTACGAATGGCACAGACGGTGGTAGTGCGCCCGAGGAGACTGAAAATGCCGAGGCGGCCGAGTCCGTTGAGGACGATAACAAGGAGGCAAATGGCGAGAAGAAGAAGAAGAAGAAGAAGAAGGCCAAGAAGTCTTCCGCCGCTGCCGTTACTGAGGAAGGGAAGAAGGACGAGGTTATTAACGTCCAGGAGAAGGACGGTGTTGCTGTCGCTACCTTCTAGGTTCAGTCATACAGCACCACCTTAGCCACCATTGCTTGAGAACCATGCAGCTTTCTTTTTTTTTTTGCATTCCATTCCTTTGCTTCATTTCCTTTGTTCCTATTTCCTTCTATCATCGTCTTTCTTTTCTTTTTTTCTTTTTCTTTTTTTTTGCTATTAGCCTCACTTGAAATAAAAATCCAAGAGACTCGTAGATAATCATTCATCTTCATGACGAAAGGAGACCAAAGGGATTTCCAGTGCCCGTTGTTTCGACTGGGTTTACGGCAAACAGTGCAGTAGCTGTGCAACGTTCAAAAGGGCTCACGCACACAAAGAGGGGGGGGGGGGGGAAAAGAAGCCGTTGCATTGCATTGCATTACAGGATGGGAAAACCGAAACGGTACTTTATTTCGTTTAGTGCACTACTCTCAATAGATAAACGGAATAAAGCGCCAGCGCTTGCTTGCGTAGACATCCCACTCCTTTCCAAAATGTTTGCTCAGCATGATCTCTTCGTTCTTGACACGTTCAACGAGTGCACGGGTCATGAGGCCGGTGAGGATGCCGGTGATCAAGATGCCGCCAGGGATACCCAGGAAGGATGGGGAGTTGTTTAGATCAAAAGGGAACCACTTACTCTGGCCGAGATAGGCCACTGAGACGTCCCAGAGACCCTGGTGAAGGAGTAGAAGGTAGGCGCCTGCACCGCACATGATCCCACCGCTGTAGGATGGATGACGGAGGAACGTATATGGACCGGTGCCGATCAGTCTGTGTCCTGAGCGGATCGACAAATGGAACTATCATTTCCGATAATAGATAAGATGTTAAGTGCGTATTGCTTTTCACATTGGCCATCCAAAACGTAATGGAAGAGGAAGGAAATGTGTAAACTCACTGTAAAGAAGCGATCCAATGCAATGAAGGACCACTTTCTAAGGACGGCCCCAAAGATCGACGTCCCAGCGGCAACCAAGTGCCAGGGTTTAAGCTCTTGCAGCTGTAGAATCGCGCTCAATAAATGTCTGTCCATGGGAGGGTTGGCCGCGGCAGCCAGACGTGGGCCATAGGTTATCAGGTACAAGTACAATGCGGTCTGAGTCGTAGTGACGGCGATGACGGCCATGGGAACACGGATAGTATCGATTTTATAGGGTCCGTTCTCCTCAATGACCTTGTCCTCTTTTTGACTGGGGACTGAGCGTGAGGGTTTCGGGGGCATGGCACCAACGTACGAGCCATAGGCTCCGGCAAGGAGACAGCCTACTTTGACATAAGACATGGTGCTTTGAAGGGGGTGAATGAGGAAGCGAAGTGAAGTGAAATGGGTTTGGTGGTAGAAGAAGAGAAAGATAAAAAAAAAAAAAAGTAGATTGCACATTATATTTGAACACTTTGTGCGCCGATGCTGACCCCGATTTCCTACCCGCCTCCATCTCGTGCAACACTACTCTCTTGGGATATCATTGGGATTGGTATTTTGTTGTACCGTTGTGCTGACTGCATGAAAGAAAGAAAACCCATTCACAAGAAGCTGTTTATTTATTGCTTTTGAAGGATCTAATGAAGACACTAGCGAAATGAGAGTTGGGAGACTGAACGCGACTTGGGTGCAAAATGTGGAGAATGGAAACAACAGGGAAGGGGGGGAGAAGAAACGCACAGTGACAGTCGGCCCTAGCCTTGGAGTCGCTGTCACTGCTACTGTCACCGCTGTCATCGATTTGTAGGAATCATGGAGACATCAGGAGGCACCTTGAACAACAACTCTCCACTTGTTTGCGAAAGAGAGATGAAGGCAAAGCAATTTCGTCTACCTTTGAGTCCCTTTGCTGATGCTATGTCCTCAAAAGTAGTCTAGGGTAAACTGCGTGAGAGCAAATACTTTAAAGGGTACGTCCATGTACTCTATGTATGCATCAATCGTCCTTTCTATTCGGCATGGGCGCTATCCAGGATATGAATGTTCGATTTCGCCCTCCATGCTGGCAGATCGATGAAGCAGGCATTGTTCATTACAGATCTACATCCTATTCGCCCTGTAAAATAATTGCCAACGCCTCTATAAGAGGCAATCATTGTCCAGCTACAGTATAAAAATCTCAAGGTGGCCTATTGATTGGGAGCATGTCGAAATCTATAGGGCAGTGCTGTGAAGAAAACTCGATGGCACACAAACGGGCTACTAGCGTTGTCTATGAGAGAAACGTCGTTCGAATGTCTTACAGCCCTACAACGCAAAATTATATTGCGAGCATGTTAGAATGATAGATGCATCAAATGGAATATAGAATACGGGACCGTTAGAACACCCTCATTTCACTTTGGAAAGCTCTGTAACATCGGTTCTGGATGTCGAGAGCTTGAAGATGGCTCCAGTGCCTGTTCACTGGAGGCGATAGTGGCGTTGGCGGCACTAGAACGAGGAGTAGCTTGGGGAAAAAAAAGATAGCGACAGCGACAGCAGTGCGTCCAGTTTTACAGTAAATGCAAAGGACCTTCATAAAAAAAGCATAAAAAGAACATTAGGCGTTCTCGAGCTTTATTCTCACAAGCAATATTACAGTTCTAGGTCAAGGGGGGTCCCTGAACTCTACGTTTGGGTCAGGTCCATTTAGACTTGGACCCAGCCAAACGTCTGTGCTACATATGCTTCCCCAACCATTTACTATATAAGCAACTGAAGTTTGCTGTGCTGTTCGAGCACGTTTAAAAGAGCCGCTTATTTACGTCTTCAATGTAAATATCTTGCAGTGATTGTAAGGCTGGATATCCGCTGGTTTCATGAAACCAGCAAGATTGGGGGCTTCGCGTTACCATGCCTTTTAGCGGCACTACGGTCTTCTAGCTGTGCTGTGAACTGTAGAACCTTTCGCTAAACTCCACTACTGCCCTCCTCGACGTTGGACAAGAAAAACATGTCCAGTTCCCGCTACCTCATACGTTCGTGATGTTAAACGATACTTTGGCAAAGGGAGAAATTGTTCAGCGCGCGATTCTGGAGCTGCTTCCGTCTTCTTGGATTTATTACCATTTGCTCGCGCGTTTAAGTTAGTGGACGGCCAATAAGATTTTATTCCAGATGTTGGGCCAAAAACGGAGGGAGACAAATAAATGAAACACACGCACAAAATTCACTTCGTTCATCATGCCTTGTCCTCTCATTCCCGTAATCCTACTCTGCTAAGTGAAGCATCCCCAACAGCGTCGGGCACCAGCACAACACTACCCTCAGGTGCCATCCATTGAAAACCTACTATTGAAACAAGCAAATGTCCAGAAGGACAGTTGTCAACTATGAGCCGGACTCTGCCACCTCCACCTTCTCCACGAGGTCCAACTCACTGCCGGCGACTCGAAGCACAATGGCAACGAAGCGCATAGGCAATCATTCGAATGACATCGTCGCATATTTTCACAGAGAGGAAGTCGGCAACTACCACTACGGGGTATGCAGTTTGTCGAACGCCGTTATTCAGGAGACGCCTTCCTTACCCGAATACTTTATCTAAAAGGACTTTGTATTAATAATCTGTAATAGGAGCGACATCCTATGAAACCGCATCGACTGACGTTGACCAACCACCTGGTGATCTCGTATGGCCTGAATCAAAAGTTGGACATGTTCGAGCCTCGCATAGCAACAGAGGAAGAGATTATGAGCTTCCACTCGGCAGATTACATCGACTTTCTCAAGAAGTATGTGATGGTTGTATCAGCAATTGATCCCAAGGTGTACAAACGAACAAAACTGACAAGTATGCTTTATCGCCTTCGACTCGTCTAGAGTGACACCGGAGAACATGAACAATTTCAGCAAGCTATTCAGTCGATACAACGTTGGAGACGACTGCCCTGTGTTTGACGGCATGTTCGACTTTTGTAAGATCTATTCAGGAGCAACCATCGACGCAGCACGCAAGCTGACCAACGGATCTGTGGATATAAGCATCAACTGGTCAGGAGGCCTTCACCATGCGAAACGAGTCGAGGCATCTGGCTTCTGCTATGTCAACGATATTGTCCTTGGGATCTTTGAGCTGTTGACGTGAGTACTCATATCTACACTGTTACTATCGCCAATTACTTGTAGTTCGTGGCGGTAACGTCGATCTAACTGAGAACATATATTCTTTCTAATACGCAACAGGCGATACCCTCGGGTATTGTATGTGGATATCGACATCCATCATGGAGACGGCGTTCAGGAGGCATTTTATACGACAGACCGGGTCATGACCGTTTCTTTCCACAAGTACAATGGCGACTTTTTCCCTGGAACAGGAGATATTGATGAAGTCGGAAGCGGTATCGGGAAACACTACTCATTGAATGTGCCCTTGAAGGATGGCATCGATGATGAGTCGTACATATACTTATTCAAGTCGGTCATGGAGGCGGTTATCAATTCTTTCAGGCCATCGGCGATCGTATTGCAGTGCGGGGCGGATTCGTTGGGGTGTGATCGATTGGGATGTTTCAACTTGTCCATCAAGGCGCATGGGGAGTGTGTCAGATTTATTAAGGACTTCAAGTTGCCGTTGCTGGTCCTCGGAGGAGGCGGATACACAATTCGCAACGTAGCTCGGTGCTGGGCGTATGAGACTTCTATCCTGGTCGATCATGAAGTCTCAAACGATCTTCCATACAATGAGTACATTGACTATTTCGCGCCTGATTATAAGCTCCACCCACATCTGTCGGGCAAGGTCGAGAACATGAACACACGCCAGTATATCAGAAATCTACGAATCAAAGTCCTGGAGCATTTGCGGTTCCTGAATGGTGCGCCAAGTGTTCAAATGCAGGAAATCCCACCGGATATCCAGGGGTTTCTGGAGATGAATGACGAGGAGGAAGCAGAATTGATGGCGGATTCTGCAAAGGGCAAGGAAGAGAAGGAAAAGCAGCGAGGGCGGGATCACACAAACGAGTATTATGACAACGAACAAGATGTTGACCTCGACATGGATATTGAGGGTTGAACGGCAAGCAGCTGTATTTTATTATCATTAATTACCATGCATAGACCTGCACTGTATTTTTACAAATCTCCGCTTCTTTTGTATGCGTCTGCTTCTTTGAATGCGAATTGAGTTCAAGGGTCGTTCGTGGACTGTTCCTGGACCAAACGCCAGGCGAGCGAGTATCAACATGTGGCTTGGTTTACCCCCCGGCAAAGCGCCTGGCTGCGACGAACGCAACCCAAAGGCGATCAATCAGCTCAGGACACATTCTTCTCCACTCTCGCCTCCTCCCACGGCAAAGACCTTTTTTGTATCCTTTCCTCCGCCCTCCTGTTCGATTGATTCCGGCCAAGGCAACGACACTCGCAATGCTCCGTAACTTTGCACGCCTGGGAGGCATGTCTACTGCTCAACGCTGGACACAGCAGGCACGGATTCCAGCAGCAGCAGCGGCCGCCTCAAGCAGGTGGTCGATCGCCTCGTTCCATATGGGCACCCATATTAACGCCATTACCGCCTCCTCCAATGCTGCTACATCACCCTCAACACCATTGCCACCACCCATGGCTACTTCGACTCAGAACAGTGGCGATAAGAAGACATCTTCAACGCCAGCAACTTCAACAGCACCAGGATTAGAGGCAACACCATCAGAGCAGCAGCAACCTGAGGAAGAGGAGAGGGAAGAGCGGGATGGATCTTCATTTGCCGAATTTGTCCCTGTCTCGGCTGAGCAAGTACGATCGTTGAACAACAACCCAATTTTGAAGCAATTGGTCAACACGATCATGAAGGACGGCAAGAAGGCACGCGCTGAGCGATTTGTGGCAGACGCCTTGTTGGAAATCAGGACCAGGACGCAGTCGGACCCTTATCTGGTGGTTCTGGATGCACTCGAGTTGGCGAGCCCAATTCTGAAGCTGACGGCGATCAAGAAGGGATCGAAGGTGCTGCAGGTCCCTAGTCCGATGACGGAGCGACAGAGGCGCAGAAAGGCGATTGTGTGGATCCTGGAGGCGAGCGACAAGCGCAGGGGCGAGAAGAAGTTCAAGGATCGACTGGCTAGCGAATTCTTGGCGGTTGTGAACGGAAACAGTGGAGCACTGGCGAAGAAGAATCAGTTGCATAAGATGGCGTTGGCCAACAGAGCCAATGCTTCGCTCAAGTACTAAGGAGACCTGGGGAGAGAGCGATTTTGTTGTTTTCAGTGCATGGAGGACGGCAATATTGGATGTTCATCGACGGACCTTTTTCTTATAGAATAAAAATACACAGCACACATTTGACATTTGTTTACCGTCCATAGCCCATTCTCCATATGGGGTATGGAACTGGCTGGGCTTTTGGTCTTGCCCTCTGCAACTGGACCTTGGACTAACTAACAGAACATCAAATCTATTTTTTCAGCTGCATCCGTTATTAACAAACCTTATTGTTATTTTTCGCACTTTTCCCTCCATTCGTTCATTCTCCAACCTTTCCTTGCATACACCTTTCTTTCATCTTTCCATCAACCACTCCCATCCGCCTTTTTTCTCATCCCGCAGGAGGCGCACTGCGAAAGAAACCAAGAGATGAGCCATATTCCTCGGCAGCAGCAACAGCAGCAGCCCCCCTCAAGGTCGTCCTCGCCCTTCACACTCTCCACATCTACAACGACCCCTACCTCGCCACGGACTCACACACGCACCCAACCCTACCACTCTGAACCCCTGCCACAGTCTCCGTCTCAGGCCCAATTCCACGTAGACGCCGCCGCCATGAATACCAGGGGTAGCATCCATGCCAACATCGGCGCCAGCACGAGAACTGTTGCCGATCTCCAAGATTTATCTTCCAGGACACAGCAGCCTGTATCTCCAAAACAATTGCGATCATCCTTTGAGACACCACCCTCGTACAGCCCTAGTCCAAGTCCCGTCACCAACCGCCTGAGCGACAGTCAACTGCAGATGAACGGTAACCGCAACGGAGCATCCGATCGCACACTCCTCCAGTTCAACACATCCGAGATCGAGCGCAGCTTCCAGGCCTTGCTCAAGAAGCAACCCGTCGCAACCGCTGGCCCCTCAGTCCTGATCTCCAAAACTCAGAGACAACGTCCGCCCAAGGATGTCAAACCCCGTCACTTTCTATCCCCGAGTCCTCACGCGCACATCCACCGGCCGCCGGGCAGGAAAACCAGCAATAGCACTCTCAGCAGCAGTCTGTCGCACTCGCCCGTCTTCGGATCACCTGCGTCTGAACATGCAAGGAACTGGATAAAGCACGTTGGACAGGATCTGCTCAGCGATTCGGAGAGCGAGCTGCGAGAGAGTGATCTTGATGCCTTTGAAGACAATCAGCAACAGCAATGGCAGATTGATTATGAGCATGAGGTTGCTGGTCAGGTTGAGCTCGAGACAGACGTAGCAACAGCGAGAAACTCAATGAACGCACCGGCGCCTTCTTTGAAAAGCAGACTACATCCCATGTTCATTATGGCAGGTAAGCAGCCCTTACGCCGGTTACTATCCAATTGGTCGTTTTAGCCTCGTTGGTTGCTGCTGCTGACCTTACATTACTTACTCTACTCGAATTACTGCCCGAATAGATCCGCTGGAGTCAAACGAGCACGGACAGAATTCAGGACGTGCTTCTCCCGCCTCCCGTCCATTTATTCGCAACAAGGACCAATACAACGTCCACCCGCTATCGCCTGTTCCGCCATCGCCCAACTCAGGGAACTCGACACCCAAGATGCCTCAATCACGGTCGCCAGAAATTAGACCGCAGGTCATGTTATATCCAGCAGATCTCCCGCTCCCACCACTCCCACCGCCCCCAACAACACTGCCCGACAAACCTCGTCCGCGTGTAAAAAAGCTCATTCGACATCCAGATCCGCCTAAGAAGGCACCCATGAGCAACCCTCCTTCGATCAAGCTGGCTTCTGCTGTGCTGGAAAAGAAGCCAGTGTCCTTGACGAACCCACCACGAAAATGTATTCACCACGGAAAGATTCTGCAGGTCATCAACACCTCAACAGTCAAGGATCGGTACCTGTTCTTGTTCAACGACATTATGTTAATCGCCAAGCATATGTCAGAGGGGCATCCGACGCTGGACAGTCGCTTTCAGGTTAAGGATGTCATTGAGCTCAAAAAAATCAGCCTCAGTCTGACGCGCGATAAATACGACCCAAAGAATGGCGAGGCAGGAGGGTTGGGCAACCGCAAGATCCCACCGATCTTGGCAGAGTTCATTCATACCTTTGATCAGAATCCAACGCGTGCTCTCAACACGTTTATCAACAAACGAGCTCTTCATCCGGATCCAGCCTCTGTTGCACATCTTTTGTTCAAAACACCGGAACTGTCTAAAACTCAGCTGGCACTCTTCCTTTCAAATCCGGCCAACAAACATGTCTACCGCTCTTTCTTAGATCAGTGTCAGTTCGCAGGAGTGCTTTTGGATGAGGCATTGCGGACGTTGCTAGGCAGACTCAGTCTTCCGGAAAGAACAAGCGGTACGCAGCGTACTGGGGGGTCTTCGGAGCGGACTGTCAACAGTGTGGACTATCTGTTGGAAGAGTTCACGAAACGATGGTATGAGGCCAATGTCAATGTCGTGGTCTTCGATGCGTCGATCGCACACAAACTGGTCATCGCCATGATTGTGCTCAATGCTCAGCTCCACAACAACGAAGGCGCCACTTTGGTCAAGGATAGAGAGGAGGTTGGAATCCTTGTTCGACCTCGAGTTAGCTCGCAGCCCTCTACTCCAACAATACCTTCAACTCCCGTCATGGAATCCACTCTCTCTGTCCCAACCTCGTCTTCACTTCAGCAATATTTGACAATGGATTTAGATGATCTGACGACTTTCCCAACGCCCACAAGGGAGTCCTTTGTCGAGATGTTTCAACTCCTGGATCAGCAGCGGATTGTACCAAGGGACACATTATACAACATCTTTTCGTCCATCAGTCATCAGCCACTGGATATCGATTTTGAAAAGCTGGATGACCATGCAACGAACCCTGACTCAGCTCCTGCTGTGGCGCGTAAGCTATGGCCTGTGATGATGTCCCCAGCAATTCTGCCTCCAAGACTGACGCTGAAGATTCCATCGGATCCTATCACCATTACGATCCCGGTATTAAACCCTCACTTTTCGATCCATCTTGGTGGAAGGGACTTGAAATGCGAACCATCTGTGCTGGAGTTTGGATCCCATCGCAGCCAGAGGTTCAGGATCACAGGATCGGTGCCAGGAAAGAAGACGTTGACGATTCATCCAAAGCTCGTTGCGGAGAAAGGAACACCGGAGCAGTTCTACGACCTTCAAAATCTGCCGACAAAGCATACGATCGCGATCGAGCGACAGTTTATGAGGCACACTTTCCAGATTTCATTGTTGAATGATCTCGGCACTAGAAGGCGCTACCTATTCGGAACATCGACTGCGGCAGAGAAGGACGAATGGGCTAGCGTGCTCACGGATTGTCTGCTGCAAGCCAAAGGACAGAACGCCGTGCGGTTGAATGAACACACTGGACTGGAGCAATCGATTGGACTGCAAATCTTGAAGGAGCTCCTGTTAGGAGTCGAGGGTTTAGATGAAGATGGGGTGGAGCCTTCACAGACGAATGGGCAGGCAGAGCCCGTACCTTTACCCATCCCAGTCGTTCCGCCACCGACTATGGGACTCGGAATTCCAATAGAAGGCCATGCTCTTCCAGGAAAAGCAGGGGTGTCACCACTTTCGGTAATCAGCACCAGTTCCGCGGCTTTGCCCTCGGCAGCTGGGCATCAGAGTCCGACTGTTGGAACAGGTGCTAGCACAGAGTGGCCGAGTTCACAGAATAATGTGGGACAGAGTTCTCCAAAGGACACATGGTTGTGCAAGATGCCGAAACCAGGATCCGCTGTTCCTGATCGGCATGGCTGGGAGCTGGTCAGACTAGTGGAGCAGAACAGTCTTATGGCGATTATGCTCGGATTTATGGGCGCATTGGGTCGTGATCGGTTGAGGCGAATGGAAGCGATCCGAAAGTCGATGGAGGAGGAAGCAAGACAAGCAGAAATGGAGGAAGACGAAGAAGAATATGAGCAGGATGAGGATGAGGATGAGGAGGAAGAGTATGAGGAAGAAGAGGAATATGAAATCCGTACAGAGGAAGTGGATGAGGACCAGGATGGATCTGGAGTGATACAGGCGGTCGAGATTAATGTCGAGCATGTTGCGGATATTCAGCAACAGGGTGCACATGGACCCGAAGCAGTGTCTGTAGGACAAGCGACTACTTTTGAAGCCCTACTCGAAACAGAGAAAGAGACACCTATTCTGGAGAGCTTAGAACGTGCCGACGACGATCAGGAGGAGGAAGGCGTGGTATCGGCTGTCTCTGGCCATGTACGCAAGATCAAAGGCGGAGAGATCTGGTGGACGCAGTAATAAAATATTGTTCTTGGACCAAGATAATATGAATCAAAAGACGCGACTTTTTTTTTTATGACAATGAAGTAACGATTATTCTGCGGATATTGCAACTTAGGCAGCTAAAAAAAAAAAAAAAAAAAAAAAAAAAAAAGACAATAAACTCGAATCCATATGCTGATCAACAGCAGTGCCATTGCCCTTGATATAATTCATGTGCACATTGTCCACCCTTTCAATTGTCAGGGGCACAGCCTTTTTCGATCCAGGTCCAGCTAATTCAAGTGTCAAGTGTGAACTGGGCGAAGCAGTTTTAGTCTAGAGACTACCTTGCACCTCTTCTCTCGTTTTTGCGGATCAGATAAAAAAATAAAAAATAAATAAGTAAAAACATAGGATCGGCTTCAAGGGTAAACGAACTTGACGCAAAGGAACATGGAGTGATATGGATAATGAAAACATTCCTAATTAGCTAGTTCGCCCGCAACAGAGAATAGCACACATGGTCTACGCATTGTGCAGCGGCAAATATGAGGCAGAAATATTAGCACAGCTGAATCTGTGATAAACAATGCTGCAATGCTGCTGTTTTTAGATGCTTCTTGCTTAATGTCACTTTGTCCCTTGATTATCCGTGTCCCTTTGCCATTCTATATAATCATGTTCATCCTCACATGGCAGTTGCTTAATGGATTGGAATAAAAAGTAAGAGGGTCTTGATTGTAGCTGTATGGATATGATGAAAGAGTGAGAGAAAGGAGATGGGGATGTTAGCTAGGTCAGGTAGACTATATCCGATCGAGCCATCTTGGTCTCGGAACCAGAGAATACCCACGCTGCTTTTCAATGCTCAAGAGGGCCAAGCAAATGGTCCGTGTTGGCTGAAATCGTAGTTTTGTCTAGAACAAGACGCCGTTGTCTTCGAGATGCAGCGGTGTCTAAAACAAAACGCTGTCATTTCAACCGTAGGGGATGTATTTCATCAAGAGTGACAATGCTGTCAACAACAAAGCCTTGAAGCCCTCCCGCCGCCAATGTCGTCTACAATAAAATGTCAGCGAGTTTTTTTTTTTTTCCTCTTTTGCACAAAGTCCTAACGTCGTCCAGTCTCCGGGCACTTGCCTGACATGTAGCCACTGCTACTGTTTTCTGCATTCTGTAGTACACAAAGTCCCTTCGCGTCTTAATGTTTCCCAGGACTTGTCTATCGTAGACTTACGGCGTGGCTAGGCTCTTGGCTAAGCTTTTGGCTAGTACAACGTGGCCTTGTATATTCTACACCATTACGTCTCCTACTTACTCGTACTACCACCGCAAACAAGAAATTTACAGCCAATGTCGGCAAAATAGGCACAGCACCGACACAGCCACAGACCTTTCCATGTGGTGTCACATCCTCAGGAGCTACATCCTCCGCTTCGTTTTTATCCACACTTACAAAGAGCGCGAAGAGAGAGGGAGAGAACAAGGATCTTCCAATTCTAGCACCAGAAATGGGCGCCTCTCCATCATTGTTCGTCCACATTTGTAGAAATGTACCAAAAAAATCTGACCCGCCAATCCGTCGCTGTGCCTAGATATGTGTTCGGAGGACTGGTATAGCATTTCCTGACGCCCATGCAGAGCCAAGGCCTTGTTACCATCATTCTTTCGTGGAGAGACCCGTTTCACCAAATACATCAAGACGGCCTGACACATGAAAATCACCATAATAATGTTTGAAGAAAAATAGCGAGGACACACCCTAGTCGATGACAAAAAGCCCTCAGGGGTGGTTCGCGGTGAAGATCGAATACAAAAAAATACGTGAAAAAGCGCGTCTGGCTCAGCCAATGGACCTGCTTTTACCACCACAACAGAACAGCAACAACGAAACCGGCTATCTGACGCACTCCTCATAGTCAATGAAGTCAATGAGTCGCGGCGAAGGTTCGATTATGATGAAGAATAAAAAGAAAGAAATGGGGTTTCCCAGAAAAAACAGCCCCTGGGCCCCTTCATTGCGAGTAGATGTGAATGTTGCACAGGTGCTCTCGGGGTTAAGATCTATGTGATGCCGTCGAGGCTGTGCATCGCCCGGGCCAGATATACGCGTCGATCACTATGTCCCTTCAATGCAGTGCGAGCACCAAGTGCAAACCCATTCATTATATTACTGACAAAGGCTTTTCTTGCTATTGTACATTTTCATCTTTTCATCGTTTGGTTCAATCCTCACTCTCCTCACTCTTTATTTCATTTTCACATTGACGTTTGCTGGTTCTACGCTGACTAAGGTGTGGGGTTCGAAGCGATACATACAAAGGAAAGTGGATTGGCTTGCCATCAGTCAGTCTTACTTGAGAAAGTAAAGACTGTGCAGGGTACACCGCGGGCAGGTTGCAAGCCATGGTACCCCAGAAAAAACCACAAGGGAAAAAAAGTTCGGCTTTTGACCTTCTTATTTTTTGGGGGGTGGGGAATTGTATTTTTCTTGTTCTTGTTCTTTTTTCTTTTTTTCTTTTCTTTTTTTCTTTTCTTTTTTTCTTTTTTTCTTTTTTCTTTTTTCTTTTTTTTAGAGAGGTGTAATAAAGCAAGAGCAGAAGCAAGAGCAGAAGCCGAGGCCTAAGCAAATGCCAGAGTCAGAGCAGTGATAGATGCGCAAGTCCAAGCAAAAGCAAAAGCAATAGCAAAGGCAGATGGAGAAGCAAAAGCAGATGTCGAAGCCAAAGCAAAAGCAACGCCGGAGCAGAAGCAAAAGCAAAAGTCCAAACAAAAGCAAAAGCGAAAACAAAAGCCAGAGCACAAGCAAGAGCAAAAGCGGAAGCTTAGGCAAATGCCAGAGTCGGAGCAGTGATAGATGCAAAAGTCCAAGCAAAAGCAAAAGCAAAAGCAAAAGCAAAAGTAAACAAAGGAAGAGAAGGGGAGAGAGAGAGAAAGCTAGAAGCAATAGAGACAAGGGAGCGCTGGGTGAGTGAGTGGGTGAGAGAGATACGAGAAGTGCAGGTGAACGAGACTGAGGTGAACAAGAGTGGAGAGAGCAGTGGGAGAGAGCAGTGGGAAAGAGCAGTGGGAGAGAGCAGTGGGAAAGAGCAGTGGGAGAGAGCAGTGGGAAAGAAGGGCAAGAGACAGCAGAAGTGAAGGACTGAGAGTGAAAGTGAGAGTAGCTGGAGCAGGGGTAAAGGTGGAAGAGGAGGAGGAGGAGGAGGAGGAGGAGGAGGAGGAGGAGGAGGAGGAAGAAGAGCTTACCTTGAAGACCAGGAAGAAGACCGGGGAGAAGATGAGGAAGAAAAGAGAGAAGAGAGAAGAGAGAAGAGAGAGAAAAAGAGGAGGGCTTCATATTCGGTCCTCGATAGACACTCCCTCCTCCACGACAGACGGCACACGTCATCGCTGCTGTCTGCAGCGAAGAGAGTGTCTTCGAGCAGCCTCCTATCGGTATAGTCTTTTCGGGACTTTCACATGAAAGAAAAAGAGATAGTGGGCGATAGACAGCACGGAGACAGTGGACAGAGAGACAAGCAAGGAAATGATGGTGGCAAAACCGGTGACCTATCGGGACATGAAATACACTTTGGTGGTAAGATAGCCTGGTCTTGACAGCAAAGGAGCAAAGAGAGGGAGAGAGGGAGAGAGGGAGCGAGGGAGTGAGGAAGTGAGGGAGTGAGGGAGTGAGGATGAGAGAATGGGAGGATGAGAGGATGAGAGGTCTCCTTTGATGAGCATGCAAGCATGGAATAGAAAGAAAACAATAGACAGAAAAGACATGGCAAAGGTAGTGCCACCACAAGAATGTCTCAGTCAGGACGTCTATCGAAGCAGCCAATGATGTAATGATGTACCTGGGAGTGTGCAAGGATATAGAGAGAGACAAAGACACAGGAACAAGCAGCAAGGAAAGAGAACGAGTGAGACAAGGAAGAAGCGGCTACGGCGACGATGGCCATACAGGTCACATACAGCAATACTATCTTCTTGCAGCAGTACGCGGGCAGACAATGGTCCCTAAAGACAATACACCGTGAGTATGTTGGACTCGGACCAAATTGTCTATTCCAACATAACCACTGCTGGCTGCATCCTCTCCAGCTTTTTTTTTTTTTTTTTTTTTTTTTTCTTATTTCATCAAGTGCTCACATACAGCTGTGCTGCATCCACTCCTTAAGAAAACCAGCCTGTTACAGACAACACCACCAAGTGAACACGCGTCTTAGCTGCGAATAGCAGCACTGGGAGTGGCAGAAAGGGCTGTCAGCAACGACACGCGCGTCCCTCTCCAAGGATTGTCCATGTTTATGCGCATACTCCACAGCACTTCATTTTTTCCTTATTCGTGTAACCGCCGCGAAAGAGAAATCTGCAGTCTCGGTAAAAATGGGCACAGTCCACAATTTTGATACACCCCCTAAAATCCTATTCGCTTTGTAGCAGTTGAGGGCTAAGTCCATAGGCAATCGTCGAAGGACGACAGGCTTGTTGCATCCGCATATTCGCCACCACATATGCCTCGTCTATGGCATGGTAGCAAATACGCTCTCAAATGTCGACTTTGGGTGTTCTGTATCGACATAGTGCAGCCGAACCTTGTGTGATCTGGCGCTGGGCCTGTTCCCTCGTATCAAGGGGCCCTCGCAGATTACCACCAATTAAAGTTAAAGCGCGCGCTCTCAAATGTCTGCGCCTAATCTCTTGTGATCTCTCCTTCCTTCAGCTCATTCTTCATTCCACTCTTCGCTCATCTTTCGTCATTGCAACATTGCCGCTCCATGGCAAGCACAAACCCATAGATCCCTGCTATAAGGACATGCAAGGTCCGCTTTCACCACGACCAATGTCGCTATCTTCTCTGCTAGACCACTTCTTCTCTCCCAAAAAGAATGCTTCCATCATATCCTCATACCCCGCAGCCGCCCTCGCTATCCCCGAAGTCCTCGAGGCCATATTTTCGTTCCTCAGTCGCCACCTCCTCCGCACTGTCGTTTGCCTGGTCTGCAGGGAATGGTTTCAAATCGCTAGACGTATTGCTCCCTATGAACTCCATTGGGCTTTCAACCTGACACGAAAGGAACACGAACGGGTCTTGAAAACTTTACCGACTACTGTGGCCCTGCTGCTCTCGCCTTACTCTGGCATTCGGGAACGGGTCATCAAGGATAACCTATCCATGGAGCATCGTGACGCTGCATGGGCTGAATTCGTCGCATCTATACGACTACTGCAGGGCTTGGACACTCAACTGCTGCGGGAGGTACATATCAGGAACTCACTAACAGACCAGAGATTCTTCTTTGAGCTGCGACCGAATCTTTCTCAAATATCGTTTCTAAAATTAACGGAGGTTGGCGATCGGCCGGACCGCGTTTTCTTGCACGGTATCCTCACGGCATGCCCTAGACTGGAGATGCTTTACATTGATACCTCTAATTTCGTCAAGCACCGTCCTCCAGTGAAGCAGTACATGGAATATGACCACAGTTATCACATAAAGGACCTGCCAGTATTGCCGTTACGAACCTTCGTCGTCCATGATCTTGTCCTTACTTCGAGATGCCTCGAGTCCCTTGTCGATGCTTCTCCACAACTCGTCGAGTTCAAGGTCGTGTGTGCTTGGAGAGTTCCTGTGTCCAAGATTGTTCCTTCTCAAGCGGATAATACTACTGTTGTAGACGATGACCAAATCGACGGCACCTTCCATGCTACATCCTTCGCTTCGCCGCCATTCATTCCAGTCGCGCCTGTGTTCTCTTATCTCCAATTCAACTATGCGAAACTCTTTCGTCGACTTTCACGATGCTGTCCACGATTAAAACGCCTTCACCTTTCAGTCTATGATCAGTGTTACACGCAGGACGACTTTGTCACGCTGCTCGATCAAGAATTCTCAGCGATGAATGAATGGTCCTTTGCGCAATGGGAACTGTCCTTAGTGTCAACTCGATTTTCCATCCCTCACTCAAAGATGGCCTCTACCTTCTTTGTGCCGATACCAAGTATAGACGAGAAACTCGCAAATCGGCTGACATCCTTGGAACTGCTACCAATCTTCAAGGGCTCAGAAATCCATGGCAACGAACTGCATCATATCCTGTGCAAGACCGTCCACCTCCGGCATCTCATCGCTCCCAATGTTCTCATCGACATATCACTCCTCGATGTTCATGGCGTCCTGTACCCTATCGACAGCGAATATTCTTGGGGAACTGGCAGAAATATCAACAACAACATTACCCTGACAACGTCTACTTTGACTGCCGAGGACAGCTTTATGAGCACTGACTCGAATCCGCCTTCATCCTCCGACGAGGCTCCTATGCGACCTTGTCGATCGACATGGGCCTGTCGTGACCTTCAGACATTACACATCTCTCTCAACGACGCATGTTTTACAGAAGGATCCGCGCCGGCGGGACGAATCGTGTTTGGGTATCTGAGCAGGATCTGCCCTAGACTTGTGGACCTGCAGCTGAACCGGCAGGTCAATGACCTGTCTTACTCTGCGGGATTATGTCTGCTGACGCGGCTGCACGATCTCGAAAGGCTGTCGGTCAGCTCAAAGAAACATACAGGGATCTGTAAGGAGAACTTGGAATGGATCAGACGATACCCGACTGTGCGCGAGAGACCCCAACCACCCATGACCATCCTTTCGCTCAAGTGGAGATCGCACGTGGCAGAAGCGAGCGGAAACAAATTAGCTTCAGGATCAGCAGAGGCATGGTCGATCTCAACAACTCGACAGAGCAACTACAGTGATATAGACTGGACATATCTGGGACTGGAGAGTGATCTAGAAGAGTGGGCAAAGGAAAGAGAGTCTGGGATATTGAATGGTGAACAGTGTTGGCCACAGCTCGAATTCTTTGGAATCGCAATTGAGAAGGAAGACACCAAGGAGTTTTGGGCAGCGGAGCGTTTCATACAGGAAATTCGTCCGCAAACTACCACCCGCTTCAACATCCGCTCGCCAAAAAAATGAAGTCGTCCACCATTTTTCTATGAAATTAAATCAGAAACCAGAATGAAGAGTGATCAAACGGTTTCTAGGTGGCCAGTTTATTATGAGCAACCTAATGCTCATAATTATAAAAGTTCGATTCCTTGAAGATAAACTCTACGTTCGGCCAGATCTCTTTAAGAAAGTGCTTCAGTTCAAACCCTCTTGTCACATTAGCACAGGTTAACTTGAAGTATTCCAGATGCGGCCAACAGCCGCCACTACCAGTAACGACTTCTTTGGATGTACCCCACAATGGACTCTGCTCTGATTCTTTGGCCCACTTTTTCACATCCGCCAGTAGACCCAATTTACTCAAATCCACCTCTTTGTCATCTGCATTCCTGTAAGCAGGTATCTCTGAAGGCGACAGCGATAAAGGGGACTGCACATAACTGTATGATCCGTTGCTGGTATAACGATGCCGCATCCAGGCTAGCTCTTTGGACTCCAAGTTCGAAAGAGTCTTCGCTGTCAGCACCAACCTCTCCAGGTCCTGCAAACGAGATAGGAAGCAGAATCCAGAATTGTAGGACATATTCGAGCTCCATCTCCGGATGTGAACGTCCCGCAATCGTGGACAGCACTTGCTCAGGTACCCGAACACAATCAGACTGTTGACCTCGAGATGCGCCCAACCACTCTTATACGCGATATCCCAGTCATTGTCGAATGTCGTATGCAAGGTCTTGAGCCCGCGACAAGCCCAGATTGCCTGTCTTTCCTGCCTCCTATTCTGTCCTGTATCCTTGGGGGCCCCACATAGTCGCTCCTTCTCTAGTACGCGGTTCACATCCAGCTTCTCGATCTCAATTACAACATTAGTGGCGATCAAATGCTGTAAAAGAGGCGCTTGACATAAAAACTGGTGTAGTACGCCTCCAGACTGAATTGCGCTGATTCCGTCCCTTGAATTCAAGCGAGGGGTCTTCGTCAGCTCTAGCCGCGTCAATCTGTTATGGTGTGCTCTTACTAGCGGATCGTCTGAGCGTAGGAGCGCCCCCAAAGCCCCGTCTGGGTGCGGCCTGTGCGACAATGATGACTGTAGCTGCTCTGCGTTCAACCTATCCATTTGCGAGATCTCAATCTCCTGATCCGAAAATGACCACTCGTTCAGCACCGGCGAGGGATGATTTAGAAGCAAGCCGAGCTCCTCGTCTGATAGTCGCTCGCCTGTAATCGATAAATGGAAGCACCTCAGTTGGAAACAGGTAGCGGCGACCAGCTTCAGAAACACTGATCGATTGAACCGGGGCAGTAATCGGGTGCTTTCCACGCTCCCGTGCTCTTCGTACAGGGGTGGCATCGGGATCCCTTGGAAAATTCGGAGCTCCGTCAGGTTGGGACATGCTACGACCATCGACTCGATTGTCTCTGGGGTAAGCAGCATATGCTGCAGCACAAGGATTTTCATTCGGGAGTGGATGCACACAGGCTTGAATGGGTGGATCCGCTCCCTATCGCGCATGACGTCCACGTTAACACGATACGGCCAAAAATAATTGGTCAGAGCGTAGAGCTCCTCCAAATTCGGACAGGCCTCGAGGATAGGAAACAAAAGGATGCGATCAGGCCGCGCCATAGTCTTCAGTCGGATTGTCTTGAGGATCGAAAATCGAGGAAGAAGTGGTAATAGTGGCGCGAGATACGCCACCTCCGTAAAATCGTATGACAACTCCAAACTTTCCAGCGGATGAAGACGGCGCAGACCCACGCTTTGATGCTGATCGCCCTTGTCGCTCCCTTTACTGCTTACAGTCCGATCTTGCTCTCCTAAACAGCTCTCGAGTTGGCACAGAAACACCTGCCAGATACGCAGTGCCTCCTTCTTCGAGGGATAGAGTTTCATCTCTGTATAGCTGTTGTTCCGTCTGGGCGCGGCGCTGAGGGCACGGACAGTGCTCAGTCTCTCGAGGACGCGTTGATAATTGGTCGCACTAATACTGATGCTCCAAAATAATGGTATAGGGAGCTGGATGTCGCGGCAAATGGCGAGCCATTGCTTACAGACGAAGCGTGCGATGGTACGGCGCTTGTAGGGGTTCAGGAAGGACAGGACGCGCTCCAGGACCTCGGGGATAATGAACACGGCGGGCGTTGTTGTGTTAACAGCAGTCGAAGTCGGACCTGGAGGCGTGGCGAGAGTCAGAACCTTGGTTTTTGCATGAAGAGCATCCCATAAATGCGCCATTTGTGATAAGGTCCGTAGAGGAAATAAAGGGAGAAAGGGCGCAGACACAGCTCCAGAGTGGGGAAGAGTTGAATGAGAATGTCGAGAATGAGATTAGCGCAACGTTGATGAGAACCTGAATCATAGTCCACTGCGCGCGCTCAATTTATTATTGCATGAGAGCACAATGCTGCTCAGCCCAACATTTATCGCTTTGATACAGGCACAGTAACTTTTAGCCGAATCGAACTACCAAAGTCTAACGACCACGACCACGACTCTTCCAGTTAGGCTCGCTGTGGACATCAAGTCCTACATCTCCTCTCCGCCCGCCACTGCCAAATCCTCCATGTCCATTTCGACCAAATCCTCCTCCAAGACGGCCAGCCAATCGATCACCAAGTGGGTTCATTCTTGATCCTCCTCCTCCTCCACTGCCGCCTTGGCGACCAGATTGCTGTCGGCCACGGTTACGCATAGGTCCCCCTCCAGACTGTGAACTTTTCAGACGAGATGGTGGGACGAATCCCGCTGTTGTACCCGAGGTAATAGCAATATCCAGATAGTCCCCAATCACAAACTTGAACGACTCCAATGTCTTTTCAGAATCTGTTGATGTCGATCTCAGAACTCTTGAATCGAGCCCAATTTCTCTTGCTGCTGCTCCTGCTATGGCTATTGATCCAGTCTTTTGAATGTCTTTTGTAAAGAGCCCTTCGCTTGGGATCTCATCCGATTTCGATAATACTCGCTCTGGTTGAGGACTATCCAGGCTCACTGTGCCAATATCCTTTCCTACAAATATGCCCTTGTTGATATCTAGATAAATGTGTCGAAACATCAATTGACCTCCTGGACCCGCTTGTTCTACTAAATCAGGGATCGCCTGCTTGACTAAGGACGCGATCTCGCCCAGGGTTGCATTCTTCCAGGTGTACAAACGCAGTTCTGAAGATTGCGGTGGCGTCGATGTTGGTGAAAAGTCATCCACACTATGAGTTGAAGAAGAGGAAATGACATTGTCAGTAAGGGCTATCTTGCCAACGGCTCTGCAAGTGTTCCGAAACTATGACTTACCGATGAAATTGCGCTCGACAGTAGTACATCCTGAGGAGGAACGGGCACAACTATAGAACCGATAGGTAAGAGAGCATGTCCTTGTTAGCTGAGTCCGCGTTTGTTGCAGGTGCGCCTTCGTAATCGAACGAATCGCGATCGCGATCGCACTGTTGATCTGTCCTGAGTAACAAGGATACCTTTTCGCGATCGATAACAGTCGGTCCCTCGACTGCTTTATCTTCTGCGGGATCTGGTGCTGTTGCGATGTCGGTCATCGAAGTGTTACAAGTATCGTTTAAAAGGTGATCAGGAATGGATGCTGAAGGCACAAGGACCTAGACCTCGTATGAGTGACGTACGAGAAGCTCAATTGAAATCCAATGGGCGTGCGCGGCAGAGTGAAGCGTCCAGTTGCAATATCTGTAAGATACTCCTTGTGGACACCCAGAAGCGAGCAATTGAGCAATTGAAGACAAGATAATACTGTAATAGACCAATGTTTGTGGGAACCGAGTCCAGTAAAGCGGATCTGGCTACCTGAGTCTGATCAAGTCGGTCTGATCAGAACTGATCAACCAAGGAGAGCCGAAGGAGAACCACTGTAATAAGTCTTTTTTTTTTCTTTTTTTTGAAAGTAAATGAAAGAAGAGGACTATGCCCTCGCCGGTTTTCCACACGGAGCATTGGCACTATGGCCTGACTCCACCTGGCAAAGAATGGCGATTGCTGCCAAGGGAGAGCGTTACCACCGTGGAGTGGTAATGCTGCGATCCCAAGGCGTTCGTTCTCGAAGTAGCCGGCCGCAGATATACATCACGGAAGGTTCTTCCTGAAGCGAAAAAGGATGCCTAATGCCGAGTGCTAGGACAGCCTGGACTGACCAGGGGTTTTACGCCCTGGAGTCGCAAGGCCATCAAAGCCCACTTCTGGTTGAAGTTTTTCCATTCTGCGCAGAAGGGCTGCTTTTATAGTCCTCCCAGACTGTCTGTGACTCTTCTTTGCGGTGAAAGAAACACCATCGAAAAAAATTGAACACCCTCGACCATGCGTCTCAAATTGAGGAAGGAAGAGGCTGCTTTGACTGTCCTTTAGATTTTGCCCTCAAGTTCCTCACAGCAGCCAAGTGACCCTTTCACCGTCTGGCAAAAGCCCAAGACTCGGCTTCATTATATCATTATCTCCGGCTTCAATTAGACAGTAAACCCTTTGGTACGCATTCTTGACCTCTCTTGCCATGCCTGTGTGTGACGGCAATTTTGTTTATTTTCTTTTTCTTTTTTTTTTTGCCTCTGTAGGTGGCCCTCCAAGAGTTCACACCACCCATTTGCACATCCCAAACATACACTATGGCACCATCATTCAGCCAAAGAAGTGGCGGTAGAGGAGGCGGGCGAGGTCGCGGACGAGCTCGCTATGGCATTGCACCTGGCGGTCGCCACAAGACCAGTACTACCAACCTTCCAGCAGCACTGAGCGCAGAGATGGAGGGCAGTAAGTGGCGAGGAATCGCATACGCCAATCAACGTCTGAATGTCAACCGAGGTATAGCTTGCCAACATCTCACTCGTCTGTGTCACTTGTCAATACTGAACTTGATTAGGTTCTTCACAGTTCTTTGCAGAGGGGGACGACCGCGACTTTAGCAAAAAGTTCAAGAACAAGGCCGCAGGGAGAAAAGCTCGCAGGAAGCAGGAGCGAACAGAGAAAAAAAAGCACCGTGCACCGACACTGTCCAAGGTCGAGATCTTGGCACGACAACAGCACATGGTTTCAACACCCAAACAAAGCGGTAACAGCGATATCAGTAACAGCAAGAAGCAGGGCAATAAGAAGCAGAAGTTGGATCAATCTCGATTGGAGGTTAACATGGACGAGCATGAAGGCGAAACTCCTGTCACGAACATTGCAGTCTCGGAAAAGAAGAACAAAAAGGCGAAAGATTCAATGAAACCCTCTTCGTCCACAGACATTGCTGATCTCGATGCCAGGAGACTCGAAAAACTCGCAAAATCCAACCCAGCATTCTACGCCATGTTGCAGGAGGATGGCATTGTTGCCGGTGGTGGACTAGGCATCGAGGAAGGTTTTGATGAGGACGAGCAGTACATTCGCCACTATGAGAAGAAGCTGGGACTCAAGCGCAAAGAGGCTGGCAAATTGGCCTCGAAAAAGTCATTCGTGGACGATGGTCTTGGTGATTTGCTGGATGGAATTGAGCTTGGATCTAGAGGTCGTTCAGGATCGACTGCTGCGAAGAAGAGCGCTGCTACATTTACCTCAACAAAGTTGAAACCCGAACCATTGCCATCAAGCAAGAAGAGAAGCGCTCGTGAAGTCGAGAGTGAAGAGGATGGATATAGCGAGGTTGGCGGCACGGACGACAGTGAGAACGAGGGAGACGATCTGGACAGCTTTGACGAAGAGCTGGAGGGCGTGGATCCAGAAGACTTGGATGATTCCGACTTGGATGATTCTGACTTGGATGACAAGGACGAAGAAGGCATGGAGAGCTTTGACGAGGAATTGGAAGGTATCCACTCTGAGTCCGAGAACGACGACGAGGACGATATGGAGGACATGGAAGACATGGATAGCGGAGATATGTTAGAGGGCGATAGCGAAGAAAGCAATGAGGAGGAGGAGGGAAGTGAAGAGGCTGAGGAGTCATCAGCGAAACCGACATCGACAACACAACTTGGAAAGTACTTGCCGCCTCAACTCCGAGCCGCTGCTACTGCTGCTGCTGCCGCAGAAGCAGAGGGTGGTGCCTCTGTACTTGCCAAGAATATCCCGCGAAAAAACACTGAGGAGCTCCTCCGACTTCGCCGGCAGCTTCAGGGTATGCTCAACAAGCTGAGTGAGAGCAACATCGAATCCATTCTCATGGACATTGAGGGTCTTTACCGCAAATACCCAAGAGCAGGTAATACTTTCCCACAGTGAAAGCCTTCTTTTCCTTGCCTATACGTGTGGATCGAGTTCACTGATAATGTTTGCCTCTCGCTTCATATAGATGTGACGGAGACAATCACGGATATGATTTTGACATCGATCTCGTCCAAGGCCAACTTACTGGACTCATTTGTAATCCTCTACGCCACTGTGGTCGCCAGTTTATACCGCCTTATCGGCATCGAGTTCGCGGCACATTTTATCCAAACCCTCGTTGAGCAGTTCGAAACCCACCATGTGCTGGCCTCAAGCACAAAGAGCATAGCGATGACGGACGAGACGATGAGCGCCGTGAAACAGTGTACCAATTTGATTGTTCTGGTGTCGGAGCTGTACAACATGCAGGTCATTGCTTGTGTACTTGTATATGAGTTGATCCGCTGGTTCATGACAGAGCTATCAGAGTTAAACGTCGAGCTTGTGGTCAAGATTGTCAAGACTTCGGGATATCAGCTCAGACAGGACGACCCTACGACGCTAAAGACCATCATCCAGGAGTTCACTGTTCTCTCTAACCAACCTACCACCAAGGAAGGATCAGCGACTCCTATCTCGTCCCGCACACGGTTCTTGCTCGAAACATTGACTGCACTCAAGGCAAATAGGATGAAGGGACCCTCAACCAACTCGACGACTTCAGGAACCATTGCTGAGAGTACAACGCGCATGAAAAAGTTCTTGTCAGGACTTAGCAAAAAGAGGACCACATTCCCTTCAGAACCCATGCGAGTCGGCCTCACAGACATTCGTCAAGCAAAGACCAAAGGAAAGTGGTGGTTAGTCGGTTCGAGCTGGAAGAACAACATGGTCGGCGAGGAGAGCACTCAGAAATCGTATTCTACTTCGACTGCAGACGATGTCCTGGAAGCGGAGGATGAGCTGCTGAAACTGGCGAGGAAGAACAAGATGAATACAGACGTCAGGAGGAGCATCTTTGTGGTACTCATGAGTAGTGAGGACTATATCGACGCTTTCGAAAGATTGATCAAGCTGAATTTGAAGGAGGTACAGCAGCGCGAGATCGTGCGAGTACTACTTCACTGCGCTGGAAATGTAAGTTGTTTTTAATGCCGCAATCAACCATCCACGCAGTCGGTCTGGACGATATCTAACAATCGTTCTTTTATTTCCCGCGATACAGGAGATGGTCCACAACCCTTACTATACGCTTGTTGGACAGCGTCTCTGCCAGCACGACCACTCTTTCAAAATCACATTCCAGTACTCTCTGTGGGATATACTGCGAGAGATGGGTGCCACAGACGTGGGTGGTATGGAGAAGGTCAAGGACGGCCAAGTGGTCGGTCTGGATGATGGTGTTGGCAGTGGCAAGAAGGTTGCGCTCCGGAGGATTGTCAACCTGAGCAAGATGTACGGGTTCCTGATTACCTCACACGACCTGAGTCTGGTCATGCTTAAGACTGTCACTTTCACATCCCTCCCAGAACAGCCTACGCTATTCTTCCAGCTCCTCCTCACAAACATCATCCTGTCCTCACAGCCCCAGATCCATTCTCCACTCCAGCAACAGAAGCAGCCCCAGCAGCAGGCATCGAAAGAGAAGCCGAAGTATAACGCGCAGGCGCTAGCTGACATATTTATTCGTGCAGCCGTGAACCCGACTCTGGCGCAGGGGATCATATTTTTCCTGCAGGCGTTTGTCAGGAAGGGTCAAGTGTGCCAGACAGATCGTGAGAAGGACACCATAAAGTGGGCATGCAATACTATTAGGGAAGTCCTCCAGGGAGCTGTCAACACTGGTGGTCGCTTCTAGCCGTCCATCCCGTCAAGACCCCCTTGCCATCATAGACACTATCTCATGTAATAAATATCATTTGATGTCCATTTGGATATCGCTTTATTGTTTGTCTTTTCGGGATATGGTGCTGCGAAGATGTTCCCGGCGGTTGTAACGATTCTATCGATCGATAAACGAGCTGTGCTCTTTCTCTCCCCTGCTTGCTTTTGAGGCCATTGGTTCTGTTGCGTTCTGGAGACCGGTCAACGCGCATTGTCAATTGATTGATGCCTTTTTTTTTTGTCGCGCTGGGTCGCACTGAGACAGACTGTGGGATAAGCTGGAAACTGCCGTGAGATCTCATTGTTTGAGCGCGTAGATCGGAATCCAGCTGATGCCTCCAATGCTCTGGAGACTAAGCTCCATGTCGGCATTCTCTCTCATCTCTTCATCCCTGTTCGTATACTCATTCGACACCGCTAGTACTTTTTTTTTTGTTGTTTTTGCTCTGTTTCCAGACGCATTTCTGTAATACACGCATATAACGACCCCCACATCCTCCATACCCCAAATCGCATATTGAAAACGATATACCTACACTACAAAGCAGGTACATATTATGGCATTGTAGCCAAGCCAGGGACGCCCTTTTGCATCGTTATGTTGTTCAGGAACAGTGGATGCAATAGCTCTCTTTAATTTATTAGTTTACTATAAGAGAAGATCAACTCTCTATCTCGGTGCATCTCATGCAACATCTTCACTTCTCTGCCTTTGTGGTAATAGTGCACAAAGACCGGACTGGAGAACAAATATATGCACCCTCTCTTTCTACCTCCTCTTGGACACGAAGATCATCATCATTTCAAGTTATTATATCTAATAACAAGAAGATATCAAGACTGCCCTTACAAGATGTGGCCATGTTATTGCAGCTTTGCTGCCAATGGAAAGCACTGATACGTCGAAATGGCCATCAAACACACCGACTGCTCCTTAGCTTTTTTCCCGCCCACTCTCATAAGCTAATTGCGTCTCGAACCCCTCCGAATACCCTACACCTCGTCAGTCTTGCTTCGCCTAAAGTATATTACATAGTATGCTTCCGTTACACACCAAAAGAAATATTAGCCCCTACTACCTCGCTCTCCATTGGAATTGCTTTGCTACTGAGTACTTAGATCCGTCACCGTGTCAGCGAACTAAGCTCCGTTTCTCCTTTCCCCCTGGCGCGTCTATCTCTCTTTGTTGCATCATCACGCCCCATTTTAATCATACCAATCTCACTCGACGTAAGAAACATACCTCTGACAGCCAACTCTTTCTCTTCCACAATCTGTAATGTAGGTGAAGCATCATGTTAGCCCACAGATCGTCTCTGAAATCAAAAAAGAACGAAAATATATCCATGCCACAGACACATCTTTCCTCTCCCACAACCACAGCAATGACTACAACCATGCCGCAGCAGGTACACAACATTCTCCCGCCTGTGGCCCCGGCCCGGCGTGCCTCATCCTTGAAGTCGGACCGTAGCAGCATCAGGAAGGTGATGAATCGTACCTGCAAGCCGCCTTCGATCTCTACATCCTCCACAGGGATCTTGTCCATCAGCAACTCTGCCTCTGTTAACAGCACACCCACACCGGCCACGCCACGGCCATCAGGCGTTCGACGGAAAGCAGTCGCTATGCTACCGATGCCGGCCTCGCCGAACTATACCGAACCGCTGATCCCAGAGGCAAAGATCCAGAACAACATCTCGAGCAGGCAAAGCATCATCAAGCGAAATACCGATCATGGTGCGGACCCTTTGCCGGATAGATCTCCTTTGTATCACATGGACGCTCTGCAGTCTAGTCATCATCAACACAACTCTACACAAAGCCTCTATCAGGGCAACAGAAACAACATCAGCAATGGACTTAAGTCTAAGAATACCAATAGCATCAACAGTAGTGAGGCACGTAGGATCAATCTCAGCAATCCAAGTGGTCTCCTGAAGCACATCGGTCGTGGGACGAATAGCAGTAGCACAATTCCTTCCATGCAGGCGGCAAGCACCTTATTCTCACCCAGCGGTAACGTCTCGAGCAGCGGAAGCATAATGAGCCCACAGGGCAATGGAAGCAGCATTCGTACCTACCAGGATGGTCAATCACATCGTCAAAACCGGCGACAACAGCAAGAGAATAAAGGGGGGAACATGGGACAAAAATTTCAAGGCTTTCTCGCCATCGGTGGATCGCTTCTAGGGAGTAAGAAGCGTGGCGGTGATCCTAGCATTGAATTAGGAATATCTACCGCATCCTTGTCATCTCCATCCATGTCATCGATGGCGAAGGACGGCTCAGGATCATCATTTGGCAAGAAGGACAGTACTATATCCCCTAATATGCAAAAACTTTCGCTGCTTTCGCGGGTCCTTGGCGGTCAGCAACAAAATCAGAATCAGGCGCTGTCTTCTTCGATTGAAACCGATTATTTAAGAGATTCTGATAACATCCTTAAAGAGAGTGCGCAGTGGAACTCGAATAATGCGGGCAGGACCATGAACTGGGAGATGAACAAGAGTGTGCCGTCGTCTGATTACGAGAACGAAGCATTTGCACTCTGGATCCGACCCAATATCCAGGCGAGAACAGTCATCAGCGGTGCTGATGTAGAGAATGCGGCGAAGGCAGCCCTCAAGGATGATGCGACCCCTCGCGACGAAGAGAAGAGGAAGAAATATAGGCCAGAACTCGAGGACATGAAAGTCTTGGAGGAGGTGCTTGACTTTTGTAAGTACTCTTTACTCTGCTCGCCTTTTCTTTTTTTTTCTTTTCTTTTTTTTCTTTTCTTTTTTTTCTTTTCTTTTTTTTCTTTTCTTTTTTTTCTTTTCTTTTTTTTCTTTTCTTTTTTTCTTTTCTTTTTTTTCTTTTCTTTTTTTTCTTTTCTTTTTTTTCTTTTTTTTTTTATTGACTAACGCGCTGCTGTATGCAATAGCGGTGATCATCTTGATGCGCGTCTCTGCAAGTCTCTATCCATTCATTGCAAGTGCCCACTCCAAATCAATACCAATCAACGTCTACTGGAAGACTCTCCAATATGTAAGTGCTGCGCCCATGCAGGTAAACAGGTATACTACTCTTGCCGAGTGCTCAAAATGTATTTTTATTTTCTAGCGTAGGAGGATCGCGGTTGGAAGTACTACAGTGTTAGGACCCTCAAGGAATACCAAGACTATGTCATGGCTGACATCGGATCTGCAATCGAGGCCATGATCGAGATCTACGACCAGCAAGAACGGCCCTTCAGTCACCCAGACAACATGGGTCGAGACATCAAACCGCAGGCCAGTGCAAAGTTTCCTTCTCCGGTTATTCTCCCTCCAAATCGACCATGTCTACCATGTCTGATTCGAAGGCCTATGACTAATACCAGCGTCAACATCAGTGACCGCACCACGAGCATGCGTCCGCCCTCTACGATTACCACCACTTCTTCAGTTGCATCCACCGCAGCCCTCAAGAAGCATCGCCGCCACTCATCCATCCCAGGAAATCGTCCGAGTATTTCGAGTGTGATTATGTCGATCAAGCAAAGTATCCCGATGTCACTGCACTCCCCACAGCAGGGTCGCACATGTACTGACAGATACAACAATCCATTATACACGTCTTACCCAGACGGCACACCTTTCGGGCCTGGTTTCCCAACGCGACCTGTGCCATTGTCCTATACTCAAGCTGAATCGATGGATCAACAAGTGCCATACATCTTTGCTACAGGTCATGGCCATGGAGGTTCTGAAGGAGGGAGTAGTATTGGCGGGGCCAGTTTTCTTCCACAGTCGATCCAAGCCATGATCAATGCTTTTCGCAACAGCAACAGCAACAGCAACAATAATATCAACAACAACAACAACTCGACGAATGCCAACGTACACAACAGTAGCGTCCTCACTCTGAGCAGTTCGGGTGCAGCCCCGGTCCCGTTGTCGAAGCAAGATGAGAAGCGGCAGCAGATGGAGCATCGCTGGAGGATCGACGTCATGCGTAGGAAAGCCCATTTGCGGGCTTGGGCTTGTCGATGCTTTTTAGATTTGTATCATTTCTCGCTGACGATCAACGCTGCGCCGCTCGAGGATGAGTTTAGGGATTTATATAGGATTATTAATGCGATCGTAGAGGTGGATGGGCATGCGAGTGAGAAATCGCATGACGTATTGGCAAGCGTCGTGAGTCGGGCGCGCGAGCAAGAGAGAGGGCCGTTTATACTGAGGTATAGTCAATACAAGACCAACGCACCCTCGGGGAAGGAGATTTGGGAGGCGAATGCGGAAGCTGTGAAGCGGTTCGAGGCTGAGTATGCAGCGGATGAGGATGGGACAAAGAAAAATTCGGCGACTGCGAATGGTAGTAAGGACTATGCAGTAAGTCTGGCGCTGCATGGTTGCGTGGCACCCTTGCGCCCCATTGCCTCGTCCTCTCCCAGAGGTCCTGGCGACACGAAGGGCGATTTTCGTGACAGTAACAACAGCGACGATTTGCTGCTATCCTCCACGGTTTCCACCTCCGCTTATGACTTTATAGAATTCTACGGACTCCAGGGCCATCCAGTCTGGGAACCACTTCTGGACCGTCTCACGAAGTTTGATACCACCCACCACGAGCTCGATGCCCGAAATGTATTTCAATTCCTGCGCCGTATGAGCCTCTCTGCACCCGGCGTCGCTGATTCACAAAACATGCTCTCGGACGAGACGCGTGACGAGATGCTGGCAGTTCTTTGGGTGTTGGAAAGATGTGTTGCAGAACGCCCGGACTATCAGCAGTCGCCGACATGGTTCCGGCTGTCATCGAGCGCAAGTGCTGTGCAGGCGGTGTATAATGCCGGAGGGGTGATTCCGTACCTGAAGGAATTGAGGAAGAAGGATGCGAGGGGCCAGGATCCAGTCTTGACAGTGCACCCGGTAACGCTGACGGGGTACTTCAAGAGGCTGTTGAAGGAGAGCGGGGGATTATTATTGAAGGAAACGACGGGGTTGTTTGTGGAGTTGGCGCGTCCTGCCACAGACAATGGCGGCAAGTTTTTATGCTTTACGTTTTTATGCCTTTTCTATTATTATTTAGAAAAAAGACTTTCTGTACTGACCAGCCTATGCTAACCCTCTCGACCTTTTTTATTAACAGACTTCTGGAACCTCGAAAAGCTGAGCTTAATCGACCGTGCGCTGCTATACCGTGTGATATGTCTAGACCTGAACCGCGGACAGGTCTTCCTTCGAATTTCGCGCGTGATGGATCAGATCCTTAAGTCGTCGCCCAGGGACATGGAGCTCGATGCGTTTGCGCTGTCGAAGATGGTCCAGGTGGTCGAGTTGAGTGGTGTTCTGGACCTGAAGGCGTTGCGACGGTGGAATGGCGCTTGGTCGGCTATTATCCTGGGGTATATGTGAGAAAGCTCAAGCGAGAATGAGTGAGAAGGAAAAAAGAAAGAATAAGACCACTGTATTTTTATGAACGTTACTATGAGCAGTCGAGCGACTGAACGTTGGGATGACATGAAGAAGACCTATTTGACAGCCCTATGGTTCGCTATGGAGCGCGGCAAGCGGGCCCCAGCTTACCTTGCCACGTCAATTTGCAAAAGAAACGTTTAAAACCACTAGACAAAAATAATTCCCAGTCCGGGGATCGAACCCGGGCCTTGTCGGTGAGAGCGACAAATCCTGACCACTGGACCAACTAGGAATATATTGGATGATTTTCCTCACTTAAAATGCTATATGTTTTAATATACATTTAAGGTTTGACTGGATCCACGTGACTTCTGCTCCCCTCCCTCTTAAAAAAAAAAAAAAAAAAAAAAAAAAAAAAAAAAAACCGCCCAACCTCAGGCGCCCAGTACTGCGGACAATGGGGTACAAGTTGTTCCCAGCCTCGCTGCAATTGCTACCAGCAGAGATGCTGCACTCTCTCGCCTCGCAGACAGGTGTGCATTGAAAATCAAGGGCGCCCATGCTGCATACAATACCGAAAGCGCCGCCATCACCAGCGATTTACAACAAAAGGTCAACAGCGTGCACCGTGCTTCGCGCGCCAATCACAGGCGATACGAGATAGCCAGCCGTACCTCTGTCCGCAGCCTTTCACCACTCTTGGATCTTAACAGCGCGCAGTATCACACCGTCCTGGCTCGCCTACGAGGACGCGCACAGGCTGCCTTAGACTCTGCTGCTCGGCGCAGAAAAGCACTTTTGCAAGACATCAACTCACAACGCGCACGTGCATCGCAAGCGATACATGCCCAGTACGGTACCCAGCAGGCACGGGAGCGCCGACGCCTGCGTAACAGCGAACGTCGACTACAGCGTCAACAACAACGAGAGTTGCGTCTACAGCCTCAACGCCAAACGTATCCATTGCTGCCTGTACACCAGCTGTCTGAGGAGGTGGGCACATTATATCCAGACAGAACCACAATTGGACCAGTCAGCTTATCACACGCTGAGGCAGTTGCTGTGTCACAGCTGCGAGAATCTCCTGTCGACAACACAGCACCGCGAGTCATCTCCTCCGATGGCTCTTTGATTAACACTGGTCAAGAAGACGTAGCCATGGCCTTTGGGGTCGTTGATCGATCGCAGCCCGTGGTCAGGTGTGTGCAGGGCCGCACAGACGGGTACGCTTCTTCAGCAAAAGCAGAACTCATGGGTCTCCTAGCTGCCATCCTATCTGCACCACCAGACCAAAACATTATTGTGGAGCTCGACAACCAAGCGGTCGTGCAACAATACCAGCAGCTTGTGCGTTCCCGTGCGGACACGTTACCTCGTAAGCGGTTCCGTAGTACGTACTCCGGACACTGGGCAGCACTACACAAAATTGTCCAGGATCGGTCTGGGTCGGTGGAGGTGAGGTGGGTCCGTGGGCACAGCACCAACACTGGCAACAATATTGCAGACACTGTGGCGACAGCCGCCGTCCGAGTCGAGTCAATGCCCTGGTCGGTTGATTTAAGCGAGCAGCAAGACATCCGCTTTTTTGCACATTGCCACGACCATCTTGTGGAACATGATCTGCGGCAGCTACTCAAGCAGCAGACGACAATCAGGCGTCATCAGGCCTGGACAACCCAACGTCGTGTCAAGAGAGCGATACCAGATCTTGCCGACGTGGAGTGGCGGTCCACCCTTGCCCATGTCCACGACAAGCGCTCTGTGCACACGTTCTTCAGCAGTGCTGCTGATACGTCCCAGAGGACACATCATATTAAGAAGCTGCATGGTATGCTGCCTACCCTGAATACCATGAAGGCTCGCCACTCGAGTCTATATCCTGACCGTGTCTGCTGCGTCTGCGATGTTCAGGACGAAGACAACCATCACCTGTGGACGTGCAGTGCTACTAGAGATGTCCACAAGGAGATCTGGCGCGAAGGGCTACAGCAGATTGATAAGTGGGGACGAGCTGCAACGACCGCATACAACAAGAACAGCAAGAAGCAGCAAGAGCGTGATAGGATCCGCGCTGGAGCCGCCGCTGCTGCACCGAAACCCATTCGATGGGTTTGTCCTAACAACGAGACCCACATCCGAGGTCTATCCTGTATCGCCGGGACCCGATCAATGCTCAAAGGCGACGAGTATCATGACCGCTCTCCGGATCTGACCTGGAGCATCAGCGATTTATGCCGTGGCATCACACCCGTAAGCCTTATCAAGGAGTGGGGCAGTCTATTTACCTCGCCATCGTCGATTGCGCGCCAGGTCATTCACAAGTTCGTCGGCTTTATTGAGGAGAAAGCTACGGAGCTGATCTGGAAACCACGCTGCAAGGCCACCATTGCTCGAGAGCGAGAATGGGGGATCACAGCCAAGATGAAACGAACTCCATACAAGGGACCGAGAGGGGACTGGAGTGATGGGTATGGATATATTAGCGACGATGACCAATGTCCGTGTGGTGCATTACTCGCTGACCATGTAAACGGGAGCTGCCCTGGCCCCGTGCTTGACCCAGACGCAGCGGATCGGACACTGCTGGATTGCCTGCAAGGGAGGAGGCGGTTGACAACTATGGAGGGGATGGGGAAGATACCCTTCTTGTAACAAGGTGTTTTCAGCTTTTAACACACTGATGAGGTGTGGCAATTGTTGCGCAGGCCCTAGGGGCAGGCCCGGGGAATGTGACCTGTCTTTTGGCGACTGTGGATCGGTTCCGCTTTGGTGGTGAGGACAGCGATAGTAGATCTTTGCTAGTTAGTCTGATAGATTCGCAGAGTCAATTGACTCGAGAGACAAGTTGTTATAAAAAAAAAAAAAAAACCCTCTTAAAAAAAAAAAAGGCTCGTCCTCGATCCAGCCCTAGTCTAGAGTCCCTCACTAATAAATCCCACATATCCTCGTGGGTTCTAGTTATCAAAAAAAAAAAAAAAAAAAAAGGCTCGTCCTCGATTCAGCAGCGCTCCGTACAACACGTCCCCGTGGGTCCTAGTTATCAAAAAGAAATTTGCACAAGATGCGAAGTTGTTCAAGGAGTAACTGTTGAGCAGATCAGTAGGATAACATTATCGGTAGGCCGTCATTACTGCAAGGGTTGACAAGGCAGATGTAGGTTAAAAAATTGAAAGTTTTGTTTTTGGGTCGCGCTCCGTGCAGGGGCTCTTCCGCAGACGGATCGGGAATGACATTATCGTTCTACGACAAAGCTGTTGTTGTTGTTGTTATTGTTTTTTACGATGACAAATGATACAGAAACACTATCGAAGAGGATTAAAGAATCTTTCAATGGTGTGAAAGAGAAGACTATTTGAAAACGGCCATTTTAGCCATGTTGAGTCAAGCTGACCCTAGCAAAATAAACATAAAACAAAAAATAAAAGGCCCCAGGGTGCGGCATATGACTATAAGGCCGCATTGGCTCACTGTGGTTCCTTTATGAATTCTACTGTGTATTCATAAGCGCATGGGCGGATGGTTTTATGCCCATTAAAGGAGGGAGAGTCATAAGGCTATGCCTAGCGTCAAAACGAAAGAGAAAAAAATCCGGGAGATCAAAGATCTCCGAAAAACCTTAAGGCACCTGGCACCGTAAGTTCATCCAAACAGGTTTCTGTTCTCACAGCTCTGTCAGCATAAAAAAAAGCACATTCAGGTACTTTAGGAAAGAAAGTGCGGGAGGGAGAGGAGTGAAGAGTGTGAGGGAAATACAGGGTTACCGATCTAATAGTGTCGGCCCGATTTCATTTGGACAGGCAACATAGGAGATCTGCTTGACGCTGTCAATCGTTAAAAAGAAGGGTGATAATCTTCTTTGCATGTCGTTCATGCGGCCTGTGGTTATGCAATCGAGATATCACAGCGACAAAATATGAAAAAGAGAGCAGTAGAAGTATTTGGTCTAGAGCCATGGAAGCAACGAGCTCATCTGTAGACAGCGGTCATGTCTGTGGCAGCGCCACATAGACAAGAGACACAGCAGAGTCCGCATAGACGATTGCAGCAATCTAGACCACGCATGCCGAGATCGTCGGAAACAAGGGCGTTGAGGCTAAGAAGCAAAGGGGAACGGGACAATTGAGATTGAAGGAGAACAGTGCAGACGCGATGTTATTGGTGCATCGTAGGGAGGGAAAAGGTATATGCAAAGGATATGTTTACCGTAATGCAATTCGGTGCGGCATGTGTGCCTTCAATTGAGTTTTTTCACTTTTTACTGCTACATGCAACCCAGGCACCATACACAAACAACAGACTAGACTAGTCCCTAATGAGCCATTCCCAGTATAAAAAACAAGCGTTTATTTCTTAAGACCATAGAGAGGGCTCGATTTACAGACAGGGACGTAGACAGCCATGGGCCTCTGGTTTGGAGCCAACTGCCATTTCAATTCCTGGGAAGTTCCTCATCACACTCACACCATCGCTCTCCTTTTCTTTTTTTTTCTTTTCCTTTTCTTTCGTTGATCAAGGCAGTGACACGCGCCTCTCGTTTTGTTTCCTGCTTACCCTTCACGCGTCTACTCTTACAAACAGCTTTGCCTCAGCGCCAATCCATCCTTTCCTGCATCAAACAAAACAAATCAAAAAAGACAAGAATGGCCCCGCACTAAAGAGGTCCTTCTTGCACTAAAACATTGATCGCTATTCAGAATTCAAGGACCCCAGTTGATCTTCAGATTTGATCAATCAAGCGCCTGTCTTCCTGGTTTGATTTGATTTGATGTCTGCGAAGAACAACAAGGTGAGAAATATAAAAAGTAAAGAGAGGGAGAGTGTGAGAGAGAGAAGAGAGAGAAAAGAAAAGGAATTGTGATTTTGCATTATAATGCAAAGGGAAAGAGAGACGAAGCAGCTGGCATGGTTTGGTCTCCCCTTTCCTCCCCTGCGGGCCTTGTTTGCTTTCTCTTTGCTCCTTCCTACTTTCTCTTACTTTCTCATGCTTCATTTTCATTGCCAGTCTGTCATACACCCATATATACATTACTACTACTACTGCTACTGCTGCTGCCCCATTAGTCTGCAACACGGTGCTGTTTTCCTGTGACCTCTTTTCTTCCTTCCCGCTCACTCCCTTTTTTGTTTTGTGCATAGATCGCACTCATTTGTAGCATCAGTTTTTAATTTATTGCATTCCTTTTCCCTCAGCCGGTGTTCCTTTCTCTCTCGCTCTCCACTGCAAATTGAGCTCCCACTTGAACCCCAACTTGAACTCGGACTTCAACCCCCATGTGTTTGATACCATCAAGTCCTTGTACCACAGCCTCCTCTTAAGAAGAAAAAAGAAAAAAAAAAAAGGAAAAGAAAAGAAAAGAAAAGATGGCCGCTCGAGTGCAACAGTTCGAGGCAGTGGCGAACGAGAGCGACAGCGACCCAGACTACTTCCCCACAAAGACACTGCCTGGTAATAATATGGCAGATGCAGAGATCGATGCAGAGATACGAAGCGACTGTAACTACATCGACTGTCAGTCGACCGCACTCTTCAATACATTACCAGTATCGACGGCAACCTATTGTGGTTCTTGTTCTCCCTGTATCCCCCCATCGGACTCGTCCCCTGCAACAACTTCGCCCACCCTCATAACATCGCCCTCTTCCTCTCTTTTTCCATCCTATCCATCGTCCCATCTCACTGGTACTACTACCAGTACTACTATCAATACTACTGCCAGTACTACTACCAATACTACTACCAATACTACTACCAATATTACTGCTGGTATCAGCATTGGTATCGGCAATGGCGCTGGCATTGGCGCTGGCACCAGCACTTGCATTGGTATTGCCCAACATCAACAGCATCACCCCATCAATCCTTCCCCTCCCTCTTTCTCCTCTTCCTCGTTTTCGACTTCGTATCCTTCTACCTCCGACGACCTAGGGTCGCTTAGATTGTCGGCGAACTCGTCATCAGACAAGACTAAGTCCGAAACGGCTAGACCCGCGGTCTCTCACACGCTTGCTTCGTCGCTAAAATCCCCTCTGCCTCCACTACTCGCGCGTTCTTTGAGCCCTCCCCCTGCCACGACAACACCTGTTATTAAGACCCCCCTCTCGAACCACAACACCTCCACTGCAACCACCTCCACTTGCAACATCGCAAACAAAAGCAATAACGACAGCAGCTGGAATCATCGGCTGCACATCCCATCTCCTCTCTCGCAGTCGTTCCTCACTCCTACTCCTTCTCCTTCTTCATCTCCAACACTCCATTCGCCCTCTCTACCTCCCTCCAGACTGGATCCCCCGTCTTCCTCCACCATCGCCACCACCACTATCACTGCTACTGCTACTACTGCTGCTATTCTTGCTACTTCTCATTCTTCTCCTGTCGCCACCATTCCTTCTCACTCTGCAACATCGCTTGCTCAACTCAGGCACCAACAGCAGCAGCTTCAGCTACAGCTCAAGAAGCAGCTGCATCTGGCCATGCATCAATCCAACCTGAGGGCCACTGCTTCTGATCCCACTTCCACTTCTAGTGTCGCTCCCTCTTCTCATTCAAACTCTCCCTCTACTTCTCATTCTCACTCTCATCCCAAAAAGGCTGCAGATCCACGAGACCAGCTTGACAATCACGACAACCACAACCAGACTACCTCCGTCCAGCCAACTACCTCAACAATAGCATCACAAGATCCGGCATCACTACCATCGCTACGGCAAGACAACAATGTCTCTCCTAAAGTACTTCACCCCAATGTAAATGCAATAACACACACACACACACACACACACACACACACACTCTCTCTCTCTCTCTCTCCCTCTTTCTCACTCACTCACACATATACATACATACACAACGTGGTTGATTACTGCATCATGCTGAATGGGCTCCACTACTGGAAGAGGAGAAACCCCAGCTGCTCCATCAGGAATCGCCCCGAAACGAGGATGGATCAGAAGACCCAGCTGGATCTGCTCCTGCGCCTCACCAGAGTGCATGCATAAGCAGAACCAGTAGCCTTATCTTGGGCGTGCCTGAGGCCTATTCGCTCACACTTTGCATTTAATTCATATCACCATACTACCTTTGCATTTGCACAGAGATTCCGCCTTTGCTCACCACGTCTTTTTATTATCTACCTCCCCTTTGTTCTCATGCTCTTCCAGTCAGCAAACACTGTAGATCCAATGCGTCTCCGTCCTGACTCGACTCTAACGCCATCGGCCCATCAATCCTTCCAAAAAGCATCCACATTCCACCCAACATTCAAGACCTCAGCCTCGCCGATGGTCTCACAGGCGCCGGAACCCATCTTTCCGTCAGTTCAGGAACTGTCCCTCACCCTGAGTGCTGATATTGAGATTCATCGACTGTGGAAGACCATTACCGAGATTCTCTCGCAAAAGTTTCACGCCACCAGAATTACCCTTTGTCTGCCTCAGGACCCAACCGTCGTTGCCTCGTCAATCGAAAACAACCTGCACCAGAGCCGACCATGGGGTCTCAAAGCCCATTGGGATTACAAGCATCATTTTCTAGATGAGAATACAGTGACGCCCAAAGATGAGTTCGCGCATCACCATCACCGACTTCAAAAGAATGCGACGCTATCGCAGGAAGGTCTTGACCATCAGAGTCTGCACCTTTCGCTGTCTTCATTGCCGCCTACTTCGTCGTCATCACCATCATCGTTCTCCTCCAATTCTTCTTTTTCCTCTTCATCCTTCTCCAGGAGACGGGCCGGTCATGCCAATAATAGCTTCAGCATCAATCTCAGCAGCAATAACGACAATCATAATCGTCATGGCCAAAGCAATATCAACGGTGTAGCCGGTAACAATAGTAACAGTAGTAGCAATAGCAATGGCGGCATCAATGTTGGCAGGGGTAGCGCGAAATACGTTCCTATTCCCGACAGTAATTCGGAATACCACGAAGACTACTGGAGCACAAACCCACCGCTGGATGGTGGATACTCCTCCTCAACCTCAAGTGTGTCCTCCTACTCCTCCACAGGTAGCTCGGCGATGCAGGCATCCAGGGCAACGGCACATCTTCGAGGATTCGGTGTGCATTCGAACGGAACGGAATGCTTTGCACATCTACAGTCGCTGGAGTATGACCCCGAACCACTACTGAACGAGCACACAATCGACAGCATCTTGAAGGCGGGCAAGACAGTTGTGTTGACGCGCGAGTATGCGGAGTCAAAGAGCGAGCGGAGAAAGAGCGCGCGGATGAGGTCATATCTGATCGCAGACGAAGACGACTTTTCGTTCACAGACACGGAGCCTGCGGAGGACAACACCGATGTGGGAGAGGTTGAAGTTGGTACTGGACTAGGATCTAGTTTTGAGCAGGATGCAGGTTCAGGTATGTCTTTGTCTTGCATTTGATCCCATGAAAAGCGATGACGACGATTGTTGGGTGCATGTGCTTCTCTGCGATTCTATTGATGCAATAAGACACAGGATGTGCCGAGGGAGATGTTTAAAAGAAGAAAAGGAGGGAAGTGTGAGCAAAAAAGGAGAGCAAAAAATGTCATCATCGAACATATGAACAAAGGAGATGTAAACAACAAAAGCACTGGACACAAACATCGACAACTACAACGACAGCAAAGGACATGCAAACAATGGGAAAGCAGGAGAAGTCTAGAAGACACTAAAAACACCACAGCAGCAACAGCATCACCGGCAACGCTTTCCATCATTACACAACATCCACAGTACCCGTAATCTCAGAGGCCCAACAACAAAAAGGAAACCCTTTAGAATTATCAGAATCACCAGAATCACCACCAGCAGCACAGCATAATGCGACAGTCAAAAAAAAAAAAAATTGGCGTTTTTATTATTATTTTTTTCCGGACCTGCGTCTGTCAGCTTCATAAAAAAAAAAATTGCGGCAGAATGGACGTAGGGGATTTTTTTAACGTAATACTGGTTGATGCATCAAAAAACATAAAGTTCGGCGGCACGTTGTGGGACGATAACAAATGCAAGAATGCTCTCATGCACACGCGCAGCACACGAAAGGAACACATGCATGTTTATGGGAATGTATCCACCGACATACTCGCCGCAAGGGTCCTCAATGAGGTCCACATACAGTCATCATACCATATGATATACTAACACTACCGTTCATTTATGCTTTTTAATTCTGTTTCTTGTAGACATGGACTCGTCTTCGTCGCGGTACGATTCTGAGGGATCGTATTTTCCGCCAGTAGAATCGGCCGTGTCCAATTCATGCGAGAGCTCTGCCAAGTATACGGTAGCGCATCCAAAGGCAGGATATGCTGATTTTGTGCAGGGACTCAATCCAACGTGGTCGCAGTCGCCAGCACCGTCACCCAGCATCATCAAGGAGGATCCCACCATCAACCCATTCTTCTTCCAGCCACTGACCTCATATCCAGCCATGGACGATGATACCTTTGACCCACCCGATCCAACACCCGAATCGACCGAAGATGGCAACAGCAGTGCATCAGAAAGCCTCAAGGATCACCAAGGTCCTACAGGATTACGACCCCAGAGACCTTCGACTACTTCATCAGTAGCACCACAGCCTCCGTCCATTCTGGCCAATACCAGATCACTTATTCATGTTCCTCTGTACCGCTCTACGGACCACAACACCCAACGATACCTACCATCAGACATCCGCAGTCGCCGACCACCGGCCATGCCCGTCGGCATTGTCTCGTTCCTCTCAGATCAGGTCCCTTATCCGCCTGAGGCACTGGACGTTTTGACGGAGTTGAATCCGTTCTTGGCCAATCAAGTGACAAATGCGTTACGATTGGAGGACATGGTGGCGAGATCGAGCAGATGGGGCGACGTGAGTACCTCTGGCCTGAGCGATGGATCCCGCTCAAAGGAGACGTTCGCAGAGTCGATCCAGCGCAAAATGAAGGACGGCTACGACGTAGTTACACCCAAGCCCTCAAATTTGAATGCAGATACGTTGTTTCAAAGATCGAAGCAACCAGCCAGGGACAGGTCAGCGAACAGGATGGATAATCAAGCGACACTATCTCATCCATCCTCGAACCGACATGGCGCGCAAAGAGACACAGCTGGTAGCGATTTTTCAATTACACGCAATCGACAGGAACCAATCTCGCTTCCGAAAGCAACAGCAGATGCGTTGGTGACCCCTACACTAAATGCACCCCAGTTCGACCCGTTCACCGCTCAGTCATCGGAGCTTGAGCAGGCCGAGAGGGATAAGGGACTGTCGTCTGGTAAACAGCCAGAGACTTGTTTCAATCTGGATTCGACCACGGACGAGATTCATCGCAGCCTCAACTTGCTCAACTTGGATGTGACCGGAAGCGCGACCTGTCCACTCGCACCACAGACCAAAAGGACACTCGGAAGGCATCACTACAGCATAAAGGCCTCGCAGTCGCAGTCGCAGTCGCATCAGATCGAGAATGCTTTCCTTTCGAGCTGGTCGAGCGACCACCGACAAACGGAGTCCTCTCCAAATCTGCCTGATTCTGATGAACCGGGTGGCTCTGACGGCATGTGGCAAACATTGCAGACAGAGGAGGCGGATCAGACGCTGTACTCGCTTCCAAACTCTCGCGTCGGCAACTGCGATTTTGAAGTTCCAGCCCACGAATCGCCCTATTTTGGCCCTGTCCACTCCGTTTCGCCCTCTATTGCGCCTAAGCGTCACCTCTTTTCGACTAGCAAGCGGTCAGGTCTCCGCAGGAGGCGCAGGAGCGTCAAGGACCACTCAAAGAGTCATCACAGTCAGACCCATAGCTCTGAGAGTCCTGTCGCGACATCGCCATACCCGCCATCAATACCGGGATTTTCGTCTCATCATTCGGAGGCGTCCTCTGAAAGTGCCAATTTCAGTGCACCAGCATTTTCCTCGGATCCTTCGCCTATCGCCTCGCCAACTGCGCAGCAGTCCGGCATGTTTAATCATGGGTTCACTGCAATGTACCCAGGGCTGGGTCTAGAGAATGGGTCATATGCGAAGCGCTTTTCGGACGCTCATGGTCGAGACGAGGGCGAAAAGGAGAGGGCATCGCTGAGCAGACATGGAAGTGGGTGGAGTTTCAACAGTGACGACACCAGCCTTGCATCCTCAAGTATTCACCACGAGAAACATCATGTTGGTCGCAGGCACAAGAAGAAGCAACATGCGTTCTCTTCCGAGCGATCTGGTCTCAACCCGTTCCCCAGGACACGACTGCTACGCTTGATCGTTGACGCCATTCCGCATCATGTCTTGTAAGTTATCTACGCCGCGAAGATTACCTTTTATTTTATTTTTTTATTTTTTAGCCTACTAGCTATGAAGTCAAAGGTATACGGCACTAACTTGCTCCGCCTCGGGAACCCTCTTTTGTTTTTTACGTTCATTACAGTGCGCTCTCCCCTCAATCGGGATGCCTGACTTGGCTCAACCAGCGATCTTTGCAGTATGCTGGATTGCCGCTCTTGCAGCTGATTCATACATCGTGGACTCGACTCCTGCATGAGGATGACCGGGAAACATTCCAACCGCTCTTCAAGGATTGTTTCGACCGAGGCGAGATATTCAATGCCCAGTACAGAGTGCGTCGTTTCGATGGACAGTACCGGTGGTTCCTTGGCAGAATATTGCCTGTGCGCGACTACGGTGGCAACATTGTACACTGGTTTGGAACGAGTACCGACATTCACGATCAGAAATTGGCCGAGCTGCAGCTCAACAGACAGGTCGAGCTGGAACTGAATGAGGTACCGAAAAACTCTGTCCAGGTTCAAAATATGACATTGTTCTGAGCCGATTCGTTATTACGAACTGACTTTTGATGATTATCTGCAATCCTGGTTTGATTTTAGAAAAAATACCGCCTGCTAGCCGAGGCGATCCCGCAAATTGTCTTTATCGCAGCCCCCCAAATTGGTCTGACTTATGCGAATGCGAAATGGTTTACATATTCGGGACAAGTCTTTGAGCAGACCTGTGGATTGGGCTTCATGGACCATGTGTAAGCTGCGCCTTCAGCTCTACCTTTTCTGCTTCATTTTTCTATACGGAGCGTCGCTAATTTTGTCTGTTTTCGTCATTGATTATAGGCATCCTGAAGACAGAGCAAAATGCATTCTGCCGACAAATATCTCAGAAGGAAACGGATCGCCTCCTGCTAAGACACCATCCGATGCTGATGGCGCACGATATTCGACCTCCCCTGGAACAGCATACGGAAAGGGACCAGGAGATGTCTCGTACCAGACAGAGATGCGTCTGTTGAGGAAGGACGGCAAGTATCGTTGGTTTTTGGTCAAATGCATCAGTGTCGAGGTTGTAGAGCAGGGGCGAAAGTGGTTCGGGACCTGCACTGACATCAACGACCAGAAGTTGCTGGAACACAAACTCAAGGAAGCTCATGATGCTGCCCAAAAGTCCACTGAGAGCAAGACCCGGTTTTTGTCCAACATGTCTCATGGTATGACAACTGTTTTCCTCTAACTGACAGATACATGAAGGGTGATAATGCATGAAACGCTGATCTTTCTCTTCTTGTCGATCTTTTTAGAAATTCGCACGCCCCTGGTGGGAATTACGGGCATGATCAATTTTTTGATAACAACAGACTTGACGAGTGAACAACTGGATTATGTTCACACGGTCCAGCAGTCCGCAGATGCGTTGCTTCTGGTCATCAACGACATTCTGGATCTCTCAAAGGTGGAAGCTGGCATGATGAAGCTGGAGATGGAGCCGTTCAGTGTCCACGCCATGATCGAGGGTGCTAACGAGCTTCTGAGCACGCTGGCCATTCAGAAGGGGCTAGAGCTCGGGTTTTTGGTTGAGGATGATGTGCCTGAGGTTGTGGTTGGCGACCGCGTGCGTCTGCGACAGGTCTTGATCAACATCATTGGCGTAAGTCGCACATCACCATCATTGACTTTGTATTGGCGTATCAAACTTCTAAGGTGTCCAGCTATGCTAATTTTTCGCGTTCCTTTTTTCACATCCTTGTAGAATGCTATTAAATTTACCTCGCACGGAGAGGTATTTTCGCGCTGCTCTCTAGTGCCAGCCAAACCGAATGCAGACCCAGAGCTATTGACTATCAAATTTGAAATCTCGGACACTGGCAAAGGATTTGACGAAACAGAGCGTGCAGTGATGTTCAAGCCGTTCTCGCAGGTGGACACTTCATCGACTCGAAAGCATGGAGGCACGGGTCTGGGTCTTGTGTTGAGCAAGGAGTTTGTGGAGTTGCACGGCGGGAAAATCCATTGCGAGAGCGTCAAGGGAGAGGGCAGCCAGTTTTCGTTCACATTTGTGGCTCGCGTTCCTCATCCGAATGCCACTGCCAGGGCAACTACACCTATTATTGGTGACACCCATATGGACGGATTGCTGGGCAGTCAGTCAAGACCATCTTCTGGCGAGGCTATGGCAGCCGCGGCTGATTCGCCTTCGACCGGGTCGTCCCTGAGAACCCCAGGTCTCAAGGATACCAAGGGCTTATCAGAGCTGAAGCCATTCAAGCATATCACAGGGCTTAAGCTGATCCCAGGGGAAATGTGCTATGCAGAACCGGATCTAGAGGATGCAAGGAAGACCGCAACCAAGGCGCTGAAAGTCGCGAGTCAGAAAATCAGGCGTGGTGAATTTGCTACTACGGACACAACTCTGGAGTCGGCAATTACTGAGGATGAGGATGAACAGGGGCAGAAGAAGGAGCAGGTGGATGAGAACCTTGAACATGGATCGGCATCGAAGACGAATGCGGATTCACCTCCTGGCGAGCTCTGCACAGCAATGACGCGTACCGAGTCTATTCTGGATGACCGTCGGTATCTTAAGGTCGGGCAGCTGACCCCTAGCAACCCACCAATGGGCGAGCCCGCGACTGTCGCCATCATTGCCGCCAATTTACCCAACCCTGCCGCGGATATGAAGCTGGCGATTCCTGCAAAGATTTTAGAGAACAGGAAGGCGACAGTTGCTGCCACAGCTGCTGCCACAGCCGCAGAGCCAGTGCTATCGACCCGGCCTAAGCTGCCCTTGTGCAACAACTCTTCATCGTCTTCGTCGTCCTCGACGACAACCTTTTCGTCAGTCGACTCGAAGCGCTCTACATCCACGGCCATGTCTTCCTCCGGATCTATCGTGATATCGGCTCCGATGCTCGTCATCCCGGAACAGCCGCACATCTTGGTCATTGCTGACCTGTTGCACGCGCGCGAGACGATCATACACCTTATCAACCAGTTGGTTCCCAAGGAGCTGAATCCAATCATGGACGTGGCAACGGGATTGAAGGAGGGCATCGAATTTTTGGTGGGCAGTGGCAAACAGACTGCAGCTAGGAAGTACAACTATTTGGTTATCAACCTGGCGTCGTACATGTCCGTGATGGACATTTTCTCAGTGTTGCGACAGGACGGCGTGTTTGTGGAACCAACTGTCATGACCTGTGTTATCACGACCCCGATCCAGCGTGCGGCGCTGATGGAGGCTGTCAAAGTTGAGGAGGCCTCGATGGAGGTTATGACATCGTCCATGAATTCGTCAGTCAAGGTGATTCCCGACAAGGTCGAATGGGTCTTCAAGCCGTTGACGAAGGCAAAATTGTATGTGGCCTTTGCAGATATTGTGGCACACCACGATAGTATTACTGGTTCGAATGGTTCTGCAACGCCAGGGCAGGATAGTGACAGCGCCAAGATCAATCTGAAGCGCAGAACAGCTCAACAAGTAGTTGTGAGCCAGAAGGAGATCTTCAGCCAGATGCATGACGATATGGAGGGCAAGAACATTCGGATCCTGCTTGCAGAGGACGACTTGACGAACCAGAAGGTGATTCGGCGCTATTTCCAGAAAGTTGGAGCCGACCTCGTGGTTGCAAACGATGGTAATGAGTGTCTTGACAAGTTCAGGAGTTATCCCAAGGGTCATTTTTCTTTGATTTTGGTAAGTCATGAGAGATCCGTTGTGAGAGATTTTTTATGAACGAGGATTGTGCATTTGAGCACGTCTTTGCTTACTCATGTCTCCTTTTTTTTCTTCAAAAAGTGCGATCTATTCATGCCAGGAAGAGACGGATACGAGGCAACGCGGGCGATTCGCGACTGGGAGAATGAGCACCTGAAGGAGGACGAAAAGCGAATTCCTATTGTGGCACTCAGCGCAAATGTGATGGCGAACGTTGCGGAAAAGTGTCTGAGCAGCGGGTTTACCTCGTATCTCAGCAAACCCGTCGATTTCAAGAAGTTGAGCGAGACCCTTCGCAAACTGGTGCTTTAGTAGATCCCAGGATCCGGCTCTAGCCTTGCATCTTTGCATTATTGGTTTATTTTTTTATTTTTTCATTTTTTTATTATTTTTCTTCTTTCACTGTATTCTTCTTAAAAGATATTTATTTCATTATAACTATTTAGACGGCAGCAGTATTGCTATGTTGCTTTGTTCTTTTTATTCCTTTTTTTCTTTGCGTTCCTGTATCCATTCTCCTTCCTGTACATTCCTCTCCCGTTTTTTCCCCCTGGATTTGCGTGCTTCCATTTTTCGTGCATTACTTGATCTTCTTTTGCGCTCGATTCCTTCATCCTTCTAGTGCTTGATAGTTGTCTCCCTTATCCGCTCTAGCTTCGACACCTCCTTGGTCTTGATTATCCTGTAGTCTGGCTCCACCTTTACCAATCGCATTTTTAATTGTATTTGTATCGTCTGGGGAAAATCCTTTTTGAACCGTAATACGTCCCATACCGCTTCTTGTTCACGGCCCTTTAATGTGAGCAGGTATTATCTGTTGTTGAGGTGCAGTCTAGATGCACAAACGCTCAGGTTTGTTTTGTTTTGTCCGTTATAAAGCAATAAACATTATGAACGCGTTAGTCTTTTTGCGGTCGCGTAAGTTGATATCTGTGAGGGGGCGCTTTTGATCACCAGATACCAGTGATGATCAATGTAGCTCGACACGTACTGTCTCTTTTTCTTTCTTTATTTTTTATTTTTTATTTTTTTGTATCTCGCAACAATCTCTTACCATGCACAACCAAGCCGAGCTGTACAATACTACGACGTTTGAATCCTCAAACGAAGCAATTCTGTCGTCGGTCACCGCAAGCACTATCGAGAGAGACGACGACGACGGCGACGACCGTGCAAAAGAAGAAGGCGGACCGTGGCCGATGAGCGACGAGACTTCAAATCCGCATTGTGGAACGATCCTAGAAAACGAAGGACGTACAAGCATTCCGCAAGTCGAACCCACCGTCGAGGCACTTATCAGGATCGAAAAGACACTCTCAAGGCTCACTTCGTCGATATCCTCCTTGGCCATTTCGGCATCTTCTGAGAAGCAGGCCTGTGACGAAGAACAGAGTCAGGACCAGGGTCAGGGTCAGGGCCAAGTTCAGGACCAAACTCAAGATCAAGAGCAGGATCAACGCGAAGACCCGTATCGTTGGTTGAACGTGATCCTCGAAAAGATTGAGCAGGTCAAGCAGGCGTTGATCGCGGTCGAGGCACAACCCTTCGACAAGCATACGAAACCGGCGATCGACTTTGATGCAAATGCTGATGCTAGTCCGAACGTGGAACGGGAGAGGATGCAGGCGGAGGTAAGGGCGAAGCCACAGGCGCAAGGAACAGATCCAGAGCTGCTGATGGCGTGGTGCAGGAGCCATAATCGGTACGATTACACGAGGGCGCTTTGTGAGTTGATGGCCAAGCTGAAAGCAGAGGAGGTTGAGGAGCGAAGGTTCTTGAGAGGCGTGAGCAAGATTCAGAAACGGGGAGGCGCCGTCTAAAAGAAGAGTTCATGGGGAAGGAGGACTTTAGTGGTGGACGTAGGTTTGAAGGAAGGGGAGGAAGGAAGGGGAGGAAGGAAGGAAGGATTGAATGAAAGAATGAAAGAGAAAAAAGAAATGCAGGCCCATTTAATTCCGCGTTGGAGAAAGCAAAGTGGAGTCGTTTGTTTTTTGAGTCTCACAACCATGGTTTCGCGTGATCGATTCAATAAAGAATCATTGCCGAGTAAGTGGGCCACAATCGTGAACGGGTAGTTAGCTGTGTTTCCTTTTTTTTTTTTTTTTAAACGAGAACCCTCAAAGACATGGGATTTATTAACTATGGTCTGAAGAAAACCTGCAGGTGGGGCAAAAAACAAACAGCGAGATGCCCGCTCCGACTATGTCGCAACGGATCCATGTAACATAATCAACGACCGCATGAGCGGTGAACCGATGGCCCCTGCTCCCTACGTAGCCTGTCCTCTGAGATTTTAAGAAATATACATCCCCCCAATCGCTCCATCACATCGAGTCCCAGCTGTCCCAGATATTGCCCCTGCACTCGTTCATCCGCGGCGCGTCGTTGATCTCTTTCACATCGGGTGCTTATCGTTGCTTCAGGATAGAGATCCTATAAAATTCATTGCTGCTACGTCTGTACTCTCTATCACAGTTGCGTCCCCGGGCGCGTTTACTCACAGCAGTGACCCCATGTTCCCGTTCCCAGTCGATGGTTACTTTACATCTGAAATATATTGATATATATGAGGATCAAAAATAAGTGAGAAAGAGATGTGGCTCCACACACCACATCTACAAGATATTTATTAATCAACCCGAAATTAAATTTCAGAGGTAATGGATTTATATAGTAACTAGTACCACGGGTCCGAGGCAAAAAACTAAAATAGCGCTTTTACGAAAAAAAAAAAAAAAAAAGAAAAAAGCTTTATTGGACGTTCAGCAGATTTCCACAAACGATATTTCGCGTGTAAACGCCCTCCATTCCATCTATGGCACCATTCTTGACCAGAACCTTGAGGTTGTCTCGGTGTTTGCAACGCGAGAAGCCGACGTACAATTGCCCAGCACCAAAGACGTGCTGAGGAAGATACACACCAACATGGTCAAGTGTTTGTCCTTGCGCCTTGTTAATGGTCATGGCAAACGCAGGCTTGACAGGAAACTGGCGCCTTGTGAACTTGATTGGCGTAGATCCGTCGTCCAAGGTCGTAAGGGGTATGCGTGGAATAAGCACCGTTCGTCTCCTGAAGTCACCGTTAAGAATCTCGGCACTGATATATCTCCGATGGAGTGCTCGAACAATCAGACGGGTACCATTACAGAGGCCGGATTTCCCGTCCATGTTTCGAAGAAGAATGATAGGCTGGCCACCTTCAACAACAACTCGTGGGAGGCATACCTGGAGGATTGAGAGAACGCAGATACTCCACAGGATACGCGGCACCGTTGACATCATCCACTACTTTGTCCTGGCTGTGGTAAACCTGTTCCTCACCTTGACCCCCACTAAAAAGCATCTGGGTTGCCATAGCATTAACTCTGTCAACATCAGCATTTAGTGTCGTCAGTATAGCTCGACCTTCCAAAAGAGCTGGCTGCAAGGGAGTGGTCTCAATATCGGGGTAAATCTCCCTGATGAACTGCTTTTCGGAAGGGTTGTCAATGGTGACGGGGTCGGGTGGGTTGAAGACAAATTGGTCTGGAATCCTAACCAAATCATGGTATATTTCTGAATCCACTGTTGGCTCCGTGCCATTGCCAATGTCGAGCAGCCATTTTGCGAAAGACTGGTTGAGCGGGTCTCCCTTTGTTCGCATGTTCTCTCTAAGGGACAATGTCTGTACGTGCGGCCAGATTTTTCGAGAATTCTTGAGACAGACATCCTCGACCTGGCCGGGGTTCCTCGAGGCACCACAGGCAAGACTTGACGAAAGTCTCCTTCAAACACAACGACTTTGCCACCAAAGGGATGGTCGGTTTTTGCATGATGTCACGGAATGCGGTATCGACTGCTTCAAAGATATGCCGGTGGTGCATCGGCGCCTCGTCCCAAAAGATGGCTTCTGCTTCTCGGATCCTTCTTACCAGTCCTGACTCTACAGAAATATTGCACGTTGAGTTTTCTAGGATCTGGGGGGCGGGGGGATTTTGAAAGTCGAATGGGCTGTGCGACATCCTGTCAAGACCTGAGCAGCGATTCCAGATGAGGCAACTACGATCACGTCCTTCTCGCGTCTTCCTCTGATGTGGGCAATCAAAGTGTTGTACAAAAAAGACTTTCCCGTTCCTCCTGGCCCATCAATAAAGAACAACTTTGCCGCATCTTCGTCCATGTTATGCAGCGCTGCTGTGATTGCAGCGTACAGTGCTTTTTGATCGTCGTTGCAGAGATCAAAGTCATGAGCTGCCTTAGCTGCAAGTGTCTCAGTGTCGAGCTCTGCATGCTGTCCAAGTTCGTCACTGCTGGGTTGGCGATTGATGATGTTACGAAAATCTCGAGGCATCCCTTCATAGACCGCCAGACTGGTCTCAGCTCCCTTCAAAGTCTCGTTGACGTGGAACAGTGCAGTGCTCCTGGCATCCTCTTCAGCATTCGGACGATCTCCAGCAATGTACAGAAAATCCTGAGATAGCTCATCAGCGAACGCTTCCCATAATTCGAGGGGATTGGATGGGTTGCATAGGTGTAGAACCATGGCAAAAAGATGGCGTAAGGCCGCAGGACTTTGGTGAACTGCAGCCTCCTGAAGACACCGGTGCCATTCAGAGCCATCTTCCAGCAATCCGCGGGCATTGGTGGCGTCCCAGTAAGTGGTATAAGGCACGCCAGTGTCTGGATTCGCGCGGAGATGTTGGAAGCTGGTCGCTCCTCTGACATGCAGGAGCAAAAGACGCAAACAGTAACGATCACGATCCACGCTGCTCGCAAAGCTTGGGACCGCGTAATGCAGTCGGCCGATGGTATTCGAGGGCCCTCGTCGTCTGGCACTCCAGCGGCGAGTGCGCTGGTTCCATGTGTAATGCTTGGGGATCTCGGAATACAGGTACTGTCGGGCCTCCAGGTCCTCACTATTCAGCCTGAACCACCCCATGAGGTTGGCGTCAAAGTCACTTTCCGCCAGTATCGCCGCTGGAGTCGCACGGTCATTAAAAACGATATTGTGTCCATCCTCGATGTCGCATATTTCACCAGAGTTCACTGTATATTTAGTTTAACAAGTGTACCACCAGCTCACTATTACATTTAATACAAATAAATACCTAATCGGTGTGGTGTGTGGAGCCACATCTCTCTCTCACTCGACATGAACCTGCAATCGCACGATGTTTGGTGCATGACCGTGGAGTGGGAAGGAGAATATCCTCCAGAGGGCCTCACAGGGAGATACGTATCTGGAATCGCGGAATTCTTTGATTTCATTCATCTCTTCTGGAGCATCGTCATTATCAAGAGCAACAGCCATGTTGGCTCTATCAGGGCCCTTGGTTACATATTTGTAGAGATACCTCACGGTCGACATGGATGTGCAGATCTCTACATTAATGCGAGCGTCGTATTTGGTACAAAGCCATTTGTTATACGGCACTACCCATCGATTGTCGACTGTGCGCCGAAGCTGGTCATACGTTGGGCCCTGTCTTCGACGATAATGAGGCTAGCCCTTCTCATTCTTAGTCGTTTCGTTCGAGAACGCGTGGGGATAGCCCTTGTTGCACGTCGAAGGTCGCTCCTCGAGAGGGCTCCTCGCAGTCTCCCGCAAGCAGCGGGATTGGCACGGGCCATGGATCATCGATGTTACCACAGTTCCATGGAGCAATGGCTCGGTGACGGAATCCGGCAGTCCAGCAGAGACAATGCTGTCGTAGTCATCCGTGGTCTGGGGCTTGTATTGGTCTTCCAAGATCAACAGTATATGTGCGTGTGGCAAACCACGCTTCTGGAACTCGACCACTGCGGTGTAGGGGGTCTACTAACGGGTTCTATAACTTCTACCATTAGTTCTATTTACAACGGGAGTTACCACGCGAATAGGACTTCGGCAAGGCTATGCTTGGGTCACTTACTGGTTCGTGGTGCAGGGTCCTCCTTTAGATCGGAATGTAAGAACACAAAGGTAAAATAGACTAGACGTAAATGGAAAGGAATAAATATGGGGATCTGTTTAGCTAAATGGTGCGAGCTAGGACTATATTCCTTTGGGAATGACTGGGGTAGTTGCAAGGAGTTCGCATATTGTGATGTCCGATGAGGTGAGGAGTCGTGACAATGAAGTCCACCCCTCTGGAGTCGTTGTATGCCAATAGTTGCTGATCAAGCCTCCGTTGTACCTTTATAATGCCGTTTCACGAGGGTGGGCCGATGACGGATGCTCAATGAGACGATCGGTAATCGGGGAAGCGCTGCGGGGCAAGTACAATGTCCAAATAAGAGCGATTGACGGCGCAAAGGTGGCGAATGATCAGGATCGGCATTCCCTGTTGATTGTATCTCGTTGCATGGGTTACTGACGGTGGTAGTCAGTACCTGTCGTTGATGCGGTGTTATCCGGACAATCTGGACGAATACAATGTGTAATACAAATGATTTTGGTGGAAAGAAGACTCTGGTTCAGGTACCAGACCGTTTATTCTTTTATTCTGGGGGCGGTGCTCTTCCCCGTGATCCAATATTAACTTTGCAAGAACAACCAACTGATTCTCATTTACTACACCACAGGACTTTTCTTGGAAGTGCTTTTGCACCGCTCCTGCACCCACATCTTGGCCTTACAATATCTGCATTTTACTGTCTGACCAAGATAGTGGCGGTTGTTCTCGACATCAACGCCTGACACCAAAGCTTCAGGGAAAGGCCGCCGTGCAAGGGGTAACACGTCTGGATCTAATGCGCGATCCCGGCGATTGTAGTCAGCAATTAATTCAGCGCGCCTGGTGAGAAGTACATCAATGGTTAGTTTAGACTGATCTGTAAGTCCACCCCATAAAAATAAAATAATAAAAAAAAAAAAAAAAAAATACCTTCGGGCGTGTTGCTGGGATTCATTGGACAGTCCTTGAAAGTGGTTCTGGAGTGGCCACTTTGGCCGCATCTGCATGTTCGAGACGCTTGGAGAGGTCCGGCAGCAGGGACAGGCGCCGGATCCGTATGCTCCAGTTCGTCCAGATGGCGGTCAGCACACTCATGCTGCTGCTGCCTTTCACGGGCGCACTGGGCGGCATAGGCGGAGATGAGCATAGCACGCCTGGTGAGAAGTATTAGTTCAGACTGTCCGTAAGCCCATTCCATAAAAAAAAAAAAAAAAAACCTGCCTTTCGAGCGTGTTCTTGGGATTCTCAGGGCAGTCCTTGGATGTGGTTCTAAAGTGGCCAAGTTGACCACATTTACATGTCCGAGGTGCTTGGAGGGTCCTGGAGCAGGGGCAGGCTCCGGATCCGCATGCTCCAGTTCATCCAGCTGGCAATCAGCACGCTCATGCCCCTGCTGCCTTTCATTGGCGCACTGGGTGGCATAACCAGAAATTAGCGCAACACGCCTGGTGAGGAGCACATTAGCGGTTAATTCAGACTGTCTGTAATTCTACTCCTTAAAAAAAAAAAAAACCTGCCTTTCGAGCGTGTTCTTGGGGTTCTCAGGGCAGTCCTTGGATGTGGTTCTAAAGTGGCCGATTTGGCCGCATATGCATGTTCGAGGTGCTTGGAGAGGTCCTGGAGCAGGGGCAGACGCTGGATCCGCATACGCCGGTTCGTCCAGCTGGCGATTATCACGCTCATGCCGCTGCTGCATTTCGCGAGCGCACTGGGCGGCATAAGCGGAAATCAGCTAGCACGTCTGGTGAGAAGTACATCAGCGGTTAGTTCAGACTGTCAGACTGTCTGTAAGTCCACCCCATAAAAAAAAAAAAAAGAACATACCTTTCGGGTGTGTTCTTGGGATTCTCAGGGCAGCTCCTGAAGGTGATGCTGAAGTGGCCAGTTTGGCCGCATATGCATGTTCGAGGCGTTCGTACAGGTCCAGCAGCAGGACTATAGACTCAATAAATTCGTGTCAAATCAGCATGGGTACCAATGTCGATGTAAAAAGTAATAACGGCACACTTCACATACACTTGGTCGCACGTTGTATACATGTTATCGGTATTCATAGTCATTCTAAGAGGGATGTAGTAGTAGTAGTTGAGAGAAGAGAGAGGGAATGGCTTTGAGTGATAAGGGTCAGGCAATGAATATGCAAGGATGAAGGGGAGGAAATTTATTTTGGGAGGAAGGTTATTTTTGGGCGAAGCAAAGGAGAGAGCTAACTATTCGAAATTTTGCATCAAGAAAGATTTTGCATCAAGAGATATGTTTATTTGTTAGATTTATTAGACGTGTAAAATAGTCTCCAAACCCCCCCAAACCCCCCCAAACCACTCTCGGGTAACTCGTCAAAGTCACCGAACCACCATCGATATCATCCATGGGATTACCATCGCGGTTCTCAAAGACATCCAAGGGCATCTCTTCAAGGCTGTCCAAGTCATCGATGGGGACGCTCATGGAGTCCTCCACTGGCTGCCTCACTTCGGGCTTGGGGTCCCATGCAGTAGCGAAATCATCTGTGAAAATACTTTCATTTATATAGTAATAAAGTAAACTGGACTTGGCTGAATATGCAGCAATGTCCATGTGGACTTTTTTTTTTTTTACATATAAGAACCGCAACCTCAATGGTTCCGTTCTCTGCACTTTACACTCCCAACCGTCGATTGACTATTACTACAACACTGCATTCCTACAATAGGTTCAAGTCTGGGTGCGTGGTTGAGTAGATGTTTATTGGACAAAGACTACTAAGGTTCCGTCGAGACCTCAGGCTGGGCTAAGCAGAGTGATCCTTCGATCAACAACAGGGACAAGGGCACGAGGGGGTTCGGATATGTTATTGTATTTATTCAAGATGCGTGTGGGTTACGTCAAGTTGCTAGATGAGGCTCTACTAGGGTATGTAGTGCCTCCTTTTATACAGACGGAATAAACTAGGCATCCATGATAATAATACCGACACGGTGAGACAAGGGGTGTCTAACACGACACCCCTAACTAGGGGACATTGGTTCCTGGGGGACATCCTTATCTGGGCTAGGTGCTCTGGCTGGGGCCGCGACAGGTTCTATCGACTGGCAATGGTGTTGTTCTCTGAGGTTCAGGAGTAATCGAATGTACGAACGCAAAATCATGACAATTGTGGTGGACCGTTGCTAGTTAGTCTGATAGATTCGCAGAGTTAATTGACTCGGGAGACAAGTTATTATAAAAAAAAAAAAAGACGAATTTTGTAAAAAACATGTGAACTTTTTTTTGCGCATTGTACTTCGTTCTGTAGCCCCGACAGTTGTCTCTGTATTCCACTAGGACGACCCTTCGAAAGACAAAGTATACCATGGAGTGAAGGCACGAAAAAAAAACTGCAAGTAACCTTTTTTCAAAGCACTGTTAGGATTGGGTATATCAATGTAAATAGCCTTCAGTTCCACTAAGTCCGATAGATCGAGGGAGCTTGTCTGAGAAGGCAAGCCCGCCAGTTTACAGACATGCTTCGTGTTCCATTGTGGTCGTTCGGCACCAAGGCGACCCAAACGAGCGTGTCCATTACCGACAAAGAGAGAGGTAGTGCCCTCTTCTACCAATCTCTCGATGCCCGCCTGGGACGTGAAGCGCACTGAGAGCAAGTTATCTATTTGACAACCCGGGTTACCATGCATTATTTGCCAACCCCCTCTAATTGACCGCTGATGCTGCCCCACTGCACACTTGTCCACCGCAGGGTGCACTAACTCACATCTGCTTGCTCTTGCCATTCCTCCTCACTGTCCCACTACTACTACTCCTCCTTCTTTACCCCTGCTGAGGAGTCATTACACTAGCCTACCCACATCCTCGTAGCATGGATCCAGCTGTACTGAGTAGAGCCGACCTGACCGCTGCCTCAATCGCCGCTGCAATGAATGCGGATTTAGCAGGTGGGCTAAAATAAATCTTGTAGTAGCAGTTAATTAGGGTTGGCCCCAAGATAACTTGGGGCCAGGGACCAGCGGCCAGAGGGGTGTTGTAACTTCGGAACTTGAGGGGCGTAGTGATTGATATTTCGGAGGTAACAGAGGCATCGGGCTTGGGAGGTTGAGGCCGGCGAGCGGCCTGCGCTCGCGTCAAGGCTGGCATAGGATAGACAATCAAGGAAATAGAGGGCAAAGAGGATAAGAGAGAAGATGCTAACCCAATAAAGAGGGGAAGCAGCCATAGGAACATTGAGGTGAGTATCTTTTAGGAAGGGACTGTAGTAGGGAGGAATTTATGTATGGAAAGAACTATTTATTTAGGAGGTGAGAAAGCACTCCGGTTTTATACTGATTGATGGTTGCCGTAAAGTATATAGATGATGAGTAAATAGAATTATAGAGACCTTATTGCAATATGCTTGTACCTCATTGCTCTCGGTACGACAAGGTGAGCTTCTGGTTCATGCATCACGTGCCTCATATTTCCAACAGCCTCCTCCTCAAACAGGGCCAAGGGACCAAAGGCTCCAACGGTCGGTTTCATGACGGGTTTACGCAGATCCATGGCCTCTCGCGTCCAACGACTGGTCTCGTTCCTGTTGCCTTTTTCCTTCGTTTCTCCATTCTGTTCCTTTCCGTATGGACTACATGTTATGTTGATTTGGCGGATGCTGATTGGTCGCGACTCTTGATTGGTTCTTGCCAGATGTCGTGATCACTTCGTTCTCTGTCTTGGTAAATCCCATGGTTCATCCTGAATCTTCATGTCATTGCTGGTCGTGCGAAAACGTCTTTCTCTTACTTCACTTCAACCGTACTCTGACTCCAATACCATGTCTTCCTCGCAGCCTTCCTCTTCCGAAAATCCTGGGGGGCGTCGTCGCCGTCAACTTCGTGATTCCAATACCACGCCTTCTTCACAGCCTTCCTCTTCCGGAAATCCTGGGGGTCGTCGTCAACGTCAACTCCCTGATACTATAACCCGTATGCGGTCGCCACCTCCAATGAATCTGAAGTCAGTCTCTTCTGCTCGGTCGTCGTCGACGGTGAAGGCGGAAATCGATGAACAGTCGTCTTCGCAAGCACCTACACAGCTGCTCCCCTCGTCATCGTCAGGGAAGGTGGCAATCGACGAGCAGTCTTTTTCGCAAGCGCCTACGCAGCTGCTTTCCTCGTCGTTATCCGACAGCGGCGGCGGGTCGATCGATGAGGGGCAACTGATATCCTTGTCGTCATCCGACAGCAGCGGCGAGCTGATCGATGTTGGGCAGGAGGGTCCTCCTTCGCCTTTGTTGCTGAGCGCAGGGCCCGAGCGCCCCCGCTTTCGGTCGCGGCGGAGTAGTAGGCCTTATCCAAGGCGGCCCAAGCGGCGGTCCACGCCATCCGGGCTTCCTTCGTCGGATATGTTGTCGGAGAGTATTTCTGGACGACACCGCCTGGTCTGCGATAGGTTGATGGAGCTTGAGGAGATATTAATGCAGGGGCGTATACCTGAGGAGCAGAAGAAGTATCACAGATGGCTATACCAACGCGTAATACATCAGGAGGCGTCGCTGCGCGCCGAAGCGCGCGCTCTGGCGACCAGCCCGGGGCAGTTGGTTGAGCAGGTCCAGCGGATCTTAGACACGGTATACGGCACGGACACGTTCCAGAAGTAGATGGTGTTGGTGGCAACATCATGGATATAATAAATAAGGGATAATAATAAAAAGAGGGAAAAATAGTAGAAAAACAAAAAGTAAAGAAAACAAAAATAATGAATAAGAAATAATAAAAGATAAAGAATAATGAGAAAAAGGGGGTTTTTTTTTTTTTTTTTTTTAAAGGCTATCATCACCTTCCCCGGGGGAAGGCAAAGGGACTGACGCCGGGTCCAAAGCTGGGGCGGATGAGGGTGCAGTAGTGGATCCGGTTGGACCAAAGAACTTTTTCAGCCGAGATGTATGGATGTTGACGTGGCGCATGTTGTTCGCAGTGACGAGGTCGCGGCTATTGTGGGCACGGATAGCAGTGATGCGACAGGGACCAGTCCAAGGCTTCTTGAATTTACCGTATGTCGGGGTGGATGTGTTGGTGGCGCGAGTGGATACAGGAGGGGTATAAAGCCATACTGCAAGACCAATGGGCCAGGGCTCAGATGTGGAATCAGTGGGCGCAGCAACCTCTTGGATGGACACGGCGAAATTGTGCGCTTTGTATAGTTGCTGGAAGTAAATGGATCTCTGGTTGGGACTCTGAGCGAGAAGGCGCTCGAGGTCGAAGGAGTCAATGGCATGGATAGGATGTCGAGGGTCTCGTCCGTGGGCCAAAAAGAAAGGCGTCTCCTGAATCTGGCGATGGAAGGATGTGTTGTATGCAAAAGCGAACTGATTGAGGTGGGCGTCCCATAGGGTGTGATTGGTGTCAAGAAATGAGACGATCATGTTGCGGAGGGAAGCCATAAAACGTTCGACGAGACCGTTCGATTTAGGATTGTAGGCGGGTGCATAGCGCGGAGTAATGTTGAGGAGCTGAACCAGGTGGTGATAGTCGCCGGCACTGAAAGGGGCGCCATTGTCAGAGACCATTTCCATCGGGATGCCATGCTGAGGGAAGTATTGCGAGGTGAGTGTGTCAAAAAGTTCACGAGCGCCTGTACTACGCATTGGGTAAAGATTCACGTATCGAGTGAACATGTCTTGCACAACTAAAACGTGCTGGCGCCCAGTGGGGGTAGTAGGAAGGGGTCCACAATAGTCGAGGGCGATTCGGGCAAAGGCCACGTTCGAGGTCGTAGGGTGGAGAATGTTGGAGTGCTGGCGGCCTGACTTGAAGGATTGACAGGTCTGGCATTCTCGTATGTATTTCTGGACGTCAGCATTGATTGTTGGCCACCAATATTGGGATAGAACCTATGGCGAGTCTTTGCGTGTCCTTGGTGTCCACTGAGAGGGATGTCGTGTGCTTGAAAGTGAATAAAAGGATGAAAAATAGGGGGTGCAACGATCTGGAAAGTAACGCGTTCTGGGTTGTGGGCTGCGAAGGAGATATGGTGGAGGATGCCTCGGATGAGACGATAGGTGGGGCGCTCCGCAAGGTCGTCAATGATACGAGAGCAGAAAGGATCGAGTTGTTGTTGAGCAATAAGATGGTCGTCGTCCTTGATTGGGGTAACGTGTGGGGGGAAAACAATACTGGGTAGAGAAATGGCGTTGATGTGTGGTAAAGGGTGACGAGAGAGGGCATCGGCGACACGATTTTGGGAACCGGGGATATAGTGAACTGTGTACTGGAAACGCTCAAGGAACAAAGCCCAACGACCAATCCGGCCACCCAAGTCTCTGCTGTTAGGTATGAACTGGAGGGAACTGTGATCGGTATATATGTGGAAGTGAGTACCCAAAACAAAATGACGGAATTTTTTGCGCAAAGCCCAAATGAATGCGAGTGCCTCCAATTCTCTAATACTGTAATTCTTTTCTGGTGGGGACAGGGAACGACTTGCATATGCAACAGGGTGTGTGTGCCCATTATCATCGCGTTGACAAAGGACAACGCCAACGCCTTGTGTGCAAGCAGCATCACTGTAGATTTCAAAGGGTCGAGTGAGATCGGGGTGTGCAAGGACAGGAGGGGTAATTAAACACGATTTGAGGGTGCGGAACGCTTCTTCTGTCTCCGGGGTCCAAAGGAATGGGGTGTCTTTCTTTGTGAGGGCAAAAAGGGGGTTCGCAATAACGGAAAAACGTGGAATAAAAGAACGATAAACACCGCACATGCCTAAGAAACTCTGAATATCCTTAACTGATTGGGGTGTGGGGTACGAGTCAATGGGCTGTGTTTTCGCCGGGTCAGCCTGGATACCTTGTGGGGAGACAAGGAATCCCAAAACACTGATGGAGGAGGAACAAAATGTGCACTTGGAGCGTTTGAGTGAGAAACCGGATTCCCGTAAGACATCAAAAACTTGCTGAAGGTCAAGAAGGTGCTGATCAATTGAGGGCGAGAAAACAATAATATCGTCGAAATAAACAACCACGATTTTGTAAAGAAGGTGAGTAAAAACGGAGTTGAGGGTACGCTGGAGAGTGGCAGGGGCAGTAGTGGGTCCGAAGGGCATGACTGTCCATTCATAAAGGCCGCTGTAGGTGGTAAATGCTAGTTTCTTGGCAGTGGAGGGATCGATTGGGATTTGCCAGTAGGCGGAGGCCATGTCGAGGGTGGAGAAGACAACCGAGCCGCCAAGGGCATTGAGGATCATGTCCATGCGAGGGACGGGGTAGGCATCCTGAGTTGTAACGGCATTCACTTTTCTGTAATCTACGCAAAATCGCTTTTCACCATTCTTTTTATCAGCGATGATGACGGGAGAGCACCATGGTGAACGGGTCGGTTTGATAATCCCGTTGGCAAGCATTTCGTTAACGTGTTCGTCAATAATTTTCTTTTCTTCAGGGCTAGGACGTCGCCCGAATTCCTGCGTCGGAGGTGCAGTACCGGTATCAATGGTGAATTGGGTTAAATGGGTGCAAGGTGGGGCTTTTGGGTTGCGAGCAAAGATATCTCTGTTTTCTTGAATAAGTTGAGTGATGCGGTGTGTAATGGTAAAGGGAACGACGGATTGCACTTTGTGAAGGCGGGAGTGTGGTGATGTGGTAAAAGTGGTGAAGGGGATAAAGTGAGTGCCTTGAGATGGAGGGGGCAGGGGAAGTGCGAGACTGTTGTTGCTGCTGAGAATGGTTTTACACGGGAAGGATATTCCAGCCCTGGAGATTGTGGCGTCAAGAGTGTCGATAATATCCCATCCAAGAAGTAGGGAGTAATTGCATCCAGGGAGAACGTGGAAAGTGAATGGGAGGTTGTTGACAATAATAGTGATAGTGCCCAGCGTCTGGACGATAGTGCCATCAGCATTGCTAACAGGGGTGGTATTGCGGCGGTTGACAGATGGTGCGAGCAAGGCTTTGGAGCAGAAGTCGGCGGAGATGCAGGAGATTGACGCGCCTGTGTCGACGAGGGTTTGTGCGCGGTGATTGTGGAGTTCAATAAAAAATGTGGGGAGTTTTCGAGGTAGGCCGGCGGTCAAGTTCGATACGACTTCCCTGGGACGATAATTGGGTCGAAGATCGGGGTATTTTTGGTAACAACGGTCAGATGGATGCCTGCCTTGGCAGTGGCTGCAGGGTGGAAATGGGGGAGGTGTTGACGACGTAGGGGACGGGTTAGGGAATAATTGCTTTGGAATCGGGGATACGCGAAGGAAATTTTCAAGATCAGTGTAAAACTTCGAAACGTCGGCGCCGTTTGAGATCGCGATAGCGTATAGGACGGCTGCGTGGGTTTGGCAGGGTTTAGCGAGGTGTTTGTAGAAAAGCTCGAGGGAGAGGGAAGGTTCGAGTGGGTGAGTAGTGTTGAGCTTCATGAACGAGTTAAAATAATCTTGAAGTGACTGATCGCGTGTTTGTTGAATGGCAGCGTACTGAGATTGGATGTGAGCGACGCGTCGTTCGGTGGAGACAGTGAGAAGGGGACGGAGGCAGGAAACAGCGATGTCAAAGTCACGGATGTCGAGCGCGTGAGAGTTTTCTAATAACGTCCTGTTGATGCGAGTGAGGCATCGACGAAAGCAGGCGAATTTCAAAGAGGGATGGATTTGTTCGTGTTCAAAAATACGCTCAAATCGTCGGATAAATTCAGAAAAGGGGATCTCGTCCTCAACCGCAAACTGAGGCCAACAGATCTCGTCGAGGTCCGCGGCCGACCAAGTCAGCGAAGAAACGGGTGAAGGAGAAGTCGACTGAAACTGGAGGATATTGGTTGTGCGTGGGGCCAAGGAGGGAAAGAAACGACCAAGCAAGAAAAATAAGAAGCAAAGAGTGCAGAAGAAAAGAGAGATTGTAATAGTGTCGCTCATAAATAAGGACGGCATAGAGGATGAATGAAAGAGAGAAAGGAGACGCGAGAATAGACTCCAGTAGGATGGGGCTGAGGTTGGCACTGGTACAGGAGATGGCTTGAAAAAGTTCGATAAGGAGATCGCGGCAGCGGCAGAGGGCACATTTGATGGCCATAACAGCCAAAAGAGAAGGAACCAGGTTCGGACCACCATGTTGTAACTTCGGAACTTGAGGGGCGTAGTGATTGATATTTCGGAGGTAACAGAGGCATCGGGCTTGGGAGGTTGAGGCCGGCGAGCGGCCTGCGCTCGCGTCAAGGCTGGCATAGGATAGACAATCAAGGAAATAGAGGGCAAAGAGGATAAGAGAGAAGATGCTAACCCAATAAAGAGGGGAAGCAGCCATAGGAACATTGAGGTGAGTATCTTTTAGGAAGGGACTGTAGTAGGGAGGAATTTATGTATGGAAAGAACTATTTATTTAGGAGGTGAGAAAGCACTCCGGTTTTATACTGATTGATGGTTGCCGTAAAGTATATAGATGATGAGTAAATAGAATTATAGAGACCTTATTGCAATATGCTTGTACCTCATTGCTCTCGGTACGACAAGGTGAGCTTCTGGTTCATGCATCACGTGCCTCATATTTCCAACAGGGGGAAATCACGTGATTTCCGCAATTGTGACTGTTATTACGAATTTTTTACGTACTAATACTGATAAAACGGCCGAAAAATTAATAATTTGGGGGTGTTGGTTAAGGGGTATAATCCTTTGTTCGGGTCAAAGGGGCCCGGGTTCGAGTCCCGGACACCCCCCATGAATTTCTTTTGCTATTTTGAACCTGTAGAGTTCTGGTAATTTTTTTTGGAACGCGCCGCTTTCGTACCAAATCCTAATTGACTGGGGCCGTGATTGACAGTTTTATTTCATATATCATGTCGACTCGAATGTTCTGCAGACAAATTGGATATGTGCATCCGATCGTAAGGACTGGAAGGCGGGCTTTTTATCATCATTTAACCATGCGCTTTGCTCGCCATATCGGACCTCGAAGGAATCCAAGCAGGGCCAGCATGACTCTCCCCACTCGATCTCATAATCACGTTCCTTTTTCCAGTTTCTCAAATCAATCTCCCGCCCTACGCAACCCATATCAATCACATCCATACCGTCGTTCTGTTGCTTCTGTTGTTGCTGATACAGTTGCTTCTTCTGCTGATGACGACTCAATTCCTTTTGGGGGGGTTTCCTGGGAAAAAATATTCTTTTAAAAGAACTTGGCCACTCCTTTGAGAGGCACCCGGGCTGACGATGGGGCGATGAATTTCTGAATAGCACTGCGAGGTCAAGTCTCGGGTACCGTCTTATCCATTCCAAGTCCTTTAGTTCGAATTTATGGAGACGGTCGCAATCGATGACAAGTTTCTCCAGATGTCGCAGTCGTGTCAACAAACAAAGCGCTCCCTTGCTAGCGAGGTTGATGCCCCATCGACGGATGAATAGGTCTCGAAGATGTGGGGCCACTCGGCCGAGATACCCAAACAGGATCAAAGGGCCTGTGTCTCCACCATCCCCGGGGCCGAGTGGTGCAACACCGATATGGAGCGTCTGGAGGTGCCGACAAGCCCAGATCCGTTTGTTGCTGCATATCGATGCTAACGGAGCCGAGATGGCCACACATGGGTATGTGGATGAAAAGGTGTGGGATGGAACTCGTTGTCTTCGCTGTCTTGCCGACTCGATCTTGCTGTGGAGGTAGCGCTGAGAGTACTCAGGAATCATGTCGTTCACATCCAGATCCTCGATAAAGATCGCCATATTGGGTACGATTAAGTGTAATAAATGCGGAGATTGGCAAAGGTAACTCTGCAAAGCCGTTGCCCCGTCTCGAATCAGGCAAAGTGTCCGAGGTCCTGTAAGCTCAAGCCATGTCACTTGGTTTCTATGTAATAGTGGATTGAGCTTTGGTTGTTCACTCTCCTGTAGCTTTTCATGTAATGCTAGGAAAGGCTCCGATCGGTCGGTCAACCGAGATGGCGTCCTCTCGATCCCGCACCATCTTTCCAACCAGAGAGCTAATGACGAATGAGTTCCATTGTCTTGTGGCCGAACCATCTCGCTATCCACAAACGACCACTCTTTGATCGCAGGGAATTCCTTGTGAAAGAGCGTCCAGAGATCACGTTCAGTGTACCGTCGACCTTTGATCGAAAAGTGGAGTCGTCGCAGTTGTGGACACGCTGTGGCAAGGCGTTGGAAAAAAATCGATCGATCGTACTGTTTCGATCCCGTTGATACTGTGCGTGCCCTTACAACCTTCAGCCCCTGTAGTCGGGGGCAGGCATCGACCAGCTTTTCGAGGGATCCAGAAATGAGGACAAGGTCCTGGAGGACCAGGGTTCGCATTCGCTTCAAGGTCGGCAGTTCGGATGAAGGCAGCGCAGGACTGCGTGGAAAGGGGGTGTCCTCTCCGGGGCAGAGATGGAACTCTTCCAGGCAAGGGCAGTTTTCCAAAAGTTCGTGGAGCATGGACCATGTACGCATTCCAGTCTTGACGAGTCGTAGAGTCGTGACGGAAGGTAGTAGTGATAGCAAGGGTACAATCTGGGATACGTAGAAAGAGCTGCCTTGAATCTCGATTTGGTTCAACTGGATCGTTTCGTTCCCGTCCTTTTGTTTTTGTAGTAGCTCCATCAATGGCGACCATGCACTGGCGCTACCGTCGCCACCAGCCCAGACATACAGGTAACATGCAGAAGGGAGGGCTTTGAGAATGCGGGCGAGTTCTAGTTCAGGAAGGTCGCAGCTCCATTTTAGACACAGGGACGGCGAGGCGCCGAGTCGACGGGAGGTGATGTACCACAGCTTGCAGACGGGCCTTGACACATGGAACCGTTTATGGTCGCTCAAGAATGAGAGGATGTGCTCGAGGATCTCGGGGATGGTCAAGGGCAGTGGTGTTGGAGCGGTCGAAGGAGGACCAACACGACTGGTATGCTTGTTGTGGATAGGTCTACTCAGACGAGACATGTATACAATTCGAGTGTGCGCAGTGTGTTGGAGGGTTGGCTGCGGAAACATGAAGAAGAGCGGATGAAGAAAACGAATGAACCCTTTCATTAGGATTCGCCATCCCTCTTGATCTGCCATCGCTGTGTGGAACTCTCGTGTTCCGTTTTTGGTGCTCACAAGCTTGGCCTTCATTTCATTTGTGGCAGTGCACCAAAAGACCAAAAATGAGATTGCTGAGAAGGACTGCAGTGGTCCTGGGCTCACATCGTCTCTATCTTGGGCGCAGCCACTTCCCTCTCCATTTTAGTGCTAACCGGGAATTCAGGCGACAAAAAGAGTCTAGAACAGCATGTTACCTGTTCATGACGAATGTAGTCGATTGCCAGAGGTTGCTGTGCTTTTCCTCAATCCATTGCCTAAAGGAAATTGAGTGTCATGAAGATGGGTTTAGCGGCAATGATGGCTCTCCCTACGTGGTTCGATCAAGGGACGCCTTGAACCGAAGAGTTGGCGACAAATGATCGAGGAGGGACTGGGGAAGTAGGGTTTGAGCTAAATAAAAAAATTAGGGTTTTGGGGCCCCCCTGTCTCCGTTGTGCCCTGAACGCATTTTTATGTCCCAGGCATTGGCTGGTCAACTGACAGCCGCAAAAAAAAAGGGGTGCTTGAATAGTCTATGTGTGATCAGATCACATCCCCCCCATGCTAATGACTTCAGTGCCCTTTTTTTTTTCATTCTTTCGTCACCTTCCTTTTCTTCCTCTTATTCTTCACCACACATCTCGGCAACGCCTTCTCAACCTCGATTTTTTTTTATTTTCGACCTTGACTAAAACACAACATGGGCTTCTGGACAAGATCCGCACCCGTCCTCACGCAAGAATACCAAGAATCTGTCGCCCATAGAGTCCGCGACATCCTCACAGGCGTCGACCATTCGTCTCATGCCCACAGAAACAAGGCTGCCATCAAAGCGCTCCAAAAACCGGAAGCCCTGGCTGGCGTGATCGAGATCTTGAGGGCTATGCCCGAGCCTTCCTCCAGGGCAGGCGGCTGGGATATCGATGAGGGTATCGACCTGGACTCTGAAGAGGAACAGCAGGACCGAGTACGGAGCCCGAAAATCCAGGGACTCTTCAAAGGCAAGGAGAGGGCCGGCAACATCAACGACAAAAAGGACCCTAAACCGAAAGGGACGACTGTAGTGGCCGCAACGACAATTGCGGCAGCGGCGGCAACCTCGGCAGCAGCGGCGACTCTGGCGGTCGCAAAGGGGAGGAGCTCAAAGCGGGCTGTCAAGGAGGAAGAGATAACGGTGGAGGTTACAGATAAGACGGAGACGACTACAACCAAACGGACGGTCGTGCGTTTTCATCCCTCCAAGGACACCGTGTCCAGTCAGGCGTACGTGTTCTTCCTTTTGATTCTGTCTATTATTGCACACATTGCTACCGACATAAACGGTATCACCTTCCTGACGAACGTACCTCCGATTGATCCACAATAGGTACTGGTGGGGCTACGAGATCTTTATCCCACAGGAGGCGCTCGCGAGGATCGCATCTGCGCAGGACGTCTCTTCAGCATTTCTCGGGTTTCTGGGCTCGGTTGGACTAGTGGTACCAGCGATCGTCCCCTTCCTCGGCTACATTGCCGCCTATGTCGGTCTCGAATTTGCGGTGATCAAAGCCCAGAATGAGGGCAGGGGCGTTATCCTCGCAAGCACATGGCTCGTCCCTGTGGCCCTTGTTCCCAGAGCATGGGACGTGCCCGATGAGGACGGTATCGAAGATAACAGTGGTTGCGCATAGGTGATAATACCATTTTCAATCAGTTTAGTATATATATACATATAATAATCCTCTTAAAAAAAAAAGTGTGTGTTGCGCAGGTTTTATACAGTGTTATTTCTTTGTCTATGGATCGTCATTCTGTGTAGTAGGATCTTGAAGGTCATTTAAACACCAAGGTTCGCAAGGCGAGCACTGGAAAGCTGGCTCTTCATGAACTCGCGGTCGACATCGTGACTGTCCTCGACCTCGCCCCAACGTTCAATCTGGTCCAAGACTTCGAGCTGGGCAGCCTGCCATGCCTTTTCTACGGACAGGTGCCTCTTGACGACAGCCAGTCCGATCAAGAAAGACTTGGCAGTCAACGTCGCTCTCTCGAATGCTAATCAGGGTTGATAAGGCATAAATGCGAATACGTTAGATATAAATACTTTCAGTCGGATTTGGTCGTTCAAATGGTTCCTCAGTGATCCAATTGTGGAGCGTCAGGATTTATACCTGAAAGCTCGATATCGCTCATGCTGCTCACAATGTCATGCAGCTTCTGCTTGACATCGTCATCCTGCTGGACATAGGTGATACCCTGCGAGACCTTGATATCCAGTCCGTATTCGTGCTTGATCCACTTCAAGATGGGGTCCCAATGTTCCTTCTGCGCCTTGACAATTGATTCGGGGAAATCCTGATGATAGCAAATAGAATCCGTATCCAAGAACTTGGTCAAGCGGTTCAATGTCTCCTGACGGCCCTGTCCGTTTCCAGCAAAACTATCAATTGCTCTTGCCACCAACGAGGTCTAAGATTGGAAATTTCAAATGGTTGGTGTCAAATTTGCATGCGAACGATCTGGAGTGGTCGAGAATATCAACAAAAGATCCAGATGTTTTTCATACCATTGGCAGAGAATGTGACTTCAATAATGCCTTTTGTCCATTCCATTCGCCTGCAATCATCAGGGCGAGGTTCTGTTGGTCCTTTGGCAGTGTTAATTGATTTCCTGCGGGGGTCTTGAGCACCCTACCATCCAATGTCACCGCAATGCGATCTATTTTGTTCCAAGGATCATTTTGAGGTCAGAAAAGAAAAAAAAAGAAAAAAAAAGAAAAAAAGACGTACACCCAGGATCAAAACGAAAGATGGAGAGGTTGACACCAGCGCTCGGATATTTTACCTCCCATGTCCTTGACACCGGCCGTCTCCCAGAAGCGCTTTCCCGAGACCTCAGCGCCTACAATTGATCAGTCAGACAAGAGACGAAGAAGATATGCTGGATCAGATCGCGTTCCTGTTATATATTCAATCTGCCATGTTTGTTTCGCCGCCTTTTTCTCTCACGCTTTTGCAGTCGTGGTTTGCGTGCAGTCCAGGATGTCGGTAGACTTACGAGCCATCTGGTCCCTCATGGGTGCACTCAGGTGCAATGACCTGACCGTGACTCTGAACGGCGAAGGGATCTTTGAGGCGAGTGTGCGCAACATCCTGTCTTGTGTATATGTCTGAGTATATGGTAGTGTGTGTCGTTAAGGTCGTGAGAGCTTGGCACTGAGATATGTTGCTGCGCTTGAGTGGGTGTTCCTGAAGCGATTCGTGTCGAGGGCGGATTCAGTTGGTTGCAAGCACCTTTTAGTCTGGTCATTCTCTCAGGCACACCGACGGTTGCAAAGTGGCTTGCAATGTTGACAATCAACCCAATCGGATGCCTTTGAGTTGCCCTTTAGCGGCGCCGCGCGCTTGAACTTGACTTTGTCCATTGCTTTCGTTCACATCCCACAGCACTTCCGACTACACCTTCATTCATATAACACAGCCATGTCCGTATCATCCGTATCAAGGCAACAGGTTCTCGGAGCATACAGAAACCTCCTGAAGGCACAGCGACAGACGTTCAAGGGTAGGTTCTGTGCCTATTCGGAATCTCGTCTTCGGAGCATTGCCCGCTGCTTGTGGCCGATGACACTAACATGGCCGCTATCTTTATTGTACTTTATAGGCGATTGGACCACACTCGCAGGTAGCTTGGCGATAGGATGGTACACGGAAATCTTCAGGAATGTTCAGGATAGCAGTTGGGGCGGCCCCAACGACGCCGGAGGCAGATCATGAGGACTCTCAGGGACAACAGGAGCTCGGATATGACCAGAAGGACCATGAACTGGACGAGTAACAGGATTCAAAAAGCGAAGGAACGAACTGACATGACTTGCTTTGAAGTGACCAGGACGATTGGGACATTCAGCTGCATTTATATCGCTACCAACTTAATCCATCCTTCAGGATCTATTCTACAACCGCCTGTACCTCACGCACTCAACACTCGACTATCTTCCACTCTATTTCTCATAGCTGCCCACCAAAAGACTTATGCCGAGTTCGACAGCAAGCGCAATGAGACCGATGAGACCAAGGTCAAGGAACAACTCGAGCTCGCCAATCAAGTCGCCTCACTCCTCCGTCACAACCTCGCCCAGGCTGTCAAAGTCGAGGGCAACGGCGATATCTATTGTACGTTCCTTCTCTCTCTCTCTTTATGTTACATTCTGTATGTTTCTACATGAGACCAACATCTCACCATGCATTCTCTATCATTCCCATCTTTCTATCTTTGTAGCATTAAAGTTGAACAAGGATCACGAATTAGGCGACAATGAGACCTTGAGACAGGCGTCCAAGCTGCGCCGGCTGAAGAACCAGGAGGCCGGTGGTAAGGCTGCAGGCGGCGGATGCGGCTCTCCTTCATGCTGCTCTGCATAAATGCACATGGATCATTCCTTCTTTTTTTCACATACACATATTATCTTCCTGAGTGAATCCAAAGAGCAATTCGAGCACCGCTTGTAATAAAAACTACATAGAAATGTCAGTATTCCGCACGAAACCCCGGAAGCAATTGAAGCAACAAAAAAAGAAAAAAAAACCATTCATTCATTGGAGGGAGAGGAGGGTGTCTAAGATTTCCCTTTGTTCTGGTCTTGCCCTCGCCTCTTGATTTTATTTCGATCGGCGATACTCGAACTTATCGCTGCTGAAAATAACAACATACCAAATACCTTCAAAGTGGGGAAATTTTAAAGGCCCAAAAAAGAAAAAAGAAAAAAGAAAAAGAAAAAAAAAGGTCGAAAAAGAAGAAAAAAAAAAATAAAAAAAAAAAAGGTCTATGCATTCTCATAGATGTTGAAGACTTCTTCATCATATGTTGAGCAGACCGCGAGAACAAGCGCCATATCTGAGCGATGGAGCCCCAGTAGTGGCGCCACAGATTCCAGAGTCGGATAGCTCCTCAGCATGTCCTTCTCACGAGCAATCGACGACAGCATTCGTCCGCACTGGTAGAGCTGATGGAGTCGGTCTTCCAAATAATTTAAACACTAAGCGCAGCAGGAACGAACGATAATCATGTCAGCATACGCGGTTGGAATATCCCTCTCAGAAAAATATGGGGAGACGAGGTGAGGAATAATCTTCAACTTACTTGTTCAGCCGCGAGTCCGCTATGTGCCAGCTCTATCATTTGGTGCAGCGTCGCGTCCATGAACATGCTCGTTGACGTGTGCGGCAACCGCATCACGGGCTCGCCTCTTAGATCAATGCTTCCTCCGAGTCCTCCTCTCATATCAACAGTATCGAGGACCTTCGGAAGTGGAGGTGGTGGTTTCGCACAAAAGACGTTGCACTTCATCGTATTCGTATCCGCCACAATACATACTGTGGACGAGACCCGCTCCTGGATCTCAAAGTGCCGCATCGTATCCCTCATGTCTGTCTCCATAAAGTGTTGAAAGTCGAACTTCGGGACGCCCATAAGCGCAAAATCAGACATGTACCGGTCGCAGTAAGGCGCCATCAGCGATCGGCCATACGACTTGCAGAACAATACATCTGCAGGCAGTACCTTGTCCGCTGTTGGAGCGCCATTCACAGAGGCTCCTGAGGAAGGGAACGGAGGGAAAGAACAGACAACCCGGGAAATGGGTAAGGGAACATTGGAAAGCACATCCTGTGTTTGGCACCCAGGATCGTGCGCACTCCGCGCCGCCTCGGTTCCCATGGTATCCGAAGAGAGTTTTCTGGGTTGTGCAGTGTCGACTCTAAGGTGATGGTTCGGTGCATGCTGTGGCGGCTGAGGCTGCTGCTGTCCATTTTCTTCGCCAGTAGCTAGTTCTCGATCTGAATCTGGACGACTCTCTATCGTAGTCGGAGTCGTCGGGCGTGAATGATAAGGCGTGGATTCCGTTGAGACAGAATCCTTTGTATCCATTCTGGGTCTCGTAGTGTCAAAGAGAGGTTTCCTGGGAACGGAAGGTATAATGGACCGATCTCGCTCGCTTTGGTTATGATGCGGAAGGATAGGTGTCATCGGTTCTCCAATAGGAGTCAGGCGAGAGGATGCAGATGCGCGCGAGACAGAAGATCCTCTTGCTGCAAAAGTGTCGATCCTCGGTCGTTTTGGTATGCTAATCGAACGCATCATGGTTGCTGGACTGCCGCTCTCATGGTCCTCGGGTAAATCATAGGTGGTTCGTACAGGTGGCGGTGGGTTGAGAAGAGAATCGGTTTCTTCCTTGAACTCTGTTAGCCGTTGGAAGACCTCGTTGCACCGAATAAAATAACTAAGAATATATAGGAGTCTCCGGACAAAACTTGAATTGGAACCCACAACAATTGTCCGACTAATCCTGGATATCGTTCCAATGTTTCCATAGAGATCGCTCAATTGAGCCCATAGCGGGTCATACGCACCCTGAGGATTCGCCTACAGTCCAAAGAGATTCAATATCGAATCCATTATTAATAGGTAGCTATTATTTTCCAAGGAGGTAGGGAATGCTGCATGGCACTTACCCGGATCAATGTCTGGTCTGCTGGAGCGACGGTTGGTACCCATGACGTATGGTGGCTCAAAACAGAAGAGATGACTTCGGACACAAGTTGCCCCGAGGCTGGGTTTTCTTCCATGAGATGAATCAGCTCTGTCATGAACGATGCTGAGTACGCAGTTCTCTTGCTAGGGTATGTATTAATGTTGAGCCATAGCGGCGCCTAAACAAGCGAATATTGATACGCGATACAAGGGTCAGCGATGGGCCTGTGAAATTATCCCTGCTTTTACATGAAATCGATAACCATCCATGCAGCAATACCTGTATACGAGGCGCACTGTATAGTTGGTATATTGCTTGCTGAAGTCGCGCCACTGCCTCCTGAAGTCTTGGGTCCTGCTGAAATGCAAGCCTTGAGAGATCGGGTATTGATTTCACATGGCTGTTTCCTGACAGAGTAGCCTTCTGTAAAGGAAATAAAAGAAAGAGGAATGCGTTACAAAGGAGGTGAGGGATGTTAGACGCTGCAGAGTGTGTGATCCAGCTGGTTTGCGGACGCGGAGTGAGCGCAGAGTAGGAACGTACTGCATTGATCATCCTGCGACAAACGGGCAGTAGCAGTTCCAAGCACAGCGCCTGCAGTTGGTGTAGGCGGGTCTCCAGAAGGGCAAAGTGAGAGAAAACAAATTCCCGTAACCGAGTGTTGTTGTTGACCTCAATGAACACAGCGATTGAAAAGGATTTTGAGCGAGCAGCTTGGGTCAGAGCAGGCTATTGCATGCGGAAAAAAAAAAGAGATGAAGATCATGAGACGATTAGGTCCAAGGCGGTCCTAAGCAAGACGCGAGTATTCATAATAGAGTGAGGCAGATTTCTCTGGCTGCACTTGTTCTTACCTTAGCGTTTCCTAAGCTGTCCAAATGCGAAAATGAGCTGGGTAATGGCATTGGATTGAAGGTTCCGTTTTCCATGCTGGTCTGGCTGGCACGTCTCAATCTCCTGACAGCGAACCCCGGTCGTGGTGCCCGCACTCGGATGTTAGAGGCATTGGGTAATGAGGAGGATACAGCGCCGTTCTTGAGGTCATTGCTGGTATATGCTGACTCGGGTATAAAGGCTGTCATGGGTCGTGAAGCACGGGGGTGGGATCTATAGTCGCCATGACCGCTTATTGTTGACATCCCGGAGATTTCCATGGTGCTAGTGCTGTTGCTTGAAGAGAATGAACCCCGACGAGTTGAGGCTGCGGTATAGGCCATGACATCCGTAGGGTGTATACTGAAGGTCTTGGTCAGCATGATCTGAGCAGATTCGTTCAGGAGGTGGATCTTTGTCGTCGATCCCTTGTAAGCCAGGGGCGTGGTGCCGAACATCAATTTTGGATAGATGGAAGGGATCTACATCGGCATTCGATATTAAGACGAAACAAAATCAAAAGTCCGATCAAAAATGAAACGCGTTCTCAATGTGATCGACGTGATCTGGCGTCATGTACAAATATGGCATTTTATTTCCTCTAATTGCACATGGAGAGGAAAGCCTTTGAATCGGCCGAGACCGCAGGATACAGATGGAAATGGATGGGGAAGCAGGAAGAATACAAAGATACCAACTTACAAGTTTTGTAGGCCTCCTGCTGGGCATAGTCTGGCTACCGGAAAGGTTCGAGGGCAAGGAGCGCTCGCTCCGCAGCGATCCAAAGAGACTGCTCATACTGCTGCTCTTGAAGGAACTCTTGGCCGGCGAGGGGCTGGGTGACTCCAATGGGTTGTAGTCTGAGCCTAAGACTTGCTGGCTGTCAAAGAGGACAACATCCTGGATGGAGCTGACCTCCTGACACATAAGCACCCTGATCTCCTGCGTCCCGAACGGAGGCGGATTCCAGCTGTTTGATGTTTGAGAGTATATGCGGAGGGCAATTGAGCCGCATAAAGCCAAAAAGACGATTAGATCTTGGGTGCATCAGGTCCTTCCAGTCGAGGAAGTGGCACGGCAAAAAGTAATGGCCGTTGTCCAACCATCCATGCCGACGGGATGGAACAGCAGCAAAAATAAACAAAGAGGAGGTCCAAAGATGGACTAGAGCGCAATTCATGGTTTTCATAAAACAGGAAATAGGAAACAGGAAAACAGGTGTGCTCCCTGCATTGAGGGACTACTTTGTTGGTGTTGTTGAGACGACAGGGTCCATTTGAATCACGAGTAGAAGCAAACATAGTGTGACACTTGCCATTCCTGCTCCAGCAGTTCACGAGTGTGCTTTTCCTCGAGATCCTTGGCGGAGAATCCTTTGCTGAAAAACTTTAGCATTCCTTGAAGGATCGGTGGTGGGTCGTGAATTCGGGTATGTGTGATGTGAGTGTACTCTGTCCAAAAGGAGGTATGGGGTGTTGGTATGGCGGGCAGCGAGAAGACGGAGCAGGACAGGGGAAGAAGAGGAGGAGGGAGAGATAGGAAGAGGGAGAAGCGCAATTGAGATAAATATATATGTCGGAGTGGGCTGGTTGCTTGTGTGCTGCTTGTGTGCTGCTTGTGTGCTGCTTGTTGGTTGCCCTGTATGTCTTTCGTATCCAAAGGTGGAATCTAAAGGGATGGGATTGCAATTGCAATTGCAATTGGTGGTGATAATAATAGGGGTAAGGAAGAGAAAAGAGGAAAGGAAGGAAGGAAGCAGACGTGTTGTTTGATGGCGGAATGAAGAAACGACCCGCAGGACGTGTATGTATTACGCGAGAGTGCGTGCGGAGGTAGAATCGTAGAAGAGAAAAGAGAAAAAAGGAGCCGGGTTGCTGGGTTGTTGGGAAGAGTGAGAAGTTTGTTCAACGGTCGGACACGGCGCCCAAAATGAAAAACGAACACTTCCAGGCACAGAGACACTCTCACAAGAAGAAGAGTGGAAAAAAAAAAGAAGCCCGGTGTATGTAGACGTACAACAGCAGCCGGGACTCGAGGGCTGGAGGAGGGACGGGAAGGAGAGGAGGATGGGAGGATCGGATGGACGAGGGGATTGGGTGATGGAAGGGACGATCAGGGCAGGTGCCTCTGTTGCTTTGTTGACTGTGGGCTAACTCCTTTCCCTGATCCCCCTGGTCGAATAGACTTGGAGGTGTGCGCTGATTGGTTCCTCGCCAGGAACAAAAAAAAAAAAAATGCAGAGCCCTTCTGTCCCTTCCCTCCCCTCCACAGCGCCATGTGGCCCTCCTCCCTGTCCCTCCCTCTCTTCTTCTCCGTTCGCGTGGAGTGGACAGGGTCTGCACTATTTATTGCATCGGTGTTTGATGCAGATGATAGCGCAGAGCAGAAGCATGTTGTGGCCATATCACATAGACTGCAGCCCATATCCCTGACGAAGCTGGCTGACTGATTGACATACATACCGCTCTGCCCTGCTTTCTTCAACAGCAAATGCACAAGCATTCCCTTAAACAAGCAATATATAGTATCCGCCATCATCTGCTGCTCTTGGCCTCTCAACCACATATCTGAATCACAAACCATGCACTCGCGTAACACCCGTTCATCTTCACCGTTGAAGAAGAGCAATGAAAAGATCTGATGCGCAGCTTCAATTGCCAATTTATTGCATCTCTTGATTTCGGTTCGCATGCGAAATAGTGCGCATCTAATGACCTGTTCAATGACCCACCAGGTCATGCTGAGCAAGGTTCGCAGCACAATTGGCCTCCCTGAGGCTCCCCAATGAGAGTCTAGGGCGCTTAGCAAATCTCTATAACACGTTTGTCCGCCATTGAGCCGCATGAGGCATTTCTTCTCATAAACAAGCTCGGTTATTCGTGGAGTTAGTATACATCTATTATTGTGCTCAGCCCAGTTGCTTGTGGCAATGAAGATACTAGAGCTGCAGCAGAGAGGATACCTGTTCCCGACGCGATCTACGGTTGTAAGTAAGAAACTTTAATTTAATAACAGACAGGCCTGCGCACGGTTCAACGCTAGAAAAAGGAAAAGGAAAAAGAAAAAAAAGGATGGGGAAATCCCACGCTCGCTCATCCTCTTCTCCTCATTCAACTCATCCCACATACACCCAAGTAACGGATTCCATCATGGAGGATGCCCTACGACTGTCAGAGATTAGGTCCCACATAGGGTCGTTCCTCGACAAGAGTGACCTGGTACAGTGCATGTTTGTCTGCCGCAAGTGGGCCACCGACTTCCGGCGGCTGCTCTGGCGTGAACTCGAGCTGTCTGAGTCGGAATTCGAGACCATGAACAAGGATCTTCTCCACAAGTACGGCCACTTGATTCGGACGCTTACCATCTACGATCCTATGCCCCTCCTCCACGACTGGTTCGCTCCTCCCTTCTGTTGCAACTTGGTTGAGATCAACATCAGGCCATCATTGCGCCGTAATCAAGAGCTTGTATCTATATGGCTTGAAAGCAGCGTCGTATCCGCTTCATATGACCAAGCTGTCACATTCATGTCCGTAGATTCAGTCAGGAAGGCGTTTCAACTAATCAAGTGCAATCCAGGCCTCCGAAGGCTGTCAGAGCAGTGGTCCACACTTTCTCCGATGCACACAGCCATATTCAAGGAATTACTCTGTCAAGAGAAAATGGCTCTGGAGGAGCTCAGCACCTCATACTGGAAGATGTCGACGACTAAGGATCTCCATTCTTTGATCGACCATGATCCACAACTTCGGAAGCTGACACTTTTTCGACCCACCATCGGTTATACCTCCACCTGGATCACTGAAGAACACATGCCAGGATCAACCGTAACATTCCACAGCAGCCCAAAATCGTTACTGCTAGAACTTGGGGACATCAGCGAATTCTCCATGACAGGTGGCAGACTCATAATCCCTCGCAGCACCAACGTTTCATTTGAAATTCATGCGCATAACGTCACGCGGATGTCACTAGCAGGATTTCAGGGCCTATTCTTGGAGCAGCAGAGGGAGCCTGAGCCATCCTCGCTTGTCCGTCAAGTCACCGCGTGGCATTGTTCAAAGCTGACAAAGCTGAGATTGACCCAAGATGAGTTCGACGCAGTCCACACAGCCACGGCCCTATTTGTATCCGCAGAGAGACTGAAGGATGTGGAGATCCAGGACTGCACGATGTGCTCGACCGTCATTCGTGATTTGATAGCGAGGCATGCTGTCGCTTTGCAGCGCATTAACCTTTGGGGGACCATCGGCTTATCAGGCTTGGATTCACAGCTGATTCTGACAAGCTGTCCGAATCTTCTCCACTTCGGGGGATCGAATAGCCCTCTGCGAGGATCGGATATGGTTAAAGAACCCTGGATTTGCCGCCAACTTCAGACACTGAGTGTGATCCTGGATATGCCGACTCTGGAGACGCACGTCAATGACGACGCAGATGCCGGCGATGACAGGGAGGATGCTAGCCAGCATCTGGAAGCACGGGTTGCAGAGCGCCAGGTGCTCTATAGAGCCATTTACGATCAATTGGCCTCCTTGAAGCAATTGCAGTACATCAAGTTCGGTGGTTTCAGTCGAGGCAAAGTGCATGCGACAGGCATCCCATGGAGCCTTGATGCAGGTCTGGATAGGCTGCGAGGATTATCGAAGATGGAGACCATTTTTGTAACCGAGTCTCTTACCGAGATCGGCGTGGAGGAGGCGCAATGGATCAAGAAGCATTGGCCCCGACTTAAGCGGATCCGGAGATTGGATGACAGGTCAACTGTACGAGCAGTGGATTCCGCGGTCCAAGAGATCCTTGGTTCTAATATCGAGGTGTTCTGAACAAGCAATCCGCAAAAATAAAATGATGCGTTTTGCATGCAACTTTGCACAATGGTGAGGCGCTGTTGTATACAACCAACTTCACTTTTTTCATACATGCGTCCTCTTATTCCTTACGAACTCGCACTGCCCTTATTCCTTCTGTTCTTTCTTCATAGCCAGCCCTTCATGCTGTTTCTATTTACCATGTCATAAAATGATCGTGATTGACAAAGGCGCCACCGCTGTTTCGTCTCCTATCGACGACGACCCCATCCCCGGGTCACTGTTGCAGTAGCTGTCCCAGTCCTAGCTCGAGATTCTTGACCCAAAATCATCTCCGGAGGCAATTGACTACGGACGACCTAGCACTGCCCTCTTCTTCATCCATCTAACCGGCAGGAAAATCCTCAGCCGCAAAGCAAGCACCATAACCTTTCTCGGCCATCAGCCCACAGGATGTGATTTCACCAAACTGGAGAAATTGGAGCAGGGCTTGACTGCAGTTGCAAGCGCTGGGAACGGTGTTGGTCAAGTAAGTCCTAATTTAACCATTTCCGTCTTTGAGATCCCTGCCCCATGCCAGTGTGCCCTCACGCTCGGCGCCGTGCTCTGGTGACAAACCGCGACCACCAGGACGAGATCAACGAACATGAGCAGGCATCATAGCAACGCAACGTTTGGGGCAATAGCGACTACAACAGCGACTACAACAGCGACTACAACAGCGACTATAACAGCGACTACAACAGCGACTACAACAGCGACTACAACAGCGACTACAACAGTGACCACAACAGCGACTACAACAGCAGCAACAACGGCAGTACCCACGATCGATCTATGGTGCTGAGGACTTGCAGGAGAGACAATATCTTCGTAACAAGGTTGAGCTCGTCAAGTGGACAATGATTCGAACGGTACTGCACCCTCCAGAGGAAGATGAGAAGCTGGTTCTGTAAGGTCCTTTGACGACTGAAGATAATGTCTACATTGCGTGGTGTAGCTCTCGCGCACCTCAGGGATATAAGCGCATACTTTTCAAGCTGACTAAAGATTTAAAAATCCAGCAGGAGAAGGAAAGGAAAATGGTCAGTGACCTCTTACACTGTGTCCCCGGACAAGAGACTATGGTGGTTGTCGATGAGATGTTCGGTATACGACCGGAGTTTTCCAGGCGACGTTTTCGACTGAGGCGGAGGAGACAGCAGGCAGCCTCCAGAAACTGACCGACTTTGAGAAGGAGGTTGCTTGTGTGATTGCCACTTTGAAAGCTAAAGATGGAGAAGAAAGACGGTATCGGAACAAGATGCTGCACCAACTACAAAAGGCGTCCAAGGACTGAAGCCGACGTTTGGAGCGAAACGAAAACTCAGTACGCGTAAAAGACGCGACGTGAAGGTGCTTGGTTAACATGGTTTTGTAAGGGCCGCACGTTCGATATCTTCTTATAGAAAGAAAGAAAAGGTACGCTCGTTTCCTCTGGCCGTAGCTCAGCCAGTATCAGCGCCTTGGACGAGCACTAAACTATCTTCACGTACTAAGCGCGATTTCTAAGGGTAACTGATGAGGCTAATAATATCACATTTTGAAACTGAAAGATGGAAGAGGTACGTGAGCGGGGGCGCTGAATAAAAGGCAAGGCGATGCATGGATGTGGGTTTGTTCTTTTTTTTTGCACTTCACCTTGCACACCTTTGACCTTCGCCAAATTCTATTGCCCTCGCCAAATTCGTAATCCTTTTTCCAGCAACCATACATACTACAACCATGCTCAACAAAGACACTAAGGTCGCCAAGGATACCGAAGACACGAGCGCCGTCTGCTCCTGCCCCATCCACGATGGCCTCACTCTTGAGTCGCTCTCTCGTAAAGTGTGCGAACTCCAGCTCGAGGTGTTCCGTCTGAAAGCCTCTCAGGTCCAGCAGTCCGCGAGCGACCCTGTACCATCCTATTCCTCATCCGTCCTGCTGGCAGAAGGACCCGCAACTGTGAACCAAGGTCCACCTCAGAGTGTCGCTCAGGATGATGTGCTTCTTGGTGAGCTGCAGCGAGGCTTGGTTGCAGCCGCATCATCCTTGGCGGAGCTGTCTTCTGCCATCGCAGCGGTCTCCCAGACGAACAACGCAGCCGAGACAGCTCAACCGCAGGACGTATTGGTGGACCGACCCGAGGAAGTCGAGCAAACGCTCGCAGCACTGTCCTTTCCCTCAACGCCGACTACTGGGGACCATCAAGACCAACAACAGCCTAGGGACCAGAAGCGGAACCAGGAGCCGGAGTCAAACCAGTTGCAATCAGTCTTTGCTGAAATCGACTCTACGGAGAGAGCGTTCCTTTTGGCCAAAATCGAGTCCATCAAACGGGCAATGATCGACATTGAGCTATACACACCGCAAGGCACAGAAAAGCCAGCGGCACCGAATCCTACAACAACTGACATCGATGTCTATATCGCCTGGTGTAAGTCTTCCAATGGTGAAGACTACAGGGCACGACTTTTCGAGCTAATCGAGAGCTTTCGAAAGAAGGAGAAGCAGGAGAGGGCAAAAGTGTGCGCCACGGACAGAATGGTGTATGAAAACGACGTTTCACCCCTCAGACAATATCTGCAGTTTAAGATTGCTTTTGTCAAGCAGGCTATATTCGATTTCCAGCCCCAAAAGGCAGCAGGGAAGAAGTGGCCGGATCTCCCTTCCGATCCCTACTCTATGGATGTCGACATGTTTCTGCTTCGATATGTTCAAACACCTGCCTATATACCTCCCTATATACCTCCTCGAAAGGCACTTCAGCATTCGAAAAAGCAACTCGCGTCACACGCTACGGGATGCCACGGTTACGAAAATGACGCTGTTTGTCTATTAGACGATTTGCGGAGTCAGGATGAAGAAGAGAGACAACATCAGACCTTCCGAAGGAATAGTAGATTTCCGCACGCACAGCCCAAGCTGAAGCTTTGATTAACAGCTCATCAAATAAAATTCGAAGGTTTTTAAAAGGCTTTGCCAGCTTACGATCCATGAGGTTCTTTTGCGAATAAAAGAAAAGCGTTGCCGTTAAGGAATCTCTCTCCTTGGCCAGTTCTGTCAGATTCTTTGATAGTTGACAACGACATCTAGCTTCTTTGATGCAGCTCTATTGGTCTTGGCGGGTGTACGTGACTTGGACAGAGGGGTTTATAAGGACAAGGAGCGAGGAATCGCCACAGAGAAGACGCCCGCAATCCAAGGTCGCTCTCTGTAGTCTCAGAGAGAAAAAAAGGACCAAATCCCCCTGTCCCTGCGTGCTCGGTGGGTATCGATATGTTTCTGCTTCGGCGCCTCTAGGTTCCTGGCTATGTTCATTGTCAACGAGATGATAGTTATCCAATAGGACGCTCTGAACCGAGGAGGCACGACTTCAGGATGGCGCAAAATGTAGTTAGTGTTGGAGAAGCAGAGGACCTTGTAAGGGAAGTTATCTACATTAGCAGCTACTTTGGGCTCTGAAAGCGAGAGACAAGGGCGAGAGAGAGAGTTCCTAGACGAGCTGAAAGCTGTGGAAACAAATGACCGCAACCAATGCTTGTTGCACACAGCGGGATGTTTGAACCACACCGGCTCCCAAGCTTTTTGACATGCAACGCCTCACTCCTCAGAGCATACAAAGATGACCTTTATTTTTAAGCTGAATCATCAGTGACAATGCTGTCTCCCGAGTCCTGTTTAACATCGCCATTTCAGCCATATTAGGGGGCACTTTGCGCAGAAACGAGCAACCCACGAGACAAACACATGGCGAAGGGAATAAAAAGCAAAGCATTGCGTGAATGTAACTTCGCAATTTTACTTCGCCTCTCACACCTTGACCCTCGCCAACTCCTACCATCCCCACCAAAATTCTGTATTGTCGTCATATCCAGAGACTACGAGGTTACCAATGTTTACCCAAGTCACCAAGGTCGCAGAGAGTACCGAAGACACGAGCTCCATCTGCTCCTCTCCCGTCCACGATGGCCTCACTCTTGAGTCGCTCTCTCGTCAACTGTCTGAGCTCCGGCTCGAGGTCCTCCGCCTGAAAGCCACTCAGGTCCAGCAATCCACAAGCGACCCTGTGCCGTCCTATTCCTCATCCGTCCTGCTGGCAGAAGGGTCTGCAATTGCGAACCAAGGTCCACCTCAGAGTGCCGCTCAGGAGGATGTGCTTCTTGGCGAGCTGCAGCGAGGCTTAGTTGCAACCGCATCATCCTTGGCGGAGCTGTCTTCTGTCATCGCAGCGGTCTCCCAGACGAACAACACAGCTGAGACAACTCAATCGCAGGACGTATTAGTGCACCGACTCGAGGAAGTCGAGCAAACGCTCGCAGCACTGTCCTCTCCCTCAACGTCGACTCCTGGGGACCATCAAGACCAGCAACCGCCTAGAGACCAGAAGCAGAATAAGAAACCGGGATCAAACCAGCCGCAATCGGCCTACGATGACAATGACTCCTCAAATAGGACGTTTCTTCGCTCCAAGATCGAGGCCATCAAGCGGGTAATGATCGACATTGAACTAAACCCACCGAAAGGCACTGCAAAACCAGCACTGCCGGACCCTGCCACAATCGACAGCGACATCTACGTCATCTGGTGTGAGTCTTCCAATGGGGAAGACTATAGGGAGCGACTTTTCAGGCTAATTGAGAACTTCCGAGAGAAGGAGGAGAAGGAACGGAAGAGACTACGTGATTTGGACACGCGTGTATACGAGAACGACGATTCACCCCACCGACGCCACCTGCAGTCCAAGGTCGCTCTTGTGAAGCAGGCTGTGTTCGATTTTCAGCCCCAAAAAGCAGCTGGGAAGAAACGGCCGGGTCTCTCCTCCGATGCCTACTCGATGGATGTCGACGTGTTCCTGCTTTGGTGTATTCAGACGCGTGCCTATAGATTGTCCTCATGGATGAATTATTGTTCGATAGATCGATTCTATGTGCTGAAAAATGAACAAAACCGTTACGAATTGGATTCTGTTACGTTAGTTAATCATCTGGAGAAGAAGGACGAAGAAGAGAGACAGTACCTGGTCGAGCGGAGCCATAAACGCGACGCACATACCGAGCTAGAGATTTGATTGACAGCTCTTCAAATAATATAAAGCGCACCCGCTCCTTAAGAAAGCCCAGCGCTGTAAACCGCTTTCTTGGCCCAAACAGGTTTTTGTGTCTCTATCTTTGGTTCTTTGGCACAACACAAAGCGCCGCCTGAGCAATAATGTTGTTGACTACTCGCGACCTAACCTGAGCAACGATGTTGTTGAGCAACAAGGTTGTCCCGACAGATAGCCGTGCATAAGATGCATTCTCTCTCCTCCGCCGCCGATGTTGCTATCGCAACCTACCTATATCCTTTATCCTTTCCTGCCATTAGTACCCATAGTCCTTCTTCCATTGATTCCTCCTGATTTTCCAACATGGCAAAGTGCATTCATTGCAGCCAGATTCACACTCGCAACGGCCCTCCTTGCAGCAAGAGATCGGCCAAGACACTCAGGCACGACACGGGCCCTGGGAACGGCGATGACGCCAAGGAGCAACGTAACCCTGAGGATCATCAGCACCAGGGCTCACGATAAGCGGCGCTATAATCTACCTTCTAATCACGTCAATGATATCTCTGCAATTCTTCCAGAAGATGAAATGGAGCGCCTCACGGACCGCGAAATAGTGGTGGAAGCGAAAGGAAGCGATCGTCTTCAGAAGGTGTCCGCACTACATCTTTCATACTGGCTGCTGGCATACCCACTGCTATTCCATGCTGGAGATGATGGCTATGGTCTCGACATATTTCGACATGGGTCTGACAGGAAAGTGACGGCAAGGGACTACTTCGCCTGTCGTCTTTTCTATCGCGACAACGGCGGCAAGCATGTCTTTCAAGTTTGACGACTTTTCCAACAGTTTGTCGCCGACATGTATTCCATAATGGAGTTGAGTCGTCTAAACTTTTTGTGATTCAACCAGGACACAATAAGGACCAAGTTATACAGCGGTAAGTCGCTATGTTATTTAGCAGATTGATATGCCAGTGGTCTTTGGGCCATCAACTCATCTTTTCTATTTCTTCAAATCCTCTGCAGCTTAAAGGACGCGTTTATGTCCGGAGATGGCACCCCTTTTATTGTTGATGATCGTATTATGCTTCCTTCGAGCTTCACAGGCGGTCTGCGGCATATGCATCAGCTGTATCAGGATGTCATGGCCATTATGCGAGCGACGTCTTCTCCGGACTACTTTATCACTTTCACATGCAGCCCGGCCTGATCAGATATCACCAGAGAGCTCTTCAGCAACTAGAATGCGTCCGACCGACCAGACTTGGTCGCTCGAGTATTCCGACTCTAGCTTCGAGACCTTCTGAAGGACCTCACAGATAAAAATGGAATCTTTGGAAAGGTCAAAGCATTCATTTACGTGATAGAATTCCAGAAGCGCGGCCTTCCTCATGCTCACCTATTGCCCATCATAGACCCTCAAGACCGACCTCTCACAATGGATGCCTACGACCGCTTCATTTTCGCAGAGATGCCTGACAAGGAGACACATCCTGCTGCTTACAAAACCATAACCAAGACCATGGTTCATGGCCTATGTGGAGTACTCAACTCGAAGTCGCTATGTGTGGTGGGTGAAAAGTAAAGCAAAGGTTAAAAAAAAAGAGCGCGCTCACACTTTCTTTGGTCTAATCTCCCATATTGGTACAATCGCTAACACACATGCAACTTCGCCGTTGAGTAGATTACCCAAAGGCCTACCGCGATGTTACCTTGGACGGAGACAACGGATACCCATCTACCATCGCCGTGACGACGGGAGAAGCACTCTAAGCAAGAACGACGATACAGTCGACAACAGGTGGATTGTGCCTCATAACCTGTACTTGGCCGCAAAGTACGACGCCCACATAAATATGGATATCTGCTCAACTGTTGCAGCAGTCAAATACCGCTTCAAGTACGTTTACAAGGGTCACAACCGTGCAACAGTTCAAGTCCAGTCAGGCGCTTCTCCTGCGACCAACTCCAACACCTCAGAACCGGCTCCTGGAACGGAAGTGGTAGATGAAATTCAGCAATATCTCGATGCATGCTATGTTTCTGCATCGGAAGGCATTTGGCGGGTACTAAAGTTTGATCTGCACGACGAGAAGCCCACTGTAACTCGGTTGGTCTTACACCTCGAGGGGCAGCATTCAGTCCTATTCGACGAGAACGACACACTGAAGAATGTTCTGGGACGCGCTGGGATAGTCTACAAGGAGCCACTCTGACCAAGTTTTTCGAGTTCAACTGCCACACTCACCTGCAATCCCGACACCATGCATCGACTTCCCGCAGAATCACGTTTGCCACACAGACACGAAGATCTGGACAACCAGGAAGCAAGGAGATGCAGTTGACCGCATGTTTTTGGCTCAACCCTCCGCTGGCGTACTATCTGCGAATGCTTCTGATTTCAGTCAAGAATCCGACGTCATATGAAGACTTGCAGACAGTCGACTGTGAACTCCAACCGTCATTCAAAGCGGCCTGCCTTGCACGTGGACTTCTCAAGGATGACACCGAGTGGGACAATTGCCCAGGTGAAGCCTCTGTTATTCAGTTCGGAAGTCAACTTCGGTCCCTATTCGCTATCATTCTTCTCTTCTGCGCACTAGCATGCCCTGGGGACCTCTGAGAGAAGTACGAACTTCCACTGTCAGAGGACCTTGAGCCTCGCGACTATGGCTGCAGACTCAGGAGCTCAGGGAATCGAATGCTATGCACCGACCCAACGCTGCACTGATCCTCCTCGAAGGAATTCTTCTCCAACACGGCAAATACCTCGAGGATTTCTCTGATATGCCGGAGCCAATAGCGGGGCAGAGCTATAGCGTGGACCTAGCGAGCCGACTTATACAGGAGGAAACATCATATCCGGTCTCCACCGAGAGTGTCTTTCAGAAGACTGTCAATGGGCTCAACCCTAGCCAGAGAAGCTGCTTCAACATCATTAAAGATGCGTACAATCGCCAAGAGTCGCAGGTAATCTTTATCGATGGCCCTGCTGGGACTGGGAAGACACACCTCTACTCTCTGCCTCTTTGTATGGTTCGGAGACAAGGTCATATCGCATTTGCTGTCGCTTCAACTGGGAACGCTGCCCTACTTCTTGAAGGAGGTCGAGCTGCCCATTCGAGATTCAAGATTCCCATTCCGATCCACGAAGTATCCACCTGCGACATCAAAGTACAGGGAATACTCGCCAAGTTGACCATTCAATCGAAGATCATCGTCTGGGACGAGGCCCCAATGATGCGCAAGTACATATTCGAGGCAGTTGACCGAGCATTTCGGGACCTGAGGAAGACATTGCAGCCAGAACTGCACCACGTTCCATTTGGAGGGAAACTGATTGTCTTCGACGGCGACTTCAGACAAATACCTCCCGTTATCAAACGTGGAAGTCGAGCAGAGACTGTGTAATCTTGCTTCAAGAGGTCATCGCTCTGGAAGCATGTTCGTGTGTTGAAACTCACAGCGAACATGCGTCTATTCAAAGACTCTTTAGACCGCGACATCCAACAGCAAACCGACTTTGCTCAGTGGCTACTACGTATAGAAGAAGGCTTGACTACCGCAACGCCAAGATACGACGGGAATACCACCATTCAATTTCCACTGGAGATTGCGATTCCCAACTCTGCAGCGATCGCGGATTTAATCGACTTTGTCTATCCATACATTCGGACTAATGTGAGCAATAGAAGGCACTTCATGGGTCGAGTGATCCTCTCCCCTAAGAACGACGATGTCAGCGAGATCAATAGCCAGATCATAGGGATGATTTCAGACCCACATGTGGAGTCCAGAAAGCACCTTTCATTCGATTCTATCAAGGACGACTCCAACCAAGTTCAGGCGTTATATCCCATAGAGTCTGGCTACAGTAGACTAACCACATCTTTTTGCTTCCTTTTCTCGGCCATTACAGATGATTAAAATGCATAAAGGGTAGGACGGAGCAGGAGCCAAGGCAAGGAAGAGCATGATCAGCCCTCCAGATGAGTGCTGGCAAGTGTGGTGTGGGGTCATCAGTTTGAGAAGCAATAACTGAAAGGGCTTGAAGGTCCCAGTAGACTTACCGAGTCGTTTTTTTACCTCCTTTGCTCGTTCTAGGTGCCAGGGTACGAAGAACGGTAGGATGGACGAGGACAGTGGAGACACAGGGTCGGAATCACAGTTCCAGTTGGGTACTGGAAAGCATCGTGCAGGCCATCAATTTGAAGTTTGTGGTAGAGATGTATTTGTTTAGTACAGCAGACTGGCCGCGCCCTTTTGTCTTTGTTATCCTCCTTCTTTGCTTGTTATAGAGGAGAGGACGATAGGGAGCGCAGGATGCAGCAGAACATTGGATACACAAGACCGTGATCGCCACACCAGGTGAGTGCTGACAGGCGACAATTGGGCGTTTTGCAGATGCGGTTGTTCATGAGCAGGACTTTTTAGGTGTAGTTTTCGCTCTGAACTACAAATACTCATATTCGCACTCACTCCACTTGCATGCGCACTCGCTCCACTTGTATGCGCACCTTGTCATAGCGCGCTTTTGTTCCTCTGCCATAGCGCACTTTTGTTCCGGCAAGCAGTTGTAATCAGAAGTATCAGCGGGTTGATTTTTTTTTTTTTGATGAAGCCTTGTCAATTATGAATACTTTGTTAAGCAAACCCCCTGTAGTTGATAAGGCATCACCAAAAAATCAATCCGCTGATATTTCTGTAATGTAATGTGTCTCGTTCTGCCTCCGCCCACTCTTCACCTTCGCCATCCACCTTCATCTTTCTGGCTCCCTTCCATCCTTACCGCCACCATCACTACTAACTGCCCTTGTTCTGATGGTGGCAAAAGTCACACGCACTGAAAACAGTGGCAACGCACACGCACACATCACTTTGGCAGACCTCGTCTCTCCTCGTCCTCTTTTCTGCCAATGTGCTCTCTTCACTCTTCTTCTGTCCTGATCACTCCATCACCCTTAGCTTCGACCATGTCCGACCTCACTATCTTCTGTCTCACCGATGGAGAACCCACGTCGAATGCATTTTCCGTCAAGATCCCCTCGAAAAAAGAAACTGTGGATCGCCTCAAGGAGCTCATCAAGGCCAAGAAAACTGTCGCTTTTGCTGATGTCGACGCTGACAAGCTTACGCTCTGGCGCGTCTCGGTTCCTGTCGTCGCTACCAACATCGACAATGCGGTCTTCCTGAACGAGATCAATTCCAAGACGAAGCTCATTCCAACAGATGATGTCTCTAAAGTCTTCCCAAAGACGCCAGCCAAGAACACAATCCACATCATTGTGCAACGCCCGCCGCTAGGTATTGTACTCCATTCAATTTGCATCGGTGCCTGGACTTTCCGGCTATGCTGCTGTGCTCCTATTTGACTTGCTCGTTATCGTTGTCTCTCTATATTTCTACAGGCATCAGCGAGCTGGATATTTTGAGCCGAGTTCTACCAAATGTTACATATGCCCTTTCCTCCGACAAGGTTCCTTCCAAAGCTACTACGGTATCTCCATTCAGACGAACACCTACGGAGGTTGTCGAGTGGGGTGGTTTTCTGGGAGAAATGGCATCTTATACACCCTCCAGCAATCGGACATTCGAAGAACGCCGTTTTCAATTTGCTGAACGCTGTCGGGTCTCGGATGAAGGAACACTCTGCTCCGCCCTCGATTCGAATGTGTATCGTTTACTAAGCTGGCTGACACCCGGTGAAGGTATTGGTGCTGCAGCAGCAATCAAGATGATTGCGCAGCCAGATTGCATCTTTTACCAGGACACAGGGCAGTTGCTAATGGCCATTGAGGTCAAGACCAAGTGGGTGTTATCCTCAGCCGACCTCGTCAGGAAATACAACGACGATGTCAGCGCCCTCGCACAACATAGATCACTGACCAATTCCGTGCATCTTCCAGTTCAGCAAATTTTCGTGTACCTTTCATCCAACAACCTTCGATATGGGGTACTAACGACATATGAGCAGACCTGGTTTTAAAGAGAGACGCAGGAAGATTGCAAGTTTCGCCAGCGATCCATTACAACGACCACAATCCAACTTTGTTAAAGTGCTATGCATGTGTCATGGAGCTTGCCCGCACCACTCCTCATAGCGAAGCTGCTCCGTTCTCATCCTCACCCGACAGCCCCCCCGGCAACGACAATGACCACGAAGATAGCGATTACGATCCTGGGGACGGCAAACGTTCAAAGCACAAGCCGGGACGTGACGACGGCGGGCCTTCTAAGAAGCGAGTGAATCTCGAAGGTAGCGGGTCTCAAAACCGAGGAGCCTTTTCCTTGGCAATTGAAGACATGGATCTGCACGAATTCAAATTTCAAGATCTTCTTGGGGAAGGTCGCTCTGGGCGTGTGTTTCGTGCGGACTGGCGAGGAGAGTCAGTAGCGATAAAGATATGCGACTTGTATCAGCACCCGGAGTACGAGGAGGAGATGCTCACGGAGGTGGCTGCATACAAAGCCCTGGAGGGTCTTCAAGGAGACTCTATTCCTCGGTTCAAGATCGGTGGATACTACGGTGGTATGTTCAGCATTGTTACGGAGGTCGCTGGCTCCCCATTGGAGGTAGGCAAGCTAAGCCAGGAGGAGCGCTGGAAGATCGTTGACAAGCTGTCGCTCATCCACATGCACGGCGTCTTGCATAACGATATTCGACCGGAAAACATCCTTGTTCGCCACGACGATAACGGAATTCAGGTCCGTTTTATCGACTTTGCATGGTCAAAGCGAACCAGCGACCAGCGTGAGCTCAAGAAGGAGATCATCAAATTGAAAATGCTACTTGATCTTTTGACAGGAGAACCATCTCCTCTCTAAAAATGTCCAAAGTTACTGCAAGGGATAGTGGAAGTCATCAGCCATGCCTGCGGGTGTTGCTGCTGTTCGGCGTTTTGGCTAGTCAAATAAAACTCAAAGGTTTTCAGAAGTCAGCTTGTCAGATGATGATGTACATCCAAAAAGCGTTGACAGCTTGGGATTCATGAGGTTCTTTTGGGCACAAAAGAAAAGCGTTGCCGTTAAGGAATCTCTCTCTTTAGCCAGTTTTGCCAAACTTTTTGATAACTGATAATGATATCTAGTTTCTTTGGTGTAATTCTATCGGTCTTGGTGGATGTATGTGTCTTAGACAGAGGAGTTTGTAAGGACAAGGAGCGAGGAATTGCTACAGAGAAGAACCTGCAATCCAAGGTCGCTCTCTGTAGTCTCAAAGAGAAAAAAGAAGCTCTGACCAAGTCTCCTTGCCCATGCATGCTCTGCTCGGTGGGTATGGATGTATTCTGCCTCGATGCCTCTAGGTTCCTGGCTATGTTCATTATCGACGAGATGGTCGTTTTCAGTAGGACGTTCTGAACCGAGAATGTACGACATCAGGATGGCGCAAGATGTAGTCAGTGCTGGAGCAGAGGATCTTGTAAGGGAAGTGGCCTACATAGCAGCTACTCTGAACTCTGAAAGCGAGAGACAAGGGAGAGAGAGAGTCCTTAGACGGGCTGAAAGTAGCAGAGGCAACCTTGTGCAATTGACCGCAATCAATGCTTGTTGCACACAGCAGGATGTCTGAACCACACCGGCTCTCAGGCCTTTTGACATGCAACGCCTTGCTCCTTTGAATATACAAAGATAACCTTTATTTTTAAGCTGAATCATCGACGACGATCCCGTCTTCCGAGTCCTGTTTAACATCGCCATTTCAGCCATATTAGGGGGCGCTTTACCTAGAAATGGCGAGTAAAAGGTAGAATGATGCAAAATTGTGGCCCGTTCCTTCTTTCTTTTGCATTCTCACTTCGCCTCACACACTCCTCCTCACACACTCCGTCCTCGGCAATCCTTTCCCCAGCAGCCATACTATAGCCATGCCTAACAGAGACACTAAGGGCGCCGATAGCACCAAAGGCACGAGCGCCGTCTGCTCTTGCTCTGTCTGCTCCTGCCCCATCCACAATGGCCTCACTCTTGAGTCGCTCTCTCGTCAAGTGTCCAAGCTCCAGCTCGAGGTTCTCCGTCTGAAAACCTCTCAGGCCCAGCAGCCTGCAAGCGATCCTGTACCATCCTATTCCTCATCCGTCCTGCAGGCAGAAGGATCCGCAATTCCGAACCAAGGTCCACCTCAGAGTATCGCTCAGGATGATGTACTTCTTGGTGAGCTGCAGCGAGACTTGGCTGCAACCGCATCATCCCTGGCAACTCAATCACTGGATATATTGTTGGGCCGACTCGAAAAAGTCGAGCAAACGCTCGCAGTACTGTCCTCTCCCTCAACATCGACACCTGGGAACCATCAAAACCAGCAACAGCCTAAGGACCATCAAGACCAGCAACAGCCTAGGGACCAGAAGCGGAACAAGAAACCGGAGTCAAACCAGCCGCAATCGGCCTGTGATGACAATGATTCTCTGGAGAGAATACTTCTTCGGTCCAAAATCGAGGCCATCAAGCGAGCAATGATCGACATTGAACTACACTCACCGCTGGGTACTGCAAAGCCAGCACTGCCGGACCCTGCATCAACTGACAACGATATCTACATCGTCTGGTGTGAGTCTTCTAATATCAACGAATACAAACAAGGGCTTTTCAAGCTAATTAAGAGCTTCCAAGTGAAGGAGGAGCAGGAAAGGAAGAGACTGCGTGATTTGGACACGCGTGTATACGAGAACGACGATTCACCCCACCGACGGCACCTGCAGTCCAAGATTGCCCTTCTCAAGGAGGTCTTATTCAAATTCCAGCCCCAGAAGGCAGCAGGAGAGAAATGGCCGGATCTCCCTTCTGATGCCGTCTCGATGGATGTCGACCTGTTCCTGCTTTGGTGTATTCAGACGCCTGCCTATGGAGCTTTTCGAAAGACGGGTCATTCGAAAAGGTCCCTCCTGACTTATGTGACGGGGTCTTACGATTACGAGGTGGAGGCTGCTTGTTTACTGGCTCATTTGCAGAACAAGGACGAAGAAGAGAGACAACACCTGGTCGAGCGGAGGTGTATTCCGCACTAGAGAACGGGACCATGAGCGCGGTGGACGGGAGGTTTTTGATTGACTAAGTTCTTCAAACAAACGCGGCGGTTTCAAAAAGTTTAGTAGCCTACAATTCAAAGTAAAGACATCTTCAATAGCACCTCGGCGACTCATGCGCAAAGAAAGGAAGAAGAAGAAGAAAAAAAAAAAGACGACATTCATAAGGCTCTTTAGCGCACACAAAAAAAGGCGTAGTTGCCAAGTGTTAGGGAAATAGCACAGCAGTCGATTATACAACGGCGTGCATTTGTGCAGTCGATTATACAACGGCGTGCATTTGTGCAGTTGAGTAAATAAGGCCTATCTACAATTTTAACTACACACTAGTCTCTCTCTCTCTCTCTCTCTCAAAAAAAAAAAAAAAAAAAAAAAAAAAAAACACGGTGAATCGGGATTTGCACCTGATCGTGATACGTAGTTTAGTAGCGCTTGTGGACTTTAAGGGTGCGGAAAATGTGAAGGAGGAGGGAAAGGAACTATTGTGGAAAAGAAGGATTGAGAGGACAGAAGGGAATGGACGATACAGAAGCGACGTTAGGCGTGAAGGCTGTGCGACAAAAGGGTAGCGGAGTGAGGGCGGCGAAGAAAAAGGGGGTGGAGATTGATTGAAATGAACGCGACAAAACTGCTCCTTTGCCACCAAAATGCTGGCGCAGAGACAGACGCGACCCGCTAACTTATCTACCTTACTCCTTCATCGCTTCAATTAGTCCTATGCTATCTTTCACCACTTTAAAAAAAATCGAGACGGACGCCATACTCTGTCGCCATAAGCCAGCTTTTCAGGAGAACTTTCAAGATGGAAGTGGAGGTAACTGGGGATGAGAACGTCCTCCCACGGCCGCCATCGCCCCTACAGGAAAAGTCATACCTTACTTATTATTTAAGGCGAGTGCTACGGGCCACCATATCCTCCAGAGACCCCATGAACCAAAACTGAGGGTGAGAATAGGGAGGAGGAGGTTGAAGGCCAGGGTAGGGTAGGAGGAGACGACTTATTTATTCTCATTGGGAGGCTCGCAAGTTATCCTTACCGGGGGTGCAAGCGCGTAATTCATTACCAAAAGACGGAATGTATAGTGTTTCGCGCTTATGCCCTCTATTGGACCAGGAACAACAGCTACGGATAACCTACTAATATTCAACACTGCCATCACTGAATTTATACAGGGTGCATTGTGCACGATGGGATCCGTTGACTGTTTATCGGAAAAAAAGGGCTCCGCTTGAATAGCTCGATGCTAAAATACGTATCAAGAGGTTCTTTGATCAAACGGGGTTTACAGGGACACTGTTTTCATTTGGGATCTTTCGCTCGGGTCACCTCTAAGCTGCACTAGTACAGCGGTCTTTGAGAACCGTGGTCGCTGACAGGTGGGAGAAACGAGAGTTGGGGGCGGTAGAGTCTTGATTTCAGTAGCGCATGGTCCCAGAGCCAGTGAGGAATATACTTTATCATCTCTCGAATCACTTTGCTGTACCAGGTCTGCGACGCGAGTAGCATAAATATTTATATATATCGGTAAAGATACCATGCATTTTGCTGTGCTTCATACCTTGCTGGTTAGTCTCGCGAACGAGGCACTGGTCTTGACAGCTGCTTTTGCCAGAGGGATGCGTTCATCCTGATATTGCTGAAATGCGTTTGTGATGTCCTTTTGGTCATTCGACTTAAGTGTATAAAAGTAATTGTCAAGCATAGTAGCATCCTGCATGGCGTCAGCAGCGCCTATCAAGGGGGGAGTCATTCGTGCAGCAAGTTGAAACTTCGCGAGGTTTATTCATAAACAGAATTCACAAAAAAAAAAAAAACGCGTTTGATTAGTGCCGAGTGCAGGTTGGATTAATGCAACAAGAAGCGCGTCTATCTTTTTACCTTGTGGCACGCTAACGTTGTAAATTCCAGTAAAAGAAATTGAAGCGAGTAAATACAATATAGTTAGTCTTCATACAGGCTTGCGGTTATCTGTGCAGTGTCCACGCCATGCCGAGGGGAATTTCTCTTCGAGCACCGCTTTGAAGATGAGATCCTTGGGCGTCAGGTCGATCAGGCTACCTAAGGTCTTGTACTCGCCACAGGGAACAGGAAAATCGCGGACTTTTTCGACCATGCTCTCTGCTGCTTCCGATCCCCACTCCAAACTCTTGAATGTGTCATATTCTTTACTCGATACCTCATCCAGGAGCTCGAGCCCCATCCAGCAGATGACCTTATCTGCAGTTGTGAATAATACCCATTATGACATGAGACCGAGATGTTAGCAAAAGAGTGAAGAGGTTCTTGCTGCTGAAATATCCTTCCCCCGATAGCATTCTCTCAGGGGAACACTTACAAAATACGGCCGATTATCACCATAAACGGCGTCAAAGTGGTAGTGAGGTTCCTCGATTGCAGGGTAAGCAGCCGGGTAGAGAGGGGCGGTCTGGCCAACAATGCACACCATCTGAGAACTTGAGCGGCTCCTTGTCCGCTGGTGGTAACGCTTTCTCCTTGTCTAGCTGCTCATAAAGAGATTGGCGAACACCGCTATAAGCACCATCGGTGTCTACTAGGATCGTGCCATGATAATTTAAGCCGTCTGAAGATTTGACAGTAACACCATCCTCTGTCTCGACACGGGATACGATGCGCTTGCCGAATTGGACTTTCTCGGATGGGAACTGGTCCAGAAGGAGCTGAGGAAGAGCTGGTCTTGCGATGATAGCGGCGTCGTAACCGAACCTAGCTGTGGAAGAGAAATATGAGTCGGATTGAAAGTCCTGCCAGTTATAGATAGTTGCATAGAATCGTTGTAGCTACGAGGAGCCAAGATATTGGATTGTGCCTTACTCTTTCTTGCTGGTCAAAAAGCGCAAGCTATGATGGAAATCTACTCAGCCATTACTGCTGTTCTTGGTTCAACTGTGATTACTGCCGAGGGGTTTAGACCTAGCAAGGACTTAGTCAAGAATGTCCAGTTGGTCAAAAAGAGCGGCATGGTTCCAGGTCCAAGGGCCGAGGTAGACCGAGTGGCCTGATGGTTGAAGCACGCTTAACAGCCTGGTACAAAATATGGGCCCGCTCCTACGATGAGGACGTGTGGTTTGAAGGCTTCTTCGGCCATATTGTTTTCAAAAAGATAGCAAAACGGAGGGTGCTGTGGAATGAGATTGAATGAGGGATGGAAATGAGGAACAGATGAGAACACTGCCCATGGGTCTTTAGCTGAATAGAAAAGTATCAGGCAACCGGCGCTCCTGAGCCGCACAGCATCTGCAAGTACATGTATTTGTACGATTGGAGGAACCATGCGGTCTGCATGGAATAGTCCATCGATCCTCCGCAGGAGATGCCACCGAAAAGACGCAGATTATGATATGCATCTCAAACTACCTGAATTGAGCACCCAATTCGATCGAGTGCATGGTGCACAGGACATTGAAGGTCCATGGTTACATGCACTCAGACAGACCGACAAGGCCCTTGGAGCTGCTGGAGGGTTCATCGTGCTCGTGTGCAAAATTAACGCGTTGCGTGTGAGACACGCGTGTGATAGAACACAGTTTTTCGTTCCTGAATTATTTACAATGAAACCTCGTTCCTAATGAACACATGTGATGTGCTTTTTTATGCTCTTGGTGGACTTCTGTTGCCTCTATAGTATACTTTATCTACTTTAATATTCGTGTAAAAACGATAGGCACTCTTCTCAAGTTTGTCGCGTTTGAGAGCACCTGCAAGCGAGAGCATGCCCAACATCAGCAGCATCCACAGCGCAAACAAGTGTTCGGAAAAAGTGGTTTATTATCATGGTGTACGAGGAAGGTGAAGAGATGGAGTGTACAAGGTAAAGGAAGATGGTAACATGTGAGATTGCATGTTTTCTATCGTCAGTTTTCGTAACTAGGTCAAAAGGAACGGAATCAAACGTCCAGCGTTAATTTTTCGTAGATTCCTTTCATTGTAGTTTGTGTGTACAATCTTTTGCTTAAAAGGAAGAACAGCGGGAGCGGCTGCGACAGCTGCGACGGCCAAAGAGCCAGTCGAGAGGCTGTTTCCAGCGCTGGGTACGTTCGTTGGGGTGGGCGTTGAAGTTACGGCTGCCGTGGCTCAACTTTCATGTCGGCGGTGCGTCGAGTCAGCACTGAACACTGTACTACAGCTAAAATTAGAAAGACAGCAGCAATTGTCCACATGACCCTCGAGTTCGTTGTGGCAGTAATGAAAAGGAAATGGCGGGTCACCACCATAGTTTGATCATTGCTCATCTGCACAAACGCGCACTGTCGGCCGTTGCATGAAGCTCATATGAAAGGATGACCTGAATTTATAAGAGCAGTGCAGACATTCTACAATGATGAGATGTGTGGGAAACTCCCATTCGCTTTGTTCGAAGATAGATACTGTCATGGTTTATTCAAAATCTTCATATTTACATGCAAATACTCTGTGTACACTACATAGGAGATGATCTAGGTCCCAAGGAACGGGGAATGTAATGAGACATTCCGAGCAGGATACCAGGTGTCCACAGTGTCATTAAGCCTTCTGTGTGCCAGGCTGAGCGGCAAAACGAAGATAGGACTTGATGGTCCCGAATCCAGGAGATAGTTTCTCCGCTTCCTCATTCGAGACGGAAGGGTGGGAAATGACATTATCGCAGTACTTTCAGTTGGCAGGGGCGGTGATGCAGTCCTTGCTACTCAACTGAAGCAAGTCAACTACATGCAGGATCTCGTCAAAGTTGCGGTCGGTGGAGGCAGGATACGAGAGCATCAGACGGATGGTCCTCTTGGGTCGATGATAAAGACTGAACGCACGGTGATGGGTGTGCCCTTGCTAGCGAGCTTGGTGATATCCTGGCAGTCCAACATGTCAAAGAAGGTCGAGATTTTGCGGTCAGCATCGGCAATGATGGGAATTTGAGATCAACGTCGTTGACCTCGTTGATGTCCTTAATCTACTCTCGGTGTGATTCGAGACCGTTGTCAAAGAAACCGATGACCTTGACATTGCGCTCTTCAGACTTGTCCTGCAGATGGACAACAACGCCGAGCTTAGTGGTGTAGACAGGCGTGAAGTCGGCAGGATGGGAGAACAGAATGACCCATGAGTTGCTAATAAAGTCGTGGAATTTGATGTGGCCCTGAGTGGCTTCGGCCGCAAAGTCAGGGGCAATGGAACCAAGGCGGAGGGGTTTGCGTTCCTAGAACATTGTTATTGTCGAGTGGATAGCGGACACGGGAAAAGAAGCGAGAGAGCGGAGTGCGACAAGAGCGGGTATTTTATATGGTGTTGCTGAAGGTCTTTGCTTGATGCGCCGCGTGTGATTGGTAGCCTCGACTCTATGGACGATTTCGGATGGTCAGATACAGAAACGCCTATCCTTTGTCCTTTTTTTTTAACCCTCTACTCCTAGACCTCGATCTACTATGATCCATCGCTATACGGATTGGCGTCTTTTGCATTCAGGACCTTCATGCGGTCCCAGTATCCACACCGATGCAGCAGCCAGAATGGTCTGCGTTCATCTGCGGCTGTCCCAGGCACAACTTTAATGCGGTTAAAGTCGACAACAGACGGTACAGTTCTCTCTTGCTTTTCTTCTTTAATGAGTTGCAGGGGTCTCATTTTGGGAACATCGATCCTCCTTTTCTTTTCTTTGTTTGTTTCCTTTGCTTCTTGCTTATCTTCACACCCGTCCCTTCGATACCCAAGTAACCATGGTGTTCTATTACTACAACTTCGGCTGGATTGGCTTCGTTGTCTTCGTCTCTATCATCCTCTGCATCATCCGCGCAAGGCGCGCTGCTGCTTATGCCGACTCATTGAAGACTCAGAACATCATTATTGCTGCCGAGCCAGTACCGATGCAACCATATCCACCCAATAATCCATACCCTCCAGCAGGAATTCCAGGGAGCTATGCTCCTGCGCCCGCTCTCGGAACGTATCCTCCTATGACTAGTCCTACGCAGCAGTATCCGTACCAACAGCAGCAATACCCGCCGCTTCAACAGCAGCAGTACCCGTCGCTCCAGCAGCAGCAACAGCAATATCCGCCATTTCAACAGCAGCCAGCTCCTCAGACACCATACCAACAGCCTCAGACGCCGTACCAGCAGCCTCAGACGCCATACCAGCAGCCCCAGACGCCATATCAACAGCCTCTGACACCACATCAGGAGCCCCAGACGCCATATCAGGCGCAGCATGTGTACCCCATGATGGCACAACCCGCACCCGCTGTTACCCCAGAGGGTATTCTCTCACCACCTCCCCTCTATTCTCCCGCGCCAACTGCCGAAGAGACCAAGAGGGCAATGGACCAGGCACATCAGGGTTCGGGCGTTTATGACAAGGCTCCTGAACCAGCTCATCATGTCACACAGGCTTCTGGAGAGTCCTCATCAAGTACTCAACACAGTGCTAGTCTGCCAAGACCACCTCAAGGGCCCCAGTCTTACAACTAGTGCCCGCGGCCCAACTGGGCTTTCTCTCCTCTCCCATATTTTTTATGTATGTTTTGTATTTTGAATGGTTGTTATATAAAAGGAACTGAGTGCGGAGATGGTATTAACTTGAGATGGTCCCTGTGTTGTTTACCTGCATCTCTCTTGCTCTCTGATTGAGAATACATGCATACTACATTGTGCGGCGTGTCTGGGAGCACAAAGCAAACCATGCATGAAGATACATTGCAGGATCATCCTTAAGGTGTCCTAAAGACAAACAAGGATATGGCTGTAGGAGCGGCCAGGCAGTTGCTCTCTAGACTGCGCACCTGGTGAGGGGTCCACTACTGGTCCTTTGCTCCGTTTTTGCTCAGTGGGAGGCCACAGGGCGACAATTGCCATTTCGGGTGCTGGTTCGTTCGGCGGCAGCCTTGCCCCTGACCATCGTTGACATCCACGTTTCATTCTTGTATTCGGTTTTGATGACAACAATGCACGGTCATCCGCCGTGTCATGAACACCCGAAACCTTACAGATATCGCATAATCTTTCGCCTTGTGGGTTTAATAATCCATGAACATCCTCTTCCCTATCCCTCCATCCTTAGCTTTGTGGTATTAGCATTAGCACGAATTGAAATGAACAGCTCGCTCGAAACACAGGTGGATCGGTCGCAGCACCTGCCAATTATCTACTACTCTTCTTGCAAATCTCCTCCGTATCTGGCATGAGAACACTCGAAAGCGATATTGCGTTCCTTCCTCAACAATGTCGTACTCTAAGCACCGGCCAACTGCATGGCAGCCCGAGACGCGATCTTCATATTCAACATTGTAATGGGGTGTATCTTTGCCCACTAACCCAGGAATATGGCCGTGTCGAAAAGACGTATTCGTTTCGAAAGTCGAGGCTCTTAGACTTGGATGAGCATGCGCTGGTGAGCTAGTGCATGCTTGAGTATGCAGTTGAAGTGGCTGTTACGTGGATCCGAGATGTGTCTTATTTGGTTCTGACAGACTAGGACCAGCTTCGCGGCGCACACATATCGTACCTGAATAGAGGTGCAACTTTAAAGGCGCTTAGAGAGCGCTACGAAAGCTGTAGTCGGTCACGTCCATTAGGTCGATGATTCCCACGCAGCTGTATGCAAGTTCATCGGGTAAACGAATAGGCTGCCACGGGAGAGAGCGCTATGCCAGGAGCCGTAATTGGTCGAAGAAAACAAGGGGTACCAAAGCGGATCAAGAATGTCCAGTAGACTTGTGCATTTCTGCCAATTGTATGAGCATAATGCATATCCTACTGGACCTATGACCACTCCAAAAGGCACTTCTTCCGGCTTTACAGTCCATCCCATTTACGGCAGGTAGACGTAGGTGCACTCCTTGTCCTTGCGCCAGGTCCAGTCAGAGTCTTCAGAAGTTCTTATTACTGGGTGCTTTAGGTCCATGCATTTATTACATTGGTCACGCTGCCTGCGACGTGTTGCTGCAACCGGATTAGTGCGCTCAGCTTCACTTTCCAAGAAATACCATTCCGACCACTTTCCCAGTGGCGATGACCAAGCAAGGCACTTTCCGTAGCGCCCTCCCGATTCTCAACTGATCCCTTGTCGTGGGAAATGTATGCAGACCGAAACGGGAGTTGCGTCACGATAGCACAGTTCATCACAAAGTGCCAGTTGTTATGCCTCTTTCACAAGGCCCGAGGGCTATATAAACGACAATTCCGCCCATTTTCTTACTCCGATATCCGCATTAAGTTCACCAGCCTCCACCGCTTATACGTCCTTCGCCCTTCAACAAAACCGACTGCGACCAATTATCCCCAACATGATACTTACCAAAGCTGCATGCCTCACCGCCGCCACGGCGAGCTATGTCCTCTGCCTCCTCCCTCCGAAATCGTCCAAAAGCGTTGATCAGAAAAAGAACGACAAGGTCGTGCATGAGAACTGGCTTCGCATGGTCGACGTCCACAAGCTGCCTATAGCCATGGCTTCGGTCGGCATCCTCGAGACGGTACTCTACATTGTGCTCATGGTCCGAGGACCTACCGTATCGAATGGTATTGCCGTCCAGAGGATGCGTGAGCTTGAGACTTGGCACAAGGTTCTGACGGCTCTCTGTGTCGCCGGATATGCTCTGAGAAAGTGGTCTTTCATTGCTTTGGACCGATTCTTCACCGTAATGTGTATCTTCCTCTCGTCTGATCATTCCATATTATGGCTTCTTTTTTGTTCTTGGCCTAATCATTCCCCAAACTGGTTTGTTAACTTGCCTCTCGTCCATAGTATCAGCTAACGATCCGCTCGGGACACAAGCTCATCCAATCCGGTCCATACACCTTCCTCCGCCACCCCTCCTACACGGGTGCGATTCTCAGCAACGTTGGGTTCCAAATGCTGGTCTTACCGGACGGTCTCTGGGGTGCGTTTGTGCTGATGCTCACAAAAGTCCTTGCCGTGGTTACAAGGTCCAACAGTATTTCGCTGCCAACGTCGTTTCTTGGGGTCGATGGTGGAGTGTGGTTAACAGCCGCTTACGGAGGCATGTGGGTCAGCATGCTGATGACTCGTGTCAAGAACGAGGAGGCCGCGCTGCAGGAGCATTTTGGCAAAGAGTGGGATGTTTATGCGAGCAAGCGTTGGCGCTTCATTCCTTTCATCTATTGAGAGGTTTCACCACGCTGTTCGTTGTCTTCAGCCAGTACGTACTACATAGGCAGAAGAATATGAAGATTCATAAATTATGGGGGTTATCCTGAGTGCAGTATCCTGAAGAGATTGTAAGAAACCTTCGATAGAGGTATCAGCCTGAACTGACAAACTCTGGGGCCCGGAGACCGGTTCCAAGGTTTACATGGCCATACAGTGAGACGTATCTTATATGGCTTTACCGCATGCTGTTTCATGAACCTTGTTTTCATTCTTAACCATAATATGGACACCCGATGTCGGTTACTGAATTTTTTTCAACTCTCCGCTGATTCCTGAGATCCCATTCTAGCTACCTGGGAATCTTCAGGGCCCTATCTCCTTATCTGTGGATTGTAGTCAGAGGGCGGGCAAAATAGTTTATTATCTCAAGACAAATGGTATGGTAGGGTTCGGGTGATTGTTAATGTAATTTCACTGACATGTGTTGTGTGAAAGGACTTGGGAACCATTTTGCACCGCAAATATACAAGGTGAGGGTAATCGCGAACCATTTCAGACGCTATGTCCTCGATCGTGAGTCTCTGTCTTTTCGGTACTACTTTTTTGTATATTATGGCTTGAGAAACTGGTCCCTCTTTACTCTGGGCTTGTTCTTTCTACGCCATTCTTCGCCTCCTGTCCTACACCTGCGTTCTTCTCAACATAGCCTGCTTAGGTGCTTTGGTCACACGTGAGGGCTCTCCGGGATACGTTTGTATTCTTCGTCTTGAATGCTTAGCGTTGTGACCCGTCCAAACGTTCAATTGGCGACATCTCGCTTCCAATTTCCCTCTTTGGCATTGGCGGTGGAGCACGACTGGCATTCGAGCTCAGTTATATTTGAGTCTGTCTGATAATAACCCGCGTCAAAAAGGAAGAGGCAGTGCCACAGGAGCACTTCGAGAAAGGATGGGGTGCCGATGCAAGCAAACGATAGCGACTTATTTATTTGTGTGTTAGTTCGACGTGATGTTATTCATGAGCATATTGTATTCAGGACGCCTTGGCGAAGCTGCATCTGACGCGATCAAAAAGAATGATATATAGACCGCGTTGTGGTTGTGCATGGAAGCACTGCCTGGCGAAGCTGTATTTGAAGTGTTCAAAAAAGAATAATATGAATATCGTGCTGTGAGCATGAATGGCGAAGGCATTCATTTCGCCTCCCAAGTACTATCACACCAAACACTGGCAGAAACACTTGAGGAGGGGGGGTTGTTTTGGCGAGGGGTTGTTTTTGGCTGCAATTGAAACATACTCAATGCATGGGGGGCATTGCGCGATTGAGTAGTGCCATCTACAATAGTTCCACCTATCAAACGCAAGTAAGCCAGCCTTCGCCTTGGTTTGGATCGGCATATTTTGTTTGAGCTGCAGTCATGCGTTGCCTGCAAGCATGGCGTAGCACAGCAGTACAGATCTCTTGGCGTGGGGGATTTTTTTTATTAACTTTGCGCGCGGGGACAACCGTCGTAAATCCTTTCGGCAGCAGTACTACGAGTTTTAGCTCAATTTTTTTTATTTTATAAAGGTGCTTTGACGCTTAGATATTTTGCCTCTTCAGCTCTTTCTTCTGTACTCTTGCCGCCGATACGATCTTCGCCTCGACACATCACATCTCAGTCGTTATCCGCGCTTGAAGAAGACTATTCCTCCTATCAAGACCATCTGCTGATCAGATATCCGCCAAGACTGCACAGACAGGCTTCCCACAAATGACGGTCGCAATCAAGGGATTCGGTGGCTTCAACATCCGCGAGCCGCTCACAAACCGTATCAAGGGCATTCTCGACGAGTACCCAGACGGGACCCAGATTGCTCGAGAACTTTTACAGAACAGCGACGATGCTCGCTCCAAGGTGCAGTGGTACCTTCTCGACCACCACGACCGCCGCCCTGAATCCGCAGGCCTGCGACTCTACCACCAAGCTTTGGCCGAATACACTGGACCAGCGTTGTTGGCTGGCAATGACTCGCTGTTTGAGGAGAAGGACTTCACGTCCATGCAGAACCTTGCTGCCAGCGAGAAGAAGACCGACGAAACCAAGATTGGTCAGATGGGCATCGGATTCAACAGGTAAGCCGGTTTTCTCACTTTTCCTGTTTTTTTTTTGTCCGTTACCACAAATCTGTGGGAGGCGTGGAAAATCAACACAAATGAGAGCTTGGCTGATGCCTTTGATCCTTTGATTCGGTTCAATCAATAGTATCTACCATATGACCGATTGTCCTTCGTTCATCTCCGGTGATCAGCTTGTGGTGATAGAGCCGCACGAGCGAATTTTCAGGGACCAGGAATCGGGTTATCCCCAATGCGCAGTACGGGGCCAGTTTGTGGAGAATCTTGCAGTCTTTCCAGATCAACTGAAGTTGCTTGCAGCGCTGGAGAACATTGATTTTACAAAACCGTATCCGGGAACAATCTTCCGATTCCCGCTGAGGACCGAAGCCCAGGCAAAGACATCGAGGATGTCCGGGAATGCCTATCCGGCAGATAAGGTAGAGAACCGCACAGCGCAGTGACTCGCTTGTAACAAGTCCATATTGCTCAATCACTAACCACATTGGACATTGAATAGGTTCACGACATGCTGATGAAATTAAAGGAAGAGGCCCTCAAGGGTATTCTTTTCCTGAAACACATTGAGAGGATTGTGATCTACGAGCGCAAGGAGCATGAGGAGACGCCAACAAAACTATTTGAGATCGAGTTCCTGAACGCAAAGGAGGTACAGCAGGAGCGACAGCGTTTACTTGCAAATCTGAAGGAGCATGTATACCCAGATCCGTCTGCCAGCAGGGACACCATTCTCGAATACTCTGTCCGACCCGTATTCAAACTTACTCAAAAAGACGGGTCATCCACTCAAGAGATCTGGAATATCACTACTATGGTCGGAAATGTCATGAAAGCGCACGAGCGTATGGCAAAACTATCAGACGGTGATCTGAAGAGTCACAAGCTCATCCCCTGGGTTGGAATCGCTGCTCCTGCAGAGCCTGGTGTCATGATCGATAGCGCACGATTGTTCTGCTTCCTGCCCATTGGTATCCAGCTCCCATTTCCAGTCCACATTAACGGGCACTTTGCGGTGAAGCAGAGTCGACGAGAGATCTGGACGAACCAGGACAACGACTTTGCAAGCAACGCTTCGGCATACATCAAATCCGCGTGGAACGTCCATCTTTTCCAGGAACAAGTCCCCATAGTTTACGCGAAATTCCTCGCCAATCTTGGACTTGTGCGCGGGGCTGACTACCAGTTGTGGCCGCTTTCCTGTGGAGTAGGACTCGGACTTGATGCTATCTGGAAGCACCTCTTACGTGATGTTCTTCGTGTTGTGTGCACCGAAGGCCTCAAGGTATTTTTCTGCAGGGCAAACGAAGAAGAAGAGTATGGCCTGATTGATTATCAGTCCTCATGGATCGCTGGACGAGACCTCGACGAGCACAAACATCTCTTGGAGACATTGCAGGGCTTCGCCAATGTTGTGATCGAACTCCCCGATCCTATTCTTAAAACTCTCCCAGGTGTTATCAAGTCCCTCGAGCTGGAGGACCGCATTCTTACACCTGCGTTGGTCAGAAAGCTGTTGCGCGAGCACAAGGATCATTGGTCCTCCGCCCCATCCAAGGAGACAAGAGTCGACATGTTGAAATACTGTATCAAGGATGGCGACATCGCAGATCTCCAGGGTTTGCCGCTGCTACCGCTGGCCGGAGATGTATGGGTTGAGTTCGATACCCAGCAAGCATCTGATAGGTAAGAGCACGCTGTCGGCTGTGAAGTATGGTCTTCTTTTGAAATCCTAGTTACTAACTTAGTCCGCATGTGATTGATAGGTTTCATGTGTCGCCGCAAGTCTTCCAAGTCCTCTCGTATTCAAACGAGGGTCTGGTGGATCTCAAAGTGGACAAAGATCTTGTTGAGCGTTTCAAAGAGGACAAGTTGTTTGAGAATTTCTGGTCCGAAATGAGCACCTCTATCATCGGCACAAGGATTAAGGACATATACGGAAGGCTGTGCTATGGACAAGACTGCAGTAAATCCATCCCTAAAGAATGTATCACCCAATCTCATGATACATTCCCCACGAACAAGTGGCTTCACAACTTCTGGGATATGGCACACTTCCGCCATCACCAGACCAAGGAGCTGCTTTCGATGCTTAAGGGAATCCATATCATACCGATCACCCGTGATCGCCTTGCACCGCTCGATCTAGGACTGCCCGTTGTGTATGCTGACCGGGACAGGTGTAAGGAAGAGCCGACGCTGAAGCCGTTTTTCAAAGTCCTGGACGAGGAACTTGACTGTCGTGCGATGCGCTCGGGTTTCGCTATCTCGGATCGTGTGGCAGGCAGCTACGTTTTCGAGGTCTCCAATGCATCAGTAGTCCTTGGTGTTGTTGCCAGAGTTTCGCCAGAGAAACTGCAGCTCTTGAAGCAGGACCACCGTCAATCGGCGCTCGACTACATGGCTCGATGGCTTCCAGCGGACCATAATCTGAGTGAGGAACGCATACTGGCATTGGGATCTATGCCTATCTTCCAATTGTATGAGAACTCGACCTTAGTATCCCTGCAGGAGACAGACGCCGGCGAGGAGAACTGGAAGGTCGCCTCTCGATTCTCAATGGTCGATTATCCCTGGCTACCGATGCGGACCAAACTTTTCGCTGATGAACAGCCCCTGCTTCAGCACCTTGTTAACCTCCTCAACATCCCAACTATGAAGGAGTCAGAGTACTGGTTCGAGATCCTGTCCAATCTTACTCATTATATGGAGAATGACTGGGATTCGATGTTCGAGAAGTTCTGTCGCACGTATCATGTCCACTCCAAGGACTTTGACTTTCCCGGTATCCTGCACAATCTTCCCTTTGTGCGCGTCTCTGGACCCAGCTCAATCGATGCTCTGCAGAAGTTGGAGCCTGCCACAAGACTGTGCCCAGACTCGGTCATCAACCCCTCGCTATCTCCATACTATCTGGACCATGAGTGTGTATTCCCATCCGGCGTCTATGCGCAGTCTGCAATCTTTGGTGTCTTATCAGAAATGGGGATGCAATCCATTTTCGACTCTGCACTTCTCCTGGACCGCGTTCGCACTCTTTCTTCAGAGACCCAATCAAGCAATTTTACAAAGCGTGACAGTGCGCTGCGTGCACTATATACTCGGATAAACGCAGTATTTTCCTTCGCCTTTCAATCAACGGACCTCAAAGACGTTTTTCGGTCGCTCCCATGGATCCTTGCAAAGACACTCGATGAGGACGATTACCTGCTCTATAATTCTGCTGAATGCCGGCCTATGGACGATCTTTCCTTGGTCGGGTCGCAAATGCCACTGTCTCAGTTCGTGTTTACAAATGAGGCACTGCTTGAGTGCATGGGGTGGAAACTGTTGCCTCCTCTGGAAAAGGTCTTGGCCAACCTCCAGACCTTGATCGACCGATCGGTCCAGTCTATCTCGATGGGTTCAGAACCGGCTGAAGATGATTTCCTACAAATCTATCGCTATCTCATGACCCACATTTCCGACTCAGAGGCGCTGTCTGAAATGAAGAAGGCTCTCGACAAGCGGCCGTGGATTCTAGTTCATGGAGTTCTGCGTACTGCTGACAGGGTCGCCCTCAATTTGTACTATGATCTTGAACCTCACTTTGTCCGGATCACTGTCCCAGGCTTGGAAAGCCTCTTCCTAGCGATGGGAGTTCGAGAATACGTCGAGCAGGGTGATCTCCAAAGTCTCATATCCGGGATTGCTTTGCAGTACGCTGAGGACGAAAGGCTGTCGGATACCGACAGTGATCTGGTCATCAAGATGCTGGAGGCGATTTCCCGTACGCAATTCTACAATTGGTCCCCGGATCTGTTAATTCTGACAGACGATAGCCGATTACGTAAGGTCACCGACGTGGTCTTTGATGATGTCAACGCTCGCAAGGAAATGCCGGATGTGTTAGCCACAGACAGCAGCGACATCTCGTACACGTTCGCCAGCAACAAGATATCTTCATATACTGCCCGCGAACTGGGGATTCCATTTTTCTCTACAAGATGTTGGGAGGATGAAAAAGATTCGACATTCGAGCCGTGGGCCCAGCAGGAGGATATTGTAAACCGCATCAAGACCGTCTTGAACGACTACGACCCATCCAACATTTTCACAGAGTTCTTACAGAACGCCGCCGACGCAGGAGCGACCAAGTGTAGCTTTATGCTGGACCGGAGATCATTTGGCAGGAAGAAGATTCTGAGCAAAGAGATGGGAGCGTGGCAAGGACCAGCGCTGGTCATTTACAACAACGCCAAGTTCACAGAGAGCGACTTCATTGCCTTGAGTCACCTTGGGGTTGGCAACAAGCGTATGTTGATAGGATAATTTCGTCCGCATCGTTGAATCCATACTCTTTTAATACTTGGATATGTCTCACTAATTGGTATTAACACTGTGCTTGATTATTGGCGTCTTCTAGGTGAGGATACGTCAAAGATCGGACGACATGGTCTGGGTTTCAATTCTGTATATCATTTCACGGATGTCCCCAGCGTTGTCAGCGGCTCATACATTGGCTTCTTCGACCCCTGCAGGGAATCCTTGCACAGGACCCGAACGCCCTTAGGCCACCTAGTTTCCCATGGAGGTCAGCGGTCTAAATTTCAGAACCTCAAGAGTGCAGCCCTTTCCGACCAGCTGGCTCCATACGTTGGACTCTTTGGTTGCGACATGAAGTCTGACTTCGACGGCACGATCTTTAGGATTCCCCTTCGAACGCTGGATTCGCAGATACGCACGCCAAACCCGACTACACTAGGAGATATATGGACCCTCGCGCAAGTTCAGGAGATGCTTCAGTCCTGGGCTAAGGATGCCAATACTGGAATGCTCTTTTTGGACAAAATGCAGACCATCGAGTTGAACGACCAAGGCAGCTTTATTTGGTCCGCTTCAAAAAAAGTGGGAACCGGTAACCCCTACATAGAAAAAGCTCTATCCGAGGGACAGGACCCCTCAACTTCAACTCAGATCATGGACATCGTCGTCGTACCAACGCCTTCTTCCAAGGCAGAAATTCAGAAATGGCTAGTCCACACAGAGTTTGGTTTCCCTGAAAGCAGTTCTCTGCCACCGAGGGATCTAGCTCAAAAGTATCATTGGAGTCCGCATCGCGGTATCGCCATTCCTCTGAATTACAGCCGCAATTCTGACCAGCCAACTGGACGACTGTTCACTCATCTTCCCACTCCTATTCAAACCAGCTTACCGTTCCACATTCACGGGGTATTTGCACTGACTTCGAACCGGAAGGGTTTCGCGGGCGGATCAGATATCAAGGATGAGAAGGCGCTATGGAACAGCTTCATGATGCACGAGTTACTGCCGCTCACGGCCATCCACGCTTTCGAGAGGTTCTTGCGATGGCAACTTCGCGATTCTGCCCACGGAGGACCTAATTCGAGCAAGGATGTTGATTATGCAACCGCGTTGTTTTTCAGGTTCTGGCCCCTCAAGGGAAGAGGAGATAGCAATCAAGGGATGATCGACGTTGATGTATTTATCTCCCGCTTCCTGCGACTGTCATATAATCACCCGATCTACCCCGTCCGAATTCCTGGCCAACGCCCTCCTTTCAAAGGTTTGAAGGGACAGGAAATCGTTTTTCCTGGTATCATCGGCGCGCCGGATGGGGTCATGGGCGCCATCCGTGGACGGCTCCAAGGTGCAAGAGTCTATATTTGCGACTGTCCTCATCTGCTTTACAATCAAGTTAAAAATGAATGGAAAGGCTCTCCGGCGCTCACATACCGTTCACTCAACGAAGATGAACTCCGTGGCCTTGTTCGACTCGATCCCAAGTTTATTCCGAACAAAATCACGTCGACGGAAGGCAAGAAATGGATGCTGGGGCGTACGCTGAGCGTTGTCATTGATCCAAAGGCAGAATTCGTTGAGACTTTGCGTGGCCTGGCTCTGGTACCCTTAATGAATGGCGAGTGGAAGGAGCTCGGCGTAGGGTCGACATATTACACCGCCAAGTCCGAAGAAAAGGATTTAATCTCGGGAAAGGATATCTTGGTGGACGAGACCCTCTTTAAAGGCGAGATCAACAAGGCAGCTGATGGAAGCGGGACTACGGTTTCAAATCTCGATCGTATATTGAGGAGGCTCACCAAAGATACAAACCTGGGCATCAAGGAAATGTCGCCGGACGTTTTCGCGGGCATTATCTGCGCCGAAAATCCGAATAGAATTCATAACGATCTTAGGGGGAAGTTATGGCGACTGTTGAGCGGCCACAAGAACCTTACTCCGTTTGCTAATCTGCCGATCCTCAAGACGATCAATGGTTCGATGGTACGACTGGGGGAGGGAGCCACAGGATTGGAACTATCACGAATTCCATTTCAATTCAAGAGACAGGTCGACAAACTCGCCTGCTTAATACAGGATCTCGGCTTTGTGGTCTTTGATGCAGACGATAACGGCAGACATCCGTATCTGATGAGCGCTGGAGTAGAGCTGGACGCGAGACTAATTCTGAAGGTCATTGCCTCAAAATGCTCAGGGTTTCCAAGTAGTCGGACAATCAGCAAAGTAGAAGCGGAGGTTTTGCGGGAGCTGATCATGGATGCCGGTGACGAGCTCAATGATAGCGCTCGAGCACTTGGCGTACTTCGGATATGGAAATCGTGGGAACACACCAGCAACAACCAGGATCTGCCTTTGATCCCTGCACAGGGATCCTACTTTGTGGAGGGAAATTACAGCCTACGAAATTTGGGTCGCTTTCCGGATGTCATCTGTAGCGAATACTGCAAGTTTTTCATAACAGTGGGTGCGATACCCTTGAACGCGGTTTCTGCGGCCCAGAATCGAGTGATACCAGCCATATTGAACGGGTCTCTGCGATGTGTCAAGGAGACAAAGACTGCCTACATTGATATGCTCTCAGCTATTGTGAGACTTGCGGCCAGTTCCAAGAAGAATAATCCATCAAAGGCTCTCCTGTTGACAACTCCTGTCATCCTCGCACGCGATGGTTCTCTTCGCACAAGCCGCGAGCTTTTCGACCCCACTGATCAACTTTTGCAAAGCCTCTTTTCCGGGGAGCCCTCCAAGTTCCCGGAAACGGCGCTATGGAGCAAGATCCACAATAACAAGAAGCTGTTCCAGTTTCGTGAGTCCTCTGAAGCGACCGTTCTGCGCGAGTGTGCACTATACCTACTAGACCTCACAAAGGGATTTTCTTCCTTGGAACCAACCGTGATCCGAGAGAAGGCCGCTTCTTTGGTTCGCTTCATCTACCAGCATCCTAGCACTCTCAATTGGATGGATCCTCAATGGAAGATTGTTCCGGTTGAACCCGTGGATCCTTCTCCGTTTAACGAAGAAGGCCTGAGCTTGCCATCTTCAGAGTACATGGCTTTCTCAGAACTGTTGGATAGTACGAAGCGCGACATTACCTGGACCCAGTGCGCATTCTTCCCTGAAACCCTGAAGCCTTCCCCTGAGTTCAGAAAGCATTTCCCTAGCGTTGGTGGGGAGCAACTCGTTCAAGTGATCAACCATCTCTCGGCTTTAGTGGAGATCCTGGCGCCTCAATCGGCTTCGGTGGATCAGCAGCTGGCATTGAAGGTATCGTTGTTCAAGGTCTACAAGGCGCTCCACGAATACGCTGATCGGGGTGCCGAAGAGAGGGAAATCGTTTCCAACATGCTGGACAGCAGAATGCAAGCCCCCTACATTCTCAACGGAGACGACAAGGATCCAAGTCTGGAGGAGTCGTGGTTATGGCCACATCAGCTCATGTTGGACATCGACAACAATATGGAGCGCCACCAGATTGTTCATCAAAAACTTCACTCTGTCCGTACGTTCTTGGTCGCCGCTGGAGTAGCGCAGATGCAGGCGGTGGAGGGCATGGTTGAGGTTCCGGTAGGAAGAGAAGTAGGAGAAATTGAGAGCCGTCTTCTAAATTGTTTCGAGTCGCAAGATCGGCAGAACGGGTTCATGGACGTCTTGTTCAAGTTTGCAGGAGGTCAAGAGATTCTGGCGCACAGATTCATGCTAGCGCACGCGAATGAATATTTCGCCCGACGCTTTACAGGAGCATGGGCCGAGATAACAACGCGAGACCCGATGGATCCTAGCATGATCGTGATTGATTTGTCGAGCCAGGAGGAGACCTACGAGGCTTTCTGGGGCCTGATATATTTTTTCTACGCTGACAAGCTCATCATCTCGAATGGGCCGCTCATTCCTCCCTCAGAGAGAAACCGAACCGTGGATCATATCGACGAGCTCCGCGACCGGGTGCAATATCTGATGGGACTCCAGCAGCTTGCGAATCGGTTTGATACTCCTCGATTGAAGGCCCTAGTCGCCTTTGAGGTCGTCACAGAAAAGAAGGTGATCCACAGTAATGTGTTTCAGGTCAAGTCACATGCAATGTTGAACCAGTCCATGGATATTCAAGATCACTGCGAAGAATACTTGAGGAAGAACGCGGTCAGTATCAGGACCTACCTCAACGGAGAGCTGCAGGCATACAGAGCCTCGTTGAGCGAACTCGCAGGAGAGAGCGACGGAGCACAGAGGGTGATACTGAGGGACGATATTGAGGAATTCAAGGGCTATTTGCAGGAACTGAGCACATTGGTTTGATGGAGGACATGGACAGAGGGATTCAATTTTAGGTATCTAACAACAATACAGAATCATACTTTATTACTATTACTCCTTACGTATGATTTTTTGAACCTTCGCGTTGAATTCCACATCAAGGTGGTTAAAAACGCCTCATGTTCATACTGGGCTCTCCCAGTGAGTCCTAATCCACTCTGCCTCTTTGATGCCCATAGTCTGGGTAGTACAGTGGAACTGAAAAGTCCATAAGTGGTGTAATCAATTCAGCAAATCAAGCTCTTTACAAAGTCGTAGATCCAAGCCACGCCGCATGCATAGCGTAGACTGTTCATCCTGGATGTTAAGGTGGGCAAGATCCGTTAGGAGCGACAGTTGTTCGAAAACTTTTTTTGTAGTCGATAATCCTCTTGTGTTTCCTGATCGCGTGCTTGCTCTTCTTCTACTCCAGCAGCTGCGGTATCTGCCGAGACGTCATCTGCGCTTGGAGTTGTTGCAGGTCCCCCCAAAGTTGATGAAGCAACCGAACGTCAACAGGTTAGTGCAGTTCCATGGCCGGCCACGGGCAATATCCTTGGCATGGACTTGAGTTGCAAGTAATGACTCCAATTAGGGACTGGACGACAGGATTTCTTGCACCATCATGCTTGTCAATGTAGGACACTTGCACAGATTGAGGGTCTCGATTGTCGCAAAGTGTTTATGGAATGCCTGGGAAGAGCGCGGCCAAAACCCGCATACGTCCAAAAAATGGCATCGCTTGAGCGCACTAAGAAGGATGGCCAAATCGTCATCCACCATACGATGTTCAGCAAAGTGTATAGACTCGAGCTGAGGCCAGGCAGCGGCAGCGGCATAAAGAGCAATCTTTTGAAGTGCTGCGTTGTCGGAAGTAGCATTACCGTCATAGAGCTTTAAGTATAGCCGTTGAAGATTGGAGCATCGGGATATCAGACTGATCCAGCGGCGGTTGATGTGAATGCCTACAGCAGTCATCTCTACAGAAGCGAGGTGAGAAAACACTGCGTCTTCGAGTATGACTTCGAGACAGGGAATCCTCACATGCCGGAATTTCAGCGTCTTAAGTTGTGTAAGCGTGTCCCAAAATGCTGAGGATGATGCCTAGTTGAGGGTTGAGTAACTACTCTTCAGCCGTCTGAGGCTCTTCAGCTCCTCCAGTGAAGCCCAGTCGATCTCGAGCCCTGCAAGTTTGAAGGAAGTGATAGAGGCGTGGCGAGGTACAAGGGCCGTCATTTCTGCCCTGACGATCGCAGAGTGAAATACAGGATGGTTCGGTAGGGGTGGTTCGCAGTAAAGATCGGATACAAAAAAATACGTGAAAAAGCGCGTCTGGCTCAGCCAATGGACCTGCTTTTACCACCACAACAGAACAGCAACAACGAAACCGGCTATCTGACGCACTCCTCATAGTCAATGAAGTCAATGAGTCGCGGCGAAGGTTCGATTATGATGAAGAATAAAAAGAAAGAAATGGGGTTTCCCAGAAAAAACAGCCCCTGGGCCCCTTCATTGCGAGTAGATGTGAATGTTGCACAGGTGCTCTCGGGGTTAAGATCTATGTGATGCCGTCGAGGCTGTGCATCGCCCGGGCCAGATATACGCGTCGATCACTATGTCCCTTCAATGCAGTGCGAGCACCAAGTGCAAACCCATTCATTATATTACTGACAAAGGCTTTTCTTGCTATTGTACATTTTCATCTTTTCATCTTTTCATCGTTTGGTTCAATCCTCACTCTCCTCACTCTTTATTTCATTTTCACATTGACGTTTGCTGGTTCTACGCTGACTAAGGTGTGGGGTTCGAAGCGATACATACAAAGGAAAGTGGATTGGCTTGCCATCAGTCAGTCTTACTTGGGAAAGTAAAGACTGTGCAGGGTACACCGCGGGCAGGTTGCAAGCCATGGTACCCCAGAAAAAACCACAAGGGAAAAAAAGTTCGGCTTTTGACCTTCTTATTTTTTGGGGGGTGGGGAATTGTATTTTTCTTGTTCTTGTTCTTTTTTCTTTTTTTCTTTTCTTTTTTTCTTTTCTTTTTTTCTTTTCTTTTTTTCTTTTTTTCTTTTTTCTTTTTTCTTTTTTTTAGAGAGGTGTAATAAAGCAAGAGCAGAAGCAAGAGCAGAAGCCGAGGCCTAAGCAAATGCCAGAGTCAGAGCAGTGATAGATGCGCAAGTCCAAGCAAAAGCAAAAGCAATAGCAAAGGCAGATGGAGAAGCAAAAGCAGATGTCGAAGCCAAAGCAAAAGCAACGCCGGAGCAGAAGCAAAAGCAAAAGTCCAAACAAAAGCAAAAGCGAAAACAAAAGCCAGAGCACAAGCAAGAGCAAAAGCGGAAGCTTAGGCAAATGCCAGAGTCGGAGCAGTGATAGATGCAAAAGTCCAAGCAAAAGCAAAAGCAAAAGCAAAAGCAAAAGCAAAAGTAAACAAAGGAAGAGAAGGGGAGAGAGAGAGAAAGCTAGAAGCAATAGAGACAAGGGAGCGCTGGGTGAGTGAGTGGGTGAGAGAGATACGAGAAGTGCAGGTGAACGAGACTGAGGTGAACAAGAGTGGAGAGAGCAGTGGGAGAGAGCAGTGGGAAAGAGCAGTGGGAGAGAGCAGTGGGAAAGAGCAGTGGGAGAGAGCAGTGGGAAAGAAGGGCAAGAGACAGCAGAAGTGAAGGACTGAGAGTGAAAGTGGGAGTAGCTGGAGCAGGGGTAAAGGTGGAAGAGGAGGAGGAGGAGGAGGAGGAGGAGGAGGAGGAGGAGGAGGAGGAAGAAGAGCTTACCTTGAAGACCAGGAAGAAGACCGGGGAGAAGATGAGGAAGAAAAGAGAGAAGAGAGAAGAGAGAAGGGAGAGAAAAAGAGGAGGGCTTCATATTCGGTCCTCGATAGACACTCCCTCCTCCACGACAGACGGCACACGTCATCGCTGCTGTCTGCAGCGAAGAGAGTGTCTTCGAGCAGCCTCCTATCGGTATAGTCTTTTCGGGACTTTCACATGAAAGAAAAAGAGATAGTGGGCGATAGACAGCACGGAGACAGTGGACAGAGAGACAAGCAAGGAAATGATGGTGGCAAAACCGGTGACCTATCGGGACATGAATACACTTTGGTGGTAAGATAGTCTGGTCTTGACAGCAAAGGAGCAAAGAGAGGGAGAGAGGGAGAGAGGAGAGGGAGCGAGGGAGTGAGGAAGTGAGGGAGTGAGGGAGTGAGGATGAGAGAATGGGAGGATGAGAGGATGAGAGGTCTCCTTTGATGAGCATGCAAGCATGGAATAGAAAGAAAACAATAGACAGAAAAGACATGGCAAAGGTAATGCCACCACAAGAGTGTCTCAGTCAGGACGTCTATCGAAGCAGCCAATGATGTAATGATGTACCTGGGAGTGTGCAAGGATATAGAGAGAGACAAAGACACAGGAACAAGCAGCAAGGAAAGAGAACGAGTGAGACAAGGAAGAAGCGGCTACGGCGACGATGGCCATACAGGTCACATACAGCAATACTATCTTCTTGCAGCAGTACGCGGGCAGACAATGGTCCCTAAAGGCAATACACCGTGAGTATGTTGGACTCGGACCAAATTGTCTATTCCAACATAACCACTGCTGGCTGCATCCTCTCCAGCTTTTTTTTTTTTTTTTTTTTTTTTTCTTATTTCATCAAGTGCTCACATACAGCTGTGCTGTGCGGCATATAGCCTATTTTACACGCTGCCCCTGTGTTCGATAGCTGGACCGAGTCCAGATATTAACTCAAACCACCGAGCAATGACTTATTGCTCGGTCGCTTGTAATTAAAGGTCCCTCTCTTGTTGTTCTCATTGATTTTGGACAGTCATATTTCTCATGCTGCATCCACTCCTCAAGAAAAATCAGCCTGCTACAGACAACACCACCAAGTGAGGGGCACACGTCGTAGCTGCGGACAGCAGCACTGGGAGTCGCAGAATGGGCTGTCACCAACAACACAGGTGTCTCTGTCGAGGGATTGTCCATGTGTATCATGTGTATGCGCATACTCTCTGCAGCACTTCATTTCTTCCATATTAGTCCATATTAGTCCATATTGGTCCATATTAGTATACCCACCGCACGAGAAATCTGCAGCCGTGGTTAAAAATGGGCGCAGTCCACAATTTCGAATTTCGAAATGTCCCCTCACAAATCTGAACCCAAACCTTGTTTTAGATGGCGTAGCAGCTTACGAGCTCCAGAAGAAACAGAGAAAGGGGATGATGCCGCTGACGACAGAAATCGCTGTCGCGGGTTTGCACCCGGATCCAGGACCAAAGGAGAATGGAAACAATATTGAGACAGCCGGCCCCAGACCTTTCCATGTGCTATCATGTCCTCAAGAGCTACATCCTCCGCTTCGTTTTTATCCACCCCAAAATCCATGAACGATACGTATTTGTATAGGTCTCTATGGCAGTATGGCCCGCCTATTGGTCGATCATGGGATTTTAACTCGACACTGATGGAACGCGAACCTGTTCAGAAAGCTCTACCGGTCACTGTGGCCTGGCTGCTCACGCCTTACTCTGGCATTCGGGGATGAATCATCAAGGATAGCCTATCCATGGAGCATCGTGACGCTGCATGGGCTGAACTCGTCACGTCCATACGACTACTGCAGGGCTGGAAGAGTGGGCAAAGGAGAGAGAGTCAGATATATCGAATGATGCGCAGTGTTGGCCACAGCTCGAACTCTTTTAGATCGAGATTCTGAAGGGGATACCAGGGTGTTCTGGGAGGCATGGGCTTTTGTGTAGAAAAATCGTCCGCGAACTATTGTCCGGTTCAATGTCAGAACAGGGTCCAAAATAAAAAGGCCAATCTAATAAACCGTCTTCAAGGTGGTTGAGTTTATCCCGATGAGGATGATGCTCATCAAACAGTAGTCGAGAAAAGACCGTGCTTCTCAAAGAGAGTCTCGGCGCTCGGTCCAAAATGTCTTGATGAATGTGCTTTCAACCAATGCTTCCAGTTCATATGGACACTCATCTTTCAAGGATAAAAAGGCATGAATACACGATGCAGCCGCTCTGTCGCCTGCAGCCGTAGTGACCTGTAAATCCGCAGTCAGAACATAGAGAGGCTCCTCAGAACGCACAAATACAGCTCCACCCAAATTCTTTACTCTTTCGAACACAGCCATTCGCTGACTCGGATTGATTTCCCTATGTACAAAACATGATTCCGCTCTGCTTGGATCTTTACTTCCCCCTCTTTCCATATCATCAAAGAAGTTACGAAGCTATGCTGATTCATCACGAGTCTATGCTTAATGTTTATTGATGATTATGCAGTTTAAATACGCCGCTTCAGCAAGCCATATTAAAAGAAAGAGAAAGAAGAGAAAAAGGAAAAATAAATAAAACAAAACATAAATACGTCCGCTTTTTGCTCGAGCCAGTTGCCCTTGTTCTAAAAGTACTGGGACTCGGCTTCTCTCCCCACATTACTCAACAGCTCCTCATGGATCACATTCATCGCCTGAAGTGCCTGTCTCTCCAGGATGACACAGGAAATATTAATCTCGGATGCGCCCTGCGAGATCATCTCTAAGTTGATCCCGGCCTTCGCGAGCGTCGAGAACATCCTCCCCGAGATACCGACCATGTTCTTCATCTGCTTGCCGACCAGCGACAAGATCGCCATGTCCTTGGTCACATCCACGGTCCCGATGCTCCTCAACTGCCGCATCGCCTTCTCCATCGCCTTCTCGTTCACATTCGCACCCAACGCCATCGAAACATGCACCTCCGAGGTCGAAATCAAATCCACCGCAATCCCATGCGTGTCCAAAGTCCCAAAGATCTGCGCAAAGAACCCATGCGAGACCGATTTGCGGTTCGAGTGCACGTTGAGGACCCACACATTATCCTTGATCGTCACCGCCGTAGGATGCCGCCTTGACAGATCCAGTTGATATCCGTTCTCGAGCAAGACCTTCGACGACGGAGGAGGGGTCATGCGTCCGGTCGGCGTCGATACTCCTGAGGCATTATCCGGAAAGATGACCGTCCCTGGACCCATGGGGCTCATAACGTTTTTGATACGAATAGGGATCTGGGCGCGGATGACCTGTTCCATCGTAAAGGGATGGATGACTTCGGATCCGTAGTACGTCAACTCGGAGGCTTCCTCGGGTGTGATGATGTTAAGAAGGCGTGCGTTTTTAACCTTGCGGGGATCAGCAGTGAAGATCCCGTCGACTTCCTTCCATACTTGTAGCTCCTCTGCATCCAATCCGACCGCGATGAGCGCTGCGGCGAGATCTGTGTAACCGCGACCAATGCTGGTCAGCAGACTGCCCGGTACTGGCCCAAAGAAACCTGGATTATGTAAAAAGCGAAATGTATACGTTAATGCTTTGTTGTTGTTGTTTTTTGGTGATTAAAATCCAATACACAGCTGTATGGTGCTATCCATTTTACCAGTAACGACAGGAACACGGTTGCCGCACTTGGATATGACGCCTGCAAAAACTCTGGACATATAATCGTAAAAGTTTTGATCCAAGCAGTTCACGTCGAACACTGCCTCGATGACGCTCTCCAGACTAACGAATTCGGTCTCCACTCCACGATCTTCCAGCATCCCTGCTACGATTCTGCAGGACAATCTCTCTCCAACTGCCATGATAATGTCCTTTGATCTCGGCGAGATCTCTTCGATCGTCTATGACCAACGAACGGTGAAACACGAAAGCAAATAAGAAATGTAATCCCTATTCAGCACATCATATAAAAAAATAAATAAAAGAATAAATAAATAAAAAGCATGGTATTTACCTGCACAGCCTTCAAGAAGGCGAGGAGTCGGTTACAGTCCTGATTGAGTTCGTCTTCAATGCGCTTCAAGATAAGCGGGTCCGAGATATGTTGCCGGGCGGTATTGATGTGGTCCTCTCTGATATCCTGGACTGTCTGCTTAAATTCGACCGAACCAGGTTCCATAGCCGACGCTGCTGCCCTCAGTAACCTACAAGCATGTACATGAGAAGCCATGTGAATCACCGTTAGTCTCCTTTCCCCGCGATCAAAAAAAATGCAGACTGCGATTTTTTTTTTTTGATCTGTCGACAGATCTCATCATTGGCCCACGGTGTTACGGAATGTGGGGAATACTTTTAGAATGGGCGGAGTGTGAAGGGAATAAAAAAAACAAGGTCATATCTCAATGAAAAAAGACGCCATAGCGATCCAATCCTTTGTTTTAGCTCAAGGCAAATGCTTTCTTTACCTGTTGGTCGTTCCTAGAGTCTTGGACTCGCTACTCCTTGCCGAGCAGACCACTACCACTCGATTCGTTGGGAGATATGATCTATTGTTAAGAAATGTAAAGCGAATGGTTGTCAGGGCATGTGCGCTGTTTCCAGGTGGACAGCTGCTCGAACTCGATTGCCATTGCCATTGCCATTGCCATGGCCATGGCCATGGCGAATCGTTTTTTTTTTTTTTTTCCAAATGAAGAGATTGCTTACTGGACGATGGTCCCGGTGATGGTCTCGACAAACTTTCCAATGCTGGTGCCACCAAACTTTTGTACGAGCCATGGTTTCTTGGATTGGTCCTGGAGTGAGGGCGAAGGTGTCGCATGGTTGATCTCCAGCATCATATGTGGCGGAAGCGAACGCTTGGTTGCTGACAGCGAAGGTGACGATGGCGACGAGGAGAGCGGAGTCGACATTGTGTTTAGGTTGTCCCTGTTGTTACTGGAGGAGGAGGAGGTAGTAGTGCAAGAGAAATGTTCAAAAATGAAGGGCTATTGCAGCGGTAGAAAAGGAGTGGTGCAATTGATTTAAAACGGGAGGTTGAATCGAGTGAGGAAAGAAGAAGAAAGAGGAAAGAAGAGAAGGAAGAGGAAGGAGAGCAGGAGAGAAGGAGTTCTGAGAAAGATGTAAAGAAGAGAGGAAGAAGAAGAGGAGGAGGGAGCATCGATCTGGCCCCAACCTTGTTCGCACTGAAGGTGACTCAACACCAAATGCAATCTGTTTTGGTCCTCCTCTCTTTTTTGGTGGCAAACACAAATGGACCCTGCGTAGCCATTCATTTATTCATACGCAAGGGGAGGGGCACCATGCCACGGACCCTTTATCATAACTTGCTTCTCAGGGAAGAGGGGCATCATCGCCATGAACGCAATCCTACAGGCCATACCCTCCCATGTCCTGTCTTGTTTATCCCCCACGAACAACATCTTACTGGACAGGGCATAGCTGGGTCGAGCGAGAAAGCAAGAGAGCCGTCGAGTCAGAGTGATTCGATCGTGGCGTGCTCATCCACCCACTCACTTCAAGGCACCGGAGCACAGACCTCATTTGCTTGCACGAGTCTTTTTTGTTTCCCTTCAATGCTGCAGCTCAGCATGTCCATCCTCAACCCTCAGAGGAGAGCCCTCTGTTGCCTCAACTCGCTCGTCCGATATGCATCATATACCGCTGCACATCATCACAGCTAGACTACGTGCACTAAAATGCACATAGTTCATATGGGGTCAATTGCCATTTATTGATATAGTCACTTTCGAGCCAAACCCGAGAAACGGGTTTGCTGTAACTCACTTCGCGTTCAGGGCAAAAAAAAAGATCCTATGATGATGACATCATGTGATGACCCCGTCGATTCTCTTTTTCATCCACTTCTTCTTTTGCTGAACTTCTTCTCATCTTGCACTTCATCTTCCCACCACCTCGTCCACTCCCTTTAAAGAAAGAAAAAAAACCCCTCCCTCTCTCCGTACACTTCACGAAAATGGTCAACTTCAGCGGTGCCGATATCTTCCTCTTCGTCGTCGGATTCTTCCTGCCTCCTCTTGTAAGTTCACAGACTCCGAATTCGAGAATTCAAGGGGGGGAAGCGAAACAAAGTTGCTGCTGCGACAACTGACCTGACTAGTGCCCAAGGAGGCCAGCGAACCCTAAACAGTCGTGTTCATGTCAATGCCATGTCATGTCCATGCTGTTGCTGCCATTCAGTGAACAGAAAAGACGACAACACTCACTCACCCACTCTTCGTCCCTACTTCTTTTTCCACCATAGGCCGGTAAATCCTAGAAACGACTTTTTATCAAGATTTGACATTTGATATTTTTATCCGAAGGGTCAATTCGCAATCAAAAGGCGCGATTGATTTTGATTGCAATTGTTCACACGATACTGACGCGCTTGCTTGCACACGTTCCTTTAACAACCGCTTCAATAGTCGGTCTCAAGCAGGGATGCGGTGCTGACTTCCTCATCAGGTAAGGAAAAGGAACAGTAAAAGGAAAACAGCAACGGAACTCGTCGCAGGAAACAGGGACAGCTGGAAAAAAAAGACAGGAACATGGAGGCAATTGAAGACAGGATTTTGACCCATAGCAGCAAAGAAAAAAAACCACCCAATCCGCGTTTTCCTTTTGCGCCATTTTTCTTCCCTCCCCCCCTCTCTTGTTTCTGGCCGTACTGCATGTACTGCATTGGCGCGACTTCAAATCGAAGAACACGTTTTTCTTCAATGCTCTCTTGTCCACCACAGCCCATTGGCGAGTAAACAAAAGAACCTGGAACCAAACAGACCGTCTTCCCCTGATATCGCTCTATACGTTTTAACCGGCGCTGTCTCTCTCTTTAGTATCGGATTGACCCTCCTCGGACATGTTCCCGGCATCATCTATTCCTGGTACATCATCTACAAGAACAGGGACGAGCCCAACGTCTCCAACCGCTACCACGGACGCACCTACGTCGCCGTCCCTCAGCAGCCAAACTACCAGGCCACCGCCCCTGCGGCCGGTGTCCCACGCCCCGTCAACTAAGGTCCCCTATTCTATCCTGGATGAATGAGATATGGAATAAATCAGACCCTTTTTCAATATTCACAGGCATTTTCATGTTCAAAATAAACCATATATTTACATTTCCACATGCATTATTAGTCTCTTCTCCTGTAGCATTTTTTATTAAGCTGAACTCACTCCGAAAGGACTACAAAGGCGCTACAAAGGCGCTACAAACACCTCCCCCCTCCCCCAATACTGTATACCCATCTCTTGTAAACCAACAATATAGAATAAAGACCGAACAATGAGTAATGAAAAGAAAAACGAAAATGGACATATGCAAAGCACATACAAACTCCTCCAGAGTGAGTAATAGAAAGAATAAAAGATGACAACAAGATGACCCGTATGATACATGCAATAGAAAGCGATAGCGCGATTAAAAGAGTACAAGATCGACAAAAGAAGAAGAAATAACCACAAAGAGGACAAAGGAAGAGGGCAAAAGAAGGGAGAAAGGAAAGGTGAAAGGAAGGGAAAAGGGACAAAGAGAGAGTGAGGAGTGGTGGAAAAAAAAAAAAGACAAAAGGAAAGAAATAAGCAAACAATGCGGGTTCATCTTGCCGTCTGTCAAGAACAAATTTCAACTTCGCGACGATGCCCTAAGTGGAGGGGCTGCAAATGCAAAGCGAGCAGGAAAGAGCGAGCAGGAAAGAGCGAGCAGGAAAGAGCGAGCAGGAAAGAGCGAGCAGGAAAGAGCGAGCAGGAAAGAGCGAGCAGGAAAGAGTGAGCAGGAAAGAGTGAGCAGGAAAGAGCCAGCAGGAAAGAGCAAGAGGAGATCCAACAGAACCAGAACCAGTCCGCTTCATGTTGTCATTCTAGCCACTTAGGCATCCGCCCTGTGCTTCTTACTGACTTCACCTATCAAAAGAAAAAAGGATTGTGCCAAGAGCGCATTAGACATTGTTCAAAAAGTACGACATCGAGAGTAAAAGACATCCATTTTAATGTAATCTGGGGCAAGGTAACTTACGATCAGGGCTGAGCTCGTTCACAAGGTCATCGCCCAGCAGGTTGATCATCTCTTCAATACTTCTCTTGGGCGACCTAGCCGTAGGCGAAGGCGAGCCGTGCTCGTCCTCCTCGCCAGACTCATAGTCTTCCTCATAGGCCTTGTCGTCAAAACAGGCTAGGGAATCAACGTCAATCTCGGAAACATCAATATTCTCGTCGATATGAACCCGAATATCGTTTCCAGAATTGACAGCGTCTTCAATCCTTGCGCCCTCCTCTGACATTCCTGTGTCGGCTAGTATCACTTGGTCTGAATTCAAACTTTCGTTCTGTCTATCAACGGCTGCAACTACATCTAGAAGATAAGGGCGGGATGATGTTAAAATAGATGAATCGTCAAGCTTTGCACCAAAGAAGTATTGTTCAAGAGTCGAATGCACCATACTTGCTAGCGCTGGCTCTGCCAAATCCGTAATGTCATCCTCAGCTACGGCATGCGATATTGATTGTGCCTTGGTTTCTCTTCGGTTCCCCAAGCGGCTCAAATGCGACAGAAAGGTCTCTTGAATACTCAGCTCGATGCGGAATGGTTCCAGAAGCATTTCTTGGCCCTGTGTTTCCGACGCGTCCATGTAAAGATGAACCAGCTTCACAAGCGAACACTTGGATGCGGCGCCTTCGTGCTCAAGTAACCAGAGGTCCTCCAGACCCTTGAAAACCATGCCCAGTTCGTAATACGCTGAGTCCGCTCCGTAGCGGGGCTCAAGCAAGTCCTTTCGCAGATGAGTGAAGAGAACCAAGAGTGGCTCGTCGAGAAGTGAGCTATTGTTGGCAAACAAGAGTGTACCTCGGGCCGATGTTGCTACGTGCGATGCTTTGAAGGCTTTAGACGAGGAATAGAATAGCTCGTACAGAGTGTCATCGAAGATAAGCTCGATCAAAGGAAGGGACGGGGCAACGTCGGTATCCTGCTTCAGATGAATGGCTATGTCGCTGTCACCACCCGACACCGCCTCGTTATTCTGGGGCTCCAATACACCTTCCTCTTGCTCCAATACACCTTCCCCTTGCTCCTTGGCTATGTTCTCGGGGACCTCTGCAGTAGAAATCAACACTGTCTCCAGTTGGTTTTCAGCAGTCTTTGAAATATCATCGTCCAAGAAATCATTTTCCTCTTCATCATCGTCCTCGAGTAGATATCTGATTGGCCCCGCTGTGTCATGCGAAGAGGCATATGACCTCATACACTGCGCACAACCTAATCCCTTCTCAGATCCATGCTGGCAGGGCAAGGGCGAACCGCCAGGTGGCCATGGATGATAAGGTGAAGCGCTTGTAGCATAGATATCTGCTGGGAAGGTCTCCATTTGCATTGTTCTCAGTATCCTGAGTGGGGGTGGAACTGTGGTAGTCTTGCTGTTGCTGAAAATAGAAGAGGGTCGCAAGAAAGGCGGCAAAAAAAAAACCTGTTAAGTGCTGCGGTAAAATCCTTATGGTAGGTTGTTGTCGAGGGTCGTTCTAATCGGCCTTGCTTGTTCTGGGGTACCTAATGATGAGAGTGAACGTTAAGAGTACAGGAAGAAAGAATAGAGACACAAGTGAAGTCGCGATGGGATCAATATAGTGAAAGATTAAAGGTGGATGTGGAAGGATGAAGGATGAAGAATGAAGTGGTTGTTTGAGAAAAAGATTTTTTAATGCTCGCCTGAGCAAACAAATTGAAGAGCCATTGCACGTGATATATCTTAGAATAGTTTTCTGCCACTAAATCGAAGTGCCGGACTCCAGATTACCGCCATATCCCAACACGGGACTTTGAGGGAGGTATTACAAGCAATTGACTGCCGCATAGAAAGATTATAAAGGACACTATGCGGCTAGAGTCCAATCGGAACTTGCACAATATGGTATATCAGACTGGTCAGGAAACCGTGTATAAAGCAGGGAAAGATGAGAGGACAAGAGGCAGTTGATCTGCATAAATAAATATGGATAGGCAGTCAAGGCCCTACGATTCAACTGCTTCTTCGGTATGATCGATGGGGCCTGTGTGATAGCATGTTTGGAATGTTGAATGGCAAACAAAAAAAAAAAAAAAAGAGAGCGAAGCGGGAGACCAGGATAGCTGTGTTCGTGAGATGGGCTACCATGAATCATGTGAGGCAATTGCCACTTATTTGAAGGAGAGAGAGAGAGAGGTTGGGATTGTGCGGGGGTGTAGATGGATACGATGATGTGCATGCAGTAGTAATTGTAATGACAATAATGGTGGTACCAAGTGTAGTGGTAATAACAACAGCGGGGTGCACTTGCCTCTCTAGCTTGATGGGGCAACTACCACAACAATAACAACAACAGCAACGGGGGTCCGTGGAAAAGTTGAGCCGTATTATTTTCTCTGGTGTGGTTACTTTCTCACGCTTGTAAATAAGATTTCCAAAGGATTGTGGATGGTTGGGCTAACCCCCAATCTCGCTGTCTGTTGGCTGCTGAAGGGGTTTAGCCCCACCCACTCCCTCGTTCTCCCCCCACCCCAATGTTTTGTACATACACCTTCTATTTATTAATATCTAATATCGTATCGGTGGGTGGAGTGGATGCGTGTGTCCTACCTGCCCTGACCGTCTGTCTGTCTGTCCCGTCCGAGCGGAGAAGGGAATAAAATATGAGGAAAGAGCGAATCAGAGCCATAGTCGGCCAAAGTCTACCTAGTCTACCTGACTGTGCCTGACCTCTGACTAAGAAAAGTCACCTCATCTCACTCCTCATTCATTCATCCTTCACCCCCTCATTCCTTCCTCTGCTTCTTCTTCTTATTCTTCTTCTTCTTCTTTCTGTCCTCTTCATCCCATCCTTTTTTTTCTTCTTCTCCGCTCTTCTTTTCCATATTTTATCTATTTCATACTCACTTTTCATTCTCATTTTCATTTTCATTTTCTCCAACTGATCTATATACAACAAAAACCATGCCAGCCCCAATCAACAACCAGGGCATGGACCCCAACCCCCGCAAGATGTGGGAACCCACCGACCTCGAGAACAAGGAGATGGAAAAGTTCCGTCAATTCGTCAACCAGAAGCACTCGCTCTCTCTCAGTATGACCTATGCCTTTCCTTTTTTTTTTCCCTTATCTTTCTATCCTTTAATTGTGTCTTCAACTGCATTTTGCATTTGCAGTTGCAGATGCACCACCCCAAGAATACCAGCCAGTCTTAACCCAATTTTCGATCGATCTATTTGCTTATTTGGATTTTTTTTTTTTTTTAAAAATATAGCCAACTACAGTGATCTTTGGCAGTGGTCCGTGGACGAGATCGAAGACTTCTGGACCGCCGTCTGGGAGTACACCAATGTCATCTCTTCGACCCCACACTCTGGACCTGTAAGTCATTATTAACCCTCATTCCCCTGGACCCTAGATTCGATCCCCTGTAGATCAATCGATAATTGATCCAGAAGAAAGAAGTGAGGGCGGAGGAGAATTTCTGAAATGGATTATTTGCTGGTACCCTTTTAACAAATGGACAAAAAAAAACCATCATTCCATGGACTCTTGGAACTTGTTGTATTGCATGCGACAATACCCAATGTAGCCTCTGGCTTTTATCATCCCTCTTTCGCTTACAAATGATATATATTTTTCCGCTTTGTTTTTATACATGTGTGTATCCGTGTACCTCCTATACATCACACTCACAGCGGCTTTATCATATCTCTCTTTTAAAAAAAAACTCAACGCACTGACTCACACAGGTCGTGGATGGATCAGGTCCGATGGACAACTTCCCGGCCTGGTTTGGATCCGCTCGTCTGAACTTTGCAGAGAACGCCCTCTGGTGCAAGGACCCGACCAAGACTGCGATCATCGCCACGGGAGAATTGCAATCAAAGCCGACTCGAATCTCTTATGCGGACCTCTATACCCGTGTCCGCCAGTGTGCCAAGGCTATGCGCAAGGCTGGTGTCGTCCAGGGTGACCGTGTGGCGGGTTATATTTCCAACTGCCCAGAGGCGATCATTGCCATGCTCGCGGCTTCGTCCATCGGTGCGATCTGGAGCTCGACCTCGCCTGATTTTGGAACTGTCGTAAGTTGGAATCGAATCCAATCGAATGGAAAGAGCAAAGAAAAAAGAGAATGACAAAAAAAAAAAAGAAAAAAAGACGGACATGGGTTCTATTGGATACATAATGAACTTGGTAGACCAGCTCATTTTGAGTTGGCGAAAAGCGGGATCAGGTCATGTCCATCTTGGTCAACTTTGCTCACTTTTTTCTTTCATATGGGCATTTTTTTTTTTTTTATTTGTTTGTACTATAGGGTGTGCTCGATCGATTCTCGCAGATCAAGCCCAAGCTACTCTTCTCCGTCAACGCCGTTGTCTACAACGGTCGTCCTCATGACCACATCCAAAAGCTTCGCCAAGTCCTCGAAGGTAAAAGGCCAAAACGCATGCAAAAGTCGATGAAGAAGGCAAGGAAATAAGAGGCGAGTAGAGGAGTCTCGGTAACTCAACATGCTCTACTTCTGTTCAACATAGGACTGGATATGGTCGAGAAGGTGATCCTGATTCCATTCGTGCCTTCAGTGCCCTGCGACTCCTCCGCCGTGGAGAAGGGCATGACCTGGTCAGAGTTCCTTGCCACCTCTGGAGAACCTACAGTATCTTCATCAGAATCAGCACCATCATCATCCAACACAACAGTAACACAGGACCAGGAACTCATCGAATTCGAACCTCTGCCTTTCAACCACCCACTCTACATCCTCTTCTCATCTGGCACAACAGGCAAGCCCAAATGTATCGTCCACTCTGCTGGTGGCATGCTTCTCCAACACAAGAAGGAACACATCCTGCATGGAAACCTCAATTCGTCGGATATCCTCTTCCAGTACACTACCACGGGTTGGATGATGTGGAACTGGCTCGTCTCCGGCCTGACCCTGGGCGCGACCGTCGTCCTTTTTGACGGCTCCCCTTTCAAACCCAGTCCCTCAGCCCTCTGGGATTTGATCGATCAGGAGAAGGTCACGGCGTTCGGAACGAGTGCTAAATACATCCAGGCGATCCAAGACGTCAATTACTTCCCGAACCAACAGAACAACCTGACCTCGCTGCATTCGATCTACTCGACGGGATCGCCGCTCAAGCCCGAAAGCTTTGATTTTGTATATGAGCATATCAAGAAGGACGTCCTGCTGGGATCCATCACAGGAGGCACGGATATCTGCTCGCTCTTTGCGTCCCACAACGCAGCCCTCCCGGTCTATCGCGGCGAGATCCAGTGCCGCTCACTCGGCATGAAGATCGAGGCCTGGGCCGCACCCCAGAAGGCCGTCTTTGGTGAATCCGGCGACCTGGTCTGCTCCCGTCTCTTTCCCTGCATGCCCGTTTACTTCTGGGACGATCCCGGACATAAGAAGTACAGGGCTGCGTACTTTGACAACTACCCCGGTGTATGGTACCACGGTGACTTTGTCTGGATCAACCCCAACACCGGCGGAATCGTCATGCTCGGAAGGAGCGACGGTACCCTGAACCCGAACGGCGTGCGCTTCGGGTCCGCAGAGATTTATAATATCGTCGATACCTACCCAGAAGTCGAAGATTCCTTGTGTGTGGGCCAGATCACCAAGGACGGAACGGATGAGCGCGTGGTCCTGTTCTTGAAGATCGTCAAGAAGAATGACGGAAGCGAAGAGGTCGACGAGGTCGACGAGGTCGATGAACCCTTGGACTTGGAGTTGGTCTCGAGGATCAAGACCCACATCCGTAACCAGCTCAGTCCACGCCACGTCCCGGCCTTTGTTCTCAAGACCACGGATATCCCCTATACCATCAACGGAAAGAAGGTCGAGATCGCCGTCAAGAAGATCATCTCTGGACAGACCATCGTCCCCTCGGGCACCTTGGTCAACCCCGAGTCCTTGAAGCTCTACTATGACATTCCAGAGCTGAGACAGTAAACACTATCGAGCTCAGGAAATCGATACGATCATTAAGAGAGCGTTTACCCCTCCCCTTCCCCCCCCCCCCCCCCCCCCCCCCCCCGTATGTAGAGCCGAGACATGGCGAGTAGAACAGAACACATAGCATTTTCATATTTTAATCATCTCTAAAGGATACACCCATAAACCATTTTATATATTTTTTTTACAAGCAAAAAAAAAAAAAAAACAACACATGTGCACGATTATCAAAGTAGCCTTATATTTCATGAAGCAGAGGGTGTATTAGGTGCAGGTGTCGAACTCGAACTCGAGGCCGCACTAGCCCTCCGTGCGGCCTCCTCCTCTTGGAGTAACTCTTGCTTAAACCTCATCTGCTTCTCCAGCTCCAACTGATGCTGTCTCTCCAATTCCTTCCTCTCTATCTCCCTCCTCTTCTGCTCCTCCTCTTCCTCCGTTAACTTCACACCCTGTTGCGTCTGCATCTCTTGCTGCTGCTGCTGCTGATGCTGTTGTTGTTGTTCTTGCAGCTGTTGCTGTTGCTGCAACTCCTGCATCTGTCGGATCTGAGCCATCATCTGCTGTTTCTCCTGCTCCTCCTGTCGTAACCGTTCCAGCATCAACCGCTGTTGCTGTTCAATCATCGCGGCCTCGGCCTTCCGTTGCTGGAGTAATTGTACTTGATGTAATTCCAGTTGCTCGCGCAGGGCCTTCGCTTGAGATTGCACGACTTCCTTTTGGTCCGATACCCTCTTGTGCTCTTCCCGTTCGTCGTCCAAACCCAGGCGCAATGCCAGGATGTCGAGGCCGCTGGATGAATTGGTCGCTGTTGATTTTGTGGCGATGGTCTTGATAAGACGGTTGTATTTGGTATACAGCGCATCCTTGCGTCTATGAATCAATAATGCTCTCGCATTCAGCTCCACTGGTGAAAAAAAAAAAAAAAAAAAAAAAATTGTTCAATAAGATGTAGCACAAACGTTAATATAGCTTCTCAACAAAAAAAATCACAACCAAGCTTTTTTTTTTTTTTTTTTTTTTGTCGCCACATACCTTCCGATCGGTTATTAAAGGCCCTGGCTTGGGCATCAATATCCTGTGTCGGATACTGGAACACATGAAAGGGTAATAACCTCTCGATCGCATCCTGTAACGATGAGAACGGGGTCCGATAATCCGGTCTCCTCAAGTTCCTATGTGTCGCCTGCAACTCCATCGCCATCCCCGTCCGCACGCTATCATGATGTTCTGCAATCTGCTGTTGAAGCTGCTCTTCCACCGTTTTGGGTCCACTCGATGTCGGTGTCCCTGTCCCTGTCCCTGATTGTGACGTCGAGACCAACCCTGCCATCCGCGCCGCTGCCGCTGCTACTGCAGCTGCTGGTGACACAGTCCCTGGTCCTGATGATGCTCCCGATGAGGACGTTACTGCCGCTGCCGCTGCCGCTGCTGCTGCTGCTGCTGAGGCCGCCGCTGCCGCCTGTAACCGCTGCTGTTGCTGCTGCAATAACTGTTGGTTCGCCAACGGAAACTGTCCCTGAAAACTCGCCTGCGGCTTCTGGTACGGATGCCCATTTGCCATGATACCCGTCCTTCCTGCCTTATTCGAATCCTGCTGCCCTTGCTGCTGCTGTTGCTGCTGTTGCTGTTGCTGCTCCAATAACTGCTGCTGCATCAGCTTCTTTTTCGAATACTTCCCCGTCTTATTATACCGCCTTGTCGTCTTTTGTGGTTGTCCATCGGGACCCGCGGAGCTAGTGGGGGTCGAGGGTGCAGAGGGTGAGGACCGATGAGAGCCTGAACTCACTGGTGTGGATGCGGACGAAACTCCAGGACTGCCGTTCGTACTGCCCAATGGCGCGATTGGCCGTACACCCTGCATTTGTGCCAGTGTCTGTATCTGGGCCTGTGCCTGCGCCTGCGCTTGTGCCATCTGAACCTGTTGTGTCTGAGCTTGTGATGCAGCAATGACTTGTGCGGTAGTCTGTTGATGGTGAAGTAGATTGATTTCTGCGAGAAGCCGTTCCCGTTGATCCTGAGAAAGTGATTGGACGGACATGTTGTCGGGTAACTTGTAGATGACCTGGTCTTTGGTCTTGATCATGAGCACAGTCAGTCCTGCCATCTGGATATGGGTGACGGTCTCCCCCGGATCTGAACCTGCGGTGGTTGTAGTGGTGGTGGCGGTGGCGGCAGTGGTAGGTGTCTAACAGAGCATGGTAACATTGATAGTATGATTAGTAGTGTGATAGATGCTTGAGGTCGTTCTTCCTTGTTGAAGAGTCAGGAGGAAAGTCAGCTTACAGATGGCGTTGCCATGGCGAAATACGTGTGTTCAGACACCCTGAGAGATCAATCCTGCAAATATAGGTGGGAGGGGTATCGTGAGTCTTGGTCGTGTGTGTTCAGGCAATTGATTGATTAGAGTGTCCAGCAGTGTGGTGTAGATCCTTGGTGAAGACTTTGATACGTGTCGAAACAGGACAAACATGGTCATAAGAAAGGTGAGGAAAGCATGGCTTTATCTGTCAGTCCGTGGTATCGCACAGCAGAGGCTGCATGGGTTACATGCATCATTATGGACATGGTGTAGTCATGGTCATGTATGGTCATGGTTATGGTCATAGTCATGGATAGGGGAACAAGGACAAGGTGAGCCTTGTTCAAGTATGCTGTGTTGTGCAGGGTAGGGCAAGTGCAGCGAAGTGTTGGGGGGAGCTGTGTGGGTGGATGTGCTGTGGCAAGATTGAGATCGGAGGAGGAGCAAGAGAGACAAAGAGGTGGTCGCTGATGGAAAGTGTACCTTTGGCTTTGTTGATTGATCTCCTGTTCCTTGTTTTTCGTCGTTCCTCCGTTGCTGCTGTTGCTGTGTCCACTTTTACTTTTCCTGAAATTAAAAAAAAAAAAAAGTCGAGTGATCTGAATGCGATTTGCATTCCCTTTTGCCGTCAAAGTCATAGTCCTACCTGCGGACGAAAAATTTTATGGTGGGCAGGCATTCGCCTTGGCTCGTCAAGTCAGCTGACACTCGCCCTTGGCCATCAACCACCAGCCAACTCCACTTTCATGATTTGATCTGATCTGATCTAATCTAACCTGACCACAACCATGCTCTACGTTATCGGCCTCGGTCTCTCAGACGAGCGCGACATCACCGTCAAGGGCCTCGATGCCGTCAAGTCTTGTGAGCGTATCTATCTCGAGGCATACACCTCGATCCTCATGGTCGATAAGGAGAAGCTGGTAACGCACCTTTTCTTTGTCTCTCCTTCCTCTCTTTGTCCGTTATTCATCATCCACTATAGCTTTATGTTCATCACTAACAATCAATACCGTCGTGACACTAGGAAGAGTTCTACGGCAAGTCAGTGACGGTCGCAGACCGCGAAATGGTCGAGTCCGAGTCTGACACGATCCTCGACAACGCCCAGAACGTCAATGTCGCCTTTCTCGTCGTCGGCGACCCCTTCGGCGCCACCACCCACACCGACCTTGTCATCCGCGCCAAGGAACTCTCCATCCCCGTCGAAACCATCCACAACGCCTCCATCATGAACGCTATCGGCGCCTGTGGTCTCCAGCTCTATAACTTTGGTCAGACCATCTCTATGGTCTGGTTCACCGACACCTGGCGCCCAGATTCATGGTACCCACGCGTCAAGGAAAACCGGGATATTGGACTTCACACTCTCTGCCTGCTCGATATCAAGGTCAAGGAGCAATCTCTCGAGAACATGGCCCGCGGACGAAAGATCTACGAACCTCCACGCTATATGACCGTCAACACCTGTCTGGAACAGATGCTCGAGATCGAGGAGAAGAGGAATGAGAAGGCGTATGGACCCGAGACTTTGGCCATTGGATGTGTCAGACTCGGCACACGTACTCAACTGTTCATCTCCGGAACCATGGAACAACTCTTGGACGAGGATTTCGGTGCACCTTTGCACTCGTTAGTCTTGATCGGACGGAGGATGCATGTCATGGAGGCCGAAATGGTCCGTGGCTTCTGTCCTGAAAAGTACCGTGCCAAATTTGACGAGATCTACAAGCGCGATTACGAGACCTAAACATCTCCTCACCTCATCCATCATTTCCCTTCTTACCCTATGGTATATCATATTTAATAAATGTTTTTTAAAGAGAATATCTGGCAGTAATCTTTATTACACAGTGACGCCGCGTGGTATGATGTGAATGTATAGCATGAATAAAATTACAATATATGGACAAAGAAGAGAGGAGAAGAAGAGAAAGTAAAGCAAAAAAAAAAAAAAAAAAAAGAGTGGGGATTAAGAAAGATGAAGGTACTCAGCCCCGTAGACGTGGTGGTTTATGATGTGGGTCAGATCCGTGCTGGCAGCATGAATAGCTTCCTCCACAGGCTTAATCACCAGCTCCGGGTACTGCTGACCTCTCATCATGGCCAGTGTGTCATACGCTTTGTCCAACATACTGTTCTCCAGATACGCCGTCACCATGCTGTGATACGTCGAAGGTTCCTTGACAATCGAACCCGGCACCTTGGGCAAATGAGGATCCGTCATCGCATTGAACACGCCTTCCGCCGCAGCAAGGTCCTCGGCCTGACCAAACCCGCGGATCATTGTGTTTTCAATGTACGTACTCGAGGGCTGTCCAGACGCCAAAAGTTCGTTCCGCACCTCGATAGCCCGGCGGAGGTTCCTGTCCGTAATATAGCTCTCGATCATTGACTGATATGCAGGTCCCTTAGGGGTGATACCCACCTTCAGCATATTATCAAACACGACCTCCGCTGTGGACACATCCCGATGCTCAACGCCGTACGCATGAATAAGCGCTCCATAGTGGGCTTCGGTCGCTCGAACTGGTCCACGCTTCAACGACTGGATTAAGCGGTTCGCCTCCGTCAGGTCGTAGGGTGCAATGCAGGCAAAGGCTTCGATCAGCAACGTGTATGTGTGTTCAGTTGGCGCCAGTTTTCGCTGCAGCATGTCCTGGTAGTACTCCAATGCTGCATTTCGATCCTTCTTTTGGCGAACGTAAAACTGGATCATGGCGTTGTGAGGCCCTTGACGTGGATGGTAGTTGGGGCTGTTGGTCATCTCCTTGAATAGGTTACGGGCCATGTCCTCGCTTCCGACTCGAGTGCAAGCGCTGATAAGTGTACCGTAAGTGATGGCGTTCGGTCGAATGCTCTGCATGATCATGTCCTCATAGACCTCCAGGACGCGTTCGATCTTGCGTCCACGAGACAGCTTTCCGATTACGACGTTATAGAAAAAGATATTGGGCTTGATGTTATGCCGCTTGACCTCCTCCAGGATCCTGAGAGCATCATGTGCCTCATCAATCGCTCCAGTGGTCGTCGCAATCAGCAGGGTCGCATATCCTGTCGCATCCGGGAATTGACCAAGGTTGACGATGTCGTCGTAGTTCCTCTTGGCTGCGGCCATGTCGCCCAGAGTTGCATTTGCCACCAACATGGCATTGTAGACTTCGTACTCGGCTGCTCTGCGATGAGTCATATCTTGGATGGCCTCGACCGAGTGCATGGCAAGTTGGTAAAGCTCCTGGTAGTTGGTGGTCCTCTCCTTCTCTCTCTTGGCACAGACCTGGATCGTGTCTGCAAACGCCTGGGGAGATGGAAGCTGGTTCCTGCTGACCATCTTGGAAATCTCCTCCAGTGCGACAGCAGCGTATCCAAATCGACACGCACGGATAATAGCCTCAGAGGGATCCCCGTGGCGAAGCGCAATCTGAGCACTGGGGTTGTGGGATTTGTTGAAGTTGCCGCCATTGTTGCTGCGACGGTTGTTGTTGGGACTTTGGCGCTGCTGCTGCTGGTACTGGTGTTGACTATGTTGCTGTTGCGGCTGTTGCTTGTATTGAGGCTGTTGTTGCTGATGGTTCTGATGTCGCTGCTGCTGCTGCTGCTGCTGCTGCTGCTGCTGCTGCTGCTGTTGCTGCTGCTGTGGCTCGACATGCTTCTCTTCAGGAATGGCGGGCTTGAATCCAGGGTAAATCTCCTGCACTGCAGTATCCCAGGCAAGCTGCCCCGAGTAGTCGCCAAGAGTCACGAACGAAAGTGATATCTTTGAGCACATCTCCTGGCTAGGGACAATGCCCATTTCCTTACTATCCAGCAAAACCTCAATCAATTGTCGGTATCGAATGCCGCTTTTGACGAGCGACGCCTGCATCGCAAGCAGTGCCTCAATGTCGGAACTGTCCACCAGTAGCTTTTTAATGGAGCTCAGTCCTGTTGTCGACTTTAGGTGGCGATAGGTCCTCAGCGTTCCGTCTGCGATTCCTGAGGATGCAAGCAAGTCATATCTATTGGAAATGCGG